TCCTGCATAAAATCAACGAGGCGGAGTCGGACAGGTGCAGCTGCGAGGAGGGCTCTCAGACTCCAAGGCACGTCCTCCTGCAGTGTCCGTTATACGTGGATCTAAGGAAGACATTCGTGGAAAAGGTCAAGAGGACGGATCTACAGAACCCGATAGATTATGAGGCTATCATGTCTTACCCGCAGGCGACTCGCTACGTCGCCGAATTCATGTTATCAACTGGTCTTCTCGGACAATTTCGCCAATGCGACGTTGAACCCGAGGAAGACACTGAACCAACACACCGGGAATGACCGGAACGGGCAAGGGGTGAAGACGCTGTGTATCCAACAACAAAGTGAGCGACAACTGAGATGTCGACCACGACGACAGCGAAAATACACTACAACATAATCGATCGAAGCGGGGTATGCTACTGCTAGCGGGGCAGAAGGGAGTTGACAACTGCAGAAGGAGATTTACAGGAGGACATCGGGGATATCAGGATATATATTGCATATTGCATGGCGACAGTGACGTTCCTTTAGCGGGCTTCTTTCTTTGTTTGGCATTATTTCGGCTTCATTTCGGCTTCATTTTGGCTTCATATTTACCTGTTTGGTAGCGCGATACCTATTTCCTTTGTGCATAGTCATTCTTTACTGCGTGGGTTACGGCGTTGGGCATATTCTTGCTTCGGGCGGACGAAGCGCCTGCATTGCCACTGCGACTCTAGCTAGGCAGCATCAGGTTAATAGAATATCATCATCATCATCATCATCAACACGGCACTTAGGTGTATTTCTGCTTTTTTTTGCGTGAGTTAGCTCATCGATCATACAAAAGCTACTGGTAGCTTTCTTCTGAGCTGGTCGTGGACGTGATTCGGATGCGTGGGTTGATCTAGGAAAAAGGGCGTCATATTGGTTCAGAAGAATCAGTGTCAGATGCTTCAAGGGTTATACAAGAGGGTATGTAGGCCATCCAGGGATAGTTGGTAGATGCAGCAGACTTAACACAATCAAGAAAACTAGGCAGCGAAAAGTTTTATAGAGCGTGTCAGGGATTCACTACATGCAAAGCTTACTGCTCGATGAAACATTTGCTATATGAGATTTAGAGTGAGATGCAATTGAAGATGATGTGAGATAGTCGGAATGCATGGCTCTTGAGGCGCCCTGTTGAAGGTCACTCTTTCATCACACGCAACACACTGTCCCGGTGAAATGCACTGTGCCAGAGTTACGTGATCCCCTCTGACATGAAGTAGCTATAAATGATAGGTTTCGGTCAATCCAAGGCTTATCTATCCCTCTTCGTGGTCCGAACAGGAAAGTAGAAATGTGGTATTGTTCGACTTTTAAAGAGCTAAAATTATCAGGCCCCGCCTAGTTCTGGGTGCCAATTCACCAAATCGCAAGCTCAAAAGAATAAATATGGTGATCTGAATAAGAAGCATCGGCATACAGAATGTATAGAGATGAATGGGTGGCGTGTTAGTTGCGGCATTCATGTTTTTTCACGGTTGTGGTAGTTATAATGTGGTAGACGACGAGTTTCTCGTATTTCAGAGACGAGGCTCCCTAAAATAATGAAATTAAAGACGACTCGAACCTTAGGCCACTGAAAAAAGAAAAGTTCACCATTAGCTTATGAGCCTAAGCGTGGTTGATCTCATGTTGTATTCACTGCGTCGATACACACACACACACAATTCATTAACGCCCGGCGGCTGAGCCGAAAGGGCAACTATCGCTAACTACTATACATGTCATAATATATACAGTACTGTGTCTCATTGGAGCCCGTGCATAAAACCTTGCCGTATGTGTCTTTTCAGCACGCAGTGTCGCAGCGGATGCTCGTGGGTTAGTAATTTGGTTAGTAGGCTGGTTTGGAGGCGCTTCTCCAAGTGTTCAACATCCTATCTTCGGCAGTTGAAGCACGTCTACTATCTGTAGCACGAGGTGTTTGGTAAGTTAGATCGGAAAAAGGGGTGGTTTAGGTTGGTCGGCGTGGTTAAGTGGCCTCGAGTCGGCCCGTCGCGATGGCGAATCGTATTGAGGCCCGTACGGCCTCTAGGTTTGGCGTCCACTTCTGATCATCAGAAGACGACTTCCCTCCCAGAAAGAAGGACAGGTTTCCTCGGTGGGTGTTGGTACATTGTAGCAGTTCCGTCCGGTGCGCAGTCCACTTCCGACATCGAAAAAGGAAGTGCTCCACGGTCTCTTTGGCTTGTCCGCATGCACACTGATCTGTCTCTGCCGCGTTGATCCGATACAGATATCCATTTAGTCTTGCCATGCCAGTCCGGAGCTGGGCCAGCACGCTCGCTTTTTTCCACGACAAGCGATCATACAGCAGTCGAGTGTGCTTTCCTGGAAGTGCTGCATCTACTCGTTTGGCGTGTTTTCCGACGTCCGCTGGCAGGCCATTTCTGGGGACTGCTTGGGACCGTGCAATGTTCAATGTGGTCGACTTCATCCTCGGAACGCGCTCTTGCGGGAGAGCATCTTCTTGTGTCGCGGCTCTGGCCTGTTCTTTAGCCAGACCTAAGAGTTTGTTGTCTTTGCTAGTGGGGATCCAGACAAATTTGATCCGGTTTCCATTTCTCTGCAATCTTCTCATCAACTTGGACATCCGACAGATAAATTTTTGGCCAGATTGTTGTCGAGGATTTCTTAGCGTGAGAACGCCGCTTTGTTGCTTGTGAGCAGCGTGATCCTGTAGTCTTTCAGTCCCACGACCATGCCCAGCACATGTGCCATGCCGGCCAGCTCCGCCGAGAATGGCCAAGAGACATTAGGTAGCTTCGGCAGGTCTACTTGCATAGACCACTACCCCAGTTTTTCACCCAATAAACGAGGCTTCTGGACTTTTGAGGTGGACAAAGCCTCTCACCCTGGGTGTCTCTCAGTGTGCTCCTTAAGCACACATCACGGGCTGTTCAACTAGGACGACACCGCTTCAACCGATCAAGACCGGTTTTCAGGCCCTCAGTGCGAGTGAGGTAGTTGAGTCCCGGCTCTTTGTGCACCGACACGCGCATCCGTCCTCTCGGGCTATACAGACAGTCTCTTGGCAGGCCCCGACCCTGTCGCAGTGGCTGCCATTGTACACCACGCCCCGCGAGAGCTTTAACTCTCGTTTCGCGTTACCTAGGGAGGTCTCCCCCCGCCAGGCCGACCGTGTCTTGCAGAAAGCCCTCGTATACGCTCCGTCCGGCAGTGTACGTCGGCCCCTTTTTACTAACCAAGCTTGTTCCCCGATGCCTGAGCAGGATCGATGGTTTTCCCGTGGCAACGCCTTAACGAGGTCCATCGTTTGCCACCAGCCAAATACCATTTCCTTCCAGATGCACGTGTATCTCCCAGGAGGATGCCCGTGTCTCGGTTGTCCGTGTCAAGAAGAGGAGCCGCATCAAAGGTTGCCCGTGGCTGGGCCTTAACGAGGTCTTCCGAGGCGGCATCTTCGAGCCTTAACGAGTTCGAGTCTTAACGAGGTCTCCTAGGCCTTGAACGAGGTCTGTCCGATATCAGCTTGACTGCCTGTGTCACCGGTTCACTACCGCCTCGCCGCATCTCGCACGATGCGATCCCAGACCGTATGCAAGCTTAGGGGTGTCCTGTCTTCTTTCTAGGGCGACACTACTTTCACTGGTAATGCAAGACCAGCTTTTGGGCCCGAGTGCGAGTCGGCTAAAAAGAAGTCAGATGGTTTTCATATCCCTTGTTGTCCCCTGATTTTGGTGTGGTTGTGCGGTCGCTTCACGCACCGGGCCGGACCGCACAATCACGTCGGATTCAATTTGGTCTCCTCAAGGAGGATTAACACCGGACACCACGAGAAGGTATGAATCCATTGTCCCAACAGCCTGGCTAGGACTGTTGCCCAGTGCGAGCTCACTGGCGGCTCGTCCTACACCCTTGGTGAGAGTGTTTTCTAATTTTACACTGAGCGGCTACAAGCGGAGAACACATAGGACAACCTCTCACGTCACTCCTGATCGTTCACCCTGAGCATGGTGGGTCGGGGTGAGCTACCCACTGAGTACTCCCTGAGGACTCCCCATACATTGTGAAGATTATCAGTTGCAAATCTACGCATCAATGGCCATTGGAGGCTGCTTCAAACTGAATTACATTTGTGAAAACGTTCGTAGTACTTCAAATATTCGTTGAAACATAAAGAAAGAATAAAAGTGGGCCCACGCCTTATATCAGCAATTGATCACCTCTTTGACGGCTGTTCGACGACGTCAAACGAACTCAAAATAAAAATTGAGAGCAGATAGCTCGGTACATTCAGGAGAATTGTTTGAAGGGTTCCACGTCTTCATCAATTCGGTCTAGATGCATGACCACATTGTCGGATCACGTAATTAAGCGTAGCTCAGCAGCCCTTCGGGCGGTCCTCCTAGGTGTAACCGTCTGATCCATTCTCTAACCTAACGCTTGATTGTAGTGAATATGAGTAGTTCACCTAATTAGGCCGAGCAATTATTTATTCAGCAAGACTCAAGCCTGAAAACCTGCCTGAGCCCGGACTGAAATTTACTCACTTAGCTTGACTCGAGGTCAAGATATATATCCCGATTCGGCTACAGTCTAAGCCCGCTTACGACACGTCCCCATTTTCCGAGATAAAAGGTGCGCATTGACTGTAAGTGTTAACCTAAAAGCTAACAAATATGAGAGATCTAGGATAAGGGCACCTGTGGCGTGGTGGCTCGTAGCCTATAAGTTGGATGATTACAACTTCCACTTTCTTCGACACCGTTCCATATCGATTCTGACGTTCCATAATATGATGATAATGCCTAAGCCTATCGCTAAGTCCTGCTTTTTATATAGTAAGACCGCACTTTGGCATGAGAATATAATCGATCTAAAAAACCTAGCACTGTATTAGAACTATCTAAAGACCCGATCATTTCTTAGCTGCTATTGCTACAAATTTGTCTATTTGGCAAGCATCTCATGACATGCCCATGTCTATTACTGTCACCATCGCATGGACTTTTATACAGTACCAAACTCAACCCATGAGGATTTCCATTGGTCCACTTTGCATAACCGGCCATCCTCTCTCTCTCTCCACTCGGCAGATCCAACCGCGGTCTTGGCATAAAAGATGTCATTAGGATCGTACTTGGACTTCACTTTGCGCAAGGCATCATAATTGCTGCCATAAAAGACCCTCTGGAAGTCGGGTTGCTGGAAGTTACCCTGAAACGCGGTGAGTGACTTGAGCGGAATTTTTAAAATAAAACAAAATCGTGGTAAACTTTAATAGACATACCTCATTCATGTAGGCACCTGAGTTGGGGGCGAGTGCTTCCAGCTTGGGAATAAACTCATACGTCATCTTATTTTGACGTTCCAGCATCAGAGCGCCATTATCCCACTCCCAAGGGGTGGTCAAAGTTGTATCAATCAGTGCATCTCTCCAGGCAGGAAGGACCGCGTTATAAACGTCTCCAGAGACTTTGTGTGAAGCATTTAAACCCACACCAATGAAGGTCGCACCGGCTTCCGTGATCTCACGGTAGGCTTGAACCAGAGCTTTGTTGTTGTTCTCTACCACCGATCTTGGAATGAGATAGCCACCGTATTGCGCGGTGCCAACCTCGATAGTGCCTTGCATATCCTTGAACTGGCTGTAGTAGCTACTGTACTGGCCTGTCGTTAAGGTATAGTTGATGTTCAGCTTGTCAAGGCTTGTAGTAAAGGGCTCAAGGAGATTCACCAACTTGGCCTCAGGAATATTAGGGCCAGTGATGGGAGCGATCTCGAAGGAAGTGTTAGTGTAGTACCAGATACACATAGCACCTGCGTCAACGAGAGCAGGAAGGCTCTCGTGAAACTTCTCGATGGTGCTATAGAAGGTATCCGCCGTGAGATTGGTGCTGGTGTAGGTCAAATTAAGACCAGAAACCGGGGTTCCAGGATGCGCCTTCGAGGTCATTGACCAGACGACTCCATAGGTGCCACCGCCGCCACCACTCAGAGCCCAAAAGATATCGGAATACTCGTTATCTCGAGTGGCGGTGATAAAGTTGCCCTGGCCATCGATGACTTCCCATTTCAAGACTTGATCGGCACCTAGCCCGTACCGGGAAGAAAGTGCCGAGTGTCCACCTCCTTGGCTATATCCACCGGCCAGACCAACAGTGGGGCATTCACCTCCAACAACTTGGAGATCGTTGGCATCTGCAATCTCATAGGCTTCGAACCCCTGAATACCAGCCCCCATAGTAATGGCCTTGCCAGTGTAGTGGGTGTCCTTGTAATCATGAATCTCTAGGTCCTTGAGATGGTGGGTCCAGATTGCAAGAGCTCCAGCTCCAGTCGACTTGCCATTGTAGTCATGACCGGTGTTTCGAATGATTACACGAATGTTGTGTTCTGTTGCGAATTTCAAGGCGGATGAAATTTGAGACGGGCTGGTGACATTCACGCTGTACCGAACATAATTGCCCAAGGTGCAAGGCTTCGAGACAGGGTGATATGGATCACAGGTTCCATTGGCAAAAAATGGGGCCATAACAGAGGAAGACGATTCGTAACTAGAAGAATCACAATTTGAGCTTTGGCACCTTAAATATTTAAGCATAAAAATCGACATACTGTTCCTCTGGAAGCTCCCATCCAGCTTCCAATACTGCGCAAGCGGTAGCATTGTAGTTTGGCACATGACATGGGGTGCCAAGTGGGACAGTACTAATCAGTCGCCCATCGATAGTTTTATTGAATTCTGTCCAGGCACTTTCGGATGGCCAGCAAGAATCGCCCGGGAAGCAACGACAGGCAGAAGAGGCCAATGCCTGGGGCAGTGCTGCCAATAACGAGGCGATGAAGGATTTGCGGAAAAGCATCTTGGGTAGTATCAGTCTAATGCAGGGGTACCAGATGCCATATTATATATCTACTTCGGGTTTAATGGTGTGCGCCCATATGTATGATTCAGGAGCAGAATTCAGGGGCAGACCATTTTTTAGCCCATGAGACTCCACTTCTAGAGTCTGGAATTGTTCGTACTTTATACACAGATTACGTGCTCAATCTCGGCTAGTGCATGAGCTAGACGGGGGTAACACGGCAGAAAACTGGAAGATATTAACCCCATATTAGCGGGGTAAATAACCCGTCCAGTTAGCTTCTCGTTTTTTAAGCGAGCAGACTTTGGCCCCCAAATCTTTATAGTGCTAGAACTAGCTAGTATTCCAAGTTTTACGCTAAAGCAGGCTAGGAGCTAGTTAATTCGAAATTGCGCAGTTTCGTTTATTGCCTCCTACACTTACGCGTAATGTACTACGTATTTGAAATTAATACTATAGTTAAAGTCTTTTTCTCTGTGCCAACAAAGCGGATTGTTGTACTTTGTTCCCACGCGGCTTGAACAGGATCTATATCCCTGTCAATGCCTTTATGCAGGCCAAAAGTCTATTTCATTTATTGCTGCTGCGAAGAGTTTTAAAATATCCATATTGTCATGGTTAAAAATGTCTTATCCCCTGCATACCCTTTTCCTCGCACTCCATAGCCATACCCGTGAATTACCAATTTAATCATGGGTTGGGTCTATAATCTCAACGAAAAAGATCCAAACAGCGAGATCCCGAAGGTGATTGGCGTCTGCTTAGCTTTCTCGATTTTTTCCCTTTTCGCCGTGTGCCTGCGGTTTTACGTGAGAATCAGCCGCAATCGGTCTCTGTGGATTGACGATTATGCTGCATTGGCGAGTTCTGCCCTGACACTTGGTTATGCTGGCATCGCTGTGGCTCGTGAGTTGATGCTTAGCCCAGGAAACCCTCCATTCCTGGTGACCAGACTTGGCTGACTTTTCACTAAGAAACACGATGGGGTCAGGGTCTCACTTCAGCCTTTTTTCCAGAGGAAAATGTAATCCCTTTCAGCAAAGTATGTGCCGTGATAAAATGAAATCATTGGCTCCTGTCCACTAAATATTCTGTTTGCTTTAGATACAGTACGCTGGTGGGCCTGTCTACTGTCTCGATCTTCTCGGCTTCAAGGTTGCCTTGCTAGCTTCATATCTGCGCATTGGCGGGGTCGTTGCTCTATATCGAAAAATAGTAATCTGTACCATCGCCATTTGCGTCGTTAATCAATTGATCTTCACGTTCATCATGTCGATGTCCTGCACACCAGTAAGCCTCCTCTGATTAGATCAGCCTTTTTAGAGAACATGTTTTTCATAACAGTATCACACAGATTGCAAAACAATGGGATAGCTCGCTTGAAGGTCATTGTATCGACACAATACCGTTCTACTTTTGCTTGGCAGGCATAAGCATAGGCCTGGACATAGTAATTATCGCACTCCCTCTGCCAGTCCTCTGGAGACTGCAGCTTAGGACCAAGCAGAAACTTCTGCTCATCTGTTTGTTTGCTCTCGGCTTCTTCGTGACGGTGATTCAGGTCATCCGTATATTCACTATTAAGGCCTTAAAGACCTACACGGACAGCAAAAGTATCGTGATCTGGTCTTGTGTGGAGGTCAGCCTAGGTGTAAGTCAAATCTTGAAATGTTACGCGTTTTCTTCGAGCTCACCGAGTACTAACAACATTTGAAACCGAAAAGGTCGTTGTTTCCTGCATTCCAACTTACGGGCCTTTATTCAAATCTCGTGCATCCACGGACAAATCATACCAAACTCCGAACACAGGGCGTTCCTATCCTCTTGGCACTCTTCAGAACGAGGCTACGACTGGACTAGCAACTGGCAGTTCGCGCAGGAGGAGCGACTTCAAGCAGCTATGGGAATCAGAAGGACGACAAACAACAGTGGTTGAGTCATGTAGAGATGGCATACCGGGTGACGCTGATAGCCAGAAGCATATGCTGCCCGAAGCTGAAAACCTAGAAGTCTATGTGACCTCAGAATTTACAATAAAGTCAGCCGCTGCTTTTTGAAATTATGTGTCAACAGCTCCTGTTAAACTTACGTGCAAGTTTGAATCACGAACCATATTCCCCATCATCACTTCTATGTATCCAACTTAGAGCATCTAGGGGCCGTACAACTTACAGTATTCTCTGGATGCTGAGTAAAGGTTATCCCACTCAGGAGCGGCGTCCGACATGTCAAAATTTCTGCTTTTCAGGGATTTTACTTTTGGCAGACTGCTAGGGTACACGGGCGTCGGAGTAAAGATTCTGAGATAGGGGTGATTTTGTTGTTCGGACCTCAACCAATCACTTGACGTGGCCCGAGCCTAGGGACCATGCTCCTCGAGTGTGGACGCCGTAGAATATCTTGACATGGCGTTGTAGTGGCATGCTTTTTGGCGTGCTTGGGTCCAGCTGCATGCTGAGCAGGTATTTTCTGATACCATTTGTATGGATGAGTGTTCGAATGGTGGGAGCTGGCCCGTAGGTTTTCGTACTTTGGGTAACATCGTGGCCCCTTCATGCGGCTCAAAGAGCGGTCTGGTTTTATGCAATAACGCTTCGAGATGTGTCAGAAAAAGTATGCACCTTGGTTGACGTATGCATTGAGCAAATGATATTCTCAATCGAGTCACTGGAATTCAGGCTCTAAAACACATCGAAAATTATTCAGGGATTTATCGCAAAACAAGGAACTCGAAAGTAAATCTCGAATATTATTCTTGGTCTAGTCAATATGAGACCAGCCTATTTATGACTCCATCTATTCCTGTCCTAAAACAAAAGAAAACATCCATCACCGCTAAACAAAAGAAGGTCGACATTTGCATGCCCTAGTTAGGGATGCAGACGCCGGCGTTCCACTCAGTGGCACCAACACATTGCCAGCTATCACAGCAGGGGTTACTGGATGTGCAGGCAACATCGTAGTCTGGTGAATGTTAGCGAATATCCAAATTTGGAATTATAATACACATACTGGCGACGCAGGTGCGCTTCTCAAAGTCAGAGGAGGCGGAGGCAACGGCAGCCAGGGTAGCAATGACAATGGTGATGAACTGCATTTTGATGGTTGAAGTGGGTGATCGAAAGATCGGTTGATTCTTTGAGTCTTGGATGGTAGATTTGTAAATTGATGGATGGTTAATGTTCAATTATCGAGGAAAGATCAAGCTATTTATCTCTAAGCCAAGCCCTACAGGGTCTGATAAGTCCATATTTGATTGCCTGTATGAATACAAATTGAGCATTCCCAAATTGAACCTGAGATGTCTGGTCGTCGCTTATTTACGCGATTTGGATATGATTGTCGTTGGGCCTGTGAGACTCATTTTTGCCACTCTTTTACCGACCTCATTGCAGTAGGCGGTAGTAGCATATCTTACTGCCTTTTTGGTCATATTGTGAATGGCCCCCATATGGAGCATATGAATATGCGTGGGGTGATTTGTGTAGCGCAAGTGTTTGAATCGGGGCCAAATACAGTAGTAGTAGTAGTAGTAGTAGACTAGTAGTATTCATTTACACCGACCTCTCGCCGAAGTTGGATCCTAGGTCACGTGATATATATAGATCTATAGGAGTGGCTGCCTGCTAGGCAGACACTCCGCTAGGCAGCAGGGAGATGAGCTGCTGCAACTACAAATAGCTGGATTTCCTCATATAGATGAATTATCACACTTGTACCTCAATCCAGGGTTCAACTGCCGAAGCGATATGCAGTATACAGCAACTATATATTCGAGTACGTACATGTGGAGTGATCCACTTTCTGACCTGAACTTAGAGCCTCGTCACGGCCTATCGTGGCCCATTGCCGCTCCCATCGTTAGGCTGCCCTTATGGCGCACGACTGCGAAATCGCTGTGACGCCTCGGCGAAGTCCAGCACAGCCTGCACTGTTTTGGCTCGCGAGACGATGTCTGGTTTACCTTTCTCACCTTCATTTGAGCCTCCCAGCAGACTCGACACGCTGTGAAACGCGTCCCCGGCATTTCTTCTTAATTCCACCCGCAGGTCTCGTAGATTGGGACATTCCAATAATACATGGCTGACCGTCTCCCGCGCTCCGCACTCGCATTGATCATCGTCGCGGAAGCCGAACTTCTTCGCGTAAGTGGATAACCAGTTGTGGCCCGTGCGTAGCTGAGTAAGCAAATATGCTCGGTTCCTAGGCAGGCTCCGGGCCTTATCCTTGTCCTTTGGGGTCTTATTACCGGACGGACCCTTGATAATAGACTTAGTAGTCTCCTTAGCGGTTATCTCGCGCTCGTCTACGGACGCCTTAGGCTTAGTGTCCTTAGGCTTCTTAGGGGTTGCGGGAGCCTTGGGTTTCTTAGGGGTTAGGGTCTTGCGTGTTCCTAAGATAGTAAGCGGTCAGCGGCGTTAGAACACGTGAGTGGATACCCGGGGTATACTTACTAGCCATGATTCACGATTAAAACGTATGGAAACGTGAAAACAAGGTAATTTTGAAGCAAAAGTGTCTAAAAGGACGCGAAAGTGTTCAAAATGTGGGGGTTGCGAAGGTGTTGAAGTTGAGAGAATTATGAAAGTTGAGAGATGGAGATATCCTCGCGCTTTATATAGCAAACGGCTTGTAGGTTAATTCTGATTAAACTAATCGGAAGCGACCGTAAGAGCCCTTTATTATTGTTAACGATTGGTAGTGTGGGGATCGCGGGCTAATCCGGTTACGTGATTCAAAAATAACTAATAAAGCTCTTTGAACCTCGCTGTCGTCACCTGAAGCGATATAAAGACCTTTGAGATATACTCGTTTGATTTCCTTTGTTATGTGCTATCTTCGGACGCTCTCCTTGTCTATAGCGCTCGATTCTTTGTGCGGCAGACCTACACACACCTCGCTAAACGAGAAAAGAGGCCTTTGCCCTTGAAATTGAGGTTGATCGTAAGTCTCTTCCCCTGAACTACCCCGGATCAACCCGCGAGCACCTAGACGGAGATAAATGGATCCGGCCGGATGGATCCAGTCTGGAATTATCCGCAGAAGCGACGTGTTTTGAATATTCTTATGTTATTATCTCGCTAGCTTATATCTCTTACTATAAGGGCCTAGTATTGGCTGGTAGGGGAGGATGTGATAACGGGATGATGACTAAGTATAGGGCGGTGTGCGGTTAGGGCCTACCAGACCTAACCGGACATGACTGGCCCTTCTATACTTAAGGGAACTTCTAGAATAAGAAATAAAAGCATGCACTCCTACTCGGATCACACTAGTATTGGTACTCCTTACTCTGAGCCGACTGAACAAGTGAGCCTGCCATTTAGGAAAGCAAAGATGAATGACTAGGAGTGGAATCTGGAAACACGAGTAGTAAGGTTCGCGAGGTCGATTTGGGAGTTAGGAGTAACAGATGAGAAGAGAATTGGGGAACTGTGAGGACATTGATAGAGGGGGGGGAACGAGCATCTTATAGGCGCTCAGCCAGGCAGGGCGAGGAGGGAGGGACCCTGGATGGGACTAAAGAGGGAAGCCATTTTCGGCGTCGTTTCGGTCGCAAGTGGAATCTAAGGGAATGAATGTCGAATAAGTTCCAAACATCAGAGCCGGTTGATGATGACTAAAGACGCTAGGTGGGTGCAAAATAGTGATGGTGCTGGACAGGGGCGGTGAAGCGCTGGCTCCCCTGCAAATGTTACGGGTGGAAAGAAGGCCGTTTCTGGCGTCGAAAGCTGTCATTTTCGGCGTCGATTTCACAGGTCCCCATATTCTATATGTAAATGGGAACTGATTTTGTCTATTAATAATAGCGACATTATCTGCATTTTTGACATTGAAATATCAACTCATCGCATATATGCATACCGAATATTTGTGTATATAGAAATTAGAAAGAACTCTTTATTATGTACTTCCATCATTCAGGAATGATTCAATCCTGGTTCAGGATATCCTGTCGCGAGATACCGCTGCGCTCACACATAGCCCGGAAGATACCATCTGACTTATCGAACAGGGCAATCGGGGAATCCATCTCAGCAATTTGGCCCTGGTCCATCACGCAGATGCGATCATAATGGATAATTGTGCGAAGACGATGCGCAATACACAGCAATGTCTTGCCCTGGAATCCCTGAGCCATTGTATGCTGGATCTTCTGATCGGTCTCGAAGTCGACGGAGGAGGTCGCTTCGTCACATACAATGATCCGTGCGTCGCGGACCAAGGCACGCGCGAGTGCCATGAGCTGGCGCTGGCCGAGGGAGAAGTTTAGACCTTCCTCATCAACGGGGGACTCGAGGGTTAAGCGGTTGGTGAGGCGGGGCTTTGCGTCGCTGCCTGTGACGGGGGTTGAGGCTCCGGTGGCAGGGTCAGCGAGGACTTCTGTGTCGCCGAGAGTCTCTTCGCCGATGAGATAAGCTTTACGTAGAGCGGACCAGAGTTCCAAATCGCCGTGCTCATTGAAGGGGTCGAGGTTGCTGCGGATTGTACCCTTGAACAGCGCGGGGTCTTGAGGGATAATAGCGAGACGGGAGCGAAGGTCATATAGACCGATTTTTGAGATGTCGACTCCATCGATCTGGATAGTACCGCCGGATAGCTCGGTCAAACGGAACAAGGCAGACATAATACTCGACTTGCCTGCACCGGTTCGGCCGACGATACCGATACGCTCACCTCCCTGCACATCCATGCTGAGACCCTTGAGGACCAGAGGTAACTCTGCTCGGTATCGCATCTTGGTGTTCTTGAATTCGATGCGACCTTTCTCGGGCCAACTCTCAGGCACCTCGGCTAGGTGTAGGGGAGCTTCCTCTTCCAGCTCGGTACCGTAGTAGTGAACTCGCTCAGTGGCGTTCATGTCGTTCTCAACCTCCGCAAGTTGTCGTACTGTGAATTGCAGCATCTGTGCGATGGAGAGGATATAAGACAAGATCAGGCCGGAGATACTGGGAGAAACGTTGAATCGGGAAGTGACGACCAAAACACCAATAACAAAGACCAGGCAGGTGGCCACACCGTCCAGTCGAACACTGAGCCAGCGTTGATTTGAGAAAGTCAAAAAGTATGCACCGTTCATAACATCAATGGAGTCGCGGATGCTTCGCTCGAACTGCTTTTGGACGCCATAGGCACGGATGCACGCTACACCGGTGATGGCTTCGCCAAATCGGGCATACACGCTCGATCGCAGGACTGCTTCGTGGCGTTTCATCTCACGGGCGGATGAGCGGTAGTAGTTGGAGGCGACAAAGAACAGAATGACCAGAGGAACAAGGGCGATGACGAACTATCAAGTGTTAGTATATGTTTTCAACAGTATAGCTTGTAGCTGATGACTTACATAGTAGAAGTAGACGATAATCAGAACCATGACAGAAATAATCATCGTCATCGTCAATGCATACATACGGATGGCATCAGACAATTCATTATCCATAACCTGAACATCCTTTGAGAAGCGGTTGGTGATACGCCCAAGGGGGGTAGTGTCGAAGAAGGACATTGGGGCACGCAGCACACGGGTCATCGCACGCTGAAGCATTGTCCGGCTAGAGTTCGTTCCACATGTCGTCATGTATGTCGAGAAGACGAACATAATGAGCACAACACTAACACCCAATGCAGCGTAAATACCGATGTACTCGCCCATCGAAAGCTGGGGGTATTTATCGGATGTCCAGTAAGAAAGCCACAAACTGCTCCAGATGCTGGCAACGTTCGCAAGACACAGGAAGAAGATAATGCCGAACGCGTTAAAGGAGCTTCCAGAGGCTCTGATGTAGGCCTTCCATACGTCCCAACCAACAGATGATGAAGCCTTCTCTTCTTGTTGCATCAAAGCGCCGACAGGTTTCTCAGCTTCAGCTTCTTTATGAGCAACTTCCCGTGCTTCCTCTACCTTATCACCTGCTTCCTCTGTCTTTTCAGACTGCTCATTCGAATCCTCTTGTCCAGATGTTGCCATCAGGCGCTGGAACAGCTCATTATCGCGCATGAGGTTGTCAAATGTGTCGACAGCGTGGATCCGGCCTTCATCCATGACCACGATGCGGTCGCATCTATTAAGAACATGCAGCTGGTGAGTCGCAAGGATTCTGCATCGGTCTTTGAGCAGTCCGCAAATAGCCTTGTCCATGATGTGACGACCAACATGAGCGTCAACAGCAGAAAGAGGGTCATCCATGAGAACAAGCTCAGCATTGAAATAAATAGCACGGGCAATGTTCAGGCGTTGCTTCTGTCCTCCAGAGACCGTGATACCACGCTCTCCGATTTCAGTCGCATCGCCATTGGGTAGCATCTTCAGGTCGGGAGCCAAAGCACACGCATCAATGACATCGTTATACCAAGCCTCGTCGTAATCCTTGCCGAAAAGAACGTTATTGCGCACGGAGGTGTTTTGGATCCAGGCGTATTGTGGACAGAACGCACGGGTGGTACTCATTCGGACCATGCCCTCAGTGACACGCATGTCACCAGCCAATGCTGAGAGGAGTGAACTCTTGCCACAACCGACAGTTCCAATAACCGCTAGGAGCTCATTTCGACCGATCTGGAGGTTCACATGCTCCAACTTGAATGGTGCCGATGGTTTTTCCTGGTCAGTCTTTTCCTTTTCCTTCGTTGCTTGGAGGAGTTTGGCAGCTTTTTTGTTGACCTTGCCAGGCTTCTCCTCTTCTGATGGTAGACGCTCCCAGGTGAATGAAGCATCTTCGATTTCAATGGCGTTTTGCATATCCTCGATCTGTTTGATATCTTCCTTTTGCTCTTCCGCGAGCAAGAATTCCTGGATACGGTTCAGGGCAGTCATGGCATCGGTGACCTGACCGAGGACCATGGGCAACATGTTGAGCGGCATGCGGAGAGAGTTGAACAGTGCAAGCGAAGAGAAAATGTTCGCAGGGTTTAAATCGTGGTTGGTCAGAGCATAGGTGATAAAGGATAGCATGGAGGCGAAGACAGGAATCGACATCGCCACACAGAGGATGGCATTGCGAACTGCCAGAAGGGTCTGAATAGACCGAATCTCTTTGGCACGAATTTCCTTAAGACGGCCAAGGAAACTGCTTTCCCAACCAAAGAACTTGACAAATCGGACAGCTTGCAGAATTTCTTGTGTAAGAGACACACGCTGGTCAGTGATTGTATTGATTGCTCGGCGTCGCTTCAACAGGAATTTGAGCGCTAAGGTGAGGAAAGGCATTATGAAGACCATCAAGGCATATCCGGATAAGCAGCTAACACCGATGTTCACGAGAAGCATGATCAGAGTCACAATAATGGAGACAGGAGATGTCCATATCATGTGGAACATGCCAGCTGCAAGATTAATCCGATCGACATCAATGCTCATCAAAGCAATGATTCGACCATTGGACCAACCGCGGCCATCGCCTGCCACTCCATTTACATCAGCCACAGCTTTGTTGTCTTTGGCCGACTTCTTTTTCTTCCTCTTGGGGTCCAGAGCCTCCTCCTTGGCAGTTTCTAGCGCGGCAACCTCTTCATCACTCGCCTTTCCACCCGCTTTAGCACGAGCAGATAATTTCATGGCCTTGTTAAAGACCAAGGAAATCAAAACGGCGCGCACTTGACCACCGACCATCTGTCCTCGATATAAGAACTGGTTCGTGCATACACTCTGCAGGGCCTGCATAAGGGTAATTCCGACGACAAAGCCCATTCCACGACCAATATTCGGAGCAGGACTACCCGCCTCCTTGGCGTCCCAGGCTTCGGTGGCAAATGCAATTAGATACCGGGTAAGATAAGGCGCAAAGACCAAAAGAAGCGAGCTGAAAAATTGACAAATACCGCCAAGAATAAATTCAAAGCGGAATGTATCGTACAGCGCGGCGGTCAGTGGGCGTTTACTCTTTGATGCTGTACGACGTTCCAATGCGGCATCTAGTCGAGCTGCTAGAATGTCGACAGTACGATCAGGGTTGACTGTCCAGACATCCTGAAGCTCGAGGGGACGAAGATATCCCACCTGAATATTGGGTTAGCTGACAATTCAAATCGAAAAGAGATAACACAAACTTACATTCATTAAAGGGGACATCCAGTGAAAATAAACCACACTTAGAAACGAGGCTCCATATTCTCTTGAGGGAGTTCGTTCTTCAGGTATAGGTGGCGGTGTCTGCCATCGTAACGGATTGAGTCGCTTGTACCATTTCTTCTTTGACGATTTCAAGACATCGACATCAAGACTTGGAGCCTTGGGTTCCTCCCCCGATGTGGACCTCGCACTTGTTGCCTCGGCTGGCGGTAGTTTTTCATCATCCACGACCACAGGCTGTGTCGTGGGATCAGGAGCAGACATAATGGAATGCTTTCCAGGCGACAGCTCAACAGAAAAGTAAGCCTGGAAAGAGAAAGGGGGAAAATAGTGACTCCAAAAAAGGACAACGGTCTGAAAGACCGAGATTGCGGGCTATAAAGGAAATCTTAAAGCCCCGGCTTTAGTGTGTTAGCGCCGAAGAAAAGTAGTGGGTCCAGATGTCCGATAAGCGGGATTCGTGCCACTGAAACCGGAATGGAATTAATAGTAGTGGAGGGGAAAACAGGATCATAAGAGAAGAAACGGTGAGGTGGTGTGAGTCAGGTCCATGTTTTCCATAAACTCAGAAACTGGATCGGTGAATGGACATTCGAGAAATCTTGGACATGGTACATGACTCGAAAGCTTCCCGGGGAATTCAAAGTCCGAGTGGACAATTGTGGAGTTATGCCTATCATATTATGACTCTTCTAGATAACCTAGTTATCTGTCCAACAAGCTACATGTAACATTGATTAATCCACATGTGGTACTATAAGCCGAGTCTTGCATGGCCAAATATACCAAGTCATTAACCGAGGCCATTTTGTTTTCCAAGAAGTTCCATGGAGCATTTGAACACTGCTGAGTAATCATACTGAAGCATTTGAAGCTGTCGATTTCGTATTCGTTCCCAGTTCCAAAGTCAACCACTTTTCGAATGTAACTGTGATTCGGTGATCGGTGATCGGTGATCGGGAGTTTGAAGTCTCCGTGTTCCCGACATGTACAGAGTCGAAATGCATAACTTGTAGCCCCTAAACCGAGCCTAAACCCGTTTTCGAGAAGCTTGCGACGATAGCGAAAAGTGGAGTTCGTGGGGTGATGGATCTGGCCAAGCTCTTCGCCTATTTAATCCGTGACCAGTCACGGCAGATCCAATTGATTCGCCTACTAAATACTGGAATTCACGGGATAAGACCCACCAAAACCCGCCAGGCGCAACCAACCGCGAATTGCCGTTTGTGTTTGCTTACGGAGGAATTTCTTAGAAATTGTAGAAGTTACAAAATTTGGAGATCTTCTGATTTGCTACCGATAGCCGACGCCTAATCAGCCTATCTTTGTAGAGTCTATGTTCCATCGTCACATCGTGAGGGAGTCCGCCAAAACCCCCTCTGTCTATCAGTTTTGTGTGCTGGCATGTCAACTGCAGCATGCAGCAGGCCACGTCGACTCCTTTGTAGATTGTAATTTGTGGGCCCGGGTCCAGACTTGTAACCCACTCATGGTCCAAGGTTTCTAGTTCTCAATACCAATCTTGACCTTCTTTTCTGGGGAAGGAATCACGTGGTCCTCTGCAGCTCCCTTAAGGTTTGGGAGCTCAATCACAGCTTGGTTGATAATCTCCAGAGCCTGCTGAATCTCCTCCTCAGTGATGACCAGTGGCGGGGCGAGACGAATAATGTTCTGGTGAGTTGGCTTGGCCTAATGGTGCATGCAAATTAGCTTTCTCTTCATGGTTCTGGAGAATCATCTTTCAAAACGTACCAGCAAGCCCTTCTCCTTCATTAACATGCAAAGATCCCAGGCAGAATGGCCGTTAGTCTTGGACTCATCAATGACGATCGCATTGAGAAGACCCTTTCCACGGACAGTCTGAATAAGGGGACTCTTGAGGTCCTCCAGACCCTGGCGGAAGATATGGCCGAGCTTCTCAGCCCGCTCCACCATGTGTTCCTCACGGACAACCTCTAGGGCGCGGATGGCGACGGCACAGCCTAATGGGTTACCGCCGTAAGTTGAACCGTGGGTACCGGGCTCAATAGTGAGCATGACGTCCTTGCTTCCCAGCACGCAGGATACAGGGTACATGCCACCAGAGATGGCCTTACCCAGCAGGACCAGGTCGGGTTTAATTCCGCTCCACTCGTGGCAAAGGAGCTTTCCAGTGCGGGCAATACCGGTCTGGATCTCGTCACAGATTAAGAGGACGTTGTGTTTGTCGCACAAGGCGCGGGCCTCCTGCAGGTAGCTCTCATCAGGGACGACAATACCAGCTTCACCCTGGATGGGCTCGACAAGGAAGGCCGCCAAGTTAGGCCCAGCCGCCTCAAAGGCCTCACGGAGAGCAGCCTTGTCATTGTACGTGATAGGCTTCTCGGTGCCGGGAATGTTGCAACCGATACCAGGAAGGTAAGGGCCGTAGTGTTCGCGCGACTCTGGGTCGGAGGATAGTGAGATGGCGGCGAACTAATGCAAGGCACAACTCGGTCAGCCACCAATTCCGCATACGTCATGTCTTACAAGGGGTAGAATGTGGGCAACTTACTGTCCGTCCGTGGAAGTTATTTTCCGCACTCAGAACGATTGCCTGGTTCTCTGGGATTCCCTTGACCTTGTAACCCCACTTCCGAGCGATCTTGATTCCTGTCTCCACAGCCTCGGCACCCGTATTCATGGGCAGTACCATGTCAAAGCCAAAGTAGCTGGTAACAAATTGGGCGAAGCGAGGGAAGACGTCATTGTAGAATGCGCGCGAGCTCAGAGTGACTCGCGAAGCCTGATCAACCAGGGCGGCAATCAATTTAGGGTGGCAGTGGCCTTGATTCACGGCAGAGTAGGCAGAGAGGAAGTCGAGATAGTGACGTCCCTCGGGGTCCCAGACCGAAGTACCCTGAGCACGGGCAAAGACGACGGGTAGTGGGTGATAGTTGTGAGCAGCATAATCCTTCTCAGCTTGGATGGCCTCATTAGTTGTGGCGGCATGGTATTGGGAAAAGGACCCGTTGGACCCATTAGACCCGTTGGCAACCATGGTGGATTTTGCGGGGAAGATGTTAAGAGTAGAAGTTTGAAAAGGTCCAGAAGAGAAGAGGCCGAACCAAAGGTATACAATGAAGCGATCTTTTAAGAAATCGGAAATTGTTCTTAAGAAATAAAAGGAAGTAAGGGGACAATTAGAACAGTTATGTATGTTGGACCGTGGAATTGGCAAGTGGCGTATAGATCCGCCGCTATTCCCCTAAGTGCAAGTGTCTTTCCCTTAAGTGCAGGTTGTCGCGAGTTCTTCCATCCCTCCACTTCTATTGTTCCCTAAGCGCAGGATTACACGAGCGCGCGTTCAATTTTACCTTTGGTATCCATCACATTACCTATCATCAAATTAATCTCTCCAATCAGCTCGTTCCTGATTCCGGCCCGGTCATTGACTCCCCGCGGTCGCTCTTTTCCCCCTCCTGATTGATGTCATGCTCGCCGTCGCGGCATCCACCATGATCTAAGCACCGCCAGCGACCAGTAACTGTCGCGGGATTGGTCCAATCGACAACTGCTAGCTCTTCATCTAGATCATGCCTCATGCAAATACCTCTACCCCGCGTCGCGTCGCAAGCGCCCCGACCGTCCACATCCTCCTCTACCTCATCGCCTTCCGACTTGCCAATGCGCTCGCCGTTCGCACATTCTTCCAGCCAGATGAATTCTTCCAGTCGCTGGAGCCAGCATGGCAGATTGCTTTTGGAACAAATCAGGGTGGTAAAGAGCAAGGCGCTTGGTTGACATGGGTGAGTACGGGGATGCCAGGTCGCGCGACCCGTCTCGGATGGCTGCTGATCGCGTTTTACACAGGAATGGGAACACCGACTCCGATCCTCTCTCCATCCTCTCCTGTTTGCCGCAATTTACAAAGCGACCGATTCGATTGCCTCCGTTCTTTGCATACCTTCTACGCGCGCCGAACTTCTCATCGCCGCCCCAAAATTTGCCCAGGCCGTTTTGTCGGCTTTGGGTGATTTTTACACCTGGAGACTCGCTAGTCGCATCTACGGCGAAGATTCTCGAGGCGCATGGGCAGCTCTAATCGCTACGATTCTCAATCCTTGGCAATGGTTCTGCTCGACGAGAACTTTGTCCAATTGCCTGGAGACAACTCTTACCATTGTCGCGTTGGATCAGTGGCCATGGCAATGGTTAGCTGGTCTTCCAGCCGGAGATAACCGCAAATATGCTGGGGAGAGGGTCAAGGCTCAGGATCGCCAAGTGCTACTAAACCTTCGCCAATGCCTGTCGTTGGCAGCAGTCGCCTGTATTCTCCGACCAACTAACATCATAATTTGGATGACCTTGGCAGGACTTGCTTGGCTTCGGATCTCCTCGGTCCAGCGTACAATTCTCGTTCGGGAGATCCTACTTTGCGGCTCTGCAATTTTAGGTGCATCAGCAGTGGCAGACCGTCTCTTCTATGGGATCTGGACATTTCCTCCCCTCCGTTTTCTATACTTTAATATTGCGCAGTCACTAGCAGTGTTCTATGGGCGTAACAATTGGCACTATTATATGACGGAGGGTTACCCACTCCTGCTCACCACTCTGCTTCCTTTTGCTGTTCCGGGTCTATATCTTACATTGACCACGCGGTTCTCAGCCTCCTCGGCTTCTGAGAGAATACGGGCAGTGACTCGACTACACTTGGCAACAATATGTATCCTGATGCCATTCATCCTCTCCCTCATCTCGCATAAAGAAGTCCGCTTCATTTATCCTTTGCTCCCATCCCTTCATATCTTGGCTGCACCCCGTCTAGTGCAATTCTTTTGGCCTGCTCTTACTTTCAGCTCCCAGACTCCTAGGAGGCTCGCACTCATCTTCCTTATCCTCGTCAATGGGGTAATCGCCATATATACGTCTGTATACCATGCCTCGGGGCCATTAAAGGTGCTTGGCTACCTCCGCGGCCAATACGAAGCGCATTCCGAACCAGATCTGAACGTATTCGGCCACGATACAACTATTACCGCTGGATTCCTGATGCCCTGCCACAGCACCCCGTGGCGGTCTCATATGGTCCATCCTATCAATGCATGGGCCCTGTCCTGCGAACCTCCAGTCGATCTCAGTGACACACAGAAAGCAATCTACCGCGACGAGGCCGACCAGTTCTACGACGATCCAGCCCACTTCCTGCAAAAGAACATGGCTGGTGGGCTACGCTATCTACCTCGCCAACCAAGCTACATAAGTGGATTTCAACCCAGAAGTCCAGGTCTTCACCAGTGGCCCGATTATCTCATATTCTTCGCCCAGCTGGAACCCACCATGCACAGCCTTGTCCGGGGCTCTTATGCCGAGTGCTGGCGTACCTGGAGCACATCCTGGCACGATGACTGGCGTCGTCGTGGTGATATTGTTGTCTGGTGCTTGGATCCCGCTGAGCAGGATGCGTGGCGTTCGCAGAAAGAGGCAAGTCATGAACAAAGTCATTGGCTTGCATCCGTTCCAGGATCTCTTCCATCGTTTTCATCTTTGCGGACCTTTTTTGAGTCGCACTTCTCTTCAACTCGCTGGCCATGGAGCAAACGCTCCCGCTTAGAAACTTTGTTGTCAAATTTCCGACAGAGTCCCAGTTGGCACGATTGGATTCCACATCGACCGGAGTGGCTAGGCGGTCCATCCAAGAGGACAGTCGATAAGCGGGAGCATGGGCTATGGGAATGATTACTGGTCTCTACGGTCGGCCTGGTATTTACGGAATCCGATCACTGATGAGTGGCAAGACTTGAAAGTCATTTCTGTCATTTACAATGATCCAACCCCACATGCATTGAAAACTTGAAAATATGTTTCTTTGGCCTGTCCTTGTTACTTGATCTTTGATGATTGGGCGTTGGAATATAGATACCCTAGCATTTATACGCTAATCAATCTGTTTTTCTTTGTCTTGGAAACGTCTTTGTTAACCCTAACTGCTCGATTTGAATATTCCCTTCGTAACAAATTACACTGTGAAAGCGCAAGATGCGGCTCTACACCCGTCCACTAACACTTGCGCCTAAGGAGGAATGTTCTACACTGGATATACATGACCAGTTCGACTGGTTCATAATAAACTTGTAAAAGTAGTAAACGGACAAAAAATGAATTTAATGTATGGTGACGCTCCGGAGGAGAGGAAGAGTGGTGCTAGCTCGTGTGTTTGGTTGGAAAGAGAAAAGCCCCATGTATGTGCATACAGTGCTTACTGTCTACTGTCTTTGGGGCGATCAACGGAAATAGCCGCGAAAGTGACGCCACTTTCGTATATAATTTCCCCGCATCGACTTTCACTCCACGGAGTACAAACTCTTGACTAACATACCAAACACATTACCATGAGCGTCACAGTCCATCCAAGAGACCCTCCACCATTGGGTGAGCTAGCAACCATCATTCAAAAGACCCTAGAAATCAACTTTGCGCACGCGACAGCCCGTGTCGTGGATTGTCCAGACCTACGACAACCCCCCTTCAACCTCGCCGCAGCCGGCCTCTCAGGAAACCCCTGCATCGCCGATATCGGTGGACAGAGCAACCTGTTTCCATCCCCGAATCTCGATGCTAAATACTCCCTTTTGTCGCTCGCAAAGGATATGCAAATGTCACCAGCTGGGGGCTTTTTAATCGGTGCGGGGGCGGCTCCATTCCAGGATCTGGGTCATAATGCCGAGCTAGCGCCAAATATATCCTGGATCTCAGAAGGGGATTCGCCGGATTTCGAAAATCCAGATTCTTTGAAGGTTACTAATAACACGAGAGTTATTGAGATTGATGGCGAGGGGTTTTCGTCGTGTCAGCATGCCGCCAGCACGAACTGTGCGCTTATGATGAATTTGTATGGGTCCCTTGGGGATCCAGGTGAAGTGTTGAAGATAACCGCGAGGGGGAGAAAGGGGGAACAGAACTTCACGAACTGTATCCGTCTCGGATTGAAGGCTGTTTATGGAGATTCGAATCCGATCAGTCTTGGTGGGGTTTTTCTTCTTAAGTCTGGGAAAGCTATGTTTCATGTTATGCCTGACTTTCCAAAAGAATTACCCTTTCGAAGTCGGGAGCAGTTGGAGAAGGAATGGCTTACTTATCATGTCTTTGATGCTCCTGTTGTGTGCTTGACGGTGATGCATAGCGCTGATCCCGAGAATTCGGGATTACGGATGGAGCACACCCATTGTTTTGACGCTGAAGGTAGTCGCAAAGGTGGCCACTACCATTATGATGTTCCTGGTGATGAAGAAGTGGAGTACGAGGCTTACTTCAACCCTGCTTCTACGCTATACAGAATTGATCAACCTAGTTGAATGCAGATAGCAAGATTAAGACTGAAAACGCAGGCGTTCAACGACATTTGGAAGATCAACTACCTAATGGTTCTGTGTATTTTACTCATATCCAATTATCTATACTTGAAAATCTTTAAATTGCTTAGATCCACCATGATTTGAAAAGCATTACCTAACAATTGAAACCAAACAGGACTGCCAAATTGATTCAAACATACGCACATTGCATAGACCCAATGACTTTAGGATTCCACATCGTACTCAAGTAAGCTTGACACCCAAGGGCATTATTATCTATCTCACCAGAGTCATCCTGACAGGCACTATCGGAAAAGGTCCAGCACTGACCAGACGAAATGAAATACGACCCGGGCTTGACAAGTGTTGATTCTCCACAGCTCACATAGCCTTTGCTACCATCTCCCTCGTACCACTGGCACCACGAGGCGCTGCCAGTAGAGTCAGTGGATGTGTGTCCCCCACTTAGGGTCAGACATTCGCCCGTGTTTTCATAGTTGGTTCCCCCAAGAACATAGTAGCCAGCACCGGTATCATCTGCGTTGCAGTTTTTCTCGGAATAGATTGCGATTGACCACGGCGTAGTCGTTACCTGGACTTCCGTGGTGACGGAGGTCACTGTTTCGATTTCCTTACTTGACGTAGACGTAGACGAAGTGGTCGATTTGGTAGAGGTCTTGCTGGATGTGGATAATTTGCTGGAAGTTGTACTCGTCACTGCTCTTGCAGCTTCAGCATCGCAGTTCGAGATGCACTTTGACGAACTGCAATATACTGAGGTAGTACCGCACTGACCCTCAGTTGAACACTACAAAAGTCAGTTCATACTTTGAACTCATTCTGCGAGTATTGAACTTACACATTCGTTTGAAGTACAAGGGTTCAGAGAAGCAAGATGGGATTTGGACATGTCGGTAGGTCGTGCTGTTCCCGGTACCTGGGGGCCACATATGGCATGTGGAAGAGCGACAGGCATAGTGGGAGATCCACTGCTCAAACAGATAAATTCACCTTGGTAGAGGTCATCGCAGCCGTACCAGGCATATGTGTCCGAGTTGTAACTCTCGATCTCTGCGACTGTGATACCGAAAGCCGAGGCAATACTGGCACAGGTATCAGCTGATTCAACAGTATAAGTGTAGCATATACCATCACTGCCAACAGTTGGTACAGAACGTTTGTCAACCGAGGTAAATTTGCCGGAAAGAAGACCACCTGGGAAGTATGATGCAGTGGCAGTCGATGCTAGTATAACACCGAAAGTCACAACATGATTCATTTCTAAGAACTTCATTGGGACGGCCCGTTCGACCTTGGAAATGTTCCTTGGCTTGTAGCCTCTTGAGAAGAGTAAAGTATGTTCTATATATACTTCAGCTCTTCGATGGCAAGGTATACCTGCTGTGTACTGCGTTTAGCGTCATCGTTGAATCTCGAAGCAATGAGACCAGACGCGTGATATCAAAATAATTCTTATGCCGATCATAAAGTACAAAGGCAGTGCCATTATTAGGCCTACAGGGTGCATTCAAGTAGGCAAGGAGCTCATTTCCCAGGAACGACAAAGAAAAGATAACATACATGCCATGCTCATCTTTTGTTCCTCTGCCACGTGGCTGTACTTTGTTCTACCTAGAATGGTCCTCAATAGAATTCATCAGCCCGCAAATAGCTATCAATAGGCTTCATTAAAGAAGCTCCCCGTTGAATTGGATGTTACTCCCGAATCCAGTGTTATTCTTGTCTGTAAATGGCATGCAATCTCTATTGGGGTACCGAATAGGTTTAGCCCTTGATTTCCACGTGCTTTGTTTTAGCGTGATGCCTGAGAGCCTTGGAGCCTCAGGATTCAACATTTGGTTCAAATCGATCGATCGAGTGTCTGAGCAGAAGGGGAATCGAGGTGATACCGGAAAATCCTCGCATCCAATTATATGGTGGATCCTTGCCCACGCAAACATTTGAGAGGCGATCGATTGCCATGCGCAACTCATTCGGAATTAATGGCGCTTACCCCGCTCCACTCCTGAGCCACTTCCAATCGCTTCTATTTACTGCGCCACATTTCAGATAAAGAGAATGATGTGATAGATCCGGAATAAAGAGAGTCTTGTGATACTCAATGCTCAGCCACGGGGGGGAATTGGTTGTCTTTTCTTCTTCATGATTCCATCAAGGCCGGAGTCTGAATTGACTTTACTATAATTTGTCTTTTCGTGATTGTTGAAAAGGCGGTAAATGAATTGTCTAAAGGGGCGAAGCTTGTTTATCTTGGCGTCGACTATTGATTTATTTACTCCATTTCGGTCGGCAGCTTCCGGAGCTTTACACCGCATCATGTACACTGCACAGCCTGCAGCTTAATGTAAGATAAGCCACGAGGCAATTCCGCCACATTTTAGGACTGGGTGATATCTCAATTAGAAAATTAATTGCGGTGAGTTAACAAGCTTAAAAGTGTCTGGCAGGTGAATCTACCCCTCCAAAGCTAGACCCTTAGCTAGTGAAAATGCAATAGCCTAGCTCAGCTGCCCCACTCGTGACAAAACTTCCGCTTGAAATTTCCTGGGTCGGATGCCACAGCCACAGAACCCTTGCTCTGGTGCAGGCAATGGCTGACGTGGATAGGAAATATGTGGCGCCTTCGTGGAGCTTAGAAGGCTACCAATAATAAGAGGAATGGAGTAGTATATCCGCCAGTATCGGCTGTTTACAACTGAGGCGCGTAGAGCTATTGGAAGGTCCCAGAATATACCAGCCACAAGCCAATCATCAACTCTGGGGATGATCATGGTGAAACAGTGAGGTGGCACTTTTGGGTCGCTGGGGTGATTGGCCCGTTTGCGCACTACTTTGAATGCCCCTCCTATATGAACCCCTCTTCTCCCTCCCATCCTTTTCTTCTTCATCCACAATTCACTCAATCCCTCTTTAACAATCTTATATTCATTTCATCATGGGTTGGTTCAACGGTAAGTACCTCTGACATCCCACATGGCACTTACATGCCAAGCTGTCAACCGGATCTTGGCTTACTTTAAATAGAGTCCCAGGAGCAGAACTTCCAGGAGTACGACAGCATCTCCGAGGGCCAGCACCACGAGGCTAGTGTTTCTCACGAGCTCCTTGCTGGCGCTGCCAGCTTCTACGCTGCTCGCAAATACGAGGAACACGTTTCTCAGAACGGTACGCACGCAAACACTCGTACTAAACATGAATATGGCTGACACTTTTATGATCAATAGGCCAACCCGCCAACCACCAAATGGCCAAAGAGCTCCTCGCCGGTTTCGCTGGTGCTTTCATCGACCGTGAGGTTGAGACCAAGGGTCTGGACTTCATTGACCGCGAGAAGGCCAAGCGCCACGCCACCGAGCACTTCGAGAGCATCCAGGAGACCGATGTCGATGTCCAGTACTAGATGCGGAAATGTCCTATGAGAACACGATACTTTGAGAATACCATACCAATTGATCGTCACTATTAGTACAGTCTTTTTGATATTTGCGTAGAGTTCGCATCTCAGCGATAAATAATTTTGTAATAATGCCGGGGTGGGGGAACTTCGGTTTTAGTTGACTGGAAATGTCCTCATCAACTCATAGATGGAAGAAAGATGACCACATTGTTACAGAGATCTTCGGGATTGTAAAAGCCATTCCACTTATTTCTTTCAAGATCTCTTCAAATTCCCCATTGCTGAAACAATCTTCACGTAAATTAAACCTCGTCCAGAGTAACAAGCATCATCTCCATGATCCAATAGAGGCGTAATCAAATAGGGTGACTCTTAGTAGACAGCCGTTTTCATCAAAGAGCCTTCGTGCTTTTGAGAGCATATCTGTGTGGATTCAGGCTCAGACAAATCCGCTCCTTGTTCTCCAAGAAGTCTCATAGCCTCAGCATCATGTTTAATCACAGCGTACTGCAACAATGTCCTCTTGGTCGTCGTGTGCTTTTGAAGCGATCGATCTATGCTTTCAAGCCAAGAACGCAACCTTTCGAAAGTCCACAGGTGGATCTATCAATTGTGATTGATGATGAAAGCTTGCCCAAAAAGCAGTATATTCCTGTAATGAAGGCTAGAAAGGTAACAAATAGATTCACGTAGACCGCAGCTGAACTAAATTATCTTGTCTATAGACCCAGGCCTCGCCGTGCTAACATCCACTTGAGTTAAAATGCGCGGAGAGGAATCAGACCCCTTAACTTTGTCATCATTACCATATAAGTCACCCCTTTCAATACCCTCAAGTGTATGGTTTCTTGTCTCTGGGATCAAGAATGTAACCAAGGTAGTAAGAAGCATAACTCCAGAAAAGAGTCCTAGTACACCAGATAAACCAATAGCATCTTCAACTGTCCCAAAGGCAAAGGCAGTGATAATAGCGCCGCACTTCCCAGCAGCGGCAGAGATACCGTGAGCTGTACCGCGGACACGGGTCGGGAACACCTCTGCAGGAATCAGGAATGTTGTGGTGTTGGGGCCACTTGTTATAACGAACTGGGAGATCGCAAAAATAGCCATTAACCCCCCAGTAGAGGTGTGAGCACCAGGAGAACTGATTCCCGACCAGATAGCATAAAGAATACACACGGCCCCGCATGTGTATAGTTGCTGGCGAACGCGACCAATACGGTCGGGAAGGAAAATTCCAACGTAAAAGCCAGGCACATAGCCCTACGATAAAATTAGCCACAATGAAAAACTAGATCGGCGGGAAAAGGAAGAAAGGGCCTTACCGCAGTCTGGACGATTATATTCCCAATGGCGGTGTTGTAAAGGGTGTCCCAAGGGGTTTTTCCCTTTGCATACCCGATTCTCGTTAGAATAACGCTTTGATTGAGGTTGATCCCATAGTATGCGATATCACTTGGAATGGTCAGTCTGATTCTAAAGCTCTAGCGAGTACCGACTCACAACAGGAACCAGGAGGCCGCAGTTGCAAAAAGTGCTTTTGCATGCCTCCACTGACCGAAATATTCTCGAAAATCCCTCCATTGTTGGTTGAAACCGCGCTTTTGCCCTGTGTTTTCATCACATACATCTGCTTCAAGGTAAGTATATGTCGTCACCCCTTATTTGAGAAACTGACATTGTTTGTAAGGCAACGTTTCGGCGATAGTCAACCGGGCATAGAGTGTGAAGACAGCGGGAATGATGCCAATTCCTAGCAGTAGTCGCCATACCCACTCGAGATGTTGAATATCATCTGCGATTGCGTTCTGGAAAGCCTTAAGCAAGACTAAAAAGACAATACTCGCCGCAAGGTTCCCCAGGCCGATATTCGAGAAGATGGCTAACACTTGCACGGCCCGGGTGCCAAATGGGGACTTCTCAGCTGCCAGAGCAGAAGATAGCGGATAATCTGCCAACAATAAATAATTGTTTCTTTCGATCCTTGAAACGGGCCACTTACCTGCTCCGATACCTACACCAGTCACAACGCGAAATATTGTCACCCAGGCTGTTACTGACCGTGGAGTCATACCCTTCCATGGCAACAAGACAACCAGCAGGGTTCCAAAGATAGTCAAAAGTAATTCCTTTCCATAGATTTTGTGGCGACCCCAGGTATCACTGAGAACACCAAACAAAAGTTGGCCAACTACCATACCCAGACTCAGACCTCCTTTGATCACGTCACTGTCGACTGCAGAGACTCCATCTGGGAAGTAGAGGTATCCTAGCATCGGAACCACTTCAAAGCATCAGTCGGTGCTCCTTTTGCTAAGACGATATCAGAAACTCTTACCAAGTCCAATTGTTAGGTTAAGGTAGCCATCTGCAAAAAATCCCACACCTGCGGTGATCATAAACCGCGCCTTGGCTCCTAGAGAAGCCATTGAAACGTAGAACTCAATGGAGGAAGACTCAACACGAATCACAGGGCTCAAGGAGATGCAAGATTCCCAAGGAAAGCAAACGAAAAAATAAAGACTCTGTTGTCGGGCATCCTGGTTTCTGACAGATCTCGGATTGTGCTGCACGGCTTTATATCTCGTGAACCGACGTCGCTTTGATCCAAAATATTGCGGCGAGAAGTACCGTGGCTTCAAATGTAAGACCTGGAGTCTCGATTGGTCTAAGGATTTCAAAGGAGTTGATATTCAATGAGAATGAAGAGATCCACCACGAGATTCGGCACCGTGCATTGACTTTGCCGATCGGAGGAATGAAATGTGGAGCTGCCAGTCATTGGCCTTGATAGCCCCCACGTGCTATCGGTCACTCACCGTGCAAGTGAGCTTTATAACATAACATCGGTGCGAAGTCCTGTGCTATTTTTCTTGTCCTGTCACTTACTTGGATAGGCGCTAGACACTTATCAGCGTCATATGCACCCCCCGTTCTCTTATTGGTTCAATTCTATGAGATCGACACACCAGTTGACTTCCCCAACAGGGCGGGAATTCCGAAATGGATGCCTCTCTCCCCTCACCACCTGCGTTAAATGCCTTGCGCGAATCCTTCGGTGATCGCAAACCACCGGATATTACTCGTAAAATCACAGCATGCGTGGCATGTCGCAAACAAAAGGTTGAAATATTTTGACGCGAATTGCACCGAAGAAGGCTAATGCAGTATGTATCAGATCAAATGTCATATGCGAGATGGCCAAGCGCCATGTTCTCGTTGTAAGAAAAGAGGCCTTCCGTGTACGGTTAATAGGAGTTTACAGACATTACTAGAGGAGGACGTGACGTGAGATTTTCTGCTTCAATTCCAAATGCACAGCCAGCAAACTAAAACTAAACCTCTCTAGCTGGAAAGGCGCAATGGTCCATAAAATTCGGCGACTCGAAGAGGCCATTGCACAGATTGCAAACAAAGTCGATATACCTGAACTGAAATCACAACCTGGAGGGGTTACAGAGTCGCTCAGTCCACCAGTGGACTTGGCCAATGCAGAGCCATCGACCTTCAGTCCAGAAGCACAACCCCATGCTCAGGCTCAGACTCAGTATAAACCAAGGAATGATCGTGAATTACCTCGAACATGGGAGCTTGTGGACCCACGAGGTGGCCCAGCTTCTATTCCAGCTTCATGTCTCTCGGATGGTGCAGAAAGCACACAGCGGAACAGTTTACGCAATGCACGCCGACCAGACTTAATATCGACTGGATTGATTACCTTACGACAAGCGCTGGCTTTGTTCGAGGAATATCATCTACGACTGGATCACTTCCTTTATAGGATATTGGGTGATCACATTAGCTTGGATTCGGTTAGAGTGGCATCGCCCCTACTAACCGCGGCAGTCTGCACGGTTGGAGCCCTTCATTCGCGATCACTGGGGAACCTCTTTGATGTTTGCTACCACGAATTCAAAAGTCTGGTCTCTGCCCAGCTCTTTTCTCGAACCGCGAATGATGACGACATCAGGGGATTATGTATTGGGGCATTCTGGCTGCATGAGCTATCTTGGGCATTGATTGGAAATGGTATGTTGTTCGAACCCCACACTCAATCAAGCTCTAACATGGGTAGCTGTTCGGATTGCCTCCGATATTCACCTCCACAGTGGAATCTATAAGGCTCTCAAAGGCGACCGTGAAGGCTATCTCCAGGTGCGACTATATTACCTGGTGTATGTCTGCGATCACCATTTCTCGATCGCATATGGCCGACCACCAATGTCCCACGAAGGATTCATCATCAAGTCTGCATCTGCGATGCTACAGACAGAGCATGCGACTGAAGATGATGCCCGGCTAGTCAGTCAAGTACAGGAGTGGTCGATACTCGGTCAAGTATTTGACACCTTTGGCGTGGATGTGGACACGGCCATCGCGTCCGAAACAATACCCCAGCTTCGTCGATACTCCATCGCACTGGATACTTGGCTTGCGGACTGGAACGAAAGCTTCGCAGAGAACCGCAATGTGGGAAATTATCCCAAAAAAGGTGTGGGTTTTCATTTTCACTTTGCCAAGCTCTATCTCTGCTCTCATGCATTCCGGGGCATACCTGCAGTCGAGAATACCACGGAATGTTTCACCCCTGAGTTAGAAGAGATCGCCAATGCTGGGGTCCTTTCAGCCATGTCTATTCTCCGCGTGATCGTTTCTGATGCGGAATTTCGATCCTTCATGGATGGATTACCTTTATATTTTGACACCATGCTGGCCTTTGCTGTGATCTTCCTCCTCAAAGTCGCTACCAAATATGCGACGGTCATTCGGATCGACACTGTCAAAATATTGTCTCTGGTGGCAGAGACTGTGGCTGCATTGCGAGAAATCACTCAGTCTATGCACCGACAACATTTACTGGTTGTCATTGCCGAAGGTCTGGGGAGGTTATTATCCAGATGTCAAGTGCCTCCTCAAACGTCTCTGGAGGTTATGTATCAGTCCACACCAGCTATGGAGCCACATCCTCAATTGGATATGAACTGGATGGAGAATATGGCGAGCTTTGATTTTCAAACACATTTCCCCGATCTAGATGAGTGGTGGATTCATTATAGCACCTCGATGGGTCCCCAAGTACCACGTGCCTAATGGTCCGAGGAGATGGCCCACCTACTCACTCTCCCATCCAATCTCTTACTCAGTCTCCTGTCTTCTTTCCTACCGAGTTGGTTAAGTAGCCGACGGGCTTTCCAATTTCATACATAGCGGAATAGAAGGAAATGAAATGAAAAGAGACGTAAGACGAGAAGCGTTAAAACAAAGTCGGGGGTTAGGAGCTCCAACATTCAATGTTGAATGTATGTCCAAACGTTCAAAAGTCCGCAGTGTATCTAACATTACCTGTGAAGTAACAGAGGGTAAGATAGACTACCATGCTCTATTCAAATAGTTTATTAGGTATAGTACGTACTAGTAGCACCTGACTGTTGACTTGATCTTCTTGGATGTGCATGGATCTGCTTGAAATATAGTATATACGCATTCATGAATGTTGCTTGAGTGTCCAGATTTTCAATAAATTTATGGATATAATTGGAGACAGACAGGAACCGATTTAATATCCTAGTCAAAACGATATCTGGCATTTTCTAGATATAGACGTATTATCAGGCAAGTCCTACATAATGCCTTAGTCAATGACCATGGCTATTGAGACACAGCAGGAACATCAGGAACCGCAGAAACCGCAGCACGAGTGAATGGGGCGGCGAAGCCATAAGTCCGATAACCAGCCGAGTAATCCTTCCCTTTCTCACGCTCTAGAGTCTCATCAGCAAACAATCATCCACTATTCCCGGCTGTTTCGTGTACTCACCATGCTCAGGTGGGAAATTCTCCATCCGGTGCTTATAGTACTTCTCTCGCAAATCAAGCCCATCGCTCTTTGAGTGGAAAGTGGCATACAGACTCGATCGACTTTTTTGCGTCTTGTTCTCCGCTGAGCGATGAGCAAGATGCGAGCCGAAGATGATCATGTCACCAGGGTCCAAGGGAATAGTGATCCACTCATGGGCAGCTTCCCATGAATGCTTGATCCGACCGCTGTCTTCGAACTCTACATCCATCTTGTGCGATCCAGGGACTACCTCCAGACACCCATTTTCAAGCGTTGCGGCGTCAATGGCGATATTGGCGGTTACGTGCTCGATGCGGCCGATGTGGTCGTAGGCGGGTGCATCAAGGTGTGCTTGGAAGCCATTACCAAATGGCTGTTTGTAGTTGATTTTATCTTTGAACAGAAGCATCTCCTGGGTAGTGTTAGCTTGATTTATGTTCAAAATCGGACGACGTTTGGATATTCACATCGCCGGAGACGGCCTTGAGGATTTCGCCTAGCTTCTCGCCACAGATGAGCTCCTTGTACTGCGGGTGGAAGTCAATGAAGCGCTCGGTACGCATGAGCTGGCGCTCGCCATTCATGTTGATTTCGTCGTATGGCATCCATTTCCCCTTGTCGCGAGGCCAGGCTTTGATTTCCTCGGTCCACTGCTTCAAGGCCGTCGGATCGACAAGCTGATGCTCATTTAACCTTAAAAGAAGATAGCCATTTTTGTGGTAGAAGGCCACCTGATCTGCAGTGAGGGAATGCATGTTGGGAGTGTTTTGATGATGTCAAACCAGTAAGAGAATTTGGCTCGAGAGAGAAATCGAGGTGATTGGGAGATTTAAATATCTAGACCAGTTTAATGCCCATATTTGGTTCAATACGCAATGGATAACGTGGCCAAATTTATGGCAAGATTCTCCCATTCTCTGTTTGGTTTGGCCCTACAGTCTCCCATAGGCATTCATACCGATCCAAGTCGCACGGACCACCGGGCTTCGCACCGACAAATAAACTTCACGCCATTCGCGTAGATCCGATATAGTAAAATGAGGGGCGAGGAATCATATCGTCTTTATTTGCACGTGCGTCTATGAATTTTACCAGCTACGGACTTCGTGCCTTTGCTTGAATATATCAATAAGTCTTGAATGATCTAGGCATTCATATCTTAACTTACAAATACAGTCAACCGATCAAACAATCTTTACATCCACGAAGCTAGCTGTGAAACACCAAAATGAATCTCAAAATGCCAGTCTCTCAGCCTTCAGATACTCTCCAATCTGTGGACGATCATACCAGAGCAACAATCGAGACTCTGTTCGCTTTCCTACACGCTCAAGGTCAAGGAGATTACCTTGGAGAGCGAGTGACTCAGCTGGAACATTCTCTCCAATGCGCTCATCTTGCAACCCAATCAGCAGACTACGCGAACGACCCGGAGGTTATTATCGCCGCATTGTTACACGATGTCGGGCGTTTCATCCCCGCCGCAGAGAAAATGGACAAAATGATGACCCCGGACGGTCAGTATGTCGGCCGTATGAGCCACGAAATTCTTGGCGAATCTTATCTGCGCCAGATTGGATTCAGTGAAAGGGTGTGCCAGTTGGTCGGGGCACATGTCATGGCTAAGCGGTACCTTGTTGCTACCGATAAAACTTATCATGACGGACTGAGTGAGACTAGCAAGCGAACTTTACGCTTTCAGGTATGAAATCCTAAGTCATTCCAGTTATACATCTGCTGATATGCACTAGGGGGGAGAGTTTACTGAGGCGGAAATTGCTGAGGCGCAAAAAGACCCTTGGCTGCAGGCTAAGCTCTCGGTTAGACGATGGGATGACCTGGCCAAAGACCCTGATTGTGTGGTATCTCCTCTTGAGGCCTACAAGGAAATTGCATACCACTGCCTACTAAGTAAGTGCGAAAGCACGGGTCGGTTATGTCAAGAGCTAACAAATTTAAAGAATCACGGTCCAAGTTCACTCTCCACACCAGGGAATATCGTCTCCCAACCCGGCCTACGGTCGTTATTTGCATCGATGGATTCGATCCGGAGTATCTAGAGTCCGGTTTAATTAGAGGACTTCTCCCTACATTCAAGGCAATTATGGAAAATGGATTCCACGCCCCAGCCAAGAGCTGTATGCCTTCATTTACGAATCCCAACAATGTGTCCATCATCACAGGCGCACCACCATCCTTCCACGGAATCGCAGGTAACTTCTTTCTCGACCGAGAAAGCGGGGAGGCAAAGATGATCACAGATGATTCTCTACTGCGAGGTTCCACGCTACTCGAACAAATGTTCCAGAGAGGTGTGCGGATCGGTGCCATTACAGCAAAGGACAAATTGCGCAAGATCATCGGACATGGCCTGAAAGGTGCAATCTGCTTTTCCGCCGAGAAAGTCGCAGACTGCACACTCGAGGAGAATGGAATTGAAGGTGTCGAAAACTGGCTTGGTCAGTCGGCTCCCAGTCAATACTCCGGGGAGTTATCGTTGTTTGTTTTGGATTCAGGCATCAAACTTCTACAAGAGAGAAGGTCGGACTTCTTATACCTGACTCTCTCTGACTACATCCAGCACAAACATGCTCCTGGAAGCAAAGAGGCGGATGAGTTCATGGGCGCAATTGACGATCGTCTAAAGAAACTTGTTTCGCTGGCACCGGTCGTTGGGGTGACTGGTGACCATGGGATGAATCAAAAGTCGAATGAGTCGGGGGAGCCTAATGTGCTTTTCCTTGAAGAAGCTCTCAATGCGAATTTCGGCCCCGATGCTACCCGGGTTATTTGTCCTATAACGGATCCATTCGTGCGGCACCATGGGGCGCTTGGATCTTTCGTGCGTGTCTATTTGAAGGACATTGCAAAGATTTCATCCATTCTGTCTTTTTGCCAGTCGCTTCCTGAAATCGAAGAGGCTCTCAGCCGGAAGGATGCGGCGGAGAAATATGACATGCCTCTAGATCGGGAGGCTGACATCGTTGTGATATCTAGGTCTCATGCGGTGATGGGGAGCAATAAAGTGGATCATGATCTTTCGCAATTGAAAGATCATCCGTTGCGATCGCATGGAGGATTGAGTGAGCAGGATATCCCGGTGCTTATGTCAAAGACAGTAAAAAGGGAAGTGCCAAATGGGAAGAGCTGGAGGAACTATGATATTTTTGATCTTGTTCTCAACTGGTCTGCCTGAGTGTTTTCGGCTTTCATATTCTGCTTCTTCGATTATAGTCTGTGTCTTATTTTGGGTAAAATTGATAATTCTGCTTTCGGAACAACATCGCCGTCTCTCTATCTTCTAATTTGAGCGAAAGAAAACAAATTTATATAGCTAGTGATTTGCAGCTCTTCAAGGTCGTTGAATAACAGGAGACTGAATGGGAGACTGAGAAGAAGATATAGTAGCGGATATATCATACAAACACTGAACCCTCTACCAAGGTAGGCTCCACGCGAAATACGCGGCGGAAAGCCTCAAATTCGATAGATGGAGGTAACCTCAGTTCACAATGGTCATAGTTGTTAGGCCTGCCGAGGACTGCAAGACCTTGGATCGCGTGAACCATGTATCTGATATCAAACACCGTAAGGTGGTCAAACCGTAATTTGAAGCAAACACCAACTAACTAACGATCAATCGAACTCGACATAAGTTTTATTCTGAAGGTCACTCGTGCGATTGGTCGATCCTGGGCACTGGGTGATCTTGGGGCAGGTGATGATCTTGCGACTCATTCACTTCACCCCATTGACCCCACCCATTACTATAAATACTTCCTTCTTCTTACCTCCTTCTTTTCCTTTCTTCTTTCACTATTCCCAATTACCTTCAAACTTTCAAACCCAAACTTCAAACTTCCATCTTATATCTTCTATCAATTCAAAGATACAGCCTCAAACTTCCATCGATATTTTCATCAAAGCAGACATCTTTTATCTCGGTCCATCATGTCAATTCCCCTTGATGCAGTGATCATTCACTTTGATCAACAACAATCCCAACTTGGCCTGATAAGTTCCAAGTTTTGTTGACAACACTTTTCTCCTCTGACTCCCCATTAACAGTTTAGACTGTGCCAATCTTTCTTCCAGATGATCTCCCATATTTTGCTTCCACGCCAGCTGAGTCTGCTGAAAAGCTACTCTTCCCTCCAGAAGCTTCGAACATACATCTGCAAGCACTTGTTCAAACTTGTCACCGGCACCAAAGATGTTTAGCTTATGCTCATCTCTGAACAACCGCCACTCGTTTCAGGACAAGTTCATTGACGACTAGATCAGGATAACACTTTGGGCTTCAAAGTCGTCATTGACATCAACAAGTGGTGTGGAGGGACAACCCACTGGGCGCATTTGCGGTGAAGAAGCACCGGCCAAAACAAGGAGATGTGCCAACTTTGGCGTTTAATGTAATATCTGGGATGGTGGAAAACAAACACAAGAACTCGTTGATACCACTACCTTTTGTCAATGCTATGTTGATGTGTTACATTCATATCTTACATCTGTGGATATCTTGTCACTCCCGTTGTTTGTATTGAGAAGTTTGGTTTGGATCTGGCAAAGAAGACTCGGATAATTTATATTTCATCGACTGGTCAATCAAACAGTCATGGAATCTACTAAACACAGTTTGTCCACACCACTCTATCATAACAATTATTGCTTAAATAAATCCAACCAATTTGCAATAATAATATAGTCCTTTAATCTTAAAATGCCGGCACAACAACATCTCCCACCATCACTGTCAAGCGATCTGGCGACTCCGAAGCAAAGGCCTCGGCTTCCTCTCTGGAAAGAGCCGCGTATCTTCCAAAGTTCACTTTGCCATCTACATTTCTGGTTTTTGCAAGAGTAGAAAACGGCTCCTCGCGCCTCTGTCCAGTAAACTGATCGATGCAGACCATCTGGCAGCGCTCACATGCTTCCAACACATCTATACGAAGCTGATCAGGTCCAATGCGTATAGAAGACCAGTGATCCTCAATGTAGGGTTGCTCCACATCGCCCATCCGAGCAAGTCGTTCAGCGACGATGATATTACCACGGAACACATCAGCTGAAACAGCCTTGCTCGCACCGGTACCAGGCTTCCCTTTTGCCTTGATGGTTTCGTTCAGCCGGTTAACTGACGAACGCGAGACCACTAGGATGGGCATCTCGTTGGAGAGTAGAATAGGGCTCCGAGCAATATCACGAGCGGGTGGTGGTAGGTCGGGTGGGTATGAGCCCGGCATGAGGAGCTTCCGGAACTTGTTTTTCCATGTGTTGGACAGACGGTTCGGTCGGGAGAACCGATTAGCTGTTTGGCTGGGAAATCGAGCTAGTGTGCATGGGACACCAAGGAAATCGGAGAAGAATGCCGATACCACTGGTGAGGCGTAGGCATGTAGAGAGACTTGATCGCCGCATACTATTGTCCGCTTTGTAGTACTTGGACATAGTGAGGTGGATATGAGGGTTGTATCTTCCCATCCGAGGGAGATCTCGAGACTCACAGAGTCGGTCATGACTCCACAGGTAATGCGGAGCACCCCACGATCCAGGTCAATGGATGGCCTGATCAGTGCCATCCGTGGGTATCTTTTTTGATTCAATGCTGCACCGGTTCCTTGGTGGATTAGACACCACTCTCGATCCCATGCTAGTCCTTCTCTTTTGACTTCCCATCTCTTGCCTTCGGGGATCTTGAAAGCACCGCAGCTCTTTATTGGAAATACTGCAAGGCTTTCGACGTAAAAGTGGCGACCGACCGAATCATTAGTGGGTGGGTTCACGGACACGACAGGAGGAGCATTCTCCACATAGAACTCCGCAATGAAATCAACAAAAGAGTCAATATCTTTGAGATTTGTCATTGCACCAATACTAACACGCAAGACACCAGTGGGTCGACCACCTAGGATATCGTTGTCATCACCGCAGCGTAACCCTGTCGTATAATGACGACGCAGTTCCATGCCAGTCCATCCAAGAGACGAGGCCGTGCCCCCGGGGTTGCAAACCGAACCAGTCCGAATTTGAATATTCTGTACAGTTGCCAATTTTTCCACTTCAGTCTTAGGGATCCACTCGCCCTGGCTGTTCCTCAAATTGAATGCCAGAATAGGGCCCTGGGTGAGCGGAGATTCATATGTGGCGGAACTGGGTTGATATATTTGGCAGACATGTAGATCGTTCCAATGTGATAGGACAGACAGGCGATCATACAGGCGCTTGGCTAGAAATGCGGTGTGCGAAGAAATATTCGCCATCGAGCCATACAAGCGCTCGTGGGTATCCATGGCTGCGTCCAAGGCGATAATATTGTGAAATGGGAGAGTACCATCTTCCAGGCGCTCATGGAGCGACGTCTCCTTCTTGGCATGCCACTGAGCGCCTGTAGCGACAACCATGTCCACTGTACCTCCACCGAAGTACCTTCTTCTCTCGAAGATGCGGGCGGCGCTCTTTCGGACGATCAAGGCACCCAGGTCTGGAAATCCGAAAATCTTGTAGAAGCTCAGCGCCGTGAAGTCCGGGCTTGCTGAGCTCAGGTTCAACGGTGAAGTAGATAACAGGGAGGCCGCGTCAAGTAATGTAAATACATTGGCTCCCGATGTGCTTGCGGCCGAGCGGACCTCCTCACACCATCTAAGAGGAAGGCGACGGCCGTTCAGATTCGATTGGGCAGGGTAGGCAAATAGCATGGGTGCTTTTGTTTGAGTCGTAGCCAACTCTGAAATCCAGGAATCTACCTTTTCATCTCCTTGGAGACACTGGTGACCAAGGTCCGCAACTTCTCGCACACCGACCAAGCTGGTGTGAGCATCAATATGGTAGCCGTACCAGAACCCTCGGTGGTCGGAGTCTCGAATTGAGTCTGCCACGAGCTTAATTGCTGCAGTTGCATTAGCAACAAAAACCAGATCATACTCTTCTGGGTCTGCATTGAAGAAGCGAAGAACCCGAAGGCGAATATCATCCGTCCGCTGTGTGGATAGTTGCGACGATAGTGACATGGAATGGGGATTGCCAAAAAGATTCGAAGTCATGTCCCGTGAGAAAGCCTCGATCATGGACTTTGCATATATTGTAGTTCCTGCATGGTCTAAGTACGTTGTTTCTGTAAAGATGACAATTTAGCACGATATTCCACATAGACAGGAAAATTTAGGAAGTGTCGCACCATTCAATAAGGGATATTCCTGTTCCCGGATTGTGTCCACGTCCGCAGAGTAGCCTTGACTATAAGCTGCCTTAAAGTGATCTGCATTGTGGGTCTGCTCCATCTTTTTTGTTGAGAGATGAACACCATGGCGGATGCTGCTGTTTAAGAAAGATCGAAGGTGGCGGGGTGCAGGGAGCTTAACGTTGTAAGCGGACGACTTTTTGCGACTCATCCGCATTGATGATGCAGGGACCCCACTTGGAGATCACCGAGAAACTATATATACTTCGGCGATGACCACCAGTTAGTATCAAAATAAAACATTTCAGTTAAAGATGATGAAAATAATTCAGAGATAGATCATATCATTGTACAAAAATAACGTGAAGATAAATGTGTCAACCTTAGAAGGAGTACAGTAGATAAGGACAGGTCCCGTACCTTCAAAATGAAGATGAATGGGATCGGAGAGACGGGGGGTTCCGATGGTATGTCAACCACTGCAAATCACTTGAACAGGAATGATAGTTCGTCAAAGAAACATGAAGATGACTGACAGGGCGCTGCATTGTTCTTATACGGTGGATATGCACTAGTGAGAACCTAGAATCGTAAAATCCTTTTGAACTCAATCAAAAAGGACCTGACAATGCTCCACGCTATCGCATGCAAATGCAGAAGTCAGGTGATTATCGACCCTGTCGTGGGGAAGCATATGTTTGGACAAGGGCATGTCCATGCTCATTAGACACGGGCGTGGTCAGGCTGAGAGGGGGCCGCGATCCACCATGGTGGGGACCCAAGTGGGTTCTAGTGGTACTCGTGGTCAGATCTAACATAATTGCAATAAAATCACATTGCACAATTCGAGTTTAGTCATTGAAAGCGATCTCGGACGTTAATCACGCCAACCAGGAATTAAAACTAAATATTGGAAGATTTTCATATCACCCAATATCACATTCTATACCATCAAGAATCTCAGCCGTGAGAGAATAGCCAATGTATTTCAGCAATTAATGGCTTGCATCTAGTCTTTCATCGACTTCACGAGGTAGCGGCCGGAGACTCTCACAGCCTATAATGCGTCAGCTTACCCGCCCAGCTAAGACTTACCATGCACACTAAACTAGCCTAAAAAAAATAGTCCTCTGATTGGGGTCCTTTCAAGAATCGCACAGCTATTGCCCCATTTAGACAGCACATTATCCACAATAATGACCATTGTGGTCTAAGAAAAAGGAATATAGGTCGCAAAAACTATTGATCTTGATGGTGGGGCGTTGCATACGTATCAAGATAGGCGCTGTGGACTTTGGGGGCCGTCCCGATCTCTTGCAGATCGAAACCAACATTGAGCCTGACCCGGTGTCATTTTGATTACAGATCATGCATGATGCGCAGATATTGGCCTTTCCCTTGAATCCTGCGAGGGGGGAAAAACTTGTTTTGCTATAGACTATAAACCTAGTCTCAGCTCGGTATCTTTGACCTCGGGATCAACGTAGTATTGGAACCACGTTCACTCTAGATGTCTACAAAGCGTAGCCTTTGAACCCTTTCAAATCATCTGATTACGTTTGGCTGCTTAGCCGATCACTCAAGATTCAAAGTTTTGGTACGAGGGACACTCATTGTCAATATTGGTAAACTGTGTAGATTTTCCAATGGTCTATACACATAGAATCGAGACAGCCTTGAAGACTACTCGGTAAGATCGAGCGCTGCGCTCACGCATAATATAGTACAAATGTGCTGAAAATGGCGCAAAATCAAAGATATAACTCCCATCCTAAAGCCCTGCAGTATTCATACAGACGCTTCTGCCGAGAACCCCCAGAAGAACCCGACAAGTCGACATTGAAAGAAATTGGTAACAGGGCGACTTGTAATTAGACAAGAGATTGTAAAACATATGTCCAATCCGTATCCCCTGTTTACCGCTTGGGCCACTGGCGCCAACCACGACCATGACCTCTCTGTATAAAGTATCAGTTTCCATATGACGAGTATAACCAGGGAATGTCTTACCTGCTTCCACAATCTGATCATCTCCGGCATCTCCACCATCGCCTTGCGACGATCCTCGAGCCTGGCCTCCATTGTGCGCTCCCACTTGTGACCCTTGACCTTCTGGCCTATACCGGTACCCTTGATACGGAGACCACGCTCAGCCAAGCGTGCAGCCTTGAATTCTGTTGACTTTCTTCCAGGAGGAAGAAGCTCCTCCACGTTGTATTTCGCTGCCAATTTCACCAGATCCGCCTGTTGTCGGAGTCCGTATCGCGGACCAAGCCACTTGCCGGTGCGGAAGATCTTTTGTGGCAGGAACGGGTTGCGGGTTTCAGCATTGTTGGTCAGAAGAGCCTTCGCAGGAGAGAAGGCAGTAGGATCGGGCTTGTGGGCACCTTTGGCATCACGGTCGGGGGTATACGGTGACGGAAGGGTCTGTTGGGAAGCTTCACCTTCGGGGGCAGTCGGACGGGATGCAACGAGCGCGGAGTAAATCTGTGGAGGGTAACGAGCGAAGAAATTGCGCAGGCGAAGAGGCAGATTGCCTACATTACCCACGTTCAGCGACATGGTGGGCAGTTGAATTTGAATGGAGGTGTTGATGTTTAGAATGATAAAAGTTGAGACGGCGAAATCCCGAGATTGATGGCCTGGTTGCCTGAGTGCCTTACTGCCTTCACACCTCAGGCAGTGAAATTTCCTAATTCGTGTTTCGGCTTTTTCAATCGTTTTGGTTCCAGCCCCCTCGGTATCCCTTTTACAACGCACCCCATTCTTATCAACACCCGAGTCTTATTCATAGATCTGGCACCTATTTGCGTGCTCTGAGTCCCGAACCTTTCGCGCGTATCAACCCAGGCCCACCATGGCGGAATACCACTTTGGAGGTTCCGAAGAGGAGAATGCGGAGCTGCGAAAGCTCGAAGCTGAGCTGGTAAGTATTCCAACGCGCCCCGCGCTGGCGCGAAATGCTCTCTTATGAATATAGACGCTTACCGAATTTCTCCTCAGACCGATGACCCTGATAACTTCGAAACGTGGGAGAAGCTCGTGCGCGGCGCGGAGGCTCTGGAGGGCGGTATCAACCGTAACTCTAACCCCCAGGCTATCACCACAGCGCGCCATGCCTACGATCGTTTCCTTGCAAAGTTCCCTCTTCTCTTCGGATATTGGAAGAAATATGCCGATATGGAGTTCTCCATCACTGGCACAGAAGCCGCAGAGATGGTGCGTGTTCTATCTCGTTTCCCGTGTCCCGCAAGTCTTGCGATACTTCGGATGCTTGAAGAACGGGTTATATCATTTGGTCCGGTATCGCTAACTTTCCAATAGGTCTATGAACGCGGTATTGCCAGCATTTCCCCGTCGGTTGATCTATGGACCAACTACTGCGGTTTCAAGGCCGAAACTTCACACGATGCCGACATTATTCGAGAGTAAGTACATCGAACATGGTTTCCTTCCCTTTCCCTGTAACCGTTACCAATGCAGCTCGCGAAAGCTTGGGACTTGATGTGATGTGAAGCATGAATATGTGCTGGATAAGCAGTTCCATTGATGATGGGTGAGACACCGTTGCCTGACCACCCGGACTCAAGTGGTGTTTTCTTCTCACCCATGGCTTCATCCAGGCTGCTTTCCTTTTCTTGACTACGAAACATGGTCTTCTCTTTCCTTTGCCCGGATACCAAACCAAAGAACCAGTGTTCTCGAAGCACTTGATGCCTCCCCCATTGCTCACCCATCGTTGATTTCCTTGGATCTGTCACCTCAACGACAGAGATGACCATGATGTTTGCCACGCATTTCCTCCCTCCCACTTCTCAATCCCCACCCCCCGGTTAAATGATCTGATATGCTAACCTGCAACCGTCAAAAGGCTTTTCGAGCGTGGTGCCAGCAGTGTAGGCCTGGACTTCCTGGCCCATCCCTTCTGGGACAAGTACATTGAATTTGAGGAGCGTGTGGAGGCTCAAGACAAGATTTTTGCCATTCTTGGTCGTGTCATTCACATCCCCATGCATCAGTACGCAAGATACTTTGAGCGTTACCGCCAACTAGCACAAAATCGCCCGTTGGCAGAACTGGCACCTGCAGATGTCATGTCTCGATTCCGTACCGAGCTGGAGGCTGCATCGTCCCAGGTCCCGCCAGGAGCCAAGGCTGAAGCTGAGATCGAGCGTGATCTTCGCCTGCGTGTTGATAATTACCACCTCGAGGTGTTCTCGAAAACTCAGACAGAGACCACCAAGCGCTGGACCTATGAATCGGAGATCAAGCGTCCCTACTTCCATGTGACAGAACTGGATGAGGGCCAGTTGAACAACTGGAAAAAGTACCTCGATTTCGAGGAATCCGAAGGCTCTTACTCTCGCATTCAGTTCTTGTACGAGCGCTGCCTAGTTACTTGTGCCCATTACGAAGAGTTTTGGCTCCGCTACGCCCGATGGATGACTGCCCAGTCCGGCAAGGAAGAGGAGGCACGGATTATTTATCAACGTGCCAGTTGTCTGTACGTCCCAATTGCGAACCCTGCTATTCGTTTGCAGTATGCCTACTTCGAGGAGATGTCGGGTCGCGTGGATTTAGCAAAGGATATCCATTATGCTATTCTTTTCGCCCTGCCTAGTCATGTTGAGACTATCACCTCTTTGGCCAACATGTCCCGCCGGCATGGTGACCTGGCTGCTGCCATCGAGGTCTACAAGACTCAATTGGATTCTCCCGAGGTTGAAATGGCCACCAAGGCAGCTCTCGTTGCCGAATGGGCTCGCCTCTTGTGGAAGATCAAGGGCGCCCCTGAGGATGCCCGTAAGGTGTTCCAGGAAAACCAGCAGTACTACCTTGACAGCCGTCCTTTCTGGACAAGTTACCTGATGTTTGAGATTGATCAGCCTACTAGCGCTGCAACCGAATCAGTCCAATATGAACGCATCAAGCAGGTCGTCTCTGATGTGCGTTCTAAGAGTACCTTGACCCCGGAAGTTGTCAGGGATCTAGTGCAAATCTACATGGGCTACCTTCTGGAGCGGGGTACTCAAGACATCGCCAAAGAGTACATGACCCTGGATCGCGAGGTACATGGTCCACCTTCGGTAGCTGCCGCCCGAACTGGCGGTACTGTTGCTGTCCCAGCTACTCCTGCAGATGGGCAACCCACCCCCGCCCATATCTTTCCCCAGCCAACTCCTGAGCATGCAAATGCGGCACAAGAACACGCCATGGGATACTACCAGCAGTCCCCCATCAACGGCCAACCCGTTGCCTAATGCCTCTGACATGTTATTTTTACGATTCATTTCCCGGCTTCTTCTTTTTTTCTCTCGGGTTCCTATCGATACCTAATTTATCAGGGTGGGTTATACCCCTTCATGTAGCATCATGTTATTGCCAATACGTGGCAATGTTTTCTTCACAGTCCCGTTCTAGGTTTATTAGCGATTTTTGATTCACCGAAAGGGCTTTACATGGCTTTCCTCTCTTCTGGCTTTCAGAATTCCCATTGAGGCCCATTTGTATTGGGTTATAAGGTCCAACTAGATTCTTATATTCTAGTTTCCCTCGTTTACAATGAATCAGTGTCAACTCACCTAAAGTGAAATACGCTACTACTTCAGACTTTTTCTCTTGACCAATGCCGTAATCTAACTTCACGTCCGTAAAAACTACTCTTGAAATACTGTGTAGGGAACACTCACCGATGAACAATGTTCTAGCGCTGTTTGAAACTAAATTAACGCGCATCTCAGGTTCAATGTGGAGAACTGCGTACATGGCACATTTGGTTCGCCGTATAAATTTGATATGCGGCATCTTGAGATTCAAATCGGGTCTTTCATTCATCACTATACTGTCAAGCCCGTGCCATGATGAATGAAATCGAGATGAATGGCTCAAATGGATACCCTCTAGCCCCTCCAGCTCCTCCGTCAGACTTTATTGAACGTCCTCCCTCACCACCACCTCCACCTCCCGAGGACTCAAGTGCTCCTCCGCCGCCGCCAGATGCTGCAGCCCCTCCACCCCCCCCAGATGCTGTAGCCCCTCCTCCTCCCCCGGATGATATACCACCTGCTCCGCCCATTGAAGCAACTAAAAAGAAGCAAGGATGGGGATCGAAGCGCCCGGCTGCGGCCCCGTTAAGTGTGGAGGATCTCATCCGCAAGAAGAAGGAAGCAGAAGCTGCGGCTGCGAAGGTATTATCGTATCCCATAGCGAAATATTCGCGTCTCAATCTCCCTGGCATTTTCTAACATGATCATTTACATTAGCCAAAATTCCTGTCCAGAGCGCAGCGCGAGAAATTGGCACTAGAAAAGCGGGCGAAAGAGGTAGAGGCCGAACGACAAGCAAAGGCGCCAACGAACGGCGCTGATCGCATTGGCTCCTTGTCCCGGGCACCATCATTCACATCCGAAGACACGGACAACGATCGCAGAAATACAAATGGAAGAGTCCCGACAGGACCACGCTCAATGCGTGGCGATGCGCCGTCAGGACCAGCTGCTATGCGAGGGCGCAATCACGACATGGACCCTCCTCCACCTCCACAAAGAGGAGGAAAGAAATCTCAGGCTGATAAACGACCTGCAAAGAAAGATGAAGCCGAGACAGAGGCAGAATTAATCAAGAAACGATACATGGGAGTAGAGCAAGCATCGAGCTTTTCTGCGCAAAAGAAGCGCAAGCGCACCACAGACAAGAAATTTAACTTCGAATGGAACACCGAGGAAGATACCAGTGGTGACTACAATCCGCTATATCAGCACCGACAGGAAGCAAACTTCTTCGGGCGAGGCCGCTTGGCTGGATTTGGGGATGATGTTGCGGACAGTGTGACGCGCAAATACGCGCAAGCAATCCAGTCTCGGGATCAAGAATCCGGCAGCATGCGCGCGAAAGAAATGCTGGACATGGAACGCCGTCGTCGTGAGGAGAGCACACGTCACCAGCTGGACAAGCACTGGAGCGAGAAGGAACTGAGCCACATGCGCGAGCGTGACTGGCGTATCTTCAAGGAAGATTTCAATATCGCCACCAGGGGTGGCAGTGTGCCCAATCCGATGCGTTCGTGGAGCGAGAGCCAGCTTCCGCCGCGCTTGCTGGAGCTTATTGACCGGGTTGGTTACAAGGAACCCACTGCTATCCAGCGCGCCGCCGTTCCCATCGCCATGCAATCGCGTGATCTCATCGGTGTTGCCGTGACAGGTTCCGGTAAGACTGCTGCGTTCTTGCTACCGCTTCTTGTCTACATCTCGGAACTTCCTCGTCTTGATGAGTTTGAGTGGCGCAAGAACGATGGGCCCTATGCTATTGTTCTAGCGCCTACTCGTGAATTGGCTCAGCAGATTGAGATTGAAGCCAAGAAATTTACACAGCCTCTTGGTTTCAATGTTGTCAGTATTGTCGGTGGACATTCGCTCGAGGAACAAGCCTACAGTCTGCGCGATGGTGCAGAAATCATCATTGCTACCCCTGGTCGTCTGGTTGATTGTATTGAGCGACGAATGCTGGTTCTCAGTCAGTGCTGCTACGTGATTATGGATGAAGCAGATCGCATGATTGATCTAGGATTCGAGGAGCCTGTTAACAAGATCCTGGACGCTCTGCCTGTCACTAATGAAAAGCCTGATACCGAAGAAGCTGAGAATCCGCAAAGTATGAGTCAACACCTTGGAGGCCGAGACAGGTACCGCCAGACTATGATGTACACAGCCACTATGCCCGCAGCCGTTGAGCGCATTGCCCGGAAGTACCTTCGACGTCCTGCCATCATCACTATTGGCGGCGTTGGTGAGGCCGTCGATACGGTCGAGCAACGCGTGGAATTCGTTCCTGGCGAAGACAAGCGGAAGAAGCGTCTTGCCGAAATTCTCCAATCAGGCGAGTTCCGAGCTCCTATCATTGTTTTCGTCAACATCAAGCGAAACTGTGATGCTATCGCTCGAGAAATCAAGCAAATGGGCTTTTCTTCCGTTACTTTACACGGTTCGAAAACGCAAGACCAACGTGAGGCTGCCCTTGCCTCTGTCCGCAACGGTTCAACGGAAGTCTTGGTCGCAACCGATCTTGCTGGACGTGGTATTGATGTTCCGGACGTGTCCCTCGTCGTCAACTTCAACATGGCCACATCGATCGAAAGTTACACTCACAGAATTGGTCGTACCGGTCGTGCAGGAAAGAGTGGTGTTGCCATCACATTCCTTGGTAACGAAGATAGCGACGTTATGTATGTCTCCTTTTCCTTAATTTTTCCTTCTATTCAACCTAAGCTGACCGGCATATCAGGTACGATCTCAAGCAGATGCTCATCAAGTCACCCATTTCCCGCGTTCCCGAGGAACTACGCAAGCACGAAGCTGCGCAATCCAGACCTCATCGTGGCCCTGGAAAGAAGATCGAGGATAGTTCAGGGTTTGGTGGCAAGGGTGGCTGGGCTTAGTGGCCTCCAACCTTGTGGCAGTGCTGAATTCTTTGTACTTTTATTAAATGGATACCACTTCTGCTTTAGAATCTATTGGCCCTGGAATTTTGGGGTCCAGATCCTTATTTGCCAGCCTTCGAAACATTGTAACCTTATGTAATATTATGCAGCCTTGCGAATCTGGGCCCTTACTCTATGTATTCAAATATTCCAAGGTTGGTCCCTGCAGCTATAAGGCTGGCTATGTTGGATACATTTGTTACCATGCATATAATCATTATGTACATCACGCCAGTAGAATGGATTGAAATCCCGAGCCAAATAAATCAAAAATTTCTGCCAGCCCATCTCCTTCTGCCTCTGCTTCTACGTAGCCCGGAGCTAGTTCAATCAACGCGTCCTCTACTTCGTCAGCTTCCACCTCTTGCTCCTCTGACTCAGTCAATAGAATCTCCAAAAGCCCTTTTCTCATGTCAAGCCTATCAAAGAACATATTGTTAATTCATATCGCTCATAACCTTCCAAGCTTTTAGACTTACGCTTTGTCGGCAAAATAAACCCTCTCATCAATCGGGTCCTGCTCCTGACCATATGGTCCAATCAAATTTTCTAATCGCTTTCCCGTCCCTATGATGGGCAACGACAAAGAAAAGAAATTCAAGGCACGAATGCGGTATCCCCGATAAGGCAAGCCATTAGTGTAGGAAAAAATAAGGGGTACCAGTCCGGTATTTAGCGCATAATCATCCACAATAATTGGAGGGGGGTGATAAGAATGATAGAGTGCCTCTCCCGCATTGGTAAACGCTAAGATGCTAAAATCAGCAGTCTCCAGAGCCTGGTACCGCTTGATGTTATCAAGAGTAACAGAATCATTTTTATTCGGCGTGATTGTAAATGTTTCTTGTGCGATATGACCCCACATCCTATTGTAATCATAGAACATCAACTGAATCTTCAACCAAAGCGCCCAGTTGGTTGATGGTCTTGGGGCGTCTGCAGTAAGATATAAGTCCCAAGGGACAAGCTTGCTGTGATAGTAACAGACGTAATTGGAGATTTCCTACAGTAGGTCAGGAAACGTATACTCATAGCGGACTGACTGTTAAAGAACAACAGTAAAAAGAAACCCTATTTTCTCTTAACTTACGCGAGAATCGCTCCTCTGAGTCCGGGGCCTTGTTTGTATATAACTGTTCTATATTAGCTTGTATGCCCAGAAAGGTATGGTGTCATGGGCGTAATTATGGAGTCATAGAACGAACATCTCGAAAATCTTGCTGAGCAGTGACCCAGGTTTCAATCAGGGATCGGCGTTGCTGAGCCTTGGAGTCATCCGTTTCATCGTCGCGCGAGACCCAGTTTTCCCGAACAAAGCGATTCCAGCCCTTCACAATTGGAGGGAAATCGTAGGGCTCGATATTAAAATTCCCCGTTGGGGACTTGATGAAAGAGGGAATACCACCTGGCCAGAACTTTGCTTCTGTCGTCAAAGTCGGTTCGTCAAGACGACGCTGCAAAATTCCAGGCATAGTCATCGTCGTGAAGAGAGAAAGGAGAATATATTGATTGATACTTGGATCGTTCTGGGCTGTCTTCTGAACGAATGGACGGTCCAATCAATCTCTTTCTTCATTTAGATGCCAGGTGAATGTACCCAATTTGAGGTCAGGTGCAGAAACAAGGGAAGGAGAAAAGGTAGAGCGGAACTCGTGGTATAAATCATAGTAGATGATCTATGTGGAGACAAGAATTGCGCCCCAACTTTTAAAAACGGACCCTTGGGCAGTGTGGTCATTTTGAGCTTAGCGTAGAAATTGTATCACCATATTCTTAAACACTGCTCTTATTATCCTATTCCTATGGTGTAATTCGTTCTCCACACCAGCTCTCCACCAATTGCCAACATTGGATTTTCTATGCCACGACCAACAATTAACCTCGATCCCTATAAAGATGAAATCATCGCACTCCTCAACGAAGGCAAATCAGCTAGAGATCTTATGATCATGCTGAAAGAACGCCATGATGTCACCATCGGCGTATCTACAATCAAAAAACGCTTACAAAAGTGGGAGATTGTTTGCAGCCGCAAAACTGACACTGTTCAAAACCGCGTCGCCCAGCTTCTTCCTCGCTTAAATACCAAAGAGATCCTAGATGTTCTCCAAAAAGAGGGCATGCCTTCTTCAGCGCGTACGCTCCAGAGAATACGGCGGCGTCTTGGTATCCGGCTTTGTATTGATGAACCCGAGGAACGGGCTGAGCGAGATCGTGAAATTGAAGCTGTTCTCAAACAGGAACAATCTATTGGAAAAATTGATGGGCTCGGGAGGCGGCTACTTTATAGCCATATGCGCGGATGAAATAAGTTCTTTTCTCGGTATGTTTTCCACTAATCTCCTTAGCCAAAACTAATTCCTTTTAGTGATAGTCTCTATAAGAGATCTCGAGCCATCAAGAATCATCCCAATATTATTCCTCGCCGGCGACGGGCCTCCGAAAGCGTAAGAGTAGTCAGATATCCTGAAATGAAATTTGTATAGTATATGGATGAATGTAGTGATTTGTAAGAATTGATGTGCTATAAAACGCTTTAATATTCATTTTCATTGAATCAAGTCCGACTATAGTCGAATTGTCTACATATTGAATTTATGATGCGCATGTGTTCTGCCACTCAAAAACAGAGACAATTAAAGACTGTTTTTCTGTGGCTGTTATCGGTCATAGCGAACTAAACTGCAGATGGGTAGATGCAGCACTGAGAAGCGGATGACACAACCTACAGCGCTACATGAGGACTATTGGAATAATTGAAAATTTATGTGAACCGGTCACTTGCATGTGGTTTGTTTACGAGTTGAGTACGGTTTTCTATCCATGAACAAGGCTCTCTCTCAGAGAATATGGATGGTTGTGGAGATTATCGACCTCAAAATTTGAAAATGATGGTTCAAAAATGTACCGAGGGAGAGCCTGTTTCACACACCATATGTATTTTCTATTTATTCGTCAAAACATTGAAGCTCATAAATGCCCCGATCTAAGATCAAAGCTATGCAAATGATACACCAAACATATCCGAACCCCAAACTATGCATCAGCTTCCTCAAAGTACTCACACCTTCGTACCTCATGATTCAAATGTGCATCCTAACGGTAATTCTTCCCTCTCAGATCCTTGAAGCCCGCAGCTTCAAGATCATTTTCAATAAGCCCAGGAAGAGCAATATGATGCAACGCGACCTCCCTATTGTTTTTCTTAATCTCTTCCGCAGACGGCGGAGTCCAAGTGCCTCTCAAGATCTGATTAACAGCTTGGCTGAGAAATGACGCGTTTTCAGTATACGTGATGAAACCCGCTGCAACGGATATATAGAAGATCCCGGGGTAGTCCTGGTCGTAGAAGCGGAGGTACAGAGGGCGCTCCGCATCAGCAGCGGCCAGGGAGTCGTATTCTCCTGCTTCGCAGCCCTCGGGGAGGTAGGAAGAATCAGTAGACCACCCGGTTGCTGCGACGAACATCTTTGGTTTGAGGACTGTGCCATTCGTCAGGGCGACACTATCGCCGTCGATGAGCTTGATACCACAGCCATTGTGGATCTTGAATTGGCCATTTTTGTACGCCGGGACGAGGTGGGATCGGAGGATGTAGCCTACTTTGGCGGATGCACCCTCATCTGCGACATTTTAGTAAAGTAAGAAATGTAATATTTTGGAGATGGAAGGGTACCTACGGAATGGAGGTCGCCATTCTGGGACGCCTTGGATCAGGGCCCAGATGTAGTGGATAAAGTATAAAATGGCGTCCACAACGAAGATTGGTAGGATTCGGTACAAGACTCGGCATAAGTGCAGATCTGTCCATCCAAATCTCCATAGTGATGGCCACCACATGTCTGGGGCACCCCTATGGTTTGTTAGCTAAGCACAGAAAATATTCGTTGATAGCGCACCAATGAGGAGAGCGTGCAACCAGGTGAACGTTGGTTGCATTCTGGGTGAGGCAGGCTTGCTGGATGATATCCATGGCCGAGGGACCTGCTCCGACAATTAAAACGTCCGAGGTAGGGATCTCCTTTGCCTCGCGAATATTATTGTTGTGTATAATAGGGAAAGTTGCCGTTTCCTGGCCCGGAAATTTGGGCATGTAAGGATACATATTGTGTCCACTGCGGTAGATTAGTCCAGATCCAAAACAACTTTTAAGATGGACTTAACATACGTGCAAACAAGAACACTTCGCGTGTAAATGGTCCGAGAGACGGAGTTCTCCAGTCCCTCTACCAAGGGACGAAGATCAACTTTATGAAGCATCGGCTTGACCATCTCCACATGGACCACGTCATGCTGCCACAGCACATGTTGGCTGAGATGGAATTCTTGGAAATATGCTTGACAAAATTCAGCAACTTGATCTCTCGATGCCCGTCTCTGAGGCTCTCGTCGAGGAAACTTGACCCCGTGACATTCATATTCGACGACCAGATCTTGGAGAGTTGAATATTCTGGGATATGGCCAGTCCAAATTCCGCCGGGAACTGCCTGACGCTCCACAGCAAGAACTGAGAGTGGAGGATCATCTCTGAGCAGATTTCGAAGACATACCATGCCTAGAAGTCATTAGCCGCGGAACAATCAATACCAGAGTTTCTGATTTTCATCATGTATTTGTTTTTCCTTACCAGAAGGACCAGCACCGATAATGAGAGCATCGATAGGATTATCTATCGTACCAGCATCACCAGTCACGATTTTATCAACTGTGTTGGGAAGTGACACTTTCATTGGTGCGGGGGTTGCAGGTTGCAGGTTGAGGTTGTGTGAGTACTAAAATTCAGAAACGGAGATTTATAGTCTATGCACAGATCGCATTTCGTGTAAGTGTTTCTCCACATGAAACAAAAGTACCTGCAGAGTTTCCCACTTTGGTTAAGTATGCGACCCAACAAGACGCTAATTAAGTTTGAAATCAAGGTTTTGCGATGGAGATGCGTTCCAGGTCTGGCCTGAATCAGGGGGGAAGGAATTAACTTGCATTGGAATGTTCTGATTGTTTTCCCTGCATAATGGCTTTTATTCCCTGAACAACTACTTTACTACTAAAAAGTAATATGGCTTTGGTCCCATCCAAGGATGATGCGACCGTATTGGCGGCGCTTGGCCACAAGGAGGAGTTGGATCGACAATTCACTCCATTTTCCATGGCCGCCAATGCCATCATTACCGCAAGTGCTTGGGTATGGATCCATATATTCCCTTCGTTGACCCTCAGTTGCCTGGAAAATTGACTTGGTTAGACGGCGATCATAGGAACTTTCATCACCTCAATCTATAATGGCGGCGCCGCCGGATTGATCTACACATGGTATGAAGTGGGGAAACACTCTGGAATGAATATGCATCTAATGAATCTCAGGATTGTTGATAATTTCTTCTTCCTCTTCATTGCCTTATCCATGGCTGAGTTGACTTCGGCTATGCCGACTGCTGCGGGAGTCTACCACTGGTCGGCAGCATTGGCTGGTCCTAAATACTCCCGACCGGTTGGTTTTCTGACTGGATACTTCAATATGCTAGGATGGACTCTCGGACTTGCTTCATTATACTCGGTCGCTGGTCTTGAAGTGACTGGGTTATATCAACTCTACCACCCAGAGTATGTCAGTAAACCCTGGCATGTGTTCGTGGTGTTTGTTGTTCTCAACTGGTCTTTTGCGGCATTTATTCAATTTGGTAACAAGATATTACCTTATTATACCAAGTTTGGATGTATGTGGACATCTATTTTTGGAGAAATGACACTAACGGAGATACAGTATTCATTAATGTCGGCGCTTGGTTCACCATCATCGTTTGTCTCGCCGTTCTTCCCAAATCCCATTCGACTAGTTCATTCGTATGGACCGAATACACCAATTCGACAGGCTGGCCAACGGGTGTGAGCTTTATTCTGGGACTTGTCGCTCCAGCCTTCTCAATCGGTACAATTGACAGCTCAACACACATGGCTGAGGAGGTGCCCAATCCTTCAAAGAACATTGCCAAGACAGTGATGGTTCAATGGTTTGGCTCGTTCATAATGTAAAGATCCTATGTATTTTCTTGAAGGAATCCTGCTAATACTGATCAGGGGTTTCTGCTTCCTCGTCGCCCTCTTCTATGCAGCCGGCGACCTGGATACCATCATGACTGCCTCCGAGGATAATTTCCCCGTCGCAGGCATCATGCAAATCGCATTCGGTGATACAAGGTCAGCTTTCGCGTGTGGTCTTGTAATCTTTATCGCCGCCATTCCCGGCTGTATCGGTGCTCAAATTGCGACCGTGCGATGCGTGTGGGCATTTGCCCGCGACGGCGCCTTGCCATTCTCTGATTTCTTCTCCAAGGTTGACGAGCACAATGTAATGCCTGCAAGAGCGAATATTTTGATCAGTAAGTTGTGTGACCCTTTATTGAATTGTGTCGCTCATGTTACTTTCTAGCGTTGATCAGCACTGCGTTGGGAGCGCTGTACGTTGCTTCGACAGTGGCGTTCAATGCCCTCGTTGCTTCGTACGCTGTCATGTCTTCCACGTCTTACGGTATAGCCATTGCCGTCCACTTCTTCACCGGGCGCAAACGAGCGCCGCCTGGTTGGTTCTACCTTGGTGATGGAATTGTGGGCTATGCTGTGAATGCTATTGCTCTGATCTATATTTTCGTCTCGAATGTTTTCTTTTGCTTACCATATGACCGTCCACCGGTTACAGCGGCGACCATGAATTACACATCACTTGTGTCCTACGGCATGGCGATCTTGGTCGTTGTTTGGTGGTTCATCGGGGGTAGCAGAATCTACAAGGGACCAAAATTGTCCTCGGAGACATATGAGGTTTTGGAAAGGCTTGCGGATTCAGAGACTGTTGAGGTTAAATCAACAGGGAAAACTGAGGCCTGACATTGACAAAATTTAGATTGATATAGAAGGCAAGTCGCTTATGTATAAACAATAATCAGAACAGGACAATGTCTTGTGGATAATTCTCCAGGAATATATCCCATCTCTCTGTCGCTCCGCTCTCCCAGTATGCATGCATGGCCTGGCGGGCGGTTTCCACGTTCCCCATTCCGAAGGACTCCATTTTCGCAATCCTCTGCTCAATGATATTTCTCTGATCCTGATCATCGGTCTCACACCCGACCGTGAAGACGGGCCACAACGTCAAGATATTCGACGATGATTCCCGCGGAATCATCTGAATCGTCTCGATGATCATATGAACCGCATAAACCGCCTTGGTATGGTGCTTAGGCAGCTCCTGCACACGACGGTACAAGTGAAGCAGGGCCGTATATAGAAACGCCCGGTGAATGCATTGCATTTCCACCGCTCGTTTCCTCGTAGCTGGATCAGGGTGATTCACCAAATTCGGATGCGCAGTCCGGTTATACAGTGAATAGATCAGACTCTCCATATCTCGAAATTCTTCCAGACTTTCTTCTCGCAGTTGCGTGTCAACCTCCTCATCCTCGGAATTGTCATTCACGGCCATGACCCGACTTCTCTTTTGCTGGATTCTCGCCATCTGCCCGATGCGCGAAATGATCGGGATCAGATCTAGCGAGTAGCCTGTCCACTCGTCGATATAGGTGTCATCATCGTTGGAGGACCAGTAGCGCCCGCCGGGGTTCGAGCTCTTGCGTAGACCGGAGACCCCGGCGAAAATGTCCAGGAGCGCATACCACTTGATCACGAATGTTTCCATCGGGGTCCTGGCGTCTTCGTCGGATGAGGATTGGAAGGCGGATAAGATTAACTTGTTTGCGCCCGTCAGGTGTATTCGCCACGTGCTTAGATCGCCGGAGATCACGTCTGATGTGCATAATGCGAGGGCAGTGCTGATAGTCTCCAGTTTGCCGGCTTGTTTTGGGTCGAGCATCGCCCGTCTTAGGCCATTCAGTGCTGCGTTGGTGAACTTGGCAATACTCCTCTCCATGTGGACGGGCATGTCCTCGTGTCGGCGAGCATAGTGGGAACAGGCACATGCGAGGAATGCGTTGAGGAGATGCGGATTTGACATGGCTGATTGGAGAAGGTCTTCCCGCAGAGGATTTCCCGTTAATGAAAGAGGGAAGATCACGTCTGCTGTTGTGTTGATGTAGTGGTGGAGGAAAAAGCGGCTTTCGGGTGAAGCGCTGAGCTGTGCAGGGTTGTTGGAGAGTGCATAATGAATTCGCTGCTGAAAAGGAGATATGTCCCAGTAGTAGTTCGGTCGTCCATCGGAGTCTTTGTCTTGCTGAGGTCGCTTATTGAAAGGATATCGTCGAGCCAGAAATTGCGAGAGAGTTGTGACTTGATTTGCGTCTAAGGATGTAGTCTCTGAAGTACATTTCCAGTCGATATTAATCTCTTGTGTGATAAGTCGTGGGTGCTCCCTGTTGGTTGATTCTTTTGCACTCGTGCCTAGATCAAGGACACTCGCGCCCATGGGCATTTGTCTCTCGAACACCCATTCTCCCGAGCTTGTGCTCGACGTAGAGAGGATAGACGGCCTTCGATCGGACGATTCCGAGGAGGTGGAAGCACTAGATGCATTGTGAACTTCGGGCGGACTCTGAGAATCGCTCTGCGATTCACTCTGGCGACGATTCTTGAAAGGTCTCCCGCCCGTCCATGAGAGTTTGAACTCATATTTGCACTTTTCCGGTCGGTGTTTACATCGAATGCAGGTTGGTTTACCCTCATCACACTGCAGATGTGATTAGCCATTGTTATCTTTGTGCACCCTGCAGCAAGACCTGCAAGCAGATTTAATCCCTGCTACCTTTATTCTCCTTCTTTTGCACTCCACGCACCCCGTTCTCATTTTCGAGTGGGGGCGGATCGACCGAGTGGCTGTGTGGCCCTCGGGCATACCCGCGGCATCCATAACAAGATCGCACAGGCATCAGCTGGTGATGCGAGATTGAATGAAGATTCGGACTCTCTAACTCCAGCAGATTATCTAACATGGTGAACTCGATGATTCTAGACCGGCAACTGGCGCCCTGAACTTTGAGTCTAGCAGTCGAAGTGGAAAGGATAATCCGATCGTAGGCCAATCAGACCTAAATTGAGCGGGGAGCTGCATGATTTGAGCAGACGCCAAGCACGGTAATTGGTGCGGATAACTGATGCCAATCCGATTGTCGGTGATGTAATTGGCTTCCGCACAATGTAACCTTTGGTGCATCCAGGGTTCACTGCCATCTTTTGGGAGCCCACCAAGCCACAAATTGTAGCTTTCCAGGGGTGAAACATATCCTGTCACTGTGAGGGTCTAGAAACATGATACATCGTCAGCCAATTTCTTCCATCTAATCCCGAGACTCTGGTCTCGTTCGCATCCCAGGGACTTGCAGCCTTGCCATGGCCCAACATGGCCATCAGAATCCAAATAGTTGCGGAAGCAGAAGTGTCAGGATAGTTCAATGACTGAAGCCTAACAACCGAAGTGCCAGATTGAACTATAACATGACACTGAGTTGGACAGGGTTAAGGTTGATGCTAAAGTGATGGTTGAAGATCTGAGAGAAGCTAATGGGCAACGGAGTTTATAAATCCCCCGCTGGGCCATTTCAATTCAGCCTTACAAAGGTATTTCTTTGAATCCATTAACGAAATATTGTTGCTGTTCTCGTGCCACTCTATTGACTATTTGATTGGCTGTGTAAGGGCGGAATCGCACCCAATTACCCGTTTCAGTTTAGTTCGGCGGCTCTGCAGAACCGCGCTGACTTGTACATTTGAGGAAGTTATATCGAGAGAGATCTGCACTCCATTATGACAGGACAAATGATAGGACAAAGGTGTTAACACTCACTAAAGCCCCGCCTTTCCCACCGCCTACAGTACCTATCCAAATTACGTGTTAAACCCTACTATATCATTTTGAATGTGTGACTGACTGGAAGAACTGATTCGATATAATGGGTGGTATAATCCTTATTATGCAGTGGTGAACCAGGGACAGAAAGTTTTTTGGCTAGCAGAATATTACATAATCGAAGGGGTAGATGATAGTTAGAATAGACCTTTTCATATAATATTTATTGCATATGTGATTGAACATTTGAAAACATTGAAGATACTATACACATATCATAGACTTGGCGCCCTCAACAGATCGATTTGGCAACCTTTCAAGGTTGAGTCCGGTTATGTACTTCACAAGTGTTACAATATACATACTCCAAGGTTATTTCCCTGTAACCAAGATCAGAAGTTCAGACCACACATACCCATTTCATGCTGCCTTGAAAACTTTGCAGCTGAACTTATCAGAAAGATTCTTGCGAAAAACTCCACAAAGGAACATAAGCAGGCGATTGAAAACAAATAGGCCAACGAAAAGGCCTATAGCTCCGGTGCTGAACCATATCCATGGTCGCTCTCCGATCCACGTGAGTACCTTTGTATCCGCTCGATGCCAAGTGCTGCTTTCGAGATCAGTGATAAATGACGCTAGCTCAGTTGCATTGAAGACCTCTATAGACTTTGAAGGTAATGAGGATTGTTCAAGCAAATAGTTCTTTACCACCATTGTCAAAAACATGGGGCCTGCAGATATCATTATTGCACTGTGTGGTTGGAAATGAGCCCAAGCCCGAGTGAAAGAATGAGAAATTGGCAGTTGGGTGATTGCAGCTGCATAGACAGGATGTCTCGCAGATGTGACCAACAGGTCATTCGTGACGCCCGTTGGTAGGGTTGATTTGAAAAGCGCATAATCTTTTGTCTCTTTAGATCCGAGGTCCTGAACGGGGAGGGTTCGATTGCACCAGGTATCCATATCCAAGTAAATACCACCATAGTGATACAAGACAAAATAGCGAATTGAGTCGGCACGCTGAATAGGGAAAGCGTAGTCATCCCATGTGTTAACGAACCACGGATAGTGATTAGCGAGGAAATCCCGAGCTGAAGCGTCGGTCCACAGCTAGCAAGAAAGGTTTAACGGTTAGTGACATTCAAAAGAAGAGGGCTGATATATTCTGCACGATGCATTAGAGTTGCAGACTAGACATATGAATATACCTTGTATTCAAAGCCTGAGTAAGCTTGCTTGCAGCTCTTTTGTGGCTGCACCCACTGATCTGGAATCTTCTCTGTCGCAGTGGTTTGGTGCAAGATGAGTGGCACATGACTCATGTGAGCAGTGCGATTCCGAGCAGGTAAGACACTAGGGTCAGGCAGAGCCACCCGAGAGCCGAAAAGCTCTTCATTCCTGCATAGCAGAGTAATTAGAGGCTCGAGGGTATGAAGTAACAGTCCAATAATCATTAGGTCCAACAAGAGGAGCAAGACTACAGCCTTGCACGTCCAATTGACCCAAGGTATCACGCGCTTCTCTCCCCATTCATGCTCTAAATTTGTTTCGATATGCTCTTCATCATGGATCCTTTCATATTTGGCGTGATATGATCGGAAAATCAAGCTGTGGAGACGTCTCCAGAATTTCACCATACCGATTGGAGAATGTTCTGTGTACTCGTGCTATTTCGAGCAATTCTGAATGATCTGCATTGAGTTCCTGAGGAATGTGAAGGGTTCCATCCTTTATGCAACCAACTAGAATCGATAGATCACGTGGCTAGTAAGGACACGAAGTTTTGTATATGGTTCTATCTATCCTTCCCCTTTAGGTTGTGACACTTGGAGTTTTTCTTGGCTGCAAGCGTCATTGGCAACGCAATGTAACACATCATGTGGGAGTGGCGGGTTGTTTGTTCGGGCCCGATCACGTTTCTGACAAAAGCGGCCCCAATAGCGGCCAACGACCACTGACCGGTCGAAATGGATATTGTTCCTCGGGCACAGCTCTAATTGAACCTTGGAAGCATTGGCTCATCAACAGCCGACCTATCATTCTTCAATCCGAGCAAAGCTTAACAAGTTCATGCTTGTGCATCCACCCAATTAGTAGATTGTGCGTCGTAATCACTAGCAGCTTTCCAGTAACCACCAGGAAATACGACCGATTTACCAAATCATGAGCGACATTCTACGAATGAGTACTAGGTAACTAGTAGTCACTGGACTCTTGGTCTCATACAAAATGTCTTAGGAGTCAAGACCCACTTTAATAGCCCGTGAGTCTTAAGCTTGTCTTTCGTAACTCACAACGCCTTTTAGCTTCTTCCCTTCTACATAGCAGTACTGTCGCCATGCTCGCTTCCTCATCTCCGTAGCTTCGGTCCTTTATAATGTGAGATATAAGCTCTGAAAGAAATATTCGCCAGCCAAGGATATGGAAGTGAGGGCTCTAAGCCTATGGCATCAGTCCTTACTCAAAGAGCACGGAATGAGTTGACTGAAATCTTGCTTCAGAAATAAGCTAGTATTGAACCAAACAAATAATTCTGGGGTTAAGATTTTTCTTCTCCGTTGGACTACATACACGCTACCCATTTTTTGGAGTCCAGAAAAGCAACCAATGTGGGATGTGTGATGTTTTACTTCAGTGCTGATCAAAGTTTTTCCAATTTCCTGTATCAGAATACCCATCAAATGGTTGACAGGAAATTTAAGACCGAAAACGATTCTATAGAATAATGAATCCTTAAAAGTGTATGCCTGGCGTTGCCACATGCATCGGCCGAAAGATAAATGGGCTGAATCCGCCACCCACCGCGTTTTCCTAATTGAGTCGACCTACGCATATCCCGATCGATCCAAGTTTCAATCTATGTCAAGCAATTAGTGTTAAGTCAGGAGGGGAAGCTTCCTAGTCTACGATTCCAAACGCGAAAATAAATAAGTTTAACAAGGTATCCAAAGTCCAATAGAGGGCTCTGCCTTCCTCCCAGACAAGAGAAATGACTCGTCACGATACGCAACATCTTTCTTTGACCATAAAGAATAATCTGGTCAAAGGCACCATCTCCCTCAAGAATTTAACTTGCGTCCGGTATGATTATCGATTCAAGTGGCTCATTCATTCATTGACAGTATTACCAGTGGCCAACCCTACGAGAACGGCGAAACTCTCAGGCTCATCTCCCCCGAAGATGTCAATCAGATCTCAATCTCACATGGCCAAAGTTCAGTAGTATCGATCTGCGGAAGTGCAGCATTTGGCCTAGGCATTAAAGGAATGCTTGACCTTTGCCTCGATGGGAAGAGCCTGATCACTTCCTTGTACTGGAGCGGACCTTGGAAATGCTTTGGAAATGAGCTTCATCTGGTCAATGTTGACCAGGAGCATTACGTCGTTCAAGCTTCTTCCCCTCCATGGGAAGGAATATTGGGAGATATTTCTGTTGACATCAGAGAAAGATGCGCGAGTGACTCTTTGCAATAACATTGATTGTGACTTGAAGTATCTTGGTTCATCAAATGCTGGATTTGTCAAATCGGCAGGATCAGTTTCCCAGACCGATGTAATGCCTCCCTCCAGCACATCCCAACATCCACCATATCCCAAATTTCCTGAATAATATCCCACTGTCGTCGAAAAGTTCCAAGATTATACCGTTGGACGGCTTCCCACCACTCAATCCATGGCTGACGGTCAACAGCCTCGCAGGCCGCGATAAAACCAGGCCAAGACATAGGAGCTCCGTATTTCTGGTTCTGTATATCGTACTGCTTCTTCTGTTCCGCGATAGTGAGGTTTTCCCAGGCGGTCAACACTTCTTTCTGGGGATTGATCAGGGGGTGCGGTTCAATAGACCGGTGATACAGGATCAAAACAGCGCTGTGGAATGCGCAGGCTTGCCGACTGACAATTTCGAGTGGTCCTGCTCCCGAGTTGGCTAGGTGGCAGTCGTCTGTTGCCAAGCTCCAGGTAAGCAGCTCAGCTCGGAGGACATCGCGAGCGTTTTGAAGTGAGCTAGGGATGTGTTGTCTGTCGCATAGCTCCAGAGCTTCGGAAATCTGGCAGGTCCGATGAAGCATATTTCCTAGAGTAGGAGTGATTCCGTAGATTTATTCGATGTGAGTGTCACTACTGTTAAATAGTGGCTTTTCGGAACTCCAGTCATCGGTGGTCTGGGTCACCTGCAGTTCCGTTGACGTAGATCGGCCAAGAAGAGTCAGAAAACGACATATACTATTAACCGGCTGACTTGAGCTTTTGAGAGAATTTGATCCGTAGTATTCTCGGAGCTGTTGGCAACCTTTGAGGTGAATTGGAAAATCGACATCCTCGCCCATGATTGTCTTTAGGTAGCATATTAGATCAGTCATGACAGAAGTTATGATCAAAGACTCACATCAATAGTCACCAATGATAGCATTGCTGTCAATTGGACGGTTTACAGATGCGAATCATTGATATCAACGAGCGCTGTGTTCAAGGCAGCCAGGGCCTTGGTCCTATGTTGAAAGCCCAGACGGTTATACCGCTTTGATCCACCACTGAGATTTCGAAGATGAAATGCAGCTGATGAAAGAATGCCATGAAATATTGCAGTTGACGCAGTCGACGATGGTGTTGGGTGTGGGCGAGAAATAGATCTAGGCGCCCTTCAAGAGCGAACGTATTGTAAGTGGTTCGCCAGGGATTCTCAGGATGAATTACTGGCTGGAGAAGACCGGCAACATGATCTTTATAGTGGAATAGAAGAAGCGCGATCTCTGAATCTTGAAAAAGAGGCAGGGAAAGCTCAAAGTGCGGTGTAAATTGCTTGTAAGATACAACGGATGTTGGTTTTACAAGCTCACCATATTCGTCTGCATCTCCGACAGATACATCGGTCGAAGGAGCATTAAAAAGAGAAAATGGCCCCATAGAGATCGTACTATACGGCGCATCAATAGTATCGAGGGTCGATAAGATCTTGTCAAGTTCATTGTTTGGCAAATAAATCGAGCGGGTACGATCTATAAAGATGAGTTCCGAGTACCTTGTGGGAATCATCAATAAAATACATACAGAGCACAAGGCTTCTACGACGAATCTCCCGATCCTCTCGCTTTCCTGTAACCCAGTATAGATTCACATCATAACCGGCACATTCTAGCCCAATTCGCTCGCAGACACCACATCCATTCTCTTGGCGTTCATCGCATTTGATCTTCCGAGACCTGCAGGTCCAGCATCTGTGCTCAGTAAGCGAAGAGGCCTGTCATGTTCCTCACGGATACAATACCCTATATAAGTCACCATTTCAACTTCTTCAGCCGTACAGGCCTGGTGGCGCGCGAGCGGGGCTTGACAGGGTGGGGAGATCGGCAGTGAAGGTCCATCGCGGGGGAGATGACCAAGGGGCCAAGACACAGAGATCAGCCTGGAGGGAATAGAGAATCAATTTAGTAAGCTTATCACGCTCTCGTTTGTAGCTCTGAGTCGTAATCGGCTTATCATGATAACGGCTGACGCCAAGGTGCGGGCAGGGGCCAGCGAGGATGTTGTAACTTATGATTGGTACTTGATCGTACTTATGGGATGAGAATCGCTGAGAAGGGCTATAAATAATGAATAGAACCTCGGGAGAGACATTATCAAGTTCAATTGTTCTTTGCAAAATGCATCTCGCTGTCCCTCCCGTGAAAAGAGAGTCAAATCCTCAGAGAGGGTTCAAGACCTCAACCAAGTCTCCATCAAACGATCATCATAATCCATTACCAAGACAGTTCAGGAAGTTGTCTGGTCCATTCAGATATCTTACTTCTTTAAGTTCAGTCCTTCCAAAATACAAATTTTAGGCAAGTCTTTTTTTTGGTAAACACTTGATTCTGTTCTAACGGCTTGGTATAGGACGGACTGGAGTACCCTGCTCTTCATATTTCAAGAACATGATGCATCTCTGAGGTGGCGCTGATTACAGTGTTGCACATAGGATGAACCATCCATGGTATCTAGGTAAAAGATAGCTAGAGGCTCTCCGCCGCGTATTTCGTGCGGTGGCTAGAATAATTGATGTTTCTACTATAATTCCTGCACCATTTCTACCCTCCGCGGTGTACGTAAGTATTAGCACTTGACAATAAAATTTTTGATATTGTTGCCTCGCTCTAGTTCAGAACCATGCAGTTCAAAGGCTTAACCCATGTTTAGTAGAGAGTGGAGGATAGCGAGAGCTCCGACAAAATAGAGCAGACAAAACCTGTATGTCTTTGCTCACAAAAGTTCGCCCAGTAAAATTCAGATAAAATCAAACCCCGAAAAAGACCACCGTTTCCCGGCGCCAGGCCCGAGTTAACTCATGAATCAAGTTCACAGCTTACTCTGGAGGTACTTGTTGTTGCTCAACCAGGACTCAACATCCTCTCCGTCACGCTTGACCCAGTTAACCTTGGCGCGGATGGCGTCAAGGCTCTGCTCAACAGCACGGTCGTAGCCCTGTAGGGTAAAAAGTTGGTTAGATACGCGATAAAACAATACAATTGATGGGAGAAAACTGACCTTAGTGTCCTTGGAGGCAAAGAAGGCCTGGACTTCCTTCAGTTGGGCCTCAGTGCTGAAGGCAGTAGTGCTAATCTGCACCACACTGCCCAGCATACCGAGAGATGGAGGCAAACGCTTGTAGATACCGTCCCAGTTCTTCTGAAGCCAAGCCCAGCGAGCCTCAATACCGGCCACAGAGCTGCTGAGACCGCCCAAAGGCTGGTAGATGTCCTGGTTCTTGACCTCGTTACTCGAGGCCAGATCGAGAGTGCGCTGGATGAGAGCCGGGTCCTCCGAGGCACCAAGAGAACGCAGAGCGGTGTTTCTCTCGTCAGAAGTAGGGGCGTGGCGGAAACGGTCCAGCACCACCTCGTACTCCTTGACGCCGCCATTCTTCAGAGCGAGGGTGAAAACGCTGCCACGAATGTTGGGGTGGACGGCGGAATGGTCGCCAGCGGCAAAGCGGGCGAACATGTCCTGGGCAGCCTTGATGACAACCGGGTCGTCGGCCTTACCGGCGGAACCGAACATCAGAGCCTTGAGCTGCTGCAGGATGTGGTCGTCCTTCTCGGAGAACTCCCAGCCCAGCTCGTGAGCCTTTGCGGCAACAAGCGAGCGCTGGAAGGCCTTGAGCGCATCCTTGGTCTTGGCATCCTCGAATAACCAGGCACCACGCAGAGAAGCGATACGAGTAAGCATTTCAGTCCAAACCACAAACTCGGACTCGGTATCGAGACCCTGGAGGAGCGACAGCAGACCGGAGGTCTTCTGGAAGCCAGAAGCAGACAGAGCACCAGAGTCGGCAATCATACCGGCACGGTCCTCAACGGTGAGAAGACCATCACGAGCAGCCTGTCCTAGCTTGCGAAGGCGCTCAGGAGAGTAAGAGGTACGGTAGATGGCGGAGTGGTCGGCATTCAGCTTGAAGAAGTCCAGGTCGGGGACCTTGAATTCACCCTCACGCCCAGTCAACATAGTGTTCTCATCGATGGAGTCCTTGGTGCGCAAGCCGAGCATGCAAGGGTAAAGGACCTTGTCCTCCTCGGGACGGACATCACCAGTACGCAGGAAACGGTTCTGTTTCACGCTGATGGACGAGTTTTCCGGGTTCTCAGTCACGGTAACGACGGGGAAACCAACGTTCTTAGTCCAGATTTCCATGACCGATTCAACAGGCTTACCACTGGCGTTAGCCAGGGCAGCCCACAGGTCACCAGTCTGGGTGTTGCCGTAGGCATGCTTGCGAATGTAGTCACGGACACCCTGCAAGAACACATCCTCTCCCAGGTACTTGGAGATCATGCGCAGCACGGACGAACCCTTGGAGTATGAAATGGCATCGAAAATCTGGTTGATCTCATCGGCACGCTTAACAGGGACCTCAATGGGGTGACTGCTACGCAGCGAGTCGAGCGACAGGGCACTCTGAAGGTTGTCAATGACATAAGTCTGCCACACCTTCCATTCTGGGTAGAAGACATTGCACGAGTACCACGACATCCAGGTTGCGAAACCTTCGTTCAGCCACAGGCCATCCCAGAAGTCCATGGTAACCAAGTTACCAAACCATTGGTGAGCCAATTCGTGTTGGACAACCTCGGCGATGCGCTCCTTTGTAGAGGCACCAGTGGTCTTCTCGTCCATCAGCAGATCGACGATGCGGTAGGTAATCAAACCCCAGTTCTCCATAGCTCCGGCGCTGAAGTCGGGCACTGCCACCATGTCCATCTTCGGCAGCGGGAAATCATTGTCAAAGGCCTTCTCGTAGAAAGCAAGGGTCTTAGCCGCGAGCTCCAGAGAGAAGCGTCCATGTTCAATATCCTGGTCGGGGGTGGCGTAGACGCGAACGGGCACGCGGAAGTTGTTGGTCTCGACGTACTTAAGGTCACCCACGATGAACGCAATCAGGTAGGTCGACATTTCAGGCGAGGTATTGAACTTGACACTCTTCTTACCACCATCAATGTCGGTCTCGGACGCAACATCCATGTTGCTCAGGCAGGTCATGCTCTTGTCTGCAACCAGGGTCACGGTGAACTTGGCCTTGAGAGCAGGCTCGTCAAAGCAGGGGAAAGCACGGCGGGCGTCCGTCGGCTCCATCTGAGAGGTGGCAATGTACTTGGTCTCGCCATTGTGCTTGTATGAGGATCGGTAGAAACCGGCCATGTTATCGTTCAGGATACCAGTGAAAGTAAGCTTCAGCTGGGCATCGGACCCCGCAGAAAGGGCCTGCTTGAACTTGATGGTTGCGGTCTGGGCATCCTTGTTCATGGAAATCTCAGGCTTGGCTTCCACCACAGCTCCCTTTGACAGGACGGTTGCACTGTGAATATCGATCTCATTGGAGTTGAGGGAGATGAAATCGGTGTCTTCGGTGACCTGTAGGCTGAACAAAGAATGTCAGCATTGCCCCACCCCAACAGCTTTCAATCCTTTCCATGGCATGACCTACTCAATCAGGACGGAACCTTCATATGTAAACTTCTCAAAGTTAGGCTCGAGAGTCAAGTCATAGTGAACGGGCTTGACATTGGTGGGCAGGACCTCGCGGCCCTGCACATTGGTCGAGCCGCCTGAGACCTCGTCACGACGGGAGTGACACATTCTGCGGTATGAACAGTATCTTTTGGAAGTTTGAGCAAGAGGGGAGGAACGGAGGCGAGAAGGTCTTGGGAGTGTCGGAGACCGGGCGGAATGGAAGAGGGGAAGGGGCGATCTGGCGGATAGAAGCGGTGGCTTTGCTTTTGAATGAAGCAGCGCACGCGTGGAGAAGCGGCGCATTAAGGCAACAAAACCCCTCAAAGGGAAATAAGCGGGAAAGTAAAAAGAAGGTAGCGGGGACTAGCGCCCAATAAAAATACAGAAATAAAAAAAATTATATAGTACAATACTAATTGAACAATGAAGCAATACAAGGGGAGATGAACTTTCGGGGAAACAATCTTCAAAGCCTTTGGTTCCCGGCAGAATCTCCCCGTTCAAGGCAGGCGGTATCATCCTGTGGATCATTTATAAAAACTCGAAATTTCCTCTTTTCCTCTTCTTTTCTTTTTAATCATATGCAAGTTTAACCCAGCGCATGCCTTTTAAACCAACGGCAGGTGACTGTGGGGCAGTATCTTATTTGGAGAGACTGTTCCGTCTTGCAAGACTATTTCCAGTCAGTTTGAGGGGCTCATGACTACCACCTGAATGGGCATCCATAGAAGCATTGGGACATTTCATTGCTAATACCCAGCAATGTTATAGATAGCAAATACAATAAAGTTAATTGGATATGGTGACAATCTTACGCAAAGATTTATTTCGTCTTAGTCAAAGTTATCGTAACGTAAGGGATGTTTTTGCCCGCCTCTCGTTTGTTATCAGCAAAATTATGGATCCAAACAAGTCCTTGACCATTCTTCTCGGGAAGAAGAACGAAACTGAACGCAGTCCCAGAAAGCTCCGCCGGAGTCCGTTGTTTTTTAAAAGCGGGTGGGGCGAATCACAAAGGAACAACGCCCTTAAGAACACGTTGAACCCTTGGAAACTTTCGTGAAAATGTTGCGAGACCACCCACCAGAACCCATGACCGCCTCTTTAACAAGCAGGTATCCACCCGGCCGAGGCATTAGCACTGCCCATATAATGTCATAGACAGCACCCATGCCAAACAACCCTAGTGTCACAGCACAGTGCAAGTAGAATGGAAAGCTTTTGTAGACATTTTGTGCAGCATCTGGGGGAATTATGGTATGACGACGAGATATATGTTCGATAGCAAGAAATACCCGGTGACAGGGAGAGCTGCGTGGATTCGGTTCCAAACAGGAACTTGGCTTTGTTAAAATAAACATAGGTCAGGCCACCGGAGACAAAAACTTTGATGATTGATAGCGGGTAGGATATGAGGCTGAATTTAGTAAGTCATATAAATCTCACTAGGGTTTCTGCAGAGCCTTACTTAAGAAGAAAGATATGCGTATCGCCTGGGGGTAGACCAAGCAATATAATAGCCGAAACAATATCGTGCTCAAACGGACCAGTTGCTGGCGAAAAGGCTTGAAAAGGGTAGAACATCTCACGACCAAATTTTTGAACAACTCTACATCAATAGTAACCTCATTGGAGAACATTATGGTAAGGCAGGACATACTTTGACCCTGAAAAAACAGAACAGATAAGATATTCCCAAATGCTGAGAAGGCAACGAAAACTGACATGACCTTCTCGGCTTGTTTACCAAATACATTCCCGAAGAAGGCGGCAGCATCCACACTTCCAGACTCGAGCATTTGTTCCTTAGGGACAGCAGCAAAGTAGACAATATTAACAAGCATATACTGCATAGAATGACAAGTGAGCCAATGCCCACCAGTGCCACAATCTTCAATGTGCGGACGGGGTTCTTCGTCTCACTGAGTACCTATATCAAGTTTTAGATGCATGATCACTCGGTTCCTCGGGGGATTTTACCTCCCCATTTTATATAGCTGGAATTTGATTAGCCAATAGATGACCAAATGATTGTCCGCTACATTCAGAATGTATTGGGCAAATACCACGCTGTTGCTTGCTACCTATCCCAGCAGGAAGGCATACGCTGAATACCTAGCCGTGGCTAAGAATTTGGGTTTCTGGTAGATGCAGTTGAGGGAATTCTTTCCCCCTCCATTTCTTGAACACGGGTCAGTCTCTAAGGTTCACCCCATGAGAGCTGTGACTTTGACTTGTCGGCCATCAATTACATACTTGAGAATAGCAGTGCCCCATTCAAGGTAGACAGCTGTGCCTGTCATGGAGATGAAAGTGCCGATCAACCATATACAGGGAGGATCGAAATCAGTTTCACCACTTAAACACAGAAATTCTTCCTCGAACCCTCTTTAGAAACACGCTATGCCTATTACAGTTACTCTACTCCTGACTCCTTTTCTTGGCAGTATTTCAGTACAGTTCTAAATAACAGGACAAAACAGCTCGGTAATAGGCTTTCAAGACCATGGGGGCTTCTAGAATGTTGATCCTGCAAAGAAGGCAAACAAAAGGATTACTGTGAGAGTAAGATTCTTGGCTCCATATTTAAGAAGAGGAGTCTGGATGTTGAAGGAGAATTTTGGCAGGGGCAGTGTCGACCGCCAAGGGAGGATAAGGAGCGACTCCATCTGCTCACTCTTGCTTATCCCTAGTGAAAACCCTTTGGGTGAGAAGCCTGGGGGACGTTAGATACCAGGAAATGCACGTGACTCGACAGTCCTCCGAACACGTAATCAGGGCGGTGGATCATGGACCAATAGGTGCCATCTCGAATCTGTAGCCGTCGCTGCCTATTTTTCTATCTCTCAGCATGCACTTTAGTTAAGTTAGTTAGTTAGTTATGAGCGTGCTGACTAAGTATCAGGTGACTAATCCAAATCACATGATTAGTGTTCCGATAAGTGTCATAATTCCTGGGAGCTTGAGGGCCATCTCAAAGCTGCGGACTTCAAAAACAAAGGTGGTTGCTAGGCTAAAGTGACATTTATTAGTCTTGTAATGGGAACAGATATTATATGTAACACCATTATCATTCGTGCACTTAAAGCGGGGTAAAGGGGATGCGATTAGGCTGGTCATTATGCGCTTGATCTGGGTTCGGGCTCGGGTCGATTTAGTTCAAAGAAAGCGCTAATCCACCCCTCACAGGACCGACTGAATGCCTTATGTGGGTTGCTGCCAATCAAATTCCTGATCTTAGCGCCGCGAAAGTCACCTGATGGTGAACCCGAGGAGGTGCCCCGCCTTCCACTGAGAAGCAGACAACAAAACTTCTCGTGAACTACAAACGAAGCACATTTCCTCGACTATGGCATTGATATCATTCAGTGGGAGAAACGATGGGCTCCAGGTTGGAGATAATCGAGGCACGATCAATGCAGAGTTTTATTTACCCCCGGGTAAATCAGAGGAGCCGAAGAAGACAGGGGCTTATTGACTGATCACTGTGTCCCACCCTAGAACGACCGAAAACTCCGCCTGGCCCAGTGTCAACGGTCCCATTCAGGCGTGATCCAGATTTCGTCTGTCGTGAAAAATTGCTCGGTCAAATATATAAGAAAAACTCAGTGCCAGGATCAAGGATAGCGCTTGTTGGCCTTGGCGGCGTTGGGTAGGTGTGGCGCGACCGTTTCAAGACTTATTACTCACAAAACGAAGGAAATCACAACTTGCCATTGAATATTCCTTCCGAGTCCGCTCTGAATCACCGAAAACGTGGGTTTTCTGGGTTCACGCGAGTAATGAGACCCGTTTGGAGCAAAGCTTCCGGGGCATTGCGGATAGGGTTCAGATCACAGGTCGTCAAGACCCCACAGCCAATATATATTCTCTAGTTGAACAATGGCTTTGGCGTGAGAACATCGGGAAATGGATCATGATCCTTGATAATATCGACGACCATGATATTTTCGGCAAGCCATTAGATGGAGATCAAAGCAACTTGAGGAATAGAAAACTCAACGCCCCGACAAAGCCTTTATTGGAATACATTCCAAGGAGCCAAAATGGAACTATAATCATCACAAGCAGGACAAAAGAGGTTGCATTGAAGCTGGTCGATGACGAAGATCTGATTGAAGTCGAACCGATGGACAAGCTTGAGGCGCTAGAACTTCTCCAAAAAAAGCTTAGAGCCACAAAGGAAACCATCAAATGTCAACAGCTAGTGGAAGAGCTCAACTACATGCCGCTTGCGATTGTACAGGCTGCTAGTTATATCAGAAACCGGGCGCCTCGCTGTTCGGTATCTCAGTACCTAACTGACTTTCAAACAAGTGACCGTGAGGCGACAAAACTTCTTCAAAAAGAAGCAATTGTCATAAACCGGGACTGGGAAGCGAAGAACTCAATAGTGATGACATGGCAAATATCATTCGACTATATTAGGCAAACAAAGCCATCTGCAGCGAACTTGCTTTCTCTAATGAGCCTTTTCGATCGGCAAGGCATACCGGTAAATCTTATCCGACACCAACCTGAGGCTAGCTATACTTCTACTTTAACACTCCACGACGACTCGAGCGATGGGGAGACAGCTGCTTTTGATATAGGTCTCGATTTTGAGGATGATGTTCTAATGTTAAGGGACTATTCCTTTATATCTCTTAGCATGACGACCGACACTTTCTTCACTATGCACCGGCTGGTGCAACTAACTACGCGCGCATGGCTGGAATCCCATGAGCAAATCGATCCATGGAAGGAGAAATTCATCAATATCCTATATCGAAAATTTCCAACTGGGCAATATGAGAATTGGGACATTTGCCGTTCGCTTTTTCCTCACGTTCGATCGGCAGTCTCTCAAAAACCAACTTCGCATCAGGCTTTATTGAAATGGGCAACGCTCCTTCATAGGGGCGCATGGTATGCGTCAGAAAGCGGCAATATCGCAGATGTGAGGGATATGGCATCGAAGTCGAGTAAACAGAGAGTGATGTTGTTGGGTTTCGAGAATGAAGAAGCCCTTGCAAGCACTGCTTTACTAGCAAAGGCGTACTTCCTTGAAGGCTCGTTTGAGAAGGCGGAGCAGCTCGACTTGCAGGTCATGAAGACTCGCAAGGCGAAACTCGGCGAGGAACACCCTGACACGCTAAAAAGCCTGGCCAGCCTAGCGCGGACGTATAGAAGCCAGGGCCGATGGAAGGAGGCAGAAAAGCTTGCGGTGCAGGTTATGGAGACTCGTATGACGAAGCTCGGCGAGGAGCATCCTGACACACTACAGAGCATGACCACCCTCGCCTTAACGTATAGAAGCCAGGGCCGATGGAAAGAGGCAGAAAAACTTGCGGTACAGGTTATGGAGACTCGCAAGACAAAGCTCGGCGAGGAGCATCCTGACACACTACAAAGTATGACCAACCTGGCGTCAATGCTCTGGAGCCAGGGCCGATGGAAGGAGGCAGAACAGCTCGATGTGGAGGTAATGGCGCTTTATCAGACGAAGCTAGGCTTGGACCACCCGGACACGCTATCAAGTATGGCCAGCTTAGCGTCGACCTTTTGGAGCCAAGGCCGATGGAAGGAGGCGGAGAAGCTTTTGATGCAGGTCACAGAAGCTCGCAAGACGAAGCTTGGCGAGGATCATCCCCACACACTGACGGGCATGGCCAACCTAGCGTCGACGTATAGAAGCCAGGGTCGATGGAAAGAGGCAGAGCAGCTTGAGGTACAAGTCATCGAAACTCGCAAGAAAAAGCTCGGTGTGGACCATCCAGAAACCTTGGTGAGCATTGCCAACCTAGCGGTGACATATATGAACCAGGGACGGTGGGAAATGGCGGAACCTCTGAATGTGCAGGTCATGGAGACTCGAAAGGCAAAGCTCGGTGTGGATCATCCCGAGACGCTAAAGAGCATGGCCAACCTGGCGTCGACGAATAGAAACCAGGGCCGATGGAAGGAGGCAGAGCAACTTGAGGTGCGGGTTATGGAGATTCGCAAGAAGAAGCTTGGTGTAAACCATCCCGACACGCTGACGAGCATGGCCAATCTCGCTTTCACCTGGAAATCTTCAGGTCATCAACGACGAGCCCTTGATTTACTACGAGATTGTCTGGTCAGACATAAGCAAATATTGGGGCTCAATCACCCCCAAACCTTATCTATGTCTACAACATTGCTGGAATGGGAAACCGAGAGGTTTAATGCTGATAGTTAGGGGAGCGGCTTACTTGAATGTGAATTTTGTATCTAGCAGCAGGCTCTTCTTTGTAGTGCAATTTGCTAATATCAATTTCGACGATGAAAGACTTTCATTTACCCGGAAAAACAGGCACTGTATATGGGTGCGTAGATAACATACTAAGGTTCCATGTTTATATTGCATTTAATGCTTCGTGTGTACTTCCCAAAAGAATGTCCCAATGAGACAAGTAGATGGATTGCCGTCAATAAGCTCAAGGGGCTGCAAGATGCTTTTTTTCTTGGTAACAGTATTACAAGTAGTTTAGTGAGCATGATGGCACGTGATAAAGCCTTTCAATACGATTCGATACTTGAAACCGAGCTAAGCCGCAAGTAGGTTAGCGTGTTTCGGACTGGGGCTCGAGATAGATTCTGTGTATGCGAAGTGGTGAAACTGATTTCGATCCTCCCTGTAAACAGTGGAAAGACCGATACTTCCAGAGATTGAAGGATTGTACTAGGTGTAGCAAAGATACCTGTGCCAATAACTCGATTGAATATCAATAGAGTATCGAATATGCCAATCTACCGACGGCTATCGGTTCATGCTTCAAACACATTCCTTTCGTCTGCACATGTGTTCAGATATTAGATTTCATAGCCATCACACGTTTGAGAGAAAGAGAAAGCCATACATAGTCCAGAAATTCTACCCACTGGTTGAAGAGAGTCGCCCTATGGCTCACGGAATTTCTCGAACGAGAAGGCTCGCTGATCTGCCTGTCCGACGAGTCCGTCATGGCTGTTTAGACTTCTTATTTCCAAGAGGTGCAGATGAATTATGTTTACTCCAACTGATTTGAGTGCAATCCCGCGGTCAAGTTACGAATCACCGCGGTGTATAGTATGGCGTGCTGCCGCTGATGTGATGCAATTGGCCAGCCCTTCTGAATGCCACCTTCCAAGGCACAATTGATGGCTGGCGATAGTGGGTCCTAAGCTACTCAGTCTATCGAGTCTCGGGATGTGCGTGGAATATGTTACTTCCTGGTTCAATAAAATGACAAGAAACGAGAGATGAGAATATTTAAAGAGATTAATGTATCCGGATAGATATTCCTATTCACTTTCTGCTCAGATTGATGTACCTTAAGTCTGCATTTAGCGATCGCTCTAGACTGGCCGAGACCTGAGATCGACCCTGGTCGCCTTCTAGATAGAGTTAGATCGACCCTCGGAGCTTTTTATGGTTCAGGCCGTGTCCTCCGGATGGATCGACAGGGTCTAAGCTCAGATTTAGTGAATGATTAAAATCATGATCATACATAATTGAGTTCCGATTGACCTCGAATCCAAGAAACTGAGATAATGATAATGATAATGATTGATGGCCCACATGTGCATCAAATCTCGTCGTTTCAGATGTTTCGAGGTCTATTACTACTCAGTTGTATTTACTAACCCTTCAAATTTGAAAGGAGCCGTTAGTGCCAACCGGGGCTTATGATACAGCTAAAAAAGCAAATAATGACCCATAGCAATTGATCACGCCATTGGTTCAAAGGTTTGCTTAGATGATGCAACGAGGTAGCATTTATTGAGTTGAAGGATCAGTGAACTCAGAAATGGCATTGATCCCTTCCAGAATCCCTGGGTGAATGCATAATCGAGTCAGATGTTGGCAAGGCAAAGTATATTATACTTTCTACAGCATCCAGAACCGGTCAACGTAGAGAAATCGGGCATACAGTACTACTTTATCATTACTCTTTTAAACCTTTGTGGTAAGGCGATACAATTAGTAAATATTAGGCACAGGACTGGAGATTTCAGAAATAAAGCATGTCTCATCTAGGCATCACATATATGCAAGTAAATCCACCAATTCCATTCCAATCATGATCTTCATTCATAACCAAACTCCCAGGCCTAGTGCATAAAGTTCAAAGACAACACGAATAAAACAACAATGAGAAAAGGGTCAATCTGTATACCAAGCCAGATCAACGCCAGTAGAAGCAAATCCAAAGCAACTTGATAAATGGGAAAAAAAAAAAATACAAAAACGACTCAACTCCTGTTCCCGTGTGCATGGGATATATGGCGGATGTTATAAAATTTGGACAAGAATCGAGGGCATCATGAAAAATGTGAGCGACAGTTAAAGGTCGAACCCAAGTAAAGGATTAATCCCTCGAGGGAGATAAAGAGGAAAGAGACGCAAAGGTCATCAGGCCACAATGGCATATAAACAAAGCAGCACGCATTGCTTCTTGGCTGAGAATAAAATTAAAAATTCATCGAGGTGGCGTGGCTCCAGTGGCGTGCGAGATGGGGACCAAGTTGGAAGATGGCATTCGACCACCACCCATGGTGGGTGTTGGCAATGATGATCGTTTGGAGAGCACAGCAAGCTTTTTCCGGAGAGATGTCAAACGGCCACGCATGCTAGATACCACTACGCGGGACATTAGCACTTGGACAGAATTGATAAATAATCAATGACCAATGATCATCACTTACATTTAACGAGCACTTGGCGATCCTCCCCCTGCATGTCATCTGAAGTCTTGTCACTGGCGTATGAGGTTCCTTGCTGATCACCCGAAACACCCGAGCTCGACTGTGATCCGTCATCCTCAAGGACTGCCTCCAACATACGAATAGCAGTAACATAGGCAATCTCGCAGCCGGCTAGATCTTCACTGGTCAATTCGTTGATGGCTGCAGCACGACTCATCTCCAATGCCCGGTCATACATCAGCCTCTCGGCGGTGACTCCCGGGCTAACAACAACGTCGGCTGATCCATAAGAGGCCGTAGTAGAACCGACAGAGCGGTTATCTGGATGGCCGGGATGGTCGAGTGGTAATCGCCTTTGAGCTTCAATGAGCTTCAAGCGAACGAACTCGGCCTTCTCTAGTACTTCATTGAACCGACTTCGGACCCACTGAACAACATTGTTGATCCGAGTGCCAGCCAAGGCGCTTGTACCATCGCTTCGGCTCGAATGGTCTCCATAGGCCTCTTCTCGGTTTTTCCGGGACCACCATGCCCCTGCAATGTCCATAGACTTTGCAAGTAATGAAAGGGCTTTCACGTACAGAACCAGCGCTTCCTCAGATAGGGTAACAATAGCGTCGATGGTCAAGCCGTCATCACCATGATCATCAGCATCGGCAGTTCCAGATGGTCTTGGATGATCGGGGTGAGCTGAAGGTGCCAAGGGGATAAGTTGCTTGTACTTCACCTCAGCGAATCCATACACAACGTCACTACGGGTCGCACATTCTTCAATGACCGAAACTGTCTTGTAGTCTTCATCGACAGCGGCATTAGTCTTAGGTCCCTCTCCCATTAACATTAGACTCGTTTGAGCAGAGGGGTAGGCCGGGAATGGATTGTAGGCTAGAGGTGGCGATCGCCCTCCTTTGGTGACAGCCATCGGAGGTGAAAACCCCATGCCGAAAAGACGGCCGCTAGCCATATTTAGAGCCTTGGAAATTGCCGATGTCGCCGACGTTGGGCTCTGTCCGTACCGACGCTCATATGAATGCTGGCGCTGATGGGTGGAGTCTGCTCGGGCACGATTGGTAATAATCTGCATAGCCTTGGAAGCGTTTCCATGCGGAGAATTTGATGATACGCTTGGCAGTCCCTGTGTCGTTGCACGTCGAGACATAGCGCCTGTCGGCCCCCGAGGAAATCCACCTTGAATTCGTGGGCTGTGCGCCAGCTCGTCAGCAAAGGCATTGACCTCGACTGCTCGCTTTTCCACAACAACGTAGTCTCTCTCAAAGGCCACTTCTTGAGCCGCTCGTTCGTGTTCCTCTTGGGAACGGACAACCTGTGACTTAGAAGGTCCGGAGTACGTATTGCGGTTTCGCTGTCGTTCCATCGCATCCGCCGCAGCGTTTCGATCAACAAGCTCCTGTCGCCCAGGGGCTGTGGCATAGGCGATTGCAGCTGGTCGTTGGGGCATAGTACTACCACGGGTATTCTGCTTAGAAACGCCCGAAGCTGGCTTGTCTGTACTTCCCAGCCGACGCATCGGTGAGGAACTTAATGGGGTGTCTGTAGATTTTTGATGATTGACGGATGGTCGATGGGGAGGGGGATATGTCGCGGGTTCTTGATCCGTAGAATACGGTGAATCTTTATCGGATTTCAAATCCGGTTGAGGCCCAGTCCTGTATGGTCTCGGTTCATTAAGATCATCTGCAGATGGACGTCGCGGCGGTTGGGGTGCGTCATCAGCCACTAATCCAGGGATTGGATCGATAATAACATTGTTATTGAAGAACTCGGGGAAGTTCAATCGTTCGACTGGGTTCCGCTTCAAGAGGCCCCGGATCAATTTCTTGATATTATCTGAGGCTGGGTTATCCTCTGGAAATCGAATTCGATCCTCTCCCTTTTCAATCCTGCGAAGGAGCTCGACGTGGTTTGTAGCCCTGAATGGAGGTCGCCCCACAACCATCTCATAAAGCACAGTTCCAACGGACCATAGATCAGCTTTCGCATCATACTTCTCGTACCGAAGGATTTCAGGCGCCATATAAAGCGGGGAGCCGCACAAAGTCTCTGCCAGTGAAGTCGCTGGTAAGGACCGCGCAAACCCGAAATCGGCAATCTTGAGCATTGGTAAGGATTCAAGACCTGTGATCGGCTCGTAAGAGTCATCACTGCCCTTGAACGGGATGGCTTGGGCCGTGCCACTCCGGTACGAGGAAGGTGAAGGGCAAAGCAGGAGATTTTGCGGCTTTATATCTCGATGAATGAGGTTTCGATCTCGAAGAAACTGCAAAGCGCTAGAAAGTTGTTTCAGGAAATGTCGAGTCACGACCTCATTCAACGCTCCACCTGGGGGATTCGGGTACTTGGCGATCATATCGCGGGTGTATCGATGGCCAGCAAGGGTATCACGGCGCTTAATGAAAAGTGACAAGTCTCCCAAGGCACAGTATTCCATAACCAAGTGAATGTGTGAAGTTGACTCGTGGCAGTCGATGAGCGCGACAATATGCGGATGGTGTAGGCCCTTGAGGATATCGATTTCGGAGGAAAGGTTGTCTTTGAGCTTCTTGTTAAGCTTTGACATATTGACGGACTTGATGGCTACAAAGGTGCGTGATTTCTAGATTAGGACCACAGGTTAGTGTCAAAGATGCTTTCCAAGAGATCAACACCTGTAACTCACAGTATGAACGCCCTGGTAGACCGTTGCAAAGCTTCCTCGACCAATCTCGTCGAGTCGTGTGTATCGCCCGATCGACATCTCAGGGCGCGTTGACTCGCGAGACCTCCGGGAGTGTTGGGAAGTCATGGCTGCGGAGCAGCGGGAAGGCTGCTCTGGTGCAACACAGAGAAGCTTTGGGAACGATCCGTATTCAACCACCCCTTGTCAACCACAACTACCGCAGAAGTACTGAAGACGCCGGACACAGGTAGAAGCCCATCAGGGGAGCCAGAAGGCAGATGTAGCTCTCGGTAGTCCTGAAAGAACGGAAGGACGAGGGACTACCGGGAGAATGAGTGTGGAAAGAACCTGTAGGTATTGCCGCGCGGTTAGACCGGTTCAAGCGGCTCAGTCGCTGTGAAGCAGACTTTAGATGACGAGCACCTAGACTCGCGATCTAGAAGATAAATGGTGTGTTCAAGTTCTCCAATAATGGTTTAGAGCACAAGTGAGCCAAATGGTGGCGTATGGGCAGCTTGGGAGGTTCTGGAATAGGGAAAGTATAAGAGGGGGGAGGTGAACCAAAGTTGTGGAAAATACAAGGTCTAATGAGAGAGAAGGATGATGTGATGATTGAGGCGGGAGAGCTGGACCCAAGGACCGTGAGGGGTGTGACCGCCAAATGGAAATGAGTGTGATAGGGCGAGGGCGGTCAGGAGGGGTGGGTCACTAGATCGGATGAATTCAAGTTGTCTCAAGTATTTTGAAAGTATTAGAATGCTAGAAATAACAAACAAGAAAGAATGAAAAAATAAGAATAAGCTAGAGAGAGATTGATGACATGGGAATTCATGGGGAAAAGGGGGAAAACTAGATCATGCAGGCGCCAAGTGAGAGTACTCAAGCTACTTTGATCCCCCGAAGTCACTAAATATGGGGAGAGATATCGATTGGTCGCGATTAGATAAAGCCCGAGATCGGCACTGATAACCCCCTAAAAGCTTATCGCAAGGCAGAAAACCAGATAGACTAGAGTCAAAATACATCAATCACTATGAAAGAAAGTCGTATAGATTGAATCCATAAGTCATAATTTTAGTATACAGAATTTACAAAGGCGAAAAGTTTCCGCCATTCTATACAAGGATCCACTAATCTCCAGGCATCAAACACCTAAGCCCCGCACCAACAGCCACAGCACTACGGGCACCACGACGTTATCATTGCAGCCAGTTAGGATCGCCTCGGTGGCGCTCGTTCCACCTGCCGCTAACCCGGCCTTGCAGGCAGTCCAGAGCCAAAACCGAACAGTCGAGGTCGGTGCCTCGATCCATTCGCTGCCAGCCACTGGCCATCCTCCCACCATCAGCCAGGCACGAACAGCCAACAATCCAACACTGACCGCTACCACAAAAGCCACACTGCCTTCCAGCGACTTGCCCCCGCCCCAAAACCACTTCAATTTTCCGTAGCGACGCCCAATAAGCGATGCCGCTGCATCACCCATCCCAACACAGATGACTCCACTGACCATGCTGGCGTCTCGCGCAGGCACGTCCCAGCCAGCCCATGGGCCCTGATCATTGCGATCGAGATCGGAAAGCGATAGCCAAAGGGGGATAGAACATCCGATTAGCAGAAATATGTGCGAAATAATGACAGGCCCACGATGGTCGCGCCCGTCTACGTATGGTGCCAAGAAGTAGGTCAATGGCCGAGAGATGGGAGGTAACTGGGATGCCCGGAAGAGGTCCAGTAACAAAAAGATCGAAAGTGCCACTGCTAGTGCCAGGGCACAAAAGGTCGGATCCACAAACACCGTAGGCAAAAACATCAACACCATCATTCCATGGAATACTTTGCGTCGTGTGTCCACCTCAGCGACCGAGCTTAGCTGGAATACCACAGCCAATCCCATCACTAGTACCAGGATGCAGTATGCACTCAACAAAAGGCGAGTGTTGGCAGGCCCGAAACTAGTTTGACGGATATGTTCTATCCGCCCAAACCAGCAAGATGGATCTTCCAGTGCCGCGTCTGGGCGCGGCGGTAGTTGGATCCAGTACTCCAAATTCAGCATTAGCACCCAGAAGCGAACCGCAGATATGTTGCCAAACATGTATCCAATGGCCCATCCAAATGGATCTTGGCCTTGCAGGGCCCGGTCGGCCACGTATTTTCGAATGGGTCCCAAAATTATGAATAGTGACGCAGTGTAGATGTACAGTGCATATAACCATTTTCGGACTTGCGCCTGCGCTGCAGTCAGCGATAGAAATGAGGCGAGCCCAGGGCCCATTAATTTCTTGCGCCGGCCACCGGGCGTGGTCCGGACTCGTTCTTCTTCTTGCACAGCCTCGTCGAGAACGGAGATGGTATGCCGGCGGCGCTGTCGCTGTGCAGTGCGATGGTGCTTTTCAAAGCCTTCCTCCGCTGTAGTATTGCCAGCGGTAGGCACGGGCTCGGCGGAGGGGGCTTTCTCACGCATGCTTTTCGCCTTGCGCGGCATCGGAACCGTACCGGGACCATCACTGTCCGATGTAGGCTCATCGGAAGCGCCCGTCCCACTCAGCCTCTGACATAGACGATGGTCCATCATGTTTATGAATCGCCTTGGCGATTGCGAACCGCGTAATGAGCGGCGGAACTTCCAGCTAGGTATCCGGGCCAGGATAACCTCCCAACGCAAGACATCCCGCCCTAAAGCAAATAGACACATCCCGCCTAGCCATAACAACGCTTTCAAGATCTCCGCCTGTGGCGAGGTCGCAAACAAGTACAAATTCAACAACGCAGTGGCTAACAGCTGAAGCTCGGCGGGAAGGACGCTGGTTGTCAACAAAAAGTCTAAAGTGGGTATCAACGCTTGATGCAAAGGAAAAAGAAGAATCAATGATTCCGCATCGTGCCCGCGGAGCGTCAGCGGTTTGGGAATGGTAGAGTCAAGAGAGAAGTGTTCCGAAACGAGGATCGGCACTATTGTAAGCATCCAATGTAGAAGACTCGAGCCATTGGACCAATGCTGTAATGGTATGACCGGTGCGGGGAGAGAGGAGAGACTGAGGATGATGTTTGGCATGATCAAGGCGGGGCGGTGGCTCGCCAGCGATATCGAAACATAGATCGGAATGAAGATCGGGTATAGGAGCGGAGCAGGATCGAAGCTCGCGGGAATATGAAAGAATGGGCGTTGGGATCCATTTGACCGTCCCCGTCTCCTTGCAACACGGAAGATGACAGGATATGAAGCATACAGCCCGATCAGTAATAAACCGTGGGTAATGAGCTCTGCGCCACAATCAGTAACAATCGCACGTTTCCGCCAGTTCATCTTAAAAAGTCGCCGTACCTTTCTTCCATTCCCACGCAAGTGAGCGCGCTTCTCTCCGTAATAGAACTACCGCCCCCACCGACAGGAGAAGCGCGGTCTCTAGCAACCGGCGCAAGATCTCAACCCGCCTCTTCGCTTTAAGCTGCCGAGTCTTCTCTGCCTCTCCGTCTGCCTGTTTCTCGTCCAAACTCCTCCGGGAAGCACGGGTAGACTGCCGTGCAAGTGATGGCCACGGATGTAAGGAAGGTAACCAAGCATCGGAGTCCACAAAGCCATTTCCACCGGAGCGCAGACCCTTTCGCGGTCGGAGCGGCGGCGCAGGAAGGCCTCTCAATATTCCTGTGCTCTCATCGTCTGCCTCGGTGCCACTGTCGCTAGGTGTGCGCGAGAACTTGGAATAAGTGAGCGGCTGAAGGCGGTCGCCTTGTTCCGAGGGAGTGCAGGATCCGAGGCGTCGGCTGTGGTGGTAGGGATGCGGAGAACGAGTGAACTGCCGCAGGTCTTCGGCGATCAAATTGGAGTTTGTGGCAGGTGTGCTGGTGCGTGTGAGCACATCCTGTTCCTCCTGGCCCCGCGGTGAATTCATAGCGCCATTCCTAGATCGATGGGTACGTCATCCCTGGGAGATAGAATGAGCGACGGCGAAGATGAGAGGAAGTCTTGGAAGCGGGGAGAATCAAAATTAATCTTCCTGCAGATCTGAAAGAAAGAAGCAAAAAAAAAAGTTAAAAAAAGAAAAAGTCCGAGATGTTGAAAGCGTCGGAGCAGAACAGTGGATGTTGTTATCTTTACTCAACGCGGAAAGGGATTTTGCCTATCACATGCTCAGGCATGATTATGTACGATCACCGTCATTTCTGAGATCTTCTTTGCTTCATAATATATGTTTATGAAAAGATATCTAATCATACCATTCTACCTTGAATTTCTCATTTAGCCTTTAGGTTGTATTTTTTTTTACTAGTCTCCTATATCTTCTCCTACCACATGGTCCATATCTCCTACGTTCTTTCCAACAGTATTAGTTAAATAGTCGAAGTTTTTCTAGAATGTGAAGAAATGATCCTGAAAATGAATAAACCAAAGTCGGGCTGGGAGCTGGGGGTTTCCAACATATGTCCAAATCTACCCCATACCAATGTGCCTAAGAGCGGTAGACAGATATCTTGAGGACCATACTTTGGCTTGAATATGTGTAATTGTATCTTTATATTTCTATGTACTTCTCCATTAAATACTTGTATCTTGTTATCTGCTAACCCACACCCTTTACGCAGACTTCTTTCCCTCATTTGTGGGAGATCCTGGACTTCCATTACCACTGCTCTCTGCGTGTGCCATACTTTGACTGTCGATGATGTGGCCACTCTCTAGCCCACTAGCATTAATGCTAATGTGGCTCCTCTCACCCTCAAAAAATAATGCATAAGCCTCTTCACCATGGATTGCATCATCGCCAACAAGCAGTTGTTGCTCAGTCATACGCAACGGTATGCGTAGAACATATTGAATGAAAAGGCAGATCAATGTCGTCATGAATATATTGAGGCCAATGATGAACAAGGCACCCACAATTTGCAGCCATACTTGTCTCCCATTACCTTCGATCGCGCCACCGGGATTTGTAAGACCAAACGCGGCACATCCATCAATAGTAGCAAAGATTCCTGTGAGGAAACCACCCAGGGATCCGGCGACCATATGAGTATGAACCACTCCCACTAAAATCAACACGGTCAGTTGACTCTATCATGAGCATGTCAGATCTCCACATGTATACTTACTAACGTCATCCACCTTTTTCATCCATTTCATTCTTCCTAAGACGTTCATCGATATCCAAGGAATTGAGCCTGAGCAAGCTCCAATAACGACAGCGCCCCAGCCTGCGACGAAGCCAGCAGCGGGGGTGATTGCCACAAGGCCAGTGATCTCCCCTTGAACGGCACCTATGACAGATGGCTTCCCGAGAAAAATGTAGTCCAGCATAGTCCAAATGAGCAGACTCATAGCGGTACAAATATTGGTGTTGAGAACAGCAACACCGGCATCAGGGCTTGCCGCATAGGGGTCACCTCCATTGAAACCATTCCAGCATACCCAGAGTATCCCCGCGCCGACCAACATGAGAAGAATGTTGTTGGGGTAGAAGGAGTCCTTATCGCGTTGCAAGCGTGGACCTACCCAGAATGCAGCGGTAAACCCTATAATTGACGCTGTGTTGGAAAAGAAAAGTACTTTCAAGGTATCGAAGTCATTTCGCTGACTTACCAGCAGTACCAGAGCTCAAATGAATGACATATCCGCCTGAATAGTCTAGGACTCCCATCTTGTTGAGAAATCCCCCGCCCCAAAGACTGCACGTGTTATCAGTTAACCCATTTCATCCGTCAAATCATTTACTAGACGACAAACCTGAACGCCCCAACAGTATAACTAAATGTGATCCAGAGGGGCACAAACACCATCCATGCCAAAAGACTCATTCGGCCTAACAGAGATCCTCCCAGAATGATGACTGTGATAGCCGCGAAGACGAATTGGAAGTAGATCATAGTTGACAAGTTGAAATTTGCTGTGATATCTGCGGCTGGTAAGGTTGCTTGCGCCAGGTTTTGTTTCATGGTTAGGACAGGACCGGGTGTTCCCAACAAAGGAAACTTGCCCCATTGCTCGCCGAATGCCATTTTGTATGCCCAGATAACCCAGCATATAAGGGTAGCGGAGAAAGCATAGAATACCTGGAATTGTTTAGAAGATTATCATCGATCGAAACGTTTTGAACAACGAGCGTACCATGAATGCAGAGTTAATGGCCCATTTTCTATATAAATAATTAGTTTGTGATAGTGAAGTTCCACAACATCCACACATACTTCTTGACAAACCCTGCATAGAGAATCGCAAGTCCGGGAATCGACTGAAGAGCAACCAGCGTACCAGCCGTTAACTGCCAGGCTTGATCACCCTTATTGAGCCAGCTGTATGATTATCAATAAGGTTGTGTATAAACAGATTTAAAGTGTGCATAGCTCATAACTTACTCTGGATCTGGATTGGTTAACGCTGTGGCAGACATTGTCGAGGAGAAGAGAAATGTTAGTCCAGCAGATGGTAATGGAATAATTTTCCGGAAATTATTGGACAGCCTGTGGTACAGGCAAGGAGCACGTATTGCTCTGTCCACGCAAGCGTGTATGTATAAGTACAAGAAAGATGATGCGCTACGGGGGCGACTGGGAAGTTTTAAAAGTCAAAATTGAGCTCTGCCCAGCATTGGACATGGTCTAGATCAAAAGCAGCAAGGCTGACGGTGAACCCGTCTCCATTATACTATTTCAAAGAAGGGACTCAGAGATAAGACGAACTATGTTTTCAGAACCAATAGAAATGGTCACCTTGTGGTCCGGTATCAAGCATCACACCATGACACACGAAGATTCCGATCAACAGAACGATGATTCGTTGATAGTTCTACTATCTCTATCAAATTCTGCTCCTAACTATTTTGGGTTTCTTTTCCCTTGGTATTTCGGACTAAGCTCTCCCCATGTGAACTTTTCAGAAAGCTTATCTCTCTCATCCAGCACTATTGGGTCGAATCTGGGGCATTAATCTGCAGGGGATTGAACGATGACGCTGATAATACGGGGTGCCAATCCGGTATCATTTGGTTCTAATTCGCTGCAATTAAGCCACCCCAACCCCACCTACAACAGATCAATCAACTTCCATCTCCTTATCTTTTGGATGTTTGCAGGTTTTATTTACTATGAGCGACTTTTATCTCCTGGGATTCAATTTGGCAGTTGATGAATGGTGGGATCAGCCACAATACCAGTTGATTACCATCATCTGATCGATTTTGTTGTGTCTTGTAACCGAGCTAATGCGGGGAACGAGGGGAACAAGAAAAGAAAAGATAATGAAAGGAGATGACGATGAAGTTGTGGGTCAATATTAATCTGGGGTAATGCCAAGCAACCCACCTCTTGGCTTCTTTATCTGTCCAAATTGTGTGCGCCACGATTCCCACATACTAAGACACGCCTATAATCTAGGTGAATTATGTAAGTATATGGCCCATTAGCCTCAAAAAATTAGAAATAGCTCCGCTAAATCACTTCAGACATTGATTTGACACTAGCATGGTACCAGAATGTTGAGATTCTGGAAACGTCATTCCTGGTATAGGCTCCGGGGTACCGAGCCTGATGGGAAAAGTGGCAGTGAAGGTAGAGGCAGATTAGGTCCTGGTGATGTTTCCACTGAGAAAGACTTGTCACTGCCTCAAGCCAACAGATGGGGCCCTACGGAGGACCAAGAGCGATATATGAGCTTTGGTATTGGTGGTGCGGGAAACATTCGAAGGCAAGTGAAATGCGAACCTATTTTTTCTAAAGCACCCCCACTCAATATGATATGTTCTGTATATTCAATAGGCTGATAGTTGGCTCCATTTTTCTAGGGTTTCCCTCCAAAATGGGCAATACTTCAATGTTTGAAGAGCCAGAGCCAGCGACGTGAGATTGCGAACATTGAAGTAAAACAGTCCAACTGTTCAGGCTATTTCAATGTTGAGTACGAATAGTTGATGACCCTCCTTTATATGTACCACTTTGATGCATCCTTGAGAAAGGCAGAGAGAGAGAGAGAGAGAGAGAGAGACAGAGAAAACAGCCTTGGAAAGAAACAGGTACTGTGCAGAAAGGCGATTTCCTCACCAGCCCGGCGCAACAGCAAATGGTGTCATTTTGTTCTAATTCGTTCATCATTTCAGTCATTCAAGATTCTTTTTGCAAATCAAATAGAGCCTTGCTCTTTCTGTACAACGACTGCGGCTTTCAATGGTCGCCCTTCGCGGCCCCAGATGGAACGACATGGGACCAACTGGCCGGACCAGAGCTCCTCGGCCATGGGTTGCGTAGTGAATATGACCATCTGAGAGAGATCCTGGGTCTGATAATGTGTGCTCATCAACGATCGCAGTCTGTCTTCCAGAGATCCCAAGGATACATCGCTCCCAAACTCCTGGCAAATATAGCTGTATCTGCCGTCAATGTTCGTAGAGACTGAGTCCTGTTTACTCTCTAGCTTCGCTTGTTGGCATCGACTACCTAAGCCCTGCCACTCGATATCACTGCCCCGAGGAAGCTCATCGACTTCCACGGCAAGGAATGGCGGGATAGCAAGGGCATCTTCGGAATCAAGGACGGAGAATTTGGGTAAGCTAACGGAACCAGCTTCAGGGATGAGCTCTTCCGCTCGGCGTCCGTACTTGATATCCCATGCATCAAGCTGCGGGCCCTCATCCTCATCGTCATCCTCTAAATCATCAGGACGGGTGTGCATCTTCTTCCAGAGATGCCATGCCACCTTGGCTTGAGTCTTGATATGCTCTCCGCCGGTCAAGAAAGCCACGGCTCCTAGCCACCAGTCCACTTCCATCGATTCACCTATCCGCCACAGGTGCTGGAGAGCCAAAACAGCTCGAAGATGGTAATCCTCCAGCCACGATTTTCCTTCCGTGGCCACCTCCATCGAAGCGGGCTCAAGAGGAATCTGCCCAGCAATGTAAACTACCCTACTTTCGTCACGTAGAGGGATAGACATGGCTTGGGAGTAAGGGCCGATATTAGCCGGTGCCCAGTATGAGCGCGATTGAACGTGCAGTCCCTGGCGCTTGTTGCGTGGTCCTAAGTCCACCACAAAGGAAACCATGACCTTCACGTTGGATGGGAGTGAGTCACCACAGGCCACGGTGACCCGCGCAGGGGGGTTGGGTTTCTTGAATAACGAGACATAGACATTATTCATCAAGGTAAAATCTGCCATTGAGCGCAGCAGCACGGTAGCAAAGACGATGTCCTCTGTAGACCTAGCTCCCGAATCAGAAGTAAATGACTTCATCGCAAGCTGTACTTTGTCGACAATCGCACTCATCTGCTCACCAGCATCAGGTCCAGCTTCCGGTGCTACCAAATTCGCCATCGTCCATGTTGATGCAGATCGATAGTTCCGTGGCTCGCAGACAGACCAAGCAGGCGCCGGTTCACGATTCTTGCCAATGATCTCATCTGTATCCACTGGCAGCTCAATCGATGCAGAAACATCCTTCAACGCAGCAGTGAACTGAGCATCCAACAACGCAGGTCTCCTCACATCACTCGGCTCATACTTCACCTCCTCGGACGACTTAGCCACACATCTCGCCCCCTTCAATTTCAAAAACCCCACACCCCCCTCCCCAGTCCCAACATCCCGCCCCTCAATCTCAATCCTACTCTTCCAAAGAAAACTAGGCCCATCCAAAGCCAAAGTCTCATATTCACCCCCCTCCCCCAAAACCGCCCCCCGAATATCCTCCGCGGCAAATCTCCCCATCCCCCTCGCCATCCGTCTCCGCAACGCCCGCCCGCCATTCCCAGATCCAGAAACATTCTCCCACAAATACGCATCATCCAATCCACCTGACGCAACCTTAATCATCCGAGCATCGCACCCCACCGCTGCCATATCCTCCAACAAACCCGCCTCAGTGACAGCAAGGGGATCCGCATCCCGCTCAACCGGCGCCGGGAGCTGGGGATACATCCACAACCAGGCGAGCGGTACAAGACCTAATCTGCCAGCGATATTCTCAATTCGAGTCCGCTGGTACGTGGATAGGATAGCTCCAGCAGAAACGGCATTAGCTTCTGGGTGAGTTTCCATGACACGGCGCAGGAGTGGGACGAGAGATTCGGTTTCATCATCATCATCATCTGTTCTTGTTTCGGCTGCTTGGTCTGCGGCATCGTGTCGGTATATTCTTGAAGTATCGACTGCTCCGCCTGTGATGGCTGCGCGATAGAGTGGGATTCCGAGAGCGGATTCATATAGCGGGATTATGCTGTGGCCGATTGTTTGGTACATGAAGCTGTCGAGATCGGGTTCTTCATCGTCATTTCCGGTGGTCTTTTCTCTCAATTGTGGGTGGAGGTTTGCTAATGCGACGACTTTGTGGCCGTTGCGAATGCAGTGCAGGATGGAGTAGAGGGAGTCTTTTCCGCCGGAGATTAGGGCGATGACGTTTAAGCGCTGGGAGGTTGATTGAGATGGCATTTTGGGGTGTGAAGGGATTGAGGAATAGTATACTTCCAAGGTCCAATCCCTGCCCTAGATTGAGCTATTGGTAAGTGTGATGCATGGGGGTTTTTTTGGTTCTCCCCGCCTCGTCTTATCGATAGTGTGATAAGGAAATAACACCAGTTGGCGATAAATAATCTGGTATATTGGGAACGCAAGTTTGGACATAGACAGTCCACCAATTCTTAGGGTGGTATGTCCAGACTTTTGCGGTCTGACTGTACCTCTTCCGTATGCCTTTTGGGTAGTGGACTTGGACTTCGAATATCGTAGAATCCTACACCTTTTACTTTTCACTTATGAAATCAATATAGAGGGAATTATGCTTGGAATTTGATGTTGCTAAATCCACACCGGATGAAGATGACCTGAGACCAACACAAAAGGGCAAATGCAATACAAGAAGGGGTATGAAAATGGGGGGATAATGACAAGAATAAAATGGGTGGGCGAAAATAACTTATACACGAATGTGACCAGCACACGAAAAGCTCAAAAGATATTACATCGAAATAAACAGTTGAAAGAGCAGAACGAAACGAAAGCGAAAGATGAGAAAAGGATGAGAAAGGACCAAAATTCGAAACAAAATGGTCCGAGGGAGGAGAGTGAGAGTCGAACTGCCCACGTTGTGTTTTCGTGTTGGTGTTCAGGTTCAGTTGAAAGAGAAAAAGACAAAAGAAATAACAAAGGAAATCCAACACCAAAATCCTGCCACCTGTAACCGAAGTGGACAGGACGCCATCTATTTTGGTTCTTTTTCCGCCCTCTCCCTTTCATGGATTCCGAAAAACGCCCATGAATAGAAAGAACTTCTCCCAAAAAAAACAGCCCTCGGGCGTGTTTGTTCCACCCGATTCCGATAAAGAGATGCAAAAGAGAACCAAAATGGTGTCATGCACCGATGACCATTTTTCCGACACCAGTAAATGCCCGCAGACGCCAAACCCAATCAAGACACGCTTGAGCTTCCTTGAAAAAAAAACCCCAGGCCGAATGTATGTTATTATAAATGCAGTAGGAAGCTCTTGGTCTCATGAGAAAAATTCATCAAAGCCCAAGATTGAAGACTTAGAAGTCACGCTTGCGCTTCTTTGCCTGTCGCCGGTCGGGACTGGCCTCGGTAGACGGAGACTCGTACATGACGGCCCCCAAGGCACCGGCGTCTTGGTCATCATACGACATGGAGGCCTCGTCCAAGACACCCATGACCATGGATCCGGCACCGTGAGTACGGGCGTGCTGAGCCAGGTTATCGCTGCGAGAGAACTTCTTACCACATTCGTTGCACTCGAAGGGCTTATCCTGAGTGTGCAGCGAACGGTAGTGGCGCTTCAGGTGCTCCTGACGACGGAATCGACGCGAGCAGAGAGTGCAGACAAAAGTCTTGGACGGATCCTCGGTCAGAGACTGCTTGCGACCGCGGCGGTTGACCGACACAGGGGTCGGGTCCGAGTCGGTGCAGCAGCTGTCAGCTCCAGGGGAGTGGGAGTGAGACACGGACATTGAGCGCTCAATCTCTTCGTCGATATGAACGGTCTTGCGGGATGACTTGCGGTTGCCACGCTTCTTGGTCTTGGGCTCCTCCTCATCGGCCTCGGACTGGGCGGACTGAGTCGACTCAGTCCAGTCGAAAGATGGAGGACCGTTGGGAAGGACGAAAGTTTCGCTGTCGTCCGAGTCCTCGATGCTGTGCTCGCTGAGGAATCCGTCATCCTCGGCCAGGTATTGGTGCATCCGCTGGCGCTTGTCACCTAAATAAACTGCATTGGCGGCGGGGTGGAACTCCACCAGACGATTGATCTCATCGTCCGAGTCGAGGTCCGAGAAGCTGTCAAAGGTCGGAAGGGAGCTCAAAGGGTCCTCGTTCGACGAAGTGTAAGACGGAGCAGGGTTCTCGTTGACGGGGAGGGTCACAGACGCACTTCCCACGACGGCACGAGGCTGGTCCTCTTCGCAGGAGAGGGTCGGCAGAGGAGGAAGGTCCTGAGGAGTGGCCAAATTCACCGAAGGCTCGACCGTAAGTTGGCGTGGGTCACAGAAAGAGGCACCATGGTGCCCATTCAAGCTGTGGGATTGGGAGAGAATGTCGGTGGGGACGGGAGACGGAGAAGGGGAAAGCGAGGGGCAAGAGTGGGCGGAGAGGAGATCCGAGTGGCTTGCAGTAAGTGATGGCGGGTGGATGAACACTATTTCCAGGATTAGCCTTTGTCACATTTTGAAGACCCTTGCATACAAGTATATGACGGTTTAGGCCATATGCATATGCATCTAACTTTTGACATCTCTAGTTGATCAATCACTTACCAGGTGTCATTGGAGGCGAATCAGTGCGGGTCCAATCGTGACTGGCCAGAAGCTCGGTGTGCACATCGGTCTCACACCCCTCCTTGACGCCCTCTACCTTGTCAAAGCCAAAGAAGCTGTCGTGGATCGGGGTGTGCAGAGTTCCATGAGCGGACGGAGGGCTGCTAATGCTGCTCACCGAGGATGACAGAGGTGGCGTAGATGGGAATCCGTACATGTCATGGCTCAAGAAGCGTGTGTCCAGTGGCATCAAGATTGGAGAGCCTTGTTGCACGATGATGGAGGGCTTCATCTGAGAAGGCTGGGGCGAGGCGATGGGGGTCATGCTCATGCTGGCACCACGGAAAGCGTTGGTGGTGGCCATCTGGTGCATGTTCATAGCCGGAGACTGGTAGATTGGTTGCTCCATTCCCCGATTCGCGTACTGTGACTGACCATACCACGGCAATTCTGATGGCTGGCTAGTGTAGTGACCTTGTTGCTGTGTAGAGTTATCGTAGTATGCAAACGAAGGTTGTCCATGGACCGAAGTGTATGTTGAGTCCATTGTAGAAGACTGTTCATGCCAATTTGGTCAGCCATGGGTTCCTTCCCCAATTCATAGTTTCCCTTGCTCTTGCCACCATTGAGTGCTCATACCTGTGTATAGATTTCAACAACGAAGGTTGAATTCCAAAAAACGATGTATTAGGTGTAGTAAGTTGAGATGGGATGTAGCTGGTTCGAGGGTGCGTCCTTTTCACGATATGTAAAAAAGAATGAATGGGATGAGGACACGAGTATTAGGTGTAGCGAGTAGTGTTTGTAGTGTGTGTTCAAAAATGAAGGACAGGATCCTATTAGATAGGAAACCGGAGTGGGAGACAAGGGAAGGTGAAGTCCAAATAAGTTGCTATAAACCGTCCCAAACCCAAAACAGTCGAGAGGGACTAGTGGGAATAGGAAAGAAATAAGAAGGAAAAAAAAGAAATAATCCCAAATCAAAAAATAAAATAAAAAATAAAGAGAGACACGATATGGAGGAAAGGAAGGGAAAAGGGGAGTAAGAGCAGCAGCGGTGGGTTAAATGAGTGATCTGCTTTCTACTGCCGGGTACGGATACACTATACAACACAAGTTGAGTGGGTCGACCTTTATTTGATTTGATTTTATGGATTTTATGGATTTTTTTGATTTTATTGGAAAAAATAAGGGAAAATAAATAAAACAAAATTCAGTAAATCAGTCTGGGGCGGGATTGGTGTGTAACTCTTGTGGGGCTTGTAACTTACCCAAAGGGACGGGGGCACTGGCCCGCATCCTGTATCGGGAGGGAGCCCACTTCGGTCGGAGCGCCCAAAATGATTAGTGGAGTCAGCGCACGAGTGCTACGCGCTGGAATGCGGAGAGGAAGAGGCTGTGCTGATTTAATTTCATTAAGAATCAAGAAATCCGTCCCATGAGTCCATGGTATTGGTGGTGAGGTATAAAAGATATAACACCAATAAAAAAGCATACAATGAATTACTTGTTCCTCTCTAACCGCCATACCCTCGTGTATATAAACATTCTCTCACTGATTTGTAGGAATGAATCATGTCAGGCACACAGTCAAACTAAAAATTGGGAAAATGGCGTGGTGTGGCCACGAGGTGCACGGCGATTGGATCCAACTATGGTGACAGCGGCAATCAGTTTGCCCTCTTATCAGTTCCCACGCTAACACCACACCAATGGTCGTGCCCCTAAGGAATTTGGTCCTTGTTTAGCCCCACGCGTGTCCCGTCTTCGTCATTTTGGCTGCCAGGAAACAACATTAAACACATTTGCGATCGACAATCTGAACCACCTTGGACTCACAATTCCCAGTACATTCGACCCATGCGATCAACATGTGGAAACCTTCTTTCCCTGGTGTGTGTTCAGAGGGCATTTCGGTGTGTGCTCAGAAAATCTGTCTATCCATACCTGATTGGGTTCAACTTCTCGTAGTCTGCATGAGTTAGGCCTCGCTCATTTCCTGCCGATCAAAGACCATCAACGGTGGCGACCAGCGTGCGACCAGATCGTGAAACGGCCGGCATTGGCTCTTCTCAATGGCGCATCTGTTCCACCCTGGTCAGTTTCACATGGTCAGCCAAAAGAACAACGGGGGACACCCTCGGTGTAGTGTGATGACCGAAAAGCGTCACCGTTCTGTACTCTCCAGGATCTCATGCCATGCCATTCCATCGACGGAGTGCGGAGTATAATTTGAACGAAATCCCCATCTGTATTACGATGTATGTAACAGGACTTTCCAGCTGTAAGGGTCATGTCAAAGAGGCAAATCAGAAACAAATCCAAATCTCCACCTGTGATGTTCTCAAGTTGCGCGGCCTACTGCAGGAACAAGACTGTGGAGGCACAGCACAGGGAACCATAGGGCTTACTGCTATTATTGGCTGCATCATCTATGGACATCAGCAAGGCTCGAAATGCAGTCTTTGTTCGCAAATCAGCGTGGCGACCGGAGAGATAGTTCCTATTGCCCCAAGTCCACCCATTGGATCATGGTTCCACGCGCATGCATTTCATGACATCGCGCCTACAGTAGCGTGCAGACTATAGCTGAATTTTTCAATATTGGGTTTTCTCAATGATTGGCCTAGGTTTATGTCGCCAAGTGATGTGTTCCGATTCCAATGATGGCACATTTTTGATCGGTAGCGGTAGATCCGGGGGAACGCACAGCTGTGATCAATCAAGTTCAAATCCGATACATCGACTCGTCCGCTCTTATCCCACCTGCACAACGCCACGCAAAGCAAGGTCCAGTGCTATCTCTATGTGACGCGAAGCTTGTGGCACAAACCTATAAGTTTTTCTCTCTTCCAAATGTTTGAGTGGGTTAAGTTTGCCAGAAGTTTGAGTAATTCCACAACTCCCCATACCCACATTATCCACAGAAAATAAACCAAAAATCGAAAAACAAAAACAAACCACAGAAAATCAATATATGAACTAAATAAATAAAATAAAATAAAAGCATCTTCAGCAATCGAACCAAACCACTCACTGCATGCACGCTTCGAGTCCAGAATCAAAAGGCATCGAGTCGCTCATCCTTTCCTTCGGGGGCCCGTCTGGAATGTGCATCAACCTGGCGCCATTGGCCGCTTCTAAACATAGCGTAATCCACTGCCTCGGCTGCCGCTATCCCCAGCACGGACAAAAGCGTCGGGCGGGATTCCCTCTTCTTCCGCTACCAATCACAGTTGACCATTCATCCAAGTGGGAAGTTGTGCCATAAAAGTGGGAAATTGGAGTGTAGAAGCAGCCAAGTCCATTCCCTTCTTGATCACCTTTCAACTCCACCACTATTCCCCGTCTGTGGATTTGCTAGGGATAAATTTTCCCCCCAAGCGATAGGGGGATAGGGTAATGCATGGAAGGCTGTCAATCCTTCTTCGAGAAGGTCAACAACTGAGCTAGTGAGTTAGTGAAAAACCGGCGCCTTGCCTCACTCGGGAACGGGGGAGAATATCTCCGCCAAACGATCCTAAACATTGCATGAACTCGGGACAAAAATAAAGTTGTGATCACAATGTAGCAAATTGCCACACGAGCAATTATTTAACTGACAGAGTTCAGGACTATCTGTGATTGATATTCGTACATTTTTTGGCTTTGCTACTATTTACAGAGAATTGATTATCGTTGCCTTGGCCGCCACCGTTGTCGCACAGACAGTAAATTCCTTCTCGGCCACGGGGCAGCCAAATGCCACCAAAAAAAGAAAAAAAAGGAAATGAAAAAAAAACTACGCCAACGCTATTGATTTAATACAAATAAGATAAACCAAAAATAAAATAATAAAGTCACCGGTACCACGACCATGGAATTGATCTTATAACACGGCAAGGCCCAAAAAATAGACAAATAGAAAGATAGAAAACTAGAAAATGACTTTGCTGCAGCTATAGCTAAAGCTAAAGCTACCCCGACTAACTGTACGGTACCGGAGTCAGGGACGAAATCCATAAGTACAGTATGCAGACTCTGGGTTTTTCGGTGGAGAAGGAAAGAAAACTGGAGATAGCGCACCCGCGCCGGACGGGCGGCTCCTAGCCTCAAAGGAGTGTCGCGGAAGGTCCTCCAGAAAAGCCGAGCGACTCAAATGCTTTCCTATGGAGCTTCATTGTGGACGACACGGGTGAGCTTGGAGCTCCCATGATTCAATGCTTTCATTTCCAAGATAGCGGTCAATGGGAAGTACCATTTCATTAGTCATTTACAGTTAGTATCCGCGAATAAACAAATTACTTATAGAAGATAATGAAAGAGAAAAAAACGGAGCTCTACATGGCCATGATTCAAGTACTTGGAATTGGAGATAGCTGACGAATTAAATACCTCATTGAGAGATGATGGGGCTCATGGGGCACTCGGGGTTTGTGATGCGAGAAACCGTTGGCGATCATCTCAAGCTTGTATCCGAGAGCAAATAACAGATTGATAGAAAAAAAAGCTTTTCAATTTTATTCGAGGCATCATTAATCTCATTGACCTGTCGAGTCTAGGCAAAACCGTTATAACGGAGATCCGGTCGGACCTTGAGGAATTAAATTGATGTATCGGACGTTGGCGCAAGGGTCCAGCACATTCGAATGATCCCCGTTGAAAGCTTTTTGGCTCATGCAGTAGCGCCACCAAGACCCGTAGGACTGACTCGTCGTCTGTAGACTGGTCAACTGTAGGCTTGACAATAATTCGAAATGATGAATTTAACTTGCATTGCTCGAATCAGAACTCGCAATTCTGGTGATTACGACAAGAAAGACAAAAGACCGTTAGACAGCGCTGTGTGGAGACTTCCGAGTGGCTCCTTCGCCTACCAGAATAGATTGTTATCGCCTCGTTTACGAAGCACATACGTATGTTCTCCGCCATTTGCTTTGATACGCAGGACATTATCCGGGCATCCGCCGGCGCCTTTGGACAAATCTGATCAATAACGGCCAGTAGCTCGCTGCAGGGCTTACAGATGGTGCCACCGATGTGAGGGAATGTTTTAAATGGGGTTTATGGAGCTCGGAGTAATGATTACCGTATAGCTATGGAGTATCATTTACATCATGCAATGAATATTCGGAGTGGTATCCCTTGCGGGTAAATCAAAGGAGTCTGAATCAAAACGGCTACGGACACGACCATGTTACGCACTTTACTTGCCGAAGTTCTTCACCAGTTAAGGTTGATATGGATTCTAAAGTTCAACTTTGATGAACTTTGTTAAACTTTCTACTTGTTTGCTAATCGAGAAAGAGTAACTAGTCCCGACTCTACCGTATCCCGTATTTTCTCGGGAAAATGGCGTGCATGTCCCAAAGATTTTTTGACAGTCCCGCCGATCTCCCAAGTAAGTGTAACCTGGACCCATTCGAGTATTGTGATTCGTTCAAGAATTGGGATAGAATTCCCTCGAATCCCAAGAAAATGTGGAGGAAAAATTCCTGTAAGACCAGTTTTTTGATGGGAGATTTTGAGTAATTTCGGTCGGACCTTCCCGCATTCTACCCAGGTAAGCTTGAAATCTGAAACACTAGGTTCACCCTTTACCAGTGGCTTCGACGGAACACGCGTTTTCGAGGCTAATTAGCACTAGTGCCCCGGGGTCTTGGTTACACTCCCGTCGAAAATTCGAGACCCTCATGGCATAAATTCTAAATTTTTACGGGTGACACTTGTAGCGGTGTGAGTGTGTAACAAAAGTACGTGGTAGCATAAATCATAGGGAAGAAGAGGTCTCAAAGATCAGGGCCCAGACGTGGAGTGAAACCAGCATATCATTTTCAAGACAGATGCATGTCTGTCCTGATTAGGAAATAAGTCAGTCGAACATAGATATCACTTCTAACACGAGATCATACATTTAGCTTAGAATGAGACTCTCACTCAGCTTACAGCCACGGTCACTATCTCTAGACATGTCTTGCATCGGATAACCCGGTCCTCCACCAAACGCCCCAATTTGCCACTGTTCGATATTAATTTCAGATGTTGTTCCCCGGCTACCACCTTCCAGGCCACTGGATCTCAATCTATTGTAACGGTTTCTAGTTAAATCCTTCCCAAGGTTTGGCGTTGCGCTCAGGACGCTCCATCTCAAATCGGATAATGGTGACAACCTTGGAACTCGGATACAGTGTCAAGCATGTGTCTGAAACCCAAATTAGGACTGGCTGTACCTGAACCAAGTCCCAAAGAAATGCGGGGATACGATACGAATTTCTCGGCTCAAAACCAGGTTCATGGACATTGATCCATGGGACAGATACACACCGGGGAACCAAATAATTGACGGCCACTTCCGAAGCCCTACTGAACCATAAACATCTCCTCTGGAGATAACTCTGTGGATAACCGAGCTACTCCGTAATCCTCGGCATCTTCCTATCTTTTACTCCGGACTCTCAACTCAAGCAAGATTAGCACAGTCGATCGCCCAAAGTTTCCGCCACGAGGACCATGGATACGACTGGCTCTTGCACCCGACACTATTCCTAGTTTGGTATTTAGTCCCTGTAGATTACCTGGTACGGTAACAGAGCTATGATCACCCTGCTATCCTACAATATCGCTTGTGACTTGCCTTTTCCTTCGTGGACGAGCCAACTTGTGGCCTCGGAGGATAGCATATTATTGACGGAAAAAAACTTACACTTTGACCTCCCCCCTCCTCCCCGGCGCAATTGTGGCGACCAGGAACGTGGGTGAATGGTAAGCATTCTTCCGGTAAGATCTGCTGTCTATCGCAATCAGCACGGGGAACCGGTGGATGGAGCCAAATGCTAGTTTTCTCGGCATCAACCCTGCTAACTCAATCGAAGTTTCTCGACTTTTGTTTTCCCAATTTCAATTAGCTTTTTTGTTCCCCGCAATAAACCACAACCTTCAGGACCTCGAATGAGCTGTTTTTTCCTTTCCTTTTCGGCGTTTATTTTATTCAATTTTTACTTTTTTGGCTTTTTGCGCGGATAAAAGCTTCAATCCATTCAGGAATAAGTGGCTTATCTTTCTCCCCACTGGTTCCAGTTATGTGATCCGCGGTGGACCACAAAGTCGAAAGCACAAATCAGAGATTATTAAGTTCACAATTATTGCCGATGAAGGTTTGGATGTTCAGGAGGGTTTTAGAAATGCGGAGAAGACGAAGAAAGTACTGAACGAATTAGACTCAGCCCGTGTCAAAAAAAATTAGAACTTAGAACTTAGAAAAGAAAGATTATATGTTCCTGGACCGGAAATTGTGCATTAGTGCACCCGATCATGCATAGCCAAGATGGCGTTGTTGGTCTCCCATATTCACTCATTGGCGGCTGTATTGCATCTTGCCCGTAGGACTCCGCTTATAGGTGTAAAAAACCCGAGACACGGTACATGTACCGGCTAGCCCCCGTGAACCAAACGAACTACCCACTGCTATCCTGGGAACACTTCTTTTTTGACTCAGGTACCGTACAACTTGACTTTAAAATTGTCTCCACACACGGAAATCCGTATCTTACTCCGTCCGCTTGTACACACACGATAACTAACTCCGCTATCTGGTTCTGGGTCAATGGAGTCCCCATGAAGGTCCTCGCAATGGTATGATTCCCGATTCCCAGCCAGAACCCTATCGACCCCAGGTCGCTTAGTCTCATATGCAGTCATTGCGTAAGTACCTTGCGCAAGAGAAAGTTACAGTTTTTGGATAACGATGGCGTATCGGAACCCATATCCAAGTTCGGTCACTGGTCTTTCTTCCTTCAACCAAACTTGAGCAGATCATTACTCATTATCAGTCTCACCTCCGTCCCCATTTATTTCTTGTGAATCTCCCGGCAGCTGTGGAAACTCCCATTCATTAGTCTTGGCCTTTCACCGAATCACAGTGTCAAACTTGATTTGCTGAAGAATTTTCCGAAGGGTGCGCCCACTATGAAGAGATCCCGCTCCGGTTTCGCCTTGCGCGATCGAGATCGAGGACCTAACTCCATTTCTTATCTGATAGTTTTGCTCCCACACGGCCCATGACCAAGGAAGTGGCTCCTGTAACATGCATAGTCTGGACCTACCGGGAAAATCAGACGATCCTCCGGTTATCTGGTGTACGTAATGATAAGAGATAAATTTGGGGGTTGTTTACTCAAAGGTGAAGGAATCCACTCGGCAATCCAGCGTGGCGACAAGATTGGGACCCATCCACCTAAGCTGAAACCAATAACTAGTAACGGAATATTGACATGAAACCTGGCAGCGAAAACCTACGTGCCTAGCGCTTGCGTTCACCTACACTTTGCACCAAACACGCTAGAAGGAGGTCAATGAAAAGCTACTGCGGCTAGCGCTGAAGAAATTTTCTTCTTTTCCTTCTGGAAGGTTGACTACGCGGTGCTAACTCTTAGTGTTAAGTGTGGCTACTCTACATATTACACTACTACAAGCCTCTCCACCCTTCTTCACCAGAGCTCATGCTCCAAATGCAAATGCACATCTCTTCACGTGTTCCATGTGGGTATAGCACCGTGTGTCAGAAACACCATAACATTGGTCAGCCTTCCTGTTCGTGTCGAGGCGGATATAAGCGGGTCCGCCTTACACTACAAACCGATAGATCAGCCAAGAATCCTCATCTCAACAGCCACCAACACCACCGACAATCGATTAGCCAATCGTTTGGTCTAAGACGGGATATTCAGTCAATAAGTAGATACACTACCATCCTGCTGCCAACTTATTTGTTGCTGCCGCCATCTCAGCCATGGATCATCTGTCTTGAATCTTGGATCACAAGTAACTTGTGGCGTGATGGAGCTACAGCCAAGAGAGCAAATGGCAACATATCTCCATTCTCCTACACAGTCTCCATTCCGTCCCCGCTGACAATACTACAGTAGGCAACATCTAGCCTAGAGTGGAGTCACAGCGCAAATTGAATATTCACTTCTTCCGAGCTCTTACTGCTTACGGTGCGCAGCACGACGAATTCCTGCTAGGCCCCATGGCCATCACTCCATGCTCCATACACACCGTAATGCAAGTCCCATTGTGAAGCCCCATACCCAAGCCCATCCAAGCCGAAGCCGAAGCCCTAACCCGTGTACATCCGATGATCAACTCGCCAGACCGGGCCGGATTCGGGATGGATGTTTCGGCCCGCGATTTAGATATCGCGGATCCATCAGAACCAGAGATTGGTAGTCTTTTACGGGCCAGTTTGTCGTCATCTTTTGATACACGTGCTTCTTCTTCTGGTCGAGACGATACTGTTTCACCGGGATGATTTCGTCAGTGTCGTTTTCCGTGGGGAACGCACGGGTCCCAGAGATGCCCACTGCTCAGTGATGAAATTTTCAAATACGCTCGCTTCGTTCGGCCGAGTTGTGCTCCATAGTAGAATGACTTTTCGTCCAGGGTCCTCAGAATGGGTCTCAGTCGCTTCGCTTCGCTTAAAATGGGCCTTTCGGGTTTTTTCCGAGTTGACGTTGGCCTCGGCGATTGGACTTGGCGGAGAGGACCCCGGAGACGGAGGTTTGTGCAGCCGCTGAGGTGACTTCAGGATGGCATGCAGGTGGCTTATGCTTATTTGTGTAGTGTTACGGTGCAGATAGCTTATGTTGGTTCATTTTGATGTTGATTTTGATTTTCATTTTGATTTTTTCCAGCTATCGTATCATCTGGCGACATCCAATGCCAACTCTAACTAATCCAGCAGACAAAATCATAAAGGCCTCAGGGATGGTTCTGTTAAGATCAAGCTCCATAAGGAGTCAGTCTCTTCCTATCATAAAATTCCATTATCCTCATCATCAGCCAAATAATTTATGAAGAAAAAAAGGAAAAGAGAAAAACAAAACAGGAAAGAAAAGTTGCAGTCCTTGCATGCTTATGTAAACAAATGTCGGTTATTCTGTGGGTTCTGGAGGAATAGTTATTCCGAATCTCCATTCGCTGGGGTATAAATTTTCGTTCACAGCAGCGACATTTCCTCTTTTCTCTTTCCTTTCTTCGTGCGGCGGCGCAACTTTACATTACCCGTGTTGCCTATACATCCAGCCTTTCGGGGCTATCCTTGATGTTACAAAGGTGTCAGTTGCGCCACAGACGAATGGAATTGCACAGCGGTCCTTACTTTATCTTGGTCTTTCTTATTTTCTCAAGGATGAGACCTCTAAGTATGGGATTGGACATACTATTTAGCACTTTTAGATCGAGTCTAAAGAATGATATACAGTTTGATCATGCGCATATGTTTCTTGTAGCTCTTGCTATCGTAAATGTCTTTGTTCGCTGGTATAAAATACTCGTCACTCAGTTTCTAGCCTGCAGTTGCTTACTGGACATCATAGAATTTTGGAACTTTGCCGATCCTCGAGTCCAACTCTACCATGTAGACAGCGATTTAACTCTACTCACCAGGCTCATCGCCAATCTTCTCCAACTTGCCCATCGCCCGCTTCTCACCTGCGTCGCCGATAATGCGAACCCGATCCACGCGCAGCTTCTCACTATCCCCATCTCCATCCACAAAGAACAGCACCAAAGATGTCACGTTCTGGAACTTGACAAATCGCAAATCAACTCGAGCAGTCCCCGTCTTCGCATCCCAGTCCTCTTCCTTGATGTCCACAGTCTGCACTGCCGGAATATCCTCCGCCTCGTCAAAACCAAGGACATGCGACCGATTGACATAAAGCTTGATAGTCTTCGGCCGCATGGGCGCCTCGTCATCGTCCTCATCAGCGACCGCAAAAGAGGTAATATGCAAAGAGTGCACCTTCACCGTCGACTGAAGCGGGACGTAGAGCATAAGCTGCTCATCTGTATCACTCTCCACCCAATCCGCCTTTCCCTCGGCCTTCCCTTTGCCCTTGCCCGCAAGTCCGGACGGCTTGTTGCCTGCGAAAAGCACGCGCGCCTCGCCCCGCTCGCTGTCCCGGTTCAGAAGCTCCAATCCCATCACGTCAACTTGGTCGGTCACATCGGCATAGCCCTTGGCCACGGTGGCACCGAGCCAGCTTGATGCTCCGCTAGATTCGCCATCGCCAGCTGCTGCGCCGTCGGACTTCGTGGCTTCGGAGGCGAGTTTCTGAATGACTTCGTTCAGGCGGCGGGGGTCTGCGCCGGTGACGGTTTGGGTCTTGCGGCCGTTCTCGAAGACGAGGAAGGTCGGGTATCTGTATCGTATAAGTCAGCGGACTCTTGTCTTGCTTATAGATTGTGCATGCGTAGATGTTGATCGATGAGGGCATTGCACGTACGCTCTCACTCCATACGCCTGCGCCAATTCCTGCTGTTGATCACCGTTGATCTTGGTGAATGTGATTTGGTTTGGACGGGACAGCTGACGAGCCAGGGAGTCGTAAACGGGGGCAATGGCTTTGCATGGTCCACACCAATCGGCGTAAACTATTCGGGTGACAGGTGAAGTCAGTAGAGTATTCCCTTGGTGTTTTGCTCGGTGCTGGCGGGGGTAGGAAGGGATTCTCGAGGCGGTGTTGAGACTTACAATCGGCGACGACGACGCGGGAAGATTGAAGTAGCTGGTAGAATTGCTCCTTTGAATTTATGTTGATGGCCGACATGGTGGAGGGATGTGTTGAGGTTTCAAGGTGAAGGTGGTGGGGAAGAGGTTTGAGGTTGTTTTGCCCGGATCCTTCAATATGTCATCAATCCTCCGATCAACAGAGCTTAATAGGTAACCTATGATCCGCCTAGGTCGCCACACTCTACTTCTTTAAATTTCCTGTAAGATGAAGCTTTATTATCTTTTTTTTGTTTCATGTTAAAGGCTTCATGAGGATATGTTCCGTATAATCTTGACGTGGTGGGCATCGCCAGAACATATATATCTGAATGTCGTATGCCCCTGGATACCATGGAGAAAAATCGAACAATATTCCAAATTTTCAACGTTAAAAAATATGATTGAAATCTTCAGCAAGTCCCAAGATTTTTTGATTTAAACATCTGAGCATGAATTAAGGTTGAAAGGACAACCTTGAAAGTGCTGAAGCCGAGCTTTTAAGGTAGGTGTCACAATACGATGGATGCATATAAAACAACGGACTAAACCCACCGCAAGACAACGCATACATTCAATATCCGAAAGCTACTATCTTGCGTTTCAGACCAACAGCTGTCCAGAGTCAAATACTTCGCAAAATGACCTTGGAACCCCGACACCTGCTGCCTGACCTGCCCGATCAGGAAATTCACCGCGCCGGGATCCACAGGAACGCCACAGCTCGATCAGCGTTTAAGTATAAAACAGCAGTACGCTTCCAATCCTGACTCCAGTCATTTCCTCGACATCTTAATCCCTCGAGGTCCATTCAGCGCATGAACGATCAAAATGACTACCTCCAAAGAATGGGCAAAAATGCTTCGAGGCGAGCTATACATGCCCTGGGACGAAGACCTCCAGGCCAACCGGACACGCTGCAAGCAGGCATGCGAGGAGTTCAATAAAGCAGGAAATGCCTCCCGACGACAAAAAGTCGAGCTTTGGAGAAAGTAAGATTAACGGCCTTTCCATGAATACTTCGAGGTTAATCCGAAACGACCTGGACTCAGCTAATTTCCACTCCCAGCATAATCGGAGATACTCGTCCTCTCCCACCAGTAAATCCAAATCCCAAAGAAGACGAAGAGCTATTCGACGAAACTGATCCCTTCGTCGATGGTCCCATCTCAGTGGATCACGGCCTTAATTTCAAAGTGGGAGCTGGGACTTTCCTCAACTTTAACCTGCTCGTTCTGGATACCTGTCTTATAACCATCGGCGAACGGGTTCTCTTTGGACCGAATGTTTCGCTCTATGGTGCTATTCATCCACTTGATCCCGCGGTTCGGCAGGGGTTGAAGGGGCCCGAGGCTGGAAAGGAGATTCATATTGAAGATGATGTTTGGATTGGGGGAGGTGTGATGGTTCTTGCGGGGGTGAGGGTTGGGAGAGGATGTACGATTGGGGCGGGTTCGGTAGTTACGAGAGTAAGATCTTCCTTCTTCCCGTCAACATGTGGTTTACTGATTGTTTAGGATATCCCTCCTTTTCATTTTGCGGCCGGGAACCCGGCTCGGGTTATTAGGCGGATTGAGAGTAAGATGGATCCTCAACAGTGCTAGGACAAAGATCGAGCTTTTGGTATGATTGAATCCATAGACCTTTGGTTTTTGATATAATATATACCATGCTATCTGATTTTCAAGTAGTTACTGACACTTTGGTTCATTTCAGGTGAGCCAAAGCGCTAGACGTATAATCGTATACTAGATATTCTGATAGACGGGAAGCGGAAGCCAGTAAGGGAAGCCCAAACAGAAGAAGTCGGGCAATGTAGATGAGCATAGTGGTGCCTGACAGCCAGAATCTCATCTATTGCCGGAAGACTTATAGCAGACATGTTCCCACGCTATAGACGGGCAGGATAGGTTAGACATGTATCCAGTGCATGCTGGCCCTTGGTCAGGATCTCAGGAAAGACCAGGAGGGTATGCTTTCCTTGGCTTTAAGGCCAAGTGTGCTGGGTGTCTGCGACTGTGTGGAATCTCGGATGGCGTTCCCAAGACACAGATGGAATGCAAAGTATCGGAATAGCCATGGCCATCCCGGGCTGAGGCAACACACCGTACACCCTTGAAGTGAGTCCGTCGGGCTCCCGTGAAAGAGCTATTTCTGTTGAGGGCACTTAAGATAAGTCATCTTCAAGTTTGAAGCTTCAACCGTCCTCAGCGGCAAAGAGAATCTTCAAATAAAGACTGCACCCCAAGCACCCGATGACGACCTCCCCGTGATCCATACTAGACTCCAGATGGTCCTCTGTCACCGAGAAACCCCTCTCGTCTCCGCATCGACAGCCACGATACCAGGAGCCATCCTTTTCATCATATTCTAGATCATCCAGGTCTACTGTCTCCAGGCCTGTGTGAAATACTTCAGATGTGTCCTCTGTGAATTTGGATCGGTTCAGCCGAAGCGAGCGATCATATTCTGCGCGTAATTTCGGATCGGAGAGTGTCTTGTAGGCTGTTGTGATTTCATCAATGGTGTAAGATCGCTGATCATTGTTTGACACGGAGAAAAAATTTGGAGTTGTAGAGACCGATCCTGCTGAGCCTGAATGTTGTGTGACGGTGCCGGCCTTATCTGGATGGTGTTTGAGGAGTGCTTTGTGGTAGGCGAGTTTGATCTGGAGATTCGAGATGGGAGAGGTACTCGAGAAGGGGAGTTCAAGGACCCGGTAATAGTCATGGGGCGATGACTCGGCCATTGTAGGCAGCTACCCTAAGGATGGGCCTCTTCGTACGTTCGCGATGCAGCGGGGTTGAAGGTAGTGCGGGCGGGGAGGGAAAAAATGGGACAAAAGCTGTAGTCAGCAGGATAGATCGTGGGCCACAATAATTGGAAATAAATGGTGATAAATCATGGAAAAAAAATTAATAAACGTTGTCCAAGAAGACGCATATAGCTCCCATAGGGGACGCGCACAAATATACAGAAATACGACAATTGAAAATTGAAATTGTAAGGAAAATATCATGTATTGCTGACTAGGATGTTCGTCGTAAATAAGTCCTGCTGCTCAATGAGAGACTGAGCACCAGGGTGGAGTAGACGCAGCCCTGCTAGAAGCTGTTTGGTTTTGATCTGCCACGAACGAACGATAAAAATCACCCATGAGACGTCGATGCCATTAAATGGCACCTCGCGGGTTATGTGGTGTTGCTATAAAATAAAAGGATGAATCTATAGAGCCGGTTCGACGATCCTCACATCATAGGATCGTCGTACTTTTTCAAGAATTCGGTTACTCAAGAGAGTATGAAGTAGAAGGAAGAAAGAGAAAGAGAAAATTCAAAAAATAGTCTAAAGATAGCGAGGGTCACGTGATACGCATATTTCATCACGTGCACCCTCCTATTTTAGTAGGAAAATTTCACCAATGACACATTTCCTTTTCTTCTTTACACTTTTTCGAACGCATAATCAACCTCCATTACCTTGAACCTACAGGATCGGGGGTCATATTGGCGTACTAGATGAAATTCCTGGGCGACATAAAGTTCATCGACGGCACTGGTTGGCTTGAATTAGCTTGCTAAGTTGCAGTGGGCGATGGTGTCCTGCTGCCCAGACATTCCTTTTTTGATCCAAAATTTTTGTAGATTTGGGTTTCAGTAGACTGGATATTGACTTTCCCCATAAATAGACAAGATTTGTTTGCCAGGAAGATTTGAAGCTGGATACTTGGTTGAGCCAGTATCGTCCCGGTCTTTTGCACCGTCTAATTCTCGGATCTCTTTTCTAGAGCTGTTCTAGAAGTAATGTCCGTGAGGAAGACTAGTGGAGCTATCAATAGATCATCCCTGAACCGGCCACGCGTAGTTATTAAGCTTGGAATGTGTTTGAAGGATATCCGGGGTTGCAATGCCCCTCGCAGATGATTTGATCCTCCCGTTCTCCGCCTTGAAACTTTTTCCTCTTTCCCCTATTCATCATTCTTCACGTACTGTGTGTACGTTGTCCACTCCTTTTCCGTCACCATGCCGAATGGCATCAGTAAGCGTCAGCAATTACGCAATGAGAAGACCCTGGCCGAGCTGATCCGGACCGTCCCTGGTAATGACCGTTGCGCCGATTGCGATGCCTTAACGCCAGGTTGGTTTCCCCCCGCAAAAAAGCTTCTTATAAGAATTTAGACTGACTAGGTTGTCCAATGGCACAGGATGGGCGAGTTGGAACGTATGTCAACTCCGTGATCCCCGAACATGCCCCCTTGCCCTGAAATCCATTGGCTGATCGTTCTCTGTATAGATGGGTCTCTTCCTGTGCATGCGGTGCGCTGCAATCCACCGCAAGTTGGGCACACATATCTCCAAGGTCAAGTCCTTGTCGATGGACACCTGGTCGGCAGAGCAGGTGGATGTGAGTGCATCAACTTTGAACCCCCGAATCAAAATCCGGACTACTGACGCCACGACTCTTTGACCAGAACATGAAATCCCATGGCAACCTACTCATGAACAAGATCTACAATCCCAAGAATATAAAGCCGCCAGTCCCGACTGACGTTGATGAGGCCGACTCATGCATGGAACGGTTCATTCGGCAGAAATACCAGTACCGATCGCTAGAGGATGGTAGGCCCAAGCCTCCTAGCCGGCAAGATTCCAGCTATACAAAACGCCATGAATCGAGACGCGATGCATCCCCGGATAGATCCCCCCGAGGGCTCGCCTCCTCCGCTGCCGCCGAAGTCAGCCAAGTTCTTTGGGATTGGACTTCGGACATCTGCCTCGACCTCGAACCTTCGTCGACCCAGAAAGGCGTCGGGTTATGACCAGCGGCCCTGGTCTCCACCGCCTTCAAATAGGACTACTGGAATGGGAGCCCCGGTTGCTGATGTGACAACTGCCTCATTGGAAGCGAAGATGGCAGCGCTGCAGGAACTGGGTTTCACCAATAATCGACGCAACGAGATGGTTCTAAAGGGTCTCAATGAGGACTTGGACCGATGTGTGGAGACATTGTCCAGACTAGGTGAAGGAAACCCTGAATTGATAAGAGCCAGGAACGCGGCGAAGACTGCCCCGACAAGAGCGGTGTCCTCCGCAGTGCCTGCCGTTTCCAGGCCCGAAACGACAAACAATCCCTTTGATAGGGCTGTTTCGAACCCAATTCCTCAACAGTCGCATCCCGCGCAGCCCCCACAGTCGACACCATACAACCCATTCGACCAATTCACTCAGTCATCGCAACCTGTGCACACGCCCCAGCCGGCCCAGCCTTTGGAGAACTCTTTTCAGAATCTCCAGGTATCGCAGCCCTTGTTCCCGCACTCCACTGGTGGATATCCAAGCCAAGTTAGCTCTATGCAGCCTGGATATCAGCAACCGTATACTCCGCCGGTTACAGCAACATTCACCCAGGGTGCTTATGTTTCCTCGCCTCAGCCTGTAGACAACAGCTATAATCCATTCTTTCAAACAGCGCCCCAGCCGCAGGGCGGCATGGCCAGTCAGACTTATCCCAATCCGGGCGCCGTGCAGAACAACCCATTCTTTAACACTGCCGCACAAAACCAACAACAGCAAAATTTGGCTCCACCAGTGCCAACAATATCGTTGCCTCAAACACCTCAACATGCAAACACCATGCCAGCGATTTCGTCCAATTCCCCGTACGGTACATCTCCATTTGGTCCCACGCCTCATTTCCAGCAGCAGCAGCATGTTCAAAATGGTGGACAGGTGTCGTATAACCCATACCAGCAGTCTATGGGACCACCAACCCCACAGAGTGCAGGCGGTTACCCGAACGGCTTTTCGAACCCATATCAATCGCAGCAAGTGCAGCAAGCGCAGCAATTGCTACCTCAAGCCACCGGGATGGATAAAAACAGCATTCTTTCTCTTTACAATCTCGCTCCATCCCCCACCAACGGGATTCCTCCAATTCCACAACAGTCTCAGTCCCAGTTCCAACCCAGTGCAGGAACTAGTCCTCTTCCACCACTTACTCACTCTCTCAACTCTACTCCGCAGACGCAGCCCGGTTCTAACATCCAAACTCCACAACAGACTGCCCGTAACCCATTCAATGGGCCCACCGGCGGTGCTGGTTCAGGTCTAGCCGCCCAAGCAGGCGTGACACCCTATCCATCTTCCGGATTGGGCATCGGAATGGGTACCAACGCCTCAGCTCCTGCTTCTGCCCCGGCAATGGGCATGGGTGCTTTCAACCCCCATACACCCAGCTCCAGTCCATTTAAGTCAGTCAACCAAGCTCTGCCTAGAACTCACATGAGCCAGCCAAGTGTTGATATTAACGGACTGCAAAATGGCCGACACAGCCCAGATGCCTTTGCCAGCTTGAGTGCGCGCTATGGTTGATTAAAAAATCCAACTGATTGACCGGACTGGACGTAACTGAACGGGATGCTATACCTTGTTCGTCCCAACGAGACCATACGGTCATGTACTATTTTCTTTCGTTTTCATTCTTTTGCGAATATAGATTGTTCATTTGTCAAAAGCTAAGCCGACATGAATATGCAATGCTTGCAAAAACTCACCTAATGATATGGATATATGGATCGACGATACGTGGTTATGTACATGTCCATGCCTCTGGGTGCATCTTGAGAGTTGTCTGATTGCTCTGTTTCACTCTTTCCTTCGTTTTTGGGAGCATCTTTTCCGGACTGCATATGTCACTTCATTATTCTCCACTGATCATGCTATCTAAAAAAACCTTGGAATATCGAGAACACTTGATTATTGTATACCTTCGAAGTTTATGTAAGAAACCCAAATCCATTAAGATGTCGCAAATACAGATGACTAGTACAATACCAAGTCATGGTGTCAAAATATGGATGTAGGGACGGCTTTATGCGAATCGACATCAATATTCAAAGGCTGTGAAATGCATTGAAGTGGATCCTGAAATTGACTTCATGACTTGCATACTATAGTTGTTCCTCAACCATGGCAAGACCTGCTACGTAAACCTTGTATCGAAGTCGAGAATAGGCAAATTGGTAGACTAAGAAGGTTCTTTGGTATGGTAAAGTTACCCTGCAAATTCTTACTAAATTGTCAAAATATGATCGGATGACATCTTCCTTCAAAGTTCAAACAAATCCCATTCCAATTAATACTAATTTGCATGTTTGAGGGGAAATCAAACTTTTCTTCCCATTGAAAATCTCACATTATTCCATCGCATCATACATTCATAAAAGAAATCAAAAGAAAATCAAAAGAAAGTCACAAAACATGACCACCGCTGAATCATCACGGCTCAGGCTATACAGTGCCCCTCAAACCACATACGCAGGGCGCCGACTCGAGCTACGATGTCTCCGATGACTGCTCGAGTGCCCCCGTCTCGAACTATGACTCCGTCTCCTAACAGTAGTCTCCTTGACAATAACCTCCCGTTCACGCGAATGCAAGAAAAGCGCCAAGAAAGCCGTCCAAGCAAAGAAGACCACTTCCATAATGCCCATTGCAAATGAAGCCTTGAGCATCGCGCACGTCTTGTCAATGTGCAGATGATAATCGTTATTGATTTCCGCTCCGTACTCGCCGAATGGACCGAGTGATACCCAGACCGAGCCGCCGTCCCAGCTCGAGCAGCTCTGGTTTGCGATGAAGCGGAGTTCGTAGACACCGGCGATGAATGCGCCCATGAAGAGGAGGTCGACGAAGGAGACGAATATGGCTGAGCGCTTGGTTGCTGAGAAGCGGATCAGGGTGTCGATTGCCCAGAAGACGGCTACGACGCTGACGATGAAGATGACGAGGATGTAGGCCGGTGTGAGCATGTTGGCTTTTAGGTAGCCGTGGACGAAGTAGGCCTGTTGATTATTGTAAGTTTTGATATGTTTTTAGGAGTGTGATTGGGCTTTATGAGACTTGGGTGTTCGCTGGCTCGCGAGTGGATCCTAGAGCTGGAGATTTGGGTTCACGTACCATCATGCCGATGATGGGGATCAAGAAGACGATCTCCACCATACGGTTGAAGATGAAGAATAGACTTCCAATCATCTTGGCGGGTGTCTCGTGGACAAGGGAAAAGATTGAGTTTTGCTTTCAAGAATGCGACAAAGGAGGGATTGCGAAACGGGCCGTCGCGTCGCTCAGCTATGTCTCTTGAGGTACAAACAGGATGTATAGGGTGGATCTCACTCAAGAAGCTACTCCGTGCACCTCATATGCATAGAAGCGAGAGAGTGGATTGGGATCGCAACCTGCAGAGATGCACGAGGAAGATATGTAAAGGAAAAAAAAGAGGGGTTGGAAGCGTAAAAGGAAGAAAATCCTTTGAAGGGTTGCCGTCATCTTGCGCTGACAGCGGGGGAGGCTGGGCGAGTAACCGTTCAGGTTCTGGGTGGCTGGGGCAACCAGCGTTTAATTTACTAAACTTGCCAAGTTTTGGATGAGTTTACTGGTTAATCTGAGCCATTGACATTGGACTTTGATGGCTTGGTCAATATACCCGATCATTTTCGTTTTAATTTTTGACTTGCATCAGATTGTTGGGCCCATACTTTTACTGTTTACTATATAGAGATTAATGGTAACCAAAATCCCGCTTAAGTGGAACCCAAGGATATTCTAAACCCAATTGGCCAAGTTGAACTTCGATTTATGAATGGTAGTGCATTTGCTAGTCGTCTATCATTTATCGCATCCCATTGTATCCCAAATGTCTTGAAACAAAAATCAACAAAGAATAAAATAAATCAGAATTTTGCGCCGAGTGATGAGCTGGGAGTAAAAGCCCAACTATAGCTGTCATTATACCTCCCGACCGGGCGCATCAGTCAATGGTCGCGCTAGATGATCATGGCTAACAACGACTCCCGGAGGTGGACTAACAACCGGCGCCGCATGAACTTGGGACTGATATGGATTGGAATTATACGCGGTATTGGCATCAAAGGAATTGCGACCAACCCCCGGGATCTGCGTCGTTGCATATCCAGTTTGCATCTCATACCCATTACCAACATCATCTTCACTTGAAGACCAGTTTCCATCCGGGTCATGATCGTGCGCGCGCCGAGGATAAACTCGTGACGTGTAAGCATTTCCGGGAGCGTAGCCCGATGCGCCAGGAATATTTTGACGAGGGGAAGTAGATCGCCCGCGCAAACTGTCTCCATTTAAGCGTTCGGTCTCGGGATTCCGTAGAGCAGTCGTGCTGTCATCTAGCGCGCTGAACTTCGCGTCGATGGGGGCGGCTGGCTCGGTGCCCCAGGTGCGGATCGGGTAGGCCCGGCCTTTGCGCCAGGGCTCGGTGATCGGAGGGAAGTATTGTCGGTAAGAGACCATTGCGCAGGCGACACCGAGGAGGGATCCGGTGATAACATCGAATGGGTGGTGGCGGGCGTCCATGATGCGAGACACGGCAACAAGGGTTGCGGCAAGGATTGGGATGGTGACTAGTAGGGTCTTCCAAGTTTCACCTCTGTTGTCCATGATGTGGAACTTGCCGCCCAGCCACAGGGATGTGTAGAACAAGCCCGCGAAGGAGGCTACGACGGTTAGTAGGGTTTATGTGGGAGTTCATGGTAAGCGTCGATTGGGACTCACAACTGCTATGACCTGTAGAACAGCCTGAATTAGTACATCACCCGGAGATCTCGATTTTCTACCTGAACATACCTGATGGCCAGGACCGAAACCCATCCTTGATCAAGGCCGCCTCTCCCGTGCAGATCGTCGAATTGGACAGACCGTATGGCAGCATGTCTTGGCTCCCATCGCGCGGCTGGCACCGGTCGATCAAGTCCGGGCGAGGTTTTCCACATGCATTTTTCAGCACTTGTGTGATGAGGAAGGCCAATGCCTGTGACAGCAGGAGACCGAGGATCCCGCAGTTCATTTCCCACAAGCGATCCTTCCAGCGCCACGGACCGCGCAGCTTGCGCTTCCCGGACGACGGGTCCAGGGGCTTGTGGTGCGAGAACAGTCCATCGATGAAGAGAGTATAGGTAATGATCAGGACGAGTGGAAAGAGGCCAGAAATGCAAAGAGCATATTGGATGGGAATGCGCTCGTGGACGGCGTACGGGTATTGGAGGGAGATGTTGCGGAGGGAGAAGTGTTGGTGGTAGGGTTCGAGGGAGTCGAGGATCCAGAAGCCGATGACACAGGCACTGTTGATGAGTTAGAGGGGATAAGATCTCTTTGAGGGGGAAGATACTTACATTAATATCACATAGTCGAAGATGTAGCTGGAAGAAGGTTAGTGCCAGGCACAGTCCGCGGGGAAAACGAGCTCACGAGATCACTACGCGTGGTCGTAGCCGTCGCTTGGAGAACGGCAATTTGGCCGGAATCTCCATTCTGAACGTTTTAATGTAGAATCAAAGGGTAAACAGAAATAGAAAATGACATGAAGTTGATCGCGTGCGTGTTTCTTAAAATAAAATGAAGATCGAAATGTACCGACGGCACAAAGGTTGCTTGGCGCTTATAGATGATTAAAACTTTCGCCTATTTATGGGGTCCTGGCCTGTGTTCCTGAAGTCTGGTTCTCAGTGGGTCATTTGACAGCTCAAGTCCTTTGTTTCTCTATTGACGGTTGACCCAAAGTCGGATGTTGATCTTCAACCCACACGCCAAGAACTCCGCACAAGACATCTAATTCGTCGAGTGCCTAATTGCTGGCGCATCCGCTAGGGTGCGATCCACAACTAGGCAACATGGTTATTGATGACAGGGTTCAAGGAACTCGCTGCAGCTCCCCGCAAGATCTGCCCAATTCGAGGTTATCCACAGGTCAGCTGGTTTCATCCCCTTGAGAGACAATTACTCCTGTCATTGCGGGATTGTCTTCACGTCATACCTTGCTTTCATGCCATTCCAAAGCGCTCAGGACACCGGATGACCAGTCAAAAAATGAGATTTCGTGGAATCGCGACTTACTCACCACAGTGACGTACTGGTTGGACCTCGTACGAATAAATGGATTTGAAGGAGAGAGACCCAGTGCACACAAACAAAGTTGGAAATTTATTTCAATATATGATTGGCGGTGCATTCTGTTATACAAAGAAGCAATCTTACCTTCCAAGTCCAAAGATCACCCGCATTGCACTCGACTGCAAAGCTTTCTTAATCCTTCTCAAAGATCACATACTCATGCAGCAAGTGCTTAAAGCATCGGTCTCCCAAGTGATAAAGCCCTCATCCTCTCCCCGCCATTGAGCGATTGACGGCTCTCGGTAGGTATCGGCGATGATCCGTAATCATTCACTGCATTCCTTACTACCTCCCGTACAAAAGCAGAAGTCGTCATCGAGAATATCTGCTAGGCTCGAGGGCATATATGTCACCCCAAGCTCTTGTGTATCAGTAGTCTCATTATGATTCAAGACGAGGCACGGTAATGAAATCACATTTGTATCCGAGGCTTCAACCGTAAAGACAGGAAGACTATAGAAGCAGGAAGGAAGTTCGGTGTTTACCTCCAAGACCAAGTCGACTACCATGGCGCCTCCATAGCCGCCTGTTGAGTTCTGGCATTCGTAAGAGTTGCTGTAAAGATCCTCCAAAGTCACAAAGTACGCCTCTATCAATTTTTTCAAATCATCATTGGCGATCTGGTCCGATAAATCATTTTGTTTCGAGGCGGACCACCCCGCACCCGGATACTCAAGGTTGTAGCAATACCATCTATCACAATGCCACTGGTAACATCTGCACAATCGCTGGTTATAGAAGCTCCCTTCAGGATGTAGTAGTTGGCCGCGAGAAGCGCTGTACCAGCAAGAGTGGCCAAGAGATTTTGATTCAGTGTCTCTTCAATTTATGTCTCATCTAAGCCCTGCAGCTGGTACATGAATCGACCGTCGAAAAAATTAGTAAGTTCATGGACATAGCTGCCGTTGGTTAATGATGTGGGCCAGCTGCTTAGATCACCATCATCAAACATGTCAATCAGGGCCTGTAAGATTGACTTGTATACTGCGGTGTACACCGCAGTAGATCTGGCATAAAGAACGGCCTCGTCAGTGTCGTCATCGGACGAAGTGTCCACGAGTCCACCAACTTGTGAAAAAATACCATCAACAAGGCCCGTTAAGGTTTGCTGCAATTCGCTTCCCCCAAGTCCCAACACCAAAGATAGAACTCCACCAAAGATAGAACTCTGCCAGAATTAGTGATAATCGCTGCAATACCTGGGACACTATCGGGATTCTTCAAAGGGAAGTCGTTCACAAGCTGCTTGATTTGGTCTGTGACATTGCTCTTTGCGATGTTGAACAAAGCACCGTGCTCATTCATGTAAGCTCAATAATTCGCGACAATGAACTCGGCCCAATAATGCCCCGGCTCACTAAATGAAGTTCAAGTACTTGAGCTGGGAAATTCACAATCCTCATTCATGGGGTAAGATGAACATTCCACGTTATCGTTACCAAAGAGAGTCTTCTCCCAATTAGCTAAAAATTTGTGAGAGGTAGGTTTGAGCTAATATTATTCCTGATGATGGCTTACCAGTGTCATTTTTGAGCGTGGTGCTAATAAAGGAATCGATCCACTGGGCCACATTCCTTTCCGAGCTCGCCTTTGCCTCAGAGATTGAGTCTCTGTCTGGGGAGTCACACTGGTCTTCGTCTGAGAGATCAGTGTTCAGCTCGACAATCGTCAAGTCGTCAGCAGTCTCGATAAATTCCTCAAGATCAATTGCCCACCTCTGTCGTGCCACCCATGTTAAGGCCTTTGTAATAGGTGGTACGAGTGCTCTTCGTGGTGGTGGTCATATAGCCAACCCACTGCGTGTCGTTGTAGATGATGATATCTGAGTCACTATCATCATCGAATAAGACCTGAACTGTGGGGTTGCTCGAAATAACCTCATCGATCTCGGCATTAGAAATGTATCCAGTAGTTTGGGTGCACCTTCAGGGTGTTGCACCCGAGCCTGGACCAGTATACGTACAGTCAGGACAGGTACAGTCGGCCTCGTCTCGAATGACCGGCCATGGCTGCTCACTTGAGGATTCAGCGCCCCCATTGCCGTTGTATACAAAGATAGTGCTTGATTTTTCATCGTTGGCAGACCTTCCCAGATAGGTTTCGACTTCAGCAATGACAGATAGAAAATCAGAGTCAATCATGGAAGCGGACAGTCCCCATGTTCCTAACTCCAAGGATACATCCGTTGTATTGGTTTGCAAAACCCCCTTTTCGAGGACAACTTTGCATTCATGTTTGCTGTACTGCAGGCATAGATGGTCGACTGAGTATGGGTATCATTGAGAGGGTTATAATGGCAAAGTCTAGGAGCATTGTCTCGTTGCAGACAGACAAACGATCGGTCGAATGATACGCGATCATTGAGGCTGTATAATAACTACACCAGATATATAGTCATGCTAGGGAGGATCTCAAGTGATTTAAATATTTAAAGATAAGATATAGGGTATATTTTCAATAACAATTCTTATAGTCATCATCAGGGGTAGGTCGCGAAAGTTCTATACTCGATTTATATTTATAAGATATATAGATTATAACCTCCTATATATAATAAGGATACTTACTATCTTCTATACCAAGATTCATATAGATGCCCTTATATATTGATAAGTCAGGGCTATCTTATAGGGAAGAAGAAAGTCTGGTCGGGGCTCGTCAATCTCAAACAGATCCGGATCGCAAGCTCCCCAGATCTCATAGTCCTTAAGATAGACATAGACACTTAAGCAAGGGTATTTAAAGTCAATATCACTAGATATCCCCGTGAATCGAAAGTACGGTGGTCGCTTCATCAGCGAGAGCACAACAGGCTCGAGTTGAAGTTTTTCGCAAAGAATTTGGTCAATGTTGTAACCTTCCTGCGGAGCCTAGGATATCCCCCAATCCCGAATTATAAGTCAGTTGTAGATGAATATGGTAAATGTAAACAATAATGTTGATATTTATACCCGCGCTACAAGGGAGGCGAGAGATGTGAAAGTCGACAGTGACATCTCATACTTCATTCAGATCTTCTTATGAACCAGTAGCCATGATTGGCCTGAGCTTAAGAACTATTATGGGTCGCCCATAATTGTAGGTAAAGGAGCTAAAGGGACTGAAGAGTAAAATAGCAAGCTCAAGAGTAAACATGAAAACAAAAACATACAACAGTCAGGATTTGCATGTGGTCACCTACTATACTACTAACCGACCGGCGTGTGGCTTAAATGCGGCCAGTGGTTCCTCGGGTACCGCCCGGGTGAGGAATGGGTGAGAAACGCTTTAGCATCGCGCGACCGGGGGTGAGAAGGGTGAGTGCGCAATAGACAAGGTGAGAACCGGGGTAGAACCGGGTGAAAATCCTTCGAGCCTGCGCGCTGACCGCTCTGACCCTACGAATGATCAGTTTCAGTCTCAGTAGGAGGTCTGATCGTCAAGAGGGGAGTGTTACCATGTCCGCGCTCCTGCTGATGTCCTGCGACACCATGGCGAAGATTCAGGGCCCAAGAATCATAGCAGTGCGACAAATTTGACAGCTCAAAACGAATCCACACAGTCGGCGTTATAGTCTCTAGCAAAGGCTAGTGCAGCGGCATCGGAAGATGCCAACACAGCAAGCGGAGACCCGACAGAATGCAGAATACACCGTGCGCGCGCCGCCTTCCTTCTTGAACCTAGTGCTGAGCGAATAGCGAATAGCAGGTACCAGATTTTGAAGAACGCTCGGAGTAAGATTTGGAATTACTCAATAGTCATAACTACCCTTCCGCGGACAGGAAACAAGGACGCGCACTGTGCATCATTCGTCCTGCTCGATTCCCTCTCTGCTTTCTGTACCTGTACGTCAGGATGCGGCTTCTCAGTCTCAGCATCCTGTTGCTAGCAGCACCGGGTGTCGAGGTCGCTGCCTATACCTTAGATCAGGTTGAGGCTCAGTTCTCCTCGTACCTCCAGCTCGCGGAGAAAGGCTTGCTGAGCAATCGAGGCCAATTGCCCTTTGGCTGCACGCTCGCGGTCAGAAAGCCCTATTCCGCTCTGTGCCGCTCGCATCTGCTGACGCATCCCAGTGCGACTTTCTAGAGTTTGCGCTGCCATCGCAGATCTCGTATCCGAACAGCACGACCTACAGCCTCGAGGAGTCGCGATACTGGTCGCAGCAGCAAGCATTGACGGAGCCGACCTGTCGTTTCTCCCCCAAGTCCGCGCTAGATGTTTCCTTTGCAGTCCTGACCCTCCAGGTGGCTCAGTGCGAATTTGCCGTAAAGAGTGGTGGCCATGCTGCTTTCGAGGGAGCGTCGAACATCCAGGGGGGGATGACAATTGATTTGGCCAATCTGAACGAGATCACCGTGCGGTCTGACCGGGCCCAGACGGCCGTTGGCGCTGGTAATATCTGGTACGACGTCTACACCACGCTTCAGCCCATGGGGCTCACTGTGATCGGTGGACGAGTCTCGGCCATCGGCGTAGGAGGACTGACTCTAGGCGGGGGCATATCACTCTTTTCCGGTCGCTACGGATGGGCCTGCGACAATGTCAACAATTACGAGGTCGTGATTGCGGACGGTTCCATTCAGGAAGTGAGCTTCTCCTCGCCATATTCCGATTTATACTGGGCGCTCCGTGGTGGAGGGAATAACTTCGGCATAGTTACCCGTTTCGACCTCATGACCTTCCCCCAGGGCGATCTCTGGGCTGGTTCAGAAACCTTCATCTATACCCCCGAGACGGCAGCAGCCATCAACGATGCATTTTATTACCTTGGCGTTAACGCTCCATCCGATCCTCACGCGCAGGTCATCATTGCCTACGCGTATGCACAATCGGTGGATGCTTATATCATAGCCTCAGATTTACAATATGGGAAACCAGTTGCAAACCCACCTATCCTGCAAAACTTCACAGCTGTCCAGGGTGCCATCGCCAGTACTCTCCGCATCGTCGATCAAGCCAATTTAACCATTGAATTCAATGATACCAACCCGGGGGGTTTCCGGTATGTTTCTAAACCTCAGGACACCAACGATAAGCCTTCACTAAACCAGGATTGTAGACAGACTTACTGGACCCTGATGGTTGGGAACAATGCTACGTTGATGGCGGACATGGTTGCCATCTACATGGATGAGATCGAGCCGCTCAAGACTGTTGCTGGCATTGTCCCGTCACTTGTTTTCCAGCCTATCACCACCGACATGATTTTGCACTTCTCAAAGAACGGCGGCAATGCCCTTGGACTGGATGATCAGGGCCCTCTCAATCGTATGTGTCCCGTCAATATCCTCTGATATGTCGTACTGATCCTCTCAACAGTGGTGCAAATTGATATATCTTGGTCTGACATTGCTGATGACGATCGGATTCTGACTGCCGCACAAAACATACTCGATGGCTGTCAAGCCGCTGCGTCTGCAGTAGGCCTGCTCAATAGATATTTGTACCAGAACTATGCCTCTGCTGGACAGGATGTCTTCTCCGGCTACGGACAAAAGAACCTGGCGAGATTAAAAGCTGTCAGCGCAAAATACGACCCGGCTCAGGTCTTTCAAAAGCTACAGCCTGGATACTTCAAACTTAATTGATTTGAAGCAGAGCATAGAGCATACGCATTCCAGATTAATAAAGTATAATAAAGGTATCTATCGACAAAAGAGGGTCGCAATTTAACTAGTGCGCCCGAGGAATATTCAGCAACCCCATACGCCTGACTTCAACCATGGTTCGTAAGGCCCTCAACGACTTTACCAAGCCCACATCCCATTTATCCTGTCTCTTCTATAGTATATCAAAAACAACGCTCTCAAGTGATGAATTGTCAATGCCCATACCAGTCTGTACTGTAACGACCACGTTCCGACTGTTATGGGCCCGGTTAGCCCGTGGTAATCACCAAAACGACCGATACCAACTACACTGCAGCTATACACAGCCGAACATTACGGGGCCTGAAGGACTGAATGACAGGGCGGCAAGAGAACTTTCTTCGATGAAGGGAAAAAACAAAAACATACAACAGTCAGGATTCGCATGTGGTCACCCACTATACTACTAACTAGACTTTAGCAAAGCCCATGGGCCGGCCCATTGGACAGCCCATGGGCCCATGAAAAGCCCATGGCGGCCCATTAGAGTAGAGACACCTTTTTTACATAATTTATAAAAAATGTGCAGTATTTTTGGTATCCCAGCTGTTAAATACCATAAAATAATATACACTACTTAGATGGGTTTTTGTGCACAAAAACCCTACTGCCTGAAATTTCAGGAGTTAATTATTCCTACAGAAATCGGTAACCCTTATTGATCTAATAAAATTCAATTAATAAATAACAACTAATTAACTATATGAAAGCCAATTGGCTGGTCAGGACGCTTCCGTATACGACCAGAAGTGCGATATGCTGGCAAATCCCCATCATCCGCACTTTCATCCGAACTTTCTTCGGATAAATCCCCTCTTTTTCTCTTCGATCTCACACTCTCTCTCACACTCTCTCTCATACTCTCTCTTATACCCTCTCTTATAGCCTCACTTTCACTCTCTTCATTATCACTAATTTGATAAATATCACTCTTTTATACCTAAATATCACCCTCTTCACCCTCTTCACCCTCTTCACTCTCTTCTAAAGATCGGATAAAAGTAAGCTCTATCTCTTCTATCTCAAATTTAGTAGCACGACTATAGAGCATAAGATCTTTAATCGTACTAGCCTTCAGACGACCACGCCAGTAATAGCAAATATCACGTGCTAAGTTAAAAAGCCTTTCTACCCCAACACCTATAGCAAGGATAGAAAAGATATCACATACAATCTACGCAAGAATTAGGTATTTAGTCTCATTTTCTTACCAAAATTATCAAGAATTCAGAAGGGTCATACCTATAAATATAAATAAAAAGCTTTTTCAGCCAAAAAGTATCAAAAGTGCCAAAAAGTGCCAAAAAGTATAGAAAAAGTATAAATTACCTAATTTAAGATAGTAAGATAACTCATCTTAGACGAAAGGGCTCTACACTTCTAGGGTTAGTAAGCTTTCAAGCTCACTCTTTTAAAGTATAATAGAGGGTATACTAGTAGAACTAGTAGATTTACTTTAATAGCTTTCGTTTCGATCTTTTAAGCTTATCTTACATTAAACAGCATAAACTTAATCTAACCAATCAGCTATTTAAAAGAAGTAGAGCTTATACTAAGGAGCAAGGATTGTCCTATATACATATAGGTTACCAAGCTCAGGGCTATCGGTCTAACTATAATAGTCAGAGAGCGTAGCCTTAGCTGCTTCTAGGGCTTAAAGCATATACTGCTTCCATGGAATCTAAAGGGTGGATATTAGCTTTTTGACCAAAAAAGATCGGACGAATAAAAAAAAGATCGGATAAAATTTACCTTTTTCCGCTGCAGCTTCCGAATCAAAGCTTCCAGATAGACAAACAGCCTATTATAGATTTAGAAGACAATATAGATAGTAATTAGATTTAGAAGACAATATAGATAGTAATATCCTTTATTTTGCACAAAACTATAGTAAACCAGTAAAAAGGCTCTATAATATATAGCAAATAGTCGATTTACTACTATTTATCTGAAGAAAGCTTCATATCAGTAAGCTCCAACATTAAGCAATACTAATCAAGCTCTATCCGAACTCGCTTAGCCCGCTATAGCATTAAAAAGGTCGAATTCCATCAAGTCCGGACATCTTAAAGTAGCACTAAGCGTCCTTTAATCGGATCTTTTGTCAGGATTGATTCTGTGCCCAAAATTCCCCATTATACTCGCCGCGATGATCTTCAAAAATTGGGCTGTCGTGTCTCACTTGTTATTCTTATGCTTGTCGTTTCTCATCCCCACCGAGGCTGGATCCGTAACCCCGTCTATTACATTGACTTCGGTCGCGCTTGCCACCGCAACAGGTACAGCTGCATCCAATCCCCGTTGTGATCTGAACAGTACCAGTACCAGCATCTATGTCACCAAGGCCAATGAAAGTTGTATCGATATCTCACTTTCCGCCAATGTCTCAACATCAATGTTGGCAGACATCAATGCGCTGGGAGTGGAATGCCAATATTTAATGGCGAATCAGGTTCTTTGTCTCCCAGAAGTATGTGACATTTACTTAGTCCAGGCAAATGATACGTGTACCTCGATCCTGTCGGGATTCTCACGAAAGATTTCACTGCCTGTCTTTCGGGGATGGAATCCAAGTATTAACTCGCAGTGTTCGAATTTGGCCTCGCTGGAGGGGGGGTATATATGTCTAAGGTACGAAATGCAGTAACCTAGACACCCAAGTAACAATGATCCCCATCCACTTACACGTTCATACACAGTCCCCCAGGCAGCATGTCAGTTCCAACAGGGTTTCCTCTTAAAGCCGTCAGTTCCGCTGTGTAAGATATCGCCAATGATTCTGTGCGAGGTTTAACTGAGCTAAAACCAAGTATCGTCTCAGCGTCGTTCCAACGAATGCTGTAACAACATCTAATACTGACTGTGGCTACTGGTACACAATTCAAGATGGGGATACATGTGATGACGTGATGACCAACTTCGGTATCACTTCTTGGGACTTCTACTTTCTCAACCCTCAGCTGGGCGGCAATTGTTCGGATTTGTGGGAAGGAAATAGCTACGTGAGCAGTCTCTGGTCAAGCGTGAGAACCTTAGCGAATTAATCTTCGGATAAGTTTCCCAGAGTCCCAGGCATTGATGGATCCTGAACTCGGGAACCTTTACCGCCAACACGGTCTTCTGATCAATAACTAGTCCACTAACTAGTCAGGGACTTGCCCCCACAGCGGGGCGCGGCAGGGTAATTGATTGTCCGATTGTCAATAAATTCCCTTTTCTACCCGTTATCCATCTTGTGTTGACTCGGTAACTTTCAACCCCAATATCATGGAGACAATTCTTTCGCCTGCGCATTTATGGCCTGGTGGGGTTCCGTCCACTGTTCGCCTGCACCCCGATAGTCGTTTGGATGAATATCATCCAGAAGAAGAAATCAAAGGATGGTGCCAGTTTTTGAAGGTATAAGGCTTCTTAGTACATGTGCAGATGAGAGTTTATTAACATCCTACAGGAATCGCGGACCCCTCTTTCTTACCCAGAGGAAGATATAGCCCAACGGCGGGATCTTATAGAAAAATGGGCGTGTGCAGATCAAAGCTTTCGTGATGTACGCCGTCCTATGCCCTTTGAACTTATGCAATGATTAGAGCATCTTACACGAAATGGGAACTTCCTAGTCTTTCCATTTGACTGCGTCATTCCCGGAGGATTTGGATACCAGCTTTAATGGTATAGACCAGTCTAAACTCTTCGTCTGCCTTGTCGATAAGCCCTACGATACTGAGAACTACACCCGCATCACTAAGCTGCTGATCCTACTCTACATCCATCTCGCGCGCACGTCCAATCATCCATTAAGGTTCGACAATACCTCTAAACCGCAGATTCCGGCCTTTATACTAGACCCTACTATGGTTGACCAGTACAAGCGACTCCTTGTACCGGAGAACTTGCCTATGAGCTACTACCTCGAAAATGCCGACTTCAGCGCAATGGCCATGACCCGTACAGGCACTGTTATCTTTCCGTATCTTATATCATATGCATTCTTTGTGATTGATAACCAGAGCTGTCAGGACGGGCTCGTCCGCATGCTCAACTTCAGCTCTAACGGTCAAATTATGCAAGAGGCGCGGATGCGCCCATGGCAAATCGGTCGTCTCACGATGCTCCATTCTTCCCTAGGCCATCAATGGGATGAGCTTTTCGATAGACCCGAAACTTCGCCCCGCTGGAATCAACCGTACGTGCTTATAGGCTTTGATATTATCCATCCTTTGTTATCACCCCATCAATCGAACTTTCTTTCGCGGTACCTTAGACTAATAGGCGGAAACACGATAACAGCATCGATCTACAACTACCCATCTTGGAAATTATGGCGGTACTCAGTCAGCGTGGGGATGTGCCGCCGCTTAATGATTATACATCGGCTGAGTGGACCGAGGACTTTGAGCGGTTTGCGCCGGAGTTCTTAGCCTATGAGCGTGAGGGCCGGGTGTCAGATTACGGCTGGGATCGGCTCATGGATGTGACATACGCTGATTATTCCCATATTCGCCATGCTCGACAGCTTGCCGCAGCCTTGGGTCGGAGTATGTAGAAAGGCAAAACTGAGGGTCGTGAACATGGGAGAACGAGGTCTTTTCATTTTTCTTGAAACCAGTGGCTGATACTTATTGGAGTGTGGGGTCAGATGACCACATCCGTCTGTCATGAAGTCAGTGCGTGGACGTCTTAGCTAGATCTTTCTCGACGCTTGTTTCACTACGAGACTTCCGCAGAACCCAACCTAACCTGGACCGAACACGGACGGAATGGTTCTCATTTCCATCTGACATGTCCTCCCTCCTTCCCCATCAAATCTTCTGCTTCCCATGCCTGATAGGAGTAAGTAGTGGGGTTTGAGTGGCATGAGCACCGGCAGATCTTAGATAACACGCTCAAAAAGCCCCGAGTCCACCGCGCTGTGCTTCTCGTGGGCTATTGATGGCAAGTATATGGCTCACACTGCAATATGCCTTACAGACTTTCCTCTGGGCGACCATGAATTGCCCTGAAGAAAGAAATCGTTTTCCTAAGATCATTGTGGGATTATTACCAAGTAGATCCCCTGCTATACATTTAGATTATCTATAGTATATGGAATCATAATAGCAATACAACTGTAACCACCTACTTTGATATATCTACTAAACACGAGATATAAGTAACAGTCTTGAGCAGATCCGACCATCACTGGCAAGGGCGAGATGAATTTCATCGAAAGCTAGCTGGGCGAAGTAGATCTGGCTTTTATGGGTAGGGAAAGGAAGAAATCGAGGTGAGCATAGATCAAAAAGCTCTAAATTCAGGCAAATCAAATTCAGTAGCTCGCTCGGTTTTGAATTCTACACTTCTGAAGTCTTTTTTCTACCATGCTACCGAGTAGAGAGCTTGAGATCCTATGGTATCTCGCCAAGGCTTGCGCCTTCCCGAACGGGAAAGGTTCCAGGTGCCATAGATGCAAACTCGATCCATCAGCTTCTCGTCGACAGAGCCAATTCTTTTAAGATTTGTAAGTCGTATTAATTGCTAGTCCAATAGTAGCATTACAGCGAGACGGGATTAAAAGGCCAAGAACTGTGCTTGCCAGGTTCAGAAAAGCCGTTGAGATAGATGACAAATGTTCTCAATATAATGCCAAAACTTGCCGCTGCAGTTACCATTGTTGCAGCGCAGTCCTATAAGTACTCGTTCCTACCTCTTCTCAATACAATTTCTTCCAGTGATCATCCGTATATCCCAAAAAGTCAAACATCAGCATGGATGGAACTGTCCTTATCACCGGAGCGAACGGCTCTTTAGCCCTTGGCTTCGCACAGGCGTTCCTTTCGTTATACCCCAACCACACACTCATGGCGACAGTCAGAAACACGTCCTCAGAAAAAGACCCCAACACTGCCAGACTGTTCGATCTTGTATCGAAATACCCCGACGCGAACGTCCACATCGAAGCCCTCGATCTCAGCAGCCTCTCAAACGTCCGCTCCTTCGCAGAAAAACTCTCAACTCGCATCCATGCTGGAGAAATCCCCCGTCTGGCAGCTTTGATCTGCAACGCCGCCTCTATTTCCCTCGGAGGAGGCCAGAGATTTACTCCCAATGGTTACGAAAGCACCTTTCAAATCAGTCACCTGTCGCATTACCCACTGGTTCTGAAACTTCTTCGCAGCATGGACGTCAACTCGGGACGAATTGTAATCCTGGGATCAATTACACACTATGTAGATAAACCGAATCCTTTGTACTCGCTCAACACATGCGTACCTGATGACATTGAAGAACTTGTGAAACCGGGTCCTGATCCGCCGTCTCTGCTTTATGACCGCGGATTTCAGAGATATGGGATAGCGAAGCTTGCAAATGTGACTTTCGCAAACGATCTGAATAGAAGATTGAAAAAGGCAAGTTCCATTCAACTAATGTGAATGGAAGCAAATGACTGAGTCTTTCTTAATAACAGGACTCGAATCTATCGAACGTGACCGCTTTGTCCATGGACCCCGGTGGACTCCCTTCATCAAGGGGCCAAGCTGAGCAAAAAAAATCCGTCAGACTCATTTTCGCAATTATCAACTTTTTGATGCCAGTGCTCAAGCACCTTACCACCAACTTCCGGGCGACGGAAGATTCAGGTCTAGACCTTGTCGCTGTTAGTGTTGGCCCGGAAGTTCATGGAAAAAGTGGATACTTTGATGGGCAGAAACAGGAAAGCCCTACGGTTGCTAGTGAAGATGTGGAATTTCAAAAAAGGCTTTGGGATGCATGTTGGAGATGGGCTGGGCTCAGTGATGGGGAAACTACTCTTCAAGGTTGCTCCTAGTTCTGGAGGCTCTCGGCGAGCATTGAACAACTGTCAATTCTAGACTTGATACAGGTAGATCTGTTCGTGGTTTAGCTCAGCAAAGAAAATATAGCTTTGAAGCAGTCAACTGTGTTCAAGTCCCTCCAGAATACACAAAGTATTTCAATGTTCACAAAGACTAAAAGAACCCCTCTCAAACACCTCGTTCTGCTCCACAGATTTCACACTCCTCTCCTTCATAAGCTCCAACCTCAACCCCTTCGCCTCCTCCATACTCATTAATGGCTGCAACACACCCTCCTCACAAACCATGTCTTTCAACTCAGCGGGAAGTCTTCCCGAAAGCACCTCGTGAGTCAGATCGTGCTTCTCCTTCCCCCAATCCTCCTGCTGCGGAGGAACATTCGCAGTCGAAATGATCCGTAGATGGGGATCAACAAGGAACAAAGCTAGGATCTTCCGGTGGCCAGGTTTGGAAGGATCAGCTAGCGAGAATGGAGTGACTCGGTGCTGGAGGACGTTTGGAAAGGTCAGGAGGCGACCTTGGCGACAGCTGACTTCTCCTAGGTCTTGTGTGATCTGGCAATTGTTGTCGTTACCAGTAACTTCGTGTTCAAATCCGTAGATTTGTTGAAGGAATTCGTGACGGCTTTGGGGGTAGCGGACACCCTCTGCGATATAGTCTGCGTTGGCACGTTGGCGGAATGCCAGGGGGCTTTCTGTGATGTTTTCGCTGTCATAATAGTAGATGGCTGTTGCACAAATGCGTTCATTCTGTATGGTGGTTAGTAAGGGATGTCCAGGTGAGAGACAATTTTGCACCGTGTCACTCACCAATTGGCCTTCAATATGCCAGGATCCTCCATTGTACTTGGGCGATTCAGGAGATAGTTCAATATTAGCCAACTTCACAATAACCTGTAATCCAGTCTTGCCAAACTGCTCGTGAATGTTAATCTCATTTTGGACAGCGAGCTTATCTCTTTGGAACTGGCCAGGCTCCGGCTTTTTTATCACCTGATTCTCCTCATATGCGTCAAATCGCTGATAGAAAGCCTCATCGTCTTCATCAGGCCATTGCTCTGGTGGTGGGTCTGAGGGCTCTTCATATTCAACCTGGTCAAATATGATTCGGCGAGAATTATATCTCTCACCTGTCAAGCTTCTGTTCCACAGAGGTATAGCGCGGGCAATGAATTTTTCAACGATGGCGTACAGGTCACGATGTCGTACAGGATGCAAATTGTTGATGTAGGAGGTGATACGGCACTCGTGCTCCGCTTCCGTGACGTTGAGCCCCACATCACAAGGAAGCCATTGAAACTTGTGACTGTAGAGAACCTCATCAAAGTAACGGCGCGCTACAAATCTAGAAGCCCTACCCTGTTCGATCATTGATGGGATTGGCAGTATTTCACCCTGCCCTGTCGTACCAAGGCAGTCTTCAAGACCGATTGTCTCGTCACGTAAGATACGGCTGTGTCCGTATACGAGCGGAAAAAGTGATGGATGCACTAGATCGAGGACCTTTTGGTCCGATCCTGGATGGTAATCTTTCTGATCGTCTGATACGTTTTCCAGAGGAGCCACTGCGTCTGCTAGGGCTTTTCGCAAATCTTCTGGGATTGCGGTGTCTGATTTGACCACACCCATGTCAAACACGGTGACGAACCCTTCGTCTTTGAGAAATTCGGCTTTCGCTTGCAGTTCTTCGAAGATGTAGTCAATCATTGCGGGGGAGATATCCTCGCCACTTGTGGAAATCTCCTCGCGCCATTTGGAGACAATTTCCTCGTTGAGGATCTAGTAGACCTATCAGTGCTGGTCTTCCTCAGATCGATGGATATGAAGTACTTTTCGATCCCATTCCGGCTTGTCGGTAATAGCGTTCATCACGCGCATCATCAAAATTTCACGTTGAATCTTGGCAAATCTATAACCAGGATTACTGCGTGTTCCAGCCAGTCATGTTGATGATCGTCTTACCCTGCATGAAATTGCAATGCATGTTCAAAGAGCGGAATGGGTCGAAATAAGTTTGCCATGTTTTGCTGTGGATGTTAGAGATTCCTATCATCATCCAGGTCAAGAGTCATACCGGAGGTAGATAATTGAGAGGCAAGGTGAAGCCGGGCAACCCGGACTGTTCCGGAGCGGGCATTTCTGGTCCAAGCATTTTTGCGGTTCGATCAGAGATGATTTCCTGAATACGAGATAGGAGATTCCTTATATAGTCTCGCCGGTGGTTTAGCCAAGGCCAAGGGAGCGCGCTAAAGCTTGGCGGCACAGGCTGCCAGAGGTGCCTGCCTAGTGCCTAGTGCCTAGTGCCTGGAAAGATCCATGGATCCGGATCCATACCGATTTGGGTAATCGATTCGTCTAAGTACAAGAAATTGTAGCCTCTATTCTTTTTTACACTTTCAAAGATACCTGATTATAAAGTTTCCCGAACAGGCGGCAGGTACCTTCCATAGTCTGAGGGTAACTTGTCAACTGACAAGGCATAAACAATGTCTGAAAAGCGCATAGTCAACACTGAGGGGAGCAGCAACATCATACAATACAGTGTAATGGAAAGCAAGGCTGGCCTGTGCCCTGGGTGAAAATAACAGTAGACAAAGCATTATTAGGCAATGTTCTAAACAAGATAAAAATGACAGAGAAGGGAAAAATACATAGAACTGAATTAAAAAGGGTTTGTATGCAAGGAAAAATAGGGGACATCTTCATCAGAACCAGGGAAGTATTATTTGAGAAACAGGGGCATATTCATTCGTTGCTTGTTCGAATAATTCATGACCGGAAGATGTTTTGTTCTTGGCTTCGGGTTTCTTTGGGGCCCCTTCTCTCTCTCAGTCCCAATACCAATGACATCTCTTGCTTCAGTCGTGATGCAACAGTTCATCAAAGCCGAACCAACGCCAAAAGCAAGAAGACTGAGCAAAATTAGATAGGAAAAAGGGGGGACGTGGGATTAATAGACCGTTACACGGCGTGACCAGCACCAACCGGGCTCCGGGGGGACTCGGGCAGAAAGGGCAGAAGATTAAGAATGCATCATGTTCCAAGGCAGCATCATAGAACAGGAAAAGGTCAGACTAATACAAGGGTGACTTGACATCTTGAACTCCACGTCGGACAACATCCTCGACTCGCCAGCGGGGAGGAGAGATGTTAGGGGTGCGCTTACGCTGCCACTCCTTCTCCATCTCGGGCGGGGGAGCCATTTCCTCAGCAGGGGGCAGCGCACCGCCAGCGATACCGGTAGAGAACTTGAGCTGCAAGACATTGCCGATCTCGTCACAGGCAACCAAAACCCGGTCGAGATCATCCTTGGTGTGAGCAGCCGACACACAGAAACGAGCACGGGACAAAACCAGAGGAGTAGCGGGGTATCCGACAACGACAACGGAGATCTTGCGCTTCAGCATCTCATGGGAGAATGCGGGCATCTTTGCAGGGTTGAAAAGGAGAACATCTTGTTCCTCAACTGGAGCATACACTTTATCAAGTCATCAAGCCGGCCCCCGTCTGTACATTCCATCCTTTCTACCGTCATATCTAGCCCCAGGAGCGTTCGTATTAGGCTTTCTTCGAAATACCCATCAATCTTCAAATTGACCACAAGTACCCAAGTCCGATACCATATGTCATCCAAGCGCTTCAGACCTTTGTAGCCCATAAATGCGAAAAGAAGTTCTTTTCGGAACCGGGACGGGTGGACTCGTTTGCGACCTTGATGATAGCATATCCCGTGCCACTTAGAGCCTTGTGGTAGTGCGAGCCCAATGGTCTCCTCTAGACGCCCGATTTTGTCACCTATTTTATTCAAGGTGACCCCATGTTGTCGACCAATGACATGGACAGAATGAACCATCTTTTGATAAAGATAGCCTAAGAGATTACTGTCGATCAAAACAAACATGCCCTCTAACCGGGATCATGAACTAACGGAGGACGAGGAAAAGCACTCGCAGCTTGAGTTCTGGTCCCTTCTGGTATCCATGCGTGGGGATATTTTGTTCACCAAGCCTATATCACACACTAATTCAGTCGGCTGAGGCTAACGTAAATGTGCCAACACAGTATCCTGTTACCCGGCAGCTGAATGTGGCTTCGCCGCTGCTGGATGTAGAAATAAGAATCAAATTCTTGAACTAAGCTTCTTTCGGATATGCGAGAGATTATGATATGGTAACGTCATGCTAAAACCTAGGCGAATGCTGGAAGAGCGACAGTGATTGCCAAATCACCTCCTCCATCTCGATCCTCAAGAATATCAGAATCTCGTTTGATCAAAATGCTTCTCTGGTCAGACGTTAGCCAGTCCGACGCGCCTAAATTTATCGGCAGAGAGGTGAAAAGACCAGACGAATTGAAGAAAAGTCGTTGGAATCACAAACGCAATTGGAAGAATAAAGTCGTGATTTTCAGCAAAAACATATATTTTCGCCTTCTGCAAATCGATAGATACCAGCCTACTACCATGATACTCTGTTTAGGAGACGGTATCCTCCGCAACATCTATCAATACCTTCCTGTGATTGACAAGGTCTGCCTATCTCTTAGCTGCAAACGGCTCTTCAGCCAGTTTGAAAAATTTGCCAACAAGCGCAGTTAAATTTGCCCCGGCTTTTTTTCCTTAAAATTCCTGTCGTCTGCGTGAACAGCAAAGATATACCGCGGAATCAACTCTTGCTTCGGCTTGAGGATGGCAGATGGTCATACTGTGGGGATTGTTTGAAACTTCATCCACGGAAAGAGTTCACCAATGTTTCTCTGAAAATTGCAGCTATAGAAAGACGATGTGCACCTGACGCTGGGATAGTGGGTATTTGTCCATGTATTTCCCTGACTCTTCGAGATCGAGGTCACCTCATAGATCTCCTCCAATCGCCTACCACGGAGCCCGGAACCAAATATGGGGTTTTGCAATTGAAACGCAATGGGAACTCCAGTTTTACCCATCGCTGTATATTCTACTTGGGACCAAAGCTTACGGTGAAATACTCAACGGATTTATCAATTATACGACCGGGTGGCGTAGTAATGCATTCGCATTTTACTATTTGGATTTCTGCCGCCTTATCACATCCTCTAATTGACCAACCTATCTTCGCATGTCCACACGAGAACCTCATATCTGTGATTTATGAGAAAGTACTAGCCGCAAGTTCTGCCAGGAATGCTGGACCTGGATTTCGGCACCGGCTCAACGCCCTGGTTGTGTTATTTTCACTATAGATCGTAATCTAGGAGGACTTGAGTACCCCGAAGAGCCTCTCCTTTGGGATAGAGATAACTGGATGGGTAACCTTCGCTTGACTAAAGGGGAATTTGAAAAGTGCAAGGGATATTAATATGATTTGAAAATTTCCAATAAACAGATCATGGCGTTCTGACTGACTATATTCCAGCCCACCGCTAGTAGGCTTGGAAAGGCACATGCAAACAATCCTTCGTCAATGGGATTCCGACTATCAAACAGATCAATGGGATCAAGCTTTGCGTAGGCGACAATTGAGATACCATCACTAATCTTACAATTCTATTTCTGATTCTTCGATTACAGTGTGCAGTGCCTCGGCGGCGATGATAGCAGCAGCATTCTGCTAAAGGTAGCAGATATTAGGGGTTGGGCCACTTGCTATTGATTTGAAGGGAAGGCAACATTTATTTGATTAGTTTGAGTATTACTACTTGGCACATGACCCTGGATAGCCTCGTTTAGGCCTAGCAGCATCCACCCACTGGATATAAATCTCTCTTTCTCTCCTTCTCCTTTCAATGTTTTCCGCAGCGGGACGAAACGACCTGCTACTTTGATGGTGGAGAATGTCATTGGCCGACGTATATCAACAAGAATGGCAGTTTGGGGTGGAATAATCAGGATTAACAAAATATTATGATCAAAACTTTTCTTGTTCATCTCAACTGATGGTCTCATCTCCAATCATTTGGCACCCACTTCAATCATACAGTAGTACGGCGGCGAATATTGCAAGGCCACCCCCACGGCATGACAGTGAAATGATTCGTCCACTCCCACTCTTTCTTGGAATTCTCAAGCTCAAATTCAAAGTCTCGAACCATGGTGGCAATAAACTTGGTGATCTCGAAGTGAGCAAGATTGCGCCCAGGGCATTGGTTGTATCCAGCGCCCCACTACAGAGATAGAATCTGTTAGTAGTTGGCCATATAAGAAGATGCGTTTATGATTTCTACTTACATGGATAAGGAAAGAATCCATGCTCTTTGTGTCAGCCTGAAGCCAGCGATTTGGGTTGAAGGTGTTGCAGTCTTCGCCAAATAATGCTGGATTTCGGTGGTAGACCCACGGATTGACACTCAGAATGATCTAGATAATATATTAATGAATATTCGATAACAATCCACTTATCAACTTACACCCTCTGGGAAATATCTGTCTCCAATTGTCATTCCACCCTTTGGCACAACTCGGGGAAGGGGACTGGGAACTGCGCTGTGAAGCCGGTAGATCTCTTTCATCTATGCAGATAGTTAATACGAAAGGCACATAGAACGCAAAATTGCTGAGAACATACACAAGCTTGAAGGAAGGGCAATTTTTGTGCTTCATTATACTGAACAATGGGCGACAATTCTCCACAAGTCTGAGCAGCATCAATCTCCTCGCGAAGCCGCTGCAGATGCTGAGGGCTGTGAATTAGACAATAAATAAGCGCCTGCAGAGTCGCGCTGACAGTGTCTGCACCGGCACCAACATTGGCCACTGCAGCACCGAAGATCTCACTCTCGGCCATACGGTCCGGGTATTTGGCACGAGTATCGAGCCATTGCTGCATCATGTCCTTGCGCACTGCAGGGTTCTCTTTGCGCACCTTGATAGCCGCGAGACAGGTATCGAAAATATGCGACGATGGCTGAATGCCCAGGCGACTAAGAAGTGGGTTGCCCAAGGTGAGGTTGTGAAGCCAGATATAGTGACCCATAACGGCAACGTACAGAGCGAGGGCTCTGGTATTGGAGATGGCGTTCCCAATATCCGTACCGGTCTCGACGAAGCCGAAGGATTTGGAGAAAGTGACTTCACCGAGAACGTCAAAAGCATAAAAGGTGCACCACGTTTCAAATTTGAATGGCTTGCTAGCTTTTGCATATTCGTCCATGGCTTCAGTGAAGAGCTTCAAGACAGCATCGACGTAGGGCTCGGACTTGATGATGTTGGAAAGTGCATACCCCGATGCAATGTTCCGATTCTTTTCGATGTGTCGTCGGTGATCCAGTTCTGACATCTGGTTGACATAGTGATAGTCTGGAAGACTAAAGATGGCATACCATGGGCCCTGTATGGCAATTAGTTCTGGCACGTTTACCTGGGTAACTTGGTTTAATTGAGTACCTTTGCAATATTTGCATGCAGGAGCTGTCTCACTGCATCTGGATGAGAGACGCTAACTTCGTTATCTCTAATGCGAACAAAATATCCTATTTCATATCAGCGCTTCTGTTCTCACTTGGAAAGGAGAGGTAAGATACCATGCTTCTGGTGTAATTTGAGAGTCTCATCTTCAAGGTGTCCTTTGTACAACTGAGCGACTACCCAAAGACTGGAAAAAGATCCCCAGAATGGACCCGGGATGTCCCTGATCGATGTGCAGTAACGTCGGATCAGTACACGAGCAATAAAGCCACCAATAAGAACTACGCCCCATATAAAGCGTGTATTCAGCGAAGCTATCACATCAGAAATAATGAGTGGGGTCATATTGTATGCACAGCATGACTCGAGTCAAGTTGGAGGGGGAAAAACAAAAAAAAGGGGCCGAAAACTTCCCAGGGAATCATACTTAGCTATAGGGACCACCCCGGGGAACATGAGTAATTAGAATTCGCTGGCCTCTAATCGGTCTAGACAAGCATAAGATCGGCTAGTAAGCGAAAACTTCCATCCGTAAAATTGTTCGAGAAATTCCAGAGCCTCGTCGGCAAAGAACGTGCAACCAGTTTGTGCGATATCCCGCCCTTGCATGGTTCTATACTGTAACAAGACAGGTGAAGCAGCTAGATCGCACCAATGTGGGTTTTTTGTGGAGATGATCATGTTTTTAGGGACCAAACATAATCTCAGAATCATTAGTTTCATCTTAGCGTGGCGTAAACGAATGAATCGACCGACAGACTAGTCTTAAAGAGGTAACCAGGCTGGAATAATGTGTTGATTGGGATCCACCTTTTCCAGCCCGCAGACGTTTCCGTGGGAAAGATGACAAGAGACATTGTTCTTTTAAACTACCCCGTACGGACTAAGTTTCCTTTGACCATGCGCCTGCCTCGACGCCTTCCCAGGTGATCTCCTTGCTATGTCGTCTCAGGATTCTGCGGCCTATGTGGCCGAGAATCGAGGACCATCTGCGATAACAGGCATGTATATTGTTACAGCATTGTCAACAACAGTTGTCCTGATCCGTTTATACGCCCGTGGGATTCAAATTCAAGAACTGGGCAGGGATGACTATTTAATTGTGGTCGGACAGGTAAAATCTCCATCTCCTTGAAGAACTTGTGCAAACGTCAATTCTTATGCGCAATTTAGCTATTCGCGTGGGTCGACATGGTCCTATCAATAATGGTGGTCCGTCACGGCGCTGGCGAACATCTTCAGGCCCTAGTCAATCATCCAGAGAAGATGGTCAAGATGTACAAATGGCTTGTCGCAGCCCAGATGATATACTTTGCCTCACTTTGGATATGTCGAGTTTCCGGCTTAGCATTCTATGCGCGTCTGAATCCCATGCCACGATTCACACTATACATGCGTCTGGCCTTGGCCTTTGTGACTGCTGTATGGGTAGCACAGTCTCTTATCATTGGGCTTCAATGTATTCCAATTCAAGCCTTGTGGGATACAAGTGTCAAGGGTAAATGCTTGACCTCGACACAAGTTTTTATCTCGACTTCCGTCATGACGATTATCTGCGATTCCCTTATTTTAATATTGCCTGTCAAAATTGTGCTCAAGCTGCAAGTCAATCTTGCCAGAAAAATTTCCCTGCTCTTCATTTTCTGCTTTGGTATCTTGTGAGTGACAACCCCCATATCTCATCCTTCGCCTCGACCCTATTGAAAATCATTCTAATGTCTTGGCACTAGTGCAATTGTGTGAGTACAGCGCCGAACATTCAGAGTGAAAAACAGCTCACTGCTGATTATTCAATACTTCAAATAGTACATCTATCCTCCGCATGGTCTCGATGATCGTCGCCCTTGACCACCCAACCGACCTCACCTGGTACTTCTCCGTCGTTATGGCCTGGAGTACCTCAGAAATCTCCGCCATTGTCATCGCACTCTCGCTACCCGCCTTAAGAGGCTTCTTTGGCATTCTGCGAACAAAAGGCCGGTCTACCAACAAGAGCAAATCCAATGGCACAGGCTCTATTCGTCTTACTCCCGTTTCACAATCCAATCGAATATTTGACGGCTCGGTTCAAAACACCGTTAGCATAGATACCCGGAGGAGCTCAAGTCAGGAAGCTCTTTTCTGGGATATGAAAGATACACAGAGCATACGGGTCATGGATACAGTACATGTAGATATTGATGACGGTTCGGATCGGCACATACAGCATTAAAAGCTGAAAATTAATGACAGTAGGAACGAAAGTACCGTTTCATAATAACCAATGGAATACCCCACTATTTCGATCCAAGTCACAGTGCAAATTGCAACACGCATGTGCATGAATTCAATTTTATAAGTTATAACAAATAACAACACGAACAAAAAGCCATGGTACGGTCATCTATTGCCAAATGGGGAGCGGACTCCCGTCGCCGAAGTTTGAGGACTCCATTGCTTCGCTCAATAAACAGCCTCCAAACACACTCTTTAACCGCATGCTCCCAGTCAATCTCCTCATTTTTCAATCTCATTAGCATATCAACTCGGACCAGAAGCTGCCAGCAATACTTAAGATATTTTCGCAACTCGCAAGAGTTATCCATATGTAAGGGATCATCCGCCGTAGTCATTCTTCGCGAGGGCGTGTAGTCGGCAAATTCAATCACATCTAGACAAAGCTCCGCCGGAAGACCCTTTCCCATGAGAATCCGCATGACTTTGGCGATATCATCCTGATGTGGACTATATACGCCATTGTCGGCGGCGGATTTGAACCTGGCGAATGGCATATGTCCACACCGTTCATTGAACTTGTGAAGATCCAGCTGGTGCGACAGTCCAAAGAACACTTGGTGAGGAAGCGTCTGTGTTGTTGGTTGGGTGCAGTACAGGAGAGTCAGCTGATACGCGCGAGTGAGACGGTAGTCAAGATGGCTTTCGTGCTTGATGACAGGGACATCGCGTCGTGGGGTTCGCATATAAATCTTCCTACTTTCCTCATCGTAAAGCTCGGGCTTTTGAAGAAGGATGTTCAGACAAATATATACCATAAAGGTTGGGTAGACAAAGGCCTTGAGCCCGTAATCTTTTTCCTCATTGAATGGACGTTCCCAGGCTCTTCCCAAATTTAAAGCGTGATGTGATGCTAGTCGCAAAAGAACGTCCATTTCACTATGGAGAAGGAGGACTTTGATTGGTTCAAGCGTGTTATGAAGAGGTCTGCAATTATCCTCCCCCCGGTGTGGCATAAGATTAAACCAGAAAGATATTTTTCTGTTTTCGAGAACTTTCATGGAACGTATTTTCGCGCCTCGTTCTTCGCTTTGTCGTAGTGTGCATTTGATCTTTTCAGCAATGGCTTCTGAGAAAACTTCTTCATCACCTTTCGGCGGGTCATAATTCTCGGCATATTTTGATCTCTCGATTTTGCTGTGCTCGTCTATTGTTCGCTTAAAGGCCTTTGCGAAGTAGCTGAGGTCCGTTTCCAGCTGGGGAATCTTGGATGGGAATAGGTTGGTTTGGCATTTGCAAGATGTGTTTTCATAGCGGTATTTGAAATTGTCTGCTAAAAGCTTCCATGGAAGATTATGCGCTTGATGCGCCATTTCTCATCTTAACCTCTGTGAAACTGATTTCCAAAATCCTGCTTCATTTGAGATCTGTGCGTGTCTTCATCACGTGACTATACAACGATCCAACAGGAGGAAGTAAGAAGTGGTCAGAGGCTTGGGGAGCAATTGATTTCTCTTTCGCCTTGCGGCCATTGTTTTACCTGCCATCTGAAAACATACCAAATGCAGATAAACAACAAACTAGCAGCAGTAAAAAGACCCACATCAAGCTTTACGCCACGCCAGTTGGGCTCTTCGGATGATAGATAAGCCGCAATCGGCATTGACATGTATGAGAAAGAGTGTCGGTTGCAAAAAGGACATTTCGGACTTGAGACTCTTTCTCAAGATGTGCAGATGCCCAAGCACAAAGAAAGATAGTGGATAAGTACCTGATTTTATTAGACAATCCTTGGAAGTTGAATAAAAATACCATGATGCCCTTTCTGCATAATTTATTTACTTATTCTAGTTGAAAGGATGAACATAAGGAATGTATTGGGTTAAAAATACTAATACAACGATGGAGAAAAGCGTGTCGATTATGTACTGGGCAAAATGAAGCACTGTACGCATGGTCAGATGTTTCCGACAGGTATACATAATACCCAGCAACACACAGGCACAAAGTTAAAAGCCATAATGACATGAAGACATAAGCATGAGGCGTTCGTAACCTATACAAGGCATCGCCTATTCAGATGTTGTATTCCAAACATTGAACAAACGGATGGCCGAAAATGTGCGTATTCGTTTAGCACTTGGTGATGAAGACACCCAGACTAGAAGATAACATTAGCTGTTGATCGTGGTCATGTCGAGAGACAAGAAACTTACGGAGAGGGGTTCCAGTCATTGAACCAGTTGAGATAAGTGGTACCGGCCTCGGACATCTCGTAGGCGACGGTCTCACCAGCGGGGCAGGAGAAGGTTGAGACAACGTAGGTGTTTCCGGGAGTGATGGTAATGTCACCAAGGTTCTCGGAAACGGAGGGGGCGTTGTTGTAGGTAGTGGAGCTGCTCGCGACCTCAGACAGCTTGGAGAAGTCAATCTTGCCGTTGCCGCTGAAGGTGTAGTCGGAGGTCTCGAGATCGGCCTTCTCGGGGAACATGAAGAGCAGGTTGCAAGTCGAACCCTCGTAGGAGGACGGGATGTCAAAGTTGAAGATGGTCGAGACAGTCTCGCTCACAGTGCCGAAGTACTGGGTACCGTAGGCGGTATCGGGGGAGGAAGAGTTGATAGGGATAATCAGGTGGGGGTACTGGTACTCGCCAGAAATGAGGGTGGTGGCGCAGCTGCCGGCAGACGACTGGGTCGCAGTAGCAGCGGTGGAGGATGAGCTAGCGGAGGTGCTGGAAGACGGAACAACCATAGAGCTAGTGGTGGAGGATGAGCTAGCGGAGGTGCTGGAAGACGGAACAACCATAGAGCTAGTGGTGGGCACAGGGGACTGAGCAGGGCTTGAAGCGGCGGTGGATGCGCCAGCAGCAGGTCCAGAGGGCTGAGCGCTGCTAGAGAGAGATGAGGGGCTAGGAACAGACGACTCAGAGAGAGATGGGGCAGCAGAGGCGCTAGGGGTTGAACCACCGGCGGGTCCAGAGGGCTGAGCACTGCCAGAGGGAGAGGAGGGGCTAGGAACAGACGACTCAGAGGGAGATGGGGCAGCAGAGGCGCTAGGGGTTGAACCACCAGCAGCTCCAGAGGGCTGTGCACTACCAGAAGGAGCAGAGCCGCTAGGAGCAGGGAAGCCAGGAGTGTTGTTAGGGCAGCTACAGTCAGTAACTGTCACGGTGCTGGTCACATAGATAGGCGAGCCCCAGAGAGTAGCAGCAGAGGGAGCAGGCGCAGAAGAAGCGGAATTGGAGCTGACAGGAGAGCTAGGAGCTGGGGCAGGAGAGCTAGGAGCCGGGGCAGAAGAGCTAGGAGCCGGAGCAGAAGAGCTAGGAGCCACCATGACGCTAGACTGAGAAGCAGAAGGCATCATGGAAGACGAAGAAGGCATCATAGAAGAAGAGGAAGCACCGGCACCAGAGCCGGAGCAGGAATCAGCAGTCAGCTCGACCTTCTTGCACATAGTAACAGAGGTGCTGTTGGTAGTGTAGATGTTGCGGCCACCATTCTCGCCAGTCTCACAGGCAATGAAGTTAGGGCTGCCGTGATATTCCAATTCACCGGAAGAGGTGATGGAAAAGCCAGAAGTGGCAGTAGCACCAGTGTCACACTGGAACTGGGTAGTCTCGGCTGAATTATCTGTTAGATTATCGTCGTACCTTTGTCACTCGTTGTACTTACTAGTGAGGATGCAGCCACGGCCGGCACTGTCAGTGATGGCACCGCTCGAGTTGATACAGAAGGTAGCCGCGGACAGACTATCGTCGCCGACACGGACCTGACCATCACTGAGCTGGCCAAGGGTTCCGGACACGCCACCGGAGGCAGTCAAGTGGAAGCAGCAGCTATCGCTACGACCGACCAGGGCATTGGTGCCGGCAGCGAAGGCTGCAATGGCGATGAAGCTCTTCATTGTGCTTAGCAAATGCAAGGCAGAGATACTTGTTGAACGAATGAAGCACTCTTTTTAGAAAACGAGCGTCAGGCCTTGTTTGAGCTTTAATTTGCCGCTTTTATGGTATGGAGAAACAAAACAAAGGGTCTTAGTCCGGGGGGTATGGATATTTATAAAGGATAGTGGATGGGGCCCCAGTGTTACGAATCAAGAGATGCAACAAATCATGGCAGCCACCGAATAACCGGCTTCACTCCCCGGAAGGAATTAAAAAATAGAAATCCTTTGATGTCAGCTTCTCCGAATCGAGTATGACCAATGTCATTGACCATGGATGTGACAGTGGGTCGGTGCCTGGCCTCGGAAAGCAGGTAAGTAAAAAAAAGTCCGTACCAGTCGGAGAAGCATTCGCAGTGACATGGTCAACGTCATTCTGGAACTGAAATCCATTATTCTTTGTGGAGAAAAGCCATGCTTCATGCTCCACTATAGTGGAGCGACACCTGCACAGTGATGCGTATAGTGGACCACAATGGCCTATCATAAGAGCCATGAGCGAAATCCCATCCTGGCCTGGATCACTGGGAGCAGTCAACAATGCTGCCAAGAGCAATGCAGGCAGCGTAAATTCAAGTGGCGAATATGTTCTGCCTACCACGGAACCCATGTGAGATGTGTCTCCTTCGCGTGAATCCAAATTGAGTAAGTAAGTCTCGGATCGGATCAAATATGCCGACATCCATGGTTTTCCGGTAACATCCTTGCTTTTGATTGATCCCCATTTCCCTGCTGTACATGGTTGAAGTCAAGCTGTGAAAAGGTACGGAGGGGCCTTCGTCCAGAAAGAGCTATCTGTCAACATAGAAGTTTGCTTCCCCGGAAAACTAGGTTTATAGCTCTAAATGCAGGTGACTTGCTCAACTTGTGATGCAAGTGATCAAAGTTTTCACAGACCAAGATCAGATCCATACGTACTCGCATGATAAAGAAGCCCCGGAAGACCCTGCAACCCTTTGGGAGTGGGGACATGCGTATTTTACATCACATTAGACGATGCCTGAAGAAAAGTGGGCAAATGAAATACACAGCCTCGCATTTGAGTATCGAAAATAAATCACGGATAAGAGAGTGTACTGTAACAAGCGACTGCAAAATGTTCCTGCTGGGGTGAAAAAGCAACAGGATTGGATCGGATGTTGTGAAGCCGAGACTTATCATCATTGGGCAATAAGTGGAGCCGATCAGATTTCGGTTCAACCAACAACAAAGCAGGTTATTTATATTCATCAAGTTGAACCAGGGATGAGCAACTTCTGGCTACACACAAAAACTGTGTATGCAATGGGAGTTGGTTGCCAAAGTAGACAAAGAAGTTCACGAGACTTGGAGACTTCGAAATGTGTAGTGTGTAGTGGTAGTTGGTGGAATTGACTGAGCCACGTCATGTAAAAAGTATCTTGTTGGCTAGGTTGGGTTGGGATAGGATATTTGTGAGGGGAATTTCGTAATAGTACACGATCCGTGACGCGTGTCCAAAGTCAGATTCATACAGTAACTCTGTCATCCTGGCGATCTTAGGAAGATTAATTTCTTTCTCTGCTTCTAGAACGGCCCCCAAAAAATCAGCAAGGGATTCGCGTCTCGAGATGAGAATTCAGGAGGATCCATGCTGAATAAGGCAAAGCCAGGCTGGTTTCTAATTCTGGATCTTATCCAGGAACCAGGCAACCTTGAACCTCCTGCAATTTCCACGAGAAATCGGTCGATCGTCACATCCTCGTCAAAGTAAAAAAATTTTTAGACTTGGTACGCCACCTCCACAAGCTGCCATCATGCTTCAATCATAGACTTAGATTTTCCTGCTAGCCTTTGCGCTAATGACCCCTCATCGCGCTACTGACCAGTGCCAAGTTGATCCGCCCCTGGTGTGTCGATCGCTTCGGGTCTGAGCGGGTATATGCGTCTGTGCAAGGGCGATCTTTTTACATAAATTTCTTTCGGGGTATGCGTCAAAGTGCTTGTTGCCACTCGAAGTCATGATCTATAGAGCCATTATTGCTATCAGGTCACACTGAAAGGAATGGTGAGTCCAGATCAGCAAACAAGGAATTCCAGTCGAAAAGCGAAGTTGGGTCTACATTATTATCGAATGTCTGCCAGATGTCATCGAATGTCGGAAGAGCCGGATCCAATGGGTTATGCTCCACATCGCCGGGGCCAGTAGGAACGGTTGGTAATGTAGATTCGGTGCTCGATTCAGAGGGTGACTGTTGGGCATCATTCTCAATTCCATTCGTCTTGCCATTGGCGTCAGGCAGAGTGACCTTGTTTCTCCGGAGAACAGCGTGGAAGGATTCCAGGATATTCTCTGCAAATGGCGATTGGCTCTTGGCCTCTTCCAGAATCTTGAATGCATAGAAAACCTCCTCGCGTCGTTCTCGATCCTCCTCCGGCTGAAGACTTTTGTTAAGGCAAACATCCATCAGCAGCACAATAATTGCGACACAAACACAGTGCAAACCACCAGTAAACTTCAATCTTGCAAGCGCAAAAGGGATCCGCTCTTTTGATAAACTTCGCTCCGTTTGAATAGTCGTGCGCGCCGCCTGTAAACAAGCCTCTCGTGAGAAAGCGAAATCAGGTTCCGTGGCTGCCCGAGACAGATACGGAAGATGCAGTCTGCATCGTTGAGAGTGAATTAAAGAGTTAATGACATAACGTTGAATGATAATCCCAGGTGAATTTCGCGGATCTGGTTCTGGAAGCTCGCTTGCGTCGTAATCAAGGGAGAAGAAACTGGGCATCCCATTCGCGATTTCACATATCCGCGCATCGATATCCCTAATTTCCTGACATTTGTAGATCCCACGCCCAAGATCGGCGAAGGGAATACTATCCGTGATGTCACGGCATAGCTCTCCTAGTCGAATTCTCTGAAGGCAGTATGACATGGAGGTCGGTTGATCTATTGGCCTGGCACTAATTGCTCCGTCGACAAGGTCTTCGTCATTTATGTTCAAAGGCTTCTCCGTCACCATGTGCCGAGGGTTGATAATGTAGGTCCCTTTTTGTGGACCTGCAAAAAGGGAGAATTGCCTTCGCGTTAAGGTTAGGCATGGCGGGAAAATTGATAACAGGGTGCATACCAATCTGTTGCAACGAGATACCACCATACTCTTCTGCCTATCTCCTCGTGGATTGCGCTTCCGTGGGCTATGCCAGGCCTTGCATTCTGAGGATGATCGATTCGATGTAGTTGTAGGCGACGAGCTACCGTGATTGCTGTGGAGAATACGTACCATGCCTGCGACTTGATTCCAACGAGATTGGTTATAAGAAAGGCAACGATTATCATAGCCTGGATATCTTCAAGTGCTTCTGAGCCCTTTTGACGCGAATGCTCCAATAATTCAAGGGCGATTCTCATCCATACGATGGCTTGTTGATTCGCTTCCTTGACAGAGGAGAATAATGGTGAAGGCATGTCGCGTTCTGTCCAGAAGAAAGTGGTGCTCGCCAGAATTGCCAGGAGTAATGAAACATGCCCAAGTTTGATCGAACACTTGCCATTAATATTCTGATAGAGTTCCTCCACAAGTTTTCGCACAGAAGGGCTGTGGACCACGTGGTGAATAAAGGTGATGTCAGCTAGATATTTGTCGAGGATTTGTTTGGACTCGTTGTGCAAGGGAATCCAAATGCACCTAGTTGCACTGGGTGAATGGAGACCATGCCCAGATGGTGCGACGGCACTGGTAGCCTGTTTAATGGAACATGTTTTGAACTTGACATCATTTGCGAGTAGGGATTCCTGTAGAAATTGTTGTCAGTGGCCTTCTTCAAGACATTGATATACCCAGGGGGGCAGCAGAGCGTACTGTGGAGACAGGATGTGTAACCTCCCCTTCCAGCCACTCCAAATCAACGGCCGGGGTCTTATCAGCATTGAAGGGAGGAGGGTATGCTTTTTGCCAAATCCGAGGAGGTGATACGGGGGATGCCCGTTCACTGGCACCTGTTGACCCTCGCTTCTCAATCACCATCTCTTCCAGCCGGCGTAAGCGCTCTAAAACATCTTGTTGGAAGGTACTGGTCAGTTCTTCGGGTATTCTCTCAGTACTGCTGCCAGGGGGTACCACCGGGCTATCCTGTTGGCAAGGAAGGCCGCGACTCGTGCAATTGGGGCAGGGAAACTGTCGGCTGCATCTTAACTTCCGCGATCGACAAAATAGACAAGAGACTGGGCGTGATCGCACTGATCGGGATGAATGCTTTTCAACTCGCCCCATCATGCCACTGAAAGCCTGTCGAAACTTTGCAATAATCACTGGTGGAGAGAGAGGATGTTAGAATGAAAGAGCCAATCAGGGCGGTGAAACCCCGTGGAAGCTCCGCGGCCTCAACTCCGATCTATATACCACCTGTGGATACCATCCATGTATAAAAGGCAGAGAATATGCCGACCTCGAAGAGTATCTCAAGGCTTAAACCCTTCTGTGATTTACAAATTTACTATATCTTTACTATATCTTTATCTCCCAACCAACCAACATTCATCTAGTCTCAAGATGGATGCCATCATTGCTCAAATTCGCACTTTGGTCCAATCCGCCGATGACACCGGTCGATTGAAGATCGAAAAGGCTCTTCGTCATCTCCAAATGGAGATTCAATCTCCAAAGGATATTTTGATGGGATTTGGGAACTCGGCAAGCTTAAATCTGCAAAATGCTTCCTCTCTCAATCACTAACTTCCTGCAAAGAAAATGCTCATCGCTATGCTCCGTCTTGGGGTCGACCTGGGATTGTTTCGTGATCTCAGCAAGTCTAATGATTCTTTGACTACCAATCATCTAGCTGCTGCGTACCAGGCATCTCCTAGCTTTATGGGTGAGTACACCAGTGCACTATCAATTTGTTAGAATACAAACTTCAATGATTCCATATTGCTAACTTTATTCTAAAGAAAGGGTCCTTCGCTATTTAGCCTCTACCAACATGATCATGGAGGTTGGCCTTGATGAATATAAGGCAAACAGAATCACCTTCATGTTAGCTGATCCCAGGGGCGAGGGTATGGTCTGTCACGGGTATGCAGTGCTTCATTTGCCCATTGACTGTTCCTATGGGCCGTGAACTAATCCTCAATCCTCTTTTATAGATTTGATGTCTTTGGCCCTGTAGTGCAAGCTATGCCTGACTTTTTTATGGAGAAAAAGTATCAGGATATCACCAGTAACACTGACACACCGTTCCAAAAAGCGTTCAACACCAACCTGGCTTGCTTTGACTGGCTTGTTCAGCACCCCAAACATTTTGGTTCTCTGCAGAAAATTATGACCGCACTCGAAGGTGCAGAGTGGACTGTTGGCTTCGATCTCATCAAGATAGAGGCTGAAAGGATCCCATCACTGGCTCCAGAGCCATCCGAGAGGCCGTTTCTCGTGGATGTCGGTGGTGGCCAGGGTCATCAGTGTGTTCAGCTGGGGAAGGTATTTCCCAATCTTCTTGGACGTCTTGTTCTGCAAGATCTGCCCGAGGCACTTAATAGCCTGCCTCCTATAGACGGCGTCAGGGCTGAAGCCTACGACTTTTTCCAGAAACAACCCATTACTGGTGAGTTGTTGTTCCTTGTTCGCCTATCGGAGATCCAAAATGACTTACAGCTTCCTAGATGCGAAATTCTATTACCTGCGAAGGATCATGCACGACTGGCCCGACAAGGAGGCTGCTTCCATTCTTCGGAATACCGCTAGTGTCATGGCACCAGATGCTCGTATTCTCATTGACGATGTTGTTTTGCCAACCAGAGGGGCTCATTGGCAAGCTACCATGGCGGATCTATCAATGATGTTCGCCTTTGGTGGGAAAGAACGATCTAAACAACAGTGGGATTCATTGGCAGAGCTCGCGGGTCTGCGAGTCGAACAGATCCATACATATATCGCCTCCACCTACACGTCCATTGTGGTTCTTGCTCGGAAGTAATACATATAGGGACGGGGAACTATCTGCACACTGATTTGTAGGCGGTCTTGGATATTCAAATGTCATCAATAATCTGTATATCCGGTACAAATCTATAATTGCCACAGAACTTCGCATAAAAGATCATTATTCTCATGTACCAATCACGAGGTCCAGATACCTACATAATCGGAATCCGCCACACTTGTAACTTACATCTGTGTGAAAAGGATACACTAGTTAATTCTTCTCCGCATAGTGAAAGATTGCCAATAAACCTTATAGTCTGACATTTAGAGAAACGCTCTCTCACTCAAGTGGACATGATGTGATCGGATTGATAGCATGTGTTCAAATTCGTTGTTGAGTTTACATACGAATATTATATGATCAACAAGAGAACGGCTTTGAAAACGCCAAGATAATAATATATTTAACAAATATTTTGAAGGCTTGAAGAATGCACGAAACGCAAATGCAGTAGCCTCAAATAACTATTGTACATGACATGATAATAACAATCAGAGCTTGCCACCAGTGATCTGCTCACCGAGCTGCTTAACTCGGTTCTGGATCACGTCCCATCGGGCGGTTTCACTCCTCCGAGTCTGGTTGACAATATTCTGCACGGTCTGGGGAGTACCCAGGTTCCAGATATTCTCGCCGTGCTGGTGATCGTTCTGCCAGGCCTCGTTCTCACCCTCTTCGGGGAACACACGGTCGATCTCAGCAGCAAGCTGCTCTTCGTTGATGATGAATGTACGGGCGTTCATATACAGTGAATGCAGGTCCTCCTGTCGCTGTGCGTCTTTTTCTTGCTTAAGTGCCTCCACCCGCGCCTTGGAAAGAGCCACACGCTGTTCCCGGTTCGGGTCCGCTAGGACTGAGTGTCCCTTTGACTGCATCGCCTGTACGACTGATGATCGCGTTAGGCGTTCATCTTCCGGCTCGGGTTGTTGCAGAATACGCTCTCGTCGGCTTTGTGTCTCGAGACTTCTGTTGAAAATGATTTCCTCCGCCGATGTCTTCCGCTGGTACAGGGTTCGGAGACCCTCCCGGAGATGTTGTCTCCGCAGAACTGCCATCTTGAGCTTGAAGGCCTGCTTCTCGGGGTCATTGCTCTTCGGGTTCACCGAGCGCTCGGTTTGAGGGAGGGGTGTTGCAGCATCGAGATAAGCCTTGCGCGGCTTATCCGCGCGGCGAGCTGGGAAGAGCTCACGAGGCACGGGGAGTGTACCCTTAACTCTGGGCTTGGCCGGGTTGGTCGGCTGGAGGATTCGGGGGACATCGATGAAATGAGGAGACTCGGGTCCGACTCGAAGATTGGGGGAGGTCGCGAAACCACGGACCTGCACTCTGGCAGTCCGGCTGTTGCGGAGGGCAGACATGCTGCACCAGTCAATTCCTTTGAACCCACCCAAAAAGAAGGAACTCTGTATGGAGAATAGGAAATTGGCAGAATGAAGGAAATAATTCACGATATATCCGGCTTTGACCGCGATGATATCCGCTTGGAAAGGGAGGGTTCTCGGACGAAGCAAAGACGGGAGAAACAGAAGCGATTTTGCCGTGGTCCGTGCACCACTATTTTTTCTTGGCGCCAAAAAAAAGTTCCCTTCCGCCTTTTTTTTTTCTTCTTCTTCTCTTTGCTCTCTGCCACTCTTTGTGTTTGGTCTCGCCTTCGAAAAATTTTCCGAAGGGCCAACCTCCTTTCAATACCTTCATATCACAGGTAATCCATTATGGGTACCGGAAAGAAGGAGGCCGCCCGTAAGGTGCGGCAGAACGTCCCTAAAGATGGCATGGCCAACGTGAAGACCAAGGGTGAAAACTTTTACCGGTATGTGCAAACTCTTCACTTCGCTCGAAATCAAAGACGCAGCAGACTGACGGACTCTTCAGCGATGCCAAGAAGATCAAGACCTTGAACATGTTCAAGGATGGCAAAGCTCAGCGCAACGCCCACGGAGAGATTACGAATGCTGCCTCTTACCAGTCTCGTGATGCCCCAGTGGGTCGCATTGAGCCGAACCGTAAATGGTTTGCCAACAGCCGAGTCATCTCACAGGAGGCACTAACCTCTTTCCGTGAGGCTGTCGCTGAACGGGAAAAGGATCCTTACCAGGTGCTGCTCAAGACCAACAAGCTCCCCATGAGCTTGATCCGTGACAATGATCATACTGTGAACGGTATCAAGCAACATCAAGCCAAGATGGAGATTGAGAACAACCCCTTCAATGATACCTTTGGACCCAAGGCCCAAAGAAAGCGTGTTAAGCTAGGAGTTACGTCTCTGGAAGACCTGGCTGGCGAGACTGCCAAGGTCCACGACTCATACATGGAGAAGATGGACCAGTCCACACACGAGGATGGCACTCCTATCGTCACTGCTGATGTTGGTAACTTGGAAGATGCTATTCTTACCACTGCCCGCGAGTCTGTCTTCTCCAAGGGCCAGAGTAAGCGTATCTGGAACGAACTTTACAAGGTCATTGACTCTTCTGATGTGGTCATCCACGTTTTGGATGCTCGTGATCCCATTGGTACTCGCTGCCGGAGCGTTGAGAAATACATCCGCGAGGAGGCACCTCACAAGCATCTGATTTTCGTGCTTAACAAGACTGATCTTATCCCGACCGGTGTTGCTGTAAGTTTCAACTCTCTCCCAATTCTTTCTGTTCCTCGCGCATTTGTTTTTTGGTCTCTCTTTTTCTCTCTCCTTTTTATCGATCTTCGGGTCGTGCCATCGCTAAGTCAAGGCTTCTCCTACGATTTCATATCGTGTTATTCTCAATGGGAGTCTGTCTGTTACAGCTTTGGTAAATTAACACTGCCCCGCACCGACCTTCTTTCTGAAGTTAGGTTGACAAGCCTTCGTCTTGAAGGCTTGTCGTAAGGGACAGATGTGTTTTGTTTTTGAGTTGAGCTCTGCTTCTACCTTTTCTGGTGGCTTCATAGCAGAGCTCTTAGTAACATCCCACACATTTCTTGATTTTTTCTTTTTGATTTTTTTCGTTCTTTCTTTTTTTCACTTTTTTTCAACCAAATTTTCCGGTGACAATTTGCTAATATGGCATCTTTACCAGGCCGCTTGGGTTCGTCACCTGTCCAAGGATTACCCAACTCTTGCTTTCCACGCCAACATCAACAACTCCTTTGGTAAGGGTTCATTGATCACCCTCCTTCGCCAATTCTCCTCATTGCACTCCGATCGCAAGCAAATTTCTGTTGGATTCATTGGCTACCCCAACACTGGCAAGTCCTCCATCATCAACACTCTTCGAAAGAAGAAGGTCTGCACCGTGGCTCCCATTCCCGGTGAGACCAAGGTGTGGCAGTACATTACCCTGATGAAGAGAATCTACCTCATTGATTGTCCTGGTGTGGTTCCGCCCAACCCCAACGACACTGAAGAGGATATTCTTCTGCGTGGTGTCTGCCGTGTTGAGAACGTTGAGAACCCTGAGCAGTACATTCCGGCTGTTATGCGCCGTGTGCAGCCTCGTCACTTGGAGCGCACCTACGGTATCAAGGAGCCTACCGACGCCATTGACTTCCTCAGCCGACTTGCTCGCAAGGGTGGTCGTCTGCTCAAGGGAGGTGAACCTGACCTGGACGGAGTGGCCAAGATGGTCATTAACGATTTCCTCCGCGGAAAGACTCCTTGGTTCACCCCACCTCCCAAACCCCCTGTTGGGGAGAAGGAGACCATGGCCGCTGGTCGTGAAGGCCGTCTCGGAGAAATGGGTCGCAAGCGTAAGCTTGAAGAGACCGAGGTCGCTCTTGAAGCTGCCGACGATGCTGAGTCATCAGACTCCAAGCCTGATGAGCAGGGCGAGGAGGATTCTGACGATGATTCGATCGCCAATCTGGAGATCAGCGATGTGGAGAGCGGTGAGGAGGAGTGAATGGATCGTGTCGGTGGATCGTGTCGGAGCACATCAACTCTCCAAACCTTAACCATCCCACGATGAGATGGCATGCGCAGCTCTTGAAAAATTAGAGCATATGCGCCCACCCATTCCCCCCTCCGCAGTCTCGCGTCAAGCCGGCTCTCAAGAGTTGGTTTTAACTGCTGAAAAGAGAGGATCTGCATCCAAGAGCTACATTGTGCCCAGAGAAACTGTACCGTTTTATCAGTGCATTGTCTGATCTCGCACGCTCTTGAAACGTACATGCCAAATATGGCCCTGGTTGAAATCTCATAACTTCGAGGCGTTCGGTGGCACTCTAGATACCCCAATCCATACATGGATTAAATCAAAAAGTTTCTTTCCAACTCATACCCATATCCACTTCTCATTGTAGAGCGTACCATGAATACAGTCCCACTTATTGTAAAGGCAGACCACTTGCAATCTAAGGCCCGGGACCCAGGCAAGACAGTTCAACAAACATACTTTATTAAGTCACCTTAGATTTCGTCCTATGGTTCTAATTACAATTCAAGATAATAAGAAATAAATCGCATTCTCTCTACTTACCAGCGTAAATTCATGGTGATTGAATTGGACCTGATAAGCTCCACTGCGGGCCACGGATGTTATTAGAAGGCGTCAATGTCTTTGGAAGGCCCTCGAACCAAATTTGTCGCATAGTTCAGGAATCAAGTAAATAAGCCCGTTTCTTCTCTTCAACTAGATAAAAAAAAACTCAAACTTGCCAAATCTGAAATCTGAAATGGAAAAGGCCATGTCTTCAAGGCGTCCAATTTATTTGAACCCCGCCACCGCCACCGAGCGATGCGACTGTTCGTCGTCTTCTAGCGTCACTGAATTCCACAAATCACTCCCCAACTATGCACCAACTCCACTGGTATTTCTACCAGAACTTGCAACTGAGCTGGGTGTCAAAGCTGTTCTTGTGAAAGACGAAAGCAACCGATTTGGTCTACCCTCGTTCAAGGTTCTGGGTGCATCATGGGGATGCTTCCGAGCCATCGCGCAGACTCTTGGATTCGAATCGGACAAGATCGCTTTGGAAGAGCTTTCTTCCAAGGCCCAAGCAAGCTCGATATCCCTCGTTACCGCGTCTGAGGGTAATCATGGACGAGCAGTGGCGTATATGGCAAGACTGCTCGGTATCCAGGCTGAAATATTTGTGCCCCGGTCCATGAATCAGGACACACGCGATCGAATTGCGTCGGAGGGAGCTCAGGTGTCTGTTGTTCAAGGAACATACGATCAAGCAGTTAAGCATGCGTCGGACAAAGCGTGTGATGGGCGTGTGCTATTGATCCAGGATACTGCGTTTGAAGGATACGAAGAGATCCCCGCTTGGATTGTGGAAGGGTATTCCACTATGCTGAGCGAGGTCGAAGAACAGCTGGTTCAGCTCGGTCTGTCCGCCGATATGATAGTCTCGCCTGTTGGTGTTGGCAGTCTTGCCCATGCTGTAGCTAGACATTGCAAATCAAAGCATATGGCTATGGTTGCTGTTGAGCCTGACTCGGCTCCCTGTTTGTCTTCCAGCCTCCGTGCTGGGAAGTTAGTTTCCGTCGAAACATCTGCTACCATTATGGATGGTATGAATTGCGGTACTGTGTCGAGCACCGCTTGGGCAGACTTGCAGCGTTTTGTTGATGCCTGTGTGACTGTTTCGTCATATGAGAGCCACAACGCGGTTCAGTATCTGACTTCGAGATCGGTGCCCGCGGGTCCATGTGGCGGAGCACCCTTGGCTGCACTGCGGCGCCTTACTCAAGAAGGTTCCTCGTTATTGAAGAATGATTCTGTGGTGGTTCTCCTCAGCACGGAAGGTGCACGCCCCTATCCGATTCCCAAGGACGTGTCTGTAGAAGATGCCGTGAGCCTGACCCAAGTACTCACTCAAATCGACTCTTCCAATCCTACCTTATCTGTGAGCGGTGGGGCGGGTGAAAGTGAGATCGTCGACTACTTATCAGCATGGTTTGCTCACCGCGATATTGAGTTCCATCGCATTGAGCCTGTTTCAGGCCGACCCTCTGTCGTGGGTATACTTCGTGGGAGCGGAGGAGGAAAGTCGCTCATGTTCAATGGACACGTTGACACCGTTAGTAACTCAAGCTATGAGCAAGGCGTGGATCCCCTATCTGGCGCCCTGGGAACTAAAAATGGGAAGGATGTCATTTTTGGTCGAGGATGCCTGGACATGAAAGGTGGCTTGGCAGCCTCACTAGCAGCACTAGCAACGATCAAGGCTGGAGGTCATGATCAGCTACCCCGCGGAGACATCATTGTGGCTGCTGTATCGGATGAGGAGGATGCATCGCAAGGAACGCAGCACCTGATAGCGGCTGGATGGCGAGCTGATGCTGCGGTCATCCCCGAGCCTACTATGGAGGTCATTGCAACTGCGCACAAGGGATTCGTATGGGTGGAAGTTGATATCCTGGGTGTTGCTGCACATGGGTCCAACCCTGCCGCTGGACAAGACGCCATCATCCACGCTGGATGGTTCCTTCAGGCTCTTGAGGAGCACCAGTCGCAACTACCAAAGGATGATCTCCTAGGCCAGGCGTCAATGCATTGCAGTTTGATTCGAGGAGGTGAAGAGCCATCTTCTTATCCCGGCAAATGCACCATTACTGTTGAATTCCGCACGATTCCTGCCCAATCTGATGCATCTATCCTGGAGGATGTGCGTATACTTCTCCGCAAGGTTTCGGAGGTAAAACCCCGGTTCCAATATAATGAGCCTCACATCACAATGTCACGTCCAACAACAAAACTTTCACGCGATCATCCCTTGGTGCTGAAGGCCATCACCTGTGCCACTCCGATTTTTGGAAAACCTCCTTCGATTGGAGTTATCCCATTCTGGTGCGATGCAGCTTTGTTAGCGGAGGTTGGTGTTCCGTCGATTGTATTTGGACCTGCTGGCGAAGGCCTCCATAGCAAAGAGGAATGGGTTAAAGTGAAAAGTCTAGAGCAGATGGAGAAGATATTCATCAAATTGGCTCAGGACTTTTGCTCCTAGTTGGGAAGCTGGACATAGCTTATTGATATTCATAGACGAATGCATTTCTCAGCCTGATATCATGCAATAGAATCTTCAAACTCGTAGAAATACATGACTAGTACCCACCACTGGCTTGCCATTCACGGGTGTACCAGCTGCCCAAGCCTAATGCAAAGATAACCAGACTACCATCACGAATAACATCCTTACCAATCTTGATAGCCGACCGCAATCCTGTCTGTCCTCCAATCAAGACACGTCCTCCACATAAGAGCAATTCGCCAGTAACGAAAATCAGGAACGGGTTCTGCACCGTCGCGGGCTTCGGTGGCGGGCTACCAAACAATGCAATAGACGTCCCGATAATGAATAGGAGGTAGAATGCCACACCCAGCGCAAATGCAACGTGTAGTGTTTTCCATGTCCGCACGCTCTTCGGGTCTTCCTCCGTCGTCTGGAAGAATCCGCCAATCATGTTTGCGAGGAAGGGCGGCAGGCCCAGAGAGGACGCAATGAGCGCTGCGGACGAAAGTCCAGGCCCTGATGCTTGGCCTGGCATTCCACCAGCGGACCCTGGTACTGGTGGAGGCGCGCTGGGGTCACCAGGCATGGGCATGCCGTTAAGGAGGGAGTTGAGAAGTTTAAGAGTCGGGTCTTCTAGATCGTTGGCGTCTGCATCTTGGTTCTGCTCAACTACGGGCGCTGCCTGTCGGAGCAGGGCACGGAAAGCATCCTGTTGTGCTTGGAGAGCCTCCACGGACTGCTGGTCCTGCATCGATGGCTGGTTCTGTTGGAACGGGGGAGGCGAGGGAGAGACTGCGGATTGGGAGGGTTGAGGAGAGGGTGACGCTTCCGCACGATCTAAGAGAAAGGCCCCCGGTTAGCATCTTATATCTGGTAGACATGTATGTTTCTCCGATTGTACCTGATTGCGGGGTGCGACCGCTTAAACTGGTGATCTTGTCCAGACGCGCAGAGCCTCCCTCCCTAATTTTAGCCTCGCGGCGCTCACGGCGCTGACGAGCGGCTCTCTGGGCGGGCGATTCATCTGGTGTCGACATTTCGTAAAGAGGTGAAATCGATACAGGTGGCTCCAATTTTGAAAGCTGGGATGTTGGAGATGTGGATCAAAAGTTGCCGGAGGTTAAGGAAAGCGAGCGGTCCGTGAGGCGATAAGAAAATCAGTTGCAATTCAATTCACTTCAATGAAATTCGCCAAATCTCTCAGCAAGGATACCATTTGTGTTGATAACGTATCAATAAACGTCTATTAATTACACTCAAAATTCAATTAACAAAGTGCTTATAAGTTTGTCGTGACCACCATCTTACTGACAATTTGTCGACCAGACTAGAAATGCCTCCTAACCCGATCAGGAACATAGTACTCATGGCTGAGGGTCAAGTAGCTGACTAAATTATGTTCCTACAGCCTACCCAGATAGCTTAAGGTATACTACCTAAGTATGGAGTACCTTGCCCTTGAATGTACTTCATAGCGTAAAGGGTGTCTTATTCAGCACCTACTATAGTACGATCTACTCTGTTAGGTATGGTAGACTCTTGAGTCTGTGCTATTAAAGTGTGTTGAAAGTATAGAAAGGCGTAGGTAATTTTTCTGGGTTATAACGTGTACAAGACTAATTCACGGGGGTACGTGGGGCAATTCGCGAATCATCTCATCCCGATGGGCATCAGCAAGTACTGTACAGGAACCAACGTATGAGACAGGAGGTCTATATTAAGATTGTCCCTCAGCTGCTCTAGCAGCCTACCTGTATCCCTGCCTATCGATCCATAGCTTCTTTTATCCTCATAACACTCAAAATCAACTCGCTTATTCTGCTATCTCCATAGCTTTGATCTTCGATCAGAACTCCTCCTCTTGTGCAATGGCTGGTTGACCTGCATTTGCATAATATGAAAACTTGAAAAGAACCGGGAATCATACATAGAAAGTAAGGGACGATCATTATTGCCTAGAATTTCGATGACACACAGGAAATTGGCATCGTCATACGATTTCCAGGTTGATCTTGATCTCACCGATGACGTAATTCTGGGGAAGCTATCGGCTGGTCCGTCCGCCTAACTTGACTGACTTTCTGTTCTCAAAAAGTGAAGTCGGTTTATGAAGTTTGAGGCGCGCACATATTTCCCTCCGTGATCAATTCCTTGATTCGCAATCAACGTGGGGCATACCGAAGAATTCCACCCCTAGTCGCGATCTATACTTGACACCCCCTAAGTCTATCTAACATAGCTGTTCGGGCATATTTTGTCCTCATGGCTGAAACTTCGCGGGGAACTGGATCGCCACAGCGACATCGTGTTGGAGAGCACTGGAGTGGTGCCAACCCTGTTCCAACGGTTCAAAAATTTATTGAACATCTTGACAACGACAAGAAGGAGCGTGATCTCCGAATTGATGAGGAGAAACGACAGAATGATGAGAGAGAGAGAAAGCACCAATGGGAGGATACTCGTGGGAAACAGCATATTGGTCATGGAGATCCCGTTGCCCATAAGGCTCGCAAGGTCTCCAAGGCCAAAATGCACACAGTGACTGATCCGACAACTGGTAAAGACATTGGAGTTGAGGATCAGGACGAGACTGCTATGGAGTCCGTGAAGAATCCTATGGTACGTATTATCTTCAGCAGAGCCGCCCTGTATCATTCAACTTACTAACAAACTATAGTTGACGGTTCCAAATGCCAATCTCGGAATGCCGACTGTAAGTCCACAGCTACATGGGCGTTGTCATCCAATGCTGACCATGAACAAGGACGTGCAAACCCGCCATGATCAAGAACTCTCAGAGTACAAAGAAAAGCAGGATATTACTGCGCCTCCCGATCCTATCGCCGAAGGAACAACGTCCGATGTGCCCATTCGTGGCGAGAAAACCAATGTGCTCTTCCATCCTACCCCGACAATCACATATGAACCCATGTTCAAGGAATTGGAAAAACGGGCAACAGGATTATGCATCGGTATATGCGTTGCTATCATTGTTCTTGGACGATTCTTTGGTGGCTCCCTTTGGGGCCTTATCCCATTGGGTGCATGTGTTTCCAGTGGGGTGTGGTTATGGGTACAGGAGGTGATTAGAACTGGCAAAGACATGGAATGGAGCAGTGAACAGCTGCGTGGGCAGACCGTAAGTATACCCCCAGCTCTAATATAGGGTACCGCGCTAACTACGCGATTCAGGCCACTGCGAACCTTCTTCCAGAATCTGTGGAATGGATGAACTCTTTCCTCGGCGTAGTTTGGGGTCTTATGAATCCCGAGATGTTCACCCCAATGGCCGACACAATCGAGGATATCATGCAGGCCTCCGCCCCAAGTATTGTTGAGAATGTTCGCATCGCCGAAATCGACCAGGGCAACAACCCATTCCGTATTTTGAGCATGCGCGCCCTCCCGGATGGACATGTACAAAACCTCAAAGACAACATTCACGAGTCGAACTTGAAAAACAAAGACCCCCAGGAAGCCGCTGCTACCGAGGAAGGGGGCAGTTATTACAATATGGAGGCTTCATTCGCCTACCACGCCAAGCCGAGCGCCGGAACAGCTTCCTCGAAGGCACGCAACATGCATATGCACCTTGTCTTTTATCTCGGTATCCGTGGATTATTCGGCATTCCATTTCCCGTCTTCGTCGAACTAATCGAGCTAGTCGGTACCGTACGACTCCGTCTCCAGATGATGCCCGAGCCTCCCTTCGCGAAGGATCTCACTTTTAGTTTGGTCGGCATTCCCCATGTCAAAGCTGGTTGTGTACCCATGGTCCGACGCGGTGTCAATATTCTCAACCTACCTCTCATCTCCAACTTCGTGAATTCCGCTATCGGTGCCGCATGCGCCATGTTCGCGGCGCCCAAGTCCATGACTATGGATCTAAGTATGATACTGAAGGGCGATGATATCCACAAGGATACTATCGCGCTAGGTGTAATGTGGATCCGCATTCATCGGGCTATTGGTTTAAGCAAGCAGGATCGTCGCGGTAGCCAGGGTGGCGGTAGCGATCCTTATATCAACCTTTCATTTTCCAAATATGGAAAGCCTATGTACTGCACTCGTGTGATCACGGATGACCTCAATCCCATCTGGGAAGAAACGGCTGCTCTCCTGGTAACGCCAGAGTTGATCAAAGCAGATGAGAACCTGAGCATTGAGCTCTGGGATTCGGACCGTAATACTGCGGATGATATCGTGGGGAAGGTTGAGCTGCCTATCCGGGAGATGCTTCAGCACCCGGGTCGGATGTACCCGCAAGTATCCAAGCTGCAGGGTCTTGATGAGGGTAGTGAGATGCCGGGTCAGTTGCATTGGGAGGTTGGGTACTTCGGGAAGCCGAAACTGCGTCCTGAGCTGCGAACAGATGGCAAGAAGAAGGATCTGCCTGAAAATCTGAAGGGAGATCCTACTTTCGAGGATGATAAGGGAACTATTAATAATGAGGAGGAAGATGCCGTTGTGCATACACCTCCTGATCCTATCTGGCCAAGTGGTATTGTGCATATTGTCGTGCATCAAATTGTTAACCTCCAGCTTGCCAATATCAAGGGCAGTGATGGAAACCGCAAGGGCAAGGAGTATGAGCCCGCAAAGCCTTCTGGTGAAAATACGGAAGAACAAGGCGATAATTTGCCTACGAGCTACTGCAAGATCTTACTCAACGATCAGCTGGTATGTATCCTCCTAAGCTACAAACTATGTGATTGTCAATAACCATATTCTACAGATCTACCGCACACGCGCCAAGGCAGTGAGCTCGAAACCAATTTTCAACGCCGGAACAGAGCGTTTCGTCCGCGACTGGCGTTCCGCCGTCGTGACAGTCACCGTACGAGACCAACGGTACAGAGAGCACGATCCGATCCTCGGTGTAGTGCCGATCAAACTATCCGATATCTTCCAAACTAGCTCCCAAGTCACACGCTGGTACCCTCTCGACGGCGGCATCGGCTTTGGACGTATCCGTATCTCCGTTCTCCTTCGCCACGTTGAGACCAAGCTTCCACCTACCATGCTCGGCTGGGACGTGGGCACCTTCGAATTTGCCGCAAACCAAATCGTTGCCAAGGACTACGGCCATGTCTCCAAAATCAAGATGCGTACCGGCGGCAGCACAGGCAAGATCCCACGACACAAGGCACGAATGGAAGGCAACGACGTAGTCTACGATACATCCGACTCAAGCTTCTGCGACACACTCCGCCTACCGGTGAAGCACCGCTACAGATCCCCCGTCGTCTTCGAGTTCCACACAAAAGGTAAACGCGGTGCAGCAGCCTACGCCGTCCTCTGGCTACAGCACCTTGTCGACAACGAAACCACTGAGATCGACCTCCCAATTTGGACAACTAAGAGCGGCGCCCGACTTACCCAGAACTACATCACGGAAGAGAACTGGCGCGCAAAAGAAGTCCCGGGGCTCGAAGACCTAACCACAGTCGGCCGACTGCAATTCCAATGCCGCTTCTCACCTGGTATCGACGAGTCGCACGAACAGTTCGTAATCGATAACGACTCCCGTGAGACGTTCGAAACATGGGAAGCGTGCGTCTCACAAGGTGTCCGCACCCGCAGCGTCTCAATCGAAGTCCCGGAAGAAGTCCAACAGAAACACGAACAAAGTCTCATCGACTCCCGGGACGTGCTTAAGCACGCTTCTCCCGAGGAACGTCGACAATGGATCGATCGTGAAGGCCATGACTGGAGTGGTGCCTTTGGGCACGATCCGCGCGCGTATACTGATTCCGTAGGCCGAAAGGTCGCGGAACCGGGCCAAGATGAGCCGCCTCATGATCCTGTTACACCACCGCCGCTGAAGGGAGAGCCATCTAAGCACACAGGCTCACGTGATGAGAATGAGCATGAGAATGATGATTCTGACTCGGAGGAGTCTGATTTAGATTCTTCGTCGAAGGGTCCATCTACTGTTAGTATTAGTGCGACGGCGAGTTCTTCGAAGAGTATGGATCACACGAATAAGGCCAATCGGAGGAGTGAGCAGAGGCAGCAGAGAGGGCTGATGCAGTGGCGACCGGCTAGAAATGCGGTTTTTCTCAAGGATGAGGCCTCTTTTGCGTTCAAAAAGATGAAGAAGAAGGTTGGGGCTAGTGGGCTTACGGGACGTGAGCCGGATGTTGAGACAGAGACATGAACGGGTCATGCCACTTTCTACCATACGGAATTTTATTTTGTTATTTAGGGATTAGCTTTGCATACGATAATGAAATATTTTGGGTCTATGCTGCACACCGCTAGATAAGCAACTCTTTCATTGGGGGCGGTTTCCATACAAATCCGACATGGCAGCCTTGCACAAGTGGGACTTCCTAACTAAGGAAAAACAAGTCCCATTATGCATCCCCACTTAAGCGAAGGTTTATTGCCGCTGCGTGATGACGGAATGAGAGTTTAAATGTTTCGAAAAGTATATTTAAAGAAACTAAATTATTCTCTAAACTTGATGATAATCCAATAATCGGGTTAAGTTCGCTAAACGAAAAGCCGACCAGCGCCTCTAGAAGAATATGATGCCGTGGTGGTATAGATGCATCCCTATTATGCATGCGTAGATATGTAGGGAGGTCATAGCAGGTTCGTGAGTGCCCAAGTGGGTTATTGATCCTGAAGGGATTGGGTTTCAGGATTTGGTTCATCCACGGTGGAGGCAGAGGAAACCGAAGGGGTTTCAGGTGTTGGAGTCGCAGAAGAAACACTTCCAGAACTGGTAGTGATATCGGTATTGATGGGTCCCAACGTCCATTTCCATTCTCGGCGACGCTTGACCCGTCCCTGGGGAGTCTGTGGCGTGGAAGAATTATACTGGTCCGATTCTAGTCCGTCGAGCAGCGCAACGGCGCGCACCTGCCGCTCTGTGCGCATAGTGCGTCTCTTCTTGCGTTCAAGCTTGGATAGCGTCGATTTGGGCATTCCCTCGTCAGCACTAGCCTCATCCGAAGTACTGGACTCCGACAGAGACTGGTTGGCATCTGAGTCGGTGGAGTTGCGTGGTTGTGGTTCCGGCCCCCGGGTTACGTGTTGTTGCACTGCCACCTTCTTTGCGTTTTCCTCTTCCTCCTCATGCACGAGATCTAGATGATGTGCGGTGTAGCGCTCTGTGCGGATCTCTTCCTCTAGTGGGATTCGATAGCTGACTTCTTTCTTAGCAGGAAAGAAGACCCGGCGAGCGCCTGCGCCCCCGGGTCCACTGCTGGCCCCAGCGGAGATGGAACCAGATCTGCGCCGGGAGGCTGTGTCGAGAGGGGAGTTGCGCAAGATACTGCGCACACCTAGTGGCAGTTGATAGGGACGGTAGTTGAAGGGATTATTATTGTTGGGGGCGTGTACATATGGTGAGAGAGGTTTGTTGTTGGTAAAGCGGTGGCTGGGGCCCTTGGAGGGGGAGCTGGTTGCAGAGGCGGGGGTTGTGATATCGTATGCATTTTTAAAGGTGTTTCCAACGGTCGGTGATGCACCTGGGGCTACTGTGCAGGATCTGGAGAGGCCTGTTGTTGACGTGCCAAATGTGCGAGGAAGAGAGGTTGTTTGGAGGGTGAGTTTTGGTCGCGCGTTGATCGGGGGGTCACCGGTAGATGGCATGCAGGACATAGTTGACGGGCATGAGAGTCTCACGTCGGAAGGAGGTAGTGTGAGTGTCATAGGGAAGAAAGTCGGGTGGTCGGGGGGAAGAACAGGAATTATGGGAATTGTAGTAAGAGGCGGGGGTTAAGGAAGCGGGCTAAGAATAGTTGGCGCTTCTGCAATGTGACGAGGTTAGATCTCCCTTTGAAGAGAAAAGAAAACGATCAACCATATCCATACCGGGCAACTTGATTTTAAAGTATTCTTTTTTGAGTCACGGAGATCTCTCTTGCAGGATTTTTTTAATATGATTTTTTAATATGATTTTTTAAACACTTTTTTCCCTTCTGTTAGTGGATTTAGAACTATTGACGCCACCAACCAGCCCGGTCGGAGATGGCGATCAGCCCTTCTACTTTTCCAACGCCAAAACATGGGGGAGATCGGGGCCAAGTCATGTTCCAATTTGTTAAATGCCTAATATATTAATTTACTATACGGTGGCAACTTGTGATTACCATGATTTAGCCTACAAAGTAATCGAAAAGTGAAAAACATTTAAGATTCTATTTAAAGATTTGCACACGAGCCCAGAGCGTTGGTGGGTCATGTTCATCTAAATCTATCGAATGAGATGAAAGTAGCCTAATGTGATATTGATAGTTCCGTTTTAATTGGTTGAATCTCACAGAACCAACAGGGATCATAAACAAGGATCTCGCCTTAGTTTGCTTTCTTCAAACTTCTTTAATTTAGATGGTCTTATTTGCCTCTTGATCGCCCTGGTCCAGCTGGTCGTATCTCGTACCTATCTCAGCTCTTACAACTCCAACAGTGGCAATTTACACCCATAGGTCAGGATTATATGTACCACACCAACAGCGCCAACTATTTTGAACCAGCGCTTACCTAACCCGAACACGTCGGCATCGCATTCTCCGTCGCAATCTTGCCCCATAGCTTGTAGCTTGTTACCTGAGATCAGCACATAAACCTTATTAGATTCCGCCCCATTTTCTAGAAGAACCTTGACTGCCGCCGTTTCTCGTCGCGCTACGAGTCGTGAAGCGCCATCTACTGTACAGAGCGGCCCCATGTTGCAATGTGATCGTTCTATCGTGAGATCGAAGACGTGCGTCCCCGGGTTTGATCAAACTTCTAGCTATGATTCCCTGGCGCCGCTCGGCCCCTTGGATCAAACCCAACTTCTCGGTTCTTTGTATAGCTCGCCTGCCAGAATGGACCTCAAAGCCCGGGTGGGTACTGATTGGGCAGCATCTATCTGTTCCCAGACTCCCATTTTGAAGTATTGCATATGCCTTTCAGAGTAATACGAGGCGTTCTCCCTCGGTCCACTATATGGCCCTCCCTAATCCGGACAGGGTTACGGGGAGTGTGAGGGGGTACTGTCCATGACCTCCTGTGATGTGGAAACGTAATTGTTGGCCGTAAGAGGTAAGGATAGCGAGCAGGCGTTGCTCCGTGCCTTTTCGGCCCCATCTCACTACCAATGCTCGAATATATCCACGGTGAGCCATATGTGCAGGTATGCATCCCCAGGTATATTGAGCACACACTACGTCACTACGTACATCCATGAATATAGATATGATAATAAGATAGCCCCCATTGCGAAGATTGGGCCATTGGTCATCCGTGCATATGAACTTTGAATTTAGGTTTGATTTGCGATATACGATATACGAAATACGGGACGTTCTAATGTTGTAAGCTTGTTGAAAACATAGCTATAATTACAACAGCAATACTATCTCCATTGACTCTATTCTAAATTTTCACAGGAAACTTCGGGATCGCCTGGCTTACTGTTCCTGTGCGCGAGAGATCTCGGAATATATATATTGTATGTATGCAAAACCAGCTAGAATATGCGTGTGAACTATATACCTACTACATACATATATACTAGTGCAACATCCCTAGGTGCAGTTATGGATCCATACATAGTCAGTGGATATATCCAATACAAATATACGTATTGTCCAGGTGTATATTCTTAGGGTTGATAAGTACATAGGGTTTTTCCAATCTTGAAAGTTGAGGATATAGATTTATATAATGGATCTTGGGGATACAATTTGACGTACAGGGGATGGGATCAATTGACCTTAGTGATAAATTGGTTGTTACGTAGACTTTAGTCCAGTAGTCAAGATCAGCTTGACTATACTTAGTAGCGGGGGGACCTATATTTCTACAGTATGATCGGAACAATGGAATCAATAGGATATTGCATTGTAAATGACTTTCCAATAAAACACTTCGAAATAGATTGAAATCTTTTTCTATCTGTAAAGACTCGGACGTGGAGGGTACAGAGAGAGGTTGGGCTGTACTTTCCCAGCCTCTTAGTACAACTACCGTGATTGGCGGAGACGCGCGACCAAAACATTCCCATTCCCGCGGTTCCAAAACAAAACCATCAACACCTCCACTTCCCTCCCTCCACATGAACCACCAAACTACAGCTTTTTGAATATGCCTCTTTCTGACACCAGTTTGACGGTGTCTGATTTTGATCCTGAACACGAGGCATTGGCATCCACCCGAGAAATCGGCAGCCCCCGGCTTCCCAATATGCACGAGGAAGCTGACTGGGAGGTCAACACCTCGACTATTGACCGTGCCTTCCCCGAATTTTCCCAGATACCCTCAGAAGATGAAATCGATGCAGAGGAAATGTTTGATGACAACAGTGAGCCCTCTATGGAGCTGGGGCGCGGCGTCGGCAAGTCTGCGCGTCGTTTGGACGACTCGCGAGACTCTGTGATGAGCTTCCAGAATAGTGTGCGATCTTCCTCTCCTGCCGTGCGCGTGGAATACCCCACCCCGCAGAAGAGTCTACCTGCTCGCTCAACCAGCAGACGCGCAGTTAGTGAAAATCTGCGAAAAGATGCTCAATTGCGCCGCGCAAACCAAGCCCAGAAAGAACATATGATGAGCCCCCAGGTTTCTAAGAACCAACGGGACCAACGACGCACCCTCTCCGACATGCATGCCAAAGTTCGTGACAACTACGACGGTTCATTTTTGGGAGATGAACGCCCTGCTCCAGTTGAGACCAAATCCCGATCGACGCGTTTCGGAAACGTCAACCAATCCCAAGAGATCGCCGACGCAATTGAGCGCGCCTCGCAAGAAGCATATGCGAAAGAGATTCGCAAAGGCAATCCTGCGGCTACGCGCCGACCGGTTGGTAACGCAACACACACCAATATGGGCGACACCATGACCCGCAACTCCTTCCTCCTTCCCGACCTCCCTAATATCTCCGAACTGGTCTCTGGTGTCTACGAAGACGGCACTCCGGTTTTCTCGCACAGACGCTCCACTCGATTTGTTTCCCCTCCCCATGACGGGGCGGATGTATCCTTGACCCGTGAACATATGCCCCTCGACGCGGTTCCCATCCCCGAGGACGAAAAAGCTTTGTTTGTGTCCCTCAGACTCTTGCAGGACAAGGTTTCTGAATTAGAGATGTTCAAGTCCGATGCAGAGAGGAGACTGGAGACATATCGTGAGGAGAACGCAGCCCTCAAGGCAGGTAGATCTCGACACTCTGAGAAGTACGCAGTAGACGATGGCGAAAACAGAAAGTCTTCCAAGCGTGCTGCAAGTGAGAACCAAAGTACGTATTTGTTCAAAATTGTCCATGTTCCTCAGCTAACAGTTGTAGAACTCGAAGCCGCAAACCTTGCCCTTCAAAATCAACTTGACATCGCAGACCGGAAGACCCAGGTTCAAGAGGCCGCAGTGAGACGTCTGAACCAAGAAAGAGAGTCGGCAATTTCTCAATTGGGCGTCGCCTACCTTGAAACACGCGAGCTTAAGACTGAGAACGAGGCGTTGAGACGAGAGAATGCAGAACTCAAGTCACAGCTGAGCCAAACTTCCAAGAAGTCTCGCGAGCAGGAGACTGCCAGTTCAGAAGAAAGTCTCACTGGCTCCGATGACGACAGCCAAAGTTACACAGAGCGTAGCGGAGACATGAGTCGCAGCACCAGAGACCTCACCTCAAAGAGTGCTCGATCCAATTCCAGGGCCAGACGCCATGACGATTCTCGTTCCAAAATCTCCACCCAGGTGGACAAGGAGATCTCCCGCTTGGAGAAGGAGCGCGCAGAAGAGGCCCTATTTTCTATCGACGTGCATACAACCAAACGTTCTGCCAGATCAAGCCGGTCCGCTGCTGTCCGCCAGTCTGAGTCAAAGAGTAGTAGAAAGCAGCCCAACACTAGCAAGCAGCGGGTCAAACGGGTTGTGGTGGAGGATGTGACAGAGGTCACTGAGCAGAGCAAGGCGTCCTTCCAGGTGGAGGATCTTACCTTGCTGAGTATTATTGATGTGAGTCTTGAAATTATCCTAAATCATGAATACGGCTAACGGGTGATGCTCTAGGAAAATGAGATTGCTCGTCTCCGCAAGACTTTGGAAGAAGAAAGATTGTCGCGCAAGCAACGTCGTTCAAGCGCTACCAAGGACACCACAGCCGAGACTGTCAACACTACCCGCCAAAGCATCTTGAAGACACCCATGCCGCGTAAATCATCTCTGCGCGAACCCAAGCCCCAAATTCCCCGACCTGCATCAGCGACTGGCGATGTCACCACCAAATCAGTAGCAACATCCGAGGGTGAGAACAGCTTGGTTGTTCCCACAGCAGAACGTCCAAGACGCCATTCTGAACATTCTGTCACATCGATCCCCTCGCAACGTAAGAAGCGTCGAAACATCGAGGACATGACCTCCGCGTTTATCCTGCCGGACATCACCCTCAGCCGTGTCGAGCTGGCTGCCAGTAACCCAACTCGCCTCCCAGAAGCTGACCAGCGAGCTTTGGACAGCCTTGCACACCACGAGGGCAAGAACTGCATGGTCTGCAAGAACGTCCTCCCCAATGATACTTGCAACCATGAGCCTGTTAAGGTCACTAAGCCCGTTCCTGTTTCCGAGCGCATGCCAAAGCCATCTCTCTACAACGAGGAGCCTACTATGCGCCCTTCGCAATCCCCCGCCGTTGCTCTCGCCACTGTTCTCAAGACCCTTGAAGATGAGCTGTCCCATTTGAAGATGCAGCTTGCTACCTACCAAAGTGCTTACAACAACTTGGATGCGTCCCTTGGAAAGCGACAGCGGAAGGCGCTCTTGGAGAAGATTGAGACTGTTTTGAGGGATATTGATATGAAGTCCGACCAGATTTATGCATTGTATGACGTTCTCGAGGGCCAGAAAGTTGGCTATGAGATGACGGAGCGAGAGATGGAGACGACTTTAGAATCCATTGGTGTTGATATGGCCGCCGCCCAGGACGTGACTGGCACAACCAACAAATCATCGCGCTTGGCAGACTCGGATGATGAAGATGAACTGCCCTGGGAGGGCATTGAGAGCACTGCAGAGCTCACTGGACGTACTTGAACACTGAATGTGAATTAGCATTGAAGGGTGTATTAGCGTTATTTTTTCAGGTTGTAATTCTACCGATTCTTGTGAGCCCTCATTGCCGATCAACCATTTTATACTCGTCTGGCCTTTGTTTCCATAAATGTATCGAGCCCAATTCGTTCTTCACATTCTTCAATTTCAGGTATGCAAAGTGTGGATATTTTTATAGACAAAGAAAGGTTTCAAACGCCGTCGCTATGTGCCATATACTGCTGGAAAAAAGACCGAGCCCAGATATTTTGGATGAAAACCTTCAAGGTTTCTCACCCGCCGCCATCGCAGCACCTGTCGTTGCAACAGGCTTCAGTCCTAACCCCGAGGTAGCACTGTCTCGCTGCGCAACCTCCTCCTCAATGAAACATCCCAATCCCGCAAACGCCTCCACCAGTGTCCGCGAATAATACTCCTGCAGATCATATCCTCCCGCCGCCACCCGAGTATCATTCTTCACACGATCCAGGTAGGTAGACGGATAAGATGGCTGCAAGGAATAGTAATCCCGCTTCTCGGGTACATATCCCATAAACGGATCATACGGCTTCTCCGGCTCAGGCGTTTTGATCCTCCGCAGACCCTTAATCAGTCCACCATCAGACGGCCCAGCCGTTTCAGCAGTTGTCATCGATGATCCACCCCGCTTCAACTCACTGCCGCGCAGCGCAGCCTGTTTCTGTCGAATGCGATCCTCCTCGCTACGCCGCGCAGACGATTTCTTCAACAGCACCTTATGTCCTTCGCGTGCGATCGCTGCGGCATCGGCACTTGATCCTGCTGCAAGGCGGGAGATCATGTCCTCGCGTCCGGCGTGCATCTCGCGACGCTCGTTCTCGAGCTGTTCGCGCGCGGCTTGGCGGCGGAGGCGCGCTTCTTCTTGTTCCAGGGTCATGCGGGCTGCAAAGGAGGATGCTTCTTGTTCTTCGAGGGCTTGGTTTGCGCGGATGGACTGCATGTTTACGGATGCGTATTTCTGAAGTTGGGCTTCTGTTTTGGCGACGTCGATGCGGGAGACGAGGTTAGCGATCATATCTTCGCGCTGTTCGAGGAAATCGTCGTAAGCGCGTTTGGAGTCGAACTCTTCTTCGCGGCGGTTTAGACTGTTGGGGTCTATTGTTAGCTTTGAGGGGTTTGGGGGTGGTTGCTGTTGAGGCTTTGGGTGGCGTACATGTGCATCACTCGCCGCCGAATATCGACCTCTCTCTCTACCCCGATATCCTCGAAGGTTTGGGCTCGGAACCGGTTTTTGCGTAGTGTCTTTCGACATCCGGCTACTGGGCAGCTGGATGGACCGGATGAGAATATGCGGTCAACGCAGGATTCGCACATCTTGTGATAACATTCTGGGTTGATGAGGAACCGCATGTTCGGGTTAAGGTAGCGCGAGGATTTGCAGACGGGGCACACCTCTTAAGAAGTTGAGTATTAGCATTTCGCGTGTTGAAGGGGTTCTTGATCTTACCGTCTTCATCTCGACGGTCGATCCCATTTTTGGAGGCCATGGTGGGGATAGCGAATGAATGAAAGAGAAGAAAGGAAGCTTGAACTGATTAATGATCTAAGACCCACTGTGGCGCACGGACCACCGCCTTAATAACTCCGTTTCACTTCAACCTTTTCTCCCTTTGTTTTCATTTACGAATCAACGAGACTTAAACTACAACATATATTTTCACAGTCTCAACCTTGACACTCTTGAACAGCTTCACTCTCTACTCGATGACTACAAACTCTAAAACCCCTCTCCACGAATTTCAAGGCAAGGAAGCAGCGTATGAAGGGCCCGAACAAAATTGGCCAAGGATACGAATGACGGCAATGTGGCACCCAAAGCTTGTATTTCAAGCAGATTTCTCTAGCTATATACCATACACTGTAGGTCACGCTAAAGGGTGCGGAATCGCACAACACGATAATGACTTTCTTGATGATGAAAGCCCAAAACAAGTATATTAGCCATGAAGACCTACCAAGGCAGATGATCTGCTATTCAAACTTGAAACGATACTGAATTAGACTAGCAAAACTGGATGTTCGATCTGGTGTCTCCTCCTACGCGAGAACGGAAGTCATTGTGCTGGAACCTTCCAGCACATCATGGACATACCACTCACTGGTATGGATCATTCAAAGAATTCCAAGATGAAAAATCAAACGAGGGCATCTCTGGCTATTTCACCATTGGGTGTCAATGTCACTCTTTCAGGCCAGTCTGTACTGTGCTCATCTATTTACTGTTCTTTTTGGATAGAGTACTTACGGACTGCGAAGGTTGGGTTGGCTGAGATCTGATCAGGTGGAGATATAGTTATTTTTTCACCCCCGACATTCATATCATCCATAATACAATATTCAAGTACACTCCTGAAGTTCAAGGAACTTCCGATACTTTTCACCCACACAGGGTGTAAGTAAGAGCTTCTCAAAGGGATCCAGCTTCCTTGGAACAAGGCCCTTCGCCCAAGCCCCTGAAAAGTCACCATACAGCACTACATCCAAAGTCCCACCCTGTTGGCTTTTAGCTAGCCACGAAGCATCTGTATTTGCATCCCACAGCTCTGCGCCGGCAGTGAAAGGAAGTAAACTCAAAGTAGGCACACAGTTACAGAACCCCGATTTCAGCACAGAATACAAGCCCTCAATAAGCATCGACATAATCACCGTCCGCCTAATACTCTCAGCGAAGATCCACATCTGCCACGTAGATGCCGGTGCAAGTTCTGCTGCGCGCATATGTAGCTGGACAGTCATCGAATTTAAAGTCACCAAACTCTGCTCCGCGACCGATCGTTGTCGAATATCACCATCGAAGAGCTGCATGATGTGGAACAGCATTAGGGCCTGTGTGGCTGCCAGTAAGGCTTCCAGGGGCTGGGCCGCGTAATCCTGTCTCATGAGAGAACTAGCTTTCGATTCCAAGATACGAAAGACCATATCTGCTGTTTCGACATTCTTAGTGCAATACGCCGCAGACACTGTAAATGCATCTTGAATTGCGTCGGGAAGATGAGACTCATATAGGCGTGCGTGGATGAATGAATTTTTGCCGTGTTGAAAGAATAGATGTGGCATGTTCTTGATATTCTGCACGATCTTTTGTGTAGCCCATTTCTCCACAACTGTGAGCTCGGGATATTTCGGGATCGAGGATAGTGTTGGATATGATGAAAGTGAGGAAGGACTCGTGAGCCATGATGAGTCATTGATATTATCATCGTAAAAAAGGGTTGATTCAGTTGAGTCTTCGTATAGTAGGAGATCGTCGGAGTAATCAGGAAATGTTATCGAAGGCGGAGTCCGTGGTTGTAGATAGGTTTCAGTCTGTTGTGATCGATTCACGTAGCAGCACTGCACACCTCGGGCGAGACATCGGGAGCACTGCGGAGTCTGTCGATTGCAACGTCTTTTGCCCTCCGCACATGCGATACATGATTTTTGACGGGATCGAGTACAGGGTGAGTTGCGAGGCATGACGTTGAGTTGGGTTGCGGACATTCACAGATGTAAGACGAGTTGAGTCCCGCTAAGAAATCCCGCCTAAAAGTCCGCAAACTCCGCATTCTCCACCAGAGATATCAGCAGGTGTATTTGTTTTTCTTACAATCTTGGAAATTTTGAATGTTGGCGTCCTCCAGCAAATCAACTTGAATCATGGGATCGGAAAGGATCGGATTTTTCCATTCAAAGTCCGCAGCGTACAGACTCAACATTTGCAGTCACCTGGGTTAGCACCTATGCGGACCTTCCAATGGAACATATATAAAGCCACGGCTATCCCACAACTTAATAGAGGTCCACAGAAACATACCTGCACAATTCACCTGCACAGTTCACAATGGCTATCACAGAACTCATCTTCCCTAACGTGATTCCGACCAAAGGGGTCCTCGATGAAATCGAACAAAACTGGCCGATTATCAGTAAATCACTGATAGAACCGAACCCAGGTCTGATCAGTGCTTTCCGAGGCTGGGTACTCAGCGAGGACGGCAAAGATGTGCGCGATCAGCATAGAGAGATCATTATTTTCGGTGAGTATTCAGTGATATCAAAGGCTAAATGAATTACATTGCTGATCTAGCCCCGAAGAATGGACAGAGGAAGCTGCCTTCCATGCCTTTGTTGCTTCTGCTCAATTTGCCTCCTTTGCCAATTCAATCAGGCACCTAGTGAGTGGGCCACCCAAGCTACAGCTCTACGAGACGAATATCAGCCCCAAAGAGTCTTCTATTGCCCCCGTTGTGGAGATTTTCCGACTTGGTGTCAATGGACCTGAGGCCATTCAAGCGGCACAGGAGATCTGGGAGGATTTATCCCAGACTCTATCTCGCAGCGGGAGACTTGCTCCCGTGACGCTAGGGAAAAGCTTGAATCTTGAGGGGGATGTGGTTGTTGGCATTTTGGGATGGGCGAGTACCGAGGTAAGAGAACCCTTGAAGAACAGGAATGCACTTGCTCACCATTGATAGGCTCACGAGGAGGGAGCTCAAGATGTGGCTTTTGTGGAGGCCTTGGCATCTCTGCGCTTACTTGGAGAACTGTCGCAGATTATTGTTGACGTCGCTCCCATGGAGGGACTATCGGCCCTCTAGGCTCTAATCTATAAGATATAGGCTTTTAATTGAAAACTCTCGACTCATCGATACAACCCTTGATATAAAAGAATAAATGGATATAGTAGTGTGCTGCCAAGGGAGATGTACTCCCTTTGCTACCCAGAGAGAAATGGTTAATGTATGATATCTTCATTCCCAATGATAAAATAAGATCATGAGAAGCATATTAATGGCTGGTCATCAATGCATGTGTAATCGTTCAGAATATTAGAAACCGAGAGTCGAGTCTGCGTGCCAAGTACAAAGAGCGCCTAGACGCATACCGACCCCGACGACGAGCATATGTGCTAAGGTAGCCAGACCTTGTACTCGAAGGTCATGTGCACCAAGACTTATTGCAGCAAGTAGAAGAAGAGGGTAGAGAATCCAAGGCTTCACAGAGAGAGGCGAGCATGGGTGGAGAACAGAGACTACCTTGATAAGAAACAGGGAGAACTGCAGTCCTGGTGACGTGGTGTATGTTGTCAGAAAATCCAGCGAAGGAAATCTGCTTGGAGGCGGAGGAAGAAGTTGTTGACGAGGCATTGATTGCGATTGATGGTCGTGCATGGATTCATCATGGCTGTGTCTGTTCGGCGATATCGGTGGTGAAGTAGAGTATCGGGGGCGAACTACCATATCTTGGTCGGGATTGAGAGATGGTCTCCGGCCATCGATGAGATCTGATCCAGGGGTCTGAATAGCCCCAAACTCATTCGAATCGAACATCGAGTCTCGTCGGAATGCCATGGGAGAGCGAGGCATTTTCTTGGCGGGAGACAGGGCTCGCCTATCCACAGAAGGCCGAGGACTATCGACAGGGTGAATTCTAGCACCGGGCACATCAGGACTAGTAGAGCTGTTTCTTTTGAAGCGAAACTCATTAGCACCGGCACCGGCTTGGATACCATTTAGGACTTCATCAGCAGTAGGCCGTCTGTCGGGATCCACGGAAAGCAGTCTGTCCAAGAAGCCATACAGTTTCTCGGGAAGGTCAGGACGCTTCCTTCTAGCTTGATCGAAACCAGCCCAGCTGGTGATCTCCTTGCGAAGCTGGTCCAAGTCTTCTTTTTCCTCGTTAATGATATCGGCACTCGCATATGGAAGCTCTGCAAAGCACAGAAAATAGAGAATCATGCCCAGCGAAAATATGTCGGACTTGAATGTGAAGTTGCCGAACGGCCCATCAGGGTAATCTCGTCGAAGAACCTCGGGCGCACAATATGACAATGTCCCGGTTGCACCGGTCGATTTGCGCATCGCATCCTGCGTTTGTACCTCGCCAAAGTCACTTACCAAGACTCGCATACCATCCGTGCTTTCATGAAGGAGACAGTTTTGTGGTTTCAAGTCACGATGAATGTATCCATTGGTGTGCAAATGGCGCAATCCAGACGTGATGTCTCGGAAGAAAGAATAGATCTCATCTAGCTGAAGCATGCGAGGTCCCACAGGGTTCAAGTCTGGTTCGCCTTTTGATTTTCGTCGGAGGCGCGCTTTCAGTTGCTGGGCGGTGGTAGATGTCTGAACGGAGCCACAAATGTAGTTGTGAAGATCACCGGAATTGCAGTATTGTTGTAGGATAAAGGCACATGGCACACTGGGACCAAAGACATTTATTCTGGCATTCTCCAACCAAACGTGGCGATAAGACACCAGATTTTGTTGGGACAGATGCTGCAAAAGTTGGACTTCGCCCAGGACCTTCTCTAGCCATTCATGATCGTCGCCAACAGGGACACGTTTGCAGGCGTATTGTCCGAGAGACACGCCATCCAGGACGTGTTTTACAAGCAGCACGACGCCTTTCCCTCCCTTTCCTAGCACTTTTTCCTCAACAAAGAACTTCTTAAAATAATCCTGACTGAATGCAGCGGATGAGATCCCCTGGGACGTTGTCGGATGAAATTCCTGAGAAGAGGGTCGTGTAGATCCAGTGCTTATTGATCCGCCGGGGAGAGCAGGATGGACGAGGCGATGATGGGGAGAAGGAGGGGTAGAGGAGCTTGTGGAGCTTGGAAGGCTGTTGTCGAGCATGCGAAAGTAATTCGGGTTGATGAACTCGCCTTCGGGGTCTGTGGCGGCATGATGTCGATCTCGACTATCATCTCGCATAGGCCGATGGCATAGGGGGCAGTTTGTAAGGTCAACATCACTCTCATGTGTATCAGAGGCATTGCGGAGAACTAGCTGTTGCGAGTCATGGTCATATACGACAACCGAGTCGTTATGCCGGCTGGTCCTCTGTCAGGCAAAAGAGTTGAAACAACGGGTGAACACTTACAGTACAACATCAAGGTTTCCCCCATTGTATGGGATCATAGACATGTCTTCTGGCATGACTGCAAGAACATTGCGTGAGCCAAAGCATGGTCAACCTGCTTGGAGATGACGAAGGTAAAACCCCACGGCCAAAGGCGGTGAGACCCCAGACAATGAGAACCATGGAAATAGGCTACCCGTTACCCACTCTATCCTTACTCATATAGGTTAGCGTTTTGAGAGGAACTGATACATGAACTCAGACTTACTGACACTTCAATTACCATCAGCTTCCCTGTTAGAGGCATACAGGGACTTAAAATACCTGTAAAGTGATACATACTAAGGGGATGGGCTCGGAAGAGGACCCATCCCATTCTTACAATATTAAGAGAGTTCCTAGGTTGAAGAGGAAACCTTTAAGGAAACCTTGGAATGGGCAAAAGTAACATTCAATATACCTACTAACCTTGATATGTACATATTATGTCTATGGAGGAACATTATTCGAGATGTCATATGGGGTGGTGGTTCACGGCTGGTAGGTGCGGTTAATCACGAACATCGTGTTAGTCTTCTTGGATAAGCTTCAGATAGAGCCTCCAGGAAGGGATTTGACATTGTGGAAAAGAGGATGAGATTTCCATTCATATCCTGGTGGATGTTTTATCTTAGCGTCCTTGTTTCGGCTCCTACTAATTGTGATCTGCTAGGCAGGTACTCCTCCACACCTATCTGAGCGGAGACTGCGGTTACCTTCGCCAATTACTATACGGCCATATTGGATATGCTTATTGAAGCCATTAGAGTTAATTCGATGACTGCAACTGGCATAACAGATAAGCAAGAAGGAAACACAACGTTGCAGGATACAGGCAACTGCACCGGAAAGGTCTTGTAGTCAGGGAGGAAAATCCATGGAAGATGCGTGGTATTTGAAGTCATTCATTCGGTTCGGTGTTGCTTGATGATGTGTCTATTGGTGACATTAAAGTCAACTTTACTGTATCGGTCCTTTCGGTTCGAATTGGTGTTGAGTTATGCAGAGTACTGTCCTTTATCCGTAAGCCCGGGCGGGTAATTCGGTCTGCGGCGATAAGCGCAAGCGTCGGATAGCACTTACTCCGTAGTGCAGCGAGCGGATGTAAGGCGGAAATTGTCCTTTTTTTTCGGAAGTGAGGAAAATCTCTCAAATAGTGACCAATAATCAACGGGCAAATCAATTCAACTCCATATATTTTGATGGGAAATTTATGTGATCTTTGGTTCCTGTCAAGGAGATAACGCGGGATTTTCTCGGTGAACCATACTCTGCCCGCCGAGCCCAACAAAATTAGCAAAATCAACTAGCTGAATTTGCCCCACGGTAAAGCAATTCCAACGGGATTCACTGAATTTTGTATTGACATGCCAGGGTGACGGTGAGCTAAAATTACTTGTACGGCGTACGGTATTTTATTCTGGATCCCGCATGCATTGCCATGTTGTCTTAAGACTGCAGGAAAGGGGGGCTGGTGAGACGCGAAGTGGGATGTGTGGAGTTTATTAGATTCGTATTTTTTTCTTTCGCCTTTAAAAACAGCAAATGCTGGTCCGAATAATCTTCAACTGAAAGGAAATGAACCCTCGGGAGAATACTACATCAGCGAGCTGTCAGTACTACAGTAGTAAAGAAGATCGACCACTGTTAAATAGACACTTTTTAGCAGTCGCTAGAGCCACATTGGCAATTCAACCGATAATGAGACTATTTATTTATGAACAGGGGAAGCTTGGGCAGCCATCGTGATATCCCACCCCCACAATCCCACAATCCCACAATCATATGTAGTACAGTACGGAGTAATCTAAAGTTGATTGCGAAGCCACAACCCACCAACAAACATTGCATAAACATTGTTATCCAAGATCAACTATTGGTATACTTGTCTAAATTCTGCCACATACTCCACTATGATGCTTAAGTATTTAGAGTTGTTCTTTCCCATATGTAAAAGGGGGACGAGGTTAAAAAAACCCCCCACCGATAAAAGTTGACTACTGTAGGGAAGAAATAAACTTCCGCCTCATTTGTTTCGAATCACACGCTCTTCATGCTGACTCACCCTCTCCGTAACAGGTTGAAATCAGCAAGAACTAGTTACCTCAACCGTCGTGAAATCATAGTTCGTGATATTGACTTTTTGGGAACACGGGAACAAATCGATGACACCACAGGACCATACTAGTAGGTGGCAAGAACATCCGGATGACATAGCTAGGTCCAAGGGTAACACACGGGTTGCTTCAAATCACCCGATCCCGTTTCTCGAGCGAGCTGTTGTTAGATTGTTAGATAGTCCATCCGACCCGAGCGAGTAGCATGCCAAGCAGAACCTAGGTAATATGGCCGATCACCTCGGACGAATGGTGTTGTGAGGATGAACAGGGGGAGGGGGCGAAGGGAGGGGTGAGGATCCTTATTGTTGACCTTTCCCCGGAGCAACGGAAGAGCCTTGTTCAATCCCCGCATGGCCGAAGTCAAAACCACGTTCTAGTATTTTTGTCTATACAAGCACTTTGTCGGATATTCGCTGAATTCAGATAAATTACTTCTGATGGTGCCTGATTAGCAGGGAATATGTAATGCCGCAACTCGACTAAGTGATGCATTCAGTAACATTAGCATTCCTCAGCCATCAAGAAACGCACGGTCCACGGCCCACGCCGCATGAGGCAATTGGTGGGCTAAGCTCCATTCAATTAGCTTGGTATTGTCAATACATCTTGTTTTTCATGCAACAATCACTCAATTTGCGGCACTAGCATGTCAAGCTGTAATAGCAATTTATGTACTTGTTGTTATATAGTACAAGTTGAAACTGAAAGAAGCCCCTGGGATTCCTATGATTTCTAGATCTCATTGATGTGGGTTCTATCTAGATTACCATTTAAAATACATACCAGCTAGTATAGGCTACGCACACTGTGAGCTCCTATTATCAGCTCAAGTGCTTCCAGGTTCCACCTTGAATCCAGCGTACCTCGGTAATATCTCTTCTATTCAATATACTGACCATGGAATCAGAAGCTTGGAAACCCGGCTATGTTGATAAGAGTTCCTCAACCAAGTTTTTGGAATTTACCCCAGTGGTAAGACCTATACGCGGCATACTAGCTTAATCCCGAACCAGGTAAGCGGGGAGTACTTCCCCCCCACCCGAAAATAATCATTAGTGACAGCGTACGGAAAGGTATGGATGGTGGATCTCCACCTGCCCGCTATTGTGTGGGCAATGGTCTGAATGGACTACTAAACGAACGCGGTTCCCCTGATTTATTCTGTATTGCTTTCTTTCCCTCTTCCTTTCTGCGTCAACCATATCCTCCCCCCGAAGTAAGTCCCCCTCTTCCCACCGAAAGCTTATTGATCCCATTGTGCTCTCCATCCTTACTGTGGAAATTATTCTGACCTTCCGCATCTAGAGGTTTGCGACGTTTCTCTCTTACTTAATTGTCTGCGCCTAGAGGCTCACAATCATGTCGGATGCCCCCAAACCCTCGGTGGTAAGTTCCTACGCCTCGGATCATTTTTGCCTTGCCCCGCTCTTGCCCCCGTCCTCTTGAGGATTGTTTCGATGGCTAACTCCACCCCCCTTGCAGGTGCACGAGGCCCACGAGGTCGACACCTTCCATGTTCCCCAGGCTTTCCACAACAAGCACCCCTCCGGAACCCACCTGAAGGATATTGATGAATACAAGAAACTCTATGAAGAGTCGATCCGCGACCCCGACACCTTCTGGGCTCGCATGGCCCGCGAACTGCTCACATTCGATAAGGACTTCCAGACAACTCACTTTGGATCGCTCGAGAACGGCGACAATGCGTGGTTCGTCGAGGGCACTCTGAATGCATCCTTCAACTGTGTCGATCGCCATGCGCTGAAGAATCCCGACAAGGTGGCCATCATCTACGAAGCAGATGAGCCCAATGAGGGCCGCACCATCACATACGGTGAGCTGCTGCGGGAGGTTTCCCGGGTGGCCTGGACTCTGAAGCAGCGGGGTGTGAAGAAGGGTGACACGGTCGCCATCTACCTCCCTATGATTCCGGAGGCGGTCATTGCTTTCTTGGCCTGCTCGCGAATTGGTGCTGTGCATTCGGTCGTTTTCGCCGGTTTTTCCTCCGACTCGCTGCGGGACCGTGTCCTTGATGCCAACTCGAAGGTTGTCATCACTAGTGACGAGGGCAAACGCGGTGGCAAGGTCATTGGCACCAAACGCATCGTTGACGAGGCGCTTAAGCAGTGCCCCGATGTGTCTACCGTGCTTGTTTTCAAGCGCACTGGAGCTGAGGTCCCCTGGACTGCTGGTCGTGATATTTGGTGGCACGAGGAGGTCGAGAAGTACCCCAACTACCTTGCCCCGGAGCCTGTGAGCTCCGAGGACCCTCTGTTCCTTCTTTACACCTCTGGCTCAACCGGAAAGCCTAAGGGTGTTCTGCACACTACCGCCGGTTACCTGCTTGGTGCCGCTATGACCGGTAAATACGTATTTGATATCCACGATGACGACCGCTTTTTCTGCGGGGGTGATGTGGGTTGGATTACCGGCCACACCTACGTCGTGTATGCTCCTCTTCTCCTGGGTTGCGCAACCGTTGTGTTCGAGTCCACCCCTGCCTACCCTAACTTCTCCCGCTACTGGGATGTCATTGACAAGTACGATGTGACTCAATTTTATGTTGCCCCTACTGCGCTGCGCTTGTTGAAGCGGGCCGGTGATGAGCACATTCACCACAAGATGAAGTCCCTCCGCATTCTGGGGTCTGTTGGTGAGCCTATTGCCGCAGAAGTCTGGAAGTGGTACTTTGAGGCCGTTGGAAAGGAAGAAGCTCACATTGTCGATGTTGGTAACCCCGTAGACCTGGAGAGAAACGCGCACATGCTGATTGAATGAACAGACTTACTGGCAGACCGAGACTGGTTCTCATGTCATCACTCCTCTGGGTGGTATCACCCCTACTAAGCCTGGCAGTGCTTCTTTGCCCTTCTTTGGTATTGAGCCCGCTATTATTGACCCCGTCTCTGGCGAGGAAGTCACTGGCAATGATGTCGAGGGTGTTCTGGCATTCAAGCAACCCTGGCCCAGCATGGCCCGCACCGTCTGGGGAGCACACAAGCGCTATATGGATACTTACTTGAACGTATACAAGGGTTACTACGTAAGACACCTATAACCCAACCCTCTATGAGGATTGATATTGACAACCTCCTAGTTCACTGGAGATGGCGCTGGCCGCGATCACGATGGCTACTACTGGATCCGAGGCCGCGTCGATGACGTCGTTAACGTCTCCGGCCACCGTCTCTCCACCGCTGAGATTGAAGCTGCTCTTATTGAACACCGTAAGTGTTTTCTAGTAGAAATTTATAATATATGAAAACCGCTAACTTCTCCTAGCCATGGTTGCTGAAGCTGCTGTTGTTGGCATTTCCGACGAGTTGACCGGTCAGGCCGTGAATGCTTTCGTATCCCTGAAGGAGGGTAACGAGACCAGCGATCAGGTGCGCAAGGATCTGGTCATGCAGGTCCGCAAATCAATTGGCCCCTTCGCTGCCCCCAAGGCCGTTTTCGTTGTGGAAGACCTCCCCAAGACTCGCAGCGGCAAGATCATGCGCCGCATTTTGCGCAAGATTCTCAGCGGCGAGGAGGACAGCTTGGGTGACACCTCAACGGTAGGATTTCCGCCATACTATATTACTTTCACTTTTGATGGATACTAATCTGTTTCATAGCTTTCTGACCCCTCCGTTGTGGACAAGATCATCGCCACTGTCCACGCCTCTAGTCGGAAGTAGGAGAGTGCTCAATATTTACGATAATGAATTCTGAAAAGAGTAAGTTCCCTTGAACATGATATATAGTACAATGGCACCGGTCAAGTATACTGATTATCCGGTGTAGTATGCTCCACAACAAACTCTCAGGTGGGAGGTTGAGATTTTTTGTAATTCGGTTATGAGTTTCCCCTTGATGTATTTGAGATTCCCTACCAGTATCATCAGGAGCCATGAGGATCTAGTTTTATCCTGCATCTTTTACTGCCACTGTCATGTAAATCAGTAAATCAGTAAATCGTATAGTATTTCTCAGTTAGTGGGAGTTCTATTATTTACTCGTATTTCGAACCACCGCCCTCACAACTTCTCAAGTTTCAGATTTGACATACCACATCAATACGTAAGAATCCCCGAAAAAGGTCTGGCCCCGGCTACAGGATACAACCCTGCACCACTCCGTCTTTGCATGCATCTATGCACGAGTGAGTGACGGCAGTCGAGTCAATCCCGTATCCGAGTCAGGCAGCAACCACGTGACGGATCACTCTTGGCCGTGCTGACATAATCTTATTTCTACCTTGAGCAAACTTGACTTGAATTCTGTCGCGTCTCTCACTCTCTTCCCCCCACGCGCCATCCTCGTCATCCCCCTAACTTTTGACGACGCATTCGTCACATTCTACTGCGCGAGCCCGACCTATGAACACATAGCGTCCTCAGCTCCCGGCCGACGACATGTCTTTCTTCGGAAGTGGAGGAGGGTTCGGCCAGAACAACCAGGGCTCTGCATTCGGGAGCTCTGGCTTCGGCACCAACAATAACACTGCAGGAGGTAGGTCTATAATGATATGTCTTTGCGAAATTTTTACCCATTGCCCTTTTCGATTCCCCTTGTTCTTCTTCGCCTGTGACTTTGTTCCGCCCTTCGGTGTTCTTTTCTCAACAACAATCCGGCGCTCCTGACATCGACCCGCCATGGCCATGACACGCGCAAGGAATCAATTTCATCCCCCAGCCATACAATCCTTCGTCAGGCCCTTTCGACATATCTAGCTGTTATCCTCGATGTTCAGTGACGCCGCGACAACAGGAGGAGTTGCGAGGCCCAACTTGAAATCAGTCTCTCTGACCGCGATCGCCCCTACTATCTAGGCTTTGGATCTACCGGAAGTCCAGCATTCGGAACCAGTAATACTGGAACTGGAACCACTGGAGGCGGTTTGTTCGGTGCAAACACGAGCAGCAGCTTCGGCGCAGGTGCCAGCGGAGGTACGTGCTCAAATCAACTGAGGCTTGCGGTTTCATCCTTGCGGCTCTCCTGAGACGCTTTTCCATCATGCTTTATCGACCCTTTCTCTTCGCTCTATGGACTTCATACCTGTGGTAATGCCTGATATGTACGCTCCACGCTTGTGTTTTTCTTCGCCTGCTTAGGGCAATTGCCAACGAGCGCTAGCGTGGATCAGCAGACCTGGAGATTTCCGTGCAACCTGAGTGGCCCGCACACAGGGACACCTCCGTCATAATCGAGCTACAACTGTCTTGTACTTTTTTTTTGTGCTCTCGTTCTTCTTCGCTGAGCTTAAATTATGGGACTCGTTGGCTTCTCGTTGGGTTTACTGACATTTTGGTCTTCTAGGATTCGGTACCAACAACAATAATCAATCTGGTTCGCTCTTTGGCCAGAACCAAAACCGTCCCGCGGGCTTCGGAGCTACCAACACAGCGAGTACTGGAGGCGTTTTCGGAAACAACGCAACTGCTGGGGGCAGCGCATTTGGATCTACCGGCGGTGGATTCGGCACCGGCAATGCTGGCGGCTTTGGTAGCAACACCAATGCGACGACTGCCAACACCGGCGGAAGTCTTTTTGGCAAAACTCCTGGTACTGGTTTCGGTACTTCGAACACTGGCAGTGGCTTTGGTTCAGGAACTGGTTTTGGGGCAACAAACACTGCTGCTACTAGCGGAGGCTTCGGCAGCACCGGTACTGGCACTGCTTTCCAGGGTGCCTTGCCTCCTTGTGAAGGTACCGGTGGAACTCCCTTTAATGCCTTTACCGAGAAGGATACCAACACCAGTGCGACCAATCACTACCAGAGCATCAGTTTTATGCAACCGTACAGCAAGTTCTCGTTCGAGGAACTAAGACTTGCGGATTATCAACAAGGCCGTCGATACGGTAACGGAAGTGGTCAAGCCGGCGCTTTCGGTACCTCTGCCTTCGGTACACCAGCTGCTGGCGGGTTTGGCACTCAGCAAAATACCGGGTTTGGAGCTAGTGCTACTCCATTCGGTGGCGCCGCAGCCACCAGTGCGCCCTCTGCCTTTGGACAAACACAGACTACCGGTGCGTTTGGCAACAGTGGCTCCACGGGCCTTTTCGGCGGAGCAAAGCCTGCGGGCTCGTTGTTCGGAAACACAGGAACTACCACCGCGGCTCAGCCCTCAGCCTTCGGCACGGCAGGAGCAACCGGTACAGGATTCGGTAGCAGCACTGGAACTGGAGGATTCGGAAGTACAGGAGGCTTGTTCGGTAGCAACAACCAGCAGCAAAACAAGCCTGCTTTCGGCGCCGCGGGAACTGCCACCACTGGTGGCTTTGGTAGCGGTGGATTCGGCACTCAGCAGCCTACCACATCTTCCAATCCCTTCGGTAGTACCACTGCTACAGCCTCGCCCTTTGGTGCTCAGCCGCAAACTGGCACGAGTACTCTAGGCGGCTTCGGAACGCAGAATCAAACCCAGAACAAGTCCTTGTTTGGTGGTCCCACGGGCAGTACATTCGGCGCAAACAATACCCAACAGCAAACTGGCACCACGGGAGGCTTGTTCGGTAACAATACTGCTACCGGAAATACAGGAGGCTTGTTTGGAAACAACCAGCAGCAGGCCCAGCAACAGCCTCAACAAGGCGGGACTGGTTTGTTTAATCAAGCGGCCAACACTGGCGGTGGGCTTTTCGGCACCCAGAATCAGCAGCAGGCAAAGCCTGGTGGTCTTTTCTCCGGCTCTACCGGCACTACTGGCGGTGCGTTTGGTGGTGGCTTCGGCAGCAGTCAACCTCAGCAGACCGCTGGTGGGCTCTTGAACAACACGCAAAACCAGCAGCAGAAGCCTAGCCTTTTCGGCGGTCCAACTGGTAGTACTGGTCTATTCGGCAACAATCAGAACACTGGTGCCCAGAATACCGGTGGTAGCCTCTTTGGAACCCAGAACCAGCAGCAGCAGCAACCCACTGGTGGTAGCTTATTTGGTAACTCGCAAAACATGCAACCTCAACAGCCCCAGCAGCCTGCTCCCGGTAGTTTTACTTCATCCCTGCTCGAGGGTAACCCCTACGGTAGCCAGTCTATCTTTTCGGGTCTGCCAGCACCCAATGCCCCGTCTCCGGGTCCTCTGGCCACTCCACTCTCCTCCAGCATGAAGCAGAAGCAGCGCACCCCGCTACCTGTTTACAACATGACCCCCCATGCTGCCAATCGCCTTGTCACCCCTCCTAAGAGAAACCAGGGCTATGGATTCTCCTATTCCACCTATGGATCTCCTTCCAGTGCGGCCAGCACGCCTGGCCTTGGCAGCAGCCTGTTGGGCTCAGGGCCCAGCAGTAGCAGTCTGCGTGGTAGTGTCAATGGCAGCTTCGGGCGCAGCTTCAGCAAGAGCTACTCCACTAGCAACTTGCGCAACTCTTTCAACCCCGATTCAGACAGCATTTTGTCTCCTGGTGCCCTGCAGATTGGCAACGGACGTAGTAATGGCAGCAGTCTCAAGCGTCTTACCATCGACCGTAGCTTGCGCAGCGATCTTTTTGCTCGTCCCGCCAGTCCATCACCAACCCCCATTACCAATGGCGAAGATGCCTCGCAGTCCGCTGACAAACTGAAGAAGAAGGTCAGCTTTGACTCCCCGGGCGTTTCCGGTGGTGAGCTGGTTCACGTGGAGTCCAAGAGTCCGGAGCCTACCCCCGCAGAGCTCGGGTTCCTTCGCTCCACTCGCAAGAGTGGCAGCCTTAACGGTATTGATACCATTGAGCAACCTGAGATGGAGTCCGTGAGTCGCGATCTTGCTGTTGTTCCCGAGAATGACGAGCCCGTTCCCACTGCTGTTAAGCATCTTACCGTCCCTAACGGCGACCCCAAACCGGGCGACTACTGGATGACCCCCTCTGCAGCGCAGCTCCACAAGATGCCTCGCGATCAGTTGAAGCGTGTTGTCGACTTCACCGTTGGTCGTCGGAACTGTGGACAGGTCACTTTCAATGGTGCCGTCGACCTCACCACTGTTGACATCGACCACATCTTCGATGGCATTGTGGACATCGGTCTTCGGAAAATTACCGTGTACCCTGATGAGTCAATCAAGCCTCCTATGGGCAAGGGTCTGAACGTGCCGTCTACCCTACGTATCGAGAACTCTTGGCCTCGTGTCCGTGATAAGAAGAGGCCATCCCCCGTCACCAATGGACCCCTCTTTGATAAACACATTGACCGTCTACAGAAGGTGACTGATACCGAGTTTATCGACTACGAGCTCGCCACTGGCACTTGGGTTTTCACCGTGCCTCACTTCACCACCTATGGACTTGACTATGATGAGGATGAAGAAGGTGAGAGTCTTGATCAGAGCACTATGAGTGGAGGCCCTGACAATCGCACTCCCAAGGCCGATCACCCCATCAGCTTTGAACAGTCCGCGACCTTTTCCATTGACGAGTCGTTTGTTGGATCAATGGCCGGTATGGATGATGACACCTTCGATTTCAAGAAGCACAAGCTGGTTCCTGGCTCTTTCGGGAATCAGGCCATGGCTATCGAAGACCATGACATGTATTCTGAGGGCGAGACCGAGTCTTTTTTAGAGGAAGGCTCCGCGGGTTCAACTACTGAGCATGACGACGACGTCACCGAGAGCCAGCAATCTGGCGACTCGCTAGTTGGATCTGATGAGGAAGGGGATATGGACATGGCGGGTTCTTTTCCCAGTCTTCATCGTACCGTGGAGCAGGACGATGACCAGAGCAGTGTTCTGGAAACCACCCAGCCTATCTTCAAGCCCTTTGGCACACCACCCAAGCCTCGTTTGAATCTCAGTGGCGACTGGACTGAGCAGCTTCAGCGAACCATCAGCCCCCGAAAGCAGAACCGTGATGCTCTGCGAGAAATCCAAGCGAATGCTTTCAACGACCGGGATCTTTTTAATGAGGAGTCACCAACCGAGAAAATCGCGTCTCCGAAGAAGGGGTTCACCAACAGCATCGACCTGATGAACTCGCTTTTCCAGCAGCAACCTAAGAAGCAAAGTTCAACTTCACAGCTGAAGTCTTCGAAATCGCAGCCCAAGGGCTTTGAGGTTCGCTCCCCTGCTTTGCTTTGCACTTGACTTCCCCTTCACTTTTGAATTGTCCCTTCCCTGTGTCCATCCGTTTTTTGTTTACCTTGTCAATTTTCACCCATCTTGTATTTAGCACCTCCATTCCCCATTCACACAGATAGTACACCAATCCGAGACCAAAGTGCTAAATATTCTTCTCTCTCTTCCGTACAGTGGCCTTACAACAAACAACCCAAAACATACGCCGGCGATACCACCCAAATGGACCAGAAAGACTCTGCTTTCCATGAATCTTTCAAACCCCGCTGGGGTCCCATGGACACCATCATCTGTGTCAAAAATGACATGAACCAGCCTCTCTCTGACACAAACCAACAATGGAAGGAGCTTTACTCTGTCTTCAGTGAGGCAAGGGATATCGCGGTTCTAGACTATAGTCCATCAAATGAGGTAAGCTTCCCTTCATCTCCTTGTCAAGAACCATTCGCTAACTACCAATTCAGTCCACGGAAATTCTCCTTGTGCAAAAACAGCAGTCTACCATCCAGCGTATTGACGGGATACCTTTGGTCCGTCTAGCCAAGATGAACCTGCACGAATTCGCGTTGCAACCAGCCCAGGAGGAAGAACGATTGGTCTGGCAGCTGGCCAACATTTTGTTCAATGACGACATCGAGGACGATATTTCAGCGGGTGTGCCTCCTCAGCTGCGACCAAAGTTTGCCCATCGGATTAAGAAGGATCGTTTGACTCGTCTGTGGAAGGGCATCATCCGTGACCGACACGCCCATGATCTGGATCATATTCGCTCGCCTGAAGAGCGCGCTGTTCACCTTCTCTGCTCTCACCGAATTGAGGAGGCTTGCAAAATCTTGGTCGATAGCCAGAACTACCACTTGGCCACTGTGGTTGCACAGATTGGTCGTGATGCCACCTCACAAGCAGACATGGCCAATCAGATTGAGGTTTGGCGCCAGAACAATGTCCTCTCTGAGATGACCGAGCCTGTCCGGGCCCTCTATGAGCTGGTTTCTGGCAATGGCCTTCGCAGTGAAGGCAAATCTGGTGGTGCGTTGGAAGACCGAGCTTCAAGCTTTGTTTTCACTGAGCGCTTTGAGTTGGATTGGCTGCAGGCGTTTGGCATCCGCCTCTGGTATGGTATCACCGAAGATGAGCCTGTCGAGGCCGCTGTTTCCAAGTTCCTGGACGACCTGGCTACTGGTCTGGAACCTGCATTCCCCCACCCCGCGCAAAGTCCCCGGACCTCTGTGCAGCCTGGCTCAGACACTCTTGGTCGTGAGTCTCCACTATGGGTTCTTCTCAAGGCATACTCGGCGGCTAGCGGGAATACAAAGATCCCTGCCACTGAGCTCCCTGCGGCTTTGCTCCCTCAGTCTTTGTCTGGAAACTTGTTGTCCAACCGTTTATCTTTCCAACTGCACCATGTCCTCGCTACTGTCATAGGACAAAACCCCGCTATTGAGATCAATCAAGTCCAAGCTGACCACCTGGTTTGGGACTATGCTTCGGAACTGATCGCCAGCGGAGAGCTTGCCCCAGCTCTCTTTGTTCTTCTTCACCTCTCGAGGCCCGATGATCGTAAGCGCGCTGTACAAGAAAATCTTGCCCGATTCGGTGCACACCTCCCTGACCCCATGTCTCCCGATGGTGTCACTTCTGACCCTGCCTGGCTTCACATGACTGTTGACCTGCAACTTCCCGACGCCTGGATTTGGGTTGCTAAGGCCCTTGATGCCCGTGATCGTGGAGATGCTATTCGTGAAGTTGACTGCCTCATTCGTGGAAAGCACTGGAATGACGCCCATGCTACCTTTTGCCGTATCGTTGGGCCTACTACCATTATATCGCGAGACTACTATACCCTCGAGAAGATTGTCAACGGTTTTGGTGATGGGCCCGAACGCAAGATGCGCGGCTGGGCCTCCGGTGGTGGTATCTATGAGGATTTTCTCCGTCTGGCTACTGCACCCCGTGGCAGACGTGACCCGACTCGCCTAACTCGCCTTGTCAATGCACTGGGTGCCCTAGGTGACCGAGTTCGCGATGGTTCCGGCTTGGATGGCTTGGAAGAGCGTGTTGCTTTCAAGGAAATGAGCCGTGCTCTGGCTGGCTGGATTACCCATGAAGATGTTCAGGTTAGTTATCATCCCAGCTCTTTGCTGTTGTTTCCCTTTTTGGTCACTTTTGCTAACACAAGTTTTAGTCTGTTGAGTCCTCTGCAGTTCTTGGTCTCCCCCTGACCGGTGATGCGCGCGTCCTGCAGACCGTGGAGATGAGCAGACGCTACTACGGTGTCGTAATGGCTGGCGGTTTTTAAAGGTGATCTTACGAGATAAATTGGGCATGGATTCGTCTGTATTCGAGCAGTCGTGGCTCTTTATGCTCTTTTTCTTTTTCCAGCATGTTTCAGCAATAATTTCCTTTGTAACATCCCCAACGTGAACATGTATTCTACTCGATCAATCTTATTAGCAACCCTCCTACAATCTGTGCGAATACGCAGTACAAAACACCATTGTAGTTCATATTAGTAGTTCTCTCGAAGGTCAATTGGTACTTGTATATTGTTATATGCTGAATTTGAAGCGGATGCAAGATGCCATCACCCTGCCGCCGGCCACCGGTTTCTTCGAAGCAGTAAGTGATTTCTCGGGTGTCTTTGGACTTGTTTCTAAATTTACATGTTATGTTTACACCATAAGGTCGGTATAGTATCATGCCCTTTCCTTACAGATCCATCTCAATAGCAGTGGTATCCACTCCAACGGTGATGTACCCAACCATGCCCTTGGTCAAATCATTATCATCAATAGGGACAACTGAGATAAGCGGGTTGTACCCATTATCGGTATCTTGACTGTAAATACTATCCTCGGCATTGGTCGTGCGGTTGATCTCAGTATGGGAAACATACGGCTCCAAAGCCATGATCTCCTTTTCAAGCTGCTCGTCGAAGTAGATCTGACCAGTGCTAACCGTGTTGCCATAGGCCATGGTACCATTACCACGGATAGTCCAGTCTGTGTGGACTTGAACGTGGATATGGATAGCTCTTTCGATGTAGAATCCTAGTATGGATGTTAGCATCAGTAACTAGGCAATCTAGTTGTAAGGTAAGGAAGCCAACCGGGGAAGACAGTCTTCATCTCCATCATGCCATTGCGATCCGTCGGCCACATTCCTCGCAGGAATGTAGTGTCATCGGTGTGGAGATCAGTAGTGCCAATTTCAAAGTCCGTGACGTTCAGCTGGTCCAGCAATGTCTCGAATGCTGTGTTGGGGGAAAGACCTGTGAAGCTGGAGTAGCTTCCAGTGGCATTGCAATGCCAGAAGTCAACCAGGACACCTTCTAATGGCTCACATGTGTTCATGTCAAGGACACCAACATCTAACCACAAGGGCACACCGGGTTGGTCCTCGGTCATGTCTTGACGTAGGGTCTGGGAGCGAGGCCAGACGTAGGGGCCTTCCGTCACCTCGGGAGTCAAAACACAGGTATCATTCTGTATCACATCATAGTATGGGGCCTCGGTTTGGATCTGGACAGTGGTGTTTCGGTCGTGGGATCGCTTGCGGATGTTTCTATTCCAGCGCTTCTCGTTGAAGCGGGCAACATGTTCGGAGCAACGAGAGGATAGATCGTGGCGACGAGCAATCTCTCTCTTGGAAATTCCGTGATGAGGGCCTGGGTGGGCGAGGGCTACGGAGACGAACCCGGCAAGGGCCACCAGCTTGTAGTAATGCATAATGAGATAACGAGGGGGCGGTATTCCTGGATTGTAGTCTTGAGACTATCCTATGACTACTTATAAGTCTGCAAGTATTGCTAATTCAACAATTCTGGCTCGCTCATTCTTCCTACAGTGATATCCACTTGCGTAAGCTTCTGGGCATGATAGCTTGGCAATTCATGGTAGATTGGCTCTGTTGATATCTCTTTCATCATGGTGAAGATTATCCTGAATAATTGTGGGGAAAGAAGCTGGGCGTCCATCATTTCTTCTGTTTTCAAACTCCACAAACGCGTAAGTTTAAACAGTCAATCTCTCTTGCTTGCTTGAAATTCAGTTTGTTGCATATCGTCTCAATCAAGCAACAGACAGAGCCCTGAGGGGTTATCTAAGCTGAGACTTGCAAATCGTTCCTCTGTTGATCTCCGGTAGAACAAATCAAAAGAACTCTGTATCTAAGAAAGAAACCGACGTAAGTCTTACCAGTTTGAATATTATTACGCGGCCCGGCACTTGGCAGCTCCATGGGGATTGCCGATCCCTAATCAGATACCGAGTCTAATTCTCGGGACTTGTTGATGATAAGTCTGTAGATCTCAGGCCAAACATGATACCGATTATGTTAATCAGATGGTTGATATGATGCCCGGGTGCTGATATATAGGGTAGCCAAGAGATGTTGTGCCAGGAAAACAGTCATTGTTGGCGTCTTTAAATTGCCGAAATTCCCCCATTTTATACACTGCGGGTACAGTATCGGGGTCAACGTGGCGGAGTTCCGGGTGAGTCGGTTTCTTGGCGACTATGATTCTTGGCATTTCAACAGGTATTCCAAGACTGAGCTCCGTGTTTTCCTAGAGGGGAATTCTGATGACTTCCAATGTTAAGTGATAAAAAAAAAACGCCTGTGTATTTGTTGATACTGTGTGCAATAAAAAAGAATCAACATACAAAAGTGAAGCATGAAAAAAACGACGGCTGGAGGATTCGAACCTCCGCCTCCGAAGAGAATTGATTTCTAGTCAATCGCCTTAGACCACTCGGCCAAACCGCCTGTTGATGTAAGCTGCTAGATTTTGAGCTCTATAAACAAATTTTCAATTGTCTCAATATTCTACAGAAGTTTGAAACGAACCATTATTGTTGGTTGTATAGTTGTCTGCCGCATTTTCTGTCGCTGTAAGCCTCTCCACTACCCACATCAATACTCGAATACATCTTTTGCTGCATTTGTTCTAAATGGGTGGAGTTCCAAAGCTATATCAACCTTCATCAGAGTGATAATAAATATCCAGAACCCATTGTGCTATAGGCAGTGAGCAAGATCTAAATGGTGGTCAACGAAAGGCGGTAAAAGTTGGTGTTTCAAACTTCTGCACTGCCACGTAGCCATTCAACCCACGTTTTCGTCAGGTGTTAGTGCAAAACGCTTTACCTTTGTTATTTTATCCTTTTTTGAGACCACTTCAAAGCCAATATGCCTCCAATTCGCTCCGTTGATCTTCCTTCAAGGTCCAGTGAGAATACCCCTGAAAATGCAACTCAAACCAGCCCAGCACCTCGACGTCGACAGGAGCTAGATCCATTTACTCGCACTAGGATTTGCACTCTCAAGACTATAGCCGGGTGGAGCTATAAACAAATTCAAAACCAATACCCCGACATTCCATACAGAACAATCGTTAGTACAGTTCACAGGGAAGATAAGCGAGTACAAAATGCCTCATCTCCACGCTCTGGCCGGCCGAAAAAGCTTGACGGAGACGACAAAGCAAAGATTCTAGAAGCTGTTGACAAAAATCCCCATATCAAATACGAAGAAATTCTCGCAATGGTCAATCATAAGGTTGCCAAGCAATCGATTTGGCGTCTCCTGCGCGCAAATGGAAAACAGAAGGCGTCAGTCACTCTCCCTCCGCTAAATCTGCGGAGAATGAAGTATTCCGATACCATCGATTGCTAACGGATATGATTCAATCAAGTCCGGGGTTCAATCAATACACTTAGTGACGAGACGCCTAAGACGGCTGGCCGTCCAAAGTCTCTTGCGACCGATGATATTTGATTTGTATCTTGCATGATCCCTCGACACCACTCGTGTACATACGACTTTTGTATGCATTGTACTGTATGTCAAGTCTAGACAAATCGAGCAGCTATATGTGGGTCTTTATAGTACCGCTTTAGGTTTAGCTTATCGTATGAGCCCTGTGGGCCTTCGTCTTCGTTGAATTAGCCCTAGATTGCGGATAAAGACAACAATTTGAATAAAAATAAAGCGAAAAAGCAAAAACCGACGGCTGGCGGATTTGAACCGCCGCCTCCGAAGAGAATTGATTTCTAGTCAATCGCCTTAGACCACTCGGCCAAACCGCCTGTTGATGATGATTGATAGAAACTCTGCCTCTATCGGCGGAATGATGTGATATGCGGTTTTTAGAGACAAAGACGTGGGATAATCTGACTGAAGGTAAATTTGAACCGGCAGATACTATCTGTTTTGCAAATGTTGAAGCGGGAATCTTATAATTGATTTGCTAATAAGTCTATATTGCTTCTTTTAAGAAAATTTGTTAAAATTGAAGAATTTGGACGAGGAAAAGAGGTAAAATATGTTCATATATACATGTTGAAATGAAAGGCTTGGATGGATTTGTACCTAAGGACCAAAGAGGGCATTTTCGGATGGACAGAGGAAAAAAATAAAGCAAGGAAAAACGACGGCTGGAGGATTCGAACCTCCGCCTCCGAAGAGAATTGATTTCTAGTCAATCGCCTTAGACCACTCGGCCAAACCGCCTATTTGATGAAAGTTTGCTTACAAATAGGCTATATTGCCTGATCCCTATTTTAGAGCCTTAAGACATTGTTATCCCTCGCTTCGCTAGCGCCTTCCGCCACGGGTATAAATACCTCCCTTCTCTCTCCTCCTTCCCCTTCTTTTTCTTTCTTCTTCATACTTACCTTGTTTGGGTGGCTGCGATCATGAAGGTGGTCCACCACAGATTGGTCCCTGCATTGCACATCGCGGCGGACTGGTTTGTTCAACGGCTTTCGGGTCTTTGACAGGCGTATTCTTTGGCACTTCCACTGTGTGGCTCTTTATTTTCATCAAGGCTTGGGTCAGTGACCTAAGGTTGGAGAAGAGAAAGCTTGGCTGTATTTTGTGGGAATGTAAAGAAGTCAAACGAGATTACTGTGTGACGTGTCACCTTGTTCATAGCTTGGCACCCTCTTGTGTGAGTGAGCCTACTAATTAGATGTGACAGCTCTATTTATCATGACTTCGAAGCTCCTCACTTGCTATCTCTCTCTCTCGCTCCGACCCTTGCGCTCTCCCCTTGTAGCTTTAAACAACACTAGTGGCCACATTCAAGTTATCCACCCCTGGCGTTATGATCAACCTAGGGACCAGCCAGTCTTTGATAACGCCCTGTCTTAGGGATTTACATTTAGATTCTATATTCAACTCTCCATATTTTCATTAGATGAGATTAAAAAGCGGCGGTTTTTCAACCCTCCTCGGCAGGATGAACTTGCCAGTCGACCCAAAGCTTGATATCGGAGATAGGATGGACGTCGATGTGATTTTTTGGGTGGACGCGATCATGAAGAAACATGCCACGCGTTCCCTCTTTCAATTTTGCCATTGGTTCGCTGTCTCTAATGCAGGGGGCTCTCGCGATCGCGAGTGTTCCGGCCGTAACCCAACACCATCAAATATTTGAATACCTAGGGGGCTGGTCTGTATGAGAGTGGGATACTTGAGTGCCTAGGTAATAGGTGCTACTGGACTTTGGACACTACGTCATACTATGCACATATGGTGTTATTTTGGCTATCACACCTCCAGGGCTGCGCATATTGGTACAATGTCAATTCAAAGTGAACTGGGCATTTTCAAGTTTTGCCTATATTGTTTTCACACTTAGGCCTTCAAGGTAGTCTTTTGATGTTCCCATTGGCACGGAATTATGAATACATATATGTCAAAACATATCCTTCTGGTGTCGGTAAAATGAAATCGGTAATATAATATCGGTAATATAATGTAAACTTGGACATTGAGAACCGTCTAAGGTTTTGATATATATCACTTGCGGGCCCTCGAGCTATTGATTTACAAAATCGTCAAATTTGAAGGGTTGCAGTTGAGCCCGGTTGTTGTAATGTACTACCAGGTTAATGCTCCATTGTCAGAAGGACGCTCAAAATTATTTCAAAATTTCTGTTATAACTTATAACTTTGGAAGGCAGCTCCTGAGGTCAGTCGCTTTGAGATCATGTTTGCCCAGAACTATTTTAAGCTAGGTTAAAGTTTAAAAGGTTATGTAGCTTGCTTTGAAGACTGCTTTCAACAAGTAGGCGGTTTGGCCGAGTGGTCTAAGGCGATTGACTAGAAATCAATTCTCTTCGGAGGCGGAGGTTCGAATCCTCCAGCCGTCGTTTTTGTCTCCTTTCAATTTATGCGTTGATTCTTTTTTTTGGCTCACCTAGGCATAATGTGCCCTAGTGTTTTGCCATTGATTCATGTCCCCCAGTATCCTCAATTCCCTAATATTCGCGGCTTAACGAAGGCTAATAGGCCTATGATTTTCCGAGCCTGGGTCTCTACACTCGACTTATGATGTTCCAGACCACAAGGAAATACTTTGGCCATTATATGCATGTGCTCCTAAGTACACACTCGAAGCACTGGTCTTGGTTAAATTTTGTGAGATTTGTATCGTTAGCCAAGTGGTCAATATTTAAACTATGCTCTCTATCTTTGGAATGCCCGCCGCGAATCGATATGTATCGGTAATGTGTCTGGCTATAGTGTAGTGAAATAACAACATTATTTGACTGCAAAATAGCAAATAGATTGATAAAGGTCATGATAGCTACTTTTTAATATATCTAACGACATATGTACCAACTTTCAAGTGGTGGCGACGTAAAGTATGTGCATAGATCAGCCCGAGCCTGCGGAGTTGTTGCGGAGCACGGCAGATCTGGAAATTCTCCAACTCCAATTCCTTAACCTCCCCCATCCAACCTCCCACTCTCCAAAGTCATTCTCGAGCGCAGAGTGGACATAACACAGGAATAATCCCTGGCACAGCGGAAAGAGAACCCATTCATGCTTCGTCAAATCTTCGCGGCCGCCCCATCGGCGCGACTTGCCAGCCCGATCTCGACCGGAACTCTCAAGACCCAAATCACCCAACCAACATGGCGCCTTGTACGATATAACATCCCATCACAATATAAACAATCGCAAAGAGATAGACCTAACAACTATTCCATATAGAATCTCGCTCCAATCCCCTGCAACCCCCGCCTATTCACCACCACATCCCCAGCTCGCTTCACGACCTCCGCAATCCTAAACTCCTCTCCCTTCCGCCTCTCCACCGAAAAACATGGGTCTTCCATTCCCTACCCAGAAGAAGACCCCTACAGCCAATACCCACCCAAGCGACAATGGCCCCCAGACATGTCGAAGCTCTCGCCGAAGCACCAGTTCCGGCTTGAGCGTAAATACCGCCGGCGCGCGGCGCTGAAGTATGCGCGACCGAAGTTTATTAAAATGGTTACATTGGCCCAGTGGGTGATTATTGGATGTAGGTTGGAAATCCAATTCTGGATCGATCAAGGTTACTGACGTGACGTTATAGTTGTTGCGGTCTACGCGATTCTGTTCATGAATTGGGATACGAAGGGCACGCCGTTTGATGGAGTAAGTGTTTCTCTTTTCTCTATCTAAAGCTTAACAAATTGCCTTATTGTATCATGGTCTTGAATATGAGCTAACCATCATATCCTTTACAGATCCGAGAAAGCTTCTTCTCTGGAATCCAAGCGATATTCACTAGCCCCCCGCCTCGTGGTCCGGGGAAGAACTCCGAGGAGAAGAATTGAGCGCTTAAAGGCGTGGAGGACTTTCATGCTTATATATGGCTAATGCCTCGTATTTTATTGTACAATACCATTTCTTCGTATAAGAGTGCATCATTATCGAAATCCCATCTCAATCATGAGGCAGTGTTTGAGCCCCCTGTTTGTTGATCCCGTGAATCAGCTTGTGAGCTATCCGTTGAAGCTTGCTGGTGACTTCCTTGCTCATTTTCACCATGACTCTGCTGATTATATTGTTCTTGTTGGTTGTTCTGTGTTTGTTCTGGTTGCGTTTGCTCCGACCTTATCAAATGGACATCAGATCTCTATCCAGGACTTAAAAGAGTAGATCCATACATCTGATCCTGTGAGCCCTGACTAGATCTATCTTTGCGAGGTCGTCCAGACCTCGGTCGTGATTGATTATTGACGCGCCTGTTCTGTGATTGGCATGTGAATTTGATTGTCGAGAGAGGGATATCTGGGTATGCTTTGTGAATGCGGCCATAGGACCACTGAGCTGTTTCTCTGAGTTCACAGATCCTAGTCCGCATGTAGGGGTCGAGTTCTTTTCGCTTGCGAGAAATCATGGCGGCGAGTTGTAGCTGGTCTTGTCTTTATCGTGATCGCATCAAGATATCGGGTATTGCCGGAGCGGTGTGGGGAAAAGTATGTTTACTCGTGCCATATTTATTATATCTAAAACCATGATTTGTACAAGGGGAAATAATACTGAGGTGAAATGTGCAGATGTAAAGATTAATCCAATGACGTGTCATTCAATTCTCATTTCTGTCATCGATTGTCATGAGCAAATCCGGTCGAAACTATGCAACTCCAAACAACACCACGAATGTCAACGCCTGACCACCCAAAAAATCAAGAAAATCAAACAGAGTCAGACCGATGAGCCTGCAACTGGTAATGCTGGTACAAAGTCGTCTGTAAAATGAACCGTTACGCCATGTCATGAAACGTCGAAGATGGAATGGAAATATTGAAAAGGGGGAAAGAAAACATAGGAGAGAAAGAGATTAAAAAGCCAAACAAGTCGTCACTTGTTTGACTAGAGCCAACTGCGTAGATCACTGGATGGTGACAATGGACTTGGAGCAGCACGGCTGTCTGGGAGGTTGAGGGGGAGATTCAGTGCCAACTCCAGCTTTGGTGGCTTTTCATCAACCAGACCCTTCTTGGGGCTTCCTGGTGCAGCCTTCTTGGGGGACTTAGTAGGAGAGCCGGGTTCTCCTGAGCGAGGGGGTCCCTCACGCACCGATGTGTATGGCCAGCCATCTTCCACTGCCGCAGCCACCCAAGTGCGTAGACATTCATGAACAGAGGAGTAGAACTTCTCCTTGCAAGTGCGCATGGTGCCACCCATGACCTTCTCAAATCCAGAGGCTCGGAGCTCAGAGCGGAGTTGATTGCGCTCATCAACGGTAGGGAGAGAGGCAACGAGACCGTTCATAAGATCGAGATGAGCGGCCAAATAGTTTGTAGCATCCCATTCAACACCCCCAACGTATGGAGCTGCTGGGACAGGTGGGCGAGGAGCGGGGAAGTGTTTCTGGGAGAATGGGCGACTGTCCACAGGACGTTTGTCGGTGAAGGGATCGTCCGACTTGGGATCTGCCTTAGGGAGTGGGATGACGTTCAGGTGGTGCAGGAAGATCCAGAAGACCTCTTTCGTCACGTTGGTGACTTCCTTGCACCACACGCGGTAAGGGCGGGATTGATATATATTGGCAATGAACGAGACCGGCTGGTTATCATCAGCCGGTAAGGGGTCACGTAGGTAGGCAAGAAGCCGCCCGGCACGTTCAACGGGCAGTTCGCCTGGAGAGGTTGTAGAGAGTTGTGTGAAAAGGAGGTTGATGATGATTCCCCGGGTTGTGAACTCGCTGGGACCCTTCCTCTCTTCGTCAAACAGCATCTTCAACAAGGCGGGGAAAAGTTCTGCCTCGATGCTGGTGAGGTGAGCAAGAGCAATGGATGTTGTGCAAAGACCCTTCAGGCAAAGCAGAGCTTCATGGAGAAGGGTATCCTCGTGGTCCTCACTGGGGAAAAGTTAGCCGAGGGTCTCGTGAGCTACAATGAAAGGGAGGTACTGCATACCGCCATTCCATCTTCATAATGCGGTAGATGAGCTGTACAATTTCATCCATCCCGCCTTCAGTAATGAAGCTGTTGACCCAGCTTACTGTCTCATTGCGAAGCAGGAGACGCAGCTTATGGAGCTTGCCTACTTCAATTATTTCCGGCTTTTGGATCTCTCTCAGATAATGCACAAAGTCCGATGGGTCAGCCGCAGTGTCCACGGCAGCCGCTTCGGAAAGAGTTGCAGTCGAGCCACCTGGGTGAAGTGTTGTATAAACGCCAACAGGCTGCGAAAGATCTACCGAACGTGGACGAGCAAACGTTCCGCTCTCTGGCCTGGCCTTCTTGCCCGGAGACGAGGAGCCTCTGCCGAAGGTGAATCCACGGCTTCTGGACCGCGATCGGGAACCCTTGCGGTCCTGTGACTTCTGCTCATCTTTGGACTCCTTTCCGCGCCCACGGCGACTATCAGAGGTACCCGCACTGTTGGGAGCTATATTTTCAGATCGGTCTTTTTGGATGAAGTCAACTTTGATATTGGTGTCAAGGGAGCGCATCTTGTCGCGCATGTTATGTGGAATATTTCTTGCATCCTGAAAGAATTAGTTAGAGAGGGCCTTGGGGGAAAAAATCCAACAGTCAACATACCAATAGCTTTTCAAATTCGCTTTCGACGTCCTTGGAATCAAGATGTCGGTGAACTTCAGCATCTTTGTCCTTGGCATTAAATGCTGAGATAGCAGCCTGCACACGGGACAATCGCTTAGGGTTGGCATCCTTCTCGGGAGATTTAGGTGCCGGAGGCTCAGGAGCTGACATCTTCCTGGCTCTCTCCAGACCGTGACTCTTAGACGGGGAACTGCTGACCCGGTCAATTGTATTGACCTCATTCGTGGGGAGACGCTGCAAAGCTCCCAGCACATCCTTCACTTTCTTGTTGGCCGTAAAGTTTTCTGACTTGGGGCGCGGCTTAATCTCGCCAGCTCTGGTCAGCGAGGGTTGGTGATAGTCATAAAAGTTTCGTTGCTGAGCGGGGCTGTAGCCCTTGGGTGTGTAGAGGGAAAGCTCGTCTGCGACACTTCGGTGCCGGTCTGCTGTTGAATTCTGTCGGGATCGACTGGTCTGTTGTTGATACGTCGGGGTAGAGTCTTGGGGCCAAATTGGCGATGGCATACTGTCAACCAGATCGGTTGGGCTGCGGTTCTCTTTATCGCGGCTCTGCTTTGAACCATCCTTACGGCCCCGCTGTGATCGTTTTAGAATGGCCGAGAGACTGTTGTTCGATTTGGCCTTCTTCGGTTTCATTTCTTCTGACACTTCGGGTTCCTCAGACTTCCCGTCCTTCCGCTCCATATAGCTTCTCAGCGACTTTAAGGAGACGGTGCTCTTCGTTTTCTTATACAGGACCCCCTTACCCTCCTTGCTACCATACTTGGCCGTTGGAACGTGGCTATCCCCGGCATCGCGGTTTGGGACTATCTCACCCAGTGGAAGATGACCGGGCGCGGAGGTACGCTGCTGAGTCCATGGAAAGGGACTGGGATCGGATGTTTTGATCGGTGGAAGCTGTGGTGGCATGGCATCGTCTGCGGACTGGTTTCTCTTGTGCTTTGATGAAATCATGGCCCGAAAAACGGACGATTTGGGAGCACGGTGGGCATCCTCGAAGATCTGAGGACCGGAGGTAGCAGAGGCCATTGGTATCACCGTTGGCCAGCAACTGTGGTATGTCAGAAAATTGACCGGGGCGTCTCGAGGATGTGGGTAGGGACAGCGGCAACTTACGGAGACGTTTTCAATGGAACAAAATACAATCACGCTGAACTGACAACACCTAGCGCAAACGGGCCTTGAGGATCCCCAAGGAAGGAAGCGCAATCAATGCAGAATAAAACAGACAAATGCAAAGCAAAGTGGGATTGAGAAGAATCTGGGAGATGAAAAACAAAGCCGGGCACCCGGGGAATATGAGTGTCTTGCTGCTAACGGCAACATCAAGGATCAGATCCCCACTTTGCTTTGGGTCTGAATAGCTAGCGTGGTGAGGCGATCCTTGGGGTTGGTTGGATTGCAGGTGGAGGAGTAAACAACGTGCAATTGGCTTAGTTGCACAGGGCAACGGGCGTTGTTGGCGGTGAAAGTTGATTGATTTGTATAGCAGAAAAACCATCAACACCCTGCATGTCTACATCCCAAGGGTTTCTATGGTTTCCTTTCCCCCTCATTTCCCTTTCCAGGGATCTTGCAGTATCCTTGCAGGTGGTTTGTTTATGGGGTCGGGTTCCAGTTGTTCTAGATCTTGGCTCTACGGATACACATCTCCGCTTGCCATCACCACTCCTGACTCGACGAGATGAAGATTGGGCACCTGCACATCTGTCAAGCTTATGAAATCTAGTTCAGGCCAACTCTCGGATTTAAACGAAGCACTCCGCAGGTGGGACCACAGTATAAACACAATGGCAGCTCGCGTGCGTGCGTATCCTTCCGTTGACATCATGCCCCGGTTATCGCAGCGGGACAGCCCTGTTTACAATTCCGTCTCATGACCCCTCATGATTGATGTCAAGTTCTGTTCGTCATAACGAATGTCCCAATGTTTTCCAGCTGATTTCTTGATAAGCATTAATCTCCAATCTTATCCCCTTGTGTACCTTTATCGGAGAACCTTGAATTCTGGGTTCATTTCCCCGCGGGTGGAAACTCACGATCCACCGCCGTTTGCGAACGCGGGGCAAGTATGTTAGGACAATCAAATCAAATAACTGAACGTTCTCGGCCATATGGTTTTTATTGATAAATTGAAATTAAATCGAAACAGACTGAAGGCAACAATTTTATCTTTTAACTTCACCCTTACGTATTAGTTCGCGGTGAGAACTCGGATGATCTGGGCAAGACCCGCCAAAGTTTACTTTGAATGCTCAATCGTCAGAACCGCGTCAAAAAATCGGGCAGTTTCGGGCTCTCCCAGGGTACTCTCTCGGGTGCTCATATACAATCTGCCCCCGATTAGCTTCCGATTCTGCAGACTTATTACAGATCTCTTCACCCACAAAATCACACCCCGCATTTTTTAAACAACCATGAATTGCCCCTCGCGCACTGACGACACTCTCCAGAACCCGGGTTGGAACCAGAACCCGCCACCCTTCAACCCTGATATCACCACTCGGAATGACTTCAATGGCATCGCCAACTCTCGCGTACACCGCAAGAATGCCACAGGCACAAGCAATGCAATAGCTGGTGATACCTTGTGCATAGACACTCAACCGATCAGTCGGCAAGACTCTGATCCCGGGACCGAGAAAATCCCGGATGGCGAGGTGACCGCAGCCTCGGGGTGTCCAACACCCACGAGAGCAAGCGGATCACCTCGCCGTCCTTTCAAAAATTACATCTCCTCCAATGCTCTGCAGTGTGCCCGCACTCTGGTCAAGTTCGGCCGTTTCATCGGTCCTGGCTTCCTCATTGCTGTTGCCTATATCGACCCGGGCAACTACTCCACCGATGTTTCTGCCGGTGCCACCTACAAATATGCATTGCTATTTATTGTGCTCCTGTCCAATCTCTTTGCCATTCTGTTGCAGTCGCTCTGCATCAAGCTTGGTTCTGTGACTGGCCTTAACCTTGCGGAGAATTGCCGTGCACATCTCCCTCGGTGGTTGGTTTACATCCTTTATGGTCTCTCTGAGGCAGCTATTATCGCTACTGATATTGCAGAGGTGGTTGGATCAGCCATTGCGTTGAATCTACTCCTCCACATTCCACTCGTAGCGGGCTGCGCCATCACCTTGGTCGATGTCTTCTTCCTACTCATTTTCTGGCGACCTAATGGCTCCATGTTGGGACTACGTTTATTTGAGTTCTTCGTCATGGGCTTGGTACTGGCGGTCGTCGTCTGCTTCTGTATTCAGCTTTCTCTGATTGAAGAGCAGTCAGTCGGGGAGGTTTTCCGTGGCTTTCTCCCATCATCTGCCGTCGTCCAATCAGAGGGGTAAGTTCCGATTGAATGTTCGAATATTGCAAAATAAACTTACATCTTCTTGTAGTCTTTACCAGAGTTGCGGCATCCTCGGTGCCACTGTCATGCCACACTCTCTCTTCCTGGGTAGTGGGGTAGTACAGGCTCGTCTGAAAGAATTTGATACCACCGCTGGATATGTGGAGTCTACCGTGCCCACCGGAAGCACCGATGGGGAAGTAAAGTATCGACCAACTATCCATGCCATTCGTGGTTGCATGAAGTACTCGATAATCGAGTTGTCGCTGTCTCTCTTCACCTTCGCTCTCTTCGTCAATAGCGCCATTCTCATTGTCGCCGGCGCATCCCTCTACGATGTTCCCGGCGGGGCCTCCGCCGACCTCTTTGGAATCCACAAACTCCTCTCTTCATCTATCTCCCCTGCTGCTGGTCTGATCTTTGCTTTGGCTCTACTGCTATCTGGTCTATCTGCGGGAATTGTGTGTACAATGGCCGGTCAGATGGTGAGTGAGGGAATGCTTAACTGGAGTATTCGACCATGGCTTCGCAGAGTCATCACCCGCTCTATCAGTATCATTCCCAGCATCATTATCGCAGCTGCTGTTGGCAAGGACGGACTGGACAAGACATTAAATGCTAGTCAAGTTGTCCTCAGCGTTATATTACCATTTGTTTCCGCGCCGCTCATCTGGTTTACATGTTTTAATCGCTACATGACTGTCCCTATTGAGCAATCCAGTGACGTCGATGGGGAGGTTGAAGTTGCGCAAGTATCGATGCGAAACAGTCTGTTCACCTCCATTGTCGCCGCACTGGTGTGGCTGCTTATTGTGGTTATGAACGTGGCTCTACTTGTTTTGATCGGCATGGGCAAAGCATGATTTACATTGCATTAGCGTTATAGGATACCCGGTTCATAGTCTTGCAATCTCAACTCTTACTTTATAGCAGAAGCGATGGACAATATCAGGCAGTCTGAACGCTGTAAATGATCATGATTATCGCATAATGAGAGCCGTAGCCCTGGAGCTGATATGGTCATCCTAACTACTGTATAAAATCCCAGCCCAACTCCATAGCCTAAGACCCGAAATCACAGAGAAGGCCAGGCAGTGTAATTAAACCCCAGACCCCAGAGGTTAGACAAGTTATCCAAGACCGCCAGCAGCCTCTTTGACCTTCGCCTGCTCTGGTGGCTCATCAATAAACTGCGGCGGCGCAACCTCGTCTTGTAAGAAACTTGGCATCGCATCCTCTCCAATTCCCGTGTCAAACATCGACTCTTCCCCAAGCGCCTCCAGCTCAGCATCCAAATCCGCCTCATCAACCTCCTCAGGTAAATCATACGCCCGAGAAATGCTCTCCTGGATCTCATTGCCCACCTCCATTAAATCCGCCATCTCATCTTGCATGCGCTCGATCTTGTCAATGTCCACCTTGCCATACTGTTTCTTTAGTTCCTTGGTAGTCGTCTTCATGGCGTCGACAGTGGTCATCACGTTCTTGAGGTTATCTTGCATCATGCCTGCTTGCTCCATGTTCCACGATTGCTGAGAGAGCTGGTCACGTTGCCCTTCGTATTGCTTGCGGCGCTGCAGAACTTTCAGGGCCTTTTGACGAAGAGCATTTTTGCCGGGCCCATCGCGCATCTTGGAGAGTTTGGCTTGGTATGTTGAGAGTTCGACGTTAAGGGCGGAAAGCTTCACATCGATGCTAGCGACGCGGTCGTCAACCTGGTTTATGCAGGCTGGTTAGTTGAGGGTTGGTGGGGTGTTGGGAAAGAAGCTAACCTTGCTGATTGCACCATCTAGAGTGGGCTTAGGAGCCGTACTCTTGGTGCCGAATAGGCGGTTCATTGTGACGAATCGAGATCAAGCTTAGAAGAGGGGCAGGAGGAGTGTTGGATGGTTCATTTGTTGCAGGTGCTCGCTCTCTAGTCTCCCAGTCAAGAGTAGTCAAGCTCAGTGATTGAACAGGATAATTTAATTTGTACGGTTGAGGTATAATGTGTAAACGGGTACTCAAAACGTTCAACCGCAGTCACAGGCACCGATAATGATAATGCGGAGGGCGACGTCAGATTAATGCCTTAAAAGCCTCAGGCATAATTTACACGTGATTTTTAGCATTATGAAAGCTGAATGGATTAGTTCGCACATGAACGACCTCGGAGCTGATCAGTGGAAACATGATCATATAGATTGTCTTATGAATATGTAAATATATGGTATATTCTGTAGCCACCTGACATTCTACAAACCCGAAGTTATCAGATGAATGTGATCAGGTGTCTAATTTGGGCTGGAGTAGATTGGGCACTGGGCGGGACGCACCAGTTACTTCCCGCCCCACGCCAGATCTAGCGAGAACGGGAGGTACGTGGTACCCACGCCTGGGCCATGTCTCTGACCGGAACTCGAGATTGATAATCGCCAAAAAATCAAGATTCAAGTTGAAGGTCAAATCCAAATCAACACATTTTAGACCTTGTATATGTCTTTATGTTTTTTTCTCTGAATACATGCAAATTCTTGAAATTCTCCGGATTCGATTTAAGCGCACGAGGCGACGCCTCCGACTCTGCAGGACCCGGATGTGGATTTAGATTTCTAACATAATCCGATGCCGAGAGGATTTCGCAATCCCCTTAGAGATTGGCATTGAATTTTCATATAATTTAGAAATTCCAGTAAAAATGAAATAGAAAGCGTTCAGTTTGAACAATGAATATTTTATCTATTTAATGATTTCCATAGCCTGTAGTCGTAGATAGAATGGCTTTGTAAGGAGTTTGCTTATCTGCCACTTGGTCGGGGCTACGATCCCCGCGCAGATGATTACATGTGTGTGTGTCAAGTCCGCCCCTGCACTCGTGCGAATCCCTCTAACCAGCTTCATCTCTCACCCTCTTGCGCTCGCCCCTTCCTGGATGGACCGCGCTAAGAGAATAATCTAACATCCCCACAGTGTGATCTCTCTCTTATTTCTTCACTCCATTTCTTCTTCCCCTTCCCGCCCTCCCAAAAATTCACACCGGAGGGCAACTGACTACCTCTTTTCGTCATTCTCCTACTGAGGTTTGTGTGTCTCAAATTTGTCCCTTCCGGTTTCTTGCTTTCTCCCTACTGCCTATCTTACTTCTCCCCACCCGATTCCAACGATATGCGTTGGAATCGGTTCCCGTGAGATCTAGCCGCAGCTCGGGTGCACACCATCAGCTCCGTCATTGATGCAACCAATCTGGACATCGCGCTGACCCATCAGATCCACAGCGCTAGTTTCACCCCGAATCTATTCTCACGCACTTCCGACCTCTCTTCTAGAGACTCGAGTTTCGCCCTCTCCCCGCTTTCCGCGACAACCCTGTCTGTGTGTGGACAACGACGGTGGTTCACCCTGCGGAAAATTCCACTCCTTCCGGTATCCTACTGCCAACGCCCCGTGTATCATAGACCGCTCCGTTAAGATATCTCGGAGACTTACGACTTGAAACGTCCCATGAATCGTCCTTTCCGGCTATATACTCCATCATGTTCTGGCGTTTTGGGGGATATGCAAGTATCTCCAGCATCGACACCCTTCTCGAGAAACCCGGGGTCACTGTTGAGGACTTCCTGGACGAACCGGAGATTATCCAAGAACTGAAACAGCATAATACGAAACTCATAGAATATCTGCGCGAGGAACATGTCTTGAAACGGCTTATGGACTACGTGACTGCACCGAGCTTGATGAACGATGACCACGATGACGACGACGATGCCAACGAGAAAAACACTGCCAAAGATGCAGGCTCGGGAGAGCAAACAGACAAAAATGACAAGGATGAAGAACAGGAGTCGGATCCCTTGAAGGGTGTTTTGGATTCGGATGACCTGGAGAGAATTGAGAAGTCGCGCCTGAAGCACGCCTATGTGGCCTGTGAGATTCTCTCGTCGGAGACATGGACGATTCTCGAAACTATCATGGAGAATCCGAGCTACTTGCGTGACTTCTGGGGATTCCTTCGGCGGCCGGCGCCTCTCGACTCCCTACAGGCGAGCTATTTCACCAAAGTGAACGAGACGCTGCTTGATAAAAAAACGGAGGAGATGTTGGATCTTTTGAAATCGCTGGATGGGATTGTGCCGGCTCTGCTGCAGCATATTGATAACCCAATGGTTATGGACCTCCTGCTTAAGATCATTAGCCTGGAAAAGGCGGAGGGTGGTCAAGGTACTGTTGACTGGCTCCAATCCCAGAATTTGGTCCCTACTCTTCTTTCTTTCTTGTCTCCGGATCACCCTGCGTCAGTCCAGACGTCCGCAGGTGACTTCCTAAAAGCCATCATTACCATCTCCGCAAACGCGACTCCTAACGATCAATCTTGCATTGGTCCGAACAGCCTCACCCGTCAGCTAGTTTCAGCTGAATGCGTGCAGCAGCTCGTGGATGCTATGCTCAAAGGTGGTAACCCATTGACGGTTGGCGTGGGCATTGTGATTGAGGTCATTCGGAAGAACAACTCCGACTATGATCCCGAGCACCTAGGAAATCCTGAGTCGATGCCAACGCCTTACGACCCAATCTACCTTGGTAGTCTTCTTCGTTTGTTTGCGAAGAACATCCCCCACTTCATGGCCTTGATTCAAAGTCCAAAACACACTATCCATGACGGTAAAACCTTCAAGACCGTCGATCGAGGTCGCTTGAACTCTGCATGGGGCGGAAAAATTGAGCCACTTGGGTTTGATAGGTTCAAGACTTGTGAATTGATGGCCGAGCTGCTGCATTGTAGTAACATGGGCCTTCTCAACGAGCCTGGCAGCGACGAGTATGTTCAGCAACGGGATGCCGAGCGTGAGAGGTTGATCAAGGAGGGATACTTCAACCCGCTTAGGGATGAGCAATCTGGCATGGATTACAATGATACCACAGCCGACTTTACCAATGGATCAGCCCTGGATTCTGGGTCTCCCGAGGATATCAAGGGTGTGCACATGCCTCGCGCAGGCGAAGAAGAAGGATTCGAGGATGTTAGTGCCTCTGGCGTGCTTGTTAGCGAGAAAGGAGAACAGACCGAGAATGAAGCTGCTTCCTTGGAGCAGACCGCAGGCTCAGAGGGCTTGACTGTCGACACACATAACACACCCGAGTCCTCCGAATCTCCAGAATTGGCTACTGGCCTTGCGGACCAGATGGGTGAAATTAAACTTGAGGGCGAGCAACAAAATTCATCACAGGATCAAATTGAGCAACACGTGGTGTCTGCTAAGTCGGAAGATGTCCCACCCCCACTTTTTGCATCGAAGGAGCAGCCTTCAGAGTCGACTTCTGAACTTGTCGAGCAAGTCGATGGCTCCTCTGCTATCACTGAGCCTGCACAGGAAACTAGCCACAACGATGGCGGTGCGGAAGATCCCGCCGAACAGTACATTCAGTATGACACGGACGGGCGCCCGGTGGTTGGAGATTACCTCAAAATCAAGTTTGTTGAGAACAGGGTAGTCCCAACGATCTTGGTAAGTTATATGTGTAACAATGTTTCTTCTATACCTTACTAGTAGCTGACGAGATGTCTAGGGTTTCTTCTTCCGCTTCCCTTGGAACAACTTCCTCCATAATGTTGTGTACGATGTGATCCAGCAGGTTTTCAACGGACCCATGGAACGTGGCTACAACCGCGCTCTTGCAATCAATGTTTTCGAGACCGGTCACATCACCACTGCCATTATTGAAGGCCAGAAGCGCAGTGATGAGGCCCAGAAGACCAAGCAGATTCGTCTTGGTTACATGGGTCATCTTACCCTTGTCGCTGAGGAGGTTGTTAAGTTTAGTGAACGCCACCCGCCGGAGCTACTGTCACGCTCCGTCATGGAATCGGTCCTGAACCCTGATTGGATTGACTACGTTGAGCAGACACTTTCTGAGACCAGGGAGCGAGACAATGCCATTCTGGGAGGCGTTCGTCCAGACATGTCGGTTGGGTCTCGCCAAGCAGCGATCAGCTCTAGCCAGGGTTTCAGCAACTCAAATGCTCTCGCCGAAGCAGGTCTGAATGGGGGTATTGGTGGTTCAACTTTCCAAGGGTTCGACTTGAACCAAGGGAGTGTCTCGGGTGGGGCGTTTGGGCCTGGTGGTCCCTCTCTCTTAAGTGGGTTTGCAAGCTCGAGTGACGACGAAGAAGAGGATTTAGAGGATCATGACGACAGAAATGCTGCCAATGCCGACCACGGTGATTTCGAGAATGTGGGTACCCTCTTTCCGATCCAATTATGAAAAACGACTGGTGGCCGACTTGGACGTGCGCCATATCTCCTCCCTGCCCTCCCATTTCCCCTGATTTGATTACGATGCCGCCTAGATGTCTTGGGTGAGGTTAGAAGGTGCGCGCGATGGCGGCTTGCGCAGATGGCGAAAAGCCTGTGGGTAACCAAATTGTTGGTACGCTGCGCTTTTCACCAGAGATGTATTCATTTCGCCTGCGATTGTTCTGCGTCCTAGTTCCCCTTTTATCCATTCACCCCTTCTCCCATCGCCAACATAATCTGCCCATGCACCATGTTGTTGTATGCAAGGAACAATCTGAACCTTGCAAACTTGGAGGAGCCCTTGTCCAGTCGTCTTCTTGATATCGCTATCCCGAGCTGACATGAATTTTTCCAGGTATCCACAAGTTCCACAAGCCAACCAATTCCCATTTTGCCTCCACCTCCAGCTCCGTTGAGCACGGGACCCTCCCGAGCTCGGCGCCAGCTGGCAGCACGCCTCGCAGCCCAAAAACAGCAGGCAGTCGAGAATGAAGATGCGGAAGCAGCGGGAGATAGAATTCATGAGGCCGATAACCGAGACTCCCAGTGGCCGAGCAACCCATTTGTCATTGCTGGCATTGACGATGAAGCTGACGGGGGCAATACTGCGTTCCCCAACAGCGATTTTGGATCGAACGCGGACCATACCTTTACTTCAGATTTCCATGAGGGGGGGTTCAGCCCACCGGACTCGCTGTCTAACTCATCTGATGAAGATGGGGACGGTCACGCAGAGGCCATGCGCCGACGTGTCCGCGTTCCCCTTGAAGTCGATGAAGATGACGACGAAATGGGTGAAATGGTCGGACCTAGCGCAACCGGTATGATTGATTCAGATGATGAGGACGACGCCATCATCAACGAATCACTGGGTTACTCCAATCTCCCACATCCCAGTCGATACACCGGATTCCGCCGGCCACGGTCCGTGAGTTCTCATTTCGATGACGAACAAAATGACAGCAGTGATGGTGAGGATGACGGGCTGGTGGAGATTCTAGTCCCAGGCCGCAAATCCTCTACTTCAAATTAATGTCGGAATGGCCTGCCTGTCTTAATGTTACCCCCTATCTATTTTCCACGTCTGCATTTTCACGCCTTTTTACTTTGCTGGCTGCCTACATGATGATATTCTTCAACTCTTAGGGAGAATTCCATGGCTGCTAAGTTATCCATCTATTTTTCTTGGATCTTCCCTTCTATCTCTTCATACTTGGCTGGCTTGGGATGTTTACGTGCTGTCTTTATGGCGCGGCCTTTGTACATATTTTCCATATCTGGTCAATCTCTGGGGAGGACTACATCTGATGACCGTCGAGTTCGTCTGCATGGAGCTTTATATGTTTTTATGTTTTCTTTTTCGATGTTGAGCTGTTGTGTGCATCATGTGTGGGGTGATGTTTATGGGTTTGCTCTGGTTGGGGTGGCTGATGATCTTGTACGATATGTTTGAGTTAGAGAGGTGAATTGATGTTTTCAGAATTTTCAGTTCTCAAAATCATCCTAGAAAAACAACGAACTTCATTCGAAAGATGGTAGTAGTAGAGGAAGTTGTTCTAGAGCGCCTTATTTAAACATTGGAAGTATGTCTGCGGACGAAAAGAAAAGTGGGTCCCACATCCCGCTAAATCTTTCAAATGTTCGCGATTCAATGATATCACTTCCCATCACTTCTAGTTGTCAGTCTACTAGAAGTAAATATCGAATCGGCGCCAAAAGCACCTTTTTTAGTTGAGACATACCTAAGACGCTGTTGTTGGAGCCATGGCCTCGGCATCAGAGTGAGTACTCCCGAGTCATCCTACATAGCCCGGATTATATGTCATTATTTTGCCGATGCCGGGTGTCTACAATTGATCCAAACTGATACAATGGTAGAGAAACCAGAGAACACTCCCTGGAAGCTCACACAGCTCTTCTAGAATGGGTTTGCAGCCATGGAGGGCACTTGAATGAAAGCGTGTGCATAGCCCAAGACGCCCAGCGTGGCGTACATGTCCAAGTGAAAGCCGACTGGCCCACGGCAGTCCCAAAGGAGACACGGGTAATCAATGCACCGCTAGGCGTGACAATGTCCTACTATAATGCAGTAGACTACAGCTCTACGAAAGGATCGTTCTCTTCGCACGGCGTGAAACTCCCACAGGCGTTCATCGAGGCCGCGGGACTAGCAGAAACGATGACTTTTTTTCTGATGGCCCACTTCCTGCGTGGAGAGCAGAGCTTTTGGTACCCGTATCTTCGGACTTTGCCACAACCCGGGCAGATGACAACGCCGATGTTCTTTGGAGAAGAGGATGTGGATTGGCTGCAAGGAACGGGCATTCCGGATGCATCGGTGCAGAGGTATCTGGATTGGGACAAGCAGTATGATCTTTCAATCGAGAAGCTGGAAAAGGCGGGATTCGAGGGATCTGAGGCGTTTACTTGGTAAGTTTACATTGTGTGCTTTCTTTGATACGCATGTGAGATTGTGGTTTGCTGATTTTATAGGGACCTGTATCTCTGGGCATGGACTATCCTGACATCTCGCGCATTCTCCGCAAAAGTGCTATCAAATGCCGTAGAGGACTCTGATCTCCCGGAAGAGGGAATTTCAGTGCTCTTGCCGCTCATTGACCTACCCAATCATCGGCCCCTGGCGAAGGTGGAGTGGAGAGCAGGTGAAGAGGACGTTGGTATGATTGTGCTGGAAGACGTTTCGCCAGGTCAGGAGATCTCGAATAATTACGGTCCTCGAAACAACGAGCAATGTGAGTATTTACCACTGAACACAAGTGAAACGGCACAGTAGTAGCTAACTGAGACAGTGCTCATGAACTACGGATTCTGCATTCCCAATAATCCAACAGACTACCGCATTGTAAAGCTGGGCGTTGCATCAGACAGTGCTCTCGGTCAGGCGAAAGCCCGCCGTCTCCAGATGTTCCCCGAGCAAACTGCCAATACTGACGACCATTACTACATTTTCAATGTGTTCTACCCACTCCTGACACCTCAAGGTCCTATGGAGCATACGATCATCTCGCCGGCTCTGTTTAATGCCCTTACAATCATGGAAGCAAATGATCGAGAGCGCAAGGATATTCAGATCGAAGAATCAGGCATCTCTATCCAAAGAAAGTACGGTAACAGCCGTAGTACGCTAGCGGCACTTTCTCAGACCTGCCTTGAGCTCATTGCGCACATTCTCCAACTGCAAGAAAGCGCTCAGAACTTACCATCAGAGCCGGCAAACCTCAAACAAATATTTGCGAAGATCTACCGGGAATGTCAGATGACATTGGACAAGACTGCATTGATCATCACATCCTGGACTCTGGCTCGGGCGCGTGAGCACGAGCGCGACGAGAGCTGGGAGGGCATCAAGAGCCTATTGAACGAGCACATGTCGAAAATTCCATCCGGATCTTTGTCTGATGATATTGTATCTCGGACAAAGGTGCGTATTCTCGAACGGCAATCTCTTATCCCGAAAAACGGCGAACTATTTCGACTCTCAGAGCTCTTCCGTCTCTTGCCAAAAGACCTGCAGGTACCAAGTCAGAAGTACTTCATAGGTCGTGTTGCGAATGGGCCCTGGGCTACAGACCCACAAGTCATGTTTGCGCTTGCGATTAACTTCTTGGTTGCAACTGCTACGTCTGATGACCAGGAGTTACGGCCGTTGCTGTCCCCACGGTTGATTCGATGGGTGGAGCTTTTGGTCAATGAATACCCATTACCCGTTAAAGGTGCAAATGAATCTGTCTCGGCTGCTCAGCAACTTCTCCAAGCTCTTTCCAAAGACCGAGATGGATTTCTGCAATTGGCTGAACAGGATAGTGTCACCTGGTTACCGTCGGCTAGCAAATGGTTGTCTCCGGAATGGCTACAGTGGGCGTGCATTGTGGGTGATGCCGAGAGGGTGTTGATTCCCGTTGAACCACTACAGGTGCTAGTAACGGAGGAACCGACAATGGCGAAGCAGGCTGTGTTATATGTACCGCAGTTATAGATTAGAAAATAGAACATGTTGATGGGAACTAAATAAGTTCCGTAAAACGTCACATATCCCAAATAGGAAATGGCTGACCAATCAAAGTCACATGACCTTGATCCAATCACATCGCACGTAAAGGCGGATCGTTCAGCACAGAGCAGGAATTGCTAATTACCGCGAGCTCCCCCTTCCCTCTCCTTCCAGACCGCTTGACCCTCCACACCACACAGCTGTCAATCCGCCATCATGATATCCAGAGCGGCGGCTCCCTCCACTTCCTCCCTCTCCCACCTCTCATCCCGCTCCCTCCGCGCCCAGGGGGCGGCCGCCCGCTCCTTCGCGACCGTGCAAGAGGCTCCTCCCGTGAAGCACTATGGCGGGCTCCAGGACCAGGACCGCATCTTCACCAACCTTTACAATCACCATGGCGCAGATCTCAAGTCGGCAATGAAGTATGGTGACTGGCACCGGACAAAGGATATGGTTCTGAAGGGCCATGACTGGGTGGGTAGATTCGTTTCAGTTGGGAAGATCGTCCGGATTGGGCGGATGGGACAAGAATTGGTGTGCTGATACATTCTACTATAGCTCATTTCCGAGATCAAGGCTTCCGGTCTTCGTGGCCGTGGTGGTGCTGGTTTCCCTTCGGGATTGAAATACGTAAGTTGGAGATTGAAGGGGCCTCTTTGGTCCCTCAATTGCGTGGGGAGTATCTCTTTTATCTAACCGGTGGTCTTTCAATTTAGTCATTCATGAACTTCAAGGATTGGGACAAGGATCCCCGACCGCGGTACTTGGTCATCAACGCTGATGAGGGTGAGCCGGGTACCTGCAAGGATCGTGAGATCATGCGCAAGGACCCGCAGAAACTGATTGAAGGTTGCTTGGTGGTTGGTCGTGCTATGAACGCCAATGCCGCCTACATCTACATTCGTGGTGAGTTCTACCACGAGGCGACCGTCCTTCAGCGGGCCATCAACGAGGCCTACGAGGCCGGCTTAATCGGCAAGAACGCCAGCGGCACCGGTTACGATTTCGATGTCTACATCCACCGTGGAATGGGCGCCTACGTCTGCGGTGAAGAGACCTCGCTGATCGAGTCCATTGAGGGCAAGGCTGGAAAGCCCCGCCTCAAGCCCCCATTCCCCGCTGCCGTCGGTCTGTTCGGCTGCCCTAGCACCGTCACCAACGTCGAGACTGTCGCCGTCGTTCCGACCATCATCCGCCGTGGTGCTAGCTGGTTCTCGTCTTTCGGTCGTGAGCGTAACGCTGGTACCAAGCTGTTCTGTATCTCCGGACACGTCAACAACCCCGTCACCGTTGAGGAGGAGATGTCCATCTCCCTGCGCGACCTGATCGAGAAGCACTGCGGAGGTGTCCGTGGCGGTTGGGACAACTTGCTCGCCGTTATCCCTGGTGGCTCTTCGACTCCCGTCATTCCTAAGTCTGTGGCCGACAACCAGCTGATGGATTTTGATGCCCTCAAGGACTCCCAGACTGGTCTGGGTACGGCTGCCGTCATTGTCATGGACAAGTCCACTGATATTGTCCGTGCCATTTCCCGTCTGTCTACTTTCTACAAGCACGAGTCCTGCGGACAGTGCACCCCTTGCCGTGAGGGTAGCAAGTGGACCATGCAGATGATGCAGCGTCTGGAGACCGGTAACGCCCGTGAGCGTGAGATTGACATGCTCCAGGAGCTTACCAAGCAGGTTGAGGGTCACACTATCTGTGCTCTGGGTGAGGCTTTCGCTTGGCCTATCCAGGGTTTGATCCGCCACTTCCGTCCCGAGCTGGAGAGCCGTATCCGCGAGTACCAGAAGGAGCTCGGCGCCGCTCCCTACGCTGGCGGTTGGAAGCCCGAGAGCCGTGCTGAGGGCAAGCTGATCTCCCCTGGCATGTAAACGAAAAAACTCTCTCTACCTCTTGTCTCCACCTCTCTCCGCCTCTTCCTATGTTCTCTCTCCACCTTTGACACCCAAAAACGATGCAGGAACAGGTCAGTTTTTTCCTCTACACTAGATGTCTCTTAAATCTCCCTTTTCTAGGCTGGTAATGTGTACGTCCTGCCAGTGAGGGAGATTGTCTCCATATTTCCTCGATTTCCTTATACCTGTTCTATCCCCTTCCTGTCGCGTCTAGGTTCTTTCCTTTCATGTACAGTCGGTAGCAATTGACGCAATTTTATGTCTTCCATGGATCCATTGTAGATGTATAAGTCTGTAGACAAACGTCTGAATAGATGATTTTGAGGTATTATTGCAGAAGCTTGACAAACTCGCAACTTGGCTCATGTTCCAAGATCGCGGCCTGCTGAGGCCGTGATTGGACCCTTATGTCCACTCTCCCTTATTGATTTCTCTGTGTTCTGAAACCCCAGTATGGGAAATGGTAAGTGCTTTTGTCCTCCCTTATTTGGACATTCCAGTCTCTTGCTAGCCTCGACTGGCGCCCGTAGCTGTTAAAATTTAACTTGTTTATTCTGGAACTCTCATGATATTCATCTGGCTTAGACCATGTTCTTCTATTGTATCGTCCTGTAGACTCAGCAATTTGCTGTCAATACCTTTACTCAGGAAATATTGCCCTAGAAGAAAGATTTGCAGCATGAGTTGCACATCTAACTCCTCCCCTAATTTATCTGCATACAGATTATTTACATTGGGATACATTTAAGTCCTCAAACACGTGAGCATGATTTAGGGCAGGAAAATTGAGACGCAAGGGTGAAGGACTACATATGTTTACCCCGTATACACCATGTGTACTCGGCGCACATGCAAAGTGGGTCCTCCAGTCTGATTCACATGCGATCATCCATCCACACGTGACCGAAATGTCACAGCCTCCGACCGGAACAATAATGATACGATGAACCTCGGCACTGTTGCTGAGTGAGCAGCGTCGGCGAGCTTGCAACAAGGGCAGTACCACCGAATGCCACAGCCTACTTTATAAAAGAGCCCCCCCACCCGATATCGTGAAATCTGATCATATTCTCTCCCGCATTTCTAGCCTCCCCAGATTCTCCTCATCACTCCAAACCCCATATTCCATAACTCCTCTTGACGTCATGTCGTCCGGTATGTATAATCTAAGAAGCTGCTGTCAGCAAAGTCAGTCATACTTATGGAGACTTCCTACTGACGGAGAATTTACAGCTCAACAGCGCCTGTCCCAGGTTTCCTCCCACTTCAGTACCCAGAAGGGAGCAGCTTCCTTGACCCAGAAGCACCCCGATGATATTGTTGTCACATGTGCCCTTCGTACTGCTTTGACCAAGGGCGGTAAGGGTGGTTTCAAGGATACCGCTGCTGCCGACCTCTTGGCTGGTGTGTTCAAGGCTGTTATTGATAAGAGTGGCATCGACCCCAAGGCCGTGGAAGATATTGCCGTTGGCTCCGTCCTTCCTCCTGGTGGCGGTGCTACCGAGTTCCGTGCTGCTGCCCTCGTGGCTGGTTTCCCAGAGACCACTGCGGTCAAGGCCTTGAACCGTCAGTGCTCTAGTGGTTTGCAGGCTATCATCGACATCGCAAATGCTCTCAAGTCTGGAATGATCGACGTTGGTATTGGTGCCGGTGTCGAGAGCATGTCCTCACAGTATGGGTAAGTACAATGATCAGCCAGCTATTTGTCTTCCATTTCTGACATGCTTCTTCCTAGTCCGGGTGCCGTTACAGAATTCTCTGACCTCCTCGAGAACCACACTGAGGCCGCTAACTGCAAGGTCCCCATGGGTGTCCTCTCCGAAAATATGGCCAAGGACCGCAACATTAGCCGTGCTTCCCAGGATGCTTTCGCTGCTTCCTCATACCAGAAGGCTGAGAAGGCTCAGGCTGCTGGTCTCTTCAAGGAGGAGATCGCCCCTCTTGAGGTCAAGTGGACCGATCCTAAGACTGGCGAGGAGAAGACCATCACTGTCAAGGAGGATGACGGTATCCGCAAGGGCATGACTGCCGAGTCACTGGCAAAGATCCGCCCTGCCTTCGCCAAGGATGGCTCGATCCACGCTGGTAACGCCTCTCAGATTTCCGACGGTGCCGCAGCTGTCCTGCTGATGAAGCGTTCCACCGCTGAGCGTCTAGGCCAGAAAATCATTGGCAAATACGTTTCCGCTAGTATTGTTGGTGTCAAGCCTCTCCTCATGGGTATCGGCCCATGGAAGGCCATTCCCGTTGCTCTGGAGAAGGCTGGCATTACCAAGGATGATGTGGACATCTTTGAGATCAACGAGGCTTTCGCCTCCCAGTGTGTGTGGTGTGCGAACGAGCTCGGTTTGCCCATGGAGAAGATCAACCCTAAGGGCGGTGCCATTGCTTTTGGCCACCCTCTGGGCTGCACTGGTTCCCGTCAAGTGAGCACTCTGCTGACTGAGCTCAAGCGGACAAACAAGAAGATTGGTGTCACCAGTATGTGCGTTGGTACTGGTATGGGAATGGCCGCTGTTTGGGTGGCCGAGTAAATGGAATACCGTACCACTATAACATTTTGCACAGCGGTTGGACTTGTTTTCGTCCACATCTTCTTCCCGATGTATTAAATAGCTAGATACCACGACAGAATGACGATTTTTCACTTCATCCAAAATCATCTTCATCTAGCGGGACGTCTGAAGTTCTCTAGTAATATTTTCACGGATCAGTGGGCCCTGCTGTATTTGATCTAGACCTCAATAGTACATACAAAGAGGGCTCTTAGTTGATGCATGAACTATCATCTGAACTTCTTGAAAGCATCCGTGACACTCATTCCTTTTGCCACAGCTTCCTTTGCCTGTTCATCCATACTAATCAAATTTGGCATGGCCTCCAGGACGGCGCTCAGTAAATTGCGTGGAATAGCCACAACTCCTTCCATCGGATCACAGAAGATAATGTCACCCTATATAACAAAATTAGCCTATATGATTCAAGTCGTATCTGTTAAATAATCATGGCTTACCGGTGACACAATAACTCCTCCAATAGAGATAGGCACATTGCGCACAGCAGCTTTAGCTTCAGCACCTGTACCAACAGTTGAAGTGGCACGCGCCCAGATCTAATGATAATTGATTAGTCTCTGATTTCATTCGAGCGAAGTGATATCCTGTCAAATCTCACCGGAAGCTCTGTGTCTTGTAACTCCCTCAAATCTCGGACTCGGCCACCCACAACAGCAGCCTTGATGCCCAAAACCTTCATTCTCGTCGCCATGATACCACCTGTCACAGCACAGTACTGCTCATCCGGCTGTTCGATCACAATAATGGAGCCTGCCTTGGCCGGGTCCGCGTCCTGAAAGTCACCTACGTAGTCTACCCAGTGTCTGCCAGGCGGGAATCCATGTTTCTCAGGATTCTCCTTTGCAATAGCTGGCGGGTCATCGCTTTTATTGAGGAACTTGAATGTAGTTGCTGGGGCGGCGATCTTCCGCGCTGTATCGTTCCTTCCGACTATTGGAGAGAAGGGGGCTGTCCGTTTTGTGAGCAAAATATCAGAATATGTAAGACTGTTGGAGTGCTCTTACTGAGATCGGCTAAGTATCCTGCTCGAGGTGCGCTTCCTTCTGGGACTTTCTGTAGCTTGAGAAGGGCGTCTGATACCTATGCAATAAGTGTTGGAATATGGCTTGAACCAACAGCAACATGATGAAGGTATGACGAAAGGACTCACATCGCAGGCTGTGTAATTTTCGACCAAAGTTGCAAGCTGCTCATTGAGAGAAGTCATTGCGATTGCGATTGCGGGGTGCGGGGCAAGCCGAGGATAAGGTTGAAGGGAGTGATAATTGTATAGCTGCACTCGAGGGCTAGAGATTCCAACAGAAAAATAGAAAGAAAGAATTGAAGCATTCGACCTGAGGATAATATTACTGCCAATCAACTGGGGACATGCTTTTTCCGAATATCGGACTGCGACATCATCGGCCCACCCGAGAATATTCTCATTCGTTCTAAGCCCGAAATTTTCCGGAAGACGAGGTTTTGGTTTAAATGAGCTTTAAGGTGCTTGGAACTAGTAATTTCCTTCGTATTTATGTTAGTAGAGCCGCCATATTCCATATACTCAAGTGCTATACTAGCCATACTTGGAATTTGCGAAACAGTCATGAGCTATTTGCCGGGTAATGACATTGGCCTATTTTACGCTTATTTGGGCCATGGTGTAGAGATTCGAAAATCATCCCCAGAATAAACGATTGAAAGCGCTCCCTCTGATCTGAGGATAGGCTTTTGCTTACGCTTCTAGAATGTTGATTGGCGAGCAAGAACAGCAAGGGGAAAATGTGACATTTTTGTCCGTCCATTGGGTTTGAAACCTGTCGTGTAAGTCTACCCTGCTGAACAGAGATGAATTGCATAGTAACTCATTCTGTAAAATCTAAGTCTCCAGATGATCTTTGTGCGGGTTGATTGCTCAGCTATTAAGATGAAAATCTCAATTTTATTTGAAATCTGCGATTTCATCCTCATATCTCGTGATGGAATCAAGGGTTTCAACGTTCCAAACAAACACAGATACGCCCTTAAAGTTGTTTTAGCGTAGAGAGAAACCCTTGTATTATTGTTGTCTCAAGAGTGGGAAAGGTATTCCGAGGTATTGCCGGTAGAAGTATGTCCGAATTAGGAAAGAGTCAACAACTTGCCCAAGCCACTACGCAGTCAGGTCATACGGATCTCTATATTGCTATTCTATTTGTCTCTCGCTTTTAATTTGTTTCAAACACCAATAAATTGCTATCGATATATGCAGGTCCTCGATAACACCGTTGATATCTTTGACCTTTTACATCCATAGTATAGTTTCATTTGAGGTTGAGTCGGGCTCTTAGCGTGGGTTGTAGATCAATCTCCTCATCTTGACGCCTGGCGCAAGTCTCAGATCCAGGCCTACTTGGTGGAGACTTCATGAATCGCGAGAACTTCTGAGATAGTCTGGCAAGTTTAGTGCTGTTATTGCTTGGAGAGGGGAAGCCTAGAATATCGGAGAAACGTGAATACTACTAAGAATTGGAGCCAAGAAACCTCATTTAGCACTGAAAGACAGTCGTCAATGTATTCTCCTCAACCTCAATCTTAGGAAGACGGCAGGCCGAATGAGGAAGTAAACGTGGTTCTAGGGACAGACGAATTTGGAATATATGGAGGTCCTGCGTGTGAAGCTTCCTGGTAGAAAATCTCTTCTTTGAAGATAAGATCTACCGCTGTCATTGATCCAATGATCTCCAGTAAATAGCGCGGAGACAATCAAAATTGGTGATGAGAATCCAAGACGGTGCATGATATCGTTTGCTTACCAGTGAGAGTTGTGTATTCATCCCAGTTGAAGTATTCTGAATTTAAAGATCAATTACAAGCTCATTAAACAAAAAGTTTCAATGCAAAAGAAATCGTGATTCCTAACCAGTGTATTTTGTAGTAGAGAATCTAGAAATTCTAGAAAAGAGGAAGTGATGTGTTTCGCTTTTGCCGCATTGGGCCACGGCCCGCTGAGTCAGCATTTTAAAATCCTTGACCGCCTGAAAAATCCTGGAAAATCTCACCGCCCGCCGAAATTTCCCAAATCAAGCAAATTGAGGTCTTTCTTCTGGAGCTCAAACAGCATATCCATCAACATGAAGCGCAAACTGGATGCCAACGATGTCCCTTCTCCTGAGACTACAGGAAAAGACGAGCAGGAACTTGATTTCGAAGCCCTTGGGCTGGACCCACGACTGCGCCAGGCCCTGATCAAAGAAAAGTTCTCCAAGCCTACTCTTGTTCAGGCAAAGGCTATTCCGCTAGCCCTTGAAGGAAAGGATATTCTGGGTAAGTTGCCCTTCAATCACCTTCTACAACAGTAATCTCTGCTAACAGAAATTAGCCCGTGCTAAGACTGGTTCCGGCAAAACCGCTGCTTATGTTCTTCCGGTCCTACAAGCCATTCTCCAACAAAAAACTGTCAGTCAAATTGAACCCCCGCGATGAGAAGACCAAGTAACTGATTATATGGAAATAGAATGACCCCTCGTTGAAGGCAACCACTGGTCTCATCCTCGTCCCCACCCGTGAGCTTGCTGAGCAGGTTCAAAAAGTTGTCACCTCCTTCACCAGCTTCTGCGGAAAGGATGTTCGTTCCATCAACCTGACCCAGAAGGTTTCCGACGCGGTTCAACGGACCATGCTCGCCGATTTCCCCGACCTGGTTATTTCTACACCGACCCGGGTTCTCTCGAATGTCAACAACTCAGCCCTTTCGCTTGAGAAACTTACACATCTGGTGATAGATGAAGCCGATTTGGTTCTGTCATATGGATACGACGAGGATATCAATGCTCTTTCTAAGGCTATCCCACGGGGTGTGCAGACCTTCCTCATGAGTGCCACACTTACTTCGGAGGTCGATGCTCTGAAGAGTCTGTTCTGCCGTAGCCCCGTTATCCTGAAGCTTGAGGACAAGGAAGAAAAGGGTGCTGAAGTGAGCCAATTTGTGGTGAAGTGAGTTTAACTACAAATCATCCATTGGCTGTCTATCATACTAATGGAAATGCGACAGGTGTGCCGAAGACGAGAAGTTCCTTCTCACATATGTCATCTTCAAGCTACAGCTAGTTAAAGGGAAGGTCATCATTTTCGTTCACGATGTGGACAGATGCTACCGTGTTAAGCTTTTCCTCGAGCAGTTTGGTATTAAGAGCTGTGTGCTTAACTCAGAACTTCCCATCAACTCTCGACTACACGTCGTCGAGGAGTTCAACAAGGGTATTTACGATATCATCATCGCAGCAGACGACCAGGAGATTATGGGAGTAGCAAAACCAAGCAAGAAGATCCCAGAAGTGATTGAGGAAGATGAGGAAGAAGAAAAGGAGGAGAAGGAAGAGAAGGAGGAAATCGGTTCCAGCGAAGACGAAGAAGAGGAAGAGTCCACAAACAAAAAGGCCCGACCTGAGAAGCGCCGCAAGATGACTGGCAAGGAGAAGGACTACAGTATCTCTCGCGGTATCGATTTCCAGAACGTCGCCTGTGTCCTCAACTTCGACCTCCCATCCACCGCGAAATCTTACACCCACCGCATCGGACGTACCGGCCGTGCTGGTAAGGCCGGTATGGCGCTCTCTTTCGTCATCCCGGCGGAACAGTATGGAAAGCACAAGCCGACCTCAATCAGCAGCTCCAAGAAGGACGAGGCTGTTCTCGCCAAGGTTGTCAAGCGCCAAGGCAAAATGGGCCACGAGGTCCGACCGTACCACTTCGAAATGCAGCAGGTCGACGCCTTCCGCTACCGTATGACCGACGCCCTGCGTGCTGTCACTCGCCTTGCGGTTCAGGAGGCCCGTGCACGCGAGATTCGCCAGGAGCTTATTAAGAGTGAGAAGCTGAAGCGCCATTTCGAGGAGAATCCAGAGGAGCTGCGCCAGCTGCGCCACGATGGTGAGCTGCGAGCTGCTCGGGTGCAGGCGCACTTGAAGCACGTGCCGGAATATTTGATGCCTGCCAAGGGACGCAAGGGTATTTCGAAAGAGAGTGTTGGATATGTTGGCTTCAGGAAGACGAATGAGAATCGTATTCGCAAGGCCAGAGATCGTAATCGCGCGAAGGCGAAGGGCAAGAAGCCCTCTGGCGGAAGGGTTGATCCTTTGAAGACGTTCAACCGGGGTCGGAAATAGATGTTGATAAAAGTTTTGAGGTTGGAAGGATGCTAGGATCCATGCTATGATACCATTGTACAGTTATATGGAACAAAAAAATAAGAATTAGCACAGAAATTTCATTTATTGATTAATTTGTTTCTGCTATTGACCCAGACCATCACCTACGTCAATCCGGCGGGCGATATGCGTTTCATTACATCACGGATCTCGAAATGGGTAGTTGCAGCTATACTAGATCAAAGGCAACCCCGAAGATGCGTCAGTTCTAACCAGGCATACGCATGCCCTTCAGAAGGACTTCCGCCTTTTTCCATTCTTCTTCCCCAGTGTCAGCCTGCGCCAGTTTCCCGCGCATCTTTGCTCGTTTCTTATTGAGACTCCCCAAAACGTATTTAGCTTTGGATATGAGCACAGCATATGTGCGGATGTCCTGCTGATACATATGCAAGTCTGTGATAAGGTGAGCCGGCACTGTTGATCCGGGAGTATGATCCTTCAGCCCATCTGGGACATTCAGGCGCCAGCCAGGTGCGAGGTTAAGCCAGACCACGTTTCGCCAGCTCCCATTCCACTCAGGGCCATCGGGCATATCGGTATCATAAATGTGCGGCCACAGGAGTAGTGGCAACCAGTCAGAGCATCCTTCCATGTCCAACCATTTCAGGCAGTACGTCTTGCGAGAGAGTTGTTTGAGGATATTTGTTGCATGGTATTGTGTGGTCTTAATATCCACGTTGATATCCAAGTAGGATTGCACATGGCGGGTGGTGTAAGGTTTTGGACAGGGCCAGTAAGCGAGAGAGAGGTGGGTGATTTTGGGTAGGTGGGAAAGCAACTTCAAAAGCTCCGACCAGTCAGCTTCAATGGGGGCTGGGTGCGCGAAAGAAAGGTATTTCAGATTATCGAAGCACAGTTGTTGGCTCATAGGGCGAGGAATGTGACTTTGGTCGTATTCTGGTTCAGAAACATCCCAAGAATCCGGAACAAGCTCATCGGATGCATTTTCATATGAATGACCCGCTGAGTGGATATCCCGGAATATCCTGTTGAGCTTCTTGAACGAACACCAACGCCCCAGAGAATTTCCAAGATCTAGTCGATTGCCCATTGCATCCGAATCAGAAATATAAAGAAAGGCGTCGATGTCCACCGAGTCCACCTCATTCTCCCTCAACGGGAAAAGCACAGTGAGTCCATTCGTGGACTCTGCCAATGGCTGTTCTGTCTGGAACTGAGCCAGATAGCTTAATAAGACCGCTTTAACATTACTGGGCAGCTGGGACAAATACAGGCCGTCGTACTGGACATGCCATGCCCAATTTTGGGCCATCGATACCAAAACCGTATGCTTGAGGCTTCCTTTCCTGGGAAAGGCAGCACCGGGGAGCCTTTCCAAGCGGTGAATTTGTTGATTGGTAGGTACAGGATTCTTGAGTCTGTCCGTATTTCGATCCACACTGGTGTTACTCCCAGTAGACCAGCTCATCGGTGCTGGAGGGCCTGGAGCAACACGTAGGCGACGAGCACCGATGGGAGTCCGGCCTGCATTTGGCCGAGGGCGCGGTTGGGAAGGTTCAGGAATCTCCAGAATTTCCCGCAAAGCTGGTGGGACAGATCGTTGCGACGTGAAAGGGCGTGAAGAAGATGAGTGAGTGATATCAGAAGAAACATTTCCTTGTGTGAGTCGTAAATGATTGATTAGGTCGTTGACTGATGATGCGTCGTCCACAGAACGCTGCGGAACCCTGGCGGGTCCCGCGGTACAAAACCGGGCATTATCATTGGCTCTTGATGATTCGAGCGAATGATGTGGTGTATTTTTCGGTTTTGTATATTGCAGCGATGTCCTGTGCTTTTTGGGCATCGAGGACGTGTATATTTAGAAGAATATATAATCGAGTTGATGCCTCGAAGTTAAGAGTTCTTTATGTATTGCCAGTCCCTAATTGACCGCCTTCGTATCTGATTCTAATCCCGCATCTTATCGTTATCGTTTTCGTTATCACCCCCACAACTTGATTAATTCAAGGCGGAAATGGTCCGCCATTGAGTCAACAGCTGGTTAAGTGCAATGTTGATAAGAGGAAATTCACAAGGGCACGAAACCGCGATAGTCACGAGGTGCATGCACACGGGTAACTACTACTTCGGTTATCTCGGATTTTTGATCCAGTCTAGATAACCTTGATATTAGTTAAAATGAACATTTGAATCTAGCCTCCCCCGGATCATACTGGTATGTTAAAAGTTAGTCAAATCTTCGTTATAGCTTATGCCCACCGTAGCAGGTAGTGATTCGTGTAGTCTCATTTCCAGCAATCTCCAAGGATCTTCACGTTAAAAGACTTAAATCTATTGAATTTTGTACACTATTTACATGTGATATACAGTTTTGGATCAGATATCTCTGACCCACGAATCGTCTTTCATGTGCCCTTCTCGCTTCGGGCCTTCCTCAAGCCATGTCTCCACAAGACCCTGCTTGGGGTCCTCATCTGGCAAGCCACGGGATCTTCGTACATCTAATACCAGGTTGCGGATCTTTCGAGTAACCTCCTTGCGTAACTCCACGGCCTCCTTGTTGTTCAACAGCTCGTCACTCAGTACCCCCACAGGCAGGTCTCGAGATTGAGCGTCCATGGCTTCCACCTTGGATTTCAGTTTCTGCCAGCGCGACCTCATATCTCCAAACACAACTTCGGTATCAACTTTTGATCCAAAAGTCACATCGACCTTCTTGCCCGGTCGAGGCAAAAATCGGGGAAATTCTCGACTTTCATGCATAACATCGTCAATTCCCTCAATCCACATCGGTACTACATCCGGACACTCCTTTGCTTCCAGAATCAGCCGTGCGACTCCCCACTTGAAGTAACGCATGGTCTTGCGCGGAGATTGATGGATCTTGCCCTCGGGGAAAATATGGACCCAGGAGTATGAATTGCATGCGTATGCGGAAGGCGCTAGGTGTGCATCTTCACCGTTGGTGGTATATGCGACGGAAAGGTCCGAGAAGGGGTCGACACAAACGTTCTGAAGGTTGAAGTGCTGGCGTTCTGGAGCAGCGCGGTGGTGGTCGACGGGAAAAGGGCCCTTGGACAGTAATCGAATAGCCTGGGTCATCGCCGGTTGACCAAGTCCACCGAATTGCGAATGAGCGGAACGGTGTGTCGGTAAAACTTGTCCCATGGTGAAGAAGAATGACAGTGGTCTGCAGAAAGTCTCCGGTTAGCAGTATATCCCCAGCTAATATCCTGCTCCCCTCACGCACCTTGTCTGAAAACAAATATCGTGACTACCGAAAGACCACCTTTTATTCCAGAATCGAGCTGGTAGTATTCCCCACAACAACGGATCATCCATGCTGTTAGTTGCGACAGGATGTCAGCTGTTATCGCGCGCCGAAATGTAGGGAAGCGCCTCGTCATCAAGGCTATTGAATGAAACGTACACACTGATATGATTCGATACTAACGATGACGGAATAATTAGCAACCGGGCGCACTCAATTCATATAGGGTGGTGAGGAAGTACCTGTGATCAATCCTCTCGTTCTTTGCGATGGATCCCGTCTCGAGTCCAACAACTCCGTGAAGGCCTCGGCACCATGCGCTTCGGCGTTACACAAACCTGACAAAAATGCACGACAGAGTCCAGCCACACCCCACATAGTCATGTTGGACACTGTCCGCCAAGGGAGAGACGGGCAGTCGCCCGTCGCGCCGGAGTCCATATTATTGATTGGAAGGACGCGACTCTAGAGAAAATCCATATACCGGGCCCAAACGGGCGAGGGACACACAGTTCAGTCAAGGAACGCCTTGTCTGACAAATTTAGACAAGTTGGAACAAGGAGGAGAGGAAAGCAGACTGCCAAGTTTTGGCAAAATGCGTTTATCCATTGTGATCACATGACTGAAGCCGGGGTAAGCCGTGGAAGTTTTGCACCGACAACCATACAATTATCATGATTACATTGAATTAAAGGGTACTAGAAGTAAGTCAATCCTTGAAAATCATATCTCATGAAATTTATCTCCTAGATAGAAGAATAGATTGATCTCAAGTGTTGAAAGTAAACGTTGTTACTACAACATAAGTATATGACCGACCGCACGGGCCAATTGCAACTCCGACTTCGAGCACGATTTTCGCCGATTCCACATTTCTCAGCATCACCACATCAACATGTTCAAGCCCACCCAGTCCCTATTCGGAGGTCTTCTCTGGTAAATCACATATCCTATTCATCATGTCTTGCCTTGGAAACTAATATGTTCATTTTCCAACAACTAGGAAGACCCCGTGGCGCCTGTCCTCGCCCCAGAAGGCCCGGCAACGCAAGCGTTTGCGCGCCGTTGACCGTGTCGTCGATACCGTCAGCGCTGCGCTCGCCCGGAATGGTCAGAACACCAAGGCAGTTGAGCGCTGGTATGCGGAGATGCCCCGTGAGGAGGAGATGCTGCCCAAGGACAAGTACACTATCTTCGACAAGAAGGAAAAGACCTACCGGAAGGGTATTCACAGTATGTCCATTCCCGAACTACTTTTTTTGGCACCTTCATGGTAATTGGGCCATGTTAACTGTTTTACCTTCTTACAGAGCTCCCCAAGTGGACTCGTGTCAGCCAGCGTGTGAACCCTCCTGGATTCTAGATTATCATCGGTCCTATCTTCCCTAACTCTTCGACGGACACACCCTCTACGGCTCGCCAATACGGGAACTCGAGTCAGATCTGTATTATACACCCGACGCTCCGCCGCTACTACTGCATTCAATGGCTGGTCTGGGCTCAAATCACATTGGAAGGATTTCCGGAGTTTTTGGCAATTGCGAAAACGCGGCCGCTCTGACAGAGGATGCCGGCATTTATACATGTTCTATTACCCAGCGCTTAGATCAATTTTATTCACAATTCAATAATCTTTCAGAAGATGATGTCACTTCAGCATTCGACACTCGGAAGACTTCTATGGATAGGGAAAATGACTGTGGTAGGTAACGATATCAGACATGAAGAGATCGCATAGCAGATCTCCATTTACACCAAGAACAAAAGAGACGCGCTTGGTGAACACTAAACCCACTATTAAGTCGCTGGTGGGTTTTCCTCAACTCCCCGGTTAATCACCTTCAACGATGCACGTTGACAATATCTGTTGACATTTGTGGCGAGCTCTTTCACTCGATTCCGATTAACCCGGCCCTCAAATAGTGCTTTCCGAAGGCGAAATCCACGCCGGACTCTCTGCCAGTCTTCAAGCTGTTCTTGCCATCCTGCGACTCCCTCATACCATGCGTTCTTTTGCTTGGTCGACATCTCGAATCCCTGGGGTGGCTTGGGCAGGATCCAGCATGCGGGGTCGATATGCCCATCCGGTGGCTCCTCAACAGAATCCTCATACAGGTCCACTTGGCGAACGGCATCCCGAATTCCAGAAGCCCTTCTCCGTTGATTGATCGCGGCGCGCCAGCAGTCGATTCGTGGCATATGGGCTCTTTTACGCATAATGTCAGGGTACTTCGGCCTGGAGGGCAAGTCTGGCTCCGGGTAGGGGACATTGTAGCGCGGGTCGCCCCTGTGCCTGCGTGCGTCGGTGGAGACTCTTGAGACGGGGTCAATAACTATCCAAGTCTCCCGATTCAACCAGTGATTTGCAAGCAAAGTGAATTGGTACGGCTTCTGACCAGGCGTCGTTTCGTTGAACATCCATATTAGTTTTCGATCCAGCTTATCGATGAGCCGCAGCTCCCAGTCACTCAGCTCGTCAGAAGCCAAGCTGTCTTCCAAAGCTAAGTACTGCGAGGGCCGATGGCCTGGGTGTTTTGCGTGAGGGCTTTCTCGGCCCTGCCAGATGTCCAAGACCGTGCGCCTATCAGAAGCAGCCCGTGGCTCATGCATGGAGTGACACATATTTGCTGGGTCCCGCGGTGCCTCGAGTGTTGGGTTAAGCCGCGACGGCTCAGTATAGAACAGGGGCTTTCTCCTATTGGCAAGCTTATCAGGTGAAACCAAAATCCCCTTCCTTGCAAAGCTCGACTGTAAGGCTAGCGATAATTTCCCGCTCGGATGTTTCACGCACTGGCTGCGCTGGCTGCTTTTCTTCATACGCTTCCCTGAGATGCTATCGGAGATACCTTGCTCTGAGATCATATCAGCCAGCATTTCAGTGATGGGAGTTCCAGGAGGGCCGGATGAAGCTCGCAGATCGTGCAACACGGATTTTGCGGCTTTGACCTGCATTTTTGCGGCCCATATTCGACGCCTCCTAGCGTAAACACAGCGTGAAGGATGTTTTGAGGCTTCGGCCTCTCTGAGCACAACTGGTAGAGGCTCGGTTATTCTAAAGCAGTCGGGACCATCGGACTGTCCCAAAAATGAGGGACATTCATTTCGACTGGAATATCTTCGCTGAGACATTTTCCGCCTAGCAACAAAAGTGTCTTTCAAGATGGAGCATCCTGCACCGTCAAGTGATGCAGTTGATGAGCGGATATCATTCCTTGCATCATACCAAACAATACCCTCCAATCGTTCTTGGGATGTACAGGCGTTGAACCTTGAATGTCCATGTCTGTGTGCTTTTGGTGGTGCTAATAGCACGCTGTGCTCATTTTTATCGAATATCTTCCATGAATTTTGTGGCAGTGGATTGAAATTCTCCTCGACTGGATTCGTCACTGTCTCTGCCAACAGAACTTGATCAGGTTCCAAGGTTTCAAGTAAAACTCCATGACACTCTGCTCGCGGGCCCGGATTCCAGATTGCATCTGCTGGGGGTGATTCATAGCTCATCAGGAACTTGGGCAGCCATCCCATTCGTCGTTGAGCTCTGCGTCGAGCCTGAAGCGCCTCTTGGCCAGGGTCCCACCATATCCACTGATAATCTGTTCTCGGGGATTCCCAAGCCGTGTGCTCTCGAAGTCTGGCGAACAATTTGCGGAAGAACAATTTGTTCTTTTTGTGGGTTTCAAGGGTGACCCATCCATACCATGTTTTTGCAAATCGAGTCTGAGGTGATCTCCCCTCTGCCTGCACCCTGTATTCAGTAAACGAGCGAATGAAATCTCCGGTCTTCCAAATCAGAACAGAAAGAATAAATATCCCCACAGTTCCCGCGAACAGCTCCACAAATACTATGGGATCAATGCGGGCGGGCGTTTCGATTGGTTTGGTGTATGGTCCTTTGTGGAGGCGAGGAGGAGCAAGTGAGTGGCTCTGTCGAATCGATATGGGCGCCATCTGCTGAGCGCATGGTCCATTCAAAGACAGATAATGATTTTGAACATGGTCCCAGAAGAGAACCAGTACATTGGAATGGGTTGAAACGTTCCTGTCACAGTTTTCGGAAGGGAAAGCACCCTCCATAATTCCTACCTTCTGCGAACACGAGAGCATGGAATTTGACTCAAGGAGGAAGAGGTCACAACGCGATAGAAATAGTCTAGTATTTTCTATTTCACTAAGCCCTCTAGATACTAACTGTTCTCTATAGCATTCCGCCCTTTTCCTTCCTTGCCTTCTCTCGCTCATGCTGAGCAACGGCTTCCGCCATCGTTTTCTTGGGCGCCTCAAGACCTGTCCAAAGTTCGAATTGGTCATACGCTTGAGCAAGAAGTACCTCAACTCCCGTAACAGTTTCCCAGCCCTCATGCTTTTGCGCCGCATCCAGAAGGGGTGTCTGCCGAGGCTTGTAGGCCATCTCAATGCAAAGTCCCCGAGCACCAAAGATTGAGGAGAATTGAGATTCAGTGGTAACGCCCGCTGGAATAGTTCCAATGATCACATCTGGCATGCGAGGTAGCTCTTGCAAGTTTGGAAGGATGGTGATGTCAAACACAGATTCGAAGTCCTTTTTCACTTGCTCCGCCCTGGACATCGTTCGATTGACGACGTAAATTTGCTGAATTCCTGATTTATACAGGGCGTATAATGCAGCTCTGGATGCACCTCCAGCTCCGATGACTAGTCCAACTTTTGGCTGTTGATTGGTCTTGGTCGAATACTCAGTGATGATGGTGTGCAGTCCAGACCAATCAGTATTTTCACCGGTGACTGTGCGACTGTCACCACTCCCCTTGATCACGAGGGTATTGATAGCCCCAATCAGCCGGGCTGTATCGGTCTGATCGGTACAGTACTTGTGGACTTCCAACTTGTGTGGCATAGTCACACTTCCACCACCGAATTGTTTGTCCATAATCAACTCCGCAGCTCCATCGATGTTCGGTGATTCGCGGATATCGTAAGTATGAGGAAGATCATAATGTTTGAAGCCGGCATTGTGAATGGTTGGTGAAATGCTGAATGATATTCCACTGCCGAAGATGTGGAATTTCAATGGCGAGACGACGTCGGTTGGAATATTTTGCTGCACCATTATTGATGAAGAAATGAAGATTGAGCAGGAAATAAATTCAAAGCGAATCCAAAATTTATGAAAATACACTTGCGAGATAATGTTGATATGAACATGATCTAAATGAGAGTTTCTCGGTTATGAGTTTAGCCTTGGTTCATGGCCCTTCGCGGCATCCGAAGCAAATCGTATCGGATATGACCAACTCCGTCTATCAATCCCATCTTCACTTTATTAGCAAGCTAGTTCTGTCTATTTGATGAGAAGCAGAAGCATCAATAGCCTCAACCGTCTTTACCTTGCTCAAAATCCACGGTATTGCAACCATGTCGCAACAACAAGAGATGACCCTGCACCTTGTTGGAGTTGGTGTCACACATTCAATTGCACCAAAAATGCACAATTATATTGCGAAATCTCTCGGTCTCCCATGGATATTCTATGCGACTGAGTGCCCGACAGTAGAGGAACTGCTCAGTCTGGCCAATAATCCTACCACTGCCGGTCTTGTTGTCACAATGCCCTACAAAAACTCCATCCTGGAGCATCTCTCTGAACGGGATGAACTAGCAACCATTATCGGCGCATGCAACAATGTCTACTACAAGGATGGAAATCCTAGACGACTCTGTGGTACCAACACCGACTGGCGAGGCGTCAAAGGCTGCCTCCTTGAGAAAGGCTCGGAGCAAGAAAGACCTTCTGCATCGACCCCGGCATCTGCCTTGATTGTTGGCGCTGGTGGTGCAAGTCGTGCAGCTGTCTACGCTCTTACAGAGCACCTCCACTGTCCGACAATTTACGTGTTGAACCGTGATGACGAAGAGGTGGTGAAACTCATCCGGGATTCAAAGAAGCTCCCAATCATTCCCAACATCATCCATGTCAAAACTCTGGAGCAAGCAGAGAAGCTATCGAGCCCTTACTACATTGTCGGCACTGTGCCTGATTTTGAAGCTAAATCACCGTCTGAGCTTGCAGTTGCTTCTATGTTGAAGCATTTCCTCTCACGACCGGAGAAAGGGGTTGTGCATGATATGTGCTTCAAACCGAGAAGAACCCGAATGATCAAGTTGGCAGAGCAGCTTGGATGGCCTTGCGTCGAAGGAACACATGTTATCGGATATCAGATTGAAGAACAGTGGCGCTTGTGGGCTGGGGAGGAACTTTGCAAGAAATTAGATCGCGAGGGAGCATGGAATGTTCTTCTAAAGGCTGCGGAGGAAAGCAAGGGTATCAACTTCTAGAAACTCCAAATGTTGAATAGCAACAGAAATACAATAGTTACATATATACTACTGAGATCATTCAAACTTCAAATAGCTATCATAAAGTTCTCCAATCCAGAGATATTCCAAGTTGTGGACTTAAAATCTATGTAGAATACAAGGACCTGCGAAGCCGACGCAGAAAATGACAGCAAGAGCGGTAAACAGTACTTACTCGATGCGTCCCCAGCAAAGGTTCCCTATCGCCATCCTGAACTTTCTTGCCATTCAGAACGACGAATCACTAGGGACGCTGTATATCATGTCATAGATTAGGTAATATGAAATGAGGGGTGGCGATACAACATGTCTCATCGGTAGTGACCTTTACCGATGGCGAATAATCCGATTATCGGACTGGTAACCCCCGCTGAAATTGGAGTATATAGACTGCTGCCAGCGTTTCTTGTCAACAATTGAGGGAGAAAAGCCTTGAAACAACATTGAAGTCTTAAGTGATTCCCACAAACAAAAACAAAATGGTCGATCTACACTCTCTACCTGCCGGCACTTGGCCCGAAAATGCCATCCGCAACAATGGCCCGGATAATCTAGTTCTCGAGCGCGCTAAGCTGCGTGAACTCGCAGAAGGGTGGCCATGCTACCGGTATGTAACTCACTTCCGTTATGTTATTCACCTTTCTAATCAAATCATCCAGTGATGCCTGCGAATGGGAGAATTTCGAGACAATCTTCCATGAAGACGCGCATGTTTACACCACCTGGTCTGGTCGCGTTCACTATAAGGACTTCATGGCAGCCTCAAAAGCCGGCATGGACAAGGGTGCCTTCATCATGCACCGCTGCCATGGAGTGACAACTGACATCACACCTGATGGAACTCGTGCTATTACCAAAATGAAGGCGACCATCACTCAGCGTTTCACCATTGACGGGTGCGAAGTCGACGCCGAAGCTGACTGCCGGTTCTGGTTCTGCTTTGAGAAGGTAGATGGACGTTGGGGTGCTCGTTTTGTTCGTCACTGGTATGAGAAGGATAAGCTGCTTCCTGTCAACCCGAACAAGATTCCACAAGTGAACGAAGAGAAGCTTAACTCTTACCCGGAAGGGTATAAGTGTCTGGCGTATTGCCAGGAGCTCACTATGGGTGTGACTGTGTTGAAGGATATGCCAGGACATAGACGCCATGTTGGAACTGCATGTGGGGACAAGCACGATCTCTTGTATAAATTGTCTAAGGATTGGCTGGATGGAAAGAGCATTGATGTATAAATTGAAATTTATTTATGTCAAGATGACTTAAGATGTTCAAATGTCCACTTGACTTTAGATATTAGCAAAAAGTTCAAAAATAGGCCATGCAATGGACTTCAAATTTTTAGAATTGAACACATTGCTGAATGCTATTTACATGGCTAATTCAAATTTAATCTCTCTGCTAATTTCTTCCACGCCGCAATACCCCTTGTCGCATGCTCGTCAGGGACATGCTTGCCTTCTTCAGACATGGTTCTGGAGAATAGCTCCATGGATACAGGACCTTTGTAACCCAAGCCATGAATGATTGCCTTGGCCACATCCTCCACTGGCATGTAAGCTCCACGATCCTCTTCGTACATGAAAGTCCTCGCGTTTCGCGACCAGCTCATCCGCGCCGGTTGACCATCCACATGGAACGGATGACCAGCAACGAGGGGCGATTCCATGCGCTCCGCATCAACAACCTGAATATAGAAAACCTTTGCAAGATCGACCTCCTTAACTAGTTTCTCCATCGACGCCTTGAGATCTGCATCTGCATTGGGTGTCTTGCCTGTCGGCGAAGCCGGATCCGCCCACACCCGGCCAGCGATGTTGAAAGTATCGAGACACATTCCAAAGTTAGACCGATCAACACGCTTGACCACATCCCACAATTTTTCCCAGGTATCGACATAGGTACTCCAGCAGAGATTCTCATATGCGAAGCGCACTGGGGGGTCCACCGCGGCACCCATGTCTGCCACTTCGCGCAGGTCGGCGGCGATGATATCGAAGTCACCCGTCAACTGCTCCGCGGGTAGGAAGTTGGCAGGGATTTGAATTGTATCAGTGTCGAGGGCTTTGGCAATCTTCAGCCAGAGTTTCATCTTTTCGATCAACTTCGCATGTTGATCCCTGTCCTTGAGACCTTCGTAGAACAGGAAGGGCTGGAGGCCGATGATTTCTAGACCCCGGCTTTGACACGCAGATTTGACGTATTCTGCGGCTTCCAGGATATTTTCGGATGTCGGTATGTCATTTCCTGATAACTTGCGGGCGGCATATTCCAAGTCTTCATAGAAGATCTCCATGCCTTTGAACCCCGCTTTGGCGGCTTGATCGAACTTGTAGTCGAGGTCGTGCAACCAAGCACGCCCGAGGGACACACTCATGATGGCAGGTTGGTAAGACATCTTGTATTGAAAATTGTGGTATTATTTACTTTAGCATATGTTCAACAATGTATAGTAGGAATTAGATGCCTTTAAACAGGACGTTCAACCTCATAGCCTCGGCTAGGGTAAAGCTTTTACCCCATCGGTCATGATCATTTCCGAACACTGACACTCCAATGACGCCTTTCAAAGCTAGTTTATAATGATATGATTATTAACTTTACAAGACGCATTAACGAATCTGTTGCTGATGAGCAAGACTTGTCATAATATAGCCGGAGCAAAGTTATTGATGAACAAATCCATACTTTATGGATTGTTCCTTAATAACACGCCGCATTACATGAACAGGAGCAGGTCGCTTTGTAAATATCTCATACTGGGCGATACCTTGTTCGATCAAGACTAACAGCCCACTCACGACAACCCAGCCTTTTGATGCACGACAGAGCATCTGCTCCATCAGTTGTGTTTTGAAAGGCCCGTAAGCAACCTAGGCAAATATCAGTTCTGATTTTGGTTATAAAGGTGAAAAACAGCTTACCTCGACGAAGACACCACCAGTCCGACTCTCAAGCCAATGATCCGGAATTTGAAACACCACTGGATTTTCACTGCCGATTTGGAATGGCGGAATGCATGGTACAACAATAGTTGGCAGACGGAGATCTGCAGGCCAAGGATCTTTTGACTGAAGAACATCAACTTGCAAATTGACCCCAGGCTTGGATTGGGCCCAGTGGTTCCAATAGTCTGCAAGCCTCTGCGCATTTTCGGATGTGCGATTATAAATGCAAATCCGTCGAACGCCGAGCTCATGACAAGCGTAGATCGCTGCACGAGCCATTCCTCCGGCGCCCACAACCAGGGCCGTGGTTCCATCCCGCACTGCATTTGCCGGAGAAAGATGTTTGTCGATGCAATCTCTGATTCCGATATGATCAGTGTTATAGCCCTTCCGGATGGTGGTCCGTAATCCATTCAGCTTGTATTTCTGCTCCAAGACAACTGTATTGACTGCCTGCATGTCCTTCGCGTCGGGGGTGATCTCGTCAATGAAAGGTAGGATTGCAGATTTGAAGGGAAGAGAGACAGTAACGCCGCCACGATCTACATCATCCAGAAGTTTATGGACGGCGCTTATATTATCAGCCTGCATGATGTCGTATGTATGCGGGAGTCCGCAGTAATCATACGCTGCATGGTGCATTTCTGGAGAAAGACTGTACTTGACACTCTGGCCGAAGATGGTGAACTTCTTCCTGGGAAGAAGAAAGAATGATGACATTGCCTGCTGTGCTTGCTGCACAGTAATCCCATTAAACTGCGAAGAGGGCAGTACTGTTGGTGACAAAGTAGGATTCAAGCAGATCGAGGCTCGGCCAAATGGTCCTGTGTTGTATGCAACCACGGGAATATCGATAATTGCGGCTGCCTCCTTAAGAAATGGAACACATTGGAGGTTATCCTGTGGGGATTCGGATTCGCCGGTGACGCGTATGGCACTTAGTTGCAACGTTCGTGTTCTTTCATGGAGAAGCCGGGGTGTTAAAGAGTGTTTTGATGATCCCACTGATGCTTTTTCGTGGAAGTCAACGATGATCTTGGTAGCCCCTTTGGAAGAGTTGAGCTTCTTGATGGTTTCGTCATTGCAGTCGAATGATATAATAAGGGCGTCCGGAGCAAGGCGAATAATCAATTCCAGCATGCTCTCATATGCCCGGTTATCAAGCGAATTGAAAGAAACGGCAGCCATGTCGATAATAATTGTAACCCGAGAGTGTTTTCGTAAAATTGCCATATGTCGTGAGAGTCTTGCTGCTAGTCTAGTAGAATGCAGGTCATGGGGAGTAATCACTAGGGCGATAGCATCGGCACCACATTCTAGCGATTCAAAGTCTTGGCGTGTCTCATCAAGCCATGCCGGAGAGACCTGCAGGGAAAATGTATTTTCCCCAGAAAATGGGTCTGCCGAGAAGGTTGGAGGGAGGAGGCTTCCAAAGATGCGGCGTAGGAATGCCACGAACAAACGCTCGGTTTCCTTTAATTTGAGGTAGGCGGGCAGTGCCTGATCCGGCTGTCCCTGGGTGAGATTAAAGAAGTTGAAGTTGGAGCACGATTCAAAGAACTCGTTACCCATTTTGCATATTCGATCGAACTTTTCCGGGCTCGTGGTGACAAATTGCCGAAGGTCTTGTTCATCTCGTCTTATATATACAACAGGGTGTTGTTGAGCAAACTCGACCAGCAAAGTCTGCTGTAAGCGACTGGCAAAACCCCCAAGACCGACGATGACACAATTCTTATCATATTTGGTGAGAAGTTCTCGCGATATCTTGAGCTCGATCTCTCGGTACTGGGCCAGCCCGTGGCGAGCAATGAATTCTTGAGGTGAGGACTGGGCTTCTTGTTGAAAATAAAAGTCAAAGTCGATAAAGCGTCGTCTCAAGGCGACTGACGCTATGATCCCCAGTGTTTTTTTGCCAGCACCGAAGAATCCCACAAGTAAAATTGTAGCATGTGGATCGTAGTCTCGATGAAAATGAAGAGCCTCATCTTCGGGTCCTAAGGAAGGATTGCTAGACTTCCCACCAGTAATCGAATCTCTGACGGGATTCATTTTGACGCACGCCAAGACTTCATATAACATGTACTGTGCTGCCTCAGAGAGGAAAAGAGTGAAGCCGAGGAATCTTCATTCAGATGCCAAAAAAAGTGGTGGGGTGTGGTAGAGATCAAAGGGCAATTTCTGCATAAGAATGATGCAAGTTATCTAGGGGACTCATCTTAAGCAATTTATCTTTGCTTGTATAAATAGCAGGGAATTTTCAGGGTCTTCCAATCCCATCGCCGCTGAATATCGCATGCGGCAACCATTCGGTTAAAATCACTACCGATCACATGACCAAATCCACCCTTGATCGGACCCAATGATTCAATGACTGTCGGATATGTATGCTCAAATCCAGTTTTGAGATGCGTTGAGATGTCAAACCAACGTCCGTTGAAGCGGCAGCGCATTTATCGTGCATGTGATCAATGCCGTCGACGCAAATCTAAGTGTGATGGAGAACAGCCGGTATGCTCCATTTGCAGTCAGGCCAACCGGGCCTGCACCTATGAGACAGGTGGAGGTCGACGTGGGCTTCCATCTGGCTATGTGCGGAGCCTAGAGATATTTCTGGGTTCGATGCTCAAGCAATTTCCAAGTAGTGAGAGTACAATGCATACTCTACTTCGAGATTCTCGGGGCAACGGCAATATTCTGACGAGCAAAGTTGCAAGCCAGTCGGTTTCAACTTGGCGAAAATCCAAGCTCCATCGCGATATATCCCAATTACTTACCTCTGGTTCTGAGGATGGTTCTTTTGATGATACAGAGTGGGAGCCGGTGGAGCCGCGGGACAATGAAGATACCCTGGACGATCATGATACCTCATTATTAAATCCAGAACCTGGCATTGTCGACACCGTTCAAGAGATCCCAAAAGCAATGAAACAGCCTCATGATTTTGCCGGAGTGCAAATACCAGACAATACATCCGATCTGGTGGACTTTTACTTCACCTACACCCATTGCTGGTTTCCCATACTTGAGCGACGTTCAGTTCTACGTGCGATGCATCAGGGCAATGATCATAATCCTGGAGATTCCTCATCTCGAATGGTGCTATGGTCATTGATCACATATACATCTGCTATGAAAGGAATATCCAACACTGGGACGCCACACTTATTTTCTCTTCAGCTCGCCATCGAGCAACAGGCTTTAGCACATTGGGAAAGCCTGGACCTCGGTCACATCCAGGCCATGTTGATTATTGTCCTAGTGCATATAGCCATGGGAAACATCAGTCAGGCATGGACCCTTGCTGGGCAAGCCACGAGAATGCTAGCCACCTTACCCTTATCAACAAGACAGCCTCGTTTCAATCATACATTCCAAGGCTGTGTTCTTCTAGACAACATTCTATCGGCTCTCCTCGGTCGAACTCCCGGTTTTTCTCAAGAAGAACAATTGGCATGTGATCTGGTTGAAGAAGATGATTTGGAGGAGTGGGATGTCTGGTCTCCGTCTCGCCCTGCTGCGGACGCTACAGGACGGAGAATACCGTCCACCCCCATGCGAGCATTGAGCACATTCAATCTTGTTCAGCAGCTCATGCAAAGTTTAAGCCAAATATTATATCAGCCCTTAGATCCTATTCGTGTTAGGTATCTTCTCGACGACTTACGACAAAAGCAAAGTATCATCTCACGAAGCCATTCCTACAACAACAACAACATACGAAATCATGCCAGCCCTCCTCTTTTGATTCTTCACCTTACATCAGCATTTACAACACTTTCTCTGTGTCGTAGGTTTGAGCCAGTCTCACCTGCAATGACAGAATTATGTTTGAGCACCATTCATCATCTACTCGACACGCTTGATCATTATCGAGAGATAACCGGCACAGTCGGCTCTTCGCCTCTCACTCTTTGTTTTGCACTCCAATGCCAAAAATGTCTCGATATATCGAGTTTCTCTGGAAAAGAAGAATTACAGACACGCATTTCTAAGTTCCTGTGTCCTCTCAAAACATGCGACTATGAATGGACTAGTCACTTCCAACACCCAACCCCTCTTCCTTCGATCGAACAAGGCACTCGGCTACCTGGGACTCACAGCGGCTCAATACCCATATCTAGCATTGAAAACATACCCAACTCATCTAACTTGACTGCTTTTCAGCCTCAGGACACCTCATCGGGCGTGGGTCTGCCAACCCTCTCAGCATCCGCCGAACTTTTTACACCGCACTCTGTCGGTAGAACGGGAGATGTCGAAACATATGATGCCCTGTTTGAGGAAATGGTTATTTCCTTTCCTGCTAGCAGGTTCATTTTCCCTCACCCTACCAATGTTATTCCCCTGCTAATAATTCCAAGACAAGAGCCTTCCTTCGCCCAAAATCTGGGTTTCTACGACGGAGACCTGGACACGGACTTCCTAGCCCAGCTACAACAGCTACCAACAGAATAACACCTTTTCACGAAATATGTACTTCTGTCATGATTTACAGCCATACTTTCCCCCGCATAACGCAACACATAAATAAGGATACATATAACCCGTCGGCTATGTCCACAACCGAAGCCGAAGTAGACCATTGAAATGAATCAGTTGCTCCAAATGTTATATTCAGTCTAATATAATGGAATTCAAATCTTATTTTAATCTACTGACTTAACAATTACCGAAAATAAGTCATCCATCTAATCACTGGTCTAAACCTAACACTTTTACAAATGTGGGCGCTCGCGAAACCACCGCTGCGGCACCCATCAGTCATGCAGGGTACAGCCAAAATATAAATACTAGACAAACAAGATGGGAAGAGCTACTTTGTTGAAAATTGTGCTCGAACGTATGAAATCGGATATGTTATCGGCTATTGTCATGTCTGCCACCTCCAATACACCATCCCCTTCCAAGGCTGCTTTGACATCAATCTCACATAAATATCATGCTGAAATTTCCTAACTATGCCTCTGATCCGAATCGCAATTATAGGGGCTGGACCTGCCGGTCTAACCCTGGCGAGACTGCTCCTCAACAATCCCAAGCTCGAGGTCATCGTCTTCAAATCAGACAAATCTCGAAACTCTCGCAGTCAAGGTGGAACCCTCGATCTGCACCCAAACACTGGTCTGGAGGCTCTGAAAAAGGCAGACCTGTGGGAAGAATTTACGAAGAATGTTCGTTACGATGGAGAAGCTGTCACTTTCTGCGATAAAAAGTTCCAGAAATATCTCAGTCTCTCCGGTGCAGAAGAGAGCTCCTCTCGTGGTCGTCCTGAAATCGATTGACGAGCTCTCCGTGCCATTCCATTGGACTCAATACCCCATGAGATGATCAGGTGGGGCTACCATCTGCGTGCCATTGACGAAGAGCACAATTTAATCTTTGACCACGGTATCGAGTCTGGGTTTGACTTGGTGGTCGGTGCTGATGGTGCCTGGAGCAAAGTTCGCAAAGTGGTGTCCGATCAAAAGCCACTATACTCTGGAAGTGGGGGTATATCTTCAGTATTCCTAACGCCAAAGATACGGCGCCAAGATGTTACGAACATACCAACCGAGGATCTTTGTTCTCTTTGTCCGATCATCGCGCTATTTTCAGTCAACAAATCGGTGATGGTAGCTTATATACCTCCTGTTGGAGCCAACGACCTGAGGACTGGATGGAGACTGGCTCATGTGAAATCCACAGCCCTAGTGCTATTAAAAAGGCCACCAAGGAAGAATTTCATGACTGGCATCCAGAGCTACTGGATTTAGTGGAAAATGGCGAAGATGGTCTGGCTCGCTCACTGTACATGCTACCTGTGGGTTGGCGTTGGGAACATCACCCTGGTGTTACATTGATCGGCGACGCTGCTCATGTTATGACACCCTTTGCCGGTGAGGGGGTAAATTTGGGCATGCAAGAAGCGTTGATACTGTCACAGGCTATTCTCAGGGCAACTGTTTCATTCTCGCCTGCTCAAAAACTTCCAGCTGAAATCAAGTACTTCGAGGAGGATCTATCTGTGAGGGCAGAGAGGACAGCTGCCCACACGAAGGCGATGCTGGACTTGATGATGTTCACTGATGGGGTACCACGAAGTACGATCGACAAGTTCTGTTTGCGTATGATGAGCTTCCATGATAAGACCCTTCTGGAACATTTGCGGTATCCATTCCTCGCTACTTTTGTCAAGAGCTATTTTTTCTTGTGCAAATAATGGTATTGAAGATTTGGAATACTGTGATTGGAAACCTGTTTCTTGCTTACTTTCTTTTGGACCATTTTGATACTACGTAATGATCAAAGTAATCGTGCCATCTCCGACTCACTTTGCATGGGATCTCAGAGACGCAATGTGATATTTCCCTCAACTCTCATCCTTCCACCCGTATGGTAAAACATGTTCCAGGTGATATCCAAGAGACATATCATATTAATTGCTCTCATTATCTCAGTATACCCCGCCTGTCTGAGACAGCGAAATAAACGGTGAAGATGACTTTCACATGAAAACGACTCAAATTTGGGGTTTCTGCACGCCGCTCTTTTTGGATCAAGGATGATCCATGTTGTAAGAATCAATAGACTGGAAACAGGAGATAAACAGCGGGTCTCTCAAAGGAAGACGAAAAAGGAGATCAAAACACGCTTCGAAGACCACATGACGATAGCGCCTTCCATATTGGGTAATGGGGACTCTACACCGCCACATCATCACCAGCCACTCCTTGCTTTAGCCACACCTAGCCACTGCGGCTGGTGATGTGGCGGTGCGACTATTGACTCCCCACCGGGACTAGAACGAATCCCCTGGACAAATCAATTATCACCGATTCTAAACCCCCCGCTTTGGGCCGCTTTGCGATAAATTGATAATGCAGATCGTCATATTCCGCTGCTCTGGACGATCTTACGGAACAGCATCAACCCTCTGATTGACTCCGTACAGAGAACTATTCTGAGTTCTGATTTTGATCTCTGATTTCTGGCTTCTGCTACTCGAACTTCGGCAGCTTGATGATCAGAGATTGCATCACCTGCTGCGGGGAGAACGCTGAAAAATAATTCTTGGTCCGTGTCAGATCAGCAGGCTGATCGACCAGCCTAGCACCATTGCATTTGAGGCGGGTCGCCAAGAAAACCACGGACACGCATCCGGGTGGAAGCTTCTTTACTCGTGGAACGGGAAATCTTCTGCAATCCCAGTCAGTACCCTAGCGCCTAAATGGTGCATGCAGTAATCCCATCCTGGTTGGACGGCTTTGCTCCCAAGCGGAGTCAGTGGATAGGCCTCGACCTTTCTCCCGGATGGGCCCAGGGTGAGGCTGATGCATGCTGAATAACTGTGGCTAGTGTGATCCCATCGATAGATCTGTCAACTCAAAAAAAAATATCTTTTCAGGCAACACCTTTTGATACTTTGATACTTGGGCGGTCAAATGCAATAGTAGCTCAAGAAGGCAAGAATTTGCCGGTGTATAGAATATTCGAGATGAACAAGCTCTCGGGGAGCCCGACAGGAGGATTATTCGTTCAAGGGTCACTTGCCACACTTCTTACCGTTAGGTGTGGCTTGCAGGCCTGGCAGAGACTTTTGGACCTGGTCCTGCAATGGATATTGCGGTCTGTTATTTCTCCCTTGATCGGGCCCAGCCGGCAGCTTTTCTACCTCTACCACTATTGGTGGAGTTTCCAAAAATTCTGATATTATTCAAACCTGCCGTTCAACTCAAGGAAATTTTGGAAAAAGTGAGGCAAGCGGCATATAGTTTCACGCCACTTCATGTTCCCTGTGACAGCTGCGAGACGGGCCGGGCAGTTTTTGAAAAGTGAACAAGCGGGGGCCCATGTTCATGTTCATGTCCATGTCGAGCATTTAGTGGATCCGTGCACTCAAACTATTGGGGAAAAACAAATTCAAAAAGATGAAAAGCGACAAAGAAAATTAATTCGATCTCAAGGAACTACCCACTTCCGGAAAACAACCCATCTCTTTTCCCCTGCACCATTGAACGTCAATCGTGCATGCCAAGGCGTGTATCAATCTGTGCAAGGCTGTTCCTGGGTGAAGATTCGGTCAGGTTGCATAAAAATACCAAAAAAATGATATACCGTGTGGAGAAGCGGCTAGTCTGCTTCAGATTGAGATCCACTCACTAGCATCGGGTTCTCCTGCAGCGCAACCTTGGAACTCTCAGATCTAGTTTTCACCCCTGTACTTGTCGATCAAACATCCAGATCAAAGTCCCCACTGTTCGTGCTTCTTTCTACCGGAACGTGCTGCCAGCAAGGATTCTTGCAGCTGCCAAGTGATCTCCCACTCGGCCCGCTGATCTCTTTCCAAGTTTCTTGAATCTTGCAATTTCTTTTGGTCTTTGAAGTCTTTGTGAATTCACATTTCTGATTTTAGTTAGTTATTATGGCTGCCTTGGACGGTATCCCAGGAACCAGGTCACCGATTTATGCGCTCATCGCGTGGTACTTTTGCCGGTGGCAACTAGTTTGCATGATCCAATACCTAATCTATGACGGGGATCCTAGAGATCTACAAGATCGAAAGTTATCGGCTGCTGCCCGAAGCTATATGAAGCCCGGAAGAAACCTTCTTTTCATGATGTTTCTCAATTCAATTCTTTTCATAGATCATCACTTCTACTTCATTCCTCCAAACTTCATCAGAGGGTCTATCTTTTATTCTCTCTTCTCTTTTCTCTATCTAATTCAAGGCAATATCCTGTGAAGCCGAAAGACCCGACCCAGACACTAAATTCTATCTTCTACCATTATTCCAAGAACAAATTTCCATACTCAAAGCAATCTTTCCCCGAAATGGCTTCTCCCGAGTTCACACTCTCATTCGAGGTCGCTCCTCCTGCCTCCGTCAGCCCTGGCCAAGCATTCACCCGTCCCGTGACTGTATCAGTTCGCCCAATTGGCACTCCCTCTCGAAGTGTGCATGCTCTTGTGCTAAACGCCTCTCTACGCAATGAATCCGGCACGGGTGCTGCAGTAGGATTGACGGGAAATTTGACAACAAACGTCCGTGATAGCGCGATGAGCGGCTCCGCCAAGTTCGGTACCTTGGCCATTTCGACACCGGGGAAGTACCGGCTGCGCGTGATGCTCGCAACAGCCTCACCCAATGGCATCGTTACGAAAGAATTCGTTGATTCCGGAATCATTACCGTGGCCACTGCGTGATCATGAAGTGGGTCCTCTCTTCCCCTTTGCCCCTCAGTTTCCCTCTCCTTCAGTATTTCATCCAAGACATCTGCCCCTCACACTACCTTTCCCGATCGCTTGCTGACACTGATAAACTTTAGCTAACATTCTGGTGGCGGGTTTGCACCGGCTTACTGCCCAGAATTGGATATCACATTGGCGGATATCGGGAAGCGGCAATTTGGCGTGATTAGACGGAACAGCTGGAATGTCGTTATTGAAATTTATTGTGGAGTTTCTGGAGTTTAATACTGCTTCTTTCCCCATTTCCACGTTTTTTTCTTCTCTCTCTTTCTGGTTAATTTGTGTTAGACGCTCCTTGGCAGTATTTAGTTTTCTTTTGTTGAAATGTTGAAAATTGAAGTCAAGGGGTAACTCGTTGCCCTGAATTAGTTGGACTCTTGGAGATAATGAAGGATTTCGTTATATTTGTCATTATGTGCTTTTGAAAATAGTCTATATAATTGATTTATTATGTCTTTACTAATTCAATTTAATTGGTACAAAATCCTGTCAGCTGTGACCAGATGATAGTACTAAGGTACTCTATGGTTTCACTCAATTGTAGGGCACCGAGTCAGAACAAAGACTCGGGGAAAAGAAATCATCCTTCACGTACTTTTTACCTCATGCTACCATGTCTTGTAGATCCCTGCGCGTTTATTTGTAATCTTTTATTTGCTTTTCTTCGCTCTCGGTTTCCCTTTTTAGTTCTGTTCAACTGAACTGGCAAGGGTACTGCTGTAATGGCGAAGCTGCCCAAGTTTCTGCGCCGATCCAAGCACATACTGCAGGAAAGTAGGATAGTTCATTCCCATACTCTCAGCTGCAAGACCCATAAGACTTGTCTGATCATCGCGACCAGGTCGTCCAGGCCCCGTAATATTCTGCGCCAATCGTCAGTACATCCCTGATGACATAGTCTAAATCTTTAAACATACCGGCTTCATATTAATATCAAACAATGCGAATTTCGACCCTGGTCTGAACCGTCGAATATCGATGCGCAATGGCGCAGTCGTCCCCAATAACCCCGCAACAACCTCACACTCTTTCATGATTTCTGCATACGCAGGATCCGCCTCCATCTCTGCCACAGTCACCGCGCGTGAATTTACTGTCACTGCGACCTTACCACTGTAAGGCGCAACGCCATCAACATGGTTGAAGCGGGTCACAGGCGGCAAAGCCCAATGACCGGCATGCCGAGTCGAATCCTCGAAGCCTGGGGTTGATTGTTGAGAAGGTGGCATGATCGTGATAGTCCCTTCTTCCCCCATCAGAAACTCCTCCAGCAGGACACGGGGAGATTCATCGAAGAGCCGTGCCACATGCTCTGCTAGCTCTGGTGCGTTTTCACAGATCTTCACGCCGTGGCTGCCCCGTCCGCGGATAGGTTTCGCAACAATGGGATAGTCGTCGTCCTTTATCAAGGATAAGACATTCGCAAGAGTTTCCTGGACCTGCTGTTGCGCTTGTGCGAGCCCACGAGTGTCATTCTCCGGTGCTACCCGTGGATCGTCTACGGTCCACGATCTGGGCAAGGTGAGTCCGCCGCGCAGACGCAGAAGATCATTTGTAAATGACTTATCGTCGAACCTATCTGCACAAAGAGGTGGTTGACCAATAACTCTCACGCTAGACTCCAAGGGGGTCAATAGCGAGGACGTCTGCAATGGATGTTCCGCAAAGAGCACCGTGTTTGCCCAGAGATGCGTTGCGCCTCTCTGGATTGCAGTGAGGATTCCCTCTTCGATATCTGGAAAGCACCACTGATTCTGATCTGCGGGATCTGGAGACTCCTTTGGCGTCAGAACAGTAGTGCCAGCGCATTTCAGTGAATAAGCGATATCGGCCCCTGAATCACGATAGCCTACAGCAACGAGTAAAATTAGCACGTCTTGTTTTTGTCCGAGCTTTTGCGCCTCGCTTAGCATTCGAGGCAGAGCAGAGATTGAATCACCATACCTCCCGGCTTAGGGGGCTTGCTTACACCACCATACATGGGTGGCGGCAAAGCCTGATAGAGGACAGCCACCACGGGCTTGGCAGGATCCATTTTGACTTCTGTGTTGGCTGATAGTCTCCGTATTTGGCTGTGAGAAATGTTTGGTTCAAGCTGTCATACAATCTGTTATAGCTGGATATGGGGGAGGACAAAAGTCTGAGCGGGTCTGTTCCAAATTGAGAATCGGTATGCAGAACGGAGGGCAAGATTCACAGCAGTTTTGGTTTATGTGGATATACCCTTCAATTTGAAGATATGTAGCAGCTCAATCGTAAGTCAAATTTTTCTTTACTTGCTGACATCTAATTTCAAACATTATATTGCACATCGTTATATACTGGGATGACTCGGAGAAGTGCCGATTATCGGAGGTGGGGGTGCTAGTGGGGGCGGTCCTCGGCCGTAAGCCCCGAGACGGGGAAGTTGGATTCGGAACGAATTTACATTTGGATATTATATTACAAGATGAGATCCATAGTTCAATTTTGTTATAGTCAGCATAGCTGAAGATGTCTTGTTCTGTCATAAGCAGTAGTATGATGTATAAACATATCCCATCCGAAATGGAACCTAGCCCAGCTGATTCACAATAAAACACAAAATAAAGTATAAACATATAAAAAACATCACCACGCCAGGGTGAAGCAAGAGTCGGAAAGATAGCCAGTTCATTTCCTTGGAAGGCCAATGACCAGGTTCATGCATGAAAAGTCATTCAAGCGGATAGAAATTAGCCGATGGCGCGCCCGATTGGTGCAATCAAATCAGCGGATGAAGAAACATCTTGATTCGACGGTGGGTCAACAGTTTTTTACGCCGACGGAGATTAAAGTGCCCATATATGCGGGGATCAAAGTAGGTCAGCCCGGTTGTGATAGGGCGCGGAGAAAGGTAAGTGCCCCGGCTGACAATCAGAGGTTGGTGTAGTCATAATCGTCAACGATGTGTTCAGCTCTCCTTATCGTGGTGACGGAGCTTCTCGATACCATCACGGACGGTATCGCGCACACTGAAGCCACCAAAGAGCCAGTCATTTGAGTGGCGACCGTAGTGGTTGACTGTGCCGCTGTAGCGACGGTAGTCATCGCTGTTCTTGCAAGTCGGGCTGGGTGCCCGCTTGGGAAAGTCTGGCTTGGGAGACTGGGGTGATGAGGGCTCGGGAGACATTTGCACAGTGCTGGTAGAGTCACACTGGTCGAAATAGTTCATTTCAGGATTGCTCCGAGGGATGTAGTGATCGTCCAAGGACTGGCTGTGCTTGTGTCTGTGCTTTGGGACTTCAATTGTAGGAGATTTGGACCCGGATCGGAATAGCTTAGAGGTTATTGGGTTGGAGATTTGACGGTCCTTCTTTTCGTGGGAATGTTGAGTACTGTGAGAAGAGCTTGTGGTGGTAGAAGTTTGAGACGCACGGCGCTTTGGGTAGTTGCCGCTCTGGTGGGAGTGAGAGCGCATTACTGAGAAGAGGATAGGAGGACAAAGAGGAAAAAAGGAAGAGAAGGGAGATAGATATAGGGTGGGATTTGGGGATTGAGTTCTGACGTGGGAACACGGATGTTTATCTGGGAAGACTCCCTATTCCTCTTCCCTTTCTCTTCCTTTTCCCAAGTGATCGTCAATACCCTGTAGGGCAACCAACCAGATCACAGCGGGGTTGCTCTAAAGCTGTCCTCAGACCTGTCGAGTGAACGCTCATAGATAATATCGCCAATAATATCTCGTCCAGTGGCTCCATTGAGCGGACCAATCCTCCAACTCACCAATCGGACGCGCAGAAGGTGGAGCCCGCAGGTCCACTGGTAAGGTTTAGCGGGTGACCGTCGGTGAGAAAAGTCCCAGCTTACGGGGAAGCCGACCTTCACGAACCAATCCAAGATTGCTTCTGCCTTGGAGCCTCCTCGAGGAATCTTCTGACTTGTCCAGACCCCGCAGATTCACCGCTGATTGCATCATTAAGGGCCACGTATCATTTCTCAGCGCTGTCCCACGTAGGGCTGCATATCCCAATTATCTTTCTACACACCTTGGCGTTCGATAACCCACATCAGCTGAAGGGTTTGGTCCTTCCATTTGGTTTTTCAGTGGAATCAGATAGCCGAGCTGCCGGCCAATGCAAGACCGGGGTAGATTTCTTCTCAGTTGATTCAATCATCCTTGACTTCAATCGACACTGAACAAACAGAGACAAATTACCTTCTAGCAGCCTTCCAGAAGAGCTTGTAGGCGAGGGCGCACGTGTGTCTGGTTGAGTCATGGCCCCCACAGGGAGAGCCAAGACACGGCTGACGGGACATGGAATCGGCACGGCAACTCCGTGTGCCCTGTGAGTGACGCGGGTACGGAGGCGAGTAGCGGCCATGAGGACAGAACCTTTAATATCACATAAAAAATGGCAGAAAATCATATAAACTACTAAGCTCATTTACCCTCTAATACTTGGGTGCACTGTAGATTTTTTCTTTGTTCCTCTTCTCCTTCCAATTCATTTTCTCTTCTCTCTTTTTCTCTCTCCTGTCTATATCGCTTTGTATGAATTGGAGAGCCCTTTGACCATTTGACTAATCCGGTACGAAAGAGGGTAGAATACTAGATAGGATACCAATCAGGAGTTCCAGCTAATTCTATTGATGACCTTTATCAGAGACGCCTACGGGCAGACAGTTCTTTGACAGTTAATGACCAATTCTTTGCTGTACTAGAAATAACAAGCAAAACCAGCAGCCTATGAACTGGTCATATCTCATGCAGTAAGAGCATACAAACACAAATGAGGAATACAGCTGCCGGTGCCGACCGGGTATATGACAGCCTATCCATTAACTAGTTGTCGCACATCTATCGCTTGAACCTGATCATGGGTTTATACACACATCTACATCGACTTCATTCAGCTCTAATATATCGAGTAATCTACTGGAATGACCACGGAACTTAGTGCGACTTTCTGTGTACAACGACGATCATGCAATCGAATGAGTCTTCAATTTCTCGAATGAGCCAAAAATACTGGGCCAGCCAGGTATCAATGATTCCCTATACTATTTATCTTGGCTGTTTACCATTCAAGTTCTGTGTCAAATCGCATCAAACACGCCCAGGTCCCAGTAAATTCCATGCACTCAGATTATTCCTCCTTCAAACTAAAAAGACTTGCACTCGGCTCCCTCCACGACCGCGGCTGCGCCGAGTGTGACCTCCTATGCCTCTTTTCGGCAACGAATTGCGGTGAATCAGCTACCGAAAATGTACTCCTTCTCTCATTCACCATCACTGGCCGCGCGGACAGCCGGGGAGGCATCCAGCCAGAGATCATTACCTGATCTCCCGCTGTCATCATGGTCGGCATGACAAATAACGACCTGGTCTTATCGAGTGGCGGTCGACGAATCAGCCGCCGCAACACACTGCGATGAACGTGCTTTCGAGCTTCAGCTGCCGACGCAGAGTCCGGGATATCGTCGCACCGCGGCTTTGGTACAGGACGGGACCAGAGACGATGCACGCTTCGTGATGGGGTCCGGACTATACCTGCCATGTCGGCATCGTCGGTATCGGGTTCTTCCTCTACGATGAGAGGGACAACTGTGGATTGTTGGAAGGCCCATAATTGTTTGGTTTCACTAACAGTTATTGGCTTGAGGTTGCGGTTCTCCAGGGTTGATGGAGCGCGCATGCATAACTCGGAGCCGCAGTGGGGCCAGGAGTGGTGTCTGCGGTGGTGCCGAATGTTTGGCATTGTTGAGACGTTTGGTCAATATGAGTATGTGTAGTGGGATATATCGTTCTTATCCTGTGTCCATTTTGAATAGAGTATGGATTTAGTTTGGAGGATCTCACTTCAGCCAGCTATTAACCCCAAATAGAGATAGGTAGTTTAGTTCTGCCTGGCAGGTCGAAACATTATAAATCAACGGGCTTTGGATGACTCCTGCCAAGTTTCTGCACGTGCCGGGCGTTGTCTCGTCGAGCGCCCGGGTGATGTATCATTTGCAGGCTAGGATGACCATCAAATTTCAAGTTTCGGGGGCTGAGTTGAATAATATTGAATGCTTAGGCTTGATGCAAATTAAAGGTCGAGAAAACATATATCCGGTGAAATCTTGAGGAGCGAATCGTAGCGAATCGTAATAAAAGTGGAATTATAGTTATATATTACCAGAAAAGGCACAAATAGACAAAAATTTATAACAAAAGTCGTGGCTTGAGTTAAGTGGCTCTCGTATTTGTCGAGGGTACGAATCCGATGCGCGGAGATGACCTTTGAAGGTGACTGGGTCAAGCGGGTTAGCTTATTGTTACATCAGATCTCATGACAGCCGCACCCTGCATTGCCTCAAATGTTGTGCAGAGCAGGGTGTGATATTATTGGATCGGGGTAAGATGATCTACTCCAAGTTTGGTAAATATTAGAAGCTGACCGGCGGCTTGAGAGCAGTGATTCAAAAGAAATCTGCTATGCATTGAGGTTATATATTCAATGTAGGCAGAACAGGTATCAACCAGTACCAAGTGGTCGAGCGGAAACTCGACTGTCTTATCTTCCTTGGTCTAGGGGTCATGATTTCCGCTTGTCATTAACAGTGATACGCGCGGGAGACCGGGGTTCGATTCCCCGAGGGAGAGATTTCTTTTTTTCTTTGATCATTTTTTTTTCCAATCGTTACGGGCATCCGAACTTGATACTATATAATAAGCGCCTGTCTCTTGTGAAAGGTTGTTACTTCTAAGGTACGTGTACTATTGGGGGGTGCAATAAATCGTATCGACACTAGTGAGATGAAAATGGGAATTCCATGGAGGCATCTTACTTGTTCATGGTCTTCAATAAGTTCTACATTCAATTTTTGAGGTTTGATCAAGAATCTCAATAGTTCTGGATAAGAATGTAGCCGGTGGCATCTACTGCTCGTAGAGGGAGCCGTGCTTCAATTCGTGCTCCGTACTGGCGCGAACAAAGGATGCGGATCCCAATACGCTATTGTATAAGAGTGGTTGGTTGATATAGTACTAGAATCACATTCGGTTAGCCTTGTTCGTTTCAAAAGTGCCCAAATACCACCACAGGAGAGTTTGCCCATTCTTTCGTACCTCGTAGCTAGCAGTGGAATTCAAGCTGCACACGCTCACAGTTCCGTTGTAGCTTAGGGTGCCGTCTGGATTTTCCACGACGAATCTGTCGACAAGTGTGCGATAGGCCCGAGTGGCGATGCTGGTATAATTTGTTCGGAGATGACCAAAGGGTTTCTGAGATAGGGACTCTTGAGGGTTGGAGTCTTGCAGAAGGCCAAGTCGCACTCCTTTGTAGAGGGCATAGGTGAACATTGCAGACCCACTAGATTCAATGTAGTTGCCTGTTCGTCCAGGGAAGTTCATAACTTGCCACCAGCCGCCGGACGCCGGGTCTACTGCATGGACGACGGCGTCGGCGAGGGCAACGAATCGTGCACGCCACGTCGCCACCCTGGAGTCCATGAGTGGGAGCTCTAGAAGGTCTACCAATCCCATCATGAACCAACCGAGGGCACGATCCCAGACAATTGGACTGGCGCCAGTAATGGGGTTGGCCCAGGAGGCAGTCTTGGTCGCATCGTAGCCATGGAAAAGAAGTCCTGTCGCATTATCGTAACAATGCTCCCACAGGAGCTCGAGCTGATGGAAGAGATCATTGTTGACCTCAGTCATGTTGCTTATATCGAAAGTCGAGGTATACAAGGGGTAGAATGACAACAGAGAGAACATTCCATCCAGATAGCTCCAATTTGGATAGACATAATACCAAAGTCCGCCTGTCGCAGTATCAGCAATGAACAAGAAATTGGTGAAGTCGACGGGTAAGGGATTCAAAATGAAGGGATGGGGTTGGTTGTGATTACAGAATACATACCGAACATATTCCGTGGTTGCAGATCGATCGAGATACGCAGCGCAGTAAGCGTCTTCTTATAGGTGTTGTTCCCAGTCTCGTCGTACCTAGAGTCCCGGGTATTGGCATCATTAGGAAACCTAACCAGGCGGAAAGGTGATTGCCTCAAGAACGTACAGGTAAAACAGTCCTTTACCCACAGAAAGGCGGTCAAGAGGAAGCTTGACATCGTTGGTTGCATTATCGACCACGTCAATAACACTGTCACCACTTTCGCTGAGGTAGAGTTTCCAGTTTTGCTCCATGTAACGACCTGAAGGCGACTCTATCAAATCCAGAAGGGCAGTCTGAAAAACCCCAACCTGCAATAGCAATGATGAGTCGGTTTCATTTTCAAGAATAGCCTGTCCACGAGAGATGATGCTGTCGGCCATTCGAGCCGAGTAGGGATGCGCAGTGGTCTGGACGGACGCAGACGCTCCATTGCAGGGTTGATTAAAAAGCAGAGCACACAATAAGGGGAGTAATGAAAAAAATGGGCTTGGAAATGCCATTTTTTTTGATTCACCCATGTCATGCGCACAATGGCAGGCTCTTCAAAGTCGCGGACGGGCGTGTATTTGCTTTTAAACCTCCGAGATCGACGCCTGTGGAAGTCTCAACAGGGGTTGCTGCGACGAGCCAATCATATTAGATTTGGCGACTTATAGGCCCGTGTTGCAGCAGATCAGGGTATGATCTACATTCCCAATCCACTAGCACACTAGTACTAGTTAGTTCAGTATTTATTGTTAAATTCGGGGGTAGTTTCGATCCGCAATTTTGTACTTTCGTCCATTGACAGTACATTCAAGTAATATGAGTCTCATGCTTGTGACACTTAGGTGAAGATCTGACTCTGAATTGCCATGTTGATGTGTATATTTGGGGCATAAGGTGGGGAACTTCTTCCTTGGCGTAAATAGTTCGTAAACCAAGATCTGCTCCACCTCTCACACTAACCGCATGCGACCACTCACGATCAGATTCACGATGGGCACTCGTAATTATCATCCCCAGGCAAGCTCAATTACGTGTCAGACAAAAACGAGCAGCCAGACAAGAGCCTAATCATCACAGGTCAAACTCAGGGCTTTTCGCGACTCTTTGATTGAAATGGGATGAAGGGGGGATTTGATCTCAAAACGGGAAATAGGACAGGAAGTGGGATGTTCATGTATATCCCCACTTGCCTCACTTAGACTTCCTATATTAAATACATCTAGTAAATGCACGGTTTTTCCAACTTTGTTCTTTCTGGGATGTTGATATTTTAAAGCGCAAAGTGCCGTTGTGTCTCACGAGCTGTGCATCTGTCTCTAATTTTATCTATTAACGTTTATGTTTAAAATGGAATATAATCGCCTCACTGTCTGATCAACCATCAGCTGGCTAGATTCCAAGTATTCCAACGGTAATATTCTGCATCACAGCTACAGACTTGATGTGCCTTGATGCACTAAGGCCATATGGGATCTATAGGAATTATGGACCTTGGTATGCCTTAGCTCGCATAAAAGCTGAAGAATGCTATGTATCTACCAGCACAATATTGCATTGATCACCAAAGAGACAAAATTTATATTAGAAGATTTGAAGGGATCATTTCCTTGACTTGCTATACTCACTGCTGATCAAAATTCAATCATATACCAAGCCTTATTTGCTTCCTCGAATTACCCCGACAACGAAGTAAACGTGGATGAATATGGTCTTCCCTGAAGAACCCCAAGGAATTCTTCTCGATCTATAGTTCCGAAAGCTTAGCAGAGCACACAAGAATCTTCTTCTGGCAAACTCACCTTGTGCAGTCTGAAAAACAATCGAGATAGTTCCCTCACGATCAATGAGGTTACTGCTTTTAGGAGTCCGAGCCATAATGTTCATCATATCCAAACTCATACCACGAGAATACGGCAATTTCGGGAAATTGACTCGAGTATTCTCCTTCGAAGAGTCAGGGCAGTCGGATGGAAGAGACATCGTGAGCCATTTATCAGAAACACCGTCGTCCCAACGAGCAGCAAGCTGTGTGGTATTTCCTCTACGCCAGAGCTGGAGCTCAGCGCCGCCTTTTCCTGACTTCTTCCCACCCAGAACTTTGCTCTTGGTTGAAAGCGACTGGATACGCCTCGAGTAGGACAGGTCATACAGTGGGGAGAGGGCGCTCATGAACGCACGCGCGACGGTATCGCTGTTGAAAGCAATAGTCGCAGGTCCTGTTTTCTTCTCGCAATGTGAGTAAATGACGGGCTTGTCTGCGGCGAAGAGCTGATTCACATGAGAGGAAATATAGTCCGTGTACGAAGCATAGGGAAACCGAACACTGAGTGATGAGTGCTGGTAGACATAGTCTGTAACACGATAGAGGTGATAAATATCGGAATAACGCCATGGCGGCTTATTCTGGAGAATCACAGCAGCCTTGTACTGCTTGTGTTGTGATCCCGTGTCGATAACATCGTATATGCGACCAGAGCTGCTGGGTTCTGACCACGAGAAATCTGGCCTGAAGTTGATCTCAAGGATCGCTCTTTCAAAATCTTCAGCTCTCTGCTGGGTACTGAAATGAAGTCCCACTCCGATGTTTGGTGCACTGTCATCATACACGTAAGAGTGTAGAATATTATAGTTGCCATCTGTCTTTGACCTTTCCTGGCAGGCATCGGACCATTTCAGAAGCACTAGGCGGGACAGATCCTCGCGATTGATTTGAACACGACTGAGGGGCATGAAGAGCTCAATGCACTGAGGGTCTCTTTGTGCTGCGCATGGACTAATCACCATTCTCCGAGTACAACGCCAAGCCTCACCAAAGGATCTCTCAAGGATGCGGACATTACAAGATCTGATTATCACTGGTGGATTCATGGGCCTCATGCTCGGGGCTTTCAAGTGCTCAAATATCTCCACTGAGCCTTTGAAAATGACGCTTACAGTAAACTCTTTCGAGTCAATCGGTTCTCTCCGCCAGACGGCGTCGAAATAGGTCCTGGGGATATTAATAAAATGACCCAGTTCGGCTTCAAATTGGAAGGAAATTGAAACGCTCATGTTATCAAACATGAATGGCACTGGTTCTGAGACTCGGGCACCCGGAAATCCAGTAATATTGGTATTAGCCAGATGTATCAACTGAGGTAGGTCGTCAGGTACGACTGCGAAATGTATGAGTGACATTCTTAATGCAGATAGTGGGAACTCACAATCTCGTTGCAAGCAAAGAGAACCACTCTGGTTACAGAGAATAATTCTTGGCTCACTCTCACCCTCCTTGGTTGCTAATAAGAGCATGTATGGAGCGCCTCGGGTGCGGGAATTTTTTAGACCCAATTCCTGCATTGACAAACGCGCGGTAGAGCACCCTTTCTTCTTCGCTACCAGCATCGTCCTGGTTTACAGATATCCAGCGTGAGTTTTCGAGCCCAAAGAAATCCAAGATTCTTTCTGACGCTTCCTCTGGTTGAAGAGGCTCCCAAATATCCAAGTCCTGTGCACGCAGACTCGAAGGCTCGGGAATATCCAAGGAAGTGTACTGAGAAAACTCATCATTTACACCCTGCATGCCAGTCAGCAGTGGGAAAAAATATTTGAATGTGACCACCTACCTCTGAAAGGTCATGAATTGCTTTGCGATTTTCATCAGTCAGCAGCACAGGTGAGTTCTCGTCTTTGAGAACAATTTCATACAAAATATATGAAGATTTGAGAAGATCGACATAAGCCTGTTGTGAGACAGACCTAGAGTCACTAGTAGGCAGAGCCAGACCCCCTCGAGCACTGACAAGATTATGTCTGTTGCTATTTGCCAGAGTAGCGCGGGCCTTCAACAGCCACCAAGTTGCAATACGAAGCCAATCTTTCGTGATAAGTCTTCGCGCCTGAAGCTCCTCGTTCACCGAGGATTCGAAGATCTTTATGGTATCTTGATCTGGCCTGTGTAGCTTGGTTTGTGGTATGTACCTTATCGGCCGGGCAAGCTGCTCCTGAAGACGAACCTGGCGCAGCTGTTGCATTGCGCTGGTGACTGCCTCCATAACATTCTCGTGGCCAAATTCTGTGGTGGATGACTCGCTACTTTTGCTCTGCCTTTCTTGGATATCAGAAGCATCTGCCCAAAATATTTTATCGGACGTGCGACCATCGATGGAGTTTTCGTAGATTGGGCTGAGGACTGAGGGCTCGAGAGTAATTGAGCTTTGGTATCAGGAGTTGAAAATCCGAGCGACTATGCATTGAGAGTGACGTAGGAGCAGTTCCACTGAATGACCCATCAGATCCGGACATCATAGACCCAGATGAGGTTGACGTATGTTTAGCCTGACCGGAGCTTGGATCTTCCTGCCCTTGAGAGCTACGTGAAGCCAGGGAAGATACTCGAGGAAAATTTTGCCGGGGCATATATGAACCAAAAATGTCCTCATATTCCATTGACACACCACTCTTGACACTCAGAGGCGATACCTCCAGGTTGGAATCGCGATGAGACGTCTCAAAAGCAAGCATGGCTTGTTCATCGTCCTCCATAGCTTGTATCATTGTTCGTTCAATATCATCCAAGGAAGAGCTGACAAGAAAAGTGAATTAGCATTTGCCTGGCGAATTCCGATGGTACATCTACCCAGTGTCGAGGTAAGCTAGGAAGTATCTTACTTGTCAATGGGGCTCACACAGAGGCTCAAATTGCATGTATGAACCATAAGCTTTGATCTGATGTCCTCAACCTGTGCTCGCTGTGTAGTCCACTTGATTCTTTGCCAGAACGCTTTTCCCTCCGAGATTCCCAATTCTCGGTACCGGTTGAGAAGACTTGTTAAACATGTCAAGGTTTCAAAGCAAGCGTTCAAACATCGCTCCAGTACCAACTTACGGTCTTCATTTATTCGCTCGAAGAAAGCTGTGTTGGAGATAAAGTCATCAGTCAAGGTTCGCATCACACCCTGTAGCGAACCCAACCCCGTGACAAGATTCCGAAACCCATCAGGGGCATCTTTGACAAAATTCTGGCATTGATTGTAGACTTCCCATGTTGCCTTTGTGAGGGCAGGAATATCGGCGATCCCAAAGTTTTCGGACATGATGAAAGAGAAAGTGAATATAGATCGTTTGAGCAAAGTTTGGAACAAGAATTTTCGCGTGACTTCGCAGGTTCACCAAAAACTGAAGATGCAAGATTGATATATTTCACCAAAGTAGCCTAAATGACAAGATTGCAAGACTAATGCAAAGTTATCGTAGCGGAAGTCAAATGGGATGAAGGGTCACTGTAGATTCCCGGGCGCAAACACGCCAAGTCCATGGATTTCGGAGTAATTCAAGTTCTCAGAAGATCGCAGAAGTAAAAAGAGGGGAAGAGGATTCTACTCGATATTTTTGAACAAAGACTGATTGTTCAGGTATTTGCGGACTTGGAAAGCCAATCCATACCTGGTCGAGTCTACAACGCCACCAACACCTGACAGGAAATTTCTTGTAAAAAGAAACTTGCAGTGAAAGAACTTACTCGGCTTGGATTCCTTTGGCTGCATAGAAGCGTGTTCAGGATCTCTTTCATCTTTTCTTGGATTGGATTTGAAGGAAACAAAGGGAAGGAGGAAGGACACAGGCGTAACTTGGAATCACTCTGCTTCATCAAGTCAAAAATAGTTTCAAAGTTATCTTCATTTACATATTTAAAGCCTTGAAAACTCGAAGTAATTAATTATTCTTGCCAAATTTCCTACTTCATACTTCCCCGAAAGAACATGAACTCTACTTTCCGAAATTCGACTATCCAAGTTATCAACAACATGGTCGTCAAGTCACGAGCTATGGGTCCAGGCTATTATGCAATAGCTATGAAGACAGCGAAGAATATTCTAAATATATTGAAAACGCATCCAGTATATGTCACTCCATTCGCGGTAAGTAACCTTAGACACCTCAGGCACCATTAAAGCTCCACCACAAAGAAACTAATGAAATTCCCCCCTTAAGCTCTACAGTGCCGTCTTTGGCTTGACCTTGTCTCCAGAAGCTTCACGCTGTAGACCCTACTGCATCGCCCTATCCAAGATGACGGCCACCTTCTCCGTGGACCTTCCCACGATCATCTGCCTCCTTTTCGCCCTCTCATTCATGCCAGCCGCATACTTCCTCACAAACCACTACCTCCCCAAAGCCAACAGCCGCGAACGATTCCTCTTCGCCTGGCACACCTACGATGCCCTAACCCACATCTTCATTGAAGGGTCATTCCTCTGGGAATGCTTCACAAGCTGGGCCCCCGTCGCCGGTATCCACAGCACAGAGCCCTTCTTCCTGAACCGGCCCGAACGCAACTACGGTCCCGCCTACGGAACCGGCCCCTCTGCGCGTCTGTGGCAGGAATACGCCAAGGCTGATCGTCGCTGGGCCGGTGCTGATATTACCGTCGTGTCGTTGGAGCTCCTTACGGTGGTTCTGGGCGGCCCGGCTGCTATCTACATCTGTTATCTGCTTGTGAAGGGCAATCATAAGACTCCGTCGGTTGCGCTTGGGACTTATAAAGCTAAGATGTGGTTCGCGGCTGTGGTGCTTGCGACTGCGGAGATTTATGGTGGGTGGATGACTTTTGCGCCGGAGTGGTTGACTGGGTCGACACAGCTTGCGACACATGATTTTGTTTATAAATGGTTGTATCTTGTTTTCTTCAATGGGCTTTGGGTTGTCATTCCCCTTTGGGTTTTGTGGCAGGCATGGTATGAGACTATGGATGCTTTTGTCAACACGCAAGTTCTTGCGAGTCAGAAGAGGCAGCGTTAGATGGGATTGGAGCGTGATCTTCATTGGTTTAAGAGGATTCTACTATATTGGAACTATGGTCTGTTTGGGGAGTTTTTTTAGGGGATTTGTTCGGTTGATTCTTTTGGTCTATACCGATTCTCGAGTTATATTAGATCTTCTTGATTGTCGTCATTAGCGAATTTGCGGTTTGCTTTTGGAATGTTATAGAGACGAAATGAACATATGCTTTGTGGAGAATTTGAGTGATAATGCTATACTGTACACGCTGATAGACTAGGCAACTTGGAAACCAGATAAAACGTTTCTTCAGATCTTCATTACTCACGCCTTATGTCCCCGATCCTTCTCCCAAAACCAATGGTAGAAACTCTTCCATTCGGCGGCCTCATCCTCAACGTATTCTCCTACCAATTCAGCAGTCTCATTGATATCCTCTGGCATAGGTGACATCTTCAACCCAGACGACGCATCGACACCATATCCAGCATCCCGCGTCGTCTCTGCAGCTGTAGCTGCAGTCGAAGTCATATCCACAGCCACGTTACCAGAGTGATTATTCAACGCTTCCTCGACACCTTCCTTAGCCCGCTCCGCGAGATCACGAGCGCCCTCTCGAGCGATCTCGCTATACTCCTCTGCCTGTTCCCGAGCACGCACAAGTAGCTCCTCGGGCGATGGATATCGACGGAAAAGCATTAGAAGAAGATAGTAGCTCTTGATAATTGAGCCATACACGGCGTCTTTCGCCAGCATAGTAAACCCATGTGAGAAGAACCCTTTCATGACTTCACCAGGCAGACCAGCATAGAGAGCGGAAATGCCCTCCGCATGCGCGATGTTGAGAACATTAGAGATAATCTGAGGCATGAGAGCCGATAAGATGGTCTTCCCCTGGGCCTGCTTCGGCGACTCATCACCCAATGCCTGCGCACGTGTCTTCGCCAGCGAAAACGGATATGTAATTGACGATGCCACGGACTTACTCAACGCAGCCAACAAAAACGTCACCGCGGCAGAGGGCTTCTCTCTTTTTGCGCGCGGAAGAAGCGCACGCTTTAGCAACTCGTTCAAAAAGAGTGTGATAGATGGGTTCAGTGTCAAGATCAAAGATGCCGAGTATCCCGACCAAAACCCAGCCAGGCCCTTCTCATTCCGGATCTGCGCTGCGATATCTCCGGTCGATTTCTCATCTCCAGAGCCCTTTCGCGCAGCAGTTTGCTTTCTCGTGACGATGTTCGCGAGTGGTGTCGTAAACAGCTTCGAAGCGGCACCTGCTATGACTCCGATAGCGAGCTCATCTAAGACAGGAAGGACGATATTTTTTGTCTTTGCTGCGTGTGCGGGGCCCACACGCGCAATGATTCGGCGTTGACGGATGGTTGTATAAGCGAGGAAGAAAAGAAAGGAGTCTAGGACTGACTTGCACGTGTCCTGTGCCAGACCGGGATAGAAGCCTGCGAGGCCTTGGTCAAGGTAGATTCTGTAGGCTGCGTCGAGAATGTTGGTATATTCTTCTTCGGTACTGTCATCTTTCTCGGTCTTGGTCTTCTTTTGCTGGGTTTGTAATCGGGCAACGATGACACTGAGAGGGTAGGTGATGACGTTGGAAACAGCCGATCCTACAGCACCGGCGACTGCATTGCCTAGAACAGGAAGAGCAGGACCGCGGAGAGCTGCGGCTTTCCAGTCTTCGCTTGGGCTTTGAGTTTCCCAGCGGTACGAGGGGTGAAAGGCATCCTGTAAGATGATGTTAAGTTAGACTTGATCCGAGTGATATCAGCAAGAAATCTGAACAAGTCATACCAGCTGGGACTCGTAGGATAGTTTGTATTCTGCCATGATAATGTTGCGCGTAGACCTCGGTGGGTCTTCAGGATTCCTGGTCCTTGAGTATAGCTGCTTACTCCCGACCGGAGGAACTCAGATGTTCTGGGTTGCAGTTGAGCTCACAAGTCTAGGTTGAGGCTAGGATGCAGCGTCTAGGTGAATTTACATCACTGGGTGTGAAGAGAGGGATTGGCAAGAGATTTTATCAGCCACCAGAAGCAGGCTTACGAGAATGTGAAGATGTACTTTGTACTCCACGGCCGAGGTAACCCGGATTCATTACATCATGCAGATCATGTGGTCCGTGCCAAGGTGGGTTGATTCCATGACATACAGAACAAAACTTATGAATGAATCTTACGACAGGCAATAATCAGGAGATTCAACTGCAGGCATTCGTTTGATACTCATTCAACGAGCCTAGTTGGTAGCTAACTAAAACCCACAATTCCCATAATTTGGCGCACCAAAAGAAACAGCCCTGGAACCCCGATCCTCCCAGCCAGAATACTCGATAAATCCATAAAAATAGGTGCAAATGTCGTAGACATATTTCGATATATCTGTTAAACGAAGATAAAAAGCAACCATCACACCGTTGAGCGCGTTAAAGAAGACAAAAGACCGGAAAGCCGACAATCACATCCAAGATAGACATGGGGCAATTTAGCCACCGAAACCGTAAAGAGTACGGCCTTGGCGCTTGAGAGCGTAGACAACGTCGAGAGAGGTGACGGTCTTACGCTTAGCGTGCTCAGTGTAGGTGACAGCGTCACGAATGACAGACTCCAAGAAGGTCTTGAGGACACCACGAGTCTCCTCGTAGATCATGGCGGAGATACGCTTGACACCACCACGACGAGCGAGACGACGGATGGCGGGCTTGGTGATACCCTGAATGTTGTCACGCAAGATCTTGCGGTGACGCTTGGCACCGCCCTTGCCGAGACCCTTTCCGCCCTTGCCACCTGCGATAGAACATTAGTATGTACTAATAAATCAAGATGGAAGCAAAGAGGATGGTAGGAGAATAAAAAAATAAAAAAGGTGAAACGGCGACAGCAAGGTCAAGTAAAAATGCAAGGCGAACGAGGGTTTCCTAGTTCGGTTAGAGTTGGGATGCATTTGGCCTTAGACGCGATCGGGGCTGGTCGCCACCAATGATCTGCCGTCAGGGGCATCACCAACTTCAACCTCAGCAAGATAGAAACAAACAACAGCGACCGTGAGGCAAAACAGAGGCGAGCTGAACAAATGCAAGTTAAAAGACGATCCGACTTACGTCCAGACATATTGGCAGCGATAAATTAGTGATGAGTTAATGAAGGGTTGTTGGTTAAAAAGTGGTGGTGTCGATAGACGCGTCGACGGTTGGCGAGTGGGAATGAAGAGAAGGAAAAGAGAAAAAAAAGCTTACGGGAGGGGGAAAGGCGGGAATTAAATACGTGGATGACTACGCGTGATTTTTGGGAGGGTCGGGGGTAGGGGGAGGTTTAGGTAAGCCATTGGAGTTTTACATTCTGCAATGCGGCGGTGATTGGCAGGTGGGCATGGAAGAAAAAGGGTGTTATGAAGGGCTGGATTGCGAACGCTTCCCTGGACCATTACCCGTGTCGTGTCAATGCAGCGGAAATCATAATTCAAATTATCACGTGATTGAAAAGAGATAAGAGATAAGAACCGCCACCTCAAACTATCTACGGAGACTCGGAGTCCATTCCCCACGAATCTGGTTTAGAAGGCACTTTGTGGTTAGGAAAGAAATTCATCATTCTGATATGTTCTATTTTGCTGAATCATCTATCAAATAAAGAGGAAAAGAAAATCATATCAAAAGACCTAGGTCAACAGAAATTACTAGACCTGTCGCACTCTACGGTGGATAAGACGAAACCTTTGATCAAAACACTTTCATTCATCCCTCATGCAATAAAGATCACGTTGCTGTTGGTCTTGTAGCGGACAAACTTATCTTGCAAATCGAATCTGTTGCCATTCCATCATGGCTTGCATCCTGTCAAATATGTGGTTCCTGGAAGCGCAAAAAAGGATAACAAGAGAAAAATAGACTGCAAACACCAAACACCATGCACGCAATTGAAAGAAAAGGTAACAAACACAATGCATCGAGGGAAAGAGGCGGGCGAAACTAAAAACTTTTTCGTTGAAAATGTGGAAGATCTGCGGAGCAGGAAAGAAGTGAAAATGCCTCGGGGGGGAAGGGGGGCAGAAAATAAGGAAATCGTTATCAGTCGTCATGCGTAATCGAAACAAAAGATTGAAACGGAGAAGACCGCTTCATCTCAAAACCGACTCAAATTTCCGTGGGCAGGATTACCGTGGTCTTCCACGAACACAGCCGATGTCCCAATAAGGCCCCGCGGTTTATTGTACTTCGCAAGAAACCCAATCGATCACATAGAGCCATGAAGTGGAAGACGTTGTAAGGCCATCAAATACCACAAGGAAGAGACGGGAGAGGTCCACCACGCGCGAAAAAAAAGTCACTGTGCGCCAACCCAAGCCGTGTGTGCACAGGCTATAGATTGAATAGGCGATGAGCTGAACGAACCCATGTCTGAAAAGGAAAAGTCAAGTCTCCTTCAACAAAACAGTCAACGTGATGAAAAACAAGATGGGCGTGGAAAGCGCAAGTAGCCGGACTCCATGGCAATTTCTCAAGCACTTTATGCCACTCACCCTCTAATCACAGGCGACGACGGAGAGTCGTTCATGAATCCGTTTTGAAAGGTCTGATGGTATGGGTAGCGATGGGACATCGGAGACGGTGAGCTGCGAGGAGATGTACGCGGGCTCGGGGCCGCCGGTGACCTTGCTCGGGATTCACGAGGTGTTTCAACAGAGGGAGAGGGTGGCTCGAGATGTGCTGGGGAGCCGGGGGAGAGAGGAGGTGAGGGTGTTCCAGAGGGGGGCTTTCTGGCATCCTCGCCAGGAACATTCACAGCGAAGGTTTGTTTGGTGGTTGGGGACTTGGAGGACCCATACTGTGTCTGGTTAGTGCCAAGGTCTTTGACGCCAAGCTTGGATCACTTACAAAGCAGTACTTATCGACCAACTCTTTGTACACCGAGGACTCGAGACACGGCTTGCTAGAAACCAGTGAGGAAGGCTTCGGATTTTCTGCGGGGGCTCCAGAACAGGACTTGCTCACTGTAGAAGACTCGCCCCGCAAATTATCTGAGACCTTCCGGACCGGTTTAGCGTCAACATCGGTGGGCTGTCCAGATCGTGCTCGTGTCGTCAAGGTTGTTCGATCCATAGGAGGCTTGGTCCGAATCGCCGCATTTAAAGAGGCGCCAAAGTCGTAGCGATTGCCAAATGCCTGAGGACTAGGCTTTTCCCGACGTTTTGGGGGCTCGCATGTATCCATATCCTCCGACGATACTTTAGTCAAGGGCATGCCCTTAGAATCATCAAAGGGATTAGAGAAGGGTACGTTCTTGATGATCTCGGGGAAGTCGTTAAACATTGGCGGCATCGAGTGGGGACGTGTGTGGGAACCGGTGAACGTCCGACTGCGGGGAAGTGCAGGTCGGGATCCACCTTTTGGCTTGCTAGATGTGGTGGTCTTGGGCGCTTTGTGAAAATCGACTTGGAAGTTCATGCCATTATTGTTGTCCCAGTACTCCTGACCATCGACGATGTAGCGAATGCAGAGGTAAAGGGTCTTGTTCTCGAGGTTGGTCTGGTCACCCAACTTGATGTCGAATGAAAACCGGTCGGCCGCATCTTGGGTATGGTTGCGGCGGATATCGTGGCAGTAAACTGCACTCACTTCTGAGATAGTTCTCCAATAGTCAAAGGTGAAGCGGGCAACCACGTGCTTGTGGAATGCCAGGTTTGCCACAGCAACCGAACCGACCAAGACATTCTTATCACCTGAAAGGTACATCCTTTCGAGACGAACGGGCATTGTGGCGCGAGATGAGGAGTCCTTGGGGAAGTTGGCAAGCCGAAGCTCCCACTCCCATGAGGGGGTGGTATCTTCATGTTGTTGGCTAAAGGGAAATTCACTCTCCCCGTCATGGTCATCTACTGGGGATGTCTCGGCACTGACAGCCAATGGTCGATCGAGCTGTAAGAAATGACGGATGTGCTCCAATTGTGAGTCAAAATGCACTGCCTTGGCATATACCGGAGTACCCGGCATGCTCGACGGTCGACGTCGAGCCGTTGCGGGCCGGAGGGCCGGTCGAACCAGTTCGCCCGACTTCTTCCGAACCATCATTGGCTTGGGTGAGTTGTCGGCATCGCTGTCGTCAGGGGAACTTGTTAGTGCCTCCTCCTGGCGTAAAGAAATAGCAGACTCGGTAGATGATCGGGAGTGGGAGATTTTCCGAGCTGTCTTGGATAGTCGTAAATGGTGTTTGGTGTTTAGGGTGGGGAGTGGGGTGGATTGCTGTGTTTGACTCGAAGAGGGTCGAGCCTCGGTTCCTATCGTTGCCGGACCCATTCTCTCCGGAGATCCTTCTTTTCGTTGTTCAATGGCCTTGAAAGCTGCCTCGAGATCCTCAATCTTGATAGCTGTCTGGTCAGGTGACTCCTCGTCCGAGTTCGGGGCTGATTCAGGAGGCGAGATTATCGCCCCCGGTGGGATGGCAGCATGGTTCAACGGAGGTGGAGACTGGCGGAGACTAGCATGGGGGTCAATTATGTTGCCATCCAACCGTGCAGAAGCGGGAGTGTGCACGGGGGATTTGGAGGTAGAGGGAGACCTCCGGTGTCGTCGAACATACGAGGTAGAGGAGTAAGATCGAGAGCCCTGCAGACGATCTGAGGCAGATCGAACCAAACCAGGTTTTTCTGATTTTTCTGGTAGGACGTCCGGAGTGGGTCCACAAAATTCAATGTGCTGCGCGGCGAGCAACGACTTCAACGGCGCAGTGTAGGGCATCCGGCCGACTTCTGTGTCTCAACACAAGAAGGTGAGATTCAAAGAATGCTCGATGTCGTTTCAATTACAAAGCATCAGATTCTATTCAGAGTGGTGGTTAGTCATTGCTTTGAGTTGATGGTACGGCGGAAAGGCTGGTCTGAGGAGGCAAGAGAAACAGACAGCACGCAGATAGCAGCACTGAGGCGGGATTGTGATTAACAGGGGGATGGCGTGAAGGACAAAGGACTGTAGTACGGACTGGCAAGAAGACGCGGACCAGGACGAGATGGAAAGTAGGATAGCACCTTCCAAGTGACACGGAATAGGAAGGACCGGCTGGTCAAGAAAGCAATAGGCGAAGAATTGCAATTGAGGGGTAAGAGTGAAGAGTGAGGAGTGAGGAAATGGAAATGCAAGTGGAAGTGGGATGGTAAAATAGGAAGGAATGGAGCACCGCAGTACAAGAAGCTTATCAAACCTTACCGTAGTATGTCAAGCCAAAAAAAAGTGGTGGTGGCGAGATTATCAATGGCGAGATCGAATGTGCAAGGTTTGGGTGGGAGGGAGAAATAAAAAAGAAGTAGCAGGAATGTATCAAACGAAAAAGTACAAGAATAAAAAAGAGTCGAAGAAATTATGTCGGATTGGATGATCGGGATCAATGATCACCTCACCCCGGTACCTCAAAGGTATCCGATAAGTCGTAATGCGGAGGGGCGAATCAGATTTCCATTCCTGGGAACCGTTGGAAAATCAAGAATGGTTTTGATAAGCCCGGATCCCACTCCCATATAAAATCCCGAGGGAAAGTAAGAAAAAGGAAAAGGGGGGAGAGATTCTTTTTGGGGGAAAGGAAAAGAGAAGAGATAAAACCAGGGAATTATAGCTGCCTTTTGCATAAAAAAAAGCCCACGGGAGGGTTGTAGGGGCAAAAAAAGTGGAACAAGATAAATAAAGACGCTTTACAAGCGCCCATTGGCAGTGCGTCTTGCTTTGCATCGACTCCGCTTGGTACTGTCAGTGCGTCCCGTATAGCATGGTTATATGGACACGCCAATGTGGGTCGAACTTCCAAGGAATTACCTGATTTTTTTATTTCTTTTTTAATTCTTTTCTTTTTTAGTTCTAGACTTTACTATAACGCCCCCATGAACGGAACTAGTACTATACTCTGACTACCAGGTACCTCGTTTCTCTCATGTAGATTTTAGTTTTCACTTTCAACCTTTTTTATGGTCCTTTGGATAAAACAAAAAATCAAAATTCCGAATTATCCGCAGGTAACACATTTCACCAAAGCCTGGATGATCTCCATAAAAATGATCTCGATGTATGTCTTCTCTACGTAGGGGCTCCGCTCACTAGCTTGATAAATCTCCATTTTCCTCATTTTTTGTGTTCCCTGTTTCTGGACTGACGTATTGCAATTGTATCACCTTTTTGATTATGCGGCTGGGGTAAGAAGAAATCAAAATGGGAGTCGAACTGCACTTTTTAAAATTAAATAATTAAAAAAAAATGGTTTCCAAAAAATTAATTCGAAATAGCGTTTGAGTTCAAGATCCCTTATCAAGACTGTTTCTGAGTAGTAGTAAAAGGTCCGAGTCCCCCGATGCCCCCAATAGTCCATCGGTCCAGATTTCAACCAAACTCTTTTTCTCTTTCTCTTTCTCCGATATAACCCCAAAAATATATAGAAATTCTCATCTAAACACATCAACTCCGTTAAAAAGTCCCCCCGGATTCTTAGATTCTCCAAACTTTTGGCCCTCTTGTTAGAAGGTTTGATCTGACCCTGTCCGCCCCGGTTATCGCCCCAAAGTGCTGGGATTTGCGACCGCGGAACCATCAAACCATCAACCCCCCCCCCCAACCCACCAAAAACCAAGGAAGTACATCGTATACTACGTTACCAGATCCTCAATTCCCCTCATCTTTCATTCAAGTAATCTAAAGTTTTAATCTCACCATGTAAGGAGGGCGTCCAAATGACCTCTGCAGTGGGACGCGACACTGGATTTTACTACGGTTTTCCTTTTTCAGCCTCGAGGGGCGACACAGGCGCTCCATTGGAATGGAGGGGCAAGTGGCTCAGGCATGAAATGTTTTTCTCCGTGACATGCATAAGTGCAGAACATTTCATTGGGGATATCTGGTATCTTGTTCAACGTGTGGATCGACCTAGCAGCAACCAATGCACTCCGTAATACTCCACTTCAACGTGCCGCCAAAACCCGGAGTCGATGGGGCCACTACGGTAGTCAACTATGAGCAAGTTTCAGGTCTGATTAGATGGCGCAACAGATATCGATGAATTTTCTCTCTGCCAAAGAGATCTTTGCTTCTTATCATGCTTTATCTTGTTCCCACTTCAACCATTGACTCGTTCCGGATCTGGTTCCAGGGTTATAATAGCGGCAGTGGTAATTCCACGTCCCCCAGAGATAGACGAAGCAACCAGAGTATATGACGTCATAGTGCATTCTGACAGGCCTGAGAGTTGAATATTTCCTTGGTTTATTCCCCCTTGGCGGGAAGGTCTGGGCCTGTGTCCCAGTTTTTCGTGCAGTTTGGACTATGTAGTATATCTTTTCCCGTTGATTATGCAACATCAGAGGCTTCTAATGAGGTTCGCGGGAGCACCGGAGCACCGGAGCACTATCAGCCGCAGTGAGAATACCCTTACTTCATTTTTTTTCTTTTTGGTTGGCGCTTCTCAAGGTCCCCGATACTTATAACATATCAATTTTACCGACTCCGGGAATGATCCATAGATTCAAGAATTAACGTACTTGTACAAAGGTACTGCCGTTTATTTACTGTGGAACGTTAAAGAAGGAATTCCCACAGGGGCTAACCAAGTATCACAGTGAAGGGGAAAGATAAAAATCATCATGTATATTGAGTGGATTTTGTCGGGAAACTCTATTCCGTGTTTCACGATACCACAAGCGCCAACAACTTATGAAAACCTCCTCGGGAGGCGCATGTCTCATTGTAAGTTCATTTTACCTTTTTACTGAGGTCGCTTGCATGATACGCTATTTTGAAACCGTCCTGCGTCTAAATCCCCAACCACTTCTCATTAGTTGCAGAAAAATTTTCCTCTTTTTTGCCACCGTTAATATAGTGGCAGTAAAGTGGTGGCTTTTAGGATCCCATAGCGCTAAGCCTCAGATTGGCAAAGCCGAGCTAGCCAAATAAGTCTCCACCGGGGAGTGGATCAGGGCAGTTCGGCTAGGCTTGTAGTAGTAAAGGAATGTTGTAAAAATTCGAGACTCTTGAATCCAGTTCTCATCTGACACTCTAATTCTTAAGATCATCCTGCGATCTCTCCCGGCCTGCATAACAAGGCTGCTCGTGATGGTTGATCTCTCCAGATTTTGTTTCCCGACCCCCTCCCCCTCTATCCACCCCCACCTCATGCTGGGGGGGCTGTCCCACAGTTTGTGATCAATGCGTCCCCGGAACACCTACCAAACAAAACATCTAGATCGCTCGATAACGGTGATCTGTGTATGGGGTTGTGGCTGATAAGAGACCCATGGCCAACCTAGTCGTCTCGGTGAAGCAAGGTTGCAGAAGGTTTGCGACCATTGATGTACCTTCTTGCAGACGATAACGCTCGTTGGCTACTTTACCCCCTGATTTCTAACCAGAATGCTGTATCCCTCCGTGCACTTTTCGTCCGTCGACTTTAAACCCGTTGACCCTGTTTTGTGAGGGCGATCTTCTTCATCACTTGAAAGAACGTGCATTAACGCATTGGTCGCATGTATGGCACTACCGAATCACGCCTTGTACCCATGCTAGATTCATTCGTTGTACCACCCCAGCAAAGGTGGTCGATGCGCAACCCCGAGCGGTCGGACCAAGACCTGCCACCATGTTCTTCTCTTGGATTGGTAGCTGAACTGGAGAGTTCAGCCTTAGATCTTAATTTTCGGACCTCCAAGCGCTTGCTTCTTATGGTTTCAGACTATCTTGCGATCAAACTTTCTACCCTTTTTTTTTTTGATTGTATGCTTTTTCCAATGGACTCACCGCTTGGAATCCACTTACTCAATGGCCAATTTCCAATCCTTTCTACTCACCGGTACGGCCTAGGATCGTTATACGGGATCCAGCTTGCATGGGCGGTATGGTGGCTGAACCTTCAATGGAAGCTCCCCTTCGGCATCTAGCTGCCGAGTCAATGAAATCAATACATCTCATATTTCTTACCCCTCGGTAAAATGAACTTTGAGATGCACACACACCCCGCAAAACACTGATCTGGCCATCTACCACCAGCTCGCCACGAAACTGAAAATGAGATAGATGAGCAATTGTACCGGCCAGGATAGTCGTCATTGCCATTGCGATTGGATCTCCATGTCTAATGGGGATCCATCTACCCCACGGAGAGTCAATCGTCCTAAAGATGCACGCAATTTGACTTCGGATATGCAGACCCCGCAGAGGGATATGATCCGGGGTCTACGTTCACTTGAGTTGCGGCTCCCCTGGTCATATTTGTGGGGAGTATGGTCGCGATTCGCGATAGTAAGGCGATCTCACGAATAGAAACACGCGTTACCTACACATTGACCGCCTAGCCTTATCTCGGCTTCATCATGGCGAAAAAGTCGGTGTGCTTCCCGAATTTTTGCTTTCAGGACTACCGATGGCCCTGTGACCTGTCTATCTGATATGATTCCAGAATCATCGATTTCTCTATCAATGTCTTTGAATTTTCTGAAACGGAGCTGAGTTTCGGGAAATATCTTGCTCGTGGAACTTCCCTATCTGCAATTCCGTTGCACTACTGAGACACCCGGTCTGATCATGCAGTATCTCGCATCACGCAAGAAAAGAAAATCCTTGGCGCCTTATATGCATTGCGTCGGACACATGATCATCATTTGTAAAACGTACAGGGATGCTGACACGTTATCACTAGGGTTATCTAGGCACAACAGTTGATTGCAGGGCATACGTAGACGTCGCCCCATCCACATAACTTGGCGATTCAGTACCTCCATGTTCCAAGGGCCGTGCGCTTCGACGCTCAGGGACCACCGTTTCTGGTCTGTGCGATGTTTCAAAGAAAAAAAGTCCAAAATTGAAGTTTTTAAGGGATATGCAACCCCTCTGTGGGTCTCTCCCCACATCGTGTATTGCAAAATAGTAACACATCCTAATGTACTCCGTATGCCCCAGATAGTTTGATTTCCCATACTACTGCACGGCATACGAAAGCGCCCAGTCCTGCTAAGGAAAGTATGTAACGGCCTAGACTTGCTCTGCCGTCGTCAGTGCGTACGATCCCGGGGATATTACTCGACGGTTGGCGCATAGACAGTGGGGTCGGTGGCTGTATATTGACTGGTGCCCTGCACTCCAGACATTAGGCAGTGCATTAGTGCAGTGAACTGACAATTGCTTCTGGATAGCAAGAGGTCAGTGCATGGCGTCATCTGTTTAGAGTAGGGTGTCCTGAAATTGGTCATTATCTCAGGGGCTGTCACTTGAATTGTTTTATTATTTGCAAGTATACCCCGAAATGATCTGAGGCGCGGGGGTCCACTTCCTGTTAAGGTTCATGCCGTCTATACTTCCCTCCGATAATATCGGATTGTCGAATATGGCATTCCACGCCATCTCAAGGTTCCGCCATTCGTATACTACCCTCAGACCCTGTCAGCGGCAAGCTAGCTCCCATCTTGGCTATTGGTGATCGTGGATCGTGCTGCCCAACCCACGAGTTGTTATAGCAGATCTTTACTAAACTGTCAGGTATACCGAGGTCTGCATTATCCATTGGCCCTTAGATAAGTAGGTCACGAGCAGGAATTAACATTTGAAGTGAACCCTTATCTTACAATCTCTATACTTGATTTATCGTCAAATGAATTTGCCTGCTTAATATGGGTCTGAAAATGAGGTTACGTTTCTCTATTATCACCAAGTCTCAGAATCCACTTGGCGGGAGAGGCGCCAGCCAAGAGAAGCGCCACCGTCGGCCTAAGACTCCCATCGAAAGTCGGAGTCAGCCACTGTTCCCAACAATTCTCATTACCCATTCAGATCGAATCAAAACCGCAAGCTAGTATTTCGAGGGCAATGCCATGGCGCGCTTGCTAGAGATGGCTTTCTCATCCTTGCGCTAGCGCCACGGAATGTCTCCGATAAATGAAGCTTACTATTATAAGAATCTACTCAATGGTATCTTTGTTTGCGTTATCATTCGTCGGGTCAATCCGGGTCACTTGCTCAGGTGCTTACTATGACCAATTAATCCTATATTCTATCTTATTCTATATCATTATTTGTCTCCACATTGATATTTACATGACATATTACCTATCTAGGTAGGTGTATCCACTGGTGAAGGGTCCATATATCCTGTCATCAGCGATTACCGATTAGCGAAAGTAATCCCCGAACGTTTTCCGTGATCTACTACCCGAACAGGTACAATAGAGGATCACCCTGTGGGGTCTGGGGCCTAGGGTCTGGATGTGTACAGTGCTCGGCCCTCCACCCTAGAGCGCTTAGTCTATTGTTGATGCTTTGGTGTTTGACCATACATATGCCTACCCCGGGCCTTGCTTACATGGCTTTCAGTCACCCCCGCAATTGACGAAGCCGAGATTCTTATCGACCCAGCGCACTTAGTTGCCTACGGACGATCACAAAGCTCAGCTCTCATTAGTCCCGTTAGAAGCCTCGAGGCTGCATATGCCCTGCGCCCCCGTCAAATTGCGGGGTGGGGCTCCTCCAATGCCAGTTCAGATCCTGCTTATCAACCTGAGACTAGAGAAACCCCGCGATGCTGCCAGCGTGCCATTAGGTTGGCAACGTCCAAGCACCGCCTGTACGCGTCACAAGCGGAATGCTCTGGAACGCCTTGGAGAGGGCTAGCACCAATTCCTCACGGTAAGAACTTCCTATTTCCCCTCTTTTGTTATGGTATCTCTGCCCCTCACTTCCAACAGCTATCCTGTACCGTTGTGTTTTTGCTGTCTTGTCAGCCACACCCGAACCTGACGATCAGACCCCGGGTTTCCCTTTCCCCGGAGGTTTCTCAAGTGGCCCCAAGCCCCTTCTTCTGTTGCTGTGAAAATCAACCCCCCCATGGTCTCAGCACTTCCCCGCCCACGGCTAAGGACATCCCGTTTCACCTGCATCGTGCGGCGTGCGCCGGGAATTCCGTGCTCAATGCTGAATGACCGTCTGCAAATATTTAGCAGAGCCCCGGATGTACCGGTAACACAGATTATCCCCCCTACGCACATGATGTGCCAGTTGCCAGGCTATCGTTCCGGTGTTCCGGCATGGAGCATGGAGCATGGAGCATGAAGCATGAAGCATGAAGCGTCGAGTTTCGAGAATCTAAGCTGCAGGGCGAAAGGCAGTGTAAACGGGTCTACGCCTTGCAGGTTTCAAGCTAGTCTATCATTTCCGTCGTACAGAATTTCTACGACTACAGTTTGGGACACTGGCCTAGGAAAGGTCGAAATCGGCTGTGGAAACATCCGAAACATCCCTGCTAATACAGATGATCAATGCATCGACACCATGCGCTATACCTCCCCTTACCTCCCCCAATTTCTTCCCCACTTCCCTTTGTTAGTGGCTTGAATCTTTGCACTAAAGACTGAGCTGGCCAAAGCCACGACCGCCACTTCGGACATGTAACGTTTGGAGGGGAATTTGAAAACTTTATCGGCAAACTCGCCTCAGTGGCAAGCGGTCTACAAAGCTCCGACCTTGGCCACAAAAGGGTCGAAGCTCGAAGTATCCTCCTTGTCACTGCGAGGTACTTTGTGGCTTTTGACTTGGTCGGACCCTCATCGAGCGTACTCGGTGTCGAGGGACGTGTCTTGCATTGCCGCCACAACTGATCTGCAGCAAGCGAGCCAGACGGATGGTTTGTGGCACGACAGCTGGTAATAGTAAAGGGCTTTAATGTTTCTGAGAAATGGATAAAGTTTTCTCAACAATCTTGGGGCAGTGCAATTGCATTGTTTGGTGAGGATAATGATCAAAGACACCCTGGGCCCAACCTTGAGCGGGCTTGACTTCTCGTCCGATATGATTGTGAGTTTTATGACATATTTGCGTTGGAAATATTAGAAACGCACCCAGAGAATCCTTGGACCTGGGTGAATCTTATACTGGCATGCTCTGTTTACAATTGGCGGTTCCTCATAATTATTTGCTCGCATCAAGACATGGTCAAGTAATCCAATATCGCTAATTATAGGTTCGCAAGTCATCACTGAAATCTTTCAAAGCCTCAAGATGTACCGAGTTGCATATAGATATGCTGTTCAAATCGTCTGATGGGAGGGATTTGGTAGGCAAAGTCATGCCCTGCTTTCATGTTTAATCAATGATCTAGTTGTAGAAATGACTTAAACGAAGACCTTAAGAGTTGAACTGGGTTCACTGTCGAGGAAGTGGCCATTATTACTTGAGTAGGAAACACTTCTGCATCTGTTTTCCATTTGAATAGGACAATACCTCGAATGCGACTCATTCGAGAAGCAACAACATCGGGTCGCCATACTCTTGACTTGTGGGCTTCCCCATCAAAGTATAGCTGATGAGTTGTGTTGTCTTATGGCATGAGCTGTCAAGCGGCGATACCAGCATGACTGGTTGTCGCCCAATCACGGGGTCTGACAAGTGCTCCTCTCGAATTCACAAAGACTTTTGAGTGTTTTCGCTTGGTCAACTCTGGGAAATTTCTGGATGGATCTCGTATGTACTAGAGGCTTTGATTATGGTGTGGTGATGACTGATTGTTTCAAGGTAGTTAAACTGTGACGCCAAGTAGGACGATGAAACCGCAACCCAACTCTCACAGACGGAGCCACAAGTCAGATTTACCAAAAGTGCGGGAAACCCCCAAAAAAAGTCCGACGAAATAAAAAGACAAAGACGAAAGAAAGCCAGAAGAAAGCAAAACTTGAAGTTACCTTATTCGGGATCACGATAAGCTTGTGGGGAAATCGTACCTTAATCATTTCCCATTCCAAGTTTCCACCGCCTGATCCGTGGTTTCCCACATTCTCCGTCCCTTGGATCTGGCTCTATAAACAACACTTATCTGCTAATGTCTCAGCAGGCGCCTGGGCTCGCAGACCTGGAGAAAGAGCTAGGATGCTCGGTATGTGCGCCAAGTTCCCTTCCAGAAATTGCCATCCAACCCCTTACGTGCGACTGACTGTCTTCCAGATCTGCACAGAGCTCCTCTATCAACCCCTCACTCTCCTCGACTGTTTACATACCTACTGTGGGTCTTGTGTGAAAGAATGGTTTACCGCTCAGGCGTCGCGTGAAAAATCTCAAGGCTCCCCCAGATTTACCTGTCCTTCATGCCGTGCCGATGTGCGCGGTACTCGCCCTAATGCCACCGTGACAACACTCTTGGATATGGTCTTGATGGCCAAGCCAGACCGGGGCAGGTCGGAAGCTGAGAAGCAGGAGATTGCAGAACGATACAAGCCGGGGGACTCAGTCTTCCCACCGCCGCGAACGGAAGCGGAGAGTTCAGAAGATGAGGATGATCAACGACTTATGGAGGAGGTTCGCGATGTGAGTCTTCGTGAGAATCGGGTACACTCGCGGCGAGAAGAACGACGCGAAGAACGGCGCAGAACGCAACCAGAAACCAGCCGAGCGAGGAGCAGCAATCCCGAGAACAGGCACACAGATGATGGGAGGTCTCGACGGAGGCGAGAGGAGGACGCCGAACGGCAGCGGCGCATAGAACGAGCCCAGGCTGAGTCCGAGCATGCCAGGCGTGTCGAGCACCAGTCAAGTTTGCGATCACTGATCAGCATGTCATCTGAGACTGAGACAATGGAACAAGAGATTCTACGGCAGATTATGGAGGAAGGACTGCTCCAAGATATCGACCTCGAGAGCCTTGGCCCTGCACAAGAGGAGGAGCTCAGTGAGCGAATTGCGGCTGCCTACCGTCGGAAGCACATGGAACAATCGGGTGCACGTCCAGCGCAAAGACCGAGGCAGTCGTCCGATGGCACCCATCGTTCGCATGGGCGATCGAATTCAGCCCACAGATCGGGTGAAATAACTACTACATCTCGAGACGCCAGTGACAGACGACCACCCTTATCCAGACCCCATCTACTTGACTCAGCTGCTCCTCACCCGCCTCCAAATCATCACCGAAGTAACTCGGAACAGGGCAGTGGCAACCGGAGAGCGTCACCTGTTCGAGTAAACCAAGCATCAAATTCCGACGACACTTTGCGGCCTGCGGTTCGTTCTTCGAGCGACATGACAAGTGAGCGTCCTCGTAGCTCTCACAATGGGAGAGAGTCGTCTTCTCAACGGTCGCGACGAGCTACGGGATCAGAACAGCCCACCTCTGATGTATGGACAGGAGGGAGAGAACGAGCTTCCGCCAGACAAACCAGCAGTCAATCCGTCACTAACTCTCCTACTTCCGCGGCACCATCAAATGCATCCCATACCTCAACTCCACCCGTTCCTGTCAGATCTGATAGACGACCGAGGCCAGCTTCTTCGCGACCAAATGCCCCTCCATCTTCAAATCTGCAGTACGCTGAACCTTCCATCTCATGCGACCGATGCGGGAAAACAAATATTCAATACGACTTGCATAAGAGATGCCTCAAGTGCAATGATGGAAATTATCACCTCTGTTTACAATGCTATCGGTTGGGTCGGGGCTGTCTTCAATGGTGTGGGTTCGCTTCAACCGCGCAGTCCACATTTGAACGAATGCTGGCATCATCAAATGGTCAGCCAGTGACCGAACGTGAAGGTGGCCATATACTCAGCTCCTTTAAATATCAGCGGCCTGTCGACACGGCTCAAATTACCACGAATGGAGAGATGCAAATGACAAATGATAACCCAGCCCATCGCCTGGAAGTTGGGCTATTCTGCGACATTTGTAGGTCCTCCGCGAATGAGTGCTACTGGAAGTGCAGCCGCTGTAACGATGGAGATTGGGGATTCTGCAATCGCTGTGTCAATCAAGGCAGATGCTGCACTCACCCTCTGCTACCGGTTCGTTACCTAAGTGGCACTTCAGCTCCGAATTCATCCGCCCCGGTCGCAGTGCACAACGCACCTGTTGAAACTCTGGGGAGCTACAAAATCCTTTCATTTTCTACCAATTGTGACATCTGCACCTATCCGATTCCGGCCTCGGTTACGAGATTTCATTGTCTTCAATGCAATTCGGGGGATTATGACGTCTGTACGAATTGCTATTACAAGCTTGTGGCAACCTCAAAGATTAGCAAGGAGAACGGCTACAGTGGCTGGCGCCGGTGCCTGGCTGGTCACCGAATGATTAACGTTGGCTTTGAGGACCACCAAGATGGCCAGAGACGTGTTGTGGTGAAAGCCCTAGTTGGTGGTCATGCTCTGAAAGATGAGCACGTTAACCAATCACCTACATCACCGACCGCAACTGCTCCTATCGCATCTCCCGAGCTGGGCATTGGTGATTGGAGCTGGAAGGAGGGACAAGATCGTCGCAAAAAGGCATCTCGTGCACGTAACTCTCTCACCTTCCCCATCAGGTCACATTCCTCAGATGCGGACTCTGTATCTCAAAACGGCAACACTCCTACCTCTCAACATGCCTCTGCTCTCCGCCGTTTCCCGCCCGATGGAGGTGTTGGTCTCATTGTCTTCGCACTGTGGTCATATTACCCTGAGGAAGGGGTGCAGGATGAGCTCGTCTTTCCTCGTGGTGCCGATATTACAGAAGTCGAGAATATCAACGATGACTGGTTCTGGGGGTGCTACGCTGGCCGTACGGGGCTCTTCCCTGGATCTCGTGTTACTCCTGTGGGAGAGATTCAGTAAACATGATCACATGATTGGGGCGCTTTGATATTTACCTATTCTTTAACGCGATGTGCTTTCCATGAAGTTATGATCATGATCACGATATGGATGAATGCATGTGTACCGAATTAACGATTTATTTTTGTATTGGAGCCTATGTTTAATACTGTCTCGAAACAAAATATTGTATTGGCTATTAAATACGATTATAGTATGCTGTCAGGCATGAACACTGATGATGATTTTGTAGGCCTGAAGGAGTTCCGAGCTCTTCTCATCAAACATTGAAGGCATTAATTCATACTTAACGACAGATATCAAGATAAACATTAAAGACATGAGCGCAGTGGTCCATCAACATAACACTACCAATAAAATGTACACAAAATTCATAAGACGTGCAGGGCAAGAGGTCACTACTCTAATAGAGCAACCATCAAGCGCTCATAGTCACCCGAGGTCTCCCCACGCACACGCTGGATCAAGTCCTTCTTGTACCTATGACGATAGGCACGCTTCACCTGATCTTTATGATCCCGATTCCAGTGCATACGCACAATTCTCGTAACCAGAGCCTCATCCTTTGTCCCCATGCCCTCCATGCATTCCTCGAGCAGAATAGCATCACGCATAGCCGGATCCGTCGCACTCCGCACAATGTGCACATAAGCCTTTTCCATATGGCCCGAGTAATCCTTCACAACAACCTTCTCCAACGAAGTATGATACCTCGAACTCAATTCATGATCAATAGCCCTCAACTCCGCATCCGACGAAGTAGCCAGAATATCAAGCGCCCGATCCTTCTGCTTCGCATGCACAGCAGCAACCTTAGCACTAATATCCTGTGGATTGCAAGGCATCGATTCCTCATGCCTCCTAGCCTCCAAAACCCGCTTGAACAAGACCGCCGTCTTCATCGACAAATCATCCTCAACATCCCGAATAAGATGACGATGGTATTTGCGCTCATAAGCTGTCTTGATAGCATTTAGATCCGCATTGGATCTACCAAGAAGTACATCATTCATCAACCACTCCTTCGTGCCAATCCCGTCGATCGACTCCCGCGCACAGCTCACGTCGTGTCCTAGCGGGCCCTCGATCAAGGCTAAGAGTCCCTGACCCAGGTACCCGCCCGTCTCGGACTTGACGTCCTTATACAGATCGCGGCCGATGTGTTGGGAGTAGGTGGCGCGTACTGCGGCCATCTGGAGCGGGTCTAGGTGTGCAAGAACTTGGATCAGGGCTTTTTCGTCCGTGCCGAACCCTTTCATCGCTTTGCGTAAGATGTCTGCTTCGCGACGGAAATCGCCTGGTGCTACTTGGCCCGGCGCGTAGCCTAGGGATGGCATTGCTGGGGCGCCATAGCCCATGGGTGGTGCGCCGTATGCGCCGGGTGGTGCGAAGCCCGGTGCGCCGCCAATTGGGGGTCCTGGGGGAGGCGCATAGCCTTGGGGTGGTGCTTGGCCGTAGGGCGCTTGGACAGGCGGTGCGCCGTATCCTGGCTGTGGTGATGGTGTGTGGTGATATCCGACTGGGGGTTGGGGGGAGGGCGCATGGTATCCTGCGGCTGGTTGGGGAGATGGTGCGCCGTAGTAGCCCTGTTGCTGAGGGGGTTGGCCGTATTGACCCTGCTGGGGTGGATAGTGGCCTTGTGGTGGAGGACCAGTGGGCGCGCCGTATTGCTGTTGAGGCTGTTGAGGGTAGGGAGGTTGTTGTTGGTAGCCAGTGGGAGGATAGCCCTGGGGAGGAGCTCCGTAAGGTGGTTCTGGTTCATGCGCGTCAGCTGTTTGATCGATCTGCGGGGCAGGGTGGGGTATAGGTATACTCACGAGATTGATAATGGGACATGATTATATTGAATGTATCAAGAGTTGATCAGATGGTTGGATGACCCGGAGCATTTAAATTAATAGCAAGAATGAATCCGGTGCCTGGTTCCGTGTTTCTTTAGTGTGGCGCAGTCGGTTCGGTGGGGTCTAAGGGTTCTGTACAGCCTTGTCGCTTTCTAGGGAACATCTGACGTCGATGCCCAGCTACACAGCCTTCTCAGCCACTGGACTTGATTTATGAATTTTTGATGTGGTCAGGAACCGGTTAAATATACGGCCTCGGATTTTCATCCTCTAATCCATTTAACATTAAGTATTGTTCGGATTGTCTGTGAGTAAGTGGAGATAGATAAGGAAACGTGGTGAAGATGGGAGGAATAGCATCAAAAATTAAAAATCGAACAGACATAACTCCAACAAATCACGCATAGTCTGGTAGGTCTGTTATCACAGACCAGGCATAAGGCTTTTTTCTCCATAGCCATTTTTTCAAAGTTTCTTAGGAAACAAGCAATTATTTTTGATTTTACTATATAGAATTCAAATTAGATAGCACCATAAACATCCTGGTAGAAACCTGATCGTTTCTATACAATAATCATTTTGTAGTAACTTTCTACTTTGGTATTTTTAAAAATACTCGGTGTTCAAATTTGCATCTTTTGATTTCACCATATAAATTTAGATTAGGTAGAATTATTAGATTCTAGTGAGAATACTGATCATTTCTGTGTGCAACACTCATTTCATAGATATTTCTGCCTTAGGCCATATTTTACAAGGGCTTGAAGAAGTCTTTTTGACTCCCATTCTTACCTTCTTAGGTCATACATACATGACTTTTAATTTGTGCTTGATAGTTCAAAATTGGCTATTTACTTAATTCATATGATCCCATCTTCAATGTCAAAAAGAGATTAAACTTTAATTATCATATCGTCATGTAAGTAATCAAATAACCTCCAACTGAGTAGGTATACTCTTCGCAATAGAGACCGCGAGGTCAATGCATGTCTTTAATCATAGATTTGCCTCCCCGTAAATGCTGGACTTCGGTTTGTCAAAAGGAAAAGACAGAGGTAAAGTGGAAGAAAGAAAAAGAAAGATAAAAGATAAAAGAAGAAGAAGAAGAAGAAGAAGAAGAAGAAGAAGAAGAAGAAGAAGAAGAAGAAGAAGAAGAAGAAGAAGAAGAAGAAGAAGAAGAAGAAGAAGAAGAAGAAGAAGAAGAAGAAGAAGAGAGCAAATAGAACGAGAAAAAAGGCGAAAATTAAATAGAGCTCCAAAGGGTATAATCATATACATCATATCATATCAAATCATCATTTAGACGCTGGCAGTGCGTCTCTTGACCTCACTAGGCTTCTGCGCATATGCAATCAACATACGGAATCCAGTTCCGCGTTGCTGGCATTCGCGAAGAACCTTACGGTCATTCCACATGCTAGGATCATTATCACCAGTGTCAGGGAGCACAGGATCCTCATAACACTTCGTATACCACCAACGACCGACACGAGCCACAATCTTAGCGATCGACTCATCATTGGCGGCAGAGGGTGAGGGGTCTGAAAGAAGGTCTCCCAGGGAGATGCTTGTGTCATCGGAAGGAGACGACTTTGAACGTGTCCGGGTGCTCTGGCTACCCGTCGTTGTAACAGAGATAGTCGGGAGAGAGAAACCGGTGGATGAAGTGGTGGCTGTTGCCAGGAACGATTTATTCGAAGAGGAGGTTGTGGAGCCGGAGGATCGAACAACCATACCTGCTACGGGAATGCGCACCATGCATCGGCGGAGATTGTCAAATCCCTGTGTACCAAGAAGACGCTGGACGTTATCGCTACTTGGCTTGAGACTTATGGCTGGGTTGGCGAGGCATGTCATTTCCTTGAGGCGACGGACCGTTTTGCGGGCGCGGGCACCCATGTTCACCATGTCCCGGTCTAGAACGGTCATTTCCAGATAGCCGCCTGAGCGGAGGACACGCTTGCATTCCTGGATAATATTGTTTTGCATCGCCTCGGGACTGGCTGTAGGGAATCGCAGGACTGTGGCGGCAAAGTAATCTTTGGGAAATGGGAGCGGGTTTTGTAGACCGGCGTGGTAGACTGTGTGGTGGTTTGTAGGTGGCTGCCATGCTGCAGGGTGGGGCATTGCTGTGGAGACTGGGCGACCGCTCAAGCTGTATACCTCAGCATCGGGGTAGGTTAATGAGCAATAGAAAGACCAATCGTCGTTTCCGAGGCCGTCGATCACAAGAATCCTTCCGTGTGTTCCGGTCTTGACGTGGTTGTGTGCAGGACTGAAAAGAACACGCCCGAATGACAGCCAGCGACTGGTCATTAGAGAAGCAGATCTCATGTTAGTTCGAGTCACTGCGTCCCACTCCCGCTCTGATGAGCCCTGTATGGGTTTGCGACCATCGCCGGACTTTCCTTCAGGGTTGGGGGTTGTGGCTAGAGACTGAAGAAACGTGGATTGTTGCTCTTGAAACTTGTCTGGAGGTGGCTGCAAGGAATTTGCTGGACTCCGGGGTTCCTCGTCATCTCCGTAGCTGGCGATGAGGTTACTGTAAGACGGCTGAGTCGAGGGAGAGATGGAAGAGTGCAAAGCAGATACAATTCTCGACCGGCGTAGACGAACAGAGTCGCTGCTGGAACGAACTGATATCTCTCCAGGTGCAGATGAATCTGGGCGAAGGGAGTTTGGATTATTCAATTCGTCCTGAAGAGCTCTGCTCGCCATTGTTGCAAACTGGAATCTCTCGTCATTCTCCCGCTTATCAGATCCCTTTAGCTTTGGCTCTTCTGGTGAAAGAACGTGATCGATCAGATCATCGTACTCCTTCCATATTTCATCTTCCATGGGCGCAGTTTCTGGCTTGGGAACGACAGCCGTCACTGCTGCAAGAGCTTCGGCACTGCTTGAAGACGGAGAGCGCTTGTGCGGCGAGAAATGGATGAACTCATGGGCTGAATAAGGGCCAGCAAGGAAATTCAAAGCGTTGACCGTCTCGGGTGCGCTGAAACCTTGGGTATAATCATAGCCCCAGTCTGATGGCTGGCTTGATGGAATTGTTCCCTGTTGCTTCCAAGGAGAATCGTTGAGGCTTGGATAAGCGTGCGGGCCCTGCGGTGTGGGAGCTGGTAACGACGGCGGTGATTCAACAACGCTAAATGGTCGAGAAAAGGATTGTGTGGCTGGAGTGTGTTGTCTATCGCGTCTAGACACAACCTTCGGGATGCGACCCACGGAAGCCAGTCGTTTAGGCCGGCGGTGCTCGGGGCTACTTTCAGGCTCCAAATCCATCAGATTGCGGTTAAACATTGCTGTCTTTGGGGACGAACGCCCATCTTTCTCAAACTCTCCGTGCAGCTTCGGTGGAGAAGGCAGCAAAACGGACGGGTGCCTCTTTTTGATATTCAGACCTGCTGGTATCTCTACTGCCGGTGTAAAGCTTTCTTCTTCTGTAGGTGGCGAGTTCTCGATATTATTTATTATGTCGTCAAGTTCATCGGAATCGGCATCCACTAGTGCATAGTGAGCCACCGGTCGAGTGCTCAGGACTGGTGCGATCGCCGCATGAAGCTGTGCAGTGTGAGAAGTCGGTGCTGGCTCAGGAACAGAAGCTTTGGGCACCTCAGAGCGGTTTCTTTGGAAGAGATTCCACCGAGAGTTTTTTCCTTTCTTGTTGACTTGCTGACCCTCTTTCACCGTCGGAAGTTGCTGATTCAATGAACTAGCAGTTCCTTTTGAAATTTGGGGAGCTAGAGTTGTTGATGCAGCACTTGATAGAGATGTTTGAGTCTGAGCGGCTTCGGAGTTCCCAAATACCCCATGCTTCTTCCCTTTGGGCACTGGCATACGAGACTTCGGAGGTTGAGAACGATTAACAGCGCCAGAACGCCTCTCTGGGCTTTGGTTCCGGGACGATGCCAAGGTAAGATTAGATGAGTTAGGCTTCACATCACCTAGAACATCCGTAGATGTTGTTACCAATGAATCAGTGGATTGAACAGTAGAAAGTGTGAGAGGAGTCGGACGATGGAGGCTCGATGATGCAACACTAAGGCTGCTTAGGCTCTGCTCGCTTTCGGTCCGCGAAAGAGTCGAACCTCCACCGCTAATGTAGACTGGCTCGAGACGGCTCGACAGGAAGTCGTCGAGACCCAGATCTGGGCGACTTGACATACTTCCCTTGCTGCTGGCGATTGATTGTGGTGTGCTTCGGGTTGTACTCGTTGATCGGGTTCTGACACCACTGCTGCTTGCACTCGCTTTTCTCCCACGCTGACTGTATTTTCCGTATCCTTCGTGGCCAGTCCCTGCTACTGGACCCTTGCGTCTTGATGATCGGTTCTGTTCGCCAGTGTTGTTTTCCATTCCTGGCTTTGACTTTTTGTGGAAAAGACCAAATCGCTTGGGCGTGACAGGCTTTTTCGGATCGGTGTTTTCCTTCATGACTGCTGCTTTGGGAGGATCCTTGACTAATTTGGGCGATTTCCGGGTCATAATTGGAGACCCTGCTTCGCGAGACGGAATTCGAGACAAGTCTTTGGACCGGAAAGAGTCCACAGAGGTAGCAGACGGATTTGTAGTTTGATAAGGTTGAGCCGCCGCACGAGCCTTCTCTACGGATTCACGTCTCTTGTGGCCCGTTGTGCTGAGATATGGCAGATTACTTTGGATCACTGGTGATGCTTCCAAATTCAAACGATGGGTACCATCTCTGCTTGGTCGTGGCGGTGTCTTTGGGACACTTGTCGCAGGACTGGCAGAGTTGGTAATCGTTCTTTGATGTGTCATGAATAGCTCTCTCTCGGCCTCCTCAACTTCCTTCCTAGCCTTCTCCACGTCAATATCAGAATCTTTGGACGGAGAATCCTTCGGGCTAAAGTTCACGGATGACTTTCTTGGTGGCGGGCTGTGGGGAGGACCTGGCGTCTTTGTGGAAACAGGCGTAGAACTTTGTTTAGCAACAGCAGGTGTCACTGGACTTGGGTCTAAAGATCGCTGGGGAAGTGCCGTCCGGTGTGTTTTAGGCTCCCTTCGATCACTCTGTGCGCTTTGTGGACTTGCCTGTGTTGACGCCGGCGAGAACAATGGCAATCTAGGATGAGATGGACTAGGCTGTCTTAAACGTCCAATTTTGCTTGAGTGCATTAGTCCTGGAGAGTATGAGGACAGCGAGGTCGGGGTCGAACCACGACTCCACATTCCCGGGGACTCGGAGTACCTTGTCGAAGGACTGCTTGCAGATTGAAGGAAATGCGTGGGAGGAATGTTCTGAGTATTGACCGTGCGGAGGCTTGCCAATTCTGCTGGTCCTGTCTTGGGGTTTGCCACCGCACTTTTTGGCGTCTTGTCGCTCGAGCTTTGTGAGGATGCTGAGGCCGACGGTCCAGCAAAGTATGGATCTGGGGGAGAATGGAACCTGGGGTCCTTCAATTCGTTAGGGTTGTGTTCTTGCGGGATCACCAAACTAAGCTTCTGGGTTTGGTTCTGCTCCACATGCTTTCCTATCAGCGGTGCCTTTCTGCGCAAGACATTTCGGATCCTCTTAGTGGGCGGCGCTTGCGCCTGGTAACTTGGCGCAAACGCAGATGGATTCGTGATGTCAGGAGTGGAGAGCGAGGATGGAATAGATTGAATTGGAGTTTGGGGCGATGGTGTCGACGATGGAGGAACTGGGAATGCCAGACCCCCGGTGCTTGGCCGCGGTAGTAGTGATAGTCTTTTAGAGCGATTGGTAACTTGTACCGGTGCTGGTATCTGGCTAGTCCCTTCTGCACTGGAGAAAGATAATGCGCGGCTGGGACGAGGAGTAGAATTGGCTGGCCTTGCTAGTTGAGACCTTGGAAATCGAGCATGAGGGATGGCAGAGTTGGACGACGAATGTGATGAATCTGCAGACGATACCTTCGGCGGCATACGGCCAGGATTGTACGACATGGTGTGACTGTGATTGGAGTCTCCAGTTCCCATGTTGAGACAAGTAATCGAGTGGGTACATGTACATCGAAATTGTAATCATCGCTATTGTGGGGTATATTGATGGCACTGGATATATGCATGAGCTCCATATGTCTCCAGGATGACATAGGGATTCAAAATGAGTTCAAGGTTATTGACGTACAAAAATCGAGATCATTATTTCCATGCACAGGTCTCCAGGACTCTGTATTAATTGCAGAGATTTTCAGTGAAAATCGAACTATAGGAATGCAACTGGAAGACATTAGAACTCAGAGAAATAGCCTGTCAGATATGAAATTCACCGACTTTGTCTTTGATCGACGGAAGCTGCAGCTGCTTCGCCACAGCCTTAGAGTGATGTGGCTCGGGGATTTTCAAGCCTCGGCCACGTCAGTGAATGCATAAAGGCCTAAAATAAGTAATTCTCGGTTTCCCCGTTGGACTAAAAATTCCATATAAGATCTGTAGAAGAAAGAGTTTTTTCAAAATCATGTAATCCCGTAGACATTTTGTACTGCTGACTTTCGGGTGTTTCTGCCCGTTGTGGGGAAATTCCCCTCCAAAATAGAACATCTCTTAAAAGAACCTGAAATCTCCAATCATTGGTTCATAAAAGATACTCTGTGATGAGTCGAGACTACGCTATAGGCTAGACCTGTAGGAATCAACTGGAAGCAACGGCCCCAAAACAGTATCACCCTGGCAAAATTGCGCACGGAAGCTCGCATGGGGGGAGACGGCCCACTTGAGACGTTCCCCGGCTATAGTCTATTTTCGTTGGTTGGATAAATTATGTACTAGGCAAAAGGGTTTCGGGGAAAGGCTATCAGCGGCATAGTTCGATATTGGTTGCGACAGTGGCGGGGGTTGGCTTTCGGTGGCACGTTCACGGTTTAACTCGGTTCCATATGGATATGAAATTTTCAATCCAACAAACCCAGGATACATTCAAGCTGAACATAGAGGTATGATAAAAGCTTACTCAAACTATCCTGTCAGGGACCAGAGTATCGCATTTGCGTCTTGGTGACAACTCATCGATCGGGGACGCCGAACCCGATCTTACTGCACGTCGATCCCTAATACTTTGCCGGTTTGGTCTTTTGGCTTTTTGGCTTTGGTCTGCGTGCTTATTGTTGGTTTGATTTTTTTTTTCTTCTTTTTTTCCCTATTTTTTAGTTTTTTCACTTTTTACATGTATTTCAGGACTCGGAGAATTTTCCATGCCCTGCAAGACCAGGATTGGATGTAGAAAATGCAATACGTCACCTTGTTCACTACAGGATAAGTAACATGCTACCTACTACTATAATCAATTGACAAGCAATGTATAAACCGTTATCCAGAGTCTGGTACGAAGTGGCCCGTCCCGAGCCCTTGACCAGGGAAATCCCTGACTCAATACTTAAAAGTAAGAGTGTTAGTGGGGTCCAAAATTCTCTCAGCATAAAACATAAAACGCGACAAATATGATGGTAGCGATATCATCAGCCAGTGATATACAGAGGACCTCAAAGCCTGGCCTAGTGGGCTGTGATGCTCCACTGGGCAATCCAGCAATGAATGCCTCTGACTGCGCTGATTGACGTAGTTAACCGCCCTACTCTTGGCCCCAGCAGCCACCATCTGAAAAGGTGATTGGTAGCCTCGGATTCGCCAGACCGGCATTCAATCCAAGTGGACCCCAGCGGTAAACGCCGTACATACTGTCTGGGCTGGGAATGAGCCAGGGTTTTGCGTGGTACCTCTGCCGAATTAGCGTTACTTGTGGGATTTTGGACTCGCGTTACAATGAGCTCGGAAGTTTTTCTCATGGTCTGTGGGTTTATCGATCCTGGATGCCGATCTGGAGGGGCCAATCCGTCTTGGGGCTTGCGGGCGCAAGACTGGCCAGCTGCGGTGCTGCAGGAACCGAAGGCCAATGCACTTTCTCAGCTGACTGCGCACTAGAAAATGGGTGTATCTCACTTTTCGAAGAATTGCCCGACAATGACATAATGTGATATGATCATAGGTAAAAGTTATTTACTAATAACTGAGGGAATTTGGATTTCCATTCATTCGCATAAGAAAACTTATCAATCGGACCATTGGATTCATGGCATTGTACAAACGCCCCGTAAAGACCTGAATATGTAGACATCACAAGAAGAAGACAAAAGAGAGAGAAGAGAAAAAGATCCGACTTTAATGACAGAGAAAAGGAGGACTGAAAGATCAGAAATGCTAAGGATACTTAAGCGGCAGTCGCGAACCGCTTCTTGCGCGCCTCCATAGCCAGCGTATCCTTGTTCTTCTGTCCACTCGAGGCGCTAGCTCCATTGTTGCCACCACGGCGGTTCTGATCGTCTCCACGTCGGTTGCGGTTCCGACCGTGGTCACGACGCTTACCACCACGACCACCCTGGCTACTCTGACCTCCCTGGTCATTGCGGGCCCGCTTGCGCGACTTCTCATCTGGAAGTGCCTGATCAAGGCCTTTCACGCCTGCGCTAGCAGTGCTATCGGCTTCGGCACCAGTACCAAAGCGCTTCACACGTTGAAGCGACTTCTCAGCCTCTTCCAATGCAGTCGCCTTATCCTCAATGATGCCGAATTTCTCGGCACGAGCCTTGCGCTTACGCAATTCCTCCTCCAGCTCAGTTGCAGGCAGACCACGGGTGTAATCAACTGCAGGCTTCTTCTCGGTCTCCTCAACAGGCTCCGTCGCGGCAGGGACAACCTCACCGGCAGATTCCACCTTCAACTCGTCCGTGGTCGCAGGATCGATGTCGAGTTTCTGGTTTGGCACAGCAACCGGGTTGGCGACAGCGCCCTTGCCGCCAGCAGCAATGGCGTGAGCACTTGCCTCAGTGGTGGGCTTTTCGGTGATAGTTGACTCAGTGGGAACATCGTCATCCCAGTCGATCACATCATCTGCGGCGTCGGTCTTTGAGGCAGGAGCTGCAGGTGCTCCGGCTTGCTTCTCGTCGTCCTCCTGGATGCGGGCAACCAGGTCGGCCTTTTTTCCAGTATGGGGCAGAGAGCGGGCCTTGAGGACCTCCACAAGCTCAGCGTTGGTCTTCTTGCTGTAGTCGGTGGCCATTTTGAGGGATTATTTTGATAGATGTGGAGTGTGATGGGGGTCGGAGGTCTGAGGTTTGAGAGATTGGAGGATTGGGTTCGGAGAGGTGGAAAATTGATGGAGGGAGTATCAATATTGGTTTGCGATCATTATCCGACAAATTTGCTGGTCGATAGTGAATAAACTTGGACTGAATGGACGGCTGGGGATGAACAGATGTGGACGCGAGCAGTCGCGTCGTCGGGGGATCCAGTCATGTGACTGTTGTCTTTGACACCCGTGACTAACGCTAACATTCAATCCATCATTCGATCCATGGGTATTCTGATTATTTCATACTATTGTCATTGATTCTATTTCCACTCACAACTCTCACCTACAGATTCAAATCTCCGTTGTAATTAGTAAGATGAACACGCAGGCTGACAGTACATTAGCAATGTCAAATGATTCAGATGAAAAACCCAGTCCAAATGGGACCCTTGGCTCCGAGGAAGGAAGCACAAAGCAATTTTTCAAATATTTACAAATTAATACAATATTTCTCAAAGGTTTATACACGTGGCAAACTAATGCCCGAGCCTCACTGCCAATTTGTATTTTTCCGACAGTAGATCAGTGCCCCGCCACTTCAATAGGATACCAAGCTGTAGCTTGATCTGCTGTAAAAGTCCGCAACGTCCGTGCTGTCTGAGTCATAATATGACAGCTGTTCAAGGTTGACTGGTTACTGGAAATTTCTGATGGCCAAGTACAACGGAGCAAGTGCCCGGTTTACGAGCTGTTGGGTCAGAGCATACGCTGCGCCACAGTCGGGACCATTTCCCTACGCCACCTTGATTTCCGAGGCAGGCTTGGGGCTAGCCCCAAAGCAGTTATATGATGCATATCGGCTAACCCGCCGTTCCTTTGACTTCGGAATTTCCTTTGTTCTTCAGTTCATAGAACTTAGTACTTGGTTGGGCTGAAAATCCGGTCTACCTATATCGACACCAAGTAAAGTAGTACTGTACATTACATGTAGTCAAGAACATTGGAAGACATATGCATGCACTTTACGCGTAAACATATATATTCAAAATCTTGAGTGGCATGGCTCACTGGAACATCTAAAGTTAGAAGTCTGCAATGTACCAGTTGGAGGCTTGAAATATGAAAGAGAAAGAATCCTGAGCACCTGGGACTAGATAGGAGTACTTGAAACTCGAAGGGAATGAATACTAGGTAAATCATGGATGTCATAGAATTTGAACTCATAAACCGCGATAATCTCCCATCTTCCAACAATTATCGCCCATAAAACCAGTATTCAGCTGCATATTGAACCTCAATTGTTTCGTTTAATCCAGCACAAGTCGATGGTGCAGATCCCTGATAGGTCTTGACTCGATAAACTTTCTATACACGCAGTTAGTTTATGATATGTAGACTTATCATCTTGAAGGAGTGCGTGTCTCACCTGAATGCCCTTTCCAGAGCACTCCTTATTTCCGGATTTGCGATCAAGCTCCAGCCAAGCGACATTTTGTTTAGTCAACTTGCTGGTTTGGGGGGCATCCACAGATGCATTCTTCGTGGCGACTACCCAGTCCTGGGCTCCACTCAACCTCAAATCAAAAATAGGATATTCGGCAGCGTTGAAGTAATGCTCTCCGAGAATGAGTTGGGAGGAATTTGTGGTGTGGCTCAAGAGCTCTGCTAGAAAAGCAAGAGATCCAATTGGCGCTTCTCCGATAATCGCAGGCATCTCATGCAGCAGAGTCAAAGATTGTGATGCAATGCAAGAGGCGTCAAAGAGAGTGGCTGCTGCACCCACGGCAACGGGTATTGCAGAGGACGTAGAATTTTCGCAAGTGTAGTTCTGAGTTCCCCGGCCCAGGGCGATGTATTTGAGGTTCATACCTGATGAAGGCCGAGGGAGTTTGGTTGTTGTATCATTAATTGGAAGGATCGCGTTTGAGATGGAGCACCTCCCCAGACTGATATTGTCGAGCTCGTTGGAAATTCGGGAGAACGTGGAGGCAAGCCTCAAAGGGCCAGGAAAGGAAGAAACACCAGCTATTCCTACTGTCAAGGACACCATGAAAATTTGAAGGATATGCATTTCGATGGTTTTTGGAACGGCAGAGTTTGATAAAAAGGACTTCCCTGGGACTCAAAGCTGGCCAACAAAGAGATATATCCTCTGTAGGTGATGAGAGAAGCGGTGTATAGGTAAAGAGAAAGTGTTCTGTTTGTTAAATGCCTAGAAGATTCCTCTGTGTATTCCAGAAGAAACAAAAGAAGAAACAAAGAAAGACACGAAGTCTTAAGGTTGGATATTTGACAGGTCATTATCAGGCTGACTTGGTAGCCCACATGAGTCTATATTAAATCCCACAACCATGGCTTGGTTCATTTAGTTTCCCCCACCGGGGATTTAATTAAAATTATCTGCCTTGCATCAAGAGATGCCATCCGATTTCGTACGCGCTGATGAGACTGGGGGTGGCTCGGAGAGATCCGAGGGTGCTAGAATCGGCCTCTTTGTTGGCTGTTGGTGACCCCTGGCCATGAATGAAAAGCTTATCGGCCATATCAGGCAGTTCAGAGAATAAGATCGTAAATATGGTACCAATAGACAGCGGTCAGATTGTTCTCTAGTCCAATGCAACCATGTCGCATGGCCCAGCATAGATTACATCGCTACTTTAGGGCTACACTAGCCGCCAAGGTGTACTGGCAAGGTTCAAAGCCTAGAGTAAAAGCAAGGCTGTGAGCCTGATTGAGAACTAAAGAGAACTCTGTCAACTTATTTTAAGGCTATGGTTGTACAAATTTGAAATTGAGCATAGTGCCTTGCCAATCTTCTTCGAGAAATACCCTGAATATGAAGTATGATCGTAGCTAGGATGCTTGTACTCGAATACATCATTCCTTAAGGTCGCACTCCAAATGGCAGGATGTATATCTGGGAGTTTATCATAAATGTTTAAATTTATCTTCAGAGTAGCAATTCTCCACTTACTGACACACTTAATGTGTGACATAAATAGTACTTAAGCGCCCTTAGAACGCCACGGGCATCGAGATGACACCTCAACAACCTCTCTACAGTATCAAAAGAGCATGTGAAGTTAAGCCAACAATATTTGGTTTCATCCAGTTCAGTTCTATTCATGAAAAGTCAAAGATTTTTTAATATACGGATTGATCCTAATGGTAAGAAAGTAGTCTGGTTGAAATTGCCACCCAAAGCTATAATAGCAAATGTCACGTGATGATAAACCTTAGTCACCCACCGCGACTTGACGAGCGACGTGCTTTTTGCATGTTGCAGATCCTCACCACAGCTTCTTTTATCATCGATGCTGCCGTGTTAACGGTGCCAAATCCGAATGTAGCTGCTGTGACTATATCTACTACCTTTTCCGCGATCATATTCCCATCCCTACACTCAACCTTTCACCATGTCTGACGGTAAGTTTTCTGCGCCCGCCTCTCACGGCCGTTCAGTACTAATCCCTACGTCAGCCGATATTGAAGCCGTTCGAAAGCTCCAAGCAGAGCGCAATGCTGCTGCTGCAGGCAAAAAAGGTTCTAGGACCTTTGATTCGTCTAGTCAGCGAACTGACAATTCGACCAAGGCCTCCCTTACCGAATCCTTCGATACCACTTTGTACGAGCGGGACGGTGCAGACAGGTTCTCAGGCTACGACACCTCTATTGCCGTAAATGGTGATGATGAAGAGATGGAAGACGCGAACGGCGGCCACAACTTGGTCGGCCAATACACAGCAACCCGAAGTCAGATCGATGAGATGGCTCACGGCAATGGAGTCGAGGAGGAGGATATCTTGTTAGGCCGTGAGAAGGCTGCACGCATCGCTGACCGGGAAACTGACTACCAGAAGCGTCGATTCGACCGCGGTAATCTAACACCGACGCGCGCCGACCCTTTTGCTGCCAGCACCGACGGGGAAGGCCAGACCTACCGTGAGGTCATGGCCCTTCGCGAACTCGAAAAGGAAGAAGAGCGTGTTCAAAAGCTACTTGCAGAGAAGCGCGCGAATGGAGAACTTGATGTTCCTGAGCACCAGGCTTCTCTCAAGATGGTCGAGGGCGATAAGGAGAATGCAAAGGCCGAAGCGCCCGGCAGAAAGCGCAAGAAGCGTTGGGACGTCGCCACAGAGGCCAATGGGGAAGCACAAGCTGATGATTCTGCGGAAGCAAAGACCAAGAGGTCTCGGTGGGACCAAACCCCTGCTCCTGGTGCTCCGGAGGAAGCGCCCAAGCGCCGCTCGCGATGGGATCAAGCACCCTCCCTCACAGATGCCACTCCTGTTGGCAACCAAGGGCTTGCTACCCCCATGCATCCGTCACAAGGTGGTGCTTTGGCACCAACCAGCTTTGGCACTGATCTCTCTGGTCGGAGCGCCGCGTGGTCGGATGAAGAACTCGACATGATGCTACCCTCAGAGGGCTATAAGATTCTGGACCCTCCTCCTGGATACGAACCGATCAGACACCCGGCCCGCAAAATGATGGCTACACCGGCACCTATGGCCGGCACCGTTGGCGGATTTATGATGCAAGAGCCTGAGAGTGTTCGTTCAATGGGAAAGGAACTTCCGACTGATATTCCCGGCGTGGGTGATTTGCAATTCTTTAAGCCGGAGGATATGGCCTACTTCGGAAAGCTCATGGAGGCTGGAGATGACAGCTCAATGAGCGTGGAGGAACTAAAGGAGAGGAAGATCATGCGATTGCTACTCAAGGTCAAGAATGGCACACCACCTATGCGAAAGACTGCGCTGCGTCAACTGACAGATAATGCGCGAAACTTTGGAGCTGGTGCCCTATTCAACCAGATTCTTCCATTGCTTATGGAGAAGTCCTTGGAAGACCAAGAACGTCACTTGCTTGTCAAGGTTATTGATCGAGTGCTCTACAAGCTGGATGATTTGGTCCGACCTTATGTTCACAAGATCCTTGTCGTCATTGAACCATTGCTCATTGATCAAGACTACTATGCTCGTGTCGAGGGTCGGGAAATTATCTCTAACCTTGCCAAGGCTGCTGGTCTCGCCACTATGATCAGTACCATGCGTCCTGATATCGATCACGTCGACGAGTATGTACGAAACACTACCGCCCGCGCATTCGCTGTCGTAGCTTCTGCCCTTGGAATTCCCGCCCTTCTCCCATTCCTTCGCGCCGTCTGTCGCAGCAAAAAGTCCTGGCAGGCCAGGCACACCGGTGTGAAGATCGTGCAGCAGATTCCCATCCTGATGGGCTGCGCAATTCTTCCCCATCTGAAGGGCCTTGTGGAGTGTATTTCGGATAACCTCAGCGATGAACAAGCCAAGGTCAGAACAGTCACCGCATTGGCTGTTGCTGCTTTGGCTGAAGCTGCGAACCCTTATGGTATCGAAAGCTTTGACGAGATCCTGAACCCTCTCTGGACTGGCGCGCGCAAGCAGCGTGGTAAGGGCCTGGCCGCCTTCCTCAAAGCGGTTGGGTATATCATCCCTCTCATGGATGAAGAATATAGCAATTACTACTGTTCTCAGATCATGGAGATTCTTATCCGCGAGTTCTCGTCACCAGATGAGGAAATGAAGAAGGTGGTCTTGAAGGTGATATCTCAATGCGCTAGCACAGACGGTGTCACTGCCGGTTATCTCAAGGAACATGTCTTGACCGACTTCTTCAAGAGCTTCTGGGTGAGACGTATGGCCCTCGACCGTCGGAACTATCGTCAGGTGGTAGACACCACCGTCGACCTGGGCCAAAAGGTCGGCGTTGGCGAGATCCTCGAGCGGGTTGTGAATAATCTCAAAGATGAGAGCGAGCCTTACCGTAAGATGACCGTGGAGACTATCGAAAAGCTGATTGCCTCTTTGGGCGCTGCCGACATTTCTGAGCGATTGGAGGAGAGACTCATCGACGGTGTACTATATGCGTTCCAGGAACAGAGCATCGAGGACATTGTTATTCTGAACGGATTTGGCACAGTGGTGAATGCCCTCGGTACTCGTTGCAAGCCATATCTCCCCCAGATTGTCAGTACCATTCTCTGGCGACTGAACAATAAATCGGCCACCGTCCGACAGCAGGCGGCAGATCTCATCTCGCGCGTTGCAATGGTCATGAAGCAGTGCGGTGAAGACGCTCTCATGGGCAAGCTTGGCATTGTGCTCTACGAATACCTGGGTGAAGAATACCCGGAGGTTCTAGGCTCCATCTTGGGTGCTTTACGTTCTATTGTGACTGTGGTCGGTATCAACCAGATGCAGCCTCCAATTCGTGACCTCCTCCCCCGCCTGACACCCATTCTTCGTAACCGCCACGAGAAAGTGCAAGAGAACACCATCGACCTCGTCGGTCGTATTGCCGACCGTGGCCCCGAGTCTGTCAACGCTCGGGAATGGATGCGAATCTGCTTCGAGCTGCTGGATATGCTCAAGGCTCACAAGAAGGGTATCCGTCGTGCGGCCAACAACACCTTCGGTTTCATCGCAAAGGCCATTGGTCCCCAGGATGTCCTGGCTACTCTCTTGAACAATCTCCGAGTGCAGGAGCGTCAGTCCCGTGTGTGTACCGCTGTCGCGATTGGTATCGTTGCTGAAACCTGTGCTCCTTTCACTGTGCTCCCCGCTCTGATGAACGAGTACCGTGTCCCTGAACTTAACGTGCAGAATGGTGTTCTCAAGGCCATGTCCTTCTTGTTCGAGTACATCGGCGAGATGGCCAAGGACTACGTCTACGCTGTCACTCCCTTGCTCGAGGATGCTCTCGTCGACCGAGATCAGGTTCACCGACAGACGGCTGCCAGCGTGGTCAAGCACATTGCTCTGGGCGTCGTTGGTCTTGGCTGTGAGGATGCTATGGTCCACCTACTCAACCTTGTCTTCCCGAACATCTTTGAGACGAGCCCACACGTTATCGACCGAATCATCGAAGCCATCGATGCGATCCGTATGGCCGTTGGTGCTGGTACTGTGATGAACTACGTCTGGGCTGGCTTGTTCCACCCTGCTCGCAAGGTTCGCGTGCCATACTGGCGGTTGTACAACGATTCATATGTGCAGGCCGCTGATGCGATGGTTCCGTACTATCCCAATGTGGAGGATGATGGCATGGACCGACCGGAGTTGTTTATCATCGTCTAAGGACGATTTTGTAATTGCCCATTTTCATTTGCTTCTCTTTGCATAACTATTTCAAGGTCTTTTCTTTAGGGAGCTTTATGTTTGCCAGCAGGCGTTTCTTTTTCATTTCAAATGTTGTTTTCTTCTTTTCATGCAGGAACGATCGGACGTTCGGCGGTGCTGTACATCAACCTTTTATGTAAAAGTCTAGGAAATTGATTCATGAATGACCCGCGTACATTCGGATTCTCAAATAGTGATTGATTTAGTAGTACCCACTGGGCGATATCGTTGAAAATGTATCCAAGTTCAGAGTGAGTGCAGGTTTCAAATATATACCATCCATGAATGTTGTGTTAGGCCAAAACCTTGAAGGTGTACATATTAAATATCACTCAAGTGCTGGCGATGCGCACCACCGGTAGACGATCAAAAGCCGGCACATATATACATAGCACTGGTCAACGGTCGCATAACGCAGAACCGGCACCTGGGGATGTAATGTTAAAAAATAGACGAGTACGCGATAAGTAAATACGAGGTAGGAAGAGCATGAAAAGCCACCACCGAGTTATGAATGCCATTCTAATATATAGATCGAGATGATAATCTTCAAGCAGATCTAGTCGGCCCTAGACTCGATCGCTCCCGCCGGACCCTGGAACAATCGACGGCTAAGCATGACAAGGCAAAGATTGGGTAGTGATCGCTCTGCCGACAGGATAATCATTGTCAATCCTGACTATCTTCTTCCTGTCCGGGCTGACCAGAACTAGGATTTTGACATATGCAGAACCATTTTGGTAGCTGCACCAGGGCCTCGGGTTTCTGGGGTATATACCATCTCAGACTAAGCCAACTACATGCACATGTTGTCTTACATGTATTAACGTCTGAGAAGGCAGAATAATTTCTCGAAAAGGCACACAAGGGGGAAATCCTGTAAACCCCCTATCTTCCATTTCTCCGGACGAAACACATTTTGCCACCAGACTTGAACGCAAAAATAGAAAAAGAACAATCGTAATCATAGGAGGGACAGGTCCAGGACACTCCGATCAGGAATCAAGTTGCTCCAATCTTCAATCTCCATTTTAATTTTAATTTTTCGGGTTTTGGGTTTCTCCACTCACTCAGTTGCCGCATACTGTAGCAACATCAAGACCCGCCAAATACCTAAGCTTGCCGTGGGGAGGCTTGGCGCAGCAAAAGCCGCGTAAGCTCTCCATGGGACGTCAGGCGTGTCTTGTGGGGACAAATGCACGAAAATTCAATGGACGGGAGCCAATAGGGGAGGTTTCAGACCCTTATGGTAGTGGCTTGGAATATTAAGATTAATGGTTTGGCTTACCATAGTCCAATATGTAGAACTCTAGTCAAATATAGTAGGTATAGCGTACTCTAGTATTCTAAGTTTTCAGGAATTTCCATTGCCCTGCATACTGTATATTTACTTTGTACTCTTGTATTCTGTACAGAGTACGGAGTTAACATTAGTAGATACCTAAAGTTTTCACTAGTAGATATCTACCAAAGAGTGATTGATCTATGAGAAATCGACAAAAGCTTGAAACCGGCAGATATACCGTATACTGCAACCCGAGAAAATCATGTACAATAGAAGATTAAAAAAAAGGAGAATGAGATTCCATCCCGTGTCCTGGTATCAGAACATGTTGGACACAGCTTCAACACAGCCTCCCCCTGAATTCAATGTCCAAACAACCCCCAATCATAGCGCGCTCCCTGCATCGGGGAATGGAGATGGAGGATACTCCGGAGTACTTCGGTACCAATACAGAGTACACAGTCTTTCTACACACAGACCCTGAGATAAGGGGCAAAAAGAAAAGGAAAAAGAAAAAGAAACCACACAAGTTGCTTGTCACAAGTGGGCATTGGGTCTCCATCCAAAGTGCCCCTCTCATGCCCCCATCCACCCCTTTTTGCGTGGCTTTTTTTTGGGCGGTGGATTTTCAGGGTCTACTGTCCCGTTTGGGGCACGCTGCGGATCATGGTTTAGAGTTTAGGTTTATTCTGATTTGGTTTATAATTTTTTATCCCTTTACGGCCTTCCGTAGATATGGAGTACCTTACGGAGTACAAACATTTCTTTCTCTCCCATTTTCCAAGGTTGGTGGCGCCGAACACGGCTGGAGGTGGCTTTTTTTTTGTTTTTTAAATTGCACGAACCGAACTGCTGGACCATAGATCCGCATGGGCCGTTCGTGATGAATTTATTTTCTGTTTACCTGGGAAGATCGTGGGGGCTGGCATATGTAAGATGAACGCCGAAGCCGCTGCCCCCACTCGTACATCGTATACAGCCGTAAACATATATATATTGCTTCTTTAGACGTTGAGAGAAAAATCTGTGCATGGCTGATCATGTATGGAATGGTTTTACTATTTCCCAATGCTAGGCCTGGTGTTATTAAGCAAGGTTGTGCGTATCATGTACGCGTATCGTACGGGTGTACCTGTCAAGCATGCGAGATACCGCGGATTCATGTGAGAGGCTCCAAGAGGTTATGGAGAGCTTTGAGGCCAATCAGAGCCAAGGAGAGATGACTATTGCGCAAGAGGACAGGGATCAGGGATGAGAGAGAGAGGCGACGCATTGACTAGCCATGCGAGTCAATGCTCTCATGCCGGGATACCATTTACGAGTCCATGACTATAATAATTCGGGAAGTTATGAACTGTGACCGGGCCAACTGAACATACCTTGATACAAGATGGAGAGATTATTTTGTTGCAAGGGACGCGAGGCCCTGCAGCAAGCCTTCCATGACGGCAAATCTAGTATGAGCTGCGAGGGGCGTCATACTCTAGTGGACACCAGTTTACTGAGCTGAAGAGATGTCATCTTCAGCTGGCTATTCCCCCTTCAAGTGCATCCACTGGTAATGTAGCGCCAAAACGGAGCAGGGACAACAAATGACATGAGCCAAGCGAATACGATCCGCTTTCTGCAAGTCCAACTGTGCTAGGGGGGAAGCTTGATCCTGATCCTGTGTAAGGGTTTTGAGGCTAGACGCAGAGGAAATGCGATATTGGATATGGAGGGGTAGTACAGCGCCCACGTTGTGGTGTTGTACAACGCACACCGTAAGTTTTAGATTGGATTGGGGAATTTGTTTGGTTCAAAATGCGATCGGAAAAATTACCATCAGCCAGTTAGGATGTATCACACTGAGAAGGGAGATGGCGGGGGGTCAGTTCTTTCAATGTTAGCCACATCGGTATAAACCTACATGATACGGCACATTGATGTCCAAGCCCAATTCGGTGTATATTACTCCGTATAAGTACGCAAGATGACATCGAGGGCGTACCCCGAGGTTCTCCGTAACCCTAGCGGATCTTTAAGCCATAGCTGATCCGTCCATAAAGGCGGAAATTGGCCTTGCCAGAGCTTACTGCCTGCCAGAAGGAGGATAGTAGTTCACTAAAGAAGCCCATTTCTGGACGCGGCTCGACGGAGTGGAAAGGGACAAGTTACTTGAAAGAGTTAGCCAGACGAAAGGATTGCTCATTGGGATCTCCAACACTTTTGAAGGGGGAAAAGAAAGAACCAATCATATTATAAGAAATCCAGATCAAGCCTAATCGGGGAGGAATTGGCCGGGTCGGATCCACTTAAGATGCGGGCGTTTCAGAGTGTGATTAGCGTTGACCCTGAAGGTGGCAGTGTTCTTAGCGTGGTGGATCCCAGGATCGCACGCAGGGATCATGTTCCTAGGGGAGCCCTTGATCCCCGCAAAGCCCGTTGTGTTAGTCGCCTATCACGTCATAGGCGTCAAGCCACTTACCCATTCCCCCCTCTCTTATTGTTATTTTTGCCTATACGGAGTAGTGAATACCGTGATAGGAATTTGGATCGGTGCATCCTAGAATATTTGTTACAAAAGCCTGAATTCAAAGTGGCAAATCAAAACGGAAGACATGCAGGAACCAAAATTTACTTCACAGAATCCAGATACTTCAGCTCATGTGTACCCTCTTATTTGCCTTTTTACCGGTTCATAGTGGGATTTGTTGTGGAGGGGACAGAAATGTTCCCTCATACCACATTAACCAAGACAAAGCTGCACGGGACGAGCACGCGTCAGCTTGGAGTGGAGACATGAATTATATTTCAACTCCATTGGTCAATTCTGTAATGCCAAGCTCGGCTATCGACTATCTGCCGTCTTCTTTGTGGATTACGCTTACCAAATCCGGCATTGTGTCGACTGGTTCGACTCTGCACAAACACAAGAATGTGGATTGCTGTGGACCTGGGCTTCCCGGTACATTAGTCCATAACTAGTCCAACCCCAAGTTAAACTATACGGATTAATGGATTAACCCCTCCGTGTGGATCTTGGGGAATCCCGGTATCGGTTGTGGGTATAGGAGACATTCTCATCCAATCAGGGCTTGTATTTACAGTTTTCTGCTCTTGTCCTCCGTCATATCCTGTTTTCTCTTCATTTTGTTTTCTTTTTTTGGTCGGCTACGGGGCTTGAGGGGTGGATGCCCTGGAGCCCAACATTACCATTTAACCAATTTAACCGGTGTGGCCGCGCGCCCGCGCTGTACCTTCCTCCATTGCTTCCTCCCTTTCTGATTCTTGGGCCAGTTGAAGAAGTGTGGCTCCGGTGTGCGTCGTTTTTTTCCAAGTGTAGAAAATGTATTTGCCCCGACGATACCAGATATAATTTCTACTTATTCGAAACTTGGAGCTTATTTAATGCAACGTCGGTCGGTCAATTAAGTCCGAACGGTGATGTGCACCTAAGAGAGGATTTAGGGGACAATCTTTTTGACGATCTGCCGTGTGGACACCGCCAAGATCGGAACGCCGTGCGGATGACAGGCCTTGGGTTAGAAAAGTGCAACATGGGTTCCTGACCCACCAATGAATCCTCCAGGTTGCCTACGGAGGACATGTCGGCTGACCGGTGCCTTGTGCTGTATTTATGAGAAGTTTGAAACCTAATAAAGCCATCTGTATCAGATTAATGGCACCTTTTCGCGTATGCTATCTTCACTGTGTATGAGTGAAATGGATTTCTCCAACACTCGCAAGCTGACTGCGTATACCTATAGTGGGTCCTCTTGGCCTCACTATCTCTCGTAGGGCGGAATTACAGTATGACGGTCTTGTTGATCATCGTTATGACGTCGGACAGATCGCGTGGTGGATGGTGTTCGCAGTTCTTTGTACTCGCGTGGCAGTTGACTCAAGGTCTTTATGATGTATGTGTATTTGTTGTTGTATGCTCGACCCCTCGCCATTCCGGGGTGTCCCGCATTTCAGTTTGAAAGGGAGTATTTCTCCGATAATTCAGCGGTACTCCAGACTTGACCGCCTCTTTAAGAATTTCCAGCGCGTTTCTCGGAAGTGCAGAATCGGACTCCCGAAATTCTGGACTTTTCCCGAGGAGTTTGGAAGTCACTGAATTTTGAGACGCGTCATGAGAAGCTGAGCCGTGTGAAAGACTGCGCTCTTCCCTATCTGGGTTAGGTTGAGGAAAAGGCGGTCTGTTGGAATTTGACATGGCTACGGATTGTTAAGTTCCCCACCAGTGCCACCACGTAGTGTTGCATTGGCCTTTTAATTAGTTTTCCATATGGAGTGGAAAATAAATACTGAGATACACTTTTGTGGGTTGACATTCGATCATCTAAGTTTGTCTATCCGGCTCTCTCCGTGTAACCCATGGCTGTGGATGACCCCAACGGTCTACACTTGCATGTTTTTTTGGAGGGGACATATGTCATTGTTTGAGATATGGAGCAGGCTTTCTCATGTTCAATGGGTGGAATTGAAACTGACAGACGGAAACTATTGTCCACGGCCGCCTGTGGACCATGTTGAGTCCCCTTTTTCCTATTCGGATTATTTTCTTCACATTCAACCCCCTCGAGATAAAAAAAAAAACAAGAAAGATATTCAAATGATGCAATTCTATTCAGTAGGACCTCCCGGTGAGATATCGAGTGGACCAACACGGGATGGCTGAAAGGGCGGTGCTTGTTTTCTCAGTTCGCGCATTGACAAAAAGCCACGAAAAATGGATCAAAGAGGGACGGTAATCTCCCAAGGCGCTTCAACCCGACATATGTCTAGATTCATCCAGATGTCGGCTGCTTCGGCCAGACCCTAAGCAGCTCTCTTCTTCTAACTAACGCCATACTCCTAGTGTGGTGGGAAATCGATCTTCCCCCTTACCCGTGCCACTAGTCCATGGAGAACCACGCGGGAATATGAAAACACAGCCCCCGGCAAACAAACTATAGAGATGATCCCAATATTGAAATTTTTGGTTCCAGATTAGCATTCGGTATTGGAGTATACTCCAACTGAAATGTGTTCCGGGTTCGGGATTCTTGAATGACCCACGGTCGCCATCGAGGAACGCTCACTTGACCCATGGCCAACAGACTTTCCACAGTTCAATCGGATGCTTTGTATTATCCACTAATTATGTTTTTTATCGATTTTTTTCTGGAAAAACCTTCACCATGGAACCATCAAGCCACTCCATCCTTGAGGATGAACGACAAATGCGGAGAGGCCAATGGAAGGATGTCAAGACCGAATATGACCGCGTGAATGGTGGTCCCATGGTTCTGACACCAAGGGTGATTTCCGATAGCTCTCCACCGTGGCGGTGGCTGTTCCTATGATCGTAAGGGGATTTACAATTATAGTTTTGAAGAGTATCACCAAAGTTTACCTCAAGTTTTAACCATTACAGAGTGAAACAAAAGGTAAGGTTTAAAGTAAGTTCTCGGGAATGAGAGGAATATTCAGCCTCCCTCGGCTTACAACAGATCTCCCTTGTGATCAGGAAGCTTAGCGGGTTGAGTTGATTTCGGGGATTTCTAATCTCTGATCTCCCGGGGACCTTGGCATTGACTTTCCTCCAAATCCTTCCCGCCACCACGGGGGAGGACTTGGGTTTGACTGGTTCCACCGCGGAGGGGTTAATACAATGAACTCGAATATGTGTGATATGTCCAGTAAGACCCAAGGTCACATCTGCCGCGCTATTGCAGGAGCCGCGCCGCTAATGCCCCTATGGCGGGATGCGCTGGTCCGCCCTCTGACGTCGGTGTTCAGCTGCCCCTTCCCCTCGGTCAACGAGATGGCCTGAAGAGACAAGGATGGCAAAATACGAGGAATGACTTGTACCTGACCCGGATTTGTTCCTTTCTTCCCCGTCGCACGGTTGATCTTGGGTGATACTGCTCGCATGGCGGGTAAAGGGTAGCCAGAATACTTCCCAGGAGAAAAATCCGGCATTCCGTCATCACCGGGAAAGGCTTGCGTCTCTTCCCCTTTGTACAACACCTATGGGAATATGGGTGTAACGAGTATCTCTGCACCGGAGTAAGTCCGACCTTTCCCCCGGCCTTCGTCCATCTTTACTGGGTCGTGATGAGGTAAGAACAAGTGCCCCCTCAGGTCATGTACATTTTTCTTTTCTTTCCTCATTCTTATTGGTGATTTAAAAGGATAGTAGAAATTCCTCGTCCCTTTTCGCTTTGGTACTACAGAGAATGGGAAGCGGATCAGAATGCAGGCGTCAATAATGTATAGGCTATTGATTCGATAATTCGTGGTGAAGATTAAACCTAGAGCTAATTCAAGTAATGAATCTCTTCAAGTAAGGTCGGACACTCACTAAACCACATTTGGCCCGTGTCAAATAAGCCCCTCTTTGGAAATCGTCACAGTCAATCTTCCTTTTTTTTTTTTCCTTTTTTTTTTTTTTTTTTTCGGGTTTCATTTTCTAATTTCTCTTTTGCCTCCCAAGTCTAACCCAATCATGCTGGTTCCAAACTATAGTCGTGGGTCCCCTTTCCCTTCCACATTTGGGTTTGGCTGAGAAAGAGCCATGGCCCAGTGGACAAGACTAGGAGGGGTTCAAGCTTCAATGTCATCGTGCTTTTCCCCTAAAATCGAACTTTGCCTTTGAGACTTGTCATTTTATTCAATCAAGAGATGATTCCTAAGACTAATGTTCTCCCCGCGTTATCTTCATATAATATAAATTAAAGACAGTCATCCGACTCTACCCCCGGAGCGGGTATACCCTTTGACGTATCGTTGGGATCTACTTTTCCCCGCTACTTTGAAACACACACCAGGGCGAACCTTGGTCGCTGCATCGTGAGTTTATTTCTTGGCGTACCTTTTCTTATTTTGCTTTTTTTTGTCTTTTTTTCTTTTTTTCTCATTTTTTGCCTTATATTGACTAGTGTCCCCATAGACACGGCACAGGTTTAGTCTGTGCGGGACATTCCCTGACCAAATAGTTTCTCCTATATACTCCGTCACTGAATCCACAAACCTGAGGTCACTTTGGGCCCCATGATTTGCCTTCTTTAATTTTAATTTAGCTCCAACACTTGTCCGATCCCGGAGCATCTTTGAAATGTTTCCTAAAATGATTTGGTTTTTTGTTCAATATTTTTACTTGTCACGTTCAACGTTGAAGGTGTACATTCTTGCGTCGCGGTTATTAGGGGATTTCTCTAGATCTTCCATTCCTCATCCTAATCTAGGTTTCAATGTTCAATGTATCTTAAAACTGTGGAAATATAATTCCATCCATTGAACTGGTAAAGAAAAGGACAATAAAATCAAAAATAAAATAAAAATAAAAGAACCCCCCCAAGAGGGTCCGAGGAACTGGTTCCCGTACGTGGAGACCCAAAAGCAATCCAAATGCAAGATAAAAATAAGAAAAATAAGAGAAAAAAAATCCCGAATTATTGTTATCGATTTTTATGGAGCTTTAGGTAACAGTAAAATTACTGGTAATATTTCCAAGACGATCTGCAACCGTCCCCGAGGGACGTCGTCAGTGGCACTGGAGTGTATCGTGTATGTCCCTTCTTAAGCTTCGCCGATCCCCTTCCCCAGTTTCTAACTTCCTCCCCCTTTCACTTGCTTTAATTCCCATTATTTGCATTAAAGTAATCTGATCTTCAGGTTTATCACTTTCTCCCTTATACACTTTCTACACTTTCATCCGGATCAACATCAACTCAGTCGATCCGTTTCAAACTCCAACACTTCCACTTCCTCTTATCACTTTGTTGATAATCGACCCAAGCAAAATAAATCCCTGTCAATCGAAGCATATTCGGCTCGCGATTCTACGCGACCCTATTCTCCATGACGATGGTTATTGAAAATCAGAACCGCCAGTACGGCGGCATGAGCTTCGACAATGTTTACCATCACAATCCACCACAATTCACAGATCCCTGGGCTACCGCGCATACCACCTCTCACTCAACTCCCCCTATCTACGCGACGTCCATGGGAAACAGTGCCAGCATCCCTATCAACTCCGTCAAGTCCGAAGACGGCCGACCATCCGCCATTTCCATGCCCTACCCCAACATCCCTGTGTCGGCCCCGTCACTGGTACCCGGCAGCAACTACACAGCTACCGGCTACGCTCCAGAGGTGATGGCTATGCAACATGAAGTCCCGCGCACTGGATTTGAGCAGGCTCCAACCTACACCACAGCTCCACCTATGAACAACTTTGCGCCCCAGAGCTATGCGCCAGTCAGCTACGCCCCCATTCACGCTTCCCAGTCCCAGGATGTTCGTCGCATGTCGCATTCGTAAGTTACCCCCGACATTTCACGCACCCCAAAAGCAAGATAAAAAAGGTTACATTTTCTGACGCGTGAAATATGTAGAGATGCTCGTGTGGGCTCTTCTCAAGCCCCACCAGGTGCTCCCACTTTTGGAGACGCGCTCGACGCCAGCCGAGGAATGGTGGCGCTCAGCCAGGACCTGACTCCTCGGAACATTTACGGGCCTCGCGGTGCCCGTGGCTCTACTGATTCCTACGGATTCCCCTCAACACACTCCTCTGCTTCCTCCATTTCTTCGGGTAGCAACTACCCCTACTACAGCGCCTCTGTGGGATCCGTGGATTCTTCTGTGACCGACTACAGCTCCAGCACCTCCGAGTCTTATGAGTCGCGCACTCTTCCCCGGCCGACTAGTCTCTTGGCTGGTAGCGCGCCTGCCGGTCCTCAGTCCATGATGAGCCAGTTCAGCTCAAAAATGCCCTCAAACACCCAAAAGAAGCACAAGTGCAAGGTCTGCGACAAGCGTTTCACCCGCCCGTCTTCTTTGCAGACACACATGTACAGCCACACTGGCGAGAAGCGTAAGTTCCTCCAACACAAGTTCCACCGAACATACAACTAACAGAAAACAGCATTTGCTTGTGATGTGGCAGGCTGTGGACGACACTTCTCCGTTGTCTCAAATCTGCGTCGCCATAAGAAGGTGCACAAGGGTGAGAAAGACAGTGGTTCCCCTGATGAAGACGAGTAAATTTTTCACTCAATACACGCAACGACCTTCTCTTCTTGTGCTCAAATGATTCAACTCGGGTCCTTTTGAGAGCTCTCCCTTCCCCACCAGCTCTGCGCGTCACAAACGCGCCATATTTCCCTCCCGCCAATTCCGACTTCAGAACCCGCCCTTGTCTTCTGTCCAGCTTGTCCAGACCGAGTGCGCTGACTGGATTAAACGTACTCGCCCTCCTTGTACAACACCGTGGATCTCAATTCTCCCTTCTCCTTTTCCATATACGCTACGTCTCAGAGCGGCGGGAGTCATCCGTGGACAATTCTGTCCATACTGGTACCAGGGCCACCATGGGAAGGGAGAGCTTTTTTCGATACATTTTCTTCTTTCCTTTGTTATCATGTTATGACCATAGAGGTACCGGCTGGTTTGCGTTCCTGGTTGTTTCTTTTCTATTCTTTCGCTAGACACTGGGAGTCACCTGTTGTTTTTGTTTTCGATACCATGGGCTTGTGATGATTGGATGCGTTCTCTTTTTTTTTGGGGAGCTTTTCCCTCCTTGTTCCCCCTTGCTGCATTGCCTATTGCTGCAGACATTTTTCTTCTAATCTTTTCTTCTTCTCTACTTGCATATGTTCTGCATGTTAGATTTTCTATTTGACCTTCTTATATTTTTCGCGTGCACCGCGATCAATTTATCATTCCGGCTGGTTGTTTGGCTTTTCTGCTTTGTTTGAGGGTCGCCCTCTGTTCCCACCGGGTCTGTGTTTCGAGGATTGCACCGGTTGTGCAATTTGGGTCGGTGTTGAATGTGATACCCGTGGCATTGGTGCGAAAGCGCCTCGTCTGTTTGAAAGTTAGTTTTCGGTTTAATTCTGGCGGGTTGGTCCATATTAGGAACCCGCTGGTGTTAGTTCCGCTCTACAGTCGCTATAGTAAAGATTATTGTCTATACAATTCAGCGCTCAAGGCAAATTCAGATTTCTCCAACCGGCTCTTTAGTCTAATGTAGTCTATTAAAAAAAATAGGACGTGCAATTTTTAAGTGCTTAGGGTATTCTATACTTGGTAATCATACTAATTCATGTAAGGCTACGCAGTATGTAACAATCATTCGATCAACGACTTCTTTTCATTAAAGGAACAATACTTCTCTCAAGACCTGTCAAAGTTATGCAGGAATCAACATTAATACCCACGGAAAGCACTTTACCAATCACTACTAGGATAGGGTGAGGTTGACCTGGTTCATCATATAAGTTGATGAAAGACGGACGGGCTTCAAGTATGCACAAGAAGAGAATACAATTATGATAATAAATCCATAGTCTAAATAGCCGTCTCAAGATCCTGTCAATGTCCAGAACACGGGATAAGAACAAGCCAGCCCTAAACGCCGGTTGATGATTCGCAATGACAAAGTCGATGATTATTGAGCTGCACAGCACCAGGCATGTCCAAGCTCTACCTGCAGAAGATGGGCTTAACGGATCCGGTCTAGCTTGGCCCGGTTCATGGCAAGTTGGTCGTCGACGAAGTCGCTCTGTAGAAATTAGTATTTGAATCATATACTTCGTGAAAGCAGTGACACTCACCTTGCCTGTGATACGCTCCAAGTGGCGGTTCTGCTCGTCAAGCTCACGTCCAGTGGCCTTAGCCAGACCGTTCAGCCGACTAGCGGCACCACCAAGAAGGTCCAAGTTTTGCTCAATCTCATCTTCCAGAGCCTCATCCTCGCTATCGGCCTCGAATTGGTACTTGGCACGCTCGGTCACACTAGCCTTCTTGGGTTTGGGTTGCTTCGCGGCTTCGCGATCGATATCACGGAACATTCGATCCATGCGGGCGTTAGTCTGGAAAGCCTCTGCCCGAGTACCGTCACGAGCGTCACGCTCTTCACGGTGGGTATTCAGGATCCTTTCGTCACGGTCCCGACGGCGCGAGGCACTGGTAAACGGATTGGACACATGCACGGCGAACATGCTCTTGTTCAATGTCTTCAATTCTCGTGCCTTTTCCTCAGCAATACGTCCCTCCACAGTGGCCATATCTAAGCTCTGCTCCGCACCGTGCACAAGCTCGCCCTGGGCACCCAGACGTGCCAGAGTAGTACGACCTGTCTCCTCCGCCTGGGCCGCCACACGAAGAGCATTTCGTGTCGATGAAACATCACCCTGCTTTATGTGGCGCATTTCCTGTTTCGTCGCCTGGACAGACTCTTCCTCTTCCTCTTCAGCTGTTAGCTGGCGATCCTCAAACTTGGCCATGCTGTATTCGTTGCTGCCGCCACCGTAGGCGGGTTGCTCCCCTTGTCCTCCCGCAGTGTAAGGAGGCGGCGCACCGCCAGTGCGCTGTGCGCGGTCCTGAGCCCCCCCGAACAGCTCATTGCGTGCCGCATCGCCCGCGGAGGGGTCGTTAGGGTCGGTGTTTCCCAGTCCTCCGTAGCCACCGGAACCATACCGGGATGTCGTTCCGGCGCCAGCGCTGGCACCACCACTGCCGAAGCGATCGCTACCGTATCCGCCTTGGTTACCGTAGGCGTTGGGAGTATAGGCGGAGTACTTGTTGTCTGACGGGATGCCGTGGGGCCCGTTGGCACCAGACTGATCGGGCATAGGTGCCACGCCAGCGTTTATCTTGGCTCTGGTATAGGGGTCCGTGGGAATAGGCTGAGCGTAGGGATTCGAGGTCTGTGGGGGACTCTTGTTCTTGCGGGAGCCAAAGAGGGCACGGCGGTTGTTGTCATCGTCGCCATCGTTCTTATCGGATTTCTTGAAGAAGCCCATGGTGGGGGGTTGTTTTTTTGTGCTTGTTGAAATTCAAGTATAAGTGGATTGGGAAAGCCAATCCGAGAATCAAGGAATGAATGATCACGTTAATCTTAAAAAACGAAACAGCACAGGATAATTGGGGAATTAAAGATTTAAAACGTCAAGAAGTGGTCAGGGGAGCTGGAGGCAGTCGAGACCCAGCCTGTAACTTTGGTAATTGTATTATAACAAAATACCAATACTAAATATCGAAAATGTGGTGGCAATCCAGGGATTATAACAGTACCAAGACAGGCAATTATCTTGAGTCAGCGGAGCTAAGCCCCAAACGGCAACTTCGCCATCCCCGCGTTATTTTTGGTTGACGTGGTTGCCTGAGAGCTCACAGCCTCCTTTTCTTTTGAGCTATGGCACCTCAAGGAGATGCTGACCACTGCAGAGACAAGGCCCGCAGGGATCTGCTGGCCCTGCTTGAGGGCGTGAGTACCACTTCCTATGTCTCTCAGCCTTTTCTAATGGCGTGCAGGCTCGGGGCAAGAAGAACCTCGTTATCAGTCAGGAGCTGGCCGGTCCAGTCGGCCTGTTCGTCAAGTTCTCTGTCCTTCAGGAATATGGTGTAGATCGAGTATTTCTGCTGGAAAACGCAAATATCGACTCTTCGCAGCGCAATGTCGTATTCCTCATTAGGGGCGAGAAGGCGCAGCATGTGCGTATTGTGGCAGGTAGGTGCCTCTAATATTCCCTTGATTTCTGTGTTTGGCTGGCCTATGCACACATCCTTCTGGGACATCATTAGATCTTCGCAGATGAATTTCCTACTCGGCGAATCCTTTGAAAGTTCCCTAGAATGAGAGCAAAGCCTATATATTGGCTTTCTTTCCAAGTTATTTAACGATCGAGGGTCATCAGAGTGGGCTAACAGTATTTCTTTAGAACAAATTAAACGATTGCAGAATAATGGAAATGTCGAGCACGAGTTTTCTATCTTCTTAACTCCCCGTCGGACTCTTATGAGCAATGCTATTCTGGAAGAGGCTGGAATTACTGGCGATGTCAATATTGCCGAGTTTCCGCTCCATTTCTTGCCTCTAGAAGAAGATATCCTGTCACTAGAGCTGGATAGTGCTTTCAGTGACCTTTACTTGGTATATCATCCATCGTGAACGCAGCTGGACTTATGTTGACAATAGCTACAGAACAAGGATCCCGGTTGCATCTTCCATTCCGCCAAGGCGTTGATGGGAATTCAACAACGTCACGGCTACTTTCCCCGCATTGTTGGGAAAGGTGATAATTCCCGACGATTAGCAGATCTTTTGCTGCGCATGCGCAAAGAGCTAGATGCGGAAGAAAGCTCCGGATTGGCAGATCCGTCCGCACGAGGGCTACTTCCCAGTGCCAACACAGAGAACCTCATAATCATCGACCGTGACGTGGATTTTGGCACTCCACTATTAACGCAACTCACCTACGAAGGCCTGATTGATGAATACGTGGGCATCAAACATAACCAAGCTGATGTTGATACCAGCATTGTGGGACAGGGACCTGCGCCACAGGCTCAAGAGTCATCCAAGACACCCCAGCAGGCCAAGCAAGGATTGAAGAGGAAGATTCAACTCGATGCGTCTGATCAACTGTTTAATCAGCTGCGAGATGCAAACTTTGCGATTGTAGGCGACATCTTGAACAAGGTAGCCCGCCGTTTAGAAACCGAGTATGAAAGCCGTCATACCGCGAAGACCACAAACGAGCTCCGAGAATTCGTCAACAAATTACCCACCTACCAGCTGGAGCACCAATCTCTTCGGACCCACACCAATCTCGCAGAAGAGATCATGCGTTTGACCCGCTCCGAGACGTTCCGGAAGATCCTGGAGGTACAGCAGAACAATGCCGCGGGAGCCGACCCCACATATCAGCACGAAACTATCGAAGAGCTCATCGCCCGTGATGCACCACTAAAGAGTGTGCTTCGCCTCCTATGTCTAGAGTCTTGCATGGCTGGAGGCCTTCGCCCCCGGGATCTAGAAAATTTCAAGCGCCAAGTCGTCCAGGCGTACGGCCACCAGCATCTCCTAACTTTCTGGGCTCTAGAGAAGATGGAACTTCTTCAGCCCCGATCTTCTGCAACGAATATGCTTCTCCCCACTTCAGGATCCCAGGCTGGCACAAAAACCAATTACGGATACCTGCGGAAGAACCTGCGCTTGGTCATCGAAGAAGTTAGTGAGAAAGACCCCAACGACATCTCTTACGTCTACAGTGGATTTGCCCCACTCAGTGTGAGACTGGTTCAGTGCGTTCTCCAAAAACCATACATATTATCCCTTATCAAAGGCGGATCTCCCGCGGCATCCATAAAAAGTGCTAGCACCGCCTCACCCGGCTGGCTCGGATTTGAAGATGTAGTCAAGAGTGCTCGCGGATCCACCTTCAGTATTGTTCAGAAAGGCGATGACAAGGCCGTTCGAGCTCGCCAGACTCTTAGCGGTAATAACGCTACGAAGGTTGTGTATGTGTTCTTCCTGGGTGGCATTACCTTCACGGAGATTGCTGCGTTACGGTTCATCGCTGCCCAAGAGGCGCCGCGTCGGAAAATCATTATTTGCACGACTGGTATTATCAATGGCGATCGCATGATGGACGCTGCCATTGAGAAGCAGAGCTTCGCTAAAGTGGAGTAGCATCTTTTTGACATGCATCTCAAATCTGGCGTTCGTTCTGGGTGGTTATTCTAATGATATCATTCTCTTATCTCCAAAGGCTGCTGCTCTATTTAAATGTCTTATCACATGTAGTATTCATTCGTATTTTAAGTCGGCTCTGCTTTCAGACTCCAGTAACTTAATATTTGAACCCGGCATTGACACCCATTAAACGACCTTGGTAACGCTCCGTAATTTCCCCAATGCGAATCATCACGCCCGCAGCTAGAGTTCGTACCTGATCTTGCGTGTCCACAGGTGCATTGGAGTTCAATTTAATCGGAGCAGCAGGGGTATTATCGAATACCTGGGAAGCCCACTCCCGCAATTCGATCACCTGATTCGCGCACTCCGTGACGAGGCGCTCTTCAGCGTTCGATCCCGAAGCAATGTTCAAATCTATGGCTGCGAGGAACAGGGTAAGGAGTGCAGCAGTGACTGTCGGATCACTGGCTATGGGATTTGTATGCAGCGACAGGAGTAGCGAGAGGGTGTCATGTGTAAGACCTGGCAGGAAGGTAGAATGTGGACCGGAAGTTGAGATCAAAAGAGAAAGAGTTTGGAGGAAGAGGGTAAGAATATGGGGAATGACGAACGGGTTGTGAGATGATACCGATGAGCTATTGTTGTATGAGTTAGCGAGATCAGATAATTCGTTCACGACACGAAGTATACGTACGAAGAAAATTGAAGCATCACCACGGTAAATCGACTGGTAAGAGGATAGAAGAAGCCCTCAGCAAGAACCCTGTAAAAGTCCTTTGCAACAGACTTCTGCCGTTGTGTCTCGCGCTGTTGGCGCTTCTTCTCAACTTCCATACGTGTCGAGAAAGTGCGTACTTTGAGAGCATCTGGTCCCGTAATTGCATCCGCAGCATTGGCCGCCATCGGCTGCAGTGACGCTTTTGACATTTCTCTCGTGAGTGTTGCGATCGGAGAATCCTTGGACTCCTGGAACATGGCATCCAATGATGGCGTAAGGCGTTTAGATGGGAATGAGGTATCCTGCAACGCAGGGAGGCCTAATGCTTTGGCATCGTCTTCCCCGTTACCGGAGATTTCGCGAGCACTCAGACCAAGGGCTGTGAGCACGGCGGATCGCTGTACTTGAGACAGGTCACCATCGAAGAAGAACGCTGCGAACCAACGGCCCATCTTGAGGGGCTGGGAGACAATCAAGGCAATCATACTCTGGAGCCGTGCTTCGTGGAATTGTGGATGGCTGTTATCATTTTGAAGACCGACAATTGTTAGTGCTAGCTCCTCGGCGTGCTCGGCGAGCTCAGTTCCAAATCCTGTCTTGCGACGGATCAGACTCGGTGCCGTGGTGATAGCGAGGTGGTAACGCTCGACATTCTCGTTATCTCGGAGACATGTGATCAGGTCGCGGATATACCTGGCAGGTGTTAGATATGATATGCCGAGTATGAAGTTTGTCATTGACTTACACAGGTGCCGTTGGCTTGTTTCGTTGAACTAGCGTTGCATCTTCGTCGTCATCCTCTGCATCGTCGTCGGGCTTCGCATATGGAATGAGATCATCATCGTCTGCTTCATCATTCTCATCCTCATCGTCGCTGACAACCTCTACTATCCTCTGGGAAGCAGAGCGTGGCTTGGGCTTATTCGCGTTTGAAGGAGCAGATATGGACTTGTCTGACTTCAAAAGAGATTTGAGGGACTCAAATGATCCAATATCATCTCTAGCTCTCATCATACTCAGATACCACTGTGTTTCTGCGTTCCGCATTTCTTCGAGATCAAACTTCATGGACTTTCCTGGTTCCTCCACAAGCTCAGAAATGCCGGTCCCGACAATCATACCCATGAACCGTGCTCTATTAGAGGACGCGGCAAGTCGATTAGATATTGCGTTCAAAAAAGGCCTTGAGCGGCCGACTTCTTTGACTTGAGAGGAATCTAGTCGATGCAGACGACCTGCTGCTAAAAGAATAATTTGAGCATTGGCTAAATCGGTTAGTATACGGCAGCATAAGATTGGCAAGGCTTGAACATACTATCATGGTCGCGGTCACTATTGTGATTGATAGCGAACTTATCACCAAAGTGCTCGAGGCTGCGAATTATCAAGTTTTTGAGTGCTTCTGTCCATAATCAGTGTATGAAGTGAGAAAAGGTCAATTAACTTACCGTTTTGATTATCATAAGTCGCTACAATGCTTCGGTTAATACCTACTGGGAAGGCAGCCGCAAAACGACATTTGGCGAGCCACTCCATGATTTCTTCCTCGAAGTGTGGTCTATCACCAATGACCATGGACAACAAAGTTGCTGTTCCAGTCACAATCTCTTTGGATGTGATCGGGTCATTGGGATAGTCACATAGGCGAATCGATGGATATCTTGTAGGTAAATCCAACAGGATGAGTTGGAGGATAGTGAGTTGTGCTGATAGCCTGAGCTTATCGACAAACAAGCTGAATCTTTTAGAGAATGACGGATCGTGGAGAAGACTTGCATAAATCTCCGGAATCAAGGAAGCTGACAAGAATTAGTGAAAAGTTTTGGACAAAGCACACAAAAAAGGCTTACATGGATAGCCCATACTGAGAGCTCGTTCCGTTAAGGAAGCGACGAAGGACCAGCCGCTCTCATCATTGATATCAAGCTTTGAAATAAAGTGGGAAATATTGATACCAAGCCATGATGCATAGCGACGACCATCTCCGACCCACTTGATTGATGATTGGCTTTCATTTGCCACAGTCAGTGCTTCTGCTGCCGTGGATACAATCTTGCCGGAAGCAACAAGAGATACAAGCTCATTCCACGAAACCTTTTGCCTCGTGTGGTTTTCATAAAGAGACGAGGTATCACGGTAAAGGCGAAGCAAAAAATCCTTCGGTTCCAATAAAGCAGCAAGAACAGATAGAATATCTTGGATGGCAGAATGGCTGCTCGAGCTCTCGGTTTGCTGGGAAGATGCCCGTGTAGCTGCAATCAGAGATCGAAGGCGAGCTACCAGGGAGCTGATACCAGCAACACTGCTCAAACAGCGCAGTAAAGCTCCCCGGACTTGTGTGCTTTTGACAGGGGATGCCCAATGATCCGGAATGGTGGTGCTGACTAAAACCTGGAGGATCTGAGCCGATACAGGACCAGCGACTCGAATGTCAATATTGAGTGTTCTAGACTTGTTGAATGGATCAAGTGCAGCTAATACCGTCGAGATCTGCTCTGACGAAGGCTGGGATTTCAGTACATCTATAATCTGATTTGGAGTCAGATCTTGACCAAGGCCAATACTGGAGTTTGTGAGGACATCGCTGCGACGGCTTGATTCAACCGCTGCCAATGAATGATCTGAGTCTTGCTTGACAGTCTTGATCGCTGTCAAAAGACCATCCATCCTGACTGTTGGTGTTTTTGTTGAAAATATGAGTTACTGATTGTGGCATCGGATGTCTTGTATGCGGGTTTGTCACGTGTCGCGCTGCCTCATCAAACGCCGCATTGCATCTCTCGATCCTCCTCCACCAACACAACTTGCACCCGTACAGAGTTACATCGATAATCGAGGTCACTTGAGAATCTGGGAACCCGGAACATCTTGTACCAAAATATCCTCACCGGGTTGCACCAGAACATCAAGATACCGTCTTTATCGTGAAGCGGGTCTAATAGCAGGACGTCTGGTCAACTCACACTTAGCCAAAAACTTAATCGAGCTCCTTTCCCGAAATGGCTACTGCTGTTGCTGGCCCCTTGGGCGAAAAGGGCCGATGGTAGGTGTTTACATCCATATATAACATACTCATGCTAACAAACACAGGAACAACCTGTACAAGGTCCTATCTAAGCCCGGCCCTTTCAGTGATGAGGACTGGGTGCCAGGACAAGCGACGATCGATGCTCTAGAGGCATCTAAAATTCTGTAAGATAATGCGGCCTTCATAAATCTTATATGATGGTACTAATCACGACCATAGGGTGATGTTCGTCTTAACACAACTATATCGACCCAAGGCAAACCCAATGACTAACCTGGATTTAGCGGAGCTGGTGGACTTGGCTGTGAAATTCTGAAAAATCTCGCGCTTTCGGGGTTCAAAGATATCCATGTTATTGATATGGGTAGGTATAGCCCAAATGCCTTGTCAGTATCATCGCTAATGTAGAATCGGCAGATACTATTGATATCTCAAATCTCAACCGACAATTCTTGTTTCGACAGAGTGATATCGGGAAGCCGAAAGCAGAAGTTGCTGCTGCCTTTGTGGAGAAGCGAGTAAAAGGAGTCAAAATTACGCCTTATGTTGGCAAGATCCAGGATAAAGATGAGGATTATTACATGCAATTTAAAATCGTCATATGTGGTCTTGACAGTATTGAGGCTCGCCGCTGGATCAATTCTACCCTGATCGCGATGGTTGACTTCGAAAACCCTGAGAGCCTTAAACCTCTAATCGATGGTGGAACCGAAGGTTGGAATTTCCTATGAAGTTTGTCAGCATGCATACTGACCCTACAAATAGGATTTAAGGGACAAGCCCGTGTAATATTACCAACTCTTTCCTCATGCATTGAGTGCCAGCTTGATATGCATGCCCCTCGACCTGCAGTGCCTCTCTGTACCATTGCCACCATCCCTCGTCAGCCCCAGCACTGCATCGAATGGGCGCATCAAATTGCCTGGCAGGAAAAGCGAAAAGATGATACCTTTGACAGCGATGATATGGAGCACATCTCCTGGGTGTATAACGAAGCGCTGCAACGAGCCCAGCATTTTCATATCCATGGCGTCACCTTCCAGATGACCCAGGGGGTAGTGAAGAACATTATTCCCGCCATTGCATCGACCAATGCTGTGATTGCAGCATCCACAACATCCGAGGTGCTGAAAATCGCAACCTCGTGCAACCCATACCTTGATAACTACATGATGTATGCTGGCGAAGAGGGTGTTTACACCTACACTTTTGAGGCAGAGAAGAAGGCCGATTGCCCTGTGTGTGGTAACCTTGCTCGTAAGATGGATGTGGATGCAAGCATGACATTGGGTGAATTTATTGAAAGCCTTGGCGAAAAGGCTGAAGCTCAATTGAAGAAGCCCAGTCTTCGCACAGAGGAAAAGACCCTTTACCAGCGTTTCCCGCCCCAGTTGGAGGAACACACAAGGCCGAATCTACGACTGAAGCTGAATGAACTTGTGGAGGACGGTCAGGAAGTTGCGGTCAGTGATCCAGCTTACACGATCGATTTCCGGTATCGACTTCACTTTAAATAAGGAAATCTGAAATATACGATTCCTACAGAAGGTTTAGAATGTCAGAAATGTCTAGTTTCCAGTTAACTCTTAGAATTCAAAGACAGCTAGCTGCCAGCCTTTTGCTCTAACAACCATGGTATCCGGACTCCGGTCTCGCAAGACCAACTTTTAGACCGAACTTTTCGTAAATGTACAGCTCAAACGAAGCCAATTAAAACATGCCAACGCCAGTCAAATGCATTATATAAGAAGCCGCCGTGGAATGAATGTTCCATGGCTTTACGCCATTAGATCATCCAGACCGCGCTTCCACCGCGCGCATTTCAACTTCAGAACCTTGACAGACTCCAGGAAAAGGGTATCACTCTCGAACTGGCCGGAGCTCTCGATGTTGAAAATAAAGTGATCCCGCACACGTCCCAGCTTCACCTTACCCTGGAACTCTTCATGACGCAGGCACTCTCGGCTGACGGTGTCGTTGAACGCATCCTTGACCACAGCCTTCTGCTCACCAGCATGTCCCTCGTATCCGCTGCCAGCACGCGAAGCCTCAGCAGAAGTAATAGTCTCGAGGCCAATAACGCCCTTGGGGAAGCACTTGGCGAACTTCTTCGCATCCTCGCCGATAATGGGCTTCAAGATCTGAATGTCCGGCAGGAGACGATAGGTCGCGGTGGCGACAGGGGAGAACTTGGCGTGGTCGGCACCGATACCCTTAACACAGTGCAGCTCCATCTCGATTTTCTGACCGGGGCGCATCTTGGCGATAAGAATGTCAGGCTGGACAGCGCGGATCGCACCATCACCAACGAAGTACTGTTCCTGCCGACCAACCGGGGTGAAAGTAAGATGCTTGGCGTAGACGTGAGCGTTGTTGTATAGCTTGCGAGGATCCGTCTCATCGGCGGCAGCATCGGGGTTCAGGGTGCACTCGATATCGAGTTGCATGACGACAGTGTTGAAGTCGGTGAGCTCGGGGGCTGCGGATCCCTCGTCTCCGGGAACCTTCTGCTCCCAGTGCATCCAGTTGATTCCTTCCACGGAGCCCTTGAGTGGGATGAGTCCGAGACGCTGCGCAAGTACCTCATCTTGAATGACGGAGGTGTTGTTGTGAACGTAGACAGTCTCGATTGCGAGGGTGGGGATTTCGGCCATCAGGATACGGCGGAATGCGTTGGCGACGGCAGCATCGAGTCCGATCAGCGAGAACGAGGCTTCGTACGGGTCATTGCGGTGGTATTCGACCTTGAAGTCCTGTGGTGGCGCATAGTGAGCATAGCTCTTTCTTCTTTGCAAACCAGGTTTCAACATACATTTTTGAACTTATCGAGAGCCCAACCATGCGATTCTCCAGGCCAATGACCAGGGAAATCTGTGGAGGGGATGTTGGTAACAGTCTCTGCATTGATGCCGATGATCTGGGGATTATTAGTCCTGAGAACCCTTGAGAGAAAAAGTGCATTGGCTAGAATACTTACACGGCGACGTTGCAGCTCCTCCTGCGACGGAACAAGAGGCGCCATTGTATAAATGGTGGGGTTGGACAGTGAAGGTGAAGATTGAAATTTAGCAGATCGGCGATAAGAATAATTTCTTGAGGTGATTTTCTGGTATGAATGCCTAAGGCATTAGTAAGACGAGATTTTTCCCAAAATTACCATCAATTACTCAGTACGTGCTGCCTTTAATTGGTAATTTACGAAATGTCCTGTTAACCAACCAGAATTGGGCTGATGACCCGGCAGCTCCTTCACGTGACTCTGCCAAAACTGGAGCGCGACCTCCATCTTCATTATTGCCAGGTTCCTTTCCCGCAGTAGCTGAAAGCATCCACTTTGCCTTGTTGGATGCGCCTGGATTGAGGAGCCCGTTCCATCTTTCCCTCAATTGGTTCATATCCCCTCACATTCACCTCCATGGCCGCCTCTTTCGCTCGCCTGGCGGGCAATGCGCCCAAAAGACTCTGTCTCCGCCCCTCCACTTCCTTTAACACATCTGTGCCTCGATCCCGCTCGATAACCACTACCGTCTCTCGCCAATATGCCGAAGCTTCCAGCTACCAGGCCACACGGCTGATTCCGACTGACCCGACCTTCACTTCCCTGGCCAACAAGGGGCTTGCCGAGAACCCCGACGCTGCTGGTCTTGAGTCCGATGCGGAGGGTATCAACCGCAAGATCCGTCACTACACAGTCAACTTCGGTCCCCAGCACCCCGCTGCTCACGGTGTGTTGCGATTGATTCTGGAACTCAATGGCGAGGAGATTGTCCGCGCCGATCCCCACGTCGGTCTGCTGCACCGTGGTACCGAGAAATTGATCGAGTACAAGACTTACATGCAGGCCCTGCCTTACTTCGACCGATTGGATTACGTCTCCATGATGACCAACGAGCAGTGCTTTGCTCTCGCTGTCGAGAAGCTGTTGAACGTTGAGATTCCGGACCGTGCCAAGTGGATTCGCACTCTGTTCGGCGAGATGACTCGTATCCTGAACCACCTCATGTCCGTCCTTTCCCACGCCATGGACGTTGGTGCTTTGACACCTTTCCTGTGGGGTTTCGAGGAGCGTGAGAAGCTCATGGTAAGTCCTAGGATATCCAATGGACTGTTTGTAGGAGAATATATAGGAAAGTCTATTCGCTAACCGAAGACTTCTGTAATATAGGAATTCTACGAGCGTGTTTCCGGTGCCCGTCTTCACGCCGCCTATGTCCGCCCCGGTGGTGTGTCGCAGGATCTGCCTCTCGGCCTTCTTGATGACATTTACCAGTGGGCTACCCAGTTCGGTGACCGTATCGACGAGACTGAGGAGCTGCTTACCGACAACCGTATCTGGAAGGCTCGTACTCAGGGTGTCGGTGTTGTTAACGCTGCCGATGCGCTGAACATGAGTTTCACTGGTGTGATGCTTCGTGGTTCCGGTGTCCCATGGGACATCCGTAAGTCGCAGCCCTATGACGCCTATGACCAGGTCGAGTTCGACGTCCCTGTCGGTGTCAACGGTGACTGCTACGACCGTTACTTGTGCCGTATGGAGGAGTTCCGCCAGTCTCTCCGCATCATTCACCAGTGCCTTAACAAGATGCCCGCTGGTCCTGTCCGGGTTGAGGACTACAAGATTTCTCCCCCTCCCCGTGCCGCCATGAAGGAGAACATGGAGGCTCTGATCCACCACTTCCTCCTCTTCACCAAGGGTTACTCTGTGCCCCCGGGCGAGACTTACTCGGCCATTGAGGCCCCCAAGGGTGAGATGGGTGTTTACCTGGTTAGTGACGGCAGTGAGCGCCCTTACCGCTGCAAGATTCGTGCCCCCGGTTTTGCGCACTTGGGTGGCTTTGACCAGGTTTCCCGCGGTCACCTGTTGGCCGATGCTGTCGCTATTATCGGTAAGTCAATCAACATGAATTATTTATTTGCCCATTGCTAATATCTGATCTTCTTTTAGGTACCATGGATCTCGTGTTCGGTGAGGTTGATCGGTAAAAGCGCTTCTGCAACGCAATAATAAACACAAAAACGGAAAAAAAAAGGAAGAAGACGAAATGACCCCCTCTTTCTAGACGGCGTTTCCGCCATTATGGGGGGTGAAAATCATGTATGATGGATATTCCATCAATATGATAATCCTTGGACCCCTCAACTACCACCTAGGTGTACCAATTTTCCATGTTTACTTCTCATGGCGTTGTTCTATTATGTCTGTCTTGTCTTTTCTCTTTTGTCTCTTTCTATTTCCCCGCCTCTATCAGCCCTGTGTATAGTGAACCTGATTCTTTTGAGACACGTTTTCTCTAAGCCATTCATCCCGTAGTCTTTAGTGAGCGCGAAGATGGTGGTAGAACAAAGTCATACATGATTTCCAATGACTATGATAGGGCAGGATAATTATATTGTTGGGTAAGAGAGGCAATGATAAATAGCTATCATGCTTCCAATACTACTCAGAATCACTGGTAGAGTCATCAGGACTTTCAGAACTCTCTTCATCGGAACTTTCTTCGTCGATCAATATTAGCTTAGCAGCAGCTGCCCCGCAGCTGCGAGATTGATTCATCCATCGACCTATCCATGATCCGTGCTTCCTAGCAGCTCCTCGTAGCAGCTTTCTAGCTTACTCCGTAACAGAGCTCCGTCGATTCAGAAGATGGGAAGACCAAATGCTTTTAGAATGCTTTGGTAATGCATTAAAAACCAATCAAATCAGAGCAAGATCTATTTATTTATTTTGACATACCAATGATTTACTCAGGTTTAGTAGGCCCTCCTTTCTACTCCTCACCTCGAGTGTATAAGTGAAAATACTTCCCTCGTCGAGCGACTAGTTCATCATGCGAACCTGCCTCGATGATTCGGCCTTGATCCAGTACGTAGATGAAATCCGCATTTTTCACAGTGCTCAGACGATGCGCAATTGTAAGAGTTGTACGACTTTCAGACGCGCTGTCTAACGCCTCCTGAATGAGCTTCTCCGACTTCGCGTCGACCGCTGAGGTGGCCTCAACCAGTAACAGAATGGCGGGCCGCTGCACCAGGGCACGAGCGAGCGCGAGTCTCTGCAATACGCCAGCACAGCCTGCTCTCTCGTGAAAGCGTCACTGTCTCGATCGCGTATGCAGCAGTCTCTTTACTAACCCTATCAGTTTGTTCTTGTAGCTTTGCGAAGAGCCAGACACCATAGAACCCGCTACCAACAAGGACCGGTATGACTGAAGAGCAGACAAGGACCAATATCCATCCAAAGGCACAACCCACGACAAACGCGGTGACCAGTGTGGAAATTGTAATCAGTATCGTCCCCAATGTCGCTCCACTAATCCCTGCCAGATTAGTAGACTCAACCGAGAGAAGAGATGTCAAGGCCCCGATGCTGCTTTCTTCCTTTTCAAAAAAAGAGATTTTCTGCCGGAGAATTGCCTCCAGAGCGCGATAACGTGCCTGGTATATAAGGCGGTATATAAGGCGTTCGGAGCAGTAGGCAAAGGCAACTCCCTGAATTATGAATACCAAAAATTCCACTATAGCGAGGACCAAGAAAATGAGCGACCAGAGCCCTGCGCGGTGGCGAAGGCGGCTGCCCTCACTAAGTGGTAAAGCGATGGCTGTAATAGCCTTCCCAAAACAAGATGGCGGAAATTGGCCCTTCAAATCCAGCAATGATTGAGCAAACCAAACCCAGTGAGATAATGGGTAGCTCCTTTAGATTCAGAGAAGCAACAAATCGAGCCAGAGCGAGAGATGAGTCCCCGTTCGATCTATCGATCAGATCACCCGGGGAGGTCTTCAACCAGCTAGCTGGCAGCTCACCATTCACAGCAATCTGTGTATCCAACTATTTGCTAATGGAGAGTCTTCTTCCAGTGAGATCAGCTTCGACCTGTTCGTCAATAGTATTATAGCGCTATCTCTGTGAGTTTGGGCCTCTGCCAGGAGGAAATATTTTCCCTGAAGCTGCATGAGCTGTTCATGTTTACCTTGCTCAACAATTCTCCCACGGTCCAGCACGATGATGTTATCAGCCCCTTGAATAGTGGACATTCTGTGTGCAATAACAATTGTGGTGCAGGTACTTCTGATTGCCTTCAGTGTGTTTTGGACTTGAATCTCCGTTGTGGTATCTAATGCCGAGGTCGCTTCGTCCAGGACAAGAATCTTCGGTTGCCCAATAATTGCTCGAGCAATGGCAATCCTCTGCTTCTGAGCGCCAGACAGCTTAGATCCTCTAGCTCCAACGCGAGTAAGGTACCCATCTGGCAGTTGCATGATAAAGTCGTGGGCGCCGGCTAGTCGTGCCGCATTCTCAATCGTTTGTTGTCTCTTTTCCGGCGTCTGATTTTCAAACTTTGTGCCGACCAGGCCGTATGCAATGTTCTCCATCACTGTCGTGTTGAAAAGGCTGGGCTCTTAATTGACCAGACGAATCTGTTGGCGCAGGGACTTGAGATTAATATCGCGGATATCAAGGTTGTCCAGCAATATCTGACCGACGACAGGATCGTAAAACCGCTCGAGAAGATGTCCAATTGTGCTTTTCCCGGCTCCAAACGATCAACGATGGCAGTCATCTGTCCAAGTCGAAATGTCAGGGTCAGATTGTCTTTGACCATGACGCTTGGTCGAGATGGATATATGTGCTTCACAACCTGGAATTCGATTTGGCCAACAATATCATCACCAATTACAAGGCCGTCTGCGGAAGATGAGTCAACTGGAGAGATGTGGTCGATCAGGCTAAAGACACGCTCTCCTGCAGCAACGGCTGACACGAAGACGCCTGCATTAGCCCCCACTCCAAGGACTGAAAAAGCAGCAGACTTGATTGCCAGGGTGATGGTCACAACTGCAGTAAAGGTAGCATTTTCGAATGAAAAGTATCGAAAGCCTTACTAAAGGCCAACGCAACATTGACATACCCAATTCCGACGGCAAATTCCGACGGCAAAGCCAACCATTGCACCCATAAAGCTCTTTAGGCGGAAACCATGTTTCTCGGCGGTTTTAATCTGCGAGCTATACCGGGTCAGGATATCTCTTTGCATGCCTAGGGCTGTTGTATATCGGATGGCACTGAGAGCTTCCTCAGCCAGAGATCCGCCTGCCGAGTATGCCGCCAACGCTTTTCCGCTGTAGCGTGCAGCGATTTTGTTGCCTCCAAGCAAGAGGATCAAGCCCACGACAATGCACCAAATAAGCATAAACGTGATCTTCCGCTGTACATTGAATGATGAATGTCGCGCCAAGAGTCCCATCTGCGCTGAGGGTGAGAGCAAGCTTTTGCGACAGGCTTTCCTGAACTAGGTGGGCATCAGAGGTAAGCTGAGTAGCAATCTCCCCTGCGCCCTTCTCGTCAAACAGCGCTATATTCTGCATTAAGATAGATCCCATGCAGTGCTCTTTTATGCGCCGCGTAATCTTTGCGCCAAGATAGATGAACCCAGTGGTTGATGGCAATGTAGAGAAAGAACAGGGTAGAATGATCAATTGCGCTAGAAGAGTCTTGATGCCCTGTTGTGATTTCGGTTTGGACAAGAATTTAGGCAATTCGACTAAATACTAGCTGCATCTACTGTTAATAAATCTGCCCCAAAATGCAAGAAGAGGGGAAAAGGACTTACAGTTGGTGCAGGCTGGCAAGCACCAGCGAGAATGGCCGAGACCGCACAAATAAAAAGAAGCACAATATCTATTGTGATCGCATATCGATAGAGCCCTAAGAATGTGATTTTCACAACTGAGAAACTGGTTTGTTTTTCCAGAATTATGGCCTCGGTGTCCTTTGGAGCCATGGCAGGCCGGTCTGACAGAGAGCTGCTCTCAGTCTTCAGGTGAGGTTTTACTTCAGAACCTGCTTTCAACAAAATAGCTATGCCTTGTATATTATTAAGGTGGCCGAAGGAATCTCGGCTTCCAATTAAAGGCTAGATAGATCAAGAAATGACAGGGATATTGTCGGGGTCCAAAAAGGGTTAGTTGAATCGACAAATGGCCAGGATGTGACTGTACATCAATATCCCTGTAGCGACTTGTCATCGGGCCATCGATCATAGTATGCAGGAGCTTTTCTTGCTGGACGGGGACTGGGAGTGAATACAGGGGGCGTAGATGGATAAAGTACTAAGTTTCTGTAAAACGCATCGGCATATCCTCTTTGCTGGCAGCATCAGCCCTTAATGGCAAATCAGAAATCGGTACTTTCATTGGGCAATGAGCTTACGACGCTTTCTTACAAATTAAAAATAGCTTTCAACCCGCCATGCCGATGTTACGCGTGGCCGTAAGTGGCCAGCAAATCCAACCAACCTAGGCGGCGTCCACAGGGGCTAAGGTGATGGATGGTCCAGCATGGAAGAGAAAGAGGACTAGGTGCACGCCCCGGCGGACTCCGGAGTTTAAGAGAGGCGCCCCTGATGATCCCTCTTCCTAATACGATAAGTATCGAGTCCCAAATTCCTAATAAAAATCTTATTACATATGTATGGAAAAGCGGTAAGAATCATAGTCCCTGTTGCTTTTGTAGACATAAGACCATAATATGGAATACCAATAAAAATTGTGCCAGAAGCAAGGATTTCCAAGTAATACCATTTCATTTTAAGAGCTATATATATATGTTAACGAATAAATTATCAGTGATTACACGACTAGCTCCATAAATGGTAATATCCACGCGCGATATAACCCTTAGAATGCGAAGTCTTACCGGCTCGCTAAAAGTCAACTATGCGAATTATTATCTATAGGGTAATGAAGGATGCCCCTATAGCTACTATGGTTTCCTTACTAGACCTCGCTGAATACAGGTTCAGGGCTGGTTTTCAATTTTCACTATTACTTGACACGCGATGCTTCAAATGTTTAGTGTTCACGTTATTAAGGGGTTAGTGATATATTATGTCTAAGAAATAAGTAGGCTAAGAAATAGGTACATATGTGTATACGTGATCCCTACATTATCATCATCTTACGAACCAGGATAATTTAACACAACTTCTTGATAGCGCACTTACTCTTTCTTATCCTAGTCGCACGACTCCAAAGTAGCGCTCTCCTACTTCTATCCTAAGGACATCCGGTACGTAAGTATAATTCTAGAGTCATTGTTAGATTTACGGTTGCTAACAGGCACAAAGAGCCATCGATCACATTTTTGAAAAAACGGATGGACGTGGAAAGAAATTACCGGCCAGTGTCTCAAAAGACAGGTCGCGAAATCATTTGAGCAGGGAACAATCATGTGTGTATTGATCTAGCTCTCCCATGAATTAAAGCTCGATAAGTTAATTGCAACAGTCCTTGCTAGAACTTTCGGATGTTGAAACAACAATTCGACTTGCTATCTACATGTAATTCTCCAGGGTGAGATTTATTTCGAGGATCCCACTTCAAACAGCGTCTGATCGTGAGTAATAGTGCTGTTCACCACGGCGACATCCCGACTGTAGATTTCGACGCTTCCATCGCTTCCAACACCTTGGAAGCTCATTGTCTGGTTGAGGCTTCCAAAGCTATAGCTTGGATTGGTCGTAGAGGAGTCATCACTGAAGTAGGATGCAGTAGCCGATTGTGACGTTCGCAAACTTGAACCAAGGCTAGCACTGGCAAAAGTTTCTTCGACCTTTGACAGCCCGGATTGACTCTTTTCAGCCGCGGTATCTAGTATCGACGCCTGGACGCCATTGGGAAACACGGCTGGACCCAAGACATCGAAAGTGAGCGATCGACTGATGTTGCCAAAAATCCCAAGTTCTTCATCTGTTTCAAAGTACCACCAGTCACAGGTGAAGGGGTACTCATATGACAGAGAATATCCAATGCCCGATCCTGTCTTATCGGTTCCGGTGGTCTTCTGGGTTGTGCTTTGGACCCAGCCGTAATCTGTAAGCTGGTTGAAGTTTTCGTACGAAATATCTTGGCTCCAAGAGACCTCTTTCTCCCCGCTGGATGTCTTCAGTTGACTAGTGATGAGCAGTGATCGCTTTGCAGTGGTAGTCTCGGTGAGCGTCTCGTTCGATCCGGTAGAGTTGGTTGTAATGGAACGCGTGATTTGTAGAGAGGGGAGCGGGTCTTTGATAACCGGCATGGAGCCTGTGGTGATATGGTCCTTCTCATCCTCGAACAGGAAGATCTTGCCGGTCACATACCAGGAGTCAGTGGTAGAGTTTAAAATGGTTGCATAGTCTCCGCCGTGGTCATTAATGCTGACAACGATAAGATCGAAGGTGTGAGGCTTTCCATCGGAGAGATACGGAATAAAAGCTGTGTCTTCGTCAGGTCTCATCGTTTTTCATGGTTGAGAATGTAGAAAGCTTACGCGTAATGTCAATCTCATGCTCACGTAGATCGAATGCATCGATACCCACAATCGGTCTCCAGAATCCTGGAACGATACCTGTTCTACATTAGCCGAGTCACGATAATCCAGAGAGAATCAACAACATACCACCGGTGAAGACGACAGGGAATGGCCATGAAACACCAGCAAGCATCCCATCAATGAGCACCTGCACCTCTCGCCACGGTCCATCACCATATAGAGCCCCAGAAACATCCTCAAAGGTATCGACATCAGATGAGAAGGTGTTCTGATACCAAAACTCCTCATCGGCCTGTCCACAGGCAGAGACGCTGATCACTGCGCGCTTAAGATTCCGGGGTAGAGTGTAAGTGACAGCAGTTTTCTCACTAGGCAGCACAGCCACACTGCTTTCATTGCTGGCTCCAAGCAGGCGAGAAATCGGCAGAATCTTATCAGCAGCAGCAGGAGTATCTGGGACAGTGAAGAAGGTAGCCGTCAAAGTAGTGTTCAAGATTCCGGTGTACTCCGAGTTGACGATGTTTCCCAAGTCAAAAATGAGCTTTTGGGGTTCCTTCCACAGCGATAGGTATTGGTGCATCTCCTTTGTGTATGTGTAATAGATTCCATCTGTAGTTGGCTCAGCGGTAGATGTTCGCCAGATCTCTGTCGAATTGAAGTACATTAAAGCCAGGCGATCGTACTGTCTGAGGGATTGTGAGTAAATGATTGTGTATATCAGCTCTGCTACTGCCTGCAGGAAAGCTTACCTGCCCTTGGATGTCAAGGTAAACTCGATCACCACTCTGTTGAAGTCACAGTCCGGGGGCGTATAGAATCCTGTGCCGTCAGCTTTTCTCCTCTACTGTCAACTTTCTAAATAAGTTCAGTAAAAGTAGACTCACCGACGTAAGGACTGCCATAGCTATTTGCAAAATCATAGTCCATAAGAGTTTGCGTGACAACGCATCCGTACTCGTTTTTCCCATTTGCGTTCGCCGACGCAGTCAAAACAGGTGGATACACTTGGAAGTCATGTAGCTCCCCTGCATTGGTGTCGCTTACTCTTTTCACGCGATGTTGACCACCTTTAGCTGCAACAGTAACGGCGAGTGAGAGAGCCGTGAGACCCCGAATGAACGGGTTCGACAACATTGTGTTTACGATCAACTCGGAAATCAAATTTCAGATTCTTGAAACCGCTACACAATCAATACAGAAGGATTTCGAATGTCACTCCCTACCCCTATATATGCTCGACTGGAGGCCAAGCTAGCTAGCTATCGCACGGAATCATGCAGCGGGGTCATCCAATAGAATTCAAGATTCAAGAAACTACTAATTGACTAGAGCGCACAGGCCTCAACATTCAACGGTCAATCTCGTTTGTGTCGCTGCAGAGATCGATTGTATGACTACAATGGGCTTAGCGATGCCGATGCCGCTCGGCAAATAAACAAGCATCGGCTGCTGCGCCACTAATACCCCTGAAAAGTGTCAAGTATCTCTTGATAAGCTAGTTCTCCTTCAATTGCCGGTAATCAAGAGTCATTTTCAATCAAATTTAGTCCGTCGGTGATCCGGTCTCCCTCACGATAACCTATCAGAGGTAAAGATCGTCTGACTAAATCTAGTGACAGGTGACTGACAATCAGTCTAAGGATCTCGTATCAATCAGGTCATGTAGGAATGCCACAATTGATATTTAGCGGTAGTGATGGTCTGAATATCACGATCATAGAACAGGAATCCACTGTTCTCTGGACGTCAAGCCTCCCGATGTGATTGCTCGGTCGGAACTCGGCAGCTTCCGAATCAACAAATCCACATTTCCAACGAACAAAGGAAAAAGAACAAGGACTGAAGAACAAGTAATTGGAAATTTCAACAGCAGACAGAATTGGTTAATGTATTCTATTCTCCGATCTTTCAACGGTTATTCCCCGAACTGTTCCCTTCGCCAGTTCACGTTTCCAGTAATCCAACACCCCACCCCATCCCCACCATGTCTAAGACAGACCCGAATCTCCGATGGCTTTCCCATGGCCCACCCCTGTCTTACAAGGACAGGTTTTTCCGTTTCACGAGCCACAATTCCATTCTCCACGAGCCCGAATAACAACGCTGCGGCCGCAATCCCCGTAGCTGGATCCTCGACATACCCCGCCGATCTGGGAAACTGACGCGCCTCGAAGAGTTGTGCACCAGAATCCAGAACGACATAGGGGTATAGACCTGTCGAGCCCACTCTATCACAGACGCGCCGTATAGATTCTGGATCCGGGGTGAGAGTTTGTAGAATGTCGTGACTCTTCAGTGGGATTAGTGTTTTCGCACGAGATGTGCATCCATTCTGGATTTTGTATCCTGGTGCGAGATCCTCTTCTTTGAGACCGAGGCTGGAGAGGATTTCGAGGGTGTAGCTGTGGCGTAAATCATGTACGGTGCCTGTGGGTTGTGACACGAGGACCTCACAGGATGATGGGGATGAATCGTGGAGGACTTGGGCCTCCACAATGCCTGATAATGTGGAGATGCGGAGGTTTTCGGCGGAAGCTGGGGTTAACAGGCCTAGCTGATGGAGAAGCCAGATGGCGCCAACAGTGGCATGTCCGCACATTTCCATTTCTTGAGTTGGGACCCAGTAGCGCATTTTGTAGTGACAGTTGGAGTCTTCAGGAGCAGGAAGAACGAAACCGCATTCATGGCCGCTCTTTTGAGTGAGTGATTGCATCTCTTCTGAGGTTAAGTTCTCTGCGCCGAGGAAGATTGTGGCTGGATTCCCGCCATCACTGTCGCTGTCGATGGAAGATGGGAAGACCAAGAGTTCGTAAGCTTTAACGCTCTCCATGCTGGGCGAGATTGATTTATTCTGATGGTTGAAAATGGACCTTGGCTGCTCGAGGTTGTATAGCACTTCCAAGGTTGGGAAGGTGAGTCATCTCGGGGTCGAGTGTACCATTCAAGTGGATATCGCGAGTCTGCCACATGGAACTTCAATGTAAACATTGAAAGAATTCCTTCTTGGAAGTCACTAAGAGATCCTTCCATGGTGTCATTTGATCAAAGGTTCCTTCAACTAGTGGCAACCTTTGAAGGACATTGATTACATACTGTCCATATGGGCAGGCGTATTTCCTTGGCAACATCGCTCCAGTGGTCAAGTTTCAATAATTCGTTATTAATGCACAGATTAAATGCTATATATACATATGCCCAAACATCTCATGACTTCTTAATGTCGATGGACAACGCTGAAACGCCAAATGTAACGTTGCTGTTCGCAGAAAATGTTTCCGTGCCAAATTGGAGGATGCCCATGTAGTCTGCTTTGGAGGGATAATTGATCCCTGACAAAGTGTAGAGATCGGTGATTAATGGGTAGATATCACCCTCAAATTCCTCCGTCACCTCCGAGGCAATCCATGTTAGGACATTCTGGTTGTTGGAATTTGTGCCACTGTAAAGCTCGCTGTGAAATAGTCAGCAGACAGGACGTAGGAAACGAAGACGGAAGCGACTCACAATATAGTGCCATTGATGGTATGGTTTGTAACTACACCCGCCGAATGACCGATAGGATCAGTCGAACTGCCAAATCGTGCAAACCACACCATGACCTCGAATGCAGCACCGGTACTGTTCTTGGCGGTGGTCTTGTCGGTGTCAAAGAACATATCGACGGCGACATTGCATTGGAGTGATTCACTGTCGAGGGTGGTTACGTCGGTGGATGCCGCAACGGTATCGCCTAGGCCGTAGGTCCAGTGGAGATCAAAGGCGATCTCCTCCATCTGATCAAGCGCCATAGGCAGGACATCTTCGATTTGGATATTGGGGAATGCATGGACGGGTTGAGTCTCGGGACCGGGATCAAATTGCCAGGTCACTGACCAGTCCGGTGCTGTAGTCTTGGTCGCATAGGTCTCATTTTGGAAGGTAGTGACCTGGGAGTGATTAGCGAGGCCTATTGTCAACGGGTCCGAAACCAAGGACTTACATTCATACACAATGCACCAGTTGTCGAGTCGGTCACGCCCCACTGGTTAGGATTGACTACGAGATAGATCAGCAGTGTTCCCGACGATCGATCGGAATGTGGATAACCACAAAGCTGGGGAAGCCACAAAAAGGATAAACTCACGTGTGTATTGCTCTCCATCTGATGGCGGAGAGATACCCCAGGATGATTCACAGTATTGTTCGTTGGTGACGCCGTTATTGGTGATGCTGCCACTGCCTCCGGAGCCACCGCCCGTGCTGCCTCCTGAACTGTCACCAGTTCCGTCCGAGGACCCGTCGCTACTGAAGAGTGGTTTTTGGCCGGTTGCCGCGAGGTGACGGTCGATACCGACCAGGGTGCCCACAGAGCCTCCTAATGGAATGGCGAGCAGGATCGCGTTGACGAGTAATGTGAGGGCCATGCTGGGTGTGTTGAGGATACGGAGAGGGCTAAAATCTCGAAAAAAAAAAAGAAAACGCGGGCCTTTGAACGGGATGTGACTTGTTATCAGCGATCAACTAATGGGCTGGTTAATTGGCCAGTCCCAATGTCAGGGCCCTTGACCGCATTGAGTTTAGCGGCAGGTACTAAAGCGGGAAATCTATACCGTTAGTTTACCAGCGTAACTTCAAGTCATCTTAGCGCAGGGAAATAGCGGAAACAGTGGGAAGAGTGGAGACATTACGCCACGCATTCGCCCCCTGCGTATGCGCTACTCTGAATGCGGTTGAGATAAACACATGGACCCCGTCATTTTGATCCAGTTACTCCGTAGATCATTCGTTCATCTTCTGAGTACGTAGTGTGGCTGGGGCAACCAGATGATTCTAATTTAAAATAACGATAATAATAAAAATAATCTCTTGTTCATTAAAGTGATTTATTATTAAGTAAAACAGTAATTCACGCGACCACGGATCCAGACCAGGCAACTAAATTGGATTGGTCGAGTAAAAGATCGAAAAAAAAAATCGAATGATGTGGATCAGGAACCCGTGAAATTGTTTGAAAAAAAGTTTTTTTTGTTTGGATTCGATAGACCGGACAATCATGACGGAAGCGGATCTTTCCTATAGGGTGACATTAGTTACTATTTATACCGATTTTGATCGATGTGTGATTGGAAATTCAAGGGTCCCACGTATCACACTTGTAATCCCACTGTCGTAACAGTCATGGGGTTTCCCCGATTGGTCAAAATACAACGATTTCACCTAAGCCTCCCTCTTTGCCTAGATCTGCGCAAATGATAAGGCAGATTGACCTTTCGTCCCTACTTCCCGGCCTCTTGATTCTTCTTCCACTTTCACTTCCCCCCCAGCTTCTGAGAGGCTGTGACTACATTCGTTCACTTTTAAAAAATCAAAACTGTCTCAAGATTCCCCATCTTCAAACTTTTGCATACCACTCATCTTATCTTGATCCCCCATTCTTGAGATCGATAGCGCATTCTTGATACTCTCGGCGTGATCGCCCATCATGAGCGGGCAGACGGCCAATCTATATGGTCAGGAAGAAGAGGAGATGACCACCCTCCAAGGAAGTAATGGTTATCGAGGTGTCATGCCTACCAGTCCCAGCAACTTCGATTTCCAATTTCAAGACCTTCCCGCCCCAAGACCGAGGATGCCTTTCCGTGCCGGCCATACGGCTAGTCCCCGATACAGTCCACCGGAGTACAGCTCGGCAGGCTGGCTACAACCGACACCTAGGACCTCCGATGTGCCCGAAGCTTGGTCGGGCTCTCCTTATGACTCTCGTTCGACATCACCGACGTTGGTATGTATACTCAAACTGTCCGTCCGGTCGCAGTCAACTGGGAAACTAACGTGTTTCGTGGGAAAAGTATCAAAATACCCCAGTTCAACAAAGCGCCCAGAGTTTGGCGCCGCTAGTGAACGCCGCCTCACCAGGATTTGCCAAGGAGTGGGTGCAGACAGGTTCCTCATCCATTGCCCGCATCAATGATCGCGACGACGCAGAGATCTGGAAAGGATGGAAGCGATGGATCTTCTTCCTAACCCCCTTCCTCACCTTTGGTAACACTGCCATTTATCTTTTCTATCTTGGATTGCGGATCTACTGTATCATCCAGGCACAAAATGCCGCCAGGGTCAACTACGCCGGTGCCTGGGTCTTTGTCGCCATTGAAATCGCCGTCGCCATTCCTTCTCTCATGCACAATTGCTGGACAATGCTGGCATTGAAGAAACGCGGTCGCGCGAAGTTGCGGTTGACTGGAAACGATTGTCCGACCGTGGATGTCTTCGTGACCTGCTGCGGTGAGGATGACGAGGTAGTCCTCGACACTGTGCGGGGCACCCTCGATCAAGATTACCCGCAAGACCGATTCCGGGTAATTGTGCTCGATGATGCGAAATCGGCAAGCTTGGAAGAATCGATCAACCAGCTCACTGCAACCCACCCGAACATCTACTACATGGCCCGAGAGAAGGTCCCGGGAAAACCCCACCACTTCAAGGCGGGTAACTTAAACTACGGTCTGGATCAAGTGCATACCTTGCCGGGCGGCGCGGGCCAGTTTATGGCCGCGTTAGATGCTGATATGGTAAGTGCTTAATCGATTCAAGCACAGGCGCCTAGAAACTAACTCCTGCTAGATTCCCGAACAAGAATGGCTTCGCGCGGTGCTTCCCCACTTGTTGGTGGAGCCCAAGATGGCCCTTGCATGCCCTCCGCAACTCTTCTACAATACCCCTGCATCCGATCCCCTTGCACAGAGTCTCGACTTCTTCGTGCATGTCATTGAACCAATCAAGGATGCGCTTGGCGTGGCTTGGTGTACCGGTTCGGGATATGTTGTGCGTCGGGAGGCCTTGGAAGAGATTGGTAACTTCCCACTTGGCTCCTTGGCAGAGGATGTCGCAACTTCAACTTTGATGCTTGGCAAAGGATGGAAGACCGCGTACATTCACGAGCCGCTGCAGTTTGGTACCGTTCCAGAAGACTTTGGCGGTCACCTGAAGCAGCGCACTCGATGGGCTATTGGAACTGTGGATACCGCCTTTAAGCTGAAGTTCTGTCTATGGGGCGATGCTGTCCGTCAGATGAGCTTCGCTCAACGTTTCTCTGGATTCCTCTATGCGACCCTGAGCTTATACACTCTCCTCCTCACGGCCTCTCTGTTCGCTATCCCTATCATTCTCTTGTGGGGTAAGCAACTTGTTTGCTATGCCAACCAGGATGAGCTCCACTGGCTCATCTGGGCTTGTTTCGCGGCGACCCTTAGCAACCGTCTGTGCGAGTTTGCGCTGTTCATCCCTGCAGGTTACAACACTGGCCAGCGAGGTTCTCGTTACCAGCTGTGGATGTCGCCTTATATCGCCATTTGCATCGTCCGCTCTTTTATGCTGCCGAAGTGGCTTGGTGGTCAAACCCAGGCCTTTAAGCCCACCGGTTCCCTCGGCTCTGCTCTCAATGAGCGTGACCCGAAGACCCGCAAGAACTTGTTCGTTCGTTTGCGCGTCATTCTATTCAACTACATGGCTCTCTTCCACTTCGCATTCGTTTATGTCACTCTCATCGCGGTGGTCATCTCCTCTTACCGTTGCTTCGCAGTCGCGAGTGGTGTCAAGGGCGTTATCATCTGTTTGATCACACATGCCTTCTGGCCGCCATTGACTTTCCTTTTCATTTGCACTTCTCTCTGGACGCCGGTCTCCTACGCCATTGATCCCCCTTCGATGCCAGAGCGTGAAGACCTCTTGAACCGCGACCCTAAGACTGGAGTGGCCCACCCGACTACTAAGAGCAAGAAGATTGCTTTCGGTGGTCAGGCTGCCTGGTTCGAACTCCAGTATACGGTTGCGACGGCCGCCACGATCTTGATTTTTGTTTACTCTTTCTTCTGGTAAACTATTTAATGTATGAAATGTATATCACATCGGGCATGCGGAGTTACGAGACACGAATCTGAGGTCATTTACCCGTTCTCCAGGAGCCTTTTATCACTTTCTGGAACATTGGTCATGCTCTCAGAATGGTATTCTCATGTATCATTCATTTTTCTGTCTTCTGGCGTTTCTTGGGCTTCTCATCTTTGTCAAATTCCTTTCTCCAGGAGCCATTCATGACTTTGTTATCCTCTCCATGCAATCCAACATCATACGCATTCTTCATACTATCCAGACATATCTGCCTCCGTTGATCAAAATCAAACATCGGTTTTGGATAAGTCTGTCCATCCGAGGAATCACTTCCATCCCCCGTAACCCGACATCCCCACTTCTTCTGATCTGCAATAGGCGCTTTCCAAGGCTCATAGATGTACTTCTTATCAAACTTGCTCAGCTCAGGACAATACCGCCGAACAAAGTGCCCCTCCGGATCCCACTTCTTCCCAAAGGCAATCGGTGAGTAACAGCGGTAAAACTGTGCAAAGAAGGCTGTACAGGATAGCCACATCCAGTTTCCCACGTTGCAAGCTGTCTCATCTATTTTTATCCAAAATCAGTACTAGGCACCCCCACACGGAAAAGTATTTTGGCGGGTGGAGTAGCTATGCAGATATGAGGCAACTCACGATCAATCAAAAGTTCTTCGAATACTTCTGCACCCCGTTCCCAGCTTACGTAGCAGCCTCCACGCGTCAAGAAACAGGCGACACTATGCCTGCCGAGATGATGGATCCACCCTTCCTGCCTCAGCTGTCGCATCAAGGCGTCGATCCAGGGAAATCCCGTGCGTCCTTCTTTCCAGCGAGTGAACCATTCTTCTGCGTCGGCTGAATCGACGGTGTACCTTCTAATATCATCGAGATCGGCATCTGCAGCCCCGTCCAGGTTCCTGGACTGCAAATGCCAGTCGACCAGCCTTACAACAGGATTACCGTACGTTGTGGCGAACGCTGGACCCACGGCTGCTTGTGCACCAAAGTACATATCCCGAAAAAGCAGTTGACCAGGAAGGTTAGTAGGGATCGTCGATACCGGCTTCTTTTGATCCTTGCGCTTGTTCAGCACGTCTTGCACGTCCCACCAGAACTTGCGCACGGATAGAGACCCGAAATGAAGATGCGGCGACAACAGAGTGGTGGACTGTGGCTCAAAGTCTGCAGGCGAAGTATTGGGTTTCTCGAATCGACCAATATATTCCTCATTCTTGATAGATTTGGACAAGAGCCTCAGTGCCTCGGTTTCGCCGCCCCGGTGCGGTGTGGTCACAATCGAGGGTTTAATGCCAATCTCTTCGAGCGTTGGTACCCCGAAATCGTTGTTCGGGCCCATAATTCCCGTATACTGCTTATCCTTGCTAGTCCGATGCTCCGCATTCAAGTCGGGTTCCGCTTCGACATCGTCCTGCGTGATGCTATCCAGCTTCATCTCCTCCCAACCCAACGGATCAGGAATGCTCTCGGGCGCATCAAGCGGTTTTTCGGGTTTTCCAGAATTAATCTTCCCAGCAGCCTTCTCCACCTGCGACATACTCATCGTAGCCTTGCCTCCGTTCTTCGCAACCAGCTCATCGGGATCAAACAGGTTTCTTCCCATTCTCACAATCACCTCTACTCCGGCTTTCTCTGCTAATTGCAATACCTGCTCATCGCGCTCCTTCGCGTAGGAATCTGTATCCTTCTCAAAGACCAAATGCGTTACCCCCCAAGCCTTCCAAAGCTTTGGTAAAACGGTCTGTGGCGCTTCACGTACCACCCACAGCTTCTGATTTGCATTGAGCTTCTTGTAAGACTCCGAAAGATCGCTTTGACATTCTAGTAGGAAACGCCAGCGATTCGGGCCTACACGGGAGCGATAGACATAGTGCGGATCCCAAGTCCAGACTGGAATGAAGCTTGAGGGGTTTAGAGCGAGTGCAGCGTGTAGGGCTGGAGAATCATGAAGACGGAGGTCGGTTCGGTGCCAGTATAAGACTACCTTTGATGGTGATGACATTGTCTCTATTGGAGACAGACCGATCTACGACTTCGGGAGTAGTCAAAGGGTGAATTCTGAGATCAATTGAGATCGGGGTCGTACTGATTTACCGATCCCCGATGAGCTTAAGAGGTTATGACGTCAATATCATCTGGCGATCGTCGATTCATCCGTTCACATCACACATCACATCCCTTGCGTACTGGATAATCTTGATTTCAAAAAGTCTAGAGCATTCTATAGACTTAATATTCCTTGAAATCCAGTAATTCGGCCCGTTTGGCTGCTGCAGACTCGCGTGGGTCGATGTAGTCAATTCGATCGGAAGAGCACACATCCATCCTACCGTGCATTCCTCCTAAGTTGAGCTTCTTCTTGACATTAATATTTTATCACAGGTTAATGGAGCTATTACTAACTCACTCATTGTAGGCTTGGAACGTATGTGAGGGCCCACAACTTGAAGGAGGGACTCGTTGGTTCAATCGCCCCAGAAAAGATTCAACCTTCCAAGTAACTCTCGGACCTTCGAAGAGAAGTGATTAAAGCATCAGAACATTCAAATTGCTGCCCAATACGTGCATGGATTGACGCAAGTACACGAGGCGGAGAAATCGAAAACCCGCCTGGGCGGTTATGCGTGTGCTGATTCAGCCACCTGGACAACAACCTTGGAATCCTGGAAGCTTTACGCGAGTTACCAACTTTAGATAGCTACTGAGCTTTGTAAACCTGGCAAGGCTTGAGGTTGGAAAGAGGTTTAAATCCTACGTTGGCATCCAGAGACGGATTCCAATGATTTATATACCATATTGGACCGAGAAAATTCCAAAGTTTGACAAAATCAAGATTTAAGGCCCCAATGCAGCCTAATAGCAAGTGTTAAGGTTATTGGCAGCTATCTGAGTCCATTTAGTCCAGCTATCACGAAGTGGCGTGTGAAGTGGATCTCACCAGCTTGCAGACCTTTTCAGCCAGGATCCAGGATGACTCTCAAATTGGGTTATATTATCCATGACAGTAGTCCACCTGAGCTGGCCATTTCCGTGCGTCAGATTATAATCTTCGTAAAGATTGGTAATCTTCTTCCAATGCACTTTCTACAGACACTAGAGCTCCTCTTGGGGAGAGAGATCCACACATCCAAAATGTTCCGCAACGAAGGTGAAGTTGTATATGTCAGGTCAGTGTTCCCACCAGCAGTCAATGCATTTTTGGGAAGGAGAATGAACCCGGAAACAACTGGGTCATCGGCAGTCACTCGCTATGCAGTCTGAGTCTGGATACTCTCAATCACGGGTTGCTTCTCGCGGTTCAACCCGGTAACGGTTTCGACATGTTCCTCTCTTAACCGAGTCCTCAAAATGAAGAGAGAAAATATAACACCCAAGCCCGACATGCAGGTGTACAAGATCCACATATTCCGCATGCTCCACGCAAAGGCCTCTTGCACAGCCAGCAGCTGCACAGGATCCTCAATATTCTTGATATACTCAATGTTCGCCGCGGCGGAGTCACCTGTCATCTGTTCCGCCAAGCTTTCCGACATGCCAGTAGCCAAAAGACTGGCTTTCCTCTCTCCCATGCTATTCTGGAAGACGACACCACCGATGACGATCGAGCAAGCTGTAGCCATATTGCGAATGAAGCCGAGAGTAGCCGTTGCCGTTGCCGTCTCATCTTGAGAGACCATAGCTTGGAGAGCAATGATTGGAGTTTGGAAAAGAAGTCCGGCACCGCATCCACTGATAAATTGGTATCCGATGATTTCTCCGAGGGACGAGAATGCGTCGAGACGAATAAATAGACCGTTTCCGATGGTCATTAGAACAAGGCCTATCCAGATGAGTTCTCGGTATCTTCCTGTGCGATGAATGACCATGCCAGTGATCAAGCCTGAAAATGCCTCGGCAAGGACAAGCGGCAGAATCAGGATACCGGACCGCAATGGGGATGCACCTTTCACAGATTGCAGATAAAGGGGGATGTAGTACTCTCCAGCAACGAAGACCTACTTTGCCGTCAGTACCGTTCGAGCATGGTCATCGGAAAGGACTCACAAATCCATGCGCAAATCCCACAGCCAAACTTGCGATGTTCGAGATATGAGAGAAGATGTCCAGCGGCATTATAGGGTACTTTGCCAGCCGCTTCTCACTGTAAATGAAAATCAGGGAGCACAGGCTTCCAAAAACAATCAGGCAAATAACTTGGGGTGAGCTCCACGCAAATGCTTCACCTCCGAAGTCCAGGCCCAAAAGAAGCATCAGAGTGAGACCTAGGACCGACAAGCTTCCGAACCAATCGATCGCTTTGAAGCCATCCGCAATTTTGGTCTTGGGATTATGCACATCCAAATAGAAAAACAGAAGAATGAATGCGAGCCCAGAAATAGGGGGGTTGATCCAGAAACTCCATCTCCAAGTGACATATTCCGAGAATGCACCACCAAGCAGCGGACCAACTCCACCAGCCAAAGCCCACATAACCTCCATCAAACCAAGATAGAGACTCCGATGCCTTTCAATGGATTAGTATCTGAGTATGATCATTAGATCTCAGTACATACCGAACGCTAAACAGATCAGAAATGATAATTGTATTCAGCTGCAAGACTCCTCCACCGGCAATACCCTGCAGCGCACGACCAGCAATCAACATCTGCATGTTCACGGCAGCAGCACAGATAATCGAACTGATCAAGAACCAAGCCACTGCAATAAGCAGAATAAGTTTGCGGCCCCAAATATCCGACAGCTTAGCCCAGATACAGGACCCGGCTGCATTGGCCAGAAGATAGGCACCGCCGATCCATGTGTATCCCGCAGCAGAGTTAAATTTGGCTGCGATCGTGGGAATAGCAGTTGCGATGATGGTTTGGTCGAGTGCAGCAACAAACATAGATAACTATATGGTTATTTAGTGTGGAGAACAACTCAAGGAAAAAAGAAAAAAAATCTCTTTGGGGTCTTACGGAGAGAGCTAGCATGATGGCAGTGATACGTAGCTTTCCCCGAGGCGGGGAAGGAAATTCGATGACTTCCATCTCTGAAGCCATTGTGTTTGGTGCCTTCTCTTGGAATGTGGTGGTGCAAAGAAAGAAAATGTTTTCAACCCCAGATACCAAGATCCCATCCCCCGCCGGAGTGGAATCCGCTCTGCTTGCGGCTGGATCCGCTCTACACCCGAAGCGCTTTATGAGTCACATTTAATACGAGTATGTACAATGACTTCATTGCTGTATGAGTATCTTTTTTACTTGATTAATTTAAGTCACCTTCGCGTAAACATGGACCAAGTTATAATTTACAATTTACGGTCTACAGTTTACAGTCTGACATAGTGGAACCCGCGTTCTAATCTAAAGTTTACACATTATAAGAAAAACAATAAGGAACTAAGGCAATATATTTATGATAAGCTTAGTTCTCAAGAAACGGAGCATCCTGTACCGACTGAACAAAGCACTGGAAGATCACCAACACTATGACCAATCCAAATATTGATTCCCTCGCCATTGACAGGTGCCATCCAGTCCTGCACAACAACATCCCAGACACTGAGATCCTTCCGAGTGATTTCAAGCGTCAAAGTCTCACTCTGACCAGCAGCCAATTCTTCGGTCTTCTCGAACTGGCGCAGTTGACGGGATGGAGTATCGAGACCCAAGCTGGATGGAAGCTCCACGTATAGCTGTGCAACAGCCTTTCCTCGTCGGTTTCCTGTGTTTGTGACCGTAACATCGATCGAGAATGCAATGTCATATAGGGCTGGGTTACCACCTTGGCCACCACCGGCGCGCACCCCGGGCTGCTGTGTAGTATTGTAGCCATCGGGATAAGGATAGTCGTCTGATGCAGTGATTAACTGCGGGAGTTCGAGGTATGGGTAAAGGTAACGCCAAATGCGAGTAAAGCTAGTCGATGACCATGCCACTTCGGAAGGATCGGGAATGGAGGTATTATATGTTGGTGTGGCTCCTTGAGAGGGTCTTGTCGGAGGATAAGTACTGTCGATTGCCGTTACTACTGACAGAGAAGGACCTGAAAAGTTGAATGTGGTGTATGACAGTCCGTGGCCGAAGGGATACCGTGGAGTGATATTGGCTTGGAGGAAATGGCGATAATCGATATAAAGACCTTCGGTGAAAGTATCCTGAATTTGCCCAAGCGGCTGATCAATGATACTCACACTATCTGGATAGTCGGACTCGCTTTTTGGGACCGTGTACGGCATATGACCGCTTGGGCTGTAGTCGCCAAAAAGAACGTCCACTAGCGAGTCACCTGCTTCCTGACCCGGGAGATGGGCCACAAGGACTGATTTGACGGAGTCTAGCTCAATCCACTCTTCCATCACAATTTGGCCGACCGTGTGAATTACAACGACAACATTTGAAAACTTCTCCGCTGCTGCTTTGACCAGTTTATCGCCGTTGTGCCAGGCATTTAGGCCTGCCACAAGTCGGTCTCCGGGGTTACCGTCAACGGTGTAGGAGTTTTCCCCGGAGTCAGCATTGATAAAGACTATCGCAATATCGTCGGTATTGGTGGTGATATCAGATGGGAAAGAGTCGGTAATATAGAAGACCGCGTTCTGGGAGACATTTGCGATGGCCTCTTGAGGTGTGATGAGATACGGCAAGCTTGCGGAGCCACTGCCCCATCCCATGGTCAAAACACCTTTATCGCAACTTTGGTCAGTGCATGAGTTCAATCCACCAGAGTTTGACCCGGCATCCGTGCCAAAGACCTTAAGGGAGTCGTTGTAGCTTAAGGGAAGTACATTATCCTCATTCTTGAGAAGGGTGATGGCCTCGCGTGCAACAGCACGAGCAGTGATATTGTGATCTCCCTGAACATTGACGTATTGATTGACGACGCCAGTAGGAGAAAAGAGAGCCCCGGGGTAAAGCTCCCCAGTTTCGGCGTCGGTGTTAGAAGAGAAATTAGGTAGAGGGTAGTCTTTATCTTGACCAAATTGATACCAGGTCGCGACGATCCGAGTCACCTTTGCGAATTGATGTTAATAGGTGTATATTGCAAGGCCATGGCCACAACTCACCATATCATTAAGACGATCGAGTGGGACACTGCCATTGAGAACGGATCGAGATAGATCGTAGGCCCAATAACTGTCCCCAAGCAATGGCACAGAGCCATCGCCCGGCATAGACATGTCGAGGCCAGCAAGAGCGGATCCCACGCCACTGTAGTGACCCAGCCAGTCCGTCATAACAAAGCCTTGGAAGCCAAGTTCGTTCTTAAGGATATCGTTAAGGAGCTTGCTGTTCTGGCTACAGGCCGAGCTATTCACCTAGATAGTGTAAGGTAGGGCTTGGAAACGACAGGGCGAGAACTTACATCGTTATACGAAGTCATCATTGAGCCCACACCAACACGAACACCTTCTGCAAAAGGCCAAAGGTAAAGTTCATGAAGGGTACGATCATCAATATTGGATGAATAGCCTTTTGTAATAATGCTGCTCATCCGATACATCTCTTGCTCGTATCCAATAAAGTGCTTCAGTGCCGCAATGGCGCCGGTGCTTTGCATTCCCTTGATAGTTTGGGCACCTCCAATAGCTTGAAGAGTCGGGTCTGCGCCAAAACCTTCCCAATTACGACCCCCTCGGGGCTTGCGCCCGAGAGGTCCAACAACTGGGCCCAATTGAACATTGACACCCTTGCCTCGGGCTTCTTGACCGATCCCAACACCCCGATCATACATCAATTGTTTATTGAAGGTCGCACCAACCGTGATCCCTGCCGGAAATGCAGTGATATGATCCGTCTCCCGAATTCCCAACGGGGAGTCCTGTAAGCACAGATTCGGGATGCCGAATCGCGGCGCACTTCCAGTCTGACCGACACAAGGCCCCATGAAGAACCCTGTTCCGGTGGTAAGGTTCACCTTTTCCGCCAGTGTCATGTTACTGACAACCTGGTACGCTTTCTCGTAGGCATCTGACCAGTCTGATACCCAACCCCCGTGCGGGGTGGGATAGTATGGCGGCGAAGAATAATCGGCATCGTCGCGTGGGTTCAATTGCACAGGGTTTGACTCTCCATCCGTAACAGGCGTTGCGACCAGCACCTGAGGTAGGAGTGGCACGAGAGCCAGATGAGACCAGCGAGTCATGGTGTACAATGGGTCGTTTGTGTACGAATAACAGCAGGCCAGACTCGACGTCCCGTCCTGTGCGACTTTTCAGGCAGGATAGACATTTACAATGATTTAAGTTCGGCCTTATATACGACTATATACTTGTGCCGCACGAGAAAAGGAGAGGGGTATCGATAGATCCACGTGTGATAGGCACAAAATCAGGTTGTCATAATCCTGACACGGAGTAGATCGTCACTCCGTGCAGATTGACAGTTCGCTTGCATACTAGCCGATGTGATAGTGTAACGACGAAGCCCCGTTATAGGTGGATTATCTGCAGGTTTGGTTCCTGCAGTGCCGATCTCTCCCCGGATAATCAAACATTTCTGTCAGGGGAAGGCAAAAAGTGAGAATGGTGGCTGTGAACCACTGCTAGGCAATTATCCGAGATTTGTCCGATTTGAATTATTAGCTAGTATGGAGTAGTTAATGAACAAATGAATGATTCGCGTGCTGACCGTCGGATGGCGCAGTGGGAGTTAGCTCCGACTACCAAGATAATTGGTGGCTGATCCCATGTGATTCCAAAAATAATTTTCTTGAGGCAATTCCCTGTTTTGGGACACAACCTGGACTGTGCCAACTCATTCAATTGTTTACAGGTAAAGACTCGCAAATTTGTTTAGACCTTCGTGTACCGCAGGTAAGGCTTAACCTCACGAACCTCACCAAACTTCTTCTTCGCGTCAGGGGTTGAGACAGAAGGGGGAACGATCACGTCATCACCCACTTGCCAGTCGATTGGCGTGGTGACGCCCTTCTTGTCGACCGTCTGCAGAGAGTCAATCACGCGTAGAACCTCAGCAGAGTTGCGGCCAGTCGAAGCGGGATACATCATCGTCAGACGGATCTTCTTGCTTGGGTCAATGATGAAGACAGAGCGGATAGTGTACGCGATACCCTTCTCGTCAAGGTTGTCTAGGTCCTGCTGATCAATCATGTCATAGAGAAAAGCGATCTTGCGATCGGCGTCGGCAATGATGGGAAACTGCAGGTCAGTCGAAGCACATTCGTTGATGTCCTTGATCCATTCGCCGTGAGAGCCAATATCATTCGCACTCTAGAAGAAGGGTGTCAGCTAAGAAACACCTGCTTACCCATCACTGCGTATTGAAACCCACCAAGCCAATCATCTTCACACCACGCTTCTCAAACTCATTCTTCAGCTTCGCGAAGGCGCCCAATTCAGTCGTGCAGACGGGGGTGAAGTCGGCCGGGTGGGAAAAGAGGATGGCCCAGTTGTTTCCAATAAAGTCGTGGAAATCAATTTCACCCTTTGTGGTCAACGCCTTGAAGTTGGGTGCTATTACATGTCATTACTATCCGTTGACCAAGAATTCGTTCCAATTTCACTATACCAGTTGATCCCAGACGCAGACGCGGCTGTTCCTGGGTAGAAGCCGCAAAGAACCGGCGGAGGGCCGGCTGAGTCCGGGGTATGCCGGAGAGACTGGTCCATTTGGGAGCACAAGAAACAGCACGATGGGCACGGAATGCCATTTGAGGGGCAGTAATTGAAGTCATGTTGTGTGGTTGTTGAATTGAAGAGGGTCTATTCCCGCGAAAGCGTCAAATAAATACTTAACTAGTAGTTACATCATCGCGGGGATTAACTATCTCCCAAGCACACAAGGACAATCTAACCACATCGGGAAATAAGCTATGGCAAATCTACAATCAATTGGAGACATTACTAAGGAAAGTATATCCATGATGAGAATAAGGAGCGAAGACCAACAACATTCACATAATTTCATTCAGTATAATCTTTCACTTATTACACCAAAATTCGTTAAACATAGGAAAGGGGAGAGCAATAATCCTTCATGAGAGTACAGCCTTTCTCATCAGTATCAACAACTAAGCAGAGAATATAACCTAAAGTGCAAGCAAAGCAGCAGCAAAGGCAGCGCCACCGAGAACGCTACCGGCAGTGGCAATCGGTGCCGCGTTCCTCGTCGAATCATCAGAAAAAGTAGATGTCGATGTCGATGTCGATGTCGATGTTGATGTCGCCTCCTGGCTATCACCGTTGTAATCACTAGTGGATGTCGCGGTCGCCTCATTGGTGGCTGGACCGGTAGTGGTAGTGGTAGTAGAGGAAGAAGAACGACCAGAGGACACGGCCGCTGAAACAATGCTCGAGTATCCGTTCGCGGTGAATGGGACCCGGGTGATGCAGGTGGGCTCGTCGCTCCAGGTCACAGTTGGGCCTCCGTAGTTGCTGCCAGTGCAGAAGGGAAAGCAGTCTGAGAATCGGACATCATTTGCAACGTCGCGGTAATTGTCATAATCCATCACACAGCAGTAGGGCTGGTTGTCCTCTTCCACAGAGAGGGATCCGTGGCAGCATTTGTCGTTCCCGTTGTAGTTGACTGGTATCCATTCGTTAGGGCAGTTGGTGACGAGACGCTTTCCAAGCAAGGTGTTGCCCTGACTTATGTTAGCTGGGTTGGATGGGTAGACCAATGATTTTCGAGGTTCCTTACCAGGTTTAAGCGAGCGTTTGCAGCGACAGCAAGCGAGAGCACTGCTGGAATGACAAGATTTTGAATAGAAGGCATTTGGAAGGGACGTGTCTTACAATTGGGTTGATGATTGCGACTTTGAAGTGACTGTGAATGGATTTTAAATTTTTGGTTGACCTCATGGTTTTATATTGTTGAGTGGTGCACCGAACTTCAATCTAGGAGTCGTGAAAATTTTCAGGATTGATAGATCATATCCAGTGAGATGCAACATATCCTGAAATTTTTGAAGGAGACAATTGTGATTCGACCTCGTAAGGAAGGATCTTCAAAGTCCCACTAATTGCGTGTGTGGAGGAACTCCTTACGGGTACCCATGTGGCATCCAACCCATCATGCCAATTCGTGGGCGCGATAGACTTGTGAATGATGAACCAGTACTTTTTGAAACTTATTAGTGCAGCATGAAAAATGAAATAGCTTGCTGAGATATCCCTTGAGCATCGTCGATCATTACTATGTGCGATCTGCAAGGGATCTAGCCTATTGAAATGATCCGCTAGGGCGTTCGCAAAAATCCCCGTTGAGTGTAGATCAGATGTTAAGGGCTTTTGAAACCCTTGCTTTGATCACGTTTAATCATCTGTGACGTAAAATTATCGATTTGAGTTATTTGAGCAGTGCTCGGTGCTCTATATAGCCCCGAGCGAAAGTACCCATGAAGCAAGGACATCTTCCTTCCCAATGTGACTGTGGCATTTCATTACCTAAGCAGGTAATTGATTATACATATCTAATTTAAATAATATTCACATCATGACTCAAGGATGGAAGGAAAGCCTAAAGCTTTGACAAATGGGCCGCCCGACAGGCTGCAAGGTCTGAAGGCCCATCAAAGATCTGTTGCTCTGCGAAGCGGGTGTTGATCTGAAAGCAGGTATTAGAGGCGTCAAGGAAGTGTAGAATAAAATCATGCTGAATGGAATTGTGCTCACATGTTGCATTCCAAGTTGCTCAAGCTTCTCAACACCAAGGAGTCTCATACAAGTCTTGGTCTCGTCGGCCAGGACTACAACGCAAGCGATACAGTCAGTGGTTTGTTCCAGTAATAACAGACCCCGAACTTACTCTGTAAAACTCTCTTCACCCCATCCACACCCCCACCCGAAAGGCCAAATAGTGCAGGTCGCCCAATGCCAACACCTTTTGCACCAAGGCAAATGGCCTTGACCACGTCGGTTCCTCTCCTAACTCCTCCATCCACCCAGACTTCAATTTTGTCAAATACTTCAGGGCAGTATTTGCGGATTTCAAGTAGAGTGTGCACGACAGGAGGAGACGTGTCAAGGGACCTGCCACCATGATTTGAAAGGATCACGGCCTTCACTTGGGGCCGATGAAAGGAAGCAATATACGCATCTTCATGGGTTTGAACGCCCTTGAGAATAACAGAGAGACTGGTGTGTTTGGCCAACCACGCAAGAGTCTCTGTCCATGTCAGCGTGGGATCCAACCCGGCAAATGCCTTTTTATCTCGAGCTTGCACCGAGCCATCGGTGGATTTCCAATCATCTGTAATCTCATCAATAACATTACCGCCACGCTGGTCATCCTCTCTCTTGCCCATTACGGGAGTATCAAGAGTCAGAACAATGAACTTGATCGCAGCCAATTTGTTGATTCGTGCAATCATTCTCTCACTCTTGGTTCGGTCTTCTTGTACGTACAACTGCCAGCCGAATACTTGTTCTGGGGAGGCGTTAGCAACAATCTCCTCGGGCGTCATGGAGGCGCTGTTGGAAATTATTTGCAAGGCCCCAAAGGCGCGACATGCCTCGGCAATTCCTGCTTCGCCAGATGGATGCCCCAGGCGAGCTTGAGCTGCTGGAGATATGTAAATAGGCAGAGCAACGTGGTTGTCTAGTAACTTTGTATTTAGGCTGCAATTGGCGCAGTCAATGAAGATCCGTGGTCGCAAAAGAATAGAGCGGAACGCCTCTGTATTGAGACGTTTGGAGATCTTGTCGTCGGCAGCAGAGTAGTAATATGCCCACGCCTTCTTGCTTAGCTTTGCTGTAGCCAATTCTTCGATCTCGTCCATGTTCAAAAGGGCATCGACATGAGGAGGATCATCAGCTTTCGGGGAAGTCACAAGGAAAGACTCTTTCTCGGGTAGAGTCGCTGGATTAATAGTCCCCAGAAGAGCCTCGGGTTTGAGGTTATCTTCTAAAGTACCGGCTGGGTGGACGGGATCAAAATCCTCAGTTGCATCTTTGCCTGCGAGCTTGAGGATGACATTTGCACCTCCAGGGTGATCAGCAACGAAGTCGGTCACCTAAAATATGACGTGACTTTTTGTTAGAAAGAGAAAGCACAACAATTGTGATGTCCTCACATCAAACACCTTGCCATACAAGATGACCCAGCAACTCTTGCGGTTATCATGTTTAGCCACTGTAACTCAGTTAATGAATTGATAAATACTTGAAAGTAAAAGAGAGTTGGCATACCTTCGGCAAAATCAAATACTTTCCCCATTTTCAAAATGATAGATTCTGGTAAGGAAACAATGATTCAGGAGGTTCCCAGAGCGGCGTTTAAAAGTAGCGATCGGAGTACGGAGTCCTGGCCGACCAGCCGGAAGCAAAAGTGGGGGTTGACCCCATGGTCACTGTGGAGTCAGTCGTATTCTCCGCATTATCCAATAGACGATAATGTTTTACCGAGAGAAAACCAGCCTGGGTAAAAAGCGTGGTCTTTTGAAAGCCGCCTTCACTATTCCTATGAGGATTGCACGCCTAGTTCTCCGGTATTGGAACCGAGGTTGCTTTAGTGCTTTAGTTCTCCGACTGCTGCGAGCTCGTCCAAAAGCCCGAGGCGGTCGCAGATCGCCGGAAATGTCCTCGGTCGCTTAGATCACGGCCGTCTGGGACGCACCGACTCCACTCGTTCGATCGTGAAGGCTCAAGGATATACTTGTACAAGGCATCGATGAATGTGATAGAATGCTGATAGAGTCACCCTATTTAAGCGGCAACACCTTAGATTCAAAGAATTTGTTGAACGCAGCCGAAAGTTTGCCAATACCAACTGAATTGGGAGAGTCAAGAATAAATCAAGCTTTTCACAGAAATAAAGATCTTGAGTGCCTTGACAGAGAAGTATACTTTAAGAAAAGATGGGCTCACGAAGAACCCCATTTCAGGGACAACAGAGGATAATTTCGTGTATTTTCTGAGAATGTTGAGTGTTGAAGGTAGAAGTTAAACATTTCCTATTTAAACTATGTATACACAGAGGCTTCTGGGATTCACGCCGGGATTGTCGTAGTGGTCACAGTCACGTCGGCAGCTAACAGTGCGGCAAACGCCTGCCTCTTCTGTTCCTCACTCAACTCAGGGTTGTTATGGATCGTCATGACCTTCTGAGAGAATTTCTTGCGCCTCTCTGCCAGTGCGCGAGCTGCTTCTCTCTCCGCTTCAGCTTCACTTTCGTCCTCTCCCACAACCTCATCGCCTTCAACGACAACTTCCTCTTCAAACTCAGCGTTCTCCTCCTCTAGTTTCTTCTGCTCCTCCTCTCTCGCCTTCTGCTCGACCTCCCTGTCAATCTTCTGCTCTCCGACCACATTTCCGTTTTCATCGCATACTGGTCTGAAGAACTCTACACCAGTCTGGTTTCCATTCTCGTCGAAAACGGGCTTGGCATACTCGACTGAGTCGGAGGCTTCTCTTTGGACTTGGGTGAGGGGCTGTAATCATGTCAGTGCTAGGTCCATTTGGGAAGCCATTCGAGATACTTACGTTCTTGCTATGGAACATCTTGAACCGATGAAGCCTGAAGCTAGCTCCACCGTACGAGACAACAAGCGCCTTGTCCTCCTTCGCAGGGTCAGCTGTTGAAACAAATTCAAGGTAAGCGGGAATTCAAACCTCGGAAGCTTTATATGTCGTCCAACCCTCATTGTTGCTCTTAGAAGTCGAAGACCCACTGGTTCCGACCTTTCCAATACCAGTGGCTCCAACATCAATTCCGGCGCTGGTATCACGATTATGGGCGCTCGTCATGGTAATGGCACACTCTTGAGTCGACCAGGTCTTCTTGATCGCCCATAGGCCATAATCCTTGATATAGCTACCCCATGGTCCTTTCACCAGAGTTTGTGCGTTTTGCTTGACCCAGTCCGTAATCACGTCTCTGCATGGAGCCTTGAGGAACTCGTTCACCACAACAGAGTCATCCGTGATGAGAGCTGCTTTACCAGTCTTTCCCCATTTGTTCTTCGCTTCGGCGGATACATCGACCGGGGCAGCAGTAAGAGCACCCGAGAGACCTCCCGTAAGTCCAAAGCTGGCCTCGGCCTCTTTGCTCGAAGTGGTGGTTTTCCAAACGCTCTCAGAGGGTTTATCATAATAGACCGCTTGGCTAGGAGCCTTGTAGCCATCTTTCTCGGGACGACCGGGAACTGATAGATCGGTAATGGTGTTCCAGAGTCCATACTTGTCGAAAAAGCCGACCGCACCGGGGTGGAGCTCACTAAACCGCTGGGGGATGTACAGGTAGTTGCCATGGCCATTCGGCTTCATGAGCTCGGCATACTCCTCGGGGATGGTGATGGTCATTATAGCGGTTATGATTGATATGTTATTTGTGATATTTGAATTGTATCGTTGCCTCTGGTGCTGGAGGGGCAAGTCGTTTAAATACCTCGCTGAAGGTAAGTGGGTCAGACCTGAGCTGAATCGTAATCTTCAAGTGACGATATTTCGAAAGGCGATCTGATGTAATAGACTTTGGACTAGTCTTAACTAAGAGTACAGACAGATGATCTTCAGCCCCTCCGTTCGTCAGTCCGTTCGGTAACCTTTGCTATCCAGATCTTAGAGATCCCACCCTGAAGATGACGATTAAGGGTATATGCTTATAGTTCAAAGCAGCTATCTGTTCAAAGAGACTACTGGTATATAGGAATTGTGAAATGCATACTGGCCAGACCTCTAGAGCATTTTGCCCATGGTTAAGCGCACTTGATGTCAGCTTGTTACCTAGCAGGTACCTCCGATCGTCGATAAGTGCGTCATAGTTTGCCGTGATGACATAGAACGATCCACACCATACGGAAAGCCTCATCCCCCCTCCTCAGAAAAGCAAGATAAAAGAAACGCAAAGAAACCATACATGCCCACTAGACATAGATCGGCAACTGGTTCATTTTTTCAACCAATATGATACTCACTGGGCGCAAACTCCACATATGTAGCTATCTTTATCGGGAAACGATAGGTCGCATGAATATCGTCATCGCGAACTGATACAGCGACCAGCCTTGGAGGCGACAAGGTGTGCATTTTAAGTTTTCCAGGATTCCTATAATCCGGCATATGTCAATCAATGCAGTTCAAGTGTTGAGTTATTGATAGGCACGGATGTTTTGAATGTTGTGGATATTTGTGCATGTTCTCCACCTGGGCACATGTGCACCCGTGCAGTTGGAGGCTTTCTCAACGACCTGTGCCGGGATCCAGTATATATAGATTAACCCCAATCTCGAGGCCGATAATTTCCATGGTTTTGGAAAACTTTCTATAAGAACCAGAGTCTAAAATTAAATTTGAAAATTCATTGTTTGTTTACTTGTGGAACTCGGGCTTGATGAGGTTTAGCGCTAACTCCGCTGCTCTGCCTGAGGCCCCAAACTATGAAAGCTGCATATGCCTCCGAAGGTTTGGAATATAAGAGAAGTCTATGCTGCAGAAGAAATTTTCCGTCAAGGTACTTGATGAAGTACCAGGTTTCAGGGGTCACGCTCAAATGCAATAATTTATCTTCGGTCTAGGAATAGACTGAGCAACTACCTAACGCTAGCAATAAACGTGAAATTAAAATGCTCCAAACCTCCAAATGCATCACAAATTCACAACAGAAAAAAAGAACGCTTGAATATGATTTCATAAATCCCACCTTATGAATGTTTGCATAGGGACATTTCGGACTCGCGTTGGGTTCGGTGATTTAGCGCTGCCTCGAATTTTGCTCTTCATTATTCCCCATGAAACGAAATGACTGATAACAGGTACCATGTGCATACCGAGGAGAAGAAAATGCGAAAGCACATGCAATGAGAAAATCAGGTCGTGATCACGACGGGACATGTCTGCGGGGGGTTTGATGTGGCAAGAAAATGTACAATGTTGAGCCAATGAGAAATGGAAAAGGCTATCTGTCGTATATAGGGTTGAAAGAGATTGTTTTTTTAAACAACGGATGTTTAAGCCGTAAACATCAGGCGCAAGCGGCTTGGGCCCTTCTTCTTCTTCTTCTCGCTCGGTCGCTTCTCCTTTTCTGAAACATGGCTGCCAGACTTGGAAGGCGCCCTACTAGGCGCTCTGCTTGGAGCTCTGCTGGGCGCTTTGCTTGGGGCTTCACTTGGGGCTCGACTTGGGGCTCGACTAGGAGCCCTGCTAGGAGCCTTGGATGATTCTTTGGTAGATCTGGCGAAGATACTCCCCGAACTTTTGGGAGCGGACTTGGATTCTCTCCTAGAATGTCCTTCAGAGTGTCCATGTGCATGTGATCTGGATGTGCGCGACCGACGAGAGCGACGGGATGAGGCCATTGAAGCATCATCATCGAACTTGAATCGTGGATCTCTCTCCATGCGGGCCGTTGTAATGTCGATTCCAGACAAGGCGGCGGCTCGTTGAGTAATGAACTCGCCATCTACTGATGTGCCCATGCTGACAGCTTCAATGTCTGCCACACCACGTCTCCACATCTCGACGCGGCTCTCCGATTGCACATTGAGTTCCATCAACTCCTCCATCTCCGGCTCCTCTTCTGCGCCTACCTCATCACCCTCGAGTGGCTCTTGAGTAATTCCAGTAGCACCAGCCTGGATTTTCTTGATGATCTTGTATCCTCCAAACATGACCACTGTCACTCCTAATCCGACACCAGCAGCAATCAGGAATTGTGGACTTGCCAGTAGAGCCCAGATTGCAGGGGCAGCGGCCTTAAATGCAGTAAGCGCCGTTGGGGCCATTTTGCTAGCGACATTGCTGATTTCCGCTAGAGTGAGAGCGACAGCAGCCATCGCATCCGGGTTCTTCTGAAGATGGGCGATAGTGGCGGTTGCGCTGTGCTGCATACAATGCGCCTCCTCCAAAAGCCACTGTGCCTTAGTTACCAGACCATCCAGCTGCTTTTGATCTTCCGGATTTTCCACCGGAGGACGGTATTTTGATAGTGTGTCCGGGTGAGCATCCCCGTATGCAAGATCCATATCAATGTAGGCATCGGACTTAGAGCGGGCAGTTGTTGGTCGAGCCTCAGGCTCGCGAAGCGCGACTTCATGATGGGTATGTCTGCGGGGAAGCTCCGTTGGCGGATCAAAGACATATTCGGCCCTCGAGGCACCCGAATGCAAATCCTGCTCGTATCGAGATGAGGCACGCCGATGATGCACACTGCGACTAGATTGATGTCGTGACCTCGACGCATGACTTCGCCGTGACGGTGCTACTGATGGGGAGTCATCGATCTGGTAGGTGGCGAGAGCCTGCAGTACCTGCTGCTCTGCAATCTTGGCATTGCGCTCCGAGTCAAAATGGGCCTTTCGCTCGCGATAGGCAGCCTTTGCGTGACTGAAGACGCCGAACAGTTGTTTACTCTGTTGCTGTCAGGATAACCTTCGATTGGTTCATTTGAATCCGGGCCAGCTTACCGTGCTAACAACCTTGCCGGACTTGTCAATCACAGCGATTGTCTGGCCGAGCGGCGCCATCAGAAAGGATCGTCGAACGTCAAACTCATCAGATAATTTTTGTGATGGGTAAAAGAGCGGTGTGAGACACTAGTGATTCCAGCTAAATGATCTAAAAGCCAGGATATAAATGAATGGTTGAAAGGCAATAAAAAGAAGTAGATCCTGAAGTATAAATTGAAATAAGATAGGGGCAGAAAAGATTTATTAGTACGGAGTACCCAAGCTGATTAAGCTGGTTATTTTAAACTCCAGTGAAAAGACCGGTCAGGTCCGATTGGATTTTGAGATATCGTTACTTATGGGGAACAGCGATGGGGGGAAATGGAGGAGGCTGGGGGGGGAAATAACGATGGCATCAGCGTGCAGGAGCAGGAGTTGGGCAGAGTAGCGAACGGTAGCTGCAGGTAGCAGGACCATAAGGCAGAATTGGGTTCCAGTGATGCGAGAGGTAGAAGCGAATTACGAGCGCTTAGAAGACCGCATCACGACAAGACGAGTTAGTTGGGGCCCAAAGAGTGCTGAGTGGGGGGAACAAGGGTTTGTTGTCGATCTGTGATTGGGGACATGAATATTCTCTTGAAGGGACTACTTAAAGAGGCGGTGACTTGATGACTGTAATTGGTTTAATGTCACCGCCACTGTGGCTGGTGTCAATGGATAAGTCATATCAGCCACATGTGGCTGTGCTGTCACTGGTTTATTCTTTGAAGATACTCGACTGGTTTGTAGATAATGCAATGTTCCGTGCACTCGGAAGTAAATCGGCACAGACTCTGAAACAAAGGAGTCGATGACGACTCATGGCGCCATCAATGCTGTGCAACTTGGCTTTATACATATGCCTCAGGAGATTCCCGAATCAAAATGAATTTAGCTTGGCATAGGATGGACAGCTGCAGGGTGAAAGTTGTATACTTTACAACATTGGATTTCTAAAACCGTCACAAGCGCTAGGTACAAATGAAATCGAGCGGGTGAAGTCATCCAGTCATTTGTCTTATCTGCCCACCGCTGATCTGAACATGTGTCTTGTTTAAGTTCTCCTTTTCATGCTTTGCACTGTACTCGAGTGCATATTTGCAATTTCTACCTTACAGTTATGGCTGTACTTTATTTTCAGTCACGGCCTCCTTTGGCCAGACTACAATGGGAAAAGTGAGTCGCAAGAGTCCATATCCATATATCCCCTGCGACACCTGGAGACTTGCGACCGAGATGCGACCGGATACAATCTAAGAATGAAGATCACTGTATAACTATTAAGAACACGATCGCTAACGGACAGACAAACCTAGTAGGTCGGCATGTTGTTGGAATCATAAAAGATATTATTCAAGGGGTGGTGAGTCGAATACTTTATCGATGGTGCAATGGATATTGATCTCCCGCACCGCCATTTCTCTCCTTTTCTTCTCCTTTTTTTCTTCCATTTTCTATCATCTCCTTGTATCCTATCAAGTTCTTAAACTATCGTGGAAGTGTGATTAAACCGGAGCCTCCCGACCCCAAGAACCAAAGATCGTTTTCTGGGTGGATCCAATCATCCGACAGCGGGGAGATCTGGCCCTCCACACAACTTCACCTCAAAAAAAAACATCTCACCAAGTCATTGACTAACTGGGAACCACGCAATGAATATAGTGGATTCTGGAAGTACTTCCGAGGCGGAAGACCAATCCAAGACATGGGGATCTGACGCTCGATCTCTAGCGCGCGGAAATGATGATGCAAGCAGCGCGCCACTAAGTGATTGCGGGATCGGCCATCGCGTGCTTGCTAGCCGCTCCGTCCTCGCATTGGTCATTGATGATGAGTGTGTCTTTGCCGGCCTTCAAGGAGGTGATATTGTGGTAAGTAGCACTGTATTTGGTCGCTGTTTCAATTTGACTTTGTCAATTCCCAATTCTCCGGTCTGACTCATCTTCTAGGCTTGGTCCCTGGAGACCTACGATCTTGTCTTGTCGGTGCATGCCCACAAAGAGAGCGTTCTGGGCCTGTATTTGTCCGAGGATGGAAATCTGCTCTTCTCTACCGGTGGTGACTCAGTAATTAATGTGAGTATTATCCCGTATTGGTGGGGTCGCCGAGTACTCATCCTCTTGCCTAGGTCTGGTCCACAAGGACATTTGAGCGACTCTACTCTATATATCCTCACCATGACGTGGGTGATATTTTCACCGTGGTTTATTCCGCGAGTAATCAGACCATCTACTGTGGTGCGCAGAACACCAGTATTCAATGGTGTGATCTGTCCGAAGAAAGCTCCCTGAGTCAAACCTCAGTAGCCCACCCATCAAAGCGGACTCATCGCTTTTTCGACTCCCGGGGTCCAGATGGTACCCCTGCTCCACGACCATCGGATGGCGCCCACACAGTCTCCGAGGGGGGCCGAGTCATTTCCTTTAAGCGGGACCACCATAAGCTTTTCGCCCACCATGGCTATGTTTACTCCATGCTGCTAGTCAAGGGGCTGATTGAGTCTACTCCCTCCGAGGAGGTCTTGTTAACTGGTTCTGGGGATGGTGCCGTGAAGTTATGGCGGATCGGGCAGCAGCCGGGAGCTGTACCGACTCAAATCGCGAAGTTGCAGAATGAAGACCCTGTCCTCTCCATCGCCGTGGAAGGCTCACTACTCTACTGTGGCCTGGCGGGTGGCGCTCTGAACATCTGGAATCTGGACTCTCAGCAATTAGTCAAGCGGATTGTTCACCACACTGGTGACCTATGGGCGGTCCATGTGATTCAAGGGGTAGCTATTTGTGGAGACTCAACAGGAACAGTCAAGGTATATGGAACTCCGCATGGTCCTTTTGTTTTTCCAACAGCTGATTGTTTCAGAAATTTAACTCCCGATTTGAGGAAGTTGGCGGATGGATCGCTCACGAAGGCACTATGCTTGCATCTGCTACCGGCCGAGTCAAGAACCGACACATCTATGCCACGGGTGGCAACGATAACTCGGTTGGTATTTGGGACTTGACAGAATTCTTTCTCAATCAAGATGAGCTACCGCCTATCAGCAACGGTATGGTTAATCTTTTATCTTGCCACAAAAAGCACTAGTTTATTAATTCTCCTTCGCACAGATGAAATGGTGAACAGCTTGGCCAAGTTTGTTTCATTCAAGACCATATCCGCAAGTCCCAAATTCAAGGGCGAGTGCAATCAAGGAGCAGCATTTCTCCGTCGGCACTGCAACTACCTTGGTGCAAACACAAAGCTTTTGACTACTGGCGAGGACACTAATCCAGTTGTGTATGCCCGTTTCAATGCGAACTCGCCAGACAAAGTTGACAAGACGATTCTTTTCTACGGCCACTACGACGTTGTTGGTGCCGATACCAATCGTCCCAAGTGGAGATCCGACCCTTATCAGTTGACTTCGATCAATGGATTCCTCTATGGTCGTGGTGTCTCTGACAACAAAGGACCGATCTTGGCGTCTCTGTATGCTGCCGCTGACCTTACTCGAACAAAGTCACTTCGTTGCAATGTGGTCTTTTTGATTGAGGGAGAGGAAGAATCTGGATCACAAGGATTTCACCAAACTGTGCATGAGCACCAGGCTGAAATCGGTTCTGTGGATTGGATTTTACTCGCCAACAGTTATTGGCTCGATGACTACAACCCCTGTCTGACCTACGGTCTTCGAGGTGTGGTGCATGCCAACTTAGTCGTGACTAGCGATCACCCTGATCTGCACAGTGGTATCGATGGCAGTGCTTTGCTTGACGAACCAGTCAAAGATGTAGCGCTTTTGGTATCGACTCTGGTTGGGCGAAAGGGTCGAATCAATCTGCCTGGTTTCCACGACCCGGTCAGTCCAATCACAGAGGCTGAGCAGAAGCGATTCGAGGCCATTGCGGATATCTTGCTACCTCAGCACCCAGAGATTCAAGACCGCCAGGCCTTGGTTAAGTCGCTCATGTACCGCTGGCGCGAGCCGTCGCTGACAATTCACTCGATGGAAGTCCCCGGCAGCAAGAACGCAACTACAACCATTGCCCGACATGCGAAGGCTAGTCTCTCGATCCGTATCGTTCCAGATCAACAAGCGGACGAAGTCGCAGCCACTCTCACTGCATTCGCTCAGGAACAATTCGCATTACTGGAATCACAAAATGACCTCACGGTCGAGATTACTGGAAAATCAGATGCCTGGCTGGGAGACCCAGACAATGAAATCTTCGCCACACTTTCCGAAGCAATCACTGTGGCATGGACGCCAGACCAGCAAGGCTCGAAATATCAGTATCCGCCAATGACCCCTCCCATAAATGGAAGGCAACCTGCCACCCCCAAACCGGCCATTCCTTCAGGCCCGAGCCTTCTTCGCAAGGATTCCTCGGACAGCCTAGCATCACGCGTTGACCGTGTGATTACATCTTCCACCACCTTATCCCCCGAAAAATCGGCTGCCCGTAAGCGGTCTGTGCAGTCTGCCACTGTCCCAACTTCTTCCACCCTTACTCAAACAGCCACAACCCCCGATGACTCCTCTTCGTTGCCCATTCGAACCAAGTCCGACGCACAGTCTGAGACCCTCGTCTCCACATCAGCATCCTCCACCCCAATCACTTCGCCCGCAACGGTGAAGCCCATTTTCATTCGTGAAGGTGGATCAATCCCGACTATTCGCTTCCTGGAGAAGGTATTCTCAGCCCCTGCGGCTAATCTACCCTGTGGACAAGCAAGTGACAACGCCCACCTGGATAATGAGCGCATGCGTGTGGAGAACTTGTACAAGAGTCGAGAGATCTTCCGATATGTGTTTGCTAATTTGGTTGACAAAACGTAAGGATATGATTCCTTCAGCTTTATTCGAGTGTTCTCGAATTGTGTAAACTAGGCTTCCTCTTAGCAATACTTCCCCGGGCTTGGTAGTTGTTCAAAATGAAATCAAGGATTTGACTCAGTTGGAATTACGAGGTCTTCCTAGCCGGTGTCACGTTTTATTTTTTTAGAGCCGGTCTGAGATGCTTGGGGGTACTTGACGTATTCGATTTGACCCTACGCAATGATAGTTCGTTCGCACAGGAACAGTGCTCAGTAGCGCCAGTTGCTGCCTTTGTTTTCACCATACCAATGGCGGTATGACCATATTCCCACAGATACTTTCAGAAATTGCTTAGCATTGTAAGGAAGCGATTACCAAGCGCAGTATAGGCGCATAGAAGGCGTGTGTCTCACTGTGGTGTTGCCTACAGACGAAGAGATCACGCAAATTGGGTGCCCGGACGTATGAAGAGTGCGATATCGCTGCTGTCAAGCTGTCTTGAGTCCAGAGAATGTCTTGATACTCTGAGTTGATCAGGGCGTCAGCAATTTGTTGGCTCAGGCCAAAATTTTGGAGTTGTATTGGGAATGATGTTCGAGAGAGGAACGATTTGTACTCCTGTGAAGTCCAATAGAGAGAGAGGCACACGTCGAACCAGCGACCCATTTCATTGTGTTAACACGTATCTTCCTCCAACCACAAGGTTGAGTACCTATCATGAGTGCATGATTTCAGGTTGAAGTTGAAAGCAAAGATAGATGCAGAAAGAAGAAAGCTTCAAGCTCAAGATGGGGTAAAAGTAGTAAGAGGAAATGAGTCAGCTGAGAGATCAAGTGAGCTGAATGTAGATTGAAGGTGAGAACGTAGAGTGACATATTTTTGGTAATTTATCATCATTGCATATTTTGGATAAGCAAATTATATTACAAAAAATAGTACTCTGATAGCCAATCTGCTATGCTCAAATGTACTAGTTGGTACGGTCATTGCTGAGGTCTAGTAGATACAACTGCGTAATTTACCAAAGTAGTCTAGTAGGTACTGGAAGTGGTGCTCCAAGTGGGGAGACTAGGTACTAGGTACCACTATTAGCACTCTAAGTAACTACGTAAGCGGGTACTTTATACTTAACCAAATTTATATCTGATCTGCTAAACCGTATTGGCGTAGCTATAGAGATCCGGAGGATCAGATTAAGCGTACTAGACCCCGGACCCGCTCATTGAAGGGGCTCCTTGCCCAGATCCAGCATGTCAACCATGGGTCATGACAAGGCTTGATCTTGTAGTCCTTCCATGTACCTTAATTATATTCCTTACCTTTATTTCTTGTCTCTTCATTTCCATCCCTCTCATTCTATTGCAAACATTCAATTACACACAAGTTCATCCATCACTTGAGAAGTCGACCTTGACCTTCATCACCACAAGCATCAAGCAACTTCACTCTTTCTGAACTTCTCAGTCTCATCTCCCTATCTCACTCACGGCCTGCTGGTGCTCGTATTATGACCCAAGCACCATATCCCTCGTGTGTCCCCACCTACCCTCCCTATTGTGTCCCCTATCCGTCCCAGGGACACAATATGGGGTATCAGGGCTACTTACCAGCCTCCCACCAGACGTCCAAGCAGTCACAGCTCGTTCGTGATCAGACACATAGTTTGTCGGAGCCATTTAATGCTCCTAATACAACGATCTACTCGTTTATTCCCATTGCCGGGAATTGCCAGCAAAAGCGCCCTCGTCGCCGACATGAGGAAGTCGATCGCATCTACAAGTGTGATAAAAGTGGTTGTAAGAAAGCCTATGGCACTTTGAACCATTTGAACGCGCACCTGATAGCGCAATCTCACGGTGCGAAGCGTCGGGCCGAAGAATTCAAGGGCATCCACAAGAGATACAAGGCCAAGAAGAAGGATGCAAGCACACAACGCAACACTGCTAAGTGGCGTGAGCGTGCTATCATTCAGCCTGAACCTGTCAGCCATATCGTCACTCCTGATATTCCTCCGGAGACCCAGATTAAGGCTGCTCAATCCTTCACCTCGGCACTGCCCTCTGCCTGCGGCAGCGGTGATTTCCCTCTGCTGCCCCCCATCGACGACCTTTTTGCTGACATCGACTGCCTCTCTGCAGAAATCGACCTCCTCTCTGCGAACATCAATTTACCCCCTGCAGACATCGGTTTACTTTCTTCAGATATGCAATTCCCTGGGCAACAAATTGGCTATGGTGACGACCTGTTCTACGATAGCGATGAACAGACGGATTCTCCAGTCTTTCTCACGAGTCTCTCGTTGTAACCTTCAGCACTCAATCGTGCTTTGATCTCCTACCCTGTACAGCGCGTTGAGTACCCATATTATTATTGTTAGTGGCTATTTTTATGTTCTTTGTTCTTATTTTGAGATCAGTGGTCCTGTTACTTGAGCCCTATGATTAATCTCGGCCACTAGTTGTATCTTCTGCCAATGTTTTGTGGCCAATCTTCTCTGTATTTAAAGTTCTGTATGATGATTCTCAGTCACTATTCAAATCTTTGTATCTGCTCTTTTTTGCATTATGTGATTAGTCTTCCTATGAAGTGAGTAACAAATCATACAACATAACTTCAGCAAATTTTCAGTCGACTAGTAGTCAATCCTAGAATACAATAAGCTGCCGTATATATTCACCCCTGATCTCCAGTGTCAACTTCAGTTCACGTCATCATGACCGATTTTCAGACCGACAGCCTCTATTCTAGCTGCCTCCCGAATCAGGCACTGGTACGACTTGAAGTTGCGCGCTGGAACCCGTGCAGCAAATATCTCATCCAGCTCTTCCAAAGAACGACCTTTCATTTCCGGCATGAAAAAATAGAAGAAGATGACGCAGACAAGATTCGATCCAGCCCAGATATATCCATATTGAGCTCCCTATATGTATTATAGTCTGGTCAGCCTTCAACAGTCATGTGGCGAGAACTTATATAAGATGACTCACCCAGTTCATATGCTCTGGATTGATAAAATAAGGGGTGCAAAAGTTTACCAACCAAGCAAGCAGATATCCCAGCGAAGTAGCCGTACCAACAGTCCACGCACGGAGTCTCGAACTGACTAACTCTGTCGCAACAGGGTAACTCACAGCCCCGACGCAGCCGTTATAAAAGAACATGAACAATGCCGTAAATGCCACCAGTGTTCTGCCCGTTGGAAGCGTATTGGGGCTCACTGTACCGGCAATCGCACTTGCTAGTTGACAAAGACCGCATGCGATGGCACCGATCATAAGAACTGAGCGACGCCCGAACAATTCTCGGATGGCGTACAGTCCAAAATTAACCCCTAAAAATCCAAAGCAGGTGTTCATTATGGAAAATTGGAAGGCTTTAGTGATACCACAAACTGTGAAGAAATATGTTTGGTAGCCTATGAGGAACCACACACCCGATGCAGTTTGACAGCCGATCATACAGTAGCAAAGGATTGTTCGGCGAAGATCGACACCTATCATTATGAATATTTTCGCATAGAAATTTGAAGTATGGAAATTGCAATCTCACCTCGGAACATATCCAGCGCCGCTACATTTCCTTCTTCGCGCTTTTCCTCTTCTACACCCTTGACCATCTCCGCCCACTCTAGCTCCAATATTGATAGAGCCATGGTTGTACTACCGCTGCTGCCATTGTCATTTCCACTGTCCCTGTCAGATGAGCCCGAGGAAGCAGTGCCCCGAAGGATTTCCAGCGATTTTCTAGCTGCCTGCTCATCTCCCCGATGAAGTAACCATCTAGGACTTTCCGGGACAAAAAACAATGCAACGAATAACAAGGTTGGAACAATGTAAAGGCATGCCAATGGGATCTGGTAAGAAAGTCGATCGAGTCGCTTCTGAGTATAGTTGTCCACCAAGGCGCCCAGGATGCTTCCTATATTCACCCAGTATGAGAACAGGGCAACCATGATTCCACGCATGTGAGCAGGTGCTACTTCGGAAGTATAGATATTCGAAAATGTAACGAGGAATCCATTCGCGAATCCCAATAGCAGGCGGCCGAAGTATAATACACCTGCAGATGTAGTTCCGATTTGGATTCCAACTCCGACGGCATTGACAACACAGGCAAGCCAGAGCGCATGGCGGCGGCCTAGGTAAGCCGAGAAGAACCCTGCCACTAACGAAGAAGCAAAAGATCCTAGGGTTAATAGTGATGTTATGAGCTGTTGAACGGTGCTCTGAATAATGCGTCATTTTAGCCATAAATTGTATATGAGAAGGAAGGTCATACTACTTACATCAATCGCATATCCCGTGTCACTGTTTGGGTCACGATATCCAAATACTTCAAGAAAACCCGGCATGGCTTGTAATGAACCAACAGCGGCTAGATCAAAGCCGTATTGCATATTAGCCATTGACACGATACAGCACAGTACAAGGCATTTTCTGTTCTGCCATAATGTTGTTGATGACATAGCGTCTGCCATGATGACCAGACTTAGGGAGCCAGCTTCAATTTTGATTAAGTTTGTAAAAAATTGAAAGCACAGTAGAAACTTTTATTCATCGCATGAGATGAAATAATGCATAATTTCAATCAATATTCCTCCAACCCGCACAAGGAGACACCCATGGATTTATACCGAGATCTTGGTGAGGGGGCGGCACAACTCATCCATCCACTAGGGCTTAGAGGGACATACATGACTCAATCAAGCTATTGATATTCACATAAAGCATGCAACCGGTTTCTATTTTCTTAAACTAATATGTGTCTCTCCACTACCCCGCATGTACTATTCAGCACCGGGGAAACCTGGGGCAGCCCCACCTCTCACACATGTGCACTTCTCAGGGTCAAAATGAATTGAGAGAGATGTGTTCCAAATCCGGCTTTAAAATGCCATGTCCTTGGACCATAGCCAATCCAATTCATGGCATGCAAATGTGACCTCCCTACCTTCAATATTACAGATGTAATTATTATTTGAATGGGGAGTATGGAGCGTCATAAATTCTCAAGTTGAAAGGCTAAGCCGGCAGTGATTTTGAATACTCTGCCGGGTTTCCAAATTTTTATGATGTGGGGCGAGCTACTTTTCACTCAATGGGATATTTCTGATTCTACCAGCCTTTGATTGTATTCAAATGCCGATGATACCCCGCCAGGATGAACCCTGTATGTATATGTTTCTCCGCATGTACAGTACTCTACTGGTGGGGTCAGTTCATATTGGATTCCAAACACAAGCTAGAGGTGACGTTAGAACCTTGGAAGATCTAGATTACCCAGTGTGAAATGTTGGAGTTAGTCTAGTAAGTGCATATGCACATATCCAGGCGCCCACATTTGCAAGTGGGGGCTGAGTTCCAATGTTTGGATATATATACTAGATCCCATCTGGATCATGTCACTATTGACATATGTACTCTCTGACTCAGCTACATACTGACTCAAATTGATATGTTCGTGGAGAAGACCGGAAAGCTTTTGGCGCTGGCCAATATCCAGCGAGTACCACCAAGTCACCCAAGAGAATACATAATGAACTTGTCTTTAGCATTTTGGGGGTTGCTTATTCTTGGCTTGATACTCTCGATAGACTACGGCTACATGGTTTATTTGCACTACAGAATGGTGAGTGTATGAATGCTGTTCAGAGATCGAAGTGGTCAACCGACATGACCTGAGGTGGCATCTAACCATGAAACAATATATACAGCCTCCGGGTCCATTCCCACTTCCTCTGATTGGAAATACACATCTACTGCCAGCCAATAAACCTTGGATATACTTTGAACGGTTGGCAAAAAAATACCAAACTCCCATGATCACCTTTTGGACCGGCCGACGACCTACAATCTGGATCTGTGACGCATGGGCAGCCAGTGAGCTTCTAGACAAAAGAGCCGCAATTTATGCCTCAAGGCCACGCATGGTCGTTTTCAGCGAACTTGGAGCCGGCCAGTCAAACATGGTCAACATGTATTATGGGGATCGCTGGCGTCTGCACAGAAAGCTTACTCATATGGGAGTCGGCCTGCAACAAGTTCGGAATTATCGCGGTTTCCAGAATGACGAAAGCAAAGTAGTTGCATTTGATCTTTTACGCGAGCCAGAGGAATATGTCAAGCATTTCGAGCGCTATGCGACGAGTGTAGTTTCCATAATCGGGTTTGGCAGACGGGTTGCTACATTCACAGATCCGATCATCACGGAGGTGATTGCACTTATGCAACGCGCGGCTGAGTTGAATGTACCTGGCAAGACGTTTCCCATGCTGATGGAATCGTTCCCTTGTAAGTATCCGAGAATATTGTTGCGCAATATTTTATTTTGTGCTCTTCCAACTTGGATTATCGCTATCAAAAGAATGTCAGAGCTGACATACGGCTAGTTCTTGCCAAGTTTCCAAATTGGATGGCACCCTGGAAGCATGGTCTAGGTCAAGGCCAGAGCCGTGGTAGACCCTTCTTCTATGCCCTGGCCGAAGAAGCCGCGACAAGTGAAAGAAAAGGGCAATGCTATGCAAAGAAGGTATTTGACGAAGCGCCGAAGCATGGCCTTTCAAGAATGGAAATATCTTCGCTCTCGGGGAATCTTTTCGGAGCAGGTAGCGACACTTCCAGCTCAACGCTTGTGACATTTGTTCTAGCGTGCTGTGCATACCCAGAAGCGTTGAGAAAAGCAAGGGAAGAACTTGATCGCGTGGTGGGACCACACCGGAGCCCGACTTTTGAGGACGAACCCGACCTGCCATACGTGAAGGCGCTGATGAAAGAGGTCTTTCGGTGGAGATCTGTGGCTATTATTGGAGGGCAGCCACATGCGCCGATCAAAGACGATCACTACAAGGTAATAGGGCAAGCCTCGACCGAGACACCTGAATCGGGCAGTTGCAAAGATCAATGAGCTGATACGATGGATTTAGGGTTGGTTGATACCAAGAGGCACTTGGGTCCAAGGAAATGTGTGGGCCATTCATCGTCATGAACGAGAGTTTCCGGATCCAGATCGTTTTCACCCTGATCGGTGGATCAAGGGGAGTGCGGAATCGCGTCCATTTCCCAGTGAAAAGGGCCACATGACTTTCGGATGGGGACGGCGAGTATGTAGTGGACAGGGGTTGGCGGAACAGGGGACCTTCATCACAATTGCACGCCTACTCTGGGGATTCAATATTGAGAAAGCCCTGGACGAGCAGGGAAAAGAGGTGAATGTGGATATCTTTGATTTCACGTAAGTATTCTTCCTGTGTTTTGTCTTAATCTATGGTGAACTGATCGTCCGGTATGTCCCGTGTGCGATTCAGCAACGGCCTGAACATGAGACCGAATCCATTCAAATGCCAAATTACACCTCGCAGCTCAGAGATCAGTGCCACTATTGAAAGAGAGGGTCAACAAGCATTGCAAGACCTGTCAGAATACGACGGTGAAACGAAGTATCGTATGAGCACGTATTATGGCATGGAAAAACTCCAGTAGGTCCATTTCACGCGAGGAATCTATGATGAGTTGCCTTAGAAACCTACAAGTCAGTTAGTTCAGGAATGTTCCGTGGATGTACTCCTAGCATGCCGGAGATCGGAGTTTACACAAGCTAATCCGAAGTGATCAATGAAAATGTTTGAATTGAGCCATAGAACTATTGCGCAACCCTGTAGTCGGCATTGATTGAAGTTGAAATCTGCCGACATAGATTCAAGATCAAGTGTGGGGAAGGTAACAAGACGTGGGTCCGCGCCATGGAAGTCTCAAAGATATGTATCAAGGTTTAGTGAGATGCGGAGATAGGGGCGTGACTTGAGTTGGTTGTTTCGGCAGATGAAGGGTAGAAAAAAAGCCGAACAGACACCGTTTTCTCCAGTAAAAACTCCAGGAAAAAAAATCTGTGGAGCCCACACCTCTCACTTTGTTAATTAGTACTCTCGGACATTCGAATACACGCCACAAAAGCAGGAAAAAATGTTGATCAAATAGTCATGTATGGCTGTGTAATGATACCAAGACTGAGTAAGATCGAGAATGAATGTGGTGAAGAATACTTAGGACGAACCGGAATATCCCCGGCGCTTTGTGACATAAAGCCCCGCAAGCCGCCAAGTGCCGCCGTTTTGGCACAGACCGGATATAAACGATGGACAAAAAAGACGCATGGTCATGTAACTTTCATGCGTCACCCCAGTCTGTGGAGAAGAAGAGGGTCATTCTCCAAGTGGCCGATCAACGAGCCGTACCCCCAAGGGGTAAGATTATCAGTAAAAATTAAATCGAAGCTTTAGTTCTGGTCGGAAGATAGTGGCACGGGTGGGACGGCAAACCTTCGGACAACTAAGCTCGGGAATAATTTTCTGAAATGGCCACCGAGTACGGAGTATATTTAGTCAAGACCCCGTCACGCGATTTTTGTCAATAACTAGCCCCTGCAGCCTCCTTGATTTGCATTCCTAATTAAACGAACCTCTTCTGTAAACTGTTCACTGTTGGAGTCTTTTATAATGGATATCCCTCAGGCAATTTGTCCTTTGGACGTGATCGTTGTCGGGTAAGAATTCTTGCTATTGACCAGATAGGGCCGAATTGCTAACACCGTCCAGGGCCGGTATGATTATTCTGCGCTAGATTCATTGTCGATGGCCTTGGATGGCATGGCTGACTCTTATCTAAGGCATTGGTGGCATGGCAGCGGCCCTGACATTAGGTTTGCGAGGCCATCGGGTCACCATTCTTGAGGCGGCACCAAAGGTACGTCTTATTCTGAGCTTAAAAACTATAAGAGCACTATTTGTTAACATAGATAAACGATAGCTCATGGAGGTGGGAGCTGGAATCCAGGGTTCTCCAAACATGCTGCGACTATTTGATCGTGAGTCAAATTCTCCTTGGTTCTGGTACGTGGATGCTTACCTACACTAGGGTGGGGCGTCTCGGATTTGATCCACGCTCAAGATGTTGCTCTAGAGCATATTCACATTCGGCGATGGGAGGATGGCTCCCTTCTCGCGACCATGCCCGTCAATAAGTCCTTTGGACAGCAAGTGGTCATCCACCGCGCAGATTTGCACAACGCCTTGATTGAAAAGGCATTGGAATTAGAGAACGTGGAGTTGCGAGTGAATTCCATGGTGACCAGTGTCGAATTCAGCCCTGCTTCAGTCACATTGGCCAACGGCAACGTGGTTCGTGGCGACGTTGTCATTGGGGCCGACGGAATCAAATCCACTGTACGGGATCACTTGTTGAACGACTCCTCCATCAAAGCTATTGCAACTGGAGACGCTGCATACCGGATCATGCTTCCTCGTAGTGTTATGGAAGCAGACCCGGAATTGAAAAAATTGATCGACGAGCCGCAGGCGACTCGCTGGCTGGGTCCCGAGCGTCACATTATCGCATACCCCGTGCGCAACCACGAGCTGTATAACATCGTTCTTTTGCACCCAGATCGCCAAGAGGTCGAAGAGTCATGGACAACCAAAGGTTCAAAGCAAGCCATGGTTGACAACTATCAAGGATGGGATCCGAAAGTGAGGAAAATGATTGACTTGGTGGAGGATGACGAAGTCCTTGAGTGGAAACTGTGTCTGCATCGCCCTCTCAAAACTTGGATTCGGGGATCAGTGGCGATGCTTGGCGATGCGTGTCACCCAATGCTGTATGTTGAAATCTGCGTCCCTTTGTTGGTGCGATGCTAACCGAACTCAGCCCTTATGTTGCCCAAGGCGCGGCACAAGCAGTGGAGGATGCGGCGGCACTGGGTGTTCTTTTGTCGACTATTACCACCCGTCATGAAATCCCTCGTGCACTGCAGGTATATGAAAAGTCCAGGAAACAACGAGCAGAGACCGTACAGGCATCAGGCTCTGAAAATCGCATCGCGTTGCATTTCCCAGATGGACCTGAGCAAATCGCTCGTGACAAGCAATTCCTCGCGGCGGCTACTGGCACCAACCCAGACAAATGGTCTGATCGTGAGACACAAAAATTTCTGTGGGGTTGGGATGCAGAGCAGGCAGCCTTGGATGAGTGGAAGAGTAGGTCATTACCATTTGATATTGCCCAATGAATGCTAACTTGTCTAGAAGCGGGAACGAGTGAGACTAAGGTAAACGCCAGTCTCTAGAGGGTCTTGTTCTATTTAACGGCAACCGGATCCCAAGATTTCCTTTCATGAGATATTGCGCTTAAAAATGTAATCCTCATATCTACGGTGGATAGAAATTACATACGATACACAGAGAGCGGGGGTATTTTGTGCTAATCCCATAATTGCAACTTTTTCTATCTCATCATACAATCATTCAAATTGGGAAACCATTCCAATATACATCGGGAGCGGTTAACATTAAGCGAGCCCAAGTATTATCGCTCAGAAGGAACCAGTGATGTTTAACACATGACCTTTCGATTCCAATTGCCCCAATCGGGCAGGAAAGAATTTTTGTGCTTGAGAACAATTTACATCTTCTCGCCAGCGGCGGTCTTAGCCTGACCGTACTTCTTCAAGCGGATAGCAGACACGGTGATGAAGCCAGTAGTCTCAGCAGGGGAGAAGTCACCGATCTCGTCCATGCTAGACTCGGTCATATCGTACAGCTTCTCAGTCTCGGAAGAGCGACCCAGAACGGAGACGCTGCCCTTGTAGGCACGGCAGCGAACCTGGCCGTTGACGGACTTCTGGGAAGCAGTAATGGAGGACTCGAGGAACTCGCGCTCGGGGGAGAAGTACAAACCGTTGTAGAGGAGCTGCAAACTCGTCAGCAATCGCAATCGCAACAAAATGGGATGAAATCAAGAGTCAACGGTGAAGGGTATATTAGTACTGACCTTGGAGTAGTTGAAGGTGACGAACTGGTCACGGAGAGCACGGACCTCACGGTCCATCACAAGACCCTCGAGGTCACTTCAATGGATTAGCAAATTGTATGAGTATTGGTATGCAGGGAGCTTACATGTGAGCAGTGCGCAGGCAGGTAAGACCAGGAGTCTCGTAACAACCACGGGACTTGATGCCGATGAAGCGGTTCTCAACCTGATTGGGTTGTTAGTAAGGGTAATGTTTGATATCCAAAATGGGTGGCTTACGATATCGATACGGCCAACTCCGTGGCGACGAGCAATAGCGTTGGCGGTCAGGAAGACATCAACGGAGTCAGTGACAGCCTTCTTCTGGCCGTTCTCGGTGAACTCCAGCTTGACAGGAACACCCTTCTCGAAGTGAAGGGTGAAGTCCTCAGGCTGGTCGGGAGCGGTCAAGGGGTCCTGGGTCAACTTCCACATGTCGGTAGGGGGAGTGGTGTCGGGGTCCTCCAGGATACCGGCCTCGTAAGAGCAATGGGCCAGGTTCTCATCCATGCTCCAGGGCTTGGACTTGGTGGAAGTGACGGGGATGCCCTTCTCGGCGGCATAGGCCAGAAGGTCGTTACGGCCAGCAAAGCGCTCGTAGAAGATAGGGTCACGCCACGGGGCGATAACCTTGATCTTAGGCTCGAGAGCGTAGAACGCAAGCTCGAAACGGACCTGGTCGTTACCCTTTCCAGTGCAGCCGTGGGAGACAGCAAAGCAGCCCTCGCGCTAATGATAACACCGGCATTAGACACAATGTTCATATATCTATATATACCATCGCATTCCATTCCTATCCCACGTACCTTGGCGACATCAATCTGGGCACGGGCGATCACAGGGCGCGCCAGGGAGGTACCTTTGGTCATAATCAGTATGAGGACCAATCATTGAGCGAGTACCGACGGGCGTAACATACCGAGCAGGTAGACGTTCTCGTAGACGGCATTGCAAGCAATGGCGGGGAAGCAAAGCTCCTCAATGAACTCACGGCGGAGATCAACGATCTCACACTTGAGGGCACCGATCTTCAAAGCCTTCTCGCGGGCAGCCTCGAAGTCCTCTGTGGAAGTCGTTTAGTTGTATGGTCGCAGCGTTCGGATCAACTTAGACTGTACCTTCCTGGCCAACATCGGCCACTTTGAGATAGTTAGCATTCCGTCTTTGGTTAGAGCCTTCAATTATAGAGCTGTACTTACTGAAACACACGACCTCATAGCCCTCCTCGATAAGGTATTTGACTGGGATTACCGATCAGTGACTGTCATTGAAGGATGCCAGGGGCAAAAACTCGTACGGATACAGCTGGTGTCGAGACCACCGGAGTAAGCCAGACAAACCTGTTTGGATAATGGGTCAGTTGGTGCCGCTAAAGCAATTGAAGAGTAGAGAGTGGGATGAAAGTGGCGGTCTAGGGGTGGGTATGCTACCCACAGCTATACTCGCCTCAATTGAGTGGACATACCTTTCCCTGTGCCATTTTGAATGATGTAGAGATTCGAATTGGGGAATCGTCAAACTGTGGGAGATAATGAATTGAAGAAGATCGGAGATTGAGTCATTCGAAAAAAGGCGGATTTTGGTGCGGGCCGGGGAAGTCACGCCTCTTGGCGCCGACACCGGCCGATAAGCCCCGCCACGATAAGAGATGACCGCACACAAACAACCTTGGAAGCCGCTATTGTTTCACCAGCGAATAGCTTCGACATGGGCATACTAAGTACTACAATCGCCATGAACTACCGCAGATAGTTACCAGTCTTGTTTATATCTCATGCCCAAAAGATGTTTTCCTTTCACCTGAGCTACATGTATCAAGCTACCCTTAAGCTGAGACTTGCTATTTTTACGGCCGATCCTGAATGATATCGACGTAATCACTTTTGCCCAGGTGTGGCCTGTTACAGCTCAACTAACTAGGTCGGGATGGGTGGACATATCTCATTAAATAGACAGAGTATTAAGGGTCTAACACGTTCCTATGTCATAGGCCGTTGACGGTTCCAAATTTTCGACGTTGTTTGTCTTGTTTGCACAAGAATGTATGGACGGTGGTAAAGTTTTTCGAGTTCCCTATCGAGCATCCTATTCCCCAAGGCGATTTACTGAAAGGTGCGAAAAATCAGCCCTCTCTGTTGTTTTGAAATTCTAGTCTCTGCGAGTGAACTCATCTATGGTGCATCTCTAGTGTTTGGAATGGTTATTATATGTACAAATATGGCCGTCGAGCCTGGAAGCCACGTTCGTGCTAGTAGGCCTATTCACCAGGGAAACTAATTGGTTTAACTATCCGCAATTTAGCTAGCGTCACAACAATCTTGATAGCATTAAATAATCCAAGTGACTAATAACTCTGGGTCATTTGGACGCCACCATAACGACAGACTTGAAATAACAAGACGGTTGCATTTGGACCGACCCGAATCGACAGTTATTAAAGCAAACCTGTGCTTAAAATATATTGAAGGTTAAAGTTGGATAGTTGAATCGAATCTATGAAAATCAGATAACCATGAACTATTAAACACGGAGCTGAACAGCAATAGCAGGGCATTCAGATAGCCAGGGCCCAGGATAGCTACCTATGGTAGTAGAAGTTTCTGTTTAACACGCCCAAAACTTTCCTCAACTGAGATACCCAGGTTCCCAGGTGCATAGCCGTTACTTATACACACATATCAAGTACGACAACAAGATTGGCGGTAAAATCAGCAGTTGAACAGAACATGATAGAATCAACCTTTAGCGGGTAGTAATTTTGGACAGAATTTGTGAGACGCATTTTTTCTATCACTAACCCTTCTACGTCGGCGTCAAGAAACCCCTTGAGAGTACTCGGCATGCCGTTCTCGGCTGGCAGCGGCTAAGGCCCACCCACACTCCCGGGCCGCAAAGCTTAACTACCTCACCAGACGTCATACCAGATGTAAAGGAGTAACACATTTGAATTATCCGCTCTTCCAATCAATATCGTCTATGCTTTTCACACAATAAATAAGCTCGCTCTCTCATTAGTGTACCATATTCTCTCGATTGATGACACGGAAATACCTAGGTATGGTATGAAAAGGCAGAAGCATTGCAAAGCGTGGAGTGTTGTGAAGGTGCAAAATTACGAAAGGGAACTTCGGAAGGTGAAGAGTATAGCTGTTAAACGTACATACTAGCTTTGATAGTAATGTGCCCTGACTATATATTCTAAGGTCCGATTGGGAATAATTCTTTCTCCTATGTACACATCGATGGCTTCGAGTTAAGTACCACCATTATTTATAATCTCTTTCAAAACTTCTTTATAGTTTCTGATATATTTCTCTAGCATATTAATATGTAGTTAAAGCGCATAGATTCCGGGAGGCTCTGCTGTAGGCACTGTGGTAAGCACCTTAGGAGATATACGAGACGTTAAAAGTGCATGTTAGTCTATATAGAAACATGACTGAGCCATGGGACATACCTGACTTAAGCTCCTGTGTATAGGTAGCTAACATAATGTCTGGTGTGATTCTTATCCCTATGGCTTTTGCAGTATCCTGCCTCCGAGCAGATTGTCAACTTTGAAATACGAGGAACTGTCATCTCCAAACAGGTCTTCATGCCATCCGAAGAAATTGCAATGGCGTTCGGTTAGAGTTTACTATAAAGATCAAGGCCGACAGTATTTCTTTGAAAAAAAAGAAAAGAGGAGAGAGTGGCAAGCCTATCTCTCTGGTGCCTACTTTTCCTAGGCAGCTGAAATATCTGAATGCCAGCAAGGATAAGGAATATTAGTGTCTGACCCAAACGGAAAGAGCTACAGATAGTAGACATGGAAGCAAACAAGGGAGGGTTCGAAGACAAGGGTCTTGGGATGAAAAACAAGACCTTGAGCTCGTCAGGAAGGTCATCAGAATGAATAAGAATCGCGTAGTAGCCACTGATACTCTATCTGAAAACTGGGCTGCTTGAATACACAGTACTAAAAAAGCTATCACTCAATTATCTTAGCAGGCTTGGTTTAATTGTACGGAGCACGGAGTACACGGAGTACTCCGCAGTACGATAAACCAAAAGCGGTGGATACGATAGAGAATTGTGGGGTCTTTTGGCCGCAAATGTCAGGTGTCGACGGCTCTTCCCTAAAACCCAATTCCTCCAGACCGTCTCGATCGGCTTTTCGCTTCAAAATACACCAGGTGCCGCTAAGGTTCCACCTCTCAATCGTCATTTGTTTCGTCGCATCCGAGCCACTTACGTCCTCTTATATCCAGTTCTCATACTTCGCCTTTCCACATCGGAATTTTGGCCCCGTTCCTGCCATTCTCCCTCCTTCCCTGTCTTGATTTCCCACGTTGCGTCATTTGCGCTTACATCCCATCTCACATCACAGCGATGTACTAGTTGGAGCTAGATTAATCATAAATCTGCAAACTTTTTTTGCCCACCCTCTCCCATTTTCCCCTCGCGCGGCCGTGGTCTGGTGATGACCTCAGTGGTGATGAATCGTGCATCGTCGACCTCTCTTTTCGCCGCCCGCTCCATGGTGCTAGGATTGGCTAAATGTATATTTCTCGCAATTTTCCATCTACCCCTTACATCAGCTGCGCCCTTATTTTCGACCTCCACCAGCTCTCATGACACCGAAACTCCGAAAGATCCTAGCGACCCGAGCCTATGGCTGTACCTGGGAATCTCGGCGGCCCTTGTCCTCAGTGGCGGGGCCTTCGCGGGACTCACAATTGCGTTGATGGGACAGGATGAAGTGTATCTCCAAGTGATCCACACATCTGGCGAGGAATCGGAGAAGAAATATGCGGGCAGTGTTCTGAACCTTCTGAAGCGTGGGAAACATTGGGTACTGGTGACCCTCCTACTCAGCAACGTGATCACCAACGAGACCTTACCTATCGTCCTTGATCGGACCCTCGGTGGCGGATGGCCGGCCGTCCTGGGAAGTACCGCATTGATTGTTATCTTCGGCGAGGTTGTCCCCCAATCAATCTGTGTTCGTTATGGTCTGCCAATCGGAGCCTGGATGGCACCGTGTGTTCTAGTTCTGATGTATGTCATGTCCCCGGTCGCTTGGCCAGTTGCAAAATTGCTGGACAAACTACTCGGCGAGGACCACGGGACCATCTACAAAAAAGCTGGATTGAAGACTCTCGTCACTCTTCACAGAACTTTGGGTGAAGCTGGGGAGCAACTCACTTCCGATGAAGTCACAATCATCAGTGCTGTACTGGATTTGAAAGAAAAATCAGTTGGAAGCATCATGACGCCAATGGAAGATGTCTTCACTATGTCTGCAGACACTGTGTTGGATGAACGCACCATGGATGTCATTCTCTCCCAAGGATACTCTCGAATCCCAATCCATGCACCCGACAACCAATTGAACTTTGTTGGAATGCTCCTTGTAAAGATGCTCATCACCTACGATCCTGAAGATTGCAAGCGTGTTCGCGATTTTGCTCTGGCTACACTGCCCGAGACCCGACCTGAAACCTCCTGTCTTGATATTGTCAACTTTTTCCAAGAAGGGAAATCTCACATGGTCCTGGTGTCGGAATATCCTAGTGAAGACCGAGGTGCCCTCGGAGTGGTCACTCTGGAAGATGTGATTGAAGAATTGATTGGAGAGTACGTTGCACATTCAATCCGACCCCATCCCAATTGATTGCATTTAACTGACTTTGGCTCCAGAGAAATCATTGATGAGTCTGACGTGTTCATTGACGTACACAAGGCCATCCGTCGCATGGCCCCTGCACCAAAATCTCGAGTACCCAAAGGGAAAATCGTGGAAGCACTTCCTATGGGGACTTCGGTTGTCGATGGAGAGCAGATTGATGAAGATGGCACCATAAACTCTTCTGATCCACATCTCTCCGATCTCGCTCGTCGTCGTAGCTCCGTCGAAGCGCCTCCTCTTCGGTTCCAGTTACGCAAGCATGCGGGTGACAACAGCAAAGACTCACAAGACCACTGGGTCACCCAGAGAGGGGCCACTGATGAAATTCGAGAACATTTGAAACATCTGGGTCCTTCTAACCTGGCGAGTCGACCACGCCAAACCCGTTACCAATCCGTGAAAATCAAACGCAGTGGTACTTCACCTTCCCGCTCGGCCCAGACGGACTTTGAATCCGGTCAAAGTACATCTGAGTCCCAGGCTCATGTTCCTTCCATTGGTTACCAAGGGGGCATTGGTGCAGGCCTTGTTAGCCCTGGAATGGAGGCGAAGGATGGCGCTTACGCGTTGAAAATCGGCTATGGGACCATTACCCCTCACGATACTATCACCAAAAGCACCAGTTCCCAGCAATTCAAAGACCTCGCCCAGGTCTCAATCCCCGATCCTGTTCACGAAGAATGGGAGGGCCAGCCTCGCTCCGATTCGACCCAAAAGGACAGCAGCCAGACTGACAGTATCAAGTCCGCCGAGTCACGCTCGGATTTTGTTTATCACCACCGTGGCCCGGCCAGAAGCGGTAGCATCACTGAGCAGATAGTGGATGTCAATGGGATCCGCAAGGTTGTGCTTCATACAACAGGAATGGGAATGAGCTCTTCCGAGGAGGAAGATCAAAACGCCTCCACTCATAAACAAGGGGACTCCGAGTCGGCAGACACTCATTCCAATGTTAAAAAGAGGCGTCGTCGCAAGAAGCGTGGGCAGAATCCCAAACATGACGGGAAAAATGGAGAAGATCAGCCTCTTCTCCAATAATGAGCCCCCTGGATTACATAGGTAAAGACCTTGACCGGCAAGCTTTTACTTCCTAGTCACTTAAATGTTCGGTATTACGTATAAATATATATTTTCTCTTTGCCATTCAAAGCATTGTTGATTTACATACAGTTAAGGATTCACATAGTATGTCTTACTAGGACACCGATCAGGACGTGCATTGCTTCTCTTTACTACTTAGCTACCAAGGTACAGTACATTTTATAATAACAAGCGAGGTTACCAACCTTACAAAATGGGATCAAGGGAACAAGATATGTGAAGAGCGGTTTTGAAAAGAAACTGTTCGTCATGCACATGCGTTATGCACATTTGCCTCTTCAATGTTTTCCCCATAACTTCCAAGGTTATTGAACTTGAAATAGGGAGTGGGATTCGTTGACCCGCATTAATTGTTTTCCCGAGCTGGTTGACGGCAGTTGCCCCAGGCACTAAGGCAACAGACCCTGGGACCTCGGGGGCTATGATATCAGTCAGCGAGAGCCTCCGCGCTTCCCTCTACTTATATCGTCGAGCCAACTATTGTTTGTGCGCCCTTAAAAGCCCCAAATCCTATCGCTGATTGCAAGTTTGACCGGGCATGCGAAAACATCCTTTATGATGACCAGGCTCCGCGGAGCTTCTATTGATTCCCCAAACGCCCAGCCCGGCAGCGGCGGCGAGCGACAGCACTATCGGGCCAAAATTCCCCCAAATGCGCCCGAAATTATTGTCCAGAACACCATAGAGGTCTCAGAATCATCACAAGTGTTGCCATGGTATCGAGATGAACGCAGGCGACGGTTCAACGTACTAGTGCGAAGGTATGTACTCGTACTGGGCCATGAAGCTCTAGGCAACTTCCAACAAGGAATGACTCTGATAAATTTATTGGGAATAGATACAAGAATCAGCTACTTCACGGCTGTGATGACCCAGGATGTCGAACTCCAACCTGTGCGAGTCGCCGTCGCCGCGTCAGCGAAGGCCCATATCGTCGATACACCGAGCTTAGCGCACGAACCCTTGCCTGTTACCTCGCCAGTTTGGACGATCCTGAGAGCGGACTTTGTTGCAATAACCCGAAAACTCCTTCCGAGTTGACAGTACACGACTATCATCGTATTTCCCTACAACGATCCCGTGCTTTTCAAGCCCAGGAAGCTGCCGTCGCTTCAGCCACCGAGGAGCAGACCAGTTTCCTTCGCCACCAGGACCCCGACAATGATGATAAATTCAGGAAACAGAGGGATGACTACAGATCAATCGAGTCTTCCAATGGGATTGATGATGCGCGCCTGTCATCCTCTCCAAACGACTACCCAAGCGGCTATACCTTTCAGGACTTCGACCATGCTGCTGAGCAGCCATTAAAGGACCCGAAATCATTCACACAAAGTTTGTTTGACACAATATCGCTCCGAATGGTTGAATGGCTTCCACTTCGTCGAACTACGGAATCCTTTCAACCCAAGCCTAAACAGACCATGTTGCAGCCTGGGGCTGAACTGGCGCATCCTAGCAATGAACATGAATCACAACATAAAGATGTTGAAAAGGCAAAGGCAAACAAGGATAAGCCTATTCCACCACTGCTATCGAGTCCGCAGTCACGCACCACTTCGTCACGAGCATCGGGAATCCAGGCCTCGGCCGTCGAGCTCAAGTTTCAAAATCAGCATGTAAAACGACTTTCACTAAGTGAGATGGACCATTGGCGACAACCCCCGCGCTCTAGTTTGGAAGAGAAAAAAAGACCCGAATATACGAATAGGAAAGTGTCCCTTAATTCGCACATCGCTTCAAATGACTTTGCTAGCATGCCTTCCCCACCGGCTTTGAAACATCGACCACAAAAGCACCGGGGAAGAATCGGCGAGATGGAACATCCCAGAGTGAAGGAACGTTCTAAGAACCAGCGTCGTGTCTCCTGGGATAGTGAACAGGTCCTCAACCAGGTCTCCCAGGGAGAAAGTCCTAGAAACCCCGGCATTCGGCCGTCAGACATTGACAACGCATCTCCAAGAAGCCGGAAAGTCAAGCATGATTCACGTCACCGTTTGCTAGATCCCGCCCCATTGGCGCAGACGGTCACACACTTTACCCAGGCAATTATCGATGGCCTGAGTCAAATCATGGTTGAGTCTCCGGAGGAAGAAGAGGCCTGGAAAGAGGAGATCGACCGTATTCAGTCGATGGGGAGTTTTGATCATCCTGAGTGGCGATTTGCCACATCTCGCCAGCGCCGAGTATTTCCATTTGTCTCACAAAGTGTATTTTTTGTGTTTAGCAGCACAAGGAACATTCTGTCTTCCTTTGGAGCAGATAAAACAACGCTTCCCGCGTCGCCTCAAATGGTGATTGACAATCGCCTCGATGTGCCAAACCTTCGGGGTTCATTGCAACGCCTTTTTACCATCTGTCCCTGGGATATCGCATTGCATAGCCTATGGAGCACCTTGGACAAACTTTATGTGCCACCAGAAGACCTTTCCCCTTCTACTCGACCTTCCCGTCGCTCTTCGCGCAGTTCGACCATGAATAGCGGAGCTGCGCCGCCACCAGTGGTTCGACGAGCCTCCGAGTGCATAAGCGATGAACACCTTTCTGACGTGGATGCTGCCTATATTGCAACTGTTGCCATCTTTGTGTTAGTCAGCTCGATTCCAGACATTGATGTGAGAACCTGGCGTCAAATCCTTCAGATGCGCTCTTCGGGTAGCGTGGCTTCAGCCGCTGCCATGCAGAAATTTCCTGCGGGCGAGGCTCAGCTGGCTCTCGAGGCGACCGATAGACTTGAACATGACCTTGGGCTCCGCCTGGTCAACCGCCTTGTTCGTGCTCTTACTGCCCGTATTGCGTACCATGAGATATCTAAAGCACGCCAGGTCTATACACTTGACCTTCCGAAGCAGAGAGGTGTCAGTGTTCTCGATCGTGTTGTGGATCATCTCAGCGAGCATCATACCTTTCAACAATCCGCGGCCGACGGTCCATCCTATCAGCCCACCGGCCCTGCACATGTCATGCTAGAATGGCTAAGAACTCTGTTCTTGCGTGAATGGGATGGCAATCCTGAACTGGCTCGCAGCAGTGCCACTGGAGGCGCAATACAAATATTGGCCTTGATGTACAGAGAACGAGATAGGCTGGGGCTTTTCCCCGAAGACTTCCATACACGCATTCTTGCTGAGCGGCTGGACCCTCTTGAGATGCCTGTGGGCTGGCTGGGTAGCCTCCCAAACAACCGTACGATGCATCTCATGTCATATTCCTTCCTATTCCCACCGTCGTTCCTTGTCATATATTTCCGGGCTCTAAACTACTCTGCCATGTCAAAATACTACGAGGCTGCCATGACCACAACCCGACACGTCACGCAGACTGCCTTTGGCAACGCTATTACCGTCACCGATGACTCTTCACTCTTGCAACGCATGAAGATCTCTATGTCGACCTACTTCGTTCTTAACGTGCGGCGAGACAATGTCTTGACAGATTCCTTAAATCAATTGTGGCGACGAGAGAAGCGAGAGTTGATGAGACCATTGAAAGTCCAGATGGGTATGGATGAAGGTGAAGAAGGTCTGGACCATGGCGGTGTTCAACAGGAGTTCTTTTGTGTCTTGATGGCAGAGGCTCTTGATCCATCTTACGGCATGTTTAACATGGATACTCGACACCGCACTTCCTGGTTCCACCCCTCTCCACTCGAACCTCTGTACAAGTACGAGCTCATTGGCCTTTTGATGTCCATCGCCGTGTATAACGGCTTGACTCTTCCTGTCAACTTTCCTGTTGCTTTCTACCGCAAGATTTTGGGAATGAAGGTGAAGCATTTGGATCATATTCGAGATGGATGGCCAGAGCTCACTCGAGGCTTTGAGACGCTTCTGTCATGGACAGATGGTGACGTCGGAGATATTTTCATGCGCACGTATGAGTTCAGTTTTGAGTCCTTCGCCGGCGTTGAAACCATCGATATGCACAAAGTCGACCGTGATGCTGCCTGGCCAATTCCAATCAAAGCTACGGGTGCCAAGACTACGTCAGATTCCCCTATATCGGCTGGTGTGAGTCAATGCTCCGACTCCAGAAACGCTACTCCTTCAAAAACTAGCGAGGCAACCGTTCCGACCCCCTCCGATGAAGCGCCCTTGGTAACGAACCAGAATCGGGAGCAGTTTGTCAAGGACTACATCTTCTGGTTGACTGACAAGTCAATTCGGCCTCAGTTTGACGCATTCTTACGCGGGTTCCACACCTGCCTTGATCGATCCGCCCTCTCGATCTTCACACCTGAGTCTTTGAAGACAGTAGTGGAGGGTCTCCAGACGATCGATGTGAAGGAGTTGGAGAAACATGCGCGGTATGAAGGAGGCTTTGGGCCAGAACACCGCGTCATCCGAGACTTCTGGAGCGTGGTCCAGCAATACTCGGGAGAAAAGAAGGCACAGCTCCTGGAGTTTGTTACTGCAAGCGACCGAGTTCCTGTGAATGGCATCTCGAGTATTATGTTTGTGATTCAGAAAAACGGTGTAGGAGACATGGTAAGTTGCATTCTCCCACGTTATTGATTATGATGCTGATTGGTCTCCTAGCGTCTTCCGACTAGTCTCACCTGTTTCGGTCGTTTGTTACTCCCAGAGTATTCATCAAAAAAAGCTTTGGTAGAGAAGTTGGACAAGGCACTTGCAAATGCAAGGGGATTCGGTGTTGCGTGAAATGATTTTCAAGGAACGGATCTGTACATACCCATTTTCATTATCAAAAGGCCGCGCTGTACAATTTTGGCGGTTATCTCCTTTCCAAATTCCCCTTCCAATTTCCCAGGCTTGTTTTGGATGGCAAAAGGTACAGACTCATTCCAGTAATGTATCTGTTAAAAGAATAAACCTGAGCGAATCAGACCGAGTAAGTGGCACTCGGCTCCAGTCCGGTAGTATTATTCGGCATTCGGCATCACGGCGCAACCACCAGATTCTCCCAAGGGCGGAGTTCTGGCGCCCGATACTATTTCCTCCAACTTCTTACCAAGTTTCCTTTACTTCTCATAGTATCATTATACTCTACCTCTGTGCCATCTACATCATGTAAGGAAGTCCTTTAATTCCAATATTGCTTTTTGCCCCCGCTGCCCCACATTACGCCTGATAAGAGTCACCGAGGGTTCACGATTAAATCAATCAAAGAAAGCTGTTAACTCGAATTCAAAGCTCGAGAAGTGACTTACGAGTCTAATTACATCATGACACCTACAATCCACTGCGTTCGCCACGCCCAGGTATGTGCATACCCAGCTGCTCACCGACATGCAGCCTCTACCACTGGAGCCTTACAAAACGAGAGACGGAGACCCTTACGTTCTTAAGCATCGACTTATTCTAACGTTTATTTCTTTTTAGGGCGTCCACAACCTCTGCACAGCAAACCATGTCATTCCAGACCCTCTTCTTACAGATCTCGGCCATCAGCAATGTGCCACACTGCGCGACACTTTCCCTCGCCACGACAAAATCGACCTGGTGGCTGCCTCACCTCTGCGCCGCACCATCTACACTGCCCTTGAAAGTTTTGAACCAGTTTTCCAAGCTCACCCAGATTGGAACATAATTGCCTTACCAGACTTACAAGAGACGTCAGATGTGGCCTGCGACACCGGAAGCGACCCCAAGGCATTGCAACAGGAGTTTGCGGACAAGAATGTGGATCTAGACTTGGTCCACGAGGGCTGGAACAACAAGGTAGGTTTTGCGTTTCCTCACAGCTATTCCTATGGAAACATTGATTAACCAGCTTGTTCTCTAGACTGGTCGTTACGCCCCTACCAATTCGGCTCTCCGGGCGCGCGCCCGCGCCGCTCGCCGCTGGTTGAAGGCTCGTCCTGAGAAGGAGATCGTTGTCGTCACGCACGGTGGATTCCTACACTACTTCACCGAGGACTGGGAGGATCACAGCCAGTACCAGGGCACCGGATGGTCGAACACTGAATACCGATCCTACACCTTTTCAGACGAGAGCCATAGTGATGATTTGGAGGGTCATGCGCTTGATGGTGATAACGCCACGCTGGTAGAGACTAGTGATTCACGACAACGCCGTGGCAAGGGTGGTCCCACTCTGGACCGGGAAGAGCAGAAGGTGCTTTACAAGCTTGGTACCCAGAGCTGGAATGATCAGCTTAGCACGGAGGAGCGGGAGTCGGCGAAGGTGCCCGAGGGTGAAGAGGTCAATGGTGTCCGGATATGATTGCTTTAAGACATTGTTCTTGTCTGAGACCTTCACAAAGATCAATAAGATAGATTCGATAAGTCCATTGATTGGGACGTGAATAGATCAAAGGAATCTGAAAAAGTTCGTCTAGACATGCAGGTAGCCGATCAGGCTGTGCTTCGTTCTGAGATCATAATGCTGTTGGTTTCAGCACTCGTTGAATGCGTGTTTGCTTTTGTATATCGTGTCTATCCCACCAAGTAACATATAAGCCGAGTATCGAGTCAGTCATGTATACTTTGTAACGAGGATATGCATGTACTATGCATAGAGAGATGTGCCGGGGGTGTACTTAGTTGTGTATTGAGAAATGAAGCTTTAAAGGAAATGGTAAACGATAGTGGTACTTGACTCGAAGCCATGCATATTCCCTACCTTGTTCTAATGTTTCTAAGGGTTCACCTGTACCAATTCTGGTCGAGGGATTTGGCAAAGGCCACACTGAGTGCTCATTCATTGTTTCCATTATGTAGTTTCGTCAAGTCTTGAATTCATTTCATTGTCTCTACTGGACAATAGATATTGACATGAATTTGAGACAGGCACAGACCACGTAGGCAAGGATTCGACAAAGGAGCCTCGACAAAAAGCCGTTGTCAAAGTGGGGAGGAATTCTATATAATGTGCCCTGATCCCTATCTCGAGGGACACCAATTCATCAGCTTACAACGACATTGTCATATAAGATTCATTCGGCTTAGTTCCTCACCCTTGCACTTTCAAATGTCCTATCTTGAAGAGGCTAACATTTACTGATAGGTCTTCCGGTCCTCACGACTTCCTTCCATATGCAAGCACCGAGCTCATGCAAGCATATGATTTCTGTGAACAATTACTCTATATAATGCCTCTAGCTGAGTGCCTTCCTGAGATATCTCATTACACTGGCTAACATCGAGCACAGACTCCATCAATCATCACTCAAACATAATCACTGACTTCGGAAGTCGATTATTATCATATTTGATATTTAGGCTGGGTTTTCTCCCCTTCATATAAGATTGCAGGATTGCCAAGCTAACATGCTGTCTAGATATTTTTATCGATGTCTGATCACTGTATTCATTTTGATATCTCCAAGGGGAAGTACCCTCCTAGCCAACGCAGCTAACATTTCACAGTTGACATAACAGATCAGGTAAAGTCCAAGAGTCCGACGGTGATTTCATTTGTTGAGTTATGTCTATATTTATAACCGTTTAAACATACAATGGCTTTTACTAACGCATATCTATCAGGATCCTGCACTCTTTGTTATTCACACAGCCACAAATTAAAAGACCCAGGTAAGTTGCTCTCCCCCTTGTGGCTAACTTGTATTATAGGACTCCATAATCTTGGAAGTTTCATGGAAATCCTTAGGACTTCCAGTATGGGTGATCATACCGGTGAACTACTAGTAAGTACATCCTACAAAAGTCGCCACTAACCGCTATACAGATTACAGACTCCTTGCACAAAGACATGAACCTTGAAATCATGATCATGCACCTTTTGGAACTGGACTTTCATTTAATGGCTAAGTTTTTTCTATCCCCATTCCCCTTGAATTAATCGGATGCATTGTATTGGCATGTTTCAGATATCAGTCTGCCCCCTTGGCTGAAAGAGTCACAAGCCGGGATGTTCATTTTAGTAAGTCAATCACTTCCGAAGCTTTGCTAAAGTCTGAATAGAGCTGAAACAAATAATTCGCGTCGATACCGTCGAAGTTTACGCGAACAAACCCTAAGGTCAACGGTAGGTCAATTATCCTTGCTAATTCTTCCTTGCCTCAGGCTGTTGGATGAAACTTGACCAAAAAAAAGTCCACTTCAAAACATGTGGCTAAATTGCTTTTCTAATATCTCAAAAATCACTTTCATGAATTATGAAGACTAATTTGTGACAGGCTCAACCCTTTGAAAAAACGCCAATGTTAATCATTCATCAAGTGAGTCTCCCCTTCTGTTATTCCGCTAACATTATATCTGAGACGTCGAACGATTCACATAGAGCATCCAAAATAGATCCATTGGTGAGTCTGCCCCATATTGTTGGAATGCTAATCGCTTCTAGTTTTACCCGTTGATGCCTAGACTTGGGGCCATGTAGGAAACAAAGCGGGGGGATGGTGGCTGTGGGAACGTAGATACGAGGTAAGTTTACAAGGTTGAATTGATGATCTTCTATTCTAGAATGGGCTGACAAGAATTTTGGTCCAGGAACCCTTCTTACTCGTATTCAAGCACCCCGCATATCGAGGCCCTAATCTGGAAATAAATCAATAGGCAGCGATAATTCGTGCAGAAACTATGATATGCATACTTCCAGCATACTAACTTGGGAAGGCCAAGCATAGCCGGGAATCTTGGTGCCTCACGTCAACTGTAAAACGAGTAACAAATCAGGGATCAAAATGCCTATTTTTAGGTGCCGATCATTTGCATCGTAACTTCCCCTTCCTTTATAATTCCCCTCCTTCTCCCCTCACCAGATCTCTTTGCAAGGCGAAGATGCTGGACGAAAACCTGCCAAGTATGATATCCCAGATCTTTTATGTTTCAAATGTTCCTGGTCCCTTTCGTGAATACGTCATCTGTTTCCCCGAATTCTGCAAACTGACTCCACCTAGCGTTCTTCTTAAAGAATAATTCGCAGACCCCCCAACAAAGCACAATCTATCATCGCCAACATGGAAATGAAGCTGAACCGGCATATACCCTCAAATACCTCGATCCCACTGCTACAACATCACAAAACCGATACGGTGTCGCCCTGTACGATCCCTACGTCCCGGACATCGTCTATGGCGAAGTCGCCGTAAGCCCCGAATGGACACAACCAAGCTTGTCGGCAGATACAATTCGAGCGAATGGCGGTAAACCTCCACCTCCAGAGCCTATCCTCCCTACCGAGTTCTCAATCCAACTCTATAACCCGGACCAACAAATCTTGATCCGTCATCGGCCCAAGACGTGGAACAAACCAGCACGATGGGAGTTCGAGATGCCACAGCGCTCATTCCGAGTTCCATCATCTTCCACACTAGATCGGACGCAGAGTGATCCTGCCGCGGCCGACGTGACTCCAAAATTGCGCTTCAGTTGGCGCAAAGATGGGAAACTGTCCAAGGATCTCTCGTGTTTGCTTCATGGGAAATCTACCACGATCGCAGACACCAAGAATAAAAGTCGGGAGCCGGATATTACCGTCGCCATCTTCCAGAGCCTGAAAGAGTTGACACTCTACGAACCGAATCTATACCGCGTGGAAATGGAGGACTTCAAAGGCTTGGAGGTCGTCTTGTTGCTCGCAGCAGTAGCCATCCGCGACATTTTCTTTGGTCCAGCCAAAGAAGCGTTCCACATCGTTCCGCCGGTGTCCACTGTAACAAACAGCAGACCACAGGCAGCTGTCCCCGGTCGCAAGAGCCCGAAGGCCCAGACCCAGGCAACCGCCGCTATCCCAGCTCGCAAGCCCGAACCAGCACGACCATCAAGCTCGAACCCCCAATCTCCCGCAACGCAGACACGTCGAAAACAGGACGAGCTAGCAGCACAAGAAGAGCGCCGAACCCAAGATCTTCTTGCAGCGGAGCGACGAGAACAAGAAAAAGCGCGACGGCGGAAAGAGGCGGACGTGGAGAGCGAAACGAAGCGTCTACAGATGATTTACGGACAAGAAGAGCAGCAAGTTCGATTGCAGCGTCCCGATCCATCTACTACCTCACGACCAAATCTTCCAGCCCGTCACACCGTGCCTCAGGGGCCATACAGCTCGCATCAGTACTCCCAGTCTCATGCCTATCTGGGTCCTCAACACCCTCCACAACCTCCCCGAAATACTCGTCCACAATCATTTTACCCTCAAAGCCAACCGGCCCCTACTTTCGTCAATAGTCCATATCTTCAGAATCCTGCTCGTCTCGACCCCCGTGCCCAATCTACTGTCAACTTTGGCCCGCCTCGGCCACAGTCTACTGTAGGGCTGTATCAGGTGCCTGCTAGTTCTGGAGCGTTGCTGCCAGGACAGCCACCTAGGCCTCAGATCCAGCCTAAGAAAAGCGGCTTCTTTGGTTTCAGGAGGAACAAGGAGGAGGGTAATCCTCCAAATAAGTTGGATAAAAAGCGGAGTTCTATGTTTTGATCTGACTTTACTTTTGATACCCTGCAACCCTGGCGCTTTCGTTTTCATCTTCTCTTTAGCATTTTCGGGGCATTTTGGCTTGCACCTATTCTCACGTTCATGTCTTATGACTGCATAAAAGCATTTACATTGAACGAAGCAATATATACCTCATGAAATTTAAATCACATTCACATTCAAAGAACTTGATTCCTGGGTGTCAAACATGATGCGATTTGATGAATTATGCTTTGGTAGGCTTTGGTTGGATAAGTCTTGAGCATAGCATCAGCCACCTCAGCCGCGTGCGTGGTTGAAGGACAGGCTATGTAGAATTTGCGTGAACCGTTGAGTTAAACATAACTTTGTAAATCTCTGTTATTGGAAAAACCTCCCCTTTTAGATACCATAGAAACCTTGGAAGCCTCAGAGGGTGACGGCACAGGCACTGAGGACACCACCCTCCTTGATCAAATCAGCAGTTACGTGCGATTGAACCACCCGATCAATTCCCAAAATCATGAGAGCTTCTTTGTTTACAGAGCTTGCATCCTTGGCTGAGAGCTCAACGTTCGAGCCAGTACTTGTCAACTTGGAAGAAACGGATGATACAGTCATGGAATTGATGTTCACACCCTCTCTGCCGAGAATACTGCCTACAACACCAATCTTGCCTGGCGAGTCATAGTTCTCGCAAATGAGGAGGATTCCTTTTGCTTCAAAGGATGCTTCGAAACGTCCCAGCCGCGTGATCAGGGGTTGACCACCCGAGCAAGTCCCCGAGATGATTCGTTGATGCGGTTGAGGTGCCTCCGCAGAGCTGTCGGTTGTGCTAGGAGCTCGTGATGATGTACGAGACGGTGGACGTGCGACAAGCGTGACAAGGGACGAGTATGATGAGTCGTCCTCTGGGTCTCGAGAAATCTGCTCTGACACAAAAATCCCACGCTCACGGGCCACCAGCTCAGCATTGACGATGTTAACATTGAATCCCTCCGCACCAGTAATGGGCTGGAGGAGACCCTTTATCAAGGCGGCAAAGAGCGGCTTGGTATTATTCATGCTGGCTACTTCTCCTCGGTAGATAAGATCGAATGTGTTCCGAGCCATAGATCCTCCAGGCATGGAGGCATAGTGTTGAGTATACAAGCTACCCATTTTCTCAACAAGATAGACAAATGGCTGAAGCTTCTGATACTCTTCAGGCAAAATGAGAGGGGCGTTCACCGCACTTCGTGGCAGCGACCCCTTCAAAATATCGAGGACTTGCTCGCATACGTCCACAGATACATTTTCTTGAGCCTCCACTGTAGATGCACCGAGGTGTGGTGTCGCAATTGCCCTTGGATGTGCAATTAACTTTGCTGCAGTGGACTCGGAATCCGGTGGCTCAGATGTGAAGACATCAATTGCCGCTCCAGCCAAATGGCCAGAGTCCAGGGCCCTGAGCAGGGCGGCTTCATCAATAGTTCCACCCCTTGCAACATTGAGAATACGAGCACCGGTCTTCATCTGTGCTAATTCCGCATCGCTTATCATTCCCCGTGTTGAGGCAATGAGGGGAGTATGAATTGTCAAGAAATCTGCAGATGCCAGAAGCTCCGGCAACGACGAGATCAAGATAGCCGAGACTGCTGCAGCTGCTGCAGGGGGCGCATATGGATCCAGAGCGTGGACAGTCATACCAAGACCCTTCGCAATTCGAGCCACGGTCAATCCTACTGCGGAGAAAGTCAGATATAGTGTGCGAACTGAAGCAAGTGCGGAAACACCTACCTTTTCCTAGACCGATGATTCCCAAGGTCTTTCCCTTTACTTCCACTCCAACGAATTTACTACGCTCCCATTTCCCACCCTTGAGGCTGGCGCATCCTTCAATCGTTTAGCTGCTTGCAAGACTGCAGCAGTAACCTTGGTCTCCGAACGGACGAGAAGAGCCTCGTAGTTGGAAATTATCTCGAGTAGTTGTTCCGCGGACAACCCTTTGCGCTCATCGACTTCCAAGGAGCTGCGTAGTAAAGCTAGGCCATCTGGTGAAAGCTTCTCGGGTACGAGGACCTTGGGAAGAGCTTTAAACAGGGGCATGGTGTAAGATAGATAGGATCCCAATTAAGTGAATCCCCGAGAAAAGCAAGAACATGTTTAACATTGGAATGGAAGGAACAGCTTTGGTGTTCTTTTACGGCAGGCGTGACCATGTACATCATCCAAGCTACACGGAACGCGGGGTAACAACATCATCCACTGATTGGATACAAAATACGAAGGTTTCTTTGTTTCTCAACTTGTACTTAATCTCCCATATAAAGTGGGACGCAACGGCAATCCTTGGCAACTTTCTCCACTAAGCAATGCGGTAATCCACCCATTAGCCATGGCTCCTGTTTTTCTTCCTCTAATCAACTCATTTGAAGACGACCTCTGTTGCCAAATACATAGCCACTGATTGCAATGCGACCTCCAAGCAACCATGCTGATTGATTGAGTTCCTTACACCCGACCATGGTGGGTGTACCACATAGTACAGGCTGTGCTCTCTGTCGTGAAAGACACATCAAGGTGAGAAGCGTCATTTTTTGATTAGTCCCTTCAATGTGACACTCCCACTGAGACCCCCTGATTCAATGCTAGTGCGATGAGGCAGTCCCCGGATGCACTCAGTGCCAGCGATATGGCCGTACCTGTCCAGGATACCGACGTACCTTTCGATTCCAAGACGAAGGCCCGAGTCTCGCGCGTAGAAATCGCTCTCTCCCTCGCAGACGAGGTCGTGGACAGAATGCGACCCCGATCACACCGACTCCCGCTGCACCTGCACCTGCATCTCCACCTGCACGGCAGATCGAGACGCTCGGGCCCATACAACCGCCGGAAGAAGAAGGTGCCGGAGTCGCGCCGGTGTTGCGCGATAACGCGATTGCGTTAATGCGCCGTCATTCGGCGACAATTTCGCTGGATGAAAATGTCTCACCGTCGCTGGTGCGTAAGACGTTCAAAGCGGCGCAGCCACAACTGTTCCTGGATTTTATCAGTGCATCGTTCCCCACCTTGTACTTTCATAATCAGTTCCGAGCGGGCAGGGGCCCGGGCTTTGCGGAGCATATTATCATGAATTTTGGTCAAGATGCGTATTTGGATACTGCAATTTGCTGTTTGAGCTCGGTTTATTTGGCTCATCTCACGCAAGACCCTCTTCTTTTTCGTACTAGTCGACGGATGTATGGGATTTCGCTGGGTGAGACCGTTCGTGCGCTTTCAATTGGTGGTCAGGCCACGTCTGATAATATGCTCTGTACTGCTATGATGCTGAGCGTCTATGAGATGTATGCCCAAACAAGCCCTGATGCCTGGGTTGTGCACTCGGATGCAGTGAGAAGGGTCATGATGAATCGCGGTGCCAGTCAACACAAAACGGGGGTTGGAAGATCGTGCTATATTGCCTTTCGAGGCTTTCATGTTGCTACCGCCATCTTTCTGGGGAAACCTTGTTTTCTTGACCAGGAGGAGTGGCAGGACTATGCTGCTGAAGTCATGGCGGAGGATTCCCAGAAGCCGGGGGAGTGGGCAGCTTATGCCGACATATCTGACAAAGCTTTCATGGAGATAGCCAAATGCCCACGATATATTAGCGAAGCCAAAGACCTTCTCTGCAGCACAGGGTCAGTTCAAGCCGTTGAAAATCTAATGCAGCGTATTAGAGATACTTCTCGACGACTGCATATCTTTATCTCTGAGCTGCGCGCCTGCATCAGTGCCCATGGCCAGCGCCAGCAAGGGATTATTCGACGTCCAGGTACCTTTGTCGGTCCCGTCCCCGAGATATTTCCAGAAACCGGCCCGTCACTGCTTCTCCGAGGAGCAGAAAACATAAAAGGCACTCTTTGTCAGCTGCGTAGCCGTCTGGAAGACAAGCTACGTTGTCGGGTCGTTGAAAACCTCTCGCCTCGGTCAGGGACGGGCACGCTGAGCGATGGTAGTGTAGACACATCATCGCCACCGGTCAGTCCTGATGCGTTGACGGTGCCTTTCCGGATCTATTCTGATATTGGTCGTGGTCCATCTCAAACCTCGGATCGGAATGACCCTCGTGCGGTGATTTGGTTAGATCGCGTTGCTTCGTCGATGGGCGTTCTAGGGGCGGAACTCATTTCGGAAAATGCGGGTCCTGTGGAATGCGCTGAGGAAAGCGCACAGGAGACATTGATACCCAGCTGATTTGGCGATAAAGAGATTTCGGCAGGTGAGAGGAGTTGTGTAATCTGTCTGTATATACAAGCTTTGTGAAACCCAAGGTTATTTTCGGCGTCATTCATTGTGATTTTTACATATATTTACAATCCCACTAAATCACTGAACACCAACATCGATCTTTTCCCGAACAGAAAAGCATTCTAGTAGTCCATAGACTCCTCCAATAGGCGCCTCAGCTCGCTTTTCTCAGCTTGGAGCTCCTCACTCAAATTCGGCGCCAACATCAACACACGCCTCTGCGGAAGGGTCCCCTCAACTAAGCCATCAATATCCGAGGACTTGAATCCCAGATCTTTCAAACCACGCGGTTGGTCACCCAACTTAAGCAAAAAATCGGCAATAGCAGCACCTAGCACCTCGCCTGCACTCTCACGCTTCACATTCGAGATATCCACACCGAAAGCCTCAGCAGCAGCCAAGTGACGGTCTGGATTCGATGCAGCCGTGAAACGGAAAACAGCAGGCGCTGTAACTGCGACGGACACACCGTGAGGAATAATGGGATGATCGACCTCATAGCCACTGTGTTTATAGCCAGGATTCTGGCTGGAGATGGGGTAGCTCATGCCGTGGCACAGGTGAACACCTGCATTTCCAAATCCGACACCGGCCAGAGTGGCCGCGAGAAGCATATTGGACTGCGCCTCGTGGTCATCGGGATCTCTCACTGCACGGGGGAGGTACTTGACCGTGCTGCGCAGAGCTTGCAGGGAGAAGATATCGGAGATCGGATTTGCGCCTTGGTAGGCAGGACGGTTGATGGGATTTGTGGGGCGTGGGGTACGTTCGTTGTATGGGATTGCGGTCCATGATTCGAGTGAGTGGCAGAGCACGTCGAGGCCGGATGCAGCGTGGACGGCTGATGGCATAGTGCGAGTGTTGAGGGGATCGCAGATTCCAAGTGTAGGCTTGAGGGCGCGGTGCGCAATGCCTGTTTTGGCTTTCTTCTCGACTAGATCGAAGATGGCTGTTCCGGTTGTCTCGGAGCCTGTACCTGCGGTTGTGGGTACGGCTACTAGGGGGAGTAGTGGCTTGGTGACTGGGAGGCCTTTGCCCAGTGGCGCGTTGACAAAGTCCAGGAAGTCGGCTTCCGGGAAAACTGTATAGAGATTCATGAGTTTAGCGGTGTCAATGACAGATCCACCACCGACAGCCAGAAACGCATCGGGCTTATACGGCTTCGCAAATGCAATAGCCTCTCGAATACTATGGAGTCACTTCAATTAGCCATCATTTTCAATCCTCCAAGTCAAGATCAACCTACGAGCTGTCCTTAGGCTCCGTCCGGACCTTGTCAAAGATGGTAAATTGAATACCCTCTCGTTCGAGTCCCTCAACGGCCTGTTTCATGGCATTCAGCTTGGCCACATTGGAATCAGTCACAATGCAAACACGCTTGGCGCCCATATTTGCGAAATCCATGCCGACTTCCTTGGTGGAGCCAGGTCCGAACCGAATGCTAGATGCTGCCATTTCAAAGGCATATTCCTTCTCACGCGAGGGATCAACAGGGGTCGCTAAGTGTCGGCGGACATTGTTCAACATTGAAGGAGTCTTATGATGATGGTGGTGATTGGAATTGGAGTGACAAGGGCAGTTCGGTGGATGGGTGTACTGCACCGTACGCAGTAGATTCAGCGCGCGGTTGGCGGCCGATGGGGCCACTCGGATTGCGGGCGAGACCATTTTTCAGTATGTATATGTGTATACTCAATGGGAGAATCTTATAGAGATGAATTTGGGGTCAAATGAAGATGAAGGGAGTTTCGAAGGGTTGGGAATGTGCGAGTTGGAGAAGTGGGAGAAATGCGGGGGATTACAAGTCGGCCTTCTGACCGAGGTTAAACATCAACATTATAAGAAGTTTCAGATTCCGACTATTTATCTGCGTGTTCAGTATTAAGATCATCATATTATCTCGGTTTATACGAAATTCCTTAAATTGCACCAATAACCAATAGCGCCTTGGTTGTTCTCGTCTCGCCCAACAGTAACAGCCGAGGTATTTGGGTGATTGACATCAGCCCCACTCTGTACATTGGAACGCTTGTGCTGCCCCCAATTTGGAGATCTCGGAGAGTACAGCAAATATTCAACATTGCATTAGTATTCAATATTTGTGTCCCGTTCAATCGTAAACTTTCATCTGCTTGCACCCCGGCCTCATTTAAATCTTCATTTCAAATTTGTGAACCAAGACATGATCCTTCTACACAACGTCAAAATCAAATCATTCACGGCACTGTGCACACGAACACCACTACTAGGAGGTGGTTGTCCATTATTCCAGGATATCGATGGCTCTGATGGCTGCAAAGAAACATGGTAACCCTTGAATGGGTCGCCATAGAGATCAAACAGATCGTACCACACCTTACCATCACCAGACAAGTTGTACGCGAATATAGCCAGTGGTGCATTTCTTGACAGTCCATCTCAAACAGTGGTGATCTTTATTGCAATCCCGCCCCTCTTTGGGTCATGGCGAAACGCCTCGACATAGCGCCCATTCGGTGCTGTCGTCACTGCGGGACCAATGGTGCCTCCAACGGACCAAAGGTATATGGGGAAGTGGCAGTGGTTGTTCACTATGGCACGGCCGACTATTCCAGCTGTATAAGCTGGGCTTGATGTTTCGAAAGGCACAAATGATTCGGTAAACGGGATTATTAAGACATCTCTGCATTGTCTTTCTTTATCTTGGTGTCTCGGAGAGAGGCTGCCAACGTAGAAAGGGATAGTATCTGGAAGGTTTTTGAGAGCTTCATGATGATGGAGATGAAAGTTGCGGCGATGATTTTAAGACTGAACCTGATGCTAACATTGAAGGGATCTCGAGATTAACGTCAGCTTTATAGCCCGGTATTCCATCACGCGGATGTTTGCTCGGTTCATATCGCATCATGGGGGGACGCAACATTCTGTGGTCTTGTTTGTATTGTCTGTTCTACGGATTTCCGGTAAATGGAAGTCGGCATCACATATCACCCTCATGAAGCACAATGAAGAGGTGCTCAAGTCACACAATGTCACAATAAAATAAAATATCACGATCGATTAATAGCAAACACCTGTGAACGACAACATGGAACAAGTGTCATTGTTTGTAGTATACCTTACAATGTTACTCTGGCTTTGCGATCAATCGCTTTTCCCAGTCAAATACCCGGGGATGACTGAAAACGTGGTCCATGGAATATGTAAGAGTGTTCAATTGACTTGAAATGACTCAAATCCCGATTCACTTTGACGTGCCACCAATGAGCCCTATGGTGCATTTGGGCAAGCAAATCGTGGAGTCACCCTGACTTACATCTTGGAAGGGCGAATTAAGTGAAGGTAGCAATGATTATCGGGGTAGGTACACATCGCTCTGCAATGTTTCAGTATACAGCCCTGACAATCCCAGAGATGGGGTTTTCCCACTTTCTATAAGCATTTTTCAGAGAGAAATAATTACCCGCGGAGACGAGATCACTTTCCTAGAATAATATGTACAAAAAAGGAATCGGACTATCTTTGAATGTTCAACTTGCATTCAAACATCATGTTCGCCTGTTAGATGTAACCCGAAAAACATAGCGGGGAAAGTATGTTCATTGAAGCGGAAAGGGCTCAACAAGAAGTCAAAAAGTGGCCCTACTAAGAAAGCGAGAGTGGCCTAGAAGGAGACAATATCCGAGGTACCGAGAACATTACTGCCTTGAAGAGCGACCACCTGGATGTAGTTGGTTGTCAGGTTGGCCACATCAACGGTAGTCTCAAAGCCCTTCCGCTTAGCAGTGCTGATCTGCTGGTTGTTGGTCGAGTTCTCGGAAGAAGCCGAGTAGACGGCCCAGGAATCGTAATCGGTTGCACCATTCCAGCTCATATAGACAGTAGCACCAGTGGAAGAGGTACGGGTGACATTCAGTGAAGGCTTCCAGAAGGGCACAGCACTCCACTCGAAGCGGTAGCCACGGTAAGAGGCAACATCATTGTCCGGACCGAATGCGCCACTAAATACGACACTTCCAGCCCCGTCGTATTCCTTGACCTTGGAGATAGAGCCATAGCCCATGAAGACGTGTCCATCTGTCTCATTGAGAACCTGATAGCTGCCCTGGCTAATGGAGTGAATGGGGTCACTGGAGTCATCCAGTGAGCGGAGGCCAGTAACAGTCTTATTGGTGAGATCAATAACCAGACTAACACCAGTTGTGGGGCCTTCGCTGTCGGTCGGGTTATTAGCATTGTTGAACAGGCTCAGAACCATACCCTCATCTGTCTCGTTCCAAACACGGATGTCATGCTGCCAGGAGAAGTTCGCGTGGCCCACTTGGGTGAAGTCAGCACCATTTTTGCCGCTAACCTGCCACATCACAGAACCGTTCTCGGCGATATAGTAGCCAGACCACATATGACGAAGAGAGATCAGGTGACCATTGTTAGTGGGGGTGATGGCGTTGATGTGATAGGCATCGTATGGGTTCTTTTGGGTACCAGCAGTGCTATCCAGCTTCTGGTGAGAGGAGGTCAAAGGAATATCATCTTCATGATCAAGTGCGCTCCAAGAGTTGACGATTTCGTTGGTGGCAATATCTATCTCGTAGAAAAGACTATCCAGCATCCACTCCGATGATGAGCCACCAATCGAAGTCAGGTTATGTTGAGTGACATTATACGCGGTGACCAGAAGCGTATTGTTTGGGGTGATGTTACTTTCATGCAGGTCGATATACGAGGTCTTGGTCGAGTTGTCTGGAGTGACGAATTTTCCAGTCAAAGTGACGGTATGGATTTCTCGGTAGGTACTGTCGAAAATATGGACAGTGCCGTATCCGAAGCCGATACTCATAATGTCGCCAGCCCAGAAAGTGATCACATCAGAACCGTTCAGCTTCTGGACCATGAAATTGGAGGTAATCTCTTCCGGGCCTTCATAGACCAGATTACCCGCATTGTCGTAAATTAGTGCTGCCTGACCAGCAGGTTGCACAGCTCCATTAGTACTGAGAAAAATCAATCCCGGATCAGTTGGCCCGGTTTGGTTGATCAGGAGCTTGGGAGGCTGAAAATCAATCGACTTGTAGGTCGAATACGGCCAGGCTGCAGCAGTGACTGATAACAGCAGTGCACTGCTGGCGGTATACCACCAGGGTGCCATTTCTTTCAGATCAAGAAGTGAAAAGCTAACTTAAGAATGGTGCAGTCCAAAAAAGATAGCTGGAGGTCGACGAGAGTGAGTGCAAGACGTGCTTGTCCGAAGAAAGGGCAGACGTCTCTGGTTTTGAGGATATTAAAACCGACCGGTATCCATGAAACCTGTGTCCTAATGATCATTGCCTTAGTATCGGGAATTAGTGACGATTATTTTATTGAGCATCAGCCCAACCAGAACAAGCAGATCAAGTGACCCTCTGTTCGGATGTCCGTTCCATGGGATGGAAACCCCCCGAAGGTTTGGATAGACAATCTTGGCTACCGTCATTGGGTAAGGCGGGGCACATTCCGAGGTCTCCATATATCTGAAGTATGGGATGTGGCGTCGTGAAATGTTATCCGATCGAAACAGTCAAAGTTTATCTCACGTATCTCACTCTGGGTCTGGGTCTGGGTCGCCGATCCGCCGGTAGCCAGGAATTGCCATTGGCTGTGAGAGAGGTTGCAACCCGATTGAGCCCGCATTGAGATCAAGTAAAAAGGTTAAAGATCCGGGACCAGCCGATCCTTCAGCGTTTTGTATAATATCCATTTTGGCTAGTGGCAGTGCCGAAGACCCTTTTCCGCCAAAAGCAGGCTGTGCCGTTTTGCCAGAGAGTAGAGCAAGTTAAAGCATTGAGACTGGCTGATCTTTGAAAGCCAAACTCTGGCACATTTCTCATGGGGTAAGAATAAACGTTGACCCTTTTCAATTATGTTCGATAATCTTATCCCTATGTGAGGTCGCCTTAGGGATGAACCAATTTAGAACAGCCCGTGAGTCCGTAATTCCTCTAGTTATTTGGCCTTCTACCAAGCATTTACTCGATTTTCTCTTGCCATAGCTAGTTACAAATAACCACAATTTTGAATTCGCTTAACTACCTGGTACCATCCGAAAGCTTGGTTTACGCCTTGGAAGATTAAGCCAAAATATAGTGCAATCTCAAAGAAATACTTGCGCATGACCTGGAGTCATTTCAAAAGCTTCCACTGATAGCGGTCTTGAACCATCTTATGTGTGAATTATGTGATTTGCGATCATCGGTACCTGATACCAAATTGAATCTGTGAACATTTCTATCAGGCTGTGCCTTTCACAATCCTTGGTTTCTAGAGGCAATATATCGAAATCGACTCCTCAATCTCGCGGATATATTCCGACTGTGGTGGATCTCCCATTTGGCTTTGTGATAAGATACTTTTCACCTTAAAAATGTATCATAGCCAAAAAGTAGGCACTATGGTAAGTACATGCGCAAATAAACAGAGCTACACGTCAGGTAATATGGTATACCATTTGGACCTCGATTTGACATAGAAACATATTGAATCAGGTGTTGGCTCGAACGTTTGAAGATCTAAGCAGCATTGTTTGCTATAGCTTGATACTGAGCATGATGAATATGTTAAAGAATGACGCTTTCTCCACAAGAATCGAGTCCAGGGTTACATGTGCGGGGTCCAACTCCACCCACCAATGACGACTCGTCAACATCTATTCATCCAGTAGGCAGGGTCTGAGCACGCCATGGAAGGGGCCCAAGATACGTTGAATCAGACTACTAATACCCTAGCTCGACCTATGCACCATTCAAGCCACAAGCATCGTATTAGCCAAGCCCCTTGCGCTCCCAGGACCGAGCGGGTTGGCTCGACCGCAAATCAGCGGTCTCAATCAGCTAGTCAGTCTCCGCTTCTACTTGGCTATTTTCCCTGGACCAATTGATACTATTGCTAACGCCAAGCATGTTCTTGATTACATTTGCGAGCCGTTCGGCTCTCGCGTGGAGCTCGGACAGTTTATCTGGTCCGTTATATTTGGAGCCGTTATTTGTGGGAACATCAGCAGGCATCTTCCCAGGTGACCTATCAAGTATGAAAACATCATCGATTGTCCTTCCTGAAAACCTTTATAATATATTACCCCTCATTTACCCCAGAATCTTAATTTATTTAATATATCATTGACGAGGAGTTGGGGGGTAAAATCTCATCTTGACCTCGCACAAGATTCACTTGTCTAATCTCTTTCTTATAGTGCCCTTTGTCTGATATTCACTGCCTGCATCTTTCAAAAAATCAACGACATTGGTCGCAAGCTTGGTCTCCTCCGAGCTGCGTATCTGGTTTCTGCCAGCTGCATGGGCTCTTTTGCTTTTGCTTTTGACACGGGCGTCATCAGTAAGTGCTTATATATATAATCATAAAGACAAGCTAACAGCTTCTTATTTGCTATAGGTGGGGTACTTTCAATGACCCCATTCGAGGAAGACTTCAGATACAGTCATTATACAAAAGCGCAGAAAACAACGGTCAACTCGAATGCAGTCTCTATTCTCCAAGGCGGGGCCTTTTTTGGATGCTTCCTCATTTCCCCAGTTGCCTCTTATCTGGGTCGTCGCACAGGTCTGATCATCAGCTCCCTTATTTTCACCCTTGGTACAATCTTGCAAGTCATCAACACGCATACTCTGGGTACTTTCTATGCTGGTCGTGTGATCGCTGGCTTGGGCATCGGCGCCGCAACCGTCTTGATCCCGATGTTCGCAGCTGAAATGTCTCCCAAGGAGTTCCGGGGCCGACTGGGAGCCTGTTTCCAGCTTTTCTTTGCCCTCGGGGTTATGATAGCTTACTGGACCACATACGCGGTCAGTAAAGATCAGGCTCCGGGTACTAGCCAATGGCAGACAGCTCTGGGGCTGCAGCTGTTGGGTTCAACTCTGCTGCTCGTTGGAATGTGCACCGTAAAAGAGAGCGCGCGTTGGTTAGCATCAAAGGGAAAGTTGGAGAAGGCACGCGAGTCATTGAAGTGGGTACGTGGTGGCGAAGAGACAGAAGAGCTGGAGAAAGAATTCCAGGAGATTGTGGCTGGCATTGATGAAGAGGCTCGTGTCAAGGAGAACCTCACATTCAAAGAGCTGTTTCTACCAGCGAACCGATATCGGCTTTTCATAGCTATTACAATCCAGCTCTCGGCCCAGCTGACGGGGAATACCTCTCTCGCTTACTATGCCACTCAAATATTTTCGGCCGTCGGGGCAGGTAGTTCTGCCAAACTCGTCACCGGGTGCTTTGGTATTGTCAAGGTTGTTGGCGTCCTCACATTTCAGCTCCTCATTCTAGATCGTGTTGGTCGTCGAGTTCCTTTTATGGCTGGGGCCTTCGCCATGGGCTCTTTCATGCTCATCATCGCCTGCATCCTGGCTACTCTTCCAGTCAGCTCCAATACTACCTCGTCAGGCCCCACCTCGGCCGGCATTGCCTGTATTATTATGACCTATGCAGAGGCGTTCAGCTATAATATGTCGTGGGGACCTCTGCCATGGCTCTACGTTGGAGAAATATTCTCGAGTCGCACACGAGAGGTTGGCCTGACAGTTGGGGCAGCATCACAGTGGCTTTTCAATTTCATGATGTCCCAGGTGACCCCACACGCCATAACTAATATCAAATGGCGGATGTTTTTGATGTTTGCCATTTTCAACTACGCTATCGTTGGGTACTCCTGGCTGGTTCTCAAGGAGGTATGTCTAATCCAGAATACTTTGGGTGTCATGCATGCTGCTAACTTTGCAAACAGACTTCACAGCACTCATTGGAAGAGATGCAGGAGGTCTTCGGTGGCAAAACCGCGGAGGAAAAAAAGCTTGAGGCTTTAGAACATGCGGAGCATGTGGGTCAAGAGGCCAAGAGCCGGTCGATTCCAGAAACAGTACAGCCAGTGTCACCGCTGACCAACCGGCCTGCAAAAGAGTAATTGATATCTGAGTCTTCGTTTACTTTCCTGCTATCGATACTTCATCTAATTCCAGTATAGAGTTGGTCATCATCGACTGAACGCCTATATGCGGGACGTAAAATAGCGATCTGCATACCTGTATTAGGATACTCACATGATAGGCTTTCCTTCATCATTTTTCTGTCCTCAACCTATCGAAAATTAATCATACGCCATAAATATTTTGAAAGTGTCATATTTCGCATGATTCTAGATTGTATAAGAATTCTTTCTCGGCGCAAAAAGCAAGCAATATTCGCGTGCCAGCACCGAATAGTCTATTCATATAAGAATACAGATATAGTCGAATCTCTTTCTGTGATGGTCAACGCAATGCATGGATCTCGAGAATTTTCTCCTGTCGTGCTCCAGCAGTTTCGGATGCGGAAACATAGTTCGCCGAGCAGTTCCAGCACCATCCTGGTAAACCACATTCTAGCTGACGCAGCAATTGGGAATCCAAAAACCCCAATCGCATGGATCACTTCTTTTTCATGATATCCACTCTGGGTTCAACGAGTCTTGCCATCAGAGGAGCCGGCCAGGCAAGGCTATCGGTGGGATCCTGGTGCACCTCGCCCGAGGTGATAAGGTCCACAGTTGCAACGGCAACATAGCCACCAATGGCCGTGAAAAAGTGCCACCTATTTTTGATTAGATATTTGGACTTCAATTCGTCAGATATCGGTATTAAATGACGCAACATACCATCCGTGGAATTCAAACAAAAATGCCAGGGGCAGACCGACTGCGTGTCGGATTTGGGTGAGATTGCTACAACAAAATTCATCAATGAGCCACACGCAATATCCAAAGATGAAGGAAACTATCATCTGTTAGTCATGCTCTTCTGTTGTTCTTGATCGGGGAATGAAGCGTACAGCAGCCAAGGAATGAAAAACGCTGAATCTTCTTCCGAAGGAATGGATCCGGAATTTGTTCGGGGATCATTTTGATCGTATATCTTGCGATCAAATATACTGCCAGCCCAAACGACACAGCATGCACAATGAACTCGTCCATGACCATGTGGACGACCATCACAATGGTAAACAAGGTCAGTAGAATAGCCCCAGTGATCTTGGTGCGGTACGGGCTGGCTTGGAACGTGAGAATCCGGTATAGCAAAGGCGTTGTCAAGAGATGCATTGACAATTCATCCGCTGGTAGTCAAATAGTGTAAGATAGATATAAGCAATCTGGGCAGGTAGAGACATACACATCTGTGTGGGATATTTAAGAGTCATATGATAGGCAGCAGAGCAGACGCCTACTCCAATCAAGCCGCAGTAAGACATGCGGCGAAGACCAGCCTGCTGCTTCTTCCGAAGCTGGACCAAGCCATATATTCCAAAGATCACTGACGTTGCTCGTTAGTGAGAGATTCCTTTCGGGGATAACCGGGATTCGCTTAACATACTGTAGATCAAACTGCTGAATGTATTGATGAACTCCGCAACAAACCGAGTGATAACATAGTCCTACTTAGAGAACTCCGGTATTAGACGGCAAAGACAGGCAAATGTCCCAAGAAAAACAGGTTTACCTCTTCGCAAAAGCTGGGACAAATTAATAGCTGATCTAGGGATAGGATTCAGTTGGTCTGGATGCCAACTTACTTGAGATAAGAGGTTTGGGCGCCCCAAAATGGATTTACGGACGAAGTCATCGTGCCAATAACGACACTCACGCGTGGGATGCCAAGAAAGTTGTGCAAGAGGGACTTGAGTCAACTTTCCAAGGATCAACAACAACCCGGCCAGAGCCGCGACCGCCCAACCCCACGTGGCGGCAAAATGAAAGCCTTTGACACCTCGAATATCAGGCATCTGTTCAACTCTCTGACGTCATTTTCTCCTTCTCTATAGCTTCATTCATAATTCTACTACTTCCTGAACCATAGGCAGTGTTCATGTAAAAAGTAAAATACAGTAAAAAGAAAAAGGAATGTAACACTTAATTACCTCGGCAGTGATTATCTAATGTAAACCTTGGAACCTTGCTCCTGTAGATTATTCCCCATCTCCATTGATGTCCCAAAAGCTCCTCCACCCTCGGAGAATTGGTTCGGAGAAATAGCACCGACTTAAGCAGTTGAATACGATATTACTCCGAGTCTAGATCTACGCTTGCCACAAATATTTCGTGCAGGGACCTCTGCGAGTTAACTTGAACCCCACTTGTACATCAGAATATGCATGGGCCTGTGGAAGGTAAGGTACCTTGTCACCTACATATCTGAACGGAGAAAGGAGAGGAGAAAATTCACTTGTAAATGGGGAGAACATCCCACGTTACGGGGATAAACCCCGCGATGATATTTCCTGTTTCGATCGTACTCGATTTGAACCGGGCTAGTCGACGCCATTGAGATATTATAAGAATGGACTGAAATGAACGTTGTCTGTGGTATGGAGAAAAACATAAATAGAAAGTTGTTTCCCCCATGCTGGAAATAAAACAACACCATTCTTCTGTCCAACCAACCTTGCTTCTTATACATAGTTTCTCACATTTAAAATCTCAAATCACAGTAACCATGGACTCCATTGACATCCCCCAAACGCAAATAGTCGCACTTGTGCGCAGCCTCGGCGGAGAGGTTGAGTTCAAAACAGATTATCCCGTCCCTTCCCCAGGTCGGAATGAAGTCCTCGCCAAAGTGCTCTACAGCGGCGTCTGCCAGAGTGGTAAGTGCAATTATTATCATGTTCCACATTGATCTCCATTGAAAATTTCTGGAGATCCTCCAGCTCACTCCTTTCTTCTATTCTAAAGACCTCCACACCAAGTCTGGCACAGCAGCCGGCCCAGACGGGAATCCAATCACGAACATCAAACTACCCCACGTCGGCGGCCACGAGGGAATCGGACAAATTGTGGCCATAGGCCCAGATATCACGCACAGCACGGGGATTAAAGTCGGCGGACTAGTTGGAATCCGCTTTGCGAGTCGCATCTGTCGGCGTTGTGAGTTCTGCCTTGCGGGTACAGAGCAGTATTGCACGAACGCGACGAATCACCTTCATCATGAGGATGGAAGCTTCCAGCAGTATATTGCGTTGGATGCAGATTATTTGACTGTGTTGCCGGATGATATTGATCCAAAGGTTATGGGACCTGTGCTTTGTGCAGGGTTGACGGCGTATAAGGTGTGTGCAACAATTCAATTCCAGTGCTGTGATTAATGATAGCACAGGCAGTCTTGAATGCAAACCTTCGGCCTGGAAATTGGCTTGTGGTTGTGGGGGCAGGTGGAGGTCTTGGGCACTTGGCTGGTAAGAGTCCCTTTGATGGCATGACGAAAGACGAAAGTTTTACTGATAACCGGCTTCTTCTCAGTACAATATGCCAGGGCGCAGGGTGCTTTGGTTATTGGCGTGGACACGGGTCCCGGAAAGGCAGATTTCATTCGCGGCATTGGAGCTCAGGAGTTCATTGACTTCGCTACCGAGGATCCTATTAGAAAGGTGCAGGAAATCACTGGTCTGGGAGCACACGCGGTGGTTGTGACCGCTGGTAATGCCAAGGCATTTGCTCATGCATGCGAAATGCTGCGAGTGGGTGGTACGCTCAGCTGTGTCGGAATCCCACCAGGTCGACCCTGTCTCGAGACACCAATTTGCACGATTGTCATCAAGGGGCTGAGAATCACCGGTAATCTGGTGGGCTCCTTGAAAGAATGCATGGAAGCTATTGAATTGGTGCGACGTGGCGTCGTGAAGCCTGTCGTCAAGGTCCGCCCATTCAAGGACCTGCCGCAGATTTATGAGGAGATGGAGAAGGGAGATATTGCAGGACGTATTGTGATTCAGCTTACGGAATGATTTGGAGAACACAGAACCAGATCTAAATATCAGCATTAAACACGACATTTTCATATGATTGAAGTTGCTCTGCTCTTGATGCATGTTGGTGTTCATCGATTTGTCTTGCCAGTAACCGCGCAGGTGCCATGACAAGAACCTCGGCCGTTTTACCGCGAAGAATCGACTTTAAAATAGCGTCCTGCTCTAGGAAAGGCAGAAGTTTCTGGTAGAGGGCATGCAAGAAGTCCTGTGGGCCCAATTCAAATCCTCGATGTGATCTAGCGGAAGTAAGAAGCACGGTGTCTGCTAGAGAATTCGCAACTTCAAAGCACTTCAGCAACTATACTGTGGGTTAACTCCGTTTCCCAAGAAAATCACCATTTCAGGTACAGCGTACCTGGTCTCGCCCCAATGGCAATAGATCGGATTGAGAAAAATGTCTTAAAGAGTGAAGCAGATCACGACCCACTTGTGCTGGAAACGAGAAGCTCATGATAGATGTGCTGGATGATGAGGATAGCAGGCCTAGCGAGAGTGCTTCTTGCCAGAGGATTGTCCTCATCCACTCACGGGTGATGTGACAATCTGCAGTTCTTGTTGAGATCTGATCTGTGAGTTTCAAACACAGTGTGGACAGCCTTGCCTCGGTATCAGTCAAGGGTAAGGTGGGGTCGGTTCTGACCCTAAGTCCACGACGAACTGATATCTGGTTGAAAGCCACGAACAACTTGACGAGGTCCAAAAGACCTTGAGCGTGGACGTCGATACCAGGGGCATTCTCAAGGTGTTCCAAATGTGGTGAGTCAACATATGATGGTGACAAACCCAGGTGCATTGCATACCCTCTTCAAATCCATACATATAAGCAAGGCTTATCGAACTTTGATTCTTGAATTCTCACCTCTCTGATACCCAAAGTAACGGAAACACCAGACTTTTATTCGCAATTAAATCACAAATCGCATCATTAAACGGTCCTGGTCCATCCAGTCGTAATAAGCGGGCGCCGGAGATAGCTTCCTGGATATACATCATCGCCGATGTACGCTGATTTACCTTGGCATGGTAAACGTGCAAAAAGAACGAGACCAGAAGGCTACTGATATCCAGATGCTCCTTGTGCCTTTCACAATGACCCCGTATACGTAGACAAGCTTGTGCCAAGGTGGTGCTATCAATAGCACGTGTTCCATCCACCACGGGTCCAAGATGCAATTGCGCCATCGTCGCCGCACAGAGTGCTGTTGCAAGACACGCGATGTTCTCAGTCTCGTGCCCCATATTCTCTGGGTCAAAATCTTCTAATCTGTGCAAGAGAACATCTCCATTGAGAACAGGCCAGACGCTATATGAATACTGCTGATAAAGACGAATTATTGGTGCTAACACCGCCTTCGATATATAGCTCGGACCGCAGTTATTTGACGGCAGAGTGAGTTCAGCATGGAATACTGCTTTATGGGCCTCCCAGGATCCATGATGTTCTTCCAGATCGCGTGTCCGACTAGCTGCTCGTCTAGCTTTGGGACCTCTCTTCCGAGGGGGTTTGAGATAAGTACAAGAGACGCGATTGACGGCATCACGACATGTGTCACAGGGCCAAGAGCCACTGCACTTGACCTTCCGGGTGATACAAAGATCGCAAGCTCGTTTAGGAGGCATGGAGTGGGTGTTCTACATAGAGATACATTAGAGCCTTTCCTAGGTTATATGCGGAGTCAATGCGGGGCTGTCTCGGTGACAGATGAGGTAATCCTCGACTGGACCTTCCATGAAATCACTGTGGATTTTTCAGCAGATGAAACCCGAAACATTTTACTGGTAAATCCAATAACTATAAGTAGAAGTGCACGGCCCGAGGTATACCTTTCTAAATCTTTCATTTTCTTCAATTCTTCTCCGCATCGACTCATACCGGAGTAGATTATATCCGCAGGGTCCACTGGCAAACAATATCCCTCCGCACACCCCCGGACCAACTTGACTGGAACCATACTCCATCCAACTATCACATCCACACATTCAATTATGGCTCTCTCAGCACCCAGCACGGACGTAAGTCAAATGAACCAATCTTACTTATCGTAGATCAAAAGCTAATCAACCAGCAACAAACAGGCACAAGTCCTCATCGCCCAAGAAACAAGCCCTGAGCAAATCTTCCAGTCCTTCACAGCTGATACAGCTTGGAAACTAGGAAATGCCCTCCGCAACCGCATCCTCTCACTCCCCGACAACCAACGCAAGCCAACCCTGATCTCCATCGCCCTGGCCACCGCCACAAGCGGCGGCGGAAGCCTCCACATCCTCTTCCAATCAGCCACGGAAAGTGGAACAATCCCCGATAACGAGAACTGGGTGCGACGGAAGCGGAACACTGTCCTGCGGTGGGGTGTGTCAAGCTGGACGATGCGACAGAAGGTTGCATCGGGGCTTGGATTTGCTGCGAGCGCTGACGCTATTGAAAGTGCTTTTGTGAAGAAGTTCGCTCTTGCGAGTGGGAATGGGGGTGCTGTTGCAGATGAGTATGCTATCCATGGAGGTGGATATCCTATTCGTGTGCGTGGGGTTGATGGGGTTGTTGCTGTTGTGGTTGTTAGTGGATTGAAGCAGGAGGATGATCATCAGGTTGTGGCGGAGACTATTAAGGAGCTTGTTGCTCAGGGAAATTAGGCTAATCACAATATATACTTCGCAGTGTCGAAAGATCCACAGTAATAGAGTACTAAGCTACTATTGATCAATACAAGTTGGTATGGAAGATTCAAGTAAATGTAGAAGGTATCGTGGTATTTGGAAGAGTCCAACGACTCGTGCGGCGAAGGATACCAACCTCGCGCAGATTCAGGAGTACAAACATAAACAGATAAAACAGATAATAAACTCCATGGGTAATGCCTCAAAAAACGAGATAATTTTACAGTTCGTCATGGTCCAAGGGCTCATCGTCCTCGGTGGGAGCAGAGCCGTACAGCTTGCTAGTGATCGGGTAAGCGACACTAGAGAGCTGCTCCTTCTGCTCCTCAAAGTCCTCGGCGGTGGCGGTGGCAGCGTTGTCCTCGAGCCAGTCGATGGTCTCCTTGACAGCATCCAGAATGGTTTGCTTGTCATCCTCGTCGATCTGGCCACCAAGACCCTCCTCGTCGTTGGCCTGGTTCTTCAGGCTGAAGGCGTAGTTCTCCAGACCGTTACGGGCCTCGATCTTGGCCTTCATAGCCTTGTCCTCCTCAGCGAACTCCTCGGCCTCAGCGACCATGCGCTCAATCTCCTCCTGGGAGAGGCGACCCTTGTCGTTGGTGATAGTAATGGACTCGGCCTTGCCAGTGCCCTTGTCGCTGGCGCTAACCTTGAGAATACCGTTGGCATCCAGGTCGAAGGCGACCTCGATCTGAGGGACACCACGAGGGGCAGGAGGAATGTTGGTCAACTCGAACTTGCCGAGCATGTTGTTGTCCTTGGTCATCGAGCGCTCACCCTCGTACACCTGGATCAACACGGTGGGCTGGTTGTCAGCGGCAGTCGAGAAAATCTGCGACTTGCGGGTAGGGATGACGGTGTTACGGGGGATAAGCTTGGTCATAACACCACCAGTAGTTTCGATACCGAGGGTAAGAGGGTTAACATCCATAAGAACGATATCCTCAGTGGCCTTGTCACCGGAGAGAACACCACCCTGGACAGCGGCACCGAAAGCGACGGCCTCATCGGGGTTGATGCCCTTGCTGGCCTTCTTGCCACCGAAGTACTCCTCGAGAAGAGCCTGGACCTTGGGAATGCGAGTGGAACCACCTACAAGAACAATGTCATCAACCTCGGACTTCTTGACCTTAGCGTCCTTGAGCACCTGCTCAACGGGCTTGAGGGTCTTCTTGAACAGATCGACATTCAGCTCCTCGAACTTAGCGCGAGTAAGAGTCTCGGAGAAGTCCTCGCCGTTGTGGAAGGCCTCAATCTCAATGCGAGTAGACATCTGGGAAGACAGAGTACGCTTGGCCTTCTCAACCTCACGCTTCAGCTTACCCATGGCCTTCAGATCCTTGGTGACATCGACGTTGTGCTTCTTGTTGTAGAGCTTGGTGAAGTAGTCCATAACACGGTGGTCAAAGTCCTCACCACCCAGGTGGGTGTCACCAGCGGTAGCCAGAACCTCGAAGACACCGTGGTCGATAGACAGGAGGGAGACATCGAAGGTACCACCACCCAAGTCGTACACAATAACCTGGCGCTCGTCACCGGTCTTGTCCAGACCGTAGGCGATAGCGGCGGCGGTGGGCTCGTTGACGACACGGAGAACGTTGAGACCGGCAATGGTACCGGCATCCTTGGTAGCCTGACGCTGAGCATCGTTGAAGTAGGCGGGAACAGTGACAACGGCGTGGGTGACAGCCTTGCCCAGGTAGCTCTCGGCAATTTCCTTCATCTTTCCGAGAATCATGGCGGAGACCTCCTCAGGGGTGAAGACCTTGGCCACCTTGTTCACCTCGACCTTAACGTTGGGCTTGCCATCCTTGTTGACAACCTTGAAGGGGAAGTTCTTGGCGTCCTGCTGGGTGACCTTGTCGTCAAACTTGCGACCAATCAAACGCCTATTGCAGTTGTTAGCCGGTCTAGTTCATCAATCTTTCACCATATTCTGGGCACTCACTTGACGTCAAAGACGGTGCGGGTAGGGTTGGCGGCGTATTGGTTCTTGGCGGCGTCACCGACGAGGCGCTCCTCATCGGTCCAGGCGACGTAAGAAGGAGTGATACGGTTTCCTTGGTCGTTGGTAAGAATCTCGACCTTGCCATTTTGCATCAAACCGACACAACTGCAGAAATAGTTAGCCACGTGTCATTTTGGCCTCATGTTACCAACGAGAGAAGAAAAACAAATCCAAGTAGTCAATGGGATCACGTACGAGTAAGTAGTTCCCAAATCGATACCAATAACAGTGCCATAGTTTTCAACGTCGTTGTCCTGAGCCTGTGCGCTACCGCTGAACAAGGCCATGGGCGCGATCAGGACCATGAGAAGGTAGAAGACGGTGGTCCAAGCGAAGGGCTTGGACGCGCCATTGCGGTTTGCGATTCCCGCCATTGTGATTATAAGTGTTAAAGATATTAAATCAAGATTCTTCCGAACCAGGAACACCCAATGGGGGAGGAAGAAAAAGTAGAAGCTATCGAGATCGAAGCTTCACGCGCTCTTGGTGTAACAGCGCAGAGTTCAACTCAAGTGTTGTACTCAAGGACCCTCAAGGTGGGTTTCGTAGGGTGGGTGGGTGGTCGGAAGGGGAGTGAAGAAGAGAAGAGGAAGATGGAGCAAAAGAGGGTTACTTGTATTAAGGGTTCGAATAGCGCCATGCTGTCCTTTTCCGTGGACGCTGTTCAGGTCACTCCTTGCGTGTTGATTGGTGGAGAGCGGGCAGCCTGGTGGGTCCGGGACCAAACTAAAACAAATAATCGAAATTACTAGAAAGAACAGTCCCGGGTACTTACACTTGGCTGAACCACTATTTGGAAAACGTATATACATTTTGAAGAAGTTGGAAGAGTAGTGGCCTGTATGACTAAAGTGGTCATTTTGTACATCAATCCTTGGGACTTTTCTAGAATGTATGAGAATTACACCCAGGGATCGACAGAGCCGCAGGGACCACAGAGTAGAAACCGATTTATACCGCCTTCTCCATACCAACATTGAATTACATGGACACTCTCAAAGATAGTAGAAAACATTGAGGTGGGATTATAGTAGATTGAAGTATAGGCTTATTCTAACAACCCAGCTGCCACAGTCGATCCACCGGTGCGTAAAACAATCCTCGTCGGCGCCTCGAGAGGCACCGCGGTATCCATCTCCACAACCACACGCGCCACTGTGCCTGGAGCCACAATTTTGGGCCGCTTCTTGATAGGCAGGCCCGACGCTTTATCTAGAGACGCAACCAATTTGCTGATCCGGCCAGGGACATGAAGACGACCTCGGTGTACATCCACAAGCATGGGCATCAGATGTTCAAAGGCCAGAACCTTGGTTGTAAAGCTGGTGATGGTGGGGATTGGCGAGGACGAACGACACACCACGTCCCCAGAGCGCAAGTGCACTGGGTCGATATTGGCCAGGTTCAACACCACATTCTGACCGGCTACAGCCCAGTCACTGGTCTCGCCGTCTACCTCCAAACTGCGAATCAAGGCTGTCTCACCACTGGGCATCGTTAGGATCTGATCACCAACTTGTAAGCTGCCAGCGTCCAGGCGACCTGAAATCGAGATCGGATTCTGCACGCCACCACGGAAAACATCGCCAATCGTCATACGCAGTGGCTTATCAAGCGCGTGGGTGGAAGGCTCCGAGGTCTCCAGTTCCTCAATCAATGTCCGGCCAGCATACCACGATGCGTGGGGATCTTCACTGCGTCGGCTGATGTTGTCTCCCAACACGCCCGAGCACGGCACAAACGAAATGTTCTTTTCTTGAAACCCAGCCGTGGTCAAAAATGATGAGATTTGCTGCTCGATCTCCTCAAATCGGGCCTTGTCCCATTGGACTGTATCCATCTTGTTGACAGCGACCACAATCTTCTGGACGCCCATGCTGCGCACGAGCAGAGCGTGTTCTTTAGTCTGGCCCTTGAGGCCTGATTCGAACTTGCCCACGCTAGAATCGATCACCAAGACCGCGAAGTCTGCCTGGCTGGCACCGGCAATCATGTTGGGTACAAAGTCTCGATGCCCTGGGGCATCAACAATGGTGAATGCAGTGGTATCGGTCTCGAACTGGTTCGTCGCAATATCGATTGTAACACCGCGTGCACGCTCCTCCGATCCCTGATCCAAAACCCATGCCAGGGCAAATGAGCCTTTCCCGATCTTCTCCGCCTCCTTGCGATATTTTTCCAGTGTACGCTGGTCTATCGCCCCCTGATCTGCTAACAACCTCCCCATCAACGTACTCTTTCCAGCATCGACATGCCCTAGATTCCGGTTAGCGATATATTCCATTTGGCATATTAAAAGAAATCCTACCAATCACCACAAAGTTGGCAGACTTCTTCCGTGTTGACTTGTTGTATTCTGCGAGGACATCCAAATTCTTGCTCTTGACAGTCACTTTCTCCGCTACTGAGAGATCATTCATGTCGCCAGCAAGATCGGCTTGGCCCTTCTTGTCGCCTGCCTTGGAGGCAGCAGTTTTGGATTTGAATCCTACACGGCATTAGGCGAGTAGATTTCAAACCTTTGTGCGAATCGCCAAACCTTTAGCTTTATTTTGAGCATTGAGCACCACATCATCGGGGCTAGGACCTGCAAAGTCAAAAGGTTCAGTATGGTCCTGCCCGTATATTTGGAGCAGATCGACGTTCTGCGAAGGGATGTGGCTAGGCTCGGCCTTGGTCGGTCCTGATTGATTGCCAAGAATGGCACTAGCAAACATGGAAGGCGCCGCACGGATCTCAGGCGGCGGTGTTGGCTCTAAGTTTACGCTGATCTCTTTTTCAGCTTGCTCCAAGAATCCGGATTGGACAGCTGGGACAACGTCCACGGGTTCCGGTGAAGTCGGCTTCTGGGCTGGTGCAGGCGCAGGCTTTCCCAATCGCCGCAGCCCACCTAGACCTTCAGCAGGCTTTGGTGATCTGCTCGCAGCGAGCCTGTCGCGCAAAGAGATCTTCTGTCCAGCCGATGGCTTTTCGGATTGACCAGGCTGTGACGCTTCTGGAGGGGAGCTAGCCTTGCTACCTTCCTTCTGTTTGCGTGCTGCAGCCAGTGCCGCAAGTTTGGAAACCTTGCCCCCACCTTCACCCGCACCACCCAGCAGTCCCATTCGAGGATATAAAGGCTCTACCAATATATCCGCCCTTCGGTGGGGTGGAACATTAAGCCAAGGAGAGTCGCGAAAAAATTCAGCAGCCGAAAAGTGCGCTATCGGAGGAGAAATAGGTGCTGGATACACCGGCACTGGGAGACCAGTTAGAATATATGCCCAATCTTCCAACAGTGTGATGTCAGTCGCGAAGTCTTCAGCGTTTGAAAAAGATTTCCGTGGTAACTGGGAATATTCTCGACACACCTTTTAAGATCATTCAACCGACCATTTCACCACAAGTCGAGCCCAGCCATAACACATTGAGAAACAAAAATTATGCAAGTAATCGAATAGCTTACCTTGAGCTTTATTCTTCAGCGACGCAGCAGGTACTTGCTGCTTCTTGATCTCCTTCTCTTTTTTGCCTAAAAGAAACCAACAATTAGCAAAGGATTCTTCAGTGAATGAATACTGGGATGGGAAAAAAAACCTCGTAGATAATTGACCGACTTTTCTACATCATTATAGTAGTGCCACAGCGCCTCCTGGATCTCTGTCTTGGTAGCAGTCACCGACGGCTGCCCCTCGCGGAGCTGCGAAAGGACATCCTCAGTGCACCGTTGTAAGTGTTCCTGTTCTTCAGGATCAGGCGAGTCATAACCATCATCGGAATAATCATCGTCATCGTATCCAACATTTTTCACGCGGTGTCTCGACATTGGCGCTTGGTGGGGGTCTGCGACCAGGCTCGGAAAGCTGTGAGCTGGTGGGGAGGGGCGGGGTAAACGAGTATTTCACAAGGTGTGACAAGTCAATGAACGAATGAATAGCTAGGAGCTGGTAGCTGGCTAGCGCAAACGATTCAGAAGAGTTCTTCGGTCGCAACCTTGGAAAGAAGGTAAGAAATGAGTTGAGGAGGAAAGAAGGTCTTGTTTGGACCCGTGACGGGAGCGGACCACGTCATTCTCCACTGCTGTAGTATCTACCCGACTCCCATAACCGTATCATGCGAACAGATCAGCTTAAATCACATCAAATAGCAGGAAACTAGAAATCCCCAAGTTTCAGTAACAATAATTTACAAATCTACAAATTTAAGATAAAACTGCAATTTCACCATTAGGGCAGATTAGACATATGCCCATCTATATGCCAGCAATCCGCCAATATGCAGTATACTATGTCTATTAATTGAAAAATCAACACTAGAAAGAGGAACGACAGGAAGGAAGAAAGAAATGTAGAAAGGGAAGAGCACGCATAAGTAAATAAGTATGTTCAATATAGCCAGCGCGGTGGCAACATGTTGATGTCCATGGTTGCCTGGATAGCAAGTTGCTCAATGAGAATAAAGATCGAGTCGCCAATTACTAGGAAGACCCGGCACATCATTTCCCAGATCACTGTAAGTGAAGATGATCAAACCTCTTCATCCGATCCCACATGTCAAGGACATGTCCTCTTTCAACAATACATTGCTCTTCTCGAGGATAAGTCACCATGTCGATAGGCACCTTGTTGTGGGCACATGCACGATAGAATGCGATGGCCTGTTCTAAAGGCACACGCACGTCGTTATCGATCTTCATTCTCACAGAGTAACTTGCTATCCTGCCGACCATTGACATCAGCATGTTGCCACCGCGCTCGCTATATCGAACGTATTTGGAAGGTTTTTAACCTGTAGAAGATTCTACACCGCCGACAGTTTCTGAATACTTTTTACTAAAGAATGATAGAATCGAGACTATGTGTATTTATGTATTTCTGTATTCATGAGTTAAATAGGCCGTACGTCTATACAGACCTGCTAGTCATGAAGGTCGCCAAGACCGAAGGCAGAAGGCAAAGGTCACCAAGCTAAAGCAAAAAAAGACACATCTATCGCAATGGACTCTCACTAAAGAAGTCGCCCGAGCCGGGCCCAGAAAAGCTGACATTGCTTGGGGTGAGGGCGATCGATCGCCGGAAAGCTTGACGAGGGGTGCTAGGGGCACTTATAGGTGCCGCATTTGCAGCGGCAGAGTTGGCCACCACGGTGGCTGCTGTAGCTGCAGCTGCAGCACTGGCGTCGGGCGTAGAGGGGGTATTGCGGCCACTGCCATTCTGCAAAGTAACGGCAGTTCCGGGACGAGAAAGAACGGTGACTGTGGCGTTCTTAGGAGGGGGGCGGAAGCCGAGTTTGGATCCTTCGCGGAAGATTTCTTCCAGCATCTGATTGGCGATGCCGGCGTCCTCGTATTCCTGGAACTTCTTCCATAGACGCATGGCCATACGTGCATCTTCAATGGAGTCGTGTCCCTGAATATCCTCCGGGTTCGGTTCTTCTTGGATATACTCCTTGAACACAGCCCAGGCCAGATAACGAAGACTAAGGCGACGGCTCTTGCCGGGGTGGAAGAAGAGGTACTGGGTATCAACAGTTTGCGACTTGGGCACTTGGATGTTGATTTTGCGGAAATCGGAGGCTAAGCCATGGCCCACAAAAATACATCCCAAATTGAGAAGAAGCCACAGCTTCTTGTACGCGGTCTTAAGCGGCACAAGGTTATGTTCGCTAGTTCGTGGATCCAGGTCGCCAGGCTTGATGCCAGAGTACTGTGTGACATAGTCGACAATTGGTTCACGAATTGTGATGTAGTCATCAATGAAGGGCACACCCTCCTGGATACCTGAAGCACGTAGAACAGAGACTCGAGCAAGTCCGCTCTTGTTGGGCCGAACAATTTCTTGCGACCCATCGGCCTTGACATCTATCTCAGCTTTCTCGAGATCGACGAACTCGGTGTCGAGCGCCACGGGCGTACCAGGCTTCGGTTTTTCTTCCTCGCTAAGGGCAATACAAGACTCAACCTGGCGTCCGCCATTCGATGACACCCCACGGAAAAGTAAAGTGCTATCGAGGGCATTCTTCCACGAGTCATCAACAGCGTGACGGGGATCTCGTGCCTGGAAAGCCAGCACGCAAGGTTGCTTCCAATTCTGTGTGAAGCCCAATGCCTCATCACGGTCCACTTCGGTAACCAAAAAGTCATTGAACAAGTGCCATTTGCTTGGTTCCTGGGTTTCTTGCTCTGAAACCGAGACGTTGATAAAAGACACCAAATGCGGCTTTTGGTGTTCTGTAATGTCAATCTCGGCCACAAGGCCTACCAGATCATACACTACCAACCCGGGTGTATTACTCTGCATTCTCAATTGAAGCTCCTCGCCCTCGAAACACATTACTTGACCATTGTCGATGATTATGCCTACTGCGTCAGGCAACCACCCAGGAATAGCCCACAGTCTGCGACATATGGGATTGGTTGAAACAGCGGCATTGAGGAGCAAGACAAGAGGCATCCGGTGCACAGTCTTTCGAATCATGACCTGTTGGTATCGACGGCAGTAGTTGCACCAACCGCGATTCTGCGTTTCACGTTCAATGCTAGCACGCAAGATGTTGGAGAATCGGAAAGCAGGATTGCGTCGCGCCTGTTTCATATCCATGTTTGGGTAAAGAAGCTCATTGGCGAGAGAGTTTCCTGGGCGAACAGTTTCATTCTGACAGAACATGCATCGGATCGACTCAGAAGCATATGTGGAGAGGCGCTCGTCCAGCTCTTCGGAATTGGGTTGGATGGTACGGAAGTCACACGATATTTGTGTCAAGAAGAAGCGATTTACCGCCTGAATAGCTGTAGAGAGAGACTTATTTGTAAGGTTTTCTTCCAACAGCCCCATGTTTGAGGCCTCCCGGAAGCTGCTGAATAGTTTGAGCAGATTGGTCGCCTGGCAATTCTGGCCATTCGCTTTTTCCAACATGTCAAACAGGTAGCCTAACTCGCACAGCAAGCAATATTCAGAGATACAGGAGCCAGCCGCATGGTGGAGAGCGAGGTTTCGGAACAAAGGAATGAACTTAAAAAGCTGAAGGAGGGAGTTGGTAAAGGAGTTTGCGATGTGGGTTTCGAGCCCAGAGAATCTGGTCTTGTTGTAGAATCTGTATTGAGTGTAAGCAAGTTCCACGACTTTCAGTGAGTAGATAATCTCTTACCGGAAGTCAAAATCGTCGACACCAAACCGACTATATTTGATCTCGACATTGCTGTATTTGAGCAGTGGATCATCATCACTCTCGCCGTTGATCTTTGCACCCGCCAGTGCCTCAGCCGCATCAGCGATTGAACCATCAGACTTGGATTTATGATGATCCCTGGCCTTTTCACTGAGGAATTTAGGTGCAATCAAGGCTGGCTCTGCGGTAGTCAAAGCGCGAGTGTTCTCGATCTGGTATCGTCGTGTCTTTCGTGGATTCGGAGCACCATGGCCCAGTTCTGCTTGGCGCAAATATGGAAGCAAAGATTGATCGAGTTGTGCCGGTGGGCTTCCGACCTCGAACGTAAGATGACTGGGCCATGCCGAGAAGAGGCGATCGTGATAATACGGCATTCCGACCATGTTCAGCGGGGTCTCAGGCGACCAATCAATGGCCGGCGATCGAGTCGGTACGTCTGCGAACTCAGTTTCTTTGCTCATTTCATTGAAATGAATCTTGGTTGGTGAACCCCAGAGATGAATCGAGCATTCCGCGTCGTTGATGGCTAAGGCCTCTCCAGAAGGTGAAATCTCGAGTCCAAGCATCAATGTGACATTCGCTTGTCGTAAATTGACAGAATTGGGGTTCATCAGATCGACAACTTGGAGCTGCCCAGTCTGCGACGCCACAAAACTCGTCGTATGTAGCTTCGGGTGCATTCGTACATATGCTGCACCAGCATGGAACGGAATCGGAGGCAAGGGTGTCAGTGTCTTCAGATCATAGACATTGGCCAGCGGATCCACAATCGAGGAACCAAGCTGGCGGACTGAGAAACCACAGGTAACCAGCAAGTCGTTTCGCGCATCCATGTCATTAACAGCAGTGCCATGCGCCTTCCAAGACTTAACGACGCTGAAATCCGAGAGACTGAGGGCATTGACGGATCCATTCTCTGTAGCCGCGCATAAATACCGACTCTTCTTCATGAGCGTGTAATTGTGCTCGGTAGGCAATTTGTCAACAATCGTACCCTTGTCAATATCGATCGTAAACATCACACGCTGGCAACCCGCCACCAGTATCCGGTTTGTCTGTGCTGTAAAGCTCATGCATCGAAGATCGACCATCTCCTCATCGGCAATATGCCACTGAGTCAAACCGCGTCGAGTAATCATATGCACACTCCTCGAAGACAACGAGATCACACCGCGCTCGTGAAAAGCAATCTGTCGAACCATGCCTTCCGCGACCGGGTGCGCTCGCACAGAAGTATATCGTTGAAGTTCGGGTCCATAGAAAGAAGTGATGCGGCCCTAGCAAGAAGACAAAAACCAGCGCATTAGTTAACCCTTCCCTGTCTTCCACAATTCCATCTCAAGAAGTAGCACTATAAATGCAACTCACATATTCATTTCCAGCCCACAAAAGTTCCATAACATCATCAAATGCCACCGCCGTCGCATTCGTGGGCATCCCATGCGGACTAGGCGGTGGCATCGGGATACGCGATAGCTCATCCCAATCAGCTTCCATGTTGGCGGCCTTAACCCAGGCACGCACCCCGAATGAATTTTATTTTATTGTATTGGTGTCCTTTATCGAAGTCTTGCTGTCGAATTCAAATTGGTTCGGGAAGTGTGCCCTTCACCCTCATGGGAATGCGCTAGGGCCGGGCATCGTCTGCGAGCAAGGACGCGACTGCGGGGAAGGTGGGAGCTTTTGGGCAGCCAGATCGGAGAATCGTTCGATCGTTGGATACAGGGGCTATAATCAAACGTGCGGGTTTTAGGTGATGATATATGGAATGCTGCGGCCTATGCCAACGCAAAACTGAGAGTGGTCGTTGGGTACGAGATATTTATTGTCGTCCGCCTACTGTTACAGAACTGAGGTGTCTAATGGTCACGTGGAGATATTGCCGATAACGCTTTCACAGTTCCAATAACAAATCACATGACCTTCGAGATCTGGGTTACACTTCTATGGACTGTAATTGTACAACCATAAGGCTGCGAACGAGATGTAATCAATATGCCTACTATCTACTACTAGTTGTATAGCACTTGAGTATTTATTCTACCTAGGCAGTATGCTCAACTGTTTAGTTTATATGTTTGGGTAGACCAAATTTTAGATGACAACCCAATTCAAATTACAATTGAAGAGCTCAGGACATGTTCGAATAGGAAATGTAAGTTTATTAATCAGAGGGACCTCATATTGCTACCTACATATCTGGTAACCAGGGAGGGGGCCGAGGTAGATACAAAAGGCATAGGTAAATGCAAAGTATGTACTGGTAACATGCTGCAACATGGACTAGCTGTGAATGATCGGCTAAATACAAGTTATCTAGACACAGAAAAGCCTAGCAAGGAATGGGGCAATGGCGAGCATCCGGTACACGTGAGCGAACAATGAATATTGGAATACCACAACGTTTAATATTTATTATCCGTTGGTCAAGTAGAAATCCCAGGCAGTTATCTGTAGAAATTAGCAGGATTTGAGGGGGTATTACCACCCTGCGAAGGCTGGTATGCCTGGTATTCTGCACCACCTGGCGGAGCTGAGGGGGCGGGGTTAAAGGCAGTGTACTGTGAGGGTGGCTGCGCTGATCCAGGGACAGGAGGAGGCTGGTGAGAGGGTGCTTGATGAATGGCCGGGGAGTTGGGGTATGGAGGCTGTTGCGTTGATTGCTGTGGTGGATATTGGGATGGGGATTGCTGAGATGCTTCTTCGCCCGAGTAGCCTGGGGATGAGTACTCCTGTGCCTGTGGCTGTTGCGGATGTTGGAATTGTTGGTGGCCGACCGGTGGCGCTTGGCTATTGAGAGGGTAGCCTGGGCGCTGACCAGCAGGATGTTCCACGGGGGAGTCATAAACAGAGGTGCCCAATTCCTGCGGATTGTCATATGTAGATTGTGGGCGGTGACCAACAGGTGGATAAGAGTCAGACGGAGGTGCCTGTTGCGGCATGGGCTGCTGCTGAGGTCCACCTGCAAACTGCGCACGTGGATCGGGAGAATGAGACGCAGGACGGTAAGGGATTGTCTGCTCCGCACCATAGTACGCACTTGGCTGGGCCTGTGGGGGTTGGGGTTCTAAAGAAGACAATTAATTGCTGAACTCTCAAGAAGAGGTATTTAGGGCTGTACTGACCTTGAGGTTGACCTTGAGGTTGAGGGCTGAAGTATCGTTGGTCTGCTTGGGGAGGGTATCCTGCGGGAGCAGCACCGGGATACCCATACTGTGGCTGGCCAGGTCGTGCATATGGCTGTGATGGGTGAGCCATGGAAGCCTCTAGCAAGGACTCGTAGTCACGGCGGGCTTTGATGAACTTCTCATTAAGCTGGGTGAATTCATCTGGAGAGTCGTGAGCATAGTGTCCTCAACATACAGCGAAAATGTACGAACCTTTCTTCTGCGAATATTTCCCAATAAGCTCAATAAGCTTCGGCCTAATAGCAACAGTGGAATGGTAGAGATTGGTAATCTCCTCGTTCTCCTGCACATTAAGGTCTGAGCTTCGAGTACTCAGCAGGGTCAGAAGTTTCTCGACGTTCTTAATCTGGCCAAAGACATCGCCCTCCATCTGCACCTCACGCTGTAGCTCCTCGACGGTAGGGTCGGTAAGTTTCTCTACATAATTGAGAGGGAAAATTCCCGTCTGGCCTCTCAAAGAACCCTTCCACCAGTCCTTGTAGACTGATTCCAAGACAGCAATGATATCACCCTTGCGGAACTGAAGTTCTCCAGCTTCCGAGGGTTGAAAATCGAATAGGGCGCGGACCCGCGAAACAGTAGCAGCCGACGTGCCCGATGGCACAGGTCCGGTCGCAGCAGCTGGTAACTCGGCTGCCGGTGAGGTAGTTTCGGGTTTCGATGTAGCAGCCGCCGCAGATGGGCCGGCCTGAGCAACGGGGATTGGAGGAGCCTTGTCCTTGACAGAGAGAGCCAATGCCATTTGCAGTTCCTCGTCCTCCTTCTGTCGGTCAATGTCTGTAATCGCACTCTTTATTGGCTTCGATGGGGGCTGAAGGTTGGGGTCTGCAGACATATTAGCGAAGTTTCAAGGGGAATATCATCATAGCACAAGTCTCTTACTTGACGTCTTCAACTTCATGTATGCTTGCTCCATGATCCCAAAGTCCGGGTTAGAGGAAAACATCTCCGTCCATTCTTCCATCCGTTCCAAAATCTTGGACTTGACTTGTTGGTGTGTATTCTAAAGAACAAGACGCAAGTGGTCAGCAAATCAAATTATTCAAGGTCCCCAAAACGAATATGCTTACGCGATCACTTGCCAGGCGCAGGAGCGCATCGGTAAAGCTTCTTGAGGCTAACTCGCGATGGATCTTAGGGCCACAATTCTGTGACAGCGCATTACCGAGCTATTATATCGCAATTAGCAAATAAGGCGGCTAGGGCTCATAGACAGCTGAATGTCATACCTCAAGAGTATAAAGTTGCACATTGGCATTTCTGTGAGCCATTCTCTTGATCATGGCTGCGACCGCCTCTTTTGCACTGTGCAACCAATGAGACTTAGTATGTAACATTTCAACACTTGTAAATGTCCACAATTTCGAAAGACGATACACACCCTGAATCTTCGGCAGCAACCTTGTCGCAAACATCCTATAGCGCAAAATAACGGCAAATTAGCTTCAATAGCGAGAGCTTGTCGCTCGGAAAGACGCACAAGAATGTATTCCCAGTTCTCGGAGGTCAGGTTCTCGTCGGTCGCCTTGGCTATTTCAGCAATCCCATGGGTCAGCAATCGATTATCTTTGACCAGGCTTCCACCCGTAAGAGACGCATGAAGGAGTATAGCCTCAAGACATGAAATTTTGTATAGAACTTACCGACCGCGTCATCGAAAGCATTCTGCTGGGCGCGAAACATTGCCAATTTAGATCTTGGAGTGATGTAGGGTAGTTGGGAAGTCGGGCACCGCTCCTCAGCGCTCAATGCGGGGAATGAGGATGTTGCAAAGTGCAGGCTAGGTTGGGGTCCAAACTCAGGAGAAGATCGTGTATGGAGAAGGAGCGAGGACAGGGAATGGAAAACAAGAGATAGCAGAATAGGTCACTCAACACAGCAGTTTCACGATCGATGAGCAGAAGAGAGTTGGTTTCTAGGTGCCAATGTTGTGTCCGGGCGGAAGTGGTGTTGACTCAGCAATGACGACGGTGAAACGGCAGCTCCAATCCAAGCGTATCCCGCATTAATGTGTCTTAGTACTATCATCAACCAGAAAAAATCTTATCTGCCTCAATAGAGAAATAATTATGTCGCCTCTTTGATCACATCTGAAAATGCGCAGCTCTGGGAGTAATTAAAGTGCCTTCTGTATAGGCTGCGGCATTTTTGCTATTCTGATTTGCTAGTTCGCCCGTGGCTGAAGGTATACACCCCACTGGGTCCATTACTATGGAGGTACAGCCAGATCAATTACAAGGATATTTTCAGGGTCAATATGAAAAGAATTGCCATTCGTAATTAGAGGAGATATTGGATGTAGCATTCTGGGTGCTTCCAGTTCTTCAATCTCCTGTTCGTCTGGTCTCTCAGGCTTCGAACTACTAGTCCGAAGCCAGTGCTGAAGGTACATGAGAGATTTGCAAATCATTCCCAATCCTTCACAGCATGTAGCGGCTTGTGTATCAAATATTTTAAGTTATTATTTCAATGTTTATATACATGGCCGTCTAACAAAGAACAGACCAGTACAATGTATTAGAAGAGATGAGAAAATAGAGTGTGATATGACACAAATCCAAGAGACCCCTTGCGATCCAAACGCCGAATATGATAGGAAAATTGCGTTTCAAATCTCACGAGGTGAAAGACATACAATCAGTAGACAGCTTAAAGTCGCACCCGAAACACCACACATGTCCAGATTCAAAACAGGGATGTAGTTGAAGAACTAACAGTGCTACACATGACCCCGGAGAATGGCAAAGATAAAGATAGACCAACAGAGGAAGACAGATCGGGGTCAAAACAAGGCTTGCGGGATCAGATCATTTTTTATCACAAAAAGATGTTCATCAAGGAATAAAATTGTAAACAAAATCAGTACAAAAACGGGCACTGCCACGCGGTTTGGGGTCGGCATGCCGAGATCTAGAAGAATCATCAGGAGTGATGGGGGTATCTGAACGAGACGGGAAGAGTGATATAAGGATAAAGAAAAACGAGAAGAGAAAAGAGTAAGGCTGGTCATCTAGCCACCACCCTTCTGCGCTTTCTCTTGGGCACGACTGATGCGAGCAGCCTTGACGAGAGGAGCTAGATGGGTGAGTGGCGAGCAGATGGCCATGAATGGGTGCTAAAGAACAGTCAATGGTTGTACAACAGAAACGGGGTGGGGTTGTTGGCATACCTTAAGAAGGTCGTGGGCAGAAGCTCGCTTCTCCGGGTCCACCTTAAGTGCGAGGTGTAGGAAATCACGGAAGGTAGCGGAGAGGCTGTGTTCATCTTTGATGGTCGGTGTTCCGTTTGTGGCTATCAAATAGAGCGCACGCAGAGGGGACTCTGTCAGGTATGGTGGCTCGCCCTCGATCATTTCAATGGCCATAATGCCCAAGCTCCAGATATCGACCTTGCGACCATATTCCTTTCGGGTAACTACTTCGGGGGCCATCCAGTAAGGAGTTCCAACCATGGTGTTGCGCTTGTGATGGGAGTCGTTGATTTGCGCACAGAAGCCAAAGTCGGCTGGAAGAAATTAGTTTCGATAATCCTGTCAAAGCAAAGATATTGAAACTTACTCAGCTTAATGTTACCATCTAGGGAGAGAAGAATGTTATCAGACTTAATGTCACGGTGAATGACGCCTTTAGAGTGGAGGTGCTGGAGTCCGTTCAATGTCTATTTCAAGACAGTTAGCATTGGAAACCCATGGGGAGATGATGGATAAAAACATACCTCTCTGCAAACCGCTGCAATCTGGCCCTCGCTCATAATATTGTAGGTGACCACGTCTGTAAGACTACCACCTTCCATATACTCCATGACAACCCACAAATCCAGGCCGTGAAGGTAGCTCTCAAGGAAATTCACAATGTTCCTGTGCTTGCTGTCCTTCATTACAAGAATCTCATTGATAATCAAATCCTTCTTGGGCTGAAGATCTAGGTTCATCTGCTTAATGGCGACACAGTTGTTGTTACCATTTTCATAAGCAGTATACACACCACCCGAAGCACCCTGTCCAACCTTATTGAGGTTGTAGTATATTTGTGTAGGATCGCCTGGGTGACAAATTTGCAACAGACGCTGCCGCACATCCATAACGTTGCTTTGGCGCTTGGGCTGACGAGGGCGAGCTGCCGGGGGTGCTCGAGAAGCCGCAGAAGAGGACTCCACGGAGCTCTGGGGAACATTTGTCGGAATTGGCGGTATTTGAGAAGCCTGTTGTGGTTGGCGCTGACTTGTGCTCCGATCCAGCTTCTTGGATGCGATCGCTTCCTGAGCAGCGGCCATGACTTGCTCCTGCTGCCGTTGGTATTGTGTCGGGGAAGCCACGATATTCGATTCCTGGAGCTGAGTGCCGTTTCGAGAGCCAGAGGTACCCCGTGGATCGCTGGATAGTGGTGCTGCCTCGGGAATGGGCGGTGCTCCCATTGCATAGGCCTCTGGCGGTCGCTGGGCCATGGTAGGAGGTTGCGGTGGGGGTCGCGAGGGTGTCATGCCGGGTGGCTTTGGAGGCGCGCGATGCGGAATGAGGCTTCCCAATGGCGGGGAGACGGCGGCAGACGCCAATGATGCTGGGGGAGGCGCTCCTCCTGGTGGTCCCTTCGGAACCGGTGGCGGCGACCGGGGGTTCTCAAAGCTACCTTCGTGGTTCTGGGGGAAACGGGGGCTTCCTGGAGGCGAGGGTGGTCGGCCGTTATCTTTGCCATGCGCATTGTCGAACTTGTGCCAGACTTCATCGTCATCACCACGGGTGTTCTTCTCGTAGAAGCGCATGATGTCCATCATAGTCTGCGGGTGTTCTTCCTGTTCCTTCTTCGAAATTCCATTCTCCTGCAGTAGCCGCTGCCACTCCTTGGGCAAGCCCGTGAATTGGCCAGTCTGATTATCGTAGCCCACATGGGTGACGTGGACAGGGTTCTCCGGGGACGAGATCTTGATGTTGCGAGGCGAGCCCAGCATGCTATTCACGAAACTAGAGAAGCTGGCCTTTTTGCTTCTCCCGCCCCGGGTATGGCCACTGCCTTCATCGGAATGACGCTTGGAGTTGGAAGGCCGCTCAGTCTCCCGATGTGCCAAGGGATCCATCCGGGAGGGCAAGGTGGTGAAACTGGCAGATTGTCGGAGAAAGGAGCGGTGCCGCGGGTCTGGGCTTATCGGGCTAGATTGCTGGGAGTGCAGGGGCGGAGGGTTATGAGGTGGAGACAGGGAGTCAGTTTCGGCACTATTCTCATCTAATGCACTGAGCATGCCCCGTGCCTCGAAGGGGGTGGTCGTTAATTCATCCGAACTGTGCTGATCGTAGGAGAAGCGATTCTGGCGGGCGCGGGTGCTGTAGCTGGGGAAAAAGGAATGGTCGTTTTGTACTGGTGACGGGCCGTCGCTATGTTGTTCAAGCGATGATGAGGATGATCCGTATACAGCAGCAGCGTTGGATCTTGTGCGGGTGTGCTCGCGGCTACTGTTCGAGGAGCGCGGGTAGACGGGGGCGGAAGGATGACGTTTCAAGGAAGATGCGCTTTGATGACTCCGAAGAATGCGTGAACTGAAGCTTGGAGACTCCTTTTGCAGTTTGCTCGATGGGCGACGGAATTTCAATGAGAACCCGTCACTCATGATGAATGTGTTGTCTCTTTACACGAGACACCGATTGAAATTGGGCCGAGGGGTTCAGGAGAATTTTCTAATCAGCCAATTCGCAGAGATTGGGCTTCAAGAAAATAGGGAAGTACCACGGAGTTGCCAACAAACCAGGTCCTTTTTTTTTCTCTTTTTCTCTTCTGTCTTCCAAATTGGAATGTCAAAAGAATGGAGAGAATCAATTCCAAGGGGAGAAGAGGGGCCCAGTTAACAGTTTAATTAACCAATGAACAGTAATTCACACGTGGAGGTGGGAAAAGGAGGTTCGGTGGCTGGGTTTTTTTTTCATGGGGCACGATGACGCGGGGGGGCTTAAGTATAAAACTGGTTGCAATATCAAATTAATTTACCGAGTCGTTATATTACTTTACCCATGCAGGAGTTATCACAATAGTCCAGGAAACCAAGAACTTTGAGGCGTTTGACATCCCGAGAATCTAGATTTTTCTGGACACGGGTCGAAAGTGGACACTAAGGATAAGGGAATCTGACCGTTTAATTAAGATGATATATACTCTCCGGGAAACCAGATATGGTAAACGTTGAATATACTATGAACAACCAAGATTTTCATGTAGTTGGAGTTGGAGTTGGAGTTGACGTCTTTATCTTTTCTATCTGTAACACTCCAATGCTTGATGCTTCGTCATCTCACATCGCCTAGGTTTCCTTTTATCCTGAACACACTCACTTTGAACCACTTCCAGATATCTACTAAGTTAAAGAACCTTTCGGTTATAAAAAATGACTAAACAATCTGAAACGTCATGAACCATGTGGAATGACAATGAATATGCAAAACCTTGGCAGGTGGGAGTTTCTTGGCAAATCATCTTACACCTGGCCTCGGGTCCCCACTGCGGCAGGAAAGTATAATTAGCAGCAAGTCAACAACTTCTACATATGTCTGATTCGCTCGGATGAAATAACTATGCCTCTTGTCTCTTCTTCCTCTTCTCTAAAGCATCCACTCGTGCATCAATCTTCTTGAATGACCAGCTCTCAAATCCAGGGGGGTAGACAAATGGCCGGAGATCAAATCTATGATCATCGGGGCTGTAGCTCTCCGCGTGGTAAGCCGGGGTGGCAACAGTCTGCTTGTGGCGGTTGATCTGGTAGAAATGGAAGAACAATTTCACCTTGTGAGCAATCTCGCGGGGGCTAAGTTTGCCATCGCCACCCCACTCGTCCAGAAGACGAAGAAACATTCCATATGGCCCCAGGTGATCCACTTTTCTCAACATTCCGAAACGCGAGAGTTCACTGTAGGTCATTTGCATGTCGACCTCATCACTTTGCACGTAATTCTCCGTAATCGGCTCCAGTTCGGCCGTTGGGACAGCATCCAGGAAGTCCACGAGGATGGGCATTTCAAAGTCTTTGGACGCCCAGCCGATGAACCGTTTAAGGTCCACTTTACTAATCGACCCAATGGGATTGATATCGGCAGAAGAACAGTCGTATTTCGTCAGATCTGCCCCGATATTAGTATCTTCTACTACAGTTGCGCGGGAATACTCACATCCGCGGAGACATTCATCCACGTTGGAACTTCCAAGAACCAAAAGAGAGCCACCTCCGGGGCGGTTCCGGACCTCACATAGCTCTTGGGCGAAGTAATACGCAAGCACCATTCTGGATCGCGCCTGGATATTCTGAAGAGCCAGATTCGACGTGTTCGAGCCTCCGTGAACTGTAGGATATGGTTAGCATGTGAGTATCTTAGTGTGAAGGCGGACCAACCCTTGAATTTCGGCTCAAAGCCTGTGGCTTGGGTGAGGATGTTCTTCGTCGAGTGAAACATATTATCAATGTTGACATCGGTGTGATACGACCCTATCCGCTCAGAAAGGGCCTTCGCCCGATCGCGGGTTTCTTTGCTGCTCTGGTTCTCCATTCCCATGTAGCAAGTACAGAAAATTTGATTACACAGCTCTTCTGCCGTCTCAGGGAGATTCGATGAGAAGGCGGCAATTCGCTTGACATCGGTGATGACCTGTTCATTTCCCTCCTTGATCGCGGAAATGACCAGACGACACATCGAGTACACAATTGTTGCGGTAGCACAGCTGTCAATTCCTCCGGACAGCGGGACAAAGAAACCAGCGGCCTTGGAGCGCCGGAGGTAATCCCAGAGCCAGCAGGCGGGTCCCAGGGCAATCTCTTCTTCCGGAAGGTGATACCGCGCCGGTCGCGCGGCAGTAGGTCGCAGATCAAAGTCAAGATCCAAGTTGTCGTGAGACAGGGAATAGTCCACCTCGATACGCTGGTATTCCGGTGCCGCGACTGCCTGTAGACCACGCGATGGGGCAAATCTGTAGGCCCGTACTTTCTCGAGATCGACTGTCGCCACAACGACTTCAACCTCATTCAACGAGAATTGGCTTGACTGGCCCACGATGTCACCGTTGACGAAGATCATCGCGCAGCCATCATAGTAAAGCCGATCTCCATCGCACCCAAGTTGGTTGGAATACAAGTAGACACCTCCATTCTTGCGTGTGGCTTCCTGGATGAGGGCAATACGTTCATCCAGCTTCCGAAGTGAGTGATGGCTTCCACTACTGTTGGTGAAGATTTCCACTCCATTAAGTCCCCTAGAATTAAAATATCAGCGTTGAACCATATCAGCCATGAAAATCGAGCATACATGTTAATATGAGGGCTGTTGGGTGTGAATAACTCTTCACATGTCTCAGCCGCCAGGCAGGTGTCGATCGTGGAGAGAACAACATCACCAATGGGAACGTGGCGGGTTCCTTGATGTTTCTGAATCAGCGGTGGAAGGTAGTACTGCTCCACATGTCTGGGCCTGTTCCATGGCGTGAAGAAGCGCATTTCACGGAAGTTGCCATCGTTGGCGAGATACAGTTTTGGGCGAAGACACAAGATCTTGCCGTCCAGAAGGATAGCACGTGCATTGTACCTGCAGTTCCGGTGCAGCAGAGGCAATCCAACATCAATGATAATTCCATGAAGTGACTCATCAGTCAAGATAGAGTACAAAGAATCCCACGAGTGCTCGTATACTTCTGTCTCTAAGAAATGGTCCAAGCAGCCTGGTGTACAGGATTAGCACGATATGAGGTTTTGAATGTAATGGTAGGTCAGACTTGCCGTATCCCGGGATTTCAAGCTCAGGACCGACGCGAAGAGTTGCCCCGGCTTCCTTGGCTTTGATGATACTCTGTTTGATACGCCTCAAATTTCCCTCGAAGTCAAGACTCCACTGGTTCAGGGCACATGTGGCCAATGTTACCAGGGGTGCCATTTTGTGAGTGGAAAAGACCCAGAAAATCAGACACGGATACAAGGATTGAGACTATGCCCTCGAGGTGTCTTAACACTGTGATTGATGCACGGCGTACAGAGTGTGATCCATTGGAAAGTGGCATGGATGTGGGGCAGAGCGGAACAACTGACCTCCGCGGGCTACGCGGCCTTCCCGATAAAGGGGATAACAACACTGGTGTCCTCTAGCATTCAATGCTACGGAATTTTTTTGATTTTCCAATCTTGATCATCAATCAAACTCAGACTAAGTCGCTCATCGGGAAGTATATATTTTAGTACCTGCATTGCCTAGACACTAGTGCAGAAGCTAAAAGCGAATTTAACATGTCAATAGGTAGCTTAAAGTCAGAACTAAAGATCACAGATTTCCTTTTCTCGTTACATGACACACATCTGGATGATACTATATTATACTGTGTTACTACTTGGCTGTATCTGCTTCTCTGTGGCCCCTGAGTCCCGGATTGGGCAAAAGTGCTCTTACAATGTAGTTATGTTCCTTTCTTGTTCCGGAAATCAACATCACAACTGGCTGACCACTTTTCATTCTCATTTCTTTTTTACACGATGGTCTTATAACTGACTCCTACAAACATTTCACATCGGCCAACCCTCAAAAGCTCGGCAAGGCGAAATCTCGGGAAATTTCCTGCCGTGAATCGTGGATCAGCGCAGATCTAATCAGTTTCTGGCTCCGCGCCATGAAACTATAGAACCCCACCATGATTTGGTTTGTTCAATTTCAATCTCAAATAAATGTAATAAGCTAGTGGATTCCCCTGAAGAAAATTCCCGATATTCCTCTCCCATCTAAATCTCTAAATTCCCTCGTCATCGACTGAGACACAAAATGGCTACCACCTCACACGCAGTCTTCCCTGCCAGCACCTCTATCCCATCTACATTCAGCGTATACAACAATGGCTTCTATAGCATCCTCGGCTCTACGCCTAAACTAGAGGTCATCCTGGAAAACAATGACTTTCCCTTCGCCCATGAGGCAAGCGTCTACGTCCCAACAACAGACGAACTATTCATGTCCAGCAACATGTACACCGACCCAGTGACGAATGAAACAAGCATCTCGATCTCTAAGGTCAATTTGACCGCAAACCCCGTCACCTCGGAGATCATCAACTCGACTGTGCCTATGCCTAACGGCGGCGTAAACCACAAAGGTGGCATTCTCTGGACCGGACAGGGCACCATGAACACTACTGGTGGTCTATGGCAGATGTCCGCACAGCCACCGTATGAGGCCGAATTTGTCGTGGGAGACTTCTACGGCCGCCAATTTAACTCCCTAAACGACGTCGTTATCGCTAGCGATGGCTCATTCTGGTTCACGGACCCTATCTATGGCTGGCGTCAGGATATCCGGCCGAAGCCCCAGCTACCAGCACAGGTTTACCGGTATGATCCTACAACTCAGGCTGTTCGGGTTGTGGCGGATGGATTCGGTCGACCAAATGGGATTTCTTTCTCGCCTGATGAGAAGACCGTGTATGTCACTGATACTGCTGAAACGGACGGTGATGGATCTAAAGATGCGCTGAAGCCTGCCACTATGTAAGTTGGACTCTTTGATGGGGTCTTTACATTTCCACCTATGAGAAATATGATGAAGCGATTTGGCTAACATTTTCTAGCTATGCTTTCGACTTGTCAACTATCAACGGACAGCCGTTCTTGACTAACCGCCGAGTCTTTGCTATGCCTGGTGATGGTATTCCTGATGGTCTCAAGGTTGATCAGCACGGTAATGTGTAAGCTGGCTGTGGGGATGGTGTCAATGTCTGGTCTCCTGGTGGCGTCTTGTTAGGCAAGATTCTGGTTCAGAGTGGTACTTCCAACTTCTCGTTCGGCAAGAGAGGGCAGATGTATATTCTTAATGAGAATAGGATCTACCGGGCCCAGTTGAACAGCACACTGCGCAGTACTCTCTGGAAAATTTAATCAAGAATGGCTCGCTATGAACCACAGAGAAATTTCCACTTAGGTACAAGAGGTTATAGAGGTGATGATACAACACAATTCCCTGGCCATGCTTTAAGGTTGTCAGATAGGCTGGTGCATCGGAACTTCCAGGGCTGAGGTCCCGATTCAATGTGAAAAGCGGGGTCTCTACGTCCACGGGTCTACCTAGCTAAGTGTAGTTACAACATTTGAACTTACATACAACCATGGATGTAGCACTGGTACATGTTTCAGGACTTCGGGACTACGTGCAGGTCGATAAAGCGGATGCCTACCTAGGTAGCACCTCAGTGCATATAAAGTGATCATGAAACCTTGGAAGCACATATACCTACTATATATATATATACACACATGATTATATGTATATCGGCAGGTCGCATACATATACATGTGGTCGAAATTATTAGCGCTACCTGGGAACATTTTGAACTTACAGTATGTTCCCATCCATGGATTTTTGTTTTTCGTATGCAGTGGGCGACGACGAGCTACGCACCCACTTAGTAATGCCTTGATACCAGCACCACATGGTGGAGTCAGGCTTACTACATAACGACATCAATCCGACTCTGATTATGTATGTATGCGCCATCAAACCTTAACAGCAGCGCCCAGCCTTGGAATAGCATCATACAGACGGAGTATGTACAGATCCAGATCGGGCACCAATCTCCCCAGTACGTGTCAATTTTTAACTAGCATGGTTTCTAACCGGTCGGACATTTTAGTGGTGCCATGATATCGTGTCATTGTGTCATCTTCCGGGTCAGCTGCAGGTGAAGTGTCGAGGGGCGGAGGGGTGCAGGGGTATCAGCCCCAATTTAGAAATACATTTCGAATTGTGGCAGGGGCCGCATTTTGAGGGATGTATGAATCATCCCAATAGGTAGTCTATCTCCTTCAAGGGAAGGTAGGTCATAGGTCTAGGTCATGTGTTCCTACAACTGTGTCTAGTCACTGCGCTCGGTACCTTAAGATGTTAATACAAGCTCAGAAGCAGCGTGACTGGCTTTCCCACGAGATCCGGCGATCGAGTAACTCTGAGTGGACCGTTCAATGTTTATGACGAGGGCCAAGATACTAGAGGCTATGACTGCCGATGGCTGCTTTAATTTCTCGTATATCGGGAGTCGGTGTAGGAGATGGCGCCGCTGGATCTATGTGGGAGAAAGAAACGAGTGGATGTAGTCTACTAAGTTCTCCTGGTCGGGTCTCGGCTTTCGCTTCCTCTTTCTTTTAGGGAAGCAGGGTTCCACTCCCCTGCTGAACCCCTCAAATTTGCGCCCTTTTTTACTGGATTTGGATTTGGATTTGGATTTGTTTTTTCTCCCCCTTTTTCCAAATCATTTGAAGATAAGGAGAGGAAAAAAAACAATGTTGGAATTACAAACCTCGGAATCTTTACACACGGAAAGATAAGCAGCTGCACTACCGAGCAAATCCGGGGAGAAAATCAGGTCCTTGGCGAAAATAGGTCAAGGCACTCAGCTGGGGAATCTGGTGAGCCTCTTCATTGAAGCTTATTGGTGAGGGCAATGCCGGGTCCACATGGGATGTCGATCATTAACACCCCGGAGTCTCGGACTAAGGCAAGCACCAACAACCAAACATGCTGTTGAATAGTCCGAGAAACGATCCCGGTGACAGTTTGGGCGTGATCTTGTGGAGCTTAGATTGGCATAGCAACGGTGTCAAGCAAGTAAAGTGTAACCAACTATGCAGAGAAAGGGGAAAAGGAAAAAATCCCCGATTCAATAGTGCAGCCAAGTGATGATCCCTTACCTACCCGCAGGGGTTGGTGGATCCATGCGCTTGCGCACTTCCTGATTGCGAATCATGCACATCCCTGTGGACGCGAAATCTATGGGAGCAAATAGGGCAAGACGAATTCCTTGCAATCTCATATTGGACACAGTGGAGCCTCCTGCCGGTGGAGTCCGAGTCCTGATGCGAGACATCACATAAGGGATGTACTAGCTAAGCAACTACATTTCTGATCTCTCAAAGCGGGTCTGCTTGCAAGTCTCTGATCAACTGGACTGCTGATTCTTTGGCTGCTATCCCTATTTTGGCGTTGAGCCACGTCGGGACCCCATCTGCTACTGACATGTGCCTTACATTCACAGCACCAATATGCGGCCTGAAGGATGTTGTGATTGGCCTTTGGCCCCAAGACCTTTTTTTTATCAAGGCGAAAAACCCACTAACAAAGACGACATCTGCATGACCCTCCATTACGGACCCCAGAGACGGAGGAATTCAACATAAATTGAGCCACTTCCGCTGTCTTTCGTAGATATCCTTTCTAGAAACAAAGCCCGCCACGATATTTCGGCCCCTTCGACAACCTCCACCCATTCCGACAACCCTCTTGTTTTTTCCGCCATGCTGGGCCTCTTCTCTCTTTTCATTTCGTTGGCTGCAGCTTACCCTGCTCGAGGGCCATGCACGGGTAACTGTTGGGCCCATGATCCTTCAATGATCCAGCGCGAGTCGGATGGCACGTACTTCCGCTTCTCTACAGGCACAGGTGTGAACATTATGTCCTCGCCGGCACTGAAAGGACCTTGGACAGAGTTGGGTGTAGCCTTGCCCGATGGCTCTAACATCGATCTCGACGGCGCGAACAAGACCAATATCTGGGTATGTAAACAAAGAAATAAAAAACGTATTGATTCACTGCTAATCATCCTTTGTTGGAGTGCAGGCCCCCGATGTTCACTATGCCGATAACACCTATTACATGTACTATGTTATCTCCAAGATTGGTACACAGACATCTGAGATCGGCGTGGCTACTTCCACCACTATGGAGCCCGGTTCCTGGACTGATCATGGTGCCATTGGTATCCCCGCAAACTCCGATTACAACCGCATCGACCCCAACTGGATCGAGATCGATGGCAAGCAGTACCTTCAATTCGGTTCCTTCTGGCAAGACATCTACCAGGTTGAGCTCACGAGCGCATTGAAAGTCGGATCTAGCACCCCTTACCAGCTGTCATGGAACGCCTCCCTCAACCACCGTGAGGAGGGATCTTTTCTGTACAAACACAACGACTATTACTATCTTTTCTTCAGCGCCGGTATTGCGGGCTCATACACCGCAACTACTCCCGCAGCGGGCGCCGAATACAGTATTCGTGTGTGCCGCTCTACCTATGGAACGGGTGGATTTGTAAGTTTTGCGCTCCGAACTGAGCTACAAAAACAATGAGGTAGCTCCGCATATTGGAAAAATACGTCATAACTAACGGGATGATCTGCAGGTGGATAAGGACGGCACTGAGTGTACCAAGTCAGGCGGCACGATGCTATTGGCCAGCCACGACCAGGTCTACGGACCCGGTGGAGAGTAAGTGATGAGATGCCAATCTGCACTCCACAAGGCGTAATTTCTGACCAATGGACATCTAGGGGTGTTCTCACGGACAAAGACCTCGGACCTATTCTGTACTACCACTATTATCCCCTCGCTGAGAAGGAGGCCGGTGGCGATGGCAATGCCGGTTATCGCTACGGCTGGAACGAGTTGGGCTTTACGGACGGGTGGCCGGTTGTCAACGCGGCTTAAGCACACCATAATACCTTAACCTAGGTGATCGATAGCCACTCCACTTTGGGTATATAGTGGAGGTGGTATGACCATACAGTCTAATGCTTATACATATGTTGTTTGTTAGCTCGGCTCTCGGCTGAGATCTCAGCTGACTTTTCTTTCTGTTGATGATGGGCTTCCCCATACCTTTGACTTGTGCGCTGGTTTTACTCGATACCCATGTGTGGCCTTCTGGCACCATCGTGCAATTGTGTCTCTCTCGATACTAATAATCTATATCCCTTGATCTTTATTCAAGGGAATGCACATTCAATCATTTTCTATTTTCATGTCATGTAGAAGATTAAGCAAATTAACCGCTAGGCATTGCTACATAGCGAGGACTTGCCCGCGTGACTGCTACTATATAATAACGGATACATCCGTAAACTCCCAGATCATTTAAGATGTTCTCGATTAACTTCTTTCAAGAGTAACACAACTTAATCACGCCTTATGGGCCTGCATGTTCATACAGCATCTACCGTGTACGTCGCAATAGACTGACGTACACACCAGGCACACTCTTCAAAATGTCTGCTGTGTGCGACGATGCTTGAATCATAAAAGTTCGAAGTACGCAAGTATATCTCCACATCGACGATCAGATAGACCGCTGTGAATGATCATCGCCTCGACTGAAGATTGGGAGGTCATCCCCGCGAGAGGATTCCTCCCTTCACCGAAATTCCTCGGCTACTCTAGTATTATTCAATTTTCATCGCATTCTCTTCATCATTATTTTCGGCCGAGACTGATACTTGAAGTTTTGTGAGAATCTACTTTCTCGTCTGGGCGACTGGTGTTTTCAAACAGTAGAGCTATTACGTAGGAGAGCGTCGATCATAAGCTTTGTTATTCCATCAATTTCAAGTCATATGGCGTGCTTATTTCTCTCTAATTGCCACGATGAAGTGAAAATTTAATGTTGAGTGTTCCGATTTCAATTTTTAATTCCTACTCATCTTCCCCCCTCTATCGCCACCCATCCCAATGAGCCAATTTAACACTTGACGGCATTAGCAACAACGGCCATAACAGCTAACAACCCAGGAAATATCCACGTAAGTAGACCTTCTGAACCTTCCAACTTCGTATTTTGAGGAATGCAGGCGATAATTGCTCAAACTTCACACTCAAAATTTTCTTTGAACCCAAGGGCTCTCCATGGTAAATGCTGTGCACCAGTGCCTACTCTGGCTTCCGGACAACGACGGACCGATATACATCCCAGCAGCATAGCAATATATCGGGTACCTGGGCAGATATTCCAGGGGCATTACAACATACATACCAATGTCGTAGAGAAATATTCATCGTCTAAAAGTCATAAAATCGGAAACAGTCTACGTCTATGAAGAGCCGGCTTCTTATATATAAACAACAACAATTATGCTCAAGACATAAACCGATTTTTTCAGAAGCGAAACTGTCGCTGTTCCTACTAAAAAAGCGCACCAGGAAGCCTTTTGGCGATAGTTATAAGCATGCAAATGACAAAGCAAAGAATGACCCATATTTGTCACATAACAAAACGCCACACAGTCCAAATAAACTCATGTTGTACCAGAATCGTAGGCAATAACCACCACTTTAACAATAATGGAGCCGTATTACATATGTACCAGAGCTAGTCCACCTATGCCCGGCGCAGCTGTTGTTTCATCTTCGATATCAAAATTGGACCCATATATGTCGGAGTCCAGGGCACAGGCAGTTGGTCTAGATCGGCTCAAAGACCGATTGTATCATATCAGCCCTTTTCAATCTTACATAAATGCACGCTGTAGGCATTGTCTCCGCGAGAAACGGACCATTCACGTTGTAACCGCCATCAAATAATTGAGCCACTGATGTTTCTTGCGGCAGACGCTACAAAGCCCAGGGTTAGACTAGTATACGGCTAGACTCCAAATCGGAAGCCCAGCCAATGCTTATCTTAGTGAATCCGTGTAGACCACAGGGTCTCTCTAAGATCCTTAGTGCTCATCTGCCGAGGACTACTATGCTATTATGAGAAAGGACAAAGTAATACCTAGGAAACAAAATGACGGAAAACCTTCAATTCGAAGCGTGATTGAGAGTGAGAATGAAGGAAGAAAGCGAAGTAGATCCAATTGGGTAGGAAGCGAGGAGCGTAAAAGGACAGGAAAGAGAAAAGAGATAAGAGAAAAGAGAAAAGAGAAAAGAGAAAAGAGAAAAGAGAAAAGACTCAGGTCCAAAGGCCACTTCACCCATTTACAAGCATTGATGCTCGGATCAAATGTATAATGGTTGAAGCAGTGGGCTTTATCTTTCGGAGAATTAGGCTTGGAATTTCCCCCTTTCTGCGGGGCGTCTTTTCATGGCATTCAGATTTTGCATTTTTACACGCTATTTACGATTCCGTAGCTTCAAATAATTGAATATTCTTATTTTGCAAGTTCAAATTGACAGACTTCTAAATATCATATATGCCTAATTCTTTCTTTTCAAGCTATGGCATATTGGGTTTGTTAAGCTTTGAAGAAAAATCTTCCTTATCGTGTGGGGTCGGATGTGTCCGAACCTTTACCCCCTTTCATTGGAGAAGATCATCTGGTAACTAATCTGCTTTGGAATCATGCAACTGAGAGGAAGCTATCTTTTTGGACCTACATGTACATTTGTATTTGACATTAAGCACATTTGACTGAATAAGCAATAGGGGCTCGTCTTAGTCATTTACCATACCGCCTTGACGTATGAATGTTCGCTTTGATATGATTCTCGATCTCATAATTTTAATGTTCCGAAGCCTGATCGACCTGACTCGTCCACTTGTAAATTCTTCATATGCATGACATTTGAGTATATGACATTCTCCCTAGTTCGTGTCTTCCCTCAAGTGCTAGATGGTTCTAGTGGTTAAGGGGAGCCCCTGGACCACCTAGAGTCCCTTGAATGTGCAAACAACATTACCTCAGCTACAAACAAAAACTGCAAAGAAATCACTACTTATTGATATGAATTAGAAATGAAATCTTTTATCCAATGTTGACGTTTCCGCCCCAATTGCTGCTTTCTGAGTTGTGTTCAACTGTTTGTGGTTGACTCGGACTCGGAGAAAACTTCCCCGGAGCCTCGAGCTGGCCTTTTCTGACACTTTGTGTACTTCCGGGGTTCTCGACCTTCACCTTTCTCTCTCTTTCCACCCACTCCTCCATTCTCTCTCTCCCTAAACTCCATTTCTTTTCTTTGGGGACATTGCCTGCGGGCATTTCTGTACATTTGTTTTTTGAGTGCTTGGTCCATCATATTCCTATCCTGTTCCGCCCCATTCTCCGGGGAATTGCCAGTCAACTCGCTAGGCATCGCAATCACTCCCGAACCTCAATTCGAAAGGTGAGTCCTGCTCCGCACCTGATTTGATCACACACCCACCTCCCTCGCCTGCCTACCTCCGACCCCGAGGTCCCGAGACCCCTGGAATTTGTTTCCGCCGCAATACTGATTTGGTCTAGTTTTGATTGTAGGCTACGTTTGCTCGGCCCTATTGCCTCCATTAATCCCTGGTCCCTATCATCGCTTTCAATTGTGTCTGTTCATAATGGCCGCCGAAGCGTCAACCACCACCAATGGTGCCTCCAAGTCTCTTGCCGCCATGCTGGAGGAGCAACACACTCGTGATGACCACCGTGTCACCGTTGAGGACGTCATCGATGAGGAGGATCTCAAGCACCCGCCGCCATCTCTGTTGAACAGCCAAGCATCCACTCCTCTTCCCCCTGTCTTGAATCCCGCCACCCCAGCAGAGACCGCCACCCCCTCCCCAATCCCCAAGCCTGCGGGCAAGAAGACACCGACATTTGATGTACAGTCGGAGGAACTTTTCCCGGCACTTGGTAGTGGCCCTAAGCCTGCTGCTCCCGCAGCGGCCACATGGGGTGCGAAGAAGCCATCTGCAGCAGCCGCTGTGGCCAATGGCCAGCCCGCTAAGCCAACGGGTAAGTAAACTCTCAAAACATAAACCATAGTCTGGGATATTTTGGTTTATTTAACTATCAATAGACACCCCCCGAGTTATGTCTCTCCCTGGCAAGCACACAGAGCAGCTTCGTCTTGCCCCCTCTCAAATGCTTCCCCGCGGTCAAATGAAGAAGCCCCTCCAAGATATCCTCCGTGACATTTCGCGGAGATCAAAGGCTACTGTTGCTATGCGTAGTGGCCCTGGTGGAGCCTTTGTCTTTGAAGGCAAGGGCTCTGTTGACTCCGTTCGTCAGGCCCTGAAGGAGGTCGCGCAACAGGTTGGATCCAAGGTATGCAGTCATAACTTCCGTCAACGGCCCTTATTTTAACTTTCTGGTCTCTCAGCAATCCGTTCGTGTCCCCATTCCTACCTCCGCACGAGCCCACATCATTGGCCGCCAGGGCGCGGTGGTTCAAGACATTCAGTCACGTACTGGTGCTCGCGTTCAAGTCCCCCGTGCTGATGGCAATGCCACCGCCGTCGAAGATGATGACGATACAATTGACGTCCTGATTGAGGGTGATGCAGTTGCTGCCGAAATGGCACGCCGGGAGATTGAAGCAATTGTCAAGGAGCGAGGCTCGAGCATGAGCTTGCGCTTGAAGACCGTCCCGCCGGAGTTCTTCCCATTCATTGCTGGTGCCCACGATGCGGCACTTCGTGAAATTGAGGAGCGAACAAAGGCACAGATCAACGTTCCTCGTTACGACACTTGGGTTTCGCAGCCCCCTCCCCAGGAGGCCCACCCCGGGCAAGTGCAGTTCGTACCTGTTGCGGACAAGCACATTCTGATTTCTGGAGAGCGTGCCGCAGCTCAGGAAGCTCGTGCAGAGATTGAGCGTGTGGCGGCCGAGTTGCAGCGAAAACTAACTCTCCGCCAATTGGCGATCAACCGTGGCCAGCACCAGTTTATTCTTGGAAATGAGGCCGATGCTTTGCATCGGTTCTATGAGCAGACTGGCTGCGCAATTATCTTGCCCCCTGCGTCAGATGACAGCGAGTTCCTCACTATCACTGGTCCCGTTGACCAGATCGAGGCTGGTATCAACCATGCGATGGATCTTGCGACTAGCATGCAGATGGCAAGCATCGACTTGTCCCGTCAGCACCCTAATGCCCCTGCGGGTCCTCACGCCCATGCTCGTGCTCTGACCCAGTACCTGCAGCGTCGCCAGGTCATCAAGCAGCTTGAGTCTGCTTATGATGCACACATCGCCCTCTCCCCGAGTGTCGAGGGCCCTGTGGCCTGGGAGGTTTACTCCCGGGATGGCAAGAACACTATCCGTGCTCGCTCGGACATCATGAACCTTGTCCAAGCTCACCCTCCGTCTCGTCTTCGCCATGTTCCAGTGGATCCATACTTCCACCCCTACCTGCGCTCCCGCAGCGCGAGCAAGCTCCAGGGTGACTATGGCGTTCATTTGCTCGTGCCCGAAGACATCAACAGCCCCGAGGTTGTGCTTGTCTACGAGGGCCCCAACTCCTCTGCCGCAAACTTCGAGGTCCCACGACAGCGTCCTGCCCCGGCGGAGATTGCTGCATTTGAGAAGTCCTTGTTAGAAGCCCAATCTTTCTTGTTGAGCACTCTTGGAAACCAGAGTGATATTGTTGGCAAGTCCGTTTCTGTTCCTGCCAAGTATCAGGAGAAGATCCGCAAGTTCGTCATTCGCGAACAGGATGCCAAGGGTGAGGACAGCATCCCTGTCCGCGCTATTGTTGGTGAGCCTAAGGGATCCAAGTGTGAAATTTCGCTGCGTGGACCCTCAGAACTAGTCGCGGAGCTCGCTGCCAAGCTCGAGGCGTTCGTTGTGGAGCAGGAGCAGGATGACCTGGAGCGTGGTTACACCAACACCTTCGACTTCCCTCAGAAGTTTGCCAACTTCCTGATCGGCAAGCGCGGCGAAAACATCAACAAGCTGCGCGAGGAATTTGATGTTGACATCAAGGTCGAGAATGGCAAGGTTGAGGTCAAGGGCCCCAAGGCCAAGGCGGATGCTACCCGTTTGCGCATTATCAACATGGGCAAGAAGTGGGAAGATGAGACCACCCACATTCTTAAGATTCCTGCCCAGTACCACCGTGAGCTTATCGGACAGCGGGGTAACCAGGTGAACCGTCTGCAGGATCGCTACTCAGTTCGTGTTCAGTTTCCTCGGGCAGCTGCCTCTGCCGATGAGGTCGCCGAGACAGGTAGCGATGCTGGTGTAGCCCGCAGCCGCCCTCAGCAAGCCGCTGACGAGGTCTTTGTGAAGGGCCCCAGCAAGGGTGCTGATTCTGCTCGCGATGAGATTCTCAGTCTGTTGCAGTGGGTCGTTGATCACTCGCACAATGCCACCATCTCGGTCGCCCAGAGTCAGGTTGCTTCGCTGATTGGTCAACGTGGTCGTGAGATGGATAAGGTCCGAGCAGACACTGGAGCTCAGATTGACGTACCTGCCGCAAATGATGAACCGGATGCATCAGGCCGTGTCCAGATTCGCATCAAGGGAACTAAACAGCAGGTGGCCGAGGCCAAGAAAATCTTGCAGCAGCGGGCCACCGAGTTCGATGCTACTGTCACCAAGTCCATTGAGGTTGAGAAAAAGTACCACAAGGCTCTTATTGGCGGTGGTGGTATGTTTCCCTTGCCATTCGACTCATTTTGTGTATTTTACTAATGTCTTGTAGGTGCCAACATTCGCAAGATTGTTGTCGACGCTGGTGGTCCTAGTGATGGCAGTGCCGCTCGTATGGTTCGCTTCCCCAAGCCTGACAGCACCGAGTCCACCATTCGTCTTGAGGGTAATGGAAAGATCGTCGACAATATCATTGCAGCCATTGAGGAGTTTGTCAAGGAGCGTGCGGATCAGGTCTCTGAGACTATTGATGTTCCCACTGCCCAGCATCGCCTACTCATCGGTCGCGGAGGTGATACCCGCCGCGGTATTGAGTCGAAGTTCAACGTCACCCTGGACATTCCCAAGCAAGGCTCTGGCCGCACCGATGTTAAGCTTAAGGGCGCCAGTGCTGCGGTCGCTGAGGCGAAGGAGCACATTCAGGGCATGATGAAAGACCAACATGCTGAGACTGTTTTCGTCCCTACTCACCTCCACCACGCTGTTGCTGACAATGGTGCTTTCTTCCGCCGCCTTCGCAGTGATCACCACGTCACTGTTGACCATGCCGGCAAGTCTGTGCCCAACCACCCTGCTTCCGAGGAGACCCGCAGCTCTACCAATGGCACATCTCTACCCCTGATCACCGATGACCCTAGTGAGGCTACAGACGCCCACTCTTGGAAGGTTATTGACAACAGCCTCACTGCTGATGCTGATACCACTCCCTTCCCGTGGGTCCTTAGTGGCTCCCCAGAGAACGTCGCAAAGGCACGCGCCGCCATCGAAAAGGCCGTGAGCGCTGCTAGCCAACAGTCCGCTACTGGCTACCTGATTCTGCCTGACCCCAAGACCTACCGTTTTGTCGTTGGACAGGGCGGTAGCCAGATCAATGCGATCCGGAAGAAGACTGGCTGCCGTATCAACGTGCCTAAGGACCAGGCTCGTGGCGAGGCCATTGAGGTCCGCGGCAGCTTGGCTGGCCTGGAAGAAGCTAAGGACATGATTTTGGAGGCTGTGCAGAATGGCCTGAATGGTTCTGCCTCCGTCCGGTCATGATCTTCAGGTCCGAATTCTTTGGATATTCTCGCTCAAGGCATAAACGACAGAACATATCGAGTTCGAGCATATAAACCATAATATCCTCCAGCGTGGGAGCAGGGCATTCTTGCGTTTATTTTTGGTTTATTTCCCACCCTCTACTTACCGTATTTTCTTGTATTTCCTTTTATTTCAAAAGAATGATTCTCTTCTTTCTTCATGCAGCCTAAGATAGCCAGCCAAGTGTTGGCTGAAACCCTCGATCAGTTACAACAAAATTGAACGCATTGATCCCTTAACGTATTTCACAGGCGGGTCGCGCACCCCCGAGTACCATAGTATATGTGATATTAAGTACCCTGATATCTCAACAACCATACTCTTAATCAGTTCTAGTATTCACCGATAGATATTGATAAGGACTTTTAGACGCATATGTCCATTTCCAAAAATCGAATACTGTACATATTCATCAATTAGTATCACAACACCTAAAATCACGCCTTGAACTGGAACAATATGTATATTGCAGTGATCAGATCATTAAAATTCTCGAACTGCCTAAAGTGCCTCATTACATTCAAAGAACTATGCTTGCAGGGAAAGTTCCTATAGTGTACTATTTCTAAGATAATAAGTTGTAATATTTCGCATTTACTATGGTGTTATGGGGTGCGCGACCCGCTTGTGTGCGCGACCCGCCTGTGAAATATTTTAATAGATTAAACGTATGTTAACGAGAGAACAGTATTGGTAAATGTATACCCGATCCCGTCTAGCCCGACCAGGGACATGGCCATACCTCGAATGTATCATGTTTCTATAGCCTAACCAAATAGCTTATAGACTTTCTACCAAGGCATCTATATCCCCTATTGAGCTACTAAATAGTGTCGAACATACGTATAAGTGAAGGCCATATTATATCTTATTCGAGCCAGACCTAGAGTGAGTTCAAAATCGTTAATCAAATTGAGGACCTTAACAATAACGCCACAAACATGATGTACCCCGTGTGGCTTATTTGGTTCTTTGACCTGCGATCATCCTTTCCTCGAACAGCCACCACCATCATCACACACGTAAACAATGACATCATGGGTCATGGAGTGTCAGGTATCAGCATATGATTATATATTAGAATCCGCAGCAGTCTGCTCCTTCCACATGTCAAATAAGCCTACACTATTCGAATCGATCCTGAAATCATCCGACTTGAATTCAAATCCACTCAAATCTACCTATTCATAATCAAATCCATCAAAATGCCTCTAAACAACTCCCAAGACAACGGCGTAACAGGCGCCGCCAAATTCACTACTTCGACTGTTGGAAACATCGTCGGTGGACTGAGTCGCACAGTGGGCGGCGTCACTGGTGCCGCAACGCGCGGAATCGGTGATACTTTCACCAGCGCTACGGGAAGCACGGGCAAGCCCGTTGGCGATGCACTGGGAAGTGTAGGAACAGGAGTTGAGGACGGCGCGAAGAGAGTTGCAAAGGGAGTTGAAGATGCTGGGCAGTGGAGATAACTTTGGAATTGAATGTGATTAACGAGCTGTATTGTTTGTCTCCGCTGTACGTCTAATCTTTCTATCGATCTATTGAATCTATATGTAAATATCTACCTTCCCAACATTCGAATGATTGAACGTTTGAACCATATACCCAAAAATTAATAAAAACGCACCAAGCAACAGAAATCCAGTCATATATTCACGAGAAATGCCCTCCGATCCACCTGCAACCCCAAAGCCATAAATGCGCCAAAGCTTCCACAGGTCATGAATACCGGCCCCCAAAATGCAGGAACAAATTTTCCCACGAGAAGATACCGCCTCATAGACCAGTACCGAAAGAATCCATAACCCAAACACCACACCCCCAGTACCTGACAAAGTCTCGCTGACGAAACAAGAGAATGACCGGACATATGCCCTTGAGCAGGAATTGCAGAGCGAGCGTCCGGACCCTGATTTGGAATTTGAGTGGAAACCTGGCTCTGATTCTTCTGATTCACAGCCATCTCTTCCAGCTGCGCGGCAATGGGCGGCGCATGAGGCCCAAGGCCGAACTTCGAGCAAAGCACCCGGTCAATAGCATCTAGTCGGTCTAAGGCCAGTGCCATGGCTGCGAAGCCGAGGCCAGCGCGCGTCCATGAAAGGAAGGTGCGCTCGTTAGCATGATGGTCGCGCTGCTGGGAGCCTGTGTTTGCGACTCGCGCGGGGATGAAACGGCGGAGGATAGAGGCTACCATCCCCGCTTGATGAGAATTTAGGCTTTTTGGAATGAGTTTATGGGAGGGTTTGATATGGATTTTACAGGAGATCGAGTACTCCGTGGGGATCGGAGCATTTCGGGGATCTTTCACGTGGAGAAAATTGCATTTTGGGATTTGTTGATGCCCGTATCTAATCGTTCTTGATTTGACTACAGTATCTAGAGGTCTTATAGTTGTTTGTAATGTGATGAACAATTCTTTTTCTGTCGTCATTCTCCATTTTACCTCTATAGACTGGTGTAAGCGATCAGCAGCCTCGGCTGTAACGTTTCAGCGCTTAAATGGTTAGTTTCCTGCGCTCTGATTGGTCAAGTCAAAACAGGCTTCTATAAGTCCCCGGGCATGATCTGGATATTCTACAAGAGGAATCTGATCTGAAATTGATGAAATTACCGCTTCCAATATAGGTTTGGTATGCCGTTCTAGTACCTTTCGACGAGCTGATGAACCCCCCGCCCCCAACAGTCCTTCCAATTATCACCTTTTTATTCTTTTTATGTATACTCACGTGACGTATAATTATCTGAAAGGAAGGATAATAAAATATACGCTGTGAAAGGAAAATTACGCGATAATACCAATTTTTACTCCGTGGAACTCCGACGGATCAAACGACTCGCAATGTCATCTTGGCAGGGTGGGAACTTTCGTGGATCCGGATCCCGGAGAAAGGCAATCAATTTTTTCCGACAAGGTGGTCCTGAAGCTAGTCCTAATAGTGGGAGTGATCTTCAATCGGAGAGCTTTGACACATTCATTGGCACCTTAACTAACTAAATAAGGTAAGAGGGTTAATCAGCAGATCGGTATAATTTTCATTTTATGTAGCGTTGTCTTGTGTAAAGCGGGCCTGAGTGGATGATATTCGGGGGGTTGGTGGAGTAGGCGGAGAGTTTCATGTGTTCCAGATTCCAAGTTTTTTAAGCGGTAGTAGTCTGCTCCAATCTAGTAGGTACATCCAATATCAATGGTAAAGCGCTGGTGTTGCCTTTCAAGGTTGATAACACTGGCATCTAGAAAGCTTCTAGCTAAGAAACAATGAGACAAGTTTTTTTTTTTTTTTTTAGGAACCAAGCTGGTTATCGGTATTAAAGCAAAGGGTCATTGTCTAAGCGAAGGCTCTGCCAAATAGTGTGACCATTGATTCCAAGGTTGTTCGCAGAGTGCCGTCGCTAAGTATTATTAGTTGACTAAGAGAGAGACGAGCCAGCGTAAAAAGTCCGTCCGTCAGTCCGTCCGTCCATTCGTCCGTTCGGCAAGCGAGGCCAAGTGGATCCATTTTGTTTCGATTCAACTTTACGGAGTAATGTCTATTGACGATAATGTATTATGATTGAACTTCTTTCTCCCCGCTAAATACTTCCACCTCTTTAACATTAAATCCCAGAGGCAAACTTACTAGCGGCGCTCTCTTATAAGTCTCCATGTTGGTGAAGTCTTTCATTTGATAAAAAAATGCCATTCTGAAATTCTTATGGTGACTGCAATAGCAGAAAAAATCAACATGCTCATCGCAATCGTGAAATTGGCTAAACTTCAACCCACGAGCCGCATTAGACTGTCCATATTGAAGGGCTTCCCTATGCCTGTCGGGTCGTGGATGACTGCTGAATTCAAGTTGTTCCGATGCCGAGAGAATTTGGGGAGAAAAACGTGAATCAAACCCCTATATCTTCCAGGGATGGCATCTGAGTTCACAGTCCCGTTATGAAAACGTGGGAAATGGGTCCAACCATCGATCGAGTTGGTGAACTATTATTTAATAAAGTTTCGGTGCTCCCCGAAACAGAAAAGTGCATTGAACTAGAGATCTAGGGTCTCCGCTTAGCGCTTGCAATTATGGATCCTTGCTCGATCAAATTGCCTGCTGAGATGGATTTTCTTCAGCCACATAGCTGAAAACAGAAAGTCGCTCCGTCCCGTCAAAGCGGAGTAGTATGTATGAACAGGCCAGGAACCAGTGGACCACGGTGACCAAGTACTCCGTACCCACAGTAAAAGTCAAAGCGTGAAAACTGTTCGAGACCCATCAGATTGGGATATGGTGTGCCCCACAAATCTCCCTTGTAGATCTAGATCGTGCAGCCTTATACGGAAGGATGTTTCACCCATTTCCCTAGGATATTATTGACCAGTAAAGAAGAATGCAAGTTACTACAGGAATGCAAGATCAACGGCAATTTATCCACAAGGAAGTAACGTACATATACGTGAATCGCTCTGGTCATGGAGACTGGGGTGAAGTGGGTAATTTTGAATCATTTACCATTCTAGAAGTTAGTGGAGATACTAGCTCATGATTCAGCCACCTGCTCCATGACCCACGTATATCCGACAAGTGGATGAAGCAGTAACCCTGGAAAGAGTGGAAAGTATTCTTGTGCAGTTGTTTGTATGCATGTTGTTTCTGTATTAATGCTGTTATTTACTCAGAACACAGCAACTGTGAAAGCTACTATTAGATGGTTGACGTGTCACTCAAATGGGATTCCATATAGATCACTGAGCCTCGTCTCGAGGTGAAGACAGTATAAGGTGGACAGCTGGGCATCTCTCTTGAGCCGCCTCTACCCACTAGATAAAATTCAAGGACCACGATTGCCGGTGTCAATGAACTTCTGCATGACTAGTAGCTCCACAACGGTTTGTATGATCTCATGGTATGTTTCATGTTTAAAAGTACGGAGTAAATAAGAAAATTAACGCGCCGTCGTTTCAGGCAGCCAGTACAGTGAGGAGTACTCGGGTACTTCGGGTTTTCCTGACCCGCTAACACGGCAATTCATACTAATCCACCTCGTACACAGTACGAGTGGCGCCTATGATAGAAAAGGATTTGTGCCATAGGCGAATAAATCTCTGCTTGTGCCTATGTTGAATAATCCAATTTGTTTGTCGCTCTCTTTATTTTTCTTCAAATTCCCATTCGCTTCATTTGCAAAACACTCTTTTACTCAGACCAGAAATGGATGATCACTCACTCAACTCTGGCTCACTCCAACCTGCCAGAGCTGGGTTTGAGAGATCAGCGCATGAGCCCACCGACACGCACCCACGAGAAACACCGCGAAGAGCCAGACCACCTCCGTTGAGAGCTTTATATCATCAGACTCAACAGTCTCTTCCACGTTTGGATGCACCAAACCAGCCCATCGGCCAACATCCAAGATTTTTGATTGCACACGCTTCTCAAAGGAGCGGGAATGGTTCCGAGACCTTGCCTCGACAAACAACACATGTGAGAGCCTTCTCGCAGCCGCAATCCCCGACATATTGTGCAAGTCCAACCGGCGCATTGACCCCTCGCATTTCAATCACAACCGATGATCTATTTGGGGAAACTCCCCTCTCATCACCAAGCCATATTCCTGACATTCCACCATTTCCGCCATCATTTCAGAATCCCCCGCTGCCCCAGCATGATCACTATCTACGATCTGCCGATCTTATTGCACCTCTCAGCACTCACCGCAGTCTGAAGCCTCACAGCCCCGCCGTCTCAGAGACTATCCCCAACAATCGTTATACTATGGGATCTATCGCTTCGAGCCAGGCTATCCCCAGCAATCGTTATACTTTAGGATCTATTGCTTCGAGCCAGGCTATCCCCAACAATCGTCAGACTTTAGGATCTATTGCTTCGAGCCAGGCTATTCCCAACAATCGTCAGACTCTAGGATCTATCGCCTCGAGCCAGGCTATCCCCAATAATCGTCAGACTCTAGGATCTCTCGCTTCGAGCCAGGCTATCCCCTCCAGCTGGGAATTTGAACCAGCAGAATCCGGCATCTTCGGAGCCAATTTGGATGCCGAATGGGAAGGAAACCAATATGCCCTGCAAAATGACAGAACATTTAGAAGAAGCACTATTTTTGGGAAGAAAAACAACCCAGCGATGCGCACGAATTCCAAGTCCAATCTCATCTCTTCAGAATCAAGTCCAACCATAATACCACCGCCACTCGCCATTTTGAGATCAAACCAGCACTCAAGAGATTCCATTGACTTTTATTCAAAAAGTCAATCTCGGAGGGGTTCTGCTTCCACCACAGGGAGCGAGTCTGTCAAGAGTATAGATCCCGAAAAATCGCATATCGTGCACCAATTTTCCCACCACAATGAGCAGCTGGATTTGGAATGTTTGGAAAAAGAGCCAGAGGCGCTGCCCCAATCTGTGCCGACTAGTAGCCTCAAAAAATTCAATTGCAGCAAGCCTCTTTCTCCGGATATAGGGGCCATCCGCGATACAGAGCCTCGTATCAGTCACGCGAGCTTGAGTAGTCTGATACGACGTGCTGTTAAAATGGCTACGAGCCCTAGGATGGCTTCGATCCCAGATGAAAGCCGAGCTAACAGCCGAGCTGATCTTCTCGGTAAGTGCAGCAGCTTCCTTTTTCTTTTTCTGCCATAACATGAAGTCTGATAGCTTGTGACAGGAAATCACTGCAACGACTCTGTGTCCGAGATCATTGATTCGTTCCCTACACCTGGTTTATCAACTCAAAATGAAAATAAACACTGGACTGCTTTATTCGGACGCTCCAATCTACGCTTTGTCGAAAATATCAATACCGAAGAGAAGACACCACATGCCACTTCCCCTACGACTCACTACCGCAGCTTGCGACGTTGCTGTGGCCTTTCCCCGACCATGTTTACGATTCTATGCATCGTGATCGTTCTCGTCATTCTTTCTGCCATTCTCCTTCCTGTTCTTCTTATTCATCATTCAAAGGCCCTGTCGTCTTCTTGTGCCAAAACCACGCCCTGCTATAACGGAGGAGTCAGCGTGTCAATCGGTAGCAGCTGCTCCTGTGTCTGTGGCAACGGATTCACAGGCTCGAACTGTACCACCAACGGAGACAGCAATTGCATTACATCCGACGTCACCTCAAATAACAACGCGACTATGGGTTCCTCACTCCAGACCCTGTTCGCGGATTCAGCAACAAAATTCAGCATCAACCTTGAACCTGATACCATTCTGGCTTTGTTCAGCTCAAACAACGCATCTTGTACAACGGAGAATGCGCTCGTTTCTTTCAGCGGGGTTCCAACTAGTAGTGGCACCGGGGATACCTTCACTACTCGATCCGCAGCCACCAAGAATGGAATTCTATACGATGACTCAAACGCTAGCAAGACCGCAGCCAAAGCTTCCAGGGAGAATGATACAATCGTTCCATCTAAGGTACTAGAATTCTCAAAGGTCGCTGTGCTCTATATTCTTGAACAGACAGGCTCGTTCACCAATGCCGACTATACGAGGCGAGCCATTTTTTCATATATGGTTCACGATTACAACAGCACAGTACACAACTCGATGCAGGTTCTGGGAAATTATGAACTGGACTTTGAAAACGAATCCATCACTTTACCCAATGGGACTATGATAGGAGGATAATTTGAGTCTGGTTTTGGTGCTGCAAACTGTCTGCTAGAACATGAGTTCAAGTTTTTGAACCCTGGTGAACAAATCTTCTCTGTGATCATATTCAAAAAACGATTTTATAGATAATCATTCAATGTATAATATTTTGCAACAACATATCAGACGCTTTGGTAATATGAAAAGTGCAAGTGTGGTATCTGGCAATTCTATATAATGTTCAAACAAGACGAAAGCAGGTCAATTCACAAAACTCTTCTTTTCGGCATTTTCTTCACGAACCCCTAAATAACTCTTGTACACCCTAAGCCATATGCAGAAGCATGTCCATGGCTCCGAATTCAGTGCTTCCCTTCAATATCAAATTTTCAAGTGTTCGGTTTCGCTACGCAGTTTTACATCTATGTATACCATACGAGTACAAGTACGTTCGATATTTAAATTCGCCCTCTTTTCATGTTATTGAGGATTTTTAACCACTCTTCACAGGATAATGTGGATCTCCCAGGCTAGAAGGTTTTGTGTTTGCACTCAATATTTGGTTTTATAGGAACAGAGTAGCTCAAAAGGAGGTATAGAAGTGATATGATCTTTATGAGTTTGGTACCACGAAAGTGCCAGAAGGAAGACAACTTAGAATAAGTATGGCGCTAGACTAAAAACAGCAAGAGTAACAGTATGCGGTATAGTATCACACATGTGCAGGTCCACCGTTTACAAGATAAACCTTCCCAAGCTGACTGTGTTTATTCGTACCTTAGCTTCGGCATGCCCGCCTTACGGGTGCTACTCTCCGCCAGGCTGCCGTGCATCCATCGGCGTTTCTTGCCATCCTTAATGGCCATGCACCAAGGTGGAGTATATTGACTGACGAATCGGGAATTTCTAAGTTAATTTACGCTAAGACCTCTTCATCTGATACTATTTCTAGCTAAGTTCATAAAGGCACATGTGATCAATTATCTTGTCCCTAATATTTGCCATCCGTCTTTACATGGATTCTTTGCCCAGGAACAGAACAACCTTTGGTGACAGCTATTCCAATGGCGCTCCCTTCTTTCACCCGCGTCAACAAAATTGTGTCCATTCAGGATCCTGCAAGTGATGTGTCACCTGCAGCCGACGGGCTAAGGTCCAGCAAAGTTCTTCCTGGTGCCTCGCCACAGACAATATTGTTCCTCTCCTGGGGCGATGCGAAGTTTCGCTACATCGAAAAGTACACCACCCTATACAGGGAACTCTACCCTGAAGCCAGGATCATTCTCGTCGAAGCCGGCGTAGCAGATTTTTTCTGGCGGCCAGAGCACACCCAGCGCAATTTAGTGGAGCCAGTGGTGAAGATGTTAAGTGAATTGGCCGATGATACCCTCCTTGTCCATTTGATGTCAAACGCCGGGTCAAAGCGATGGGCCACAATCAACAAACTGTACTTTGAATCAACTGGGCGTACTCTGTCTAGCTCCGCGACCATTCTAGACAGCGCACCCGGGCGCACTCATTTTGAGCAGACGTGGGCTTCGGTGCTACCAGCCTTGCCCCGTGCATTTCTACCGAGGATTCTTCTGGGCTTTATTTTCGGCACTGCTTTGTGCGTATTGCATCTTGGAAAGCTTATTCTCCCTGGACCAGATGTATATGAGTCAGTGAGAGCTGAGATGAACGACATTGCCGCCACAGTTAAAGGGACCAGATGCTATATCTATTCTGAAAATGATAAAATAATTGGATGGGAAGACGTGGAGGAGCACGCTAAGGATGCCCAGCGGAAGGGCTGGTCAGTGGAGCAAGTGAAGTTCCAGGGGAGCACACACGTTGGGCATCTGAAGCAAGACCCAGAAATGTACCGACAAGCGATTATGAGGACATGGTTTAGAAGTTCGAAATTGTGAATGAGATTGTGCTTGGGTAAGATCTGTTTTGGTCAGGTTCATTCACCCTGAGACTCCATCCTTCTATTCATCAATTTGCAAATATATTCTGATCCGTAAATCGATCAATATCATCTATTGTCGTACTCATTTCACCTCACGGTAGACCCATCCATATTGGCTGATCGCCAAATACAATCTGCTGGCAAAGTTTGAGTTCTTGTTCGACGCTCAATCCGCTCACCAAGAGAGTAGGCCGTATCCAACGGCGAGCTACTTCCATTGCTATAGAGTTACCGTCACGCGCCGCATCTGCAAGAAGCAAGATGCCACAGGTCAACTTACAAATCCGGTCCATGATCTCGCGCCCATTCATGGTGAGATATTCTAGCGTGTTCGATGATATGGCCTTTTGTAATTCAGACCACTGCTCGGATAGGATCGCCGTCTCAGGCGCCATAAATTCTTTCTTGGGCAATGACGACTTGACCCACCGACCGAAGGCCGCCATAACGTATGATCCTATCTTGCCCTTCAGAACCTTGACAACATCTGTCGCAAGAACGTCCGTGGTGCCTTCGCCAATCAACGTTGAAGCGGTATCTCGCCACAGACGCGCGACGTTGAATTCCATCTCATCATTTTCTAGATAGCCAACGCCGCCAAGGGACTCCATACCGACTTGCGCCATCCCACAAGAATCCATAGCAGCAGATGCCTTTGCGACGGAGCCGAGTAGTCGCAGCAGACACGAGGCGTCCTGTGAGCTCTTGGGCACGAGATCGACTGGTGAACTAGCTTGTTGCTGCTCGTGCTTGGCTAGTAGCGCAACGACGAAAAAGGACAGCGCCATCTGCGCACGGTAAGTGACATGGGCCTTCGCGAGCGATCTCATGTGAAGCGGCACGCTACTCAGCTGAGTACCGCGGGCAACCTTACGGACCCTTGAGAAGGCACGAGCAGCTGAGAGAGACCTCCCCGCGTACCCAAGTGCGCTCACGGCCAGATAGATACGCGTGATATTGAGCACAACACCGATTTCGGTAATACCCTTGCCCTCCGTGCCGACCAACCACCCGCGCATGCCCTTCAGCTCGAGTTCAGAGGTAGGCAGTGGATGCGTGCCCACTTTCTTTTTGATGCGCCGGATACGCACGCCGTTAAGCTCGGTCCCGTTGACCCCGTTCACAGTGACAGTGCGACGCATCGGGACGTAGAAGGTGCTCAGGCCATTGGGCGTTCGCGCGACAGCGATTGCCATGGACGCTTCAGTGCCCGTGGAGAACCACTTCAGGCCGTTCAATACCCATGGTCCAAGGGGAAAACCGTCTGCGTCCCTCGAGTCGTCGTCCTTGCTGAGGGGGGAGTAGGTGGCTGTAGTCTCGGTCGGCGTTAGGTCGCTACCGCCGCCGCGCTCTGTCATCCATAGCCCGGAAGTCCATCCTTTTTTATCATCGGTGGAGGTGAGCCGGTCATGTGCGTGCTGAAATAATTGTCGGGTTGGTTTGTCGATCTTAGAGCCGCGCAAGTGTGTCGACAGGAGAGCAGCAACGCCATCCGACAGGATCAGGTGGAAAATGGATGTCGCAGAAGACGGGGCGAATAAGTGGCCTTTCAGCATCTGTATCATTCTGGCGTTGCCTTCATACTCTTCCGTAAGGGAGGGCAAGGCAGCCAGTCTTTGCTCGTACGTTAGTCCTTTTGTGCAAGGTGCAATCTTAGGTACTCTCAGCTACTTACCGCTCTGATATTCCGAACCGCCATAGATACTTCCACCCTTGACTCGTGACAAGATCATCTTTCTTCTCTCCCCAGCTATCCCAGTGTTGGATATGTGGAGGATGACGCTCAGCCTCTGCAACCCAGTCCATTACCTGCTTAGAGACCGCAGCATCGGCGAATACAGAAAGCTCGCCCTCGGCACGCTCCTTGATCTCCAGCGGCAGATACAAGTCTAGAATTCTAGCAAAGGCTGCATCATCTTGGTGCAGGCTCTCTAGCTTCGGTGTTGATCGAGGAATGCTTTGCAGTGTCTCAAGCAAACCATGTTCTGTGTGGCTGTTCTCAGTCACCTCAACCGTGGTGACTTGTGGTGTCCTGGACTGCTTAGACAGATCTAGCCAGGCAGGAGTCTGGACTCTTTGAATGAATGACAGCATGCTATGTCAACAAAACAGACTAAATAGAGGTGGAAAGGAGGAAGGCCGTTCACACTGGCAGACTGGGATAGTTTATTTAAGACGAACTCGTACTGTCTATTTAAAGCCCGCTATGATATCGGCTCTATATTCCATCACAGCTGAACCACCACCACTGCCAGGTTTTTCATTGCTAATGCAGTCAACCAGATCGATCTTTGGCCTACTAGGCACCCGTATCGCAACTATTTATTGCACCACAGTAGCGAGAGCCAATAGCCCTTGCTTACAGAAGTTCAAAAGTAAAATCATACCGCAGCTAGCCAAGAGACTAGTACGTTTACAGCGTGATCCATTACAAGCAAGAAATAATTTGGCGAAAGAAACTTTCAACGGTGTAAGATGACATCTTGTCCAAGTGAAACTTGCTATTCCGTTTAAACAAACTCGACGGAGTACGAAGTACTAAATATGCGGTGCAAAGTAATGCTTGAAGTTCTGTTTCATGGAAACAGATATTTCGATTCCTAGAATCTTTACTACGGGGCAAAGAAGGAACCCTGGCCCAGCCCACATGCAGGTCGTAGTGGTCGCAACGGCGCACCTGCAGTAAAGATGTATTAGGTCAGCATGGGGAGGGGAAGACCACGTCAGCGCTAACGTTCAGGCAGGTGCCAGATTTTCAGGTGTGGAATAGTGATGTTCAGGGCATTCGAGCCGAGGGGACTGAATGGGCTGAAGATTAGGAGTAGACCGTCTCTTTGCAGCCCACGATACTAGGGCCTTTTAGTACTTTGCGCCGAGGCTTTCGCTACGATGTACACAAAGGCCCACTCGAAGAAGTGAGGACCAATTAAAAGCTATGAAAAGTTCCCACCTACCCAGCCAATCACAAGATACAAGAAACGCAGGCGAAAGAGTGAATAATACCCCAGGATCTATTAAAATTTGGAGCTGTGAATCGTCCGTTGATCTCATACATAGAATAGTTGTACAAAAAGCAAGGCCTGTTGTTGCAATTTGTGTATATCACATAGACTCGGACGAGATAACCATCACTCGGGCGAGAAAGACCCTACTCGGGCGAGAGAGGATTGCATCATTTGAATTGTATACGTATTACCACCACTCGGTACTGGCTACTATACAGTATAGACTGGGATGCTTGTCGTACAAAGTAGGGTTAAAGAATAACATTATATAGATGTTTGGGTCGAGGGCATACAATGTAGCCATCAATTTGTCTTTACCATTCCAATCCATCCAACTTTAATGGCAAATGAAGCATCCTATGCCCCGACTTCAAAGGTTTAGGAAGCTGACCTGCTCGAATATTCACCTGCAAAGACTGATGAAGTAACCTAGGCGCATTCAACTTAGCGTCGCGTTCCCTTCTTAATGACACGAACTCCTTCTCAGAAACGACATCCCCAACATGCTTGTTTTGCTTTCTGTGGTCGGCTACACTCATCCACGGAATGGGAGAATCTCGTCCCTCTGGTGGGTAATCATGGCCTGGCCAGATCTTGACATGGCCGTCTAGAGATAGCAGCTTGCGACTTGATTGAAAGAGGTCTTTGGCGTCGCCGCCTGGGAAGTCGCAGCGTGCTGTCCCGATATCGACATGAAATAGAGAGTCGCCGCAGAATACATTATCTTGGGTTACCATGTTAGTTGCATGTGAATGAGAGTGATGGTGAATTATCATACCTCCGATCTGATATCCCAGATGATCTGGTGTATGGCCAGGAAGATGGATGGCTTTGGCAGTTAATTCGCCAATTTGAAAGGATTCATCATCTTCAAACAATTTATCAAAGACGGCCTCGTACTCGCCACTCTGGATTCCATAGCGTTGACCGAATAGCCGTTGTACCTGTTCAATGCGTTTGCCAATACCAATGGGCGGCTTGAACCCCTGTGTCTGGAAGAGTTGTTTTTGCAGATATGATGCGGCAGTCAAGTGATCCGCATGTGCGTGGGTTTCTAGGATAATTTCTACTCGGTAGCCTTTTTCTTGGACTAAAGAGAGTAAGGCATCGGCGGAGTCTGTAGTGATGGCCTGATTGACGGGGTTGTAGTCCAAAACAGGGTCAACAATAGCTGCAGATCTCGTTAATGGATCTGAGATTATGTATTGCCAAGTCCCTGTCACAGTTTCGAATATGTGGTGGATAGTAGGCTCCTTGGTAGCAGCGGTGCTGTAATTTGTTTGACCTGGCAAGCCCTGGAAGGTATATTTAGGTTGGCGTAAGGATTTGAAATATGGAGGTGATGGATATTGCAAGTCTCTTGAGAATCCCGTGGAATATGGAGCCTTCTTGCTTAGGTTCGGGGCATTTGGGCTCTTCTGGCGATGATAAGGCAAGAAAGGGATAATAGCCGGCCTCCAATGTCGCGCCGTTGATAGGCAGTCATAGGCGGATTGACATTGAAGCGATCTCATGATGTTGTTTATTCCTACCAAACACGCGAGAAAGTAATTTTTGTTGAAGTAGAGGTATCTGGTGTGTTTTAAGGATGCTCGGGCTCTCAATGGTCGCCGATCGCCACCCGGTCGCCGATTGATACCGGTGAATAGTTCCAACTACAATCGTTTAAATGCTAAGTAGATGTTTTTAGTGTGGCTAAAAGGTACCTACCTAAGTACTCCGTACCTGTGGTTACTTACTATTTCCCAAGGTTAGAATATGGATGTTGAAGTATAAAAACCGGGGTGTAAAAAACAGTAAAGTTACCGATCACACCATCGGCCGGGACCAGCTTCTGTCATTCCTCTTCCTTCTTTTTTCTTAATCTGAAGAGGTTCCTTTACCTTTTTATTATTCCTAAGCCTTTAAAAATGATTTACCGTCCTTTAACAACTGCTGCCCGTGCAGCTTGTCGCACGCAGGCCGTGCCAAGCATCCGAAACTTCGCAACTGCTGCTCCGGTTTCGGCCACCCGCAATCACAAGGTCGTGGTGGTAGGAGGTGGTTCTGCAGGCCTCACAATCAGCCACCAGCTCCTACAATCTGGACAATTTGTGGCTGATGACATTGCGATCATCGACCCCGCCGAATGGCACCACTACCAGCCCGGCTGGACTCTCGTCGGCGGTGGCCTCAAGACTAAGGAAGAGCTCCGCCGTCCGTTGAAGAGCCTCCTCGACCCCAAGCTCAAGTTGTACAATGACGGTGTCGCGACCTTCGCCCCGGAGAACAACTTCGTCACCCTCTCCAACGGCGACAAGATTGGCTATGACCAGCTGATCGTCGCCCCCGGCCTCACTGTCTCCCCCGCCAACATCAAGGGTCTGCCCGAAGCGCTCGCCAACCCCGATGCCCCCGTCTCCTCCATCTACACCTATGACTCCGTCAACAAGGTCTTCCCCTCCATCCAGAAGATGGAGAAGGGTAACGCCATCTTCACCCAGCCCGCCGGCGTTATCAAGTGCGCCGGTGCCCCGCAAAAGATCATGTGGCTTGCCCTGGACCACTGGAAGCGCGCCGGTCTCTACAACCCCAGCAACCCCTCCAGCTCGCCCATCAACATCAGCTTCGCAACTGGTCTCCCGGTCATGTTCGGTGTCCCCAAGTATAACGCCGCACTGACAAAGATGCAGCAGGAGCGCGGCGTTAACGCGCTCTTCCAGCACGACCTGGTCGAGATCGATGGAAACAAGGCCATCTTCGCTCGTCCCGACGGTGCAGAGTCCGTGACCAAGCACTTCGATTTCCTGCACGTTGCGCCGAAGATGGGATCCCCCGCTTTCATTAAGAACTCTGCTATCGCGAACGAGGCCGGCTTCGTCGACGTCGACGATGCCACCACCCGCCACAAGAAGTTCGCGAACATCTGGTCCGCTGGTGATGCTTCCAGCTTGCCGACTTCTAAGACTGCTGCCGCCGTGACTGCGCAGTCTCCTGTTCTTGTGCGGAACCTGCTCAATACCATGGAGGGCAAGCAGCTGGATGCCGCTTATGATGGGTACACCTCTTGCCCGCTGCTGACCGAGTATGGCAAGGTGCTTCTGGCAGAGTTCAAGTATGGACCTGAGCCCAAGGAGACCTTTGGTAACTGGTTCGGCATTGACCAGGCTGAGCCGCGCCGCTCGTTCTACCACTTGAAGAAGGATTTCTTCCCGTGGGTGTACTACACGCACATGGTGAAGGGTAACTGGGCTGGTCCTAAGGGGTGGATTAACTAGAGAATCTATGTACTTGATAGATTGGGTTATTATATGTACTATAAAAAGCTTGAAGTAATAGACAGGTCTTCAAAATTGGGAATGAGATAGATCAAAAAATTAAATGGTTCCTTCCACATGAATAGGCTCAATGATACCGGGACGATAACGGGGCTAGAGACGATAATTGTCCAATGTTAAGCGGCTTATTACCTGCTAGTCTAGAAGTGGATCCACTCAACGGTGAATATTACCCCCACGATAGGAGAACTTACGCCCGAAAGAGCAAAAAAGTCCCGACGTACGAGCGGGGTCCCTCAACTAAACCAGCATTCCTCGGCGACCGTTCAAGATCACAGAACTTGTGAAAGGTAAGCCAAAGCCGACTGTCATCCCAAACCCGAAGTTCCACTTGAGATCCACACATCCACTTACAGATCTATAGGTGAGAAACTTGGATATAGAAGCGGGCAAGATAGGCAAGAATTAGAAAACGATCTAATAGTAAGAAAAAATAATAATAAACCCTCAGGACCCGAATATTGCAAATGATATCACCCCGCAGCAGTCGCAGTTGCAGCCAAAACATTCTCTTTTAGTCTAACTCCGGAGATCTCAGATCCCTGATGGATAATGAAAGGATTATCCAAGTAATCCTTCCTCATATGATCCACACAAATAGTCGGATATAACAGCACATCATCCATAATCGTCTAACTCCGCTTACTGCTGGTTCTTCTGGGCCTCCAGGTAGTTGTAGACACCGTAGGCAATGGCACCACCAACAAGGATGAGACCGTAGAGACCGACGCCGAAGCCACCGGAAGAGGAAGAGGAGGAGCCGGAGCCGGAGGAGGTGCTAGCCTGGGACTTGCGCTCGGGGTCACCGGGCTGCGTAGGTGGGTTAGCCATTGCGGATGATGAGTGGGGTGAAGTGATAAGATGCGCATTCGCAATGTAAGGGAAAGAGTTGAATGGCAGGGAATAAGCAACGTACCATGCGCTTCACGTTGCCGACAAACAGGCCGTCGAGGATCTCGCGCGCCTCATCAGAGTGGCCAACATCCTCGAAAGCCTCAGTGCCGTCCTGGCCGCCGACATCCAGAAGGACTTCCTCACCACCACTATAGAAAGACGTTAGTCATACTGGCTTTTACGAGAACAAAGTAGAGTGGGGTTATGGTTGGAGGGTTCGGGTGGGCCGACGGGTTTGCGATAGGGGTATGAAGCAGCCCCGTCGCAGAGCCATCAACCGACGAGACCCCAGACGATACACAGAAGAGGTGGGGAAAAGAAAGACGGAAACGTACGGGTGCTCGTCGACGAAGCTGGAGCAGTCGTAGACCTTGTCGTGGATGACCATGTAGAGATCCTTCTTGGTGTTGTGGGCCTCAATCTCCTTGAGGGTGAACTCCTTGGTCGCAGACATGATGACTGGTGAAAAGTCTAGAATAATATGATCACACGAGGTCAGTCTGTGTTTGTCACACGCAGGATTCTGGATGAGGTGGGTTAAGAGTAGAATCAACAGGAGATTGTTTTTTTTCTCTCATCGAAATGGAAAGGGAAAGCGATAAGGGGAAATGAGCCCCCCAACAGTCAGAAAAAAAAGGGTTGACAAGAGACTTACGTAGAAAAGATAGAGATAAAAGCGCTGGAGAACGATATGTGCAACGAAGAAAACGCAAGCAGATTCAGAAAGAGGAGAAGAGGATCGGAGTTAGATTGACGACCGGGGGCGTGCGCTAAGGCGGTCTCTCCGCTGTGGTGGGCCCTGGTTGGATGATTTACTATGCCGCAGACAACTCCCGACTAAGTTAGGAACCAGGCAAAATGCGATGGCAAATTGAGAGGGTTTCTGCACGGAACCTTGACTAAAAATTCCGATATTGATGCATTTCTAATTTCTAGTTGTAGAGAAGAAGACTCGTTTTCCGTGGAGGAAGCGCGGGCGAATCAGCGGCTGCTTATTAGAGCCTCGCTCGCATACGAAGGGATTTGTGATGATCTGGCCAGATACATTATTATGCAGAGTTGGATTATTTGGGTATAGTAGGTTGTACAACATGACGCTATCCTCCCCCGGTTATTCATTTTGAGAAGTAAATGAAGCCCGAGCCCAACTGCCTGCATAAACCGTACCCTCGGTTGTATCTTGACGGGTAAGGCCCACGGCTTCCGCTGACGGAACACATCCCGCCGATCATCCGATTACTGAACCATGAATGTATGAATGTATGAATGTGAATATCTTTCATTGAATGGGTATACATTGCTCGCCTGATGATATGTCCCCAACTCTGGGGATTCATAGGCATCTCTATATCATGGCTGATCGTGACATGCAAGGAGAAAGAAGAGGTGAAAGGGAGGGAAAAAAAAGAAAGAAAAAACCTAGGAACTATGAAGCTTAACGGAAAAGAAAAACAAATCCGCTCATTTCGCTGGAACTCGCTCATAAAATACTATGTATGCTTGCTCATTCTGTAATCGGTCGCGAGCCCGTGGGTCGAGCGGGTTGAAGTCACTTGCTCTCTCGTCGTCGAACCGTCGCCAGGTGTGACGTTCGGCATCTCGGACGAGCGAGATGTAGTGTCCACTGCCCATGGAGGATCCAATATGACGTAGAACGGCAAAGGCATCGTAGGTAAAGGGTGGAACTGTGGGGCCCGGGGTCGATGTTGAGTCGGGGCCCGTAGGACTCGGGTAGGAGATCACAAAGTCGTCCATTCGTAATCCGTGCAGGGGGAAGTTGATTGGGGTATGGATCTTCCGCGCGCTTTGCGTCTTAGATGCGGAGAAGCGCTTGAAATGGACCACTAAGATCTGTGGTGCGCGGGTGATGATGATTTGTTTGGTGGCCATACGCTTGCACTTGCAGTGGGGGCACTTCCAAACCTCATCGCCACTGAGCATTTCCTCTTTGCAGTAACTACGGAGACATTCATAGATGTCACCCGTCCCGGTTGTGGGTATCTCGACACTGATGCTGTAGAATGCCTCGTACGTGGTGGATGTCTGGTGACAGGTGGTGCAACGAAGTCGACTGGCATGTTGGCCTGCAAAGAGGGATGAGATGAATGATTCCTCCCGGTGGCAATATCGAACCCATTCAATCTGGGAAACTTTAGGGACCGGCATCCGTTCCCGCTGCATCTCCTCATCAAAGGTCAGCGGTCGTAACTGATTGCGTTGCCATTTGTGATTCAGGTCTTCATGAAGACAGTCCACCAGAAAGTCGAAAAATTCCTTGGCATCTTGCTGCCGATCAATGATCCATTCTCGGTTTAATCGACCGCAGAAATTGCGGAATGAAGTCGGTGTGATCACGTCCACATCATTCTTCCATAAGGATCGGATGAGGTTGGCATAAAGCCCGGGCATTACACCCTGAGACCCTTTCCAGTTCTTCTGTACATATGAACGGAACCGCTCGTCGATGAAAAACTTGCTCATCATTACCGTAGCACTGAGACACTGGATCGTCGCGTTCATATAGCATGTAACACCAAAATTAGTAAGGCCTGTTCGGGGGAGCTTGAGACGACTCAGAAGGGAGCTAGGAGTGTACAAGGCCGTTCGAGTGGCCGAATTCTGCCGTTCCATATGGGGTTGAGCATGTCGTCCATCGGAAACGCCGCTGTAACTAGGTCGAGCAACTGCAGGGGGAGGGCGCGATGGGGCTATGGGAACAGGAGCTGGAGCAGCATAATTAGGAACAGGCATGATAACTGGCCGAGACTCCGCGAGCATCATGGACTGTTGAGCATGTGGCTCGGGGAAGCGGCGCAGGAAATCCTCATAATTATGAATGAATGAGGGCGATGGCTGCTCCAAATCTTGCTGATCCTCTTCAATGGCCGGTTCATCCTCCAGGTATGTGCTTGTGTCTATTTCTTCTTTCTTCGATTTTTCCAACCACGCCGACAATTCCTCTGAATTCAGAGGCGTGAACTCTCGAAGTCGCCTCTTGCGAACTTCCAAACTTGAATTAGCACTGGCTATGGTTGGTACGCGACCCAATGCGCGTCCCGGCTTCGGCACAGGCTTCTTAGCCTGGAGCGACCCTATGACGGCGGCAGTGGTAGATGTGGCGAGGGACTGTTGCCCAATTAGATCAATCCAGGCATCTAAGCCACCAAGTAGAAGCGCAGGAGGACGGCCACCCTTCAGCGGCTTGTACGCATTGAATTCATAAAGAGTGTCATGGAGATATCTCAAGTGCGGCGCTGATGTTCCAACGGGCGAGCCTGCAAGATAGCTGACCGACGATGTACACTGGTCATAGTAGACAACAAGGTCGAATTCGTTCCGCCGTTCAAATAACATTTGCTCATGCTCTGGAGATACGACGAGACGCTCCTCAAGTTCTTCTGCAGACACATTCTCCTTCAAAGCCACTGGTTCAATGCAAATGATAGACTTCGCATAGATGTGACCATTGTCATATTGATCTCGGGAACGAACGTCAACCACAAGTACGTTGAATTTCCTCAAGTATTCAAGAAGTTCCTGGGCCGTAATCGCAGAGTTGAAAGGCAAGTCGGGTGAATCGCTCCGGGTTTCCCGTACTGAGTTCACACCATTGGGGGTTAGTGACCGGTAGGGGTTATCAGGAGGACCCCGGCTCGGACTGCTATGTGGGGAATTGGAAACATAAGAGTATTTCTGGGTGGTTGGTCGAACGCTGTCAGTGGAGGTTCTTGGCGGATTCGGCGGAGGTTGCGAAGGTACAGTGTAGATCGGGCTATACGCGGGATCAGGAGCACGTGGGAGAGATGTCGCCAGAGGGAGTTTCGGAGGGTGGTTGGGAACCGGAGAGGACCCCATACTGCGAGGTCCCAAAGGTCGCCTAGATGGAGATGCATAGGCAAAACCATGGCTGCTTGGCGGGGTGTTGGAGATGTATGGGGGATTCTGGTCCGCAGATCCTGGTGGAGACTGCATGACTGCGCCAGACTGATTCGGGCGGGTTTGTGAGATTCTGAGCTTTGCAAAGCGTTGCGCTATCAAGTCTTCAGCGGGACTTGAGAATCGTTTTGGACTGGCTTGGGGATCCGGCATTCGCTGGAATTGTGTAGGGCTCGGCATTCTCATCGCGCTGGTTGCCGGCTCATGGTTCTCACGACCCCTAGGAACGACAGAGCTTTGCTCTTGTCCCGAGGATGCCGATGCATATAATCCCATGGGTTGTATGTTGCTCTTAAGATTGTCTTGGAGAATGTCCTGTTTGATCGCATCCATTGTTCCTTGCTTAGTTCGCACCGCCTATATTATCCAATCGAGTCAGTCCCATCTGTGGTTTCGAAAAAGCGCACGCCGGTAGGCAAATTGATATAAAACAAAGAAAGCATACCATCATCAATCCGGCAAATTCTTTGTACCATTCGGGGCGCTCGCTGATCGTCTTGTAGTTCGGGTGGTGGGGGATGACGTTGATGGTGATCTCCGAAGCGCGAAGGTACTGCACATAGGCCTTGTCAGACTTGTCGTCGTCTGCCAGATCCCGGGCTTGTCCGATCGCCTCAGAAGCTTTACTGAGTAGAGTTTCAAGCTATTTCTCTAAATGAGCAGTTGGTTCCGCAACCAGTTTGTGGGGGAAAGGACAGACCGAGGTAGTCTCGTTAACATCCAAAAGGGCAGCCTGATCCTGTAAGTCCTTGATGTTCGGGTATCGGGGTCTTGTTGCTAGGGAGCCATTCTGAAAAGAGCCCAGTCTGGTGACCGGATCGGTGGAATGCATGTTGCCCCCCACCGAGTAAGGACGCCTGTCCTTCCACGGTGGTATGTCCGGTGGAGATGGTAACGCCGCTGCATCGGGGGGCATGGTCGAGGCAGCGAAGATGTGTGGAGTTTAGCGCATGATTTGAGATAAAGTATATCCAAGGCACCGACAATGTGAAGAGCGAGAGGCAGAAAGAAAGAGATAGGAAATTAGGTAGAAGTGAACCAATTCCAGGAACAAAAGCGGGTCTGGGGTGACAATACCACTCACCGCCCCAGCGCCTATGACGCCAGGAGAGCTTAGTCAACGGCGGGCTATCTGGGAGCTTCATCTCATCCTTATCCAACAACTCCAACTGAAAAACCCTTTCGCATTTAAAAGCTTGGTTGTACTTGCTACTGCCTGAGCCTTCGTCATGGCAGGCTGGTTCTCATCTTCATCCCCGCTCGATGAGCAGATCGAGCGAGCGACCGCTTCCTCACTGTACGTGGTCACTATCGTTCCCTTCTGCCTAACCAGCAATCGATCGCCTACCTCCTCGATTGCGGGCTCGATGACAAGTGCGCTGACTATTTTACAGAGAGGACATTGCTCTTAATCTAGAAATTACTGACATGGTCCGGTCAAAAAGTGTCCAGCCTAAAGATGCGATGAGGTCTTTGAAGCGTCGACTGGAGAACCGCAACCCGAACATCCAGTTAGCAACATTGAAGGTTGATTTAAAGTGGAGCGCCCTCTCGATAAAAAATACTGACAATCGATTCCTAGTTGACCGATACATGCGTCAAAAATGGAGGCACCCATTTCCTGGCCGAGATCGCCTCCCGTGAATTCATGGACAACCTGGTGTCACTGCTCAAGGCCGAGGGGGCCCCTTTGAACCCCGATGTCCAGCGCAAGGTTCTGGAGCTAATCCAAAATTGGGCCATGGCAGCACAGGGGCGCATGGATTTAATGTATCTGGGAGAGACATATCGTAAGCTACAAAACGAGGGTTTCCAATTCCCGCCAAAGATGGAAATGAGTGGTAGCATGTTGGAAAGTAATGCCGTGAGTTTTGATCCACTATCTTGATTGAGAAAGACGCTAATGTCTATGATCAGCCCCCAGAGTGGATAGACTCAGACGTATGTATGCGGTGTCGAACAGCCTTCAGCTTTATGAACCGCAAGCACCATTGCCGAAACTGCGGAAATGTTTTCGATGCGCAATGCTCCAGCAAAACTCTCCCATTACCACACCTCGGAATCTTGCAGCCTGTCCGTGTAGACGATGGTTGCTACGCTAAACTGACTTCGAAGGCATTCCCGTCATCAGGCCTTTCGGATCGATCTGCTTTCAAAAACAACTCTATAACCAAGTCTAGTGCAATGGAACCTCGCGGGGCCAAGGCAGATACGAGCTTTGATGATGATCTTCGTCGTGCGCTGGAAATGAGTCTCGAGGAAGCAGAAGGGCGAGGGCCGTCGGGATTCGTGCCCCAGACAGGCACCGTGCCCGAGCCAGCAAAGACTAGATCTGGGCCTAACAATGTGGAGGAGGAAGATGCTGATCTGAGGGCCGCGATCGAAGCATCTATGCGTGATATGGAGCAGCATAAACAGAAACATGCGGCCGCGTTGAAGAACGTGCCGCCCAGCGATTCATTTCGCGATTCATCTAGCACACCAACTCCACTGCCGAAGAACCCGTATGAGCTCAGTCCAGTTGAAGCAGAGAATATCCATCTCTTTGCTACTTTGGTCGATCGATTGCAACACCAACCTCCTGGTACCATTCTCCGCGAACCGCAGATTCAGGAGCTTTATGAAAGCATAGGTGCACTGCGACCCAAACTAGCTCGGACCTATGGAGAAACTATGAGCAAGCATGGTAAGCCGATATTGTAAGGTTGCAATTCCAACGATCAAACTAACCATTCTAGACACACTCCTTGATCTCCATGCGAAGCTATCAACTGTTGTTCGATACTACGATCGAATGCTGGAAGAGAGACTGACCAGTGCCTATGCTCAACCAAACTACGGTTACGGTGCACCTGTGGGTATGCCCCAGTACCCAAGTATGTCCGGACTGCCCACATATGCACCCGATGTAAAGTCGGGGGTGGAAAACTTCTATTATGGAAATACTGCAGAAGCGTCTCACCCTTCAAATGCTGGTTATGGACCTGCCGGTGGTATCACAAATCCCGTGTACCCGGCACAGAGTCAACGTGGATCTGCTGTGAACGAGTCACATACCGCTGCCTGGGGTCAACATGCATATCCCTCTTTGGGGTCGCCTGCACCGAGTGGCATTACGCCTAGCAATCATGTTTCTCCTGGTACTACTGGTACACCACAATATTACGCAGCGGCACCTGATCAAGATCCACACGCGGTGCAATTCTCTGAGGCGCCCTACCAACCATCTCCCATAATGCGACGAGACTCACAATACCAGCCCAGCGCACCGGGGGCTCCGACGCCTAGTGCGCCAGAGCCGCACTCACCCGAGAATGTGCAGACACCCCTATATTCTACCATGGCACCTCCACTGCATCAACAGGCTACAGGTCCTCCACCTCAATCATACTATTATCAGCCACAGCAGCCTGGTACAGTGCCAGTAGTACCTTCTGGATACCCACCAATGGCTACTGGCCAACCGGGACCGTACCCGGACGCCGGACAACAACTCCCCGCATCCCATCAACCCGCACAACCAGTGGAAGAGAGCTTGATTGAGCTATAGCGTACTTTTTAGCATTCTTCTTCTTTTCCTTTAGATGATACCTAAGAACTCGATTAAATTTTTGGATTGTATCCAGTAGAAATAAAGTGGTACACAGTAGCTAGTAAATGGTTGTTGCATCTTGTGAACTCCACTCAATCTCCAATACGGTAATATTACCGGATTTCCACCAAATCGCCGGAGACAGCCAACGACTTCACTTCCTTTCCTTTCCCTTCCCTCCGATTTCCTCTCCCAGTAAAAGGAAATCGAACACTTCACACTTTTATCCGCACTTGACTGGGCTCGAGCGCGGCGGTGTAGATACTACTTGTATTTGGACTGCTCCCAGCCTCCATTGCTTTTTTTCTTGCCTGCACGCCCACCTGCCGTGATACCAACTCATTGCCTCGGACCAATCCCCTTCGATGCCCGGTGTGCGCAGCTGATTACCCGCCTCCCCTGGTGCTTTCCTTTACCGCTATGCCCACCAGCACTTCATCCCCAGTCAAGCGCCCCGGCCTCGGCCGCCGCGCCGTTTCCTCGCATGCGGTTGTCACGCGGACCAACTCCAATAGTGAGCTGTCCGAGTCGCAGACCTCCAAGGCCCCCATTCATCATAAACGCACCCATGTCGTCGGCGGTGGTCGCAACCATCACCGTAACCCCTCAATCGGCAAGAACATAAATAAGTTGCAACGATTCCAGCTGGCCCCCGAAACTACCGGTCGTCATCATCAGCGGAAGAAATCCGCCCCCGCAACCCCTATCGCTAGCCCCAAGGAGCGCAGTCACGTTCGCTGGGACGGGGTTGTGGACGATCATCCCAAGAACCATTCCATGAAAAGAAATAATTCCACTCCGATCCTTCGACGAAATAACTCAGTTCTCGGGAAGAAGGCTTTGGTAACAGATCGGCCTCTGTCGAGCGCTGGCAAGAAGAAGACGGTCGGGTTTGAGCTGGGCGACGATGATAATGACGACGCCGAATGGGAGGACACTACGCAATCACCTGAAAGCACCAGACGCAATTCGGTTGTCCCATCCAACCATAGTGCTGAGACTGGCCAAGTCTTGGTCGATCCCCTTACCTTTGTGAAGCGCCCATATCCACAGATGACTCGCGCAACGAGTCTTCCGGATTCAATAACCAACCGATACCTACGAGAGCAGGCCGACGAAGAGGAGGAGCGCCAGCAAGAGCGGGAGGATAACGACGAGGCCGAAGAAGAACCCCATTTGACTGAGCAAGGTGATATCGCCAGCCGCCTTCTTAGCCCCTCACACTCCGCGAGAGCTCCACCCGCGATGTCTTCTATCTCTGCGATGGCCAAGCCGTCGGACTCGGCATCGCGAAATGCTTCTTCTCTCAATCTTGCTGCTGAGGGCGCCCGTCGCACATTCTCCTCGTCTACTATTGGACTGGGTAGCATGCCAAACCAAGCCACGGCTACTTCCTCTTCGATGGAGGGTGGCGTCTCTCGATTCATTCCAAGTAACAAATCTGGTTTCCATGCATCATCCCGAACCGACTCAGACCCCAATACCCCATCTTCATTCCTTCCCCACTACCATCCGCAAACACCACCTTCCCCCAACCGGGGATCAGGGAAGTCGACTGCTTCCCCAGCGCCCAACCGGGGTGCCGATCTGTCGCGGACGCAACAGAAACTCTGGCTTCAACGCACCGCTACGTTGAATAATTCACCACCCGACTCACATACCGTAGCTACGGCGAGACCTCCGTCAACAGTTGATCCCAATTTTATGGCAGCAGGCCACACTCGTCCTGGCGGTGCACCATATGATTCTAGCAGGGCTTTGAACCGCGCTAGTCGTGCTGGGGGCCCGGGACAGGACACTGAAGCACGCCACATTCGAAAAGCATATGAAAAGTCCTCCCTCGAATTGACAGTAGTCAGAAGATTTCAGTCACCGACTGGCGATAGCTTCAACCGACTTCGTGCGGTGGCCCGGGCGTCCCAAGCACTCGCCAGCGCGGATCCTGAATCAGGTCTAGGCAAAGCAATAAAATCCGCCCCGTCATTGCCCCTTCTGCAACACGGAAGACATCCTAGCCGGCTCTCGTCAAGCTCCGAATCAAAATCTCAGATGCCCAATCCCCATTCCTCGACATCTGAAGATCAGACGAGCCAAGGCGAATCAACTGACGCCCTACAGGGGGCCAAATCCAAACACCCCTCACAGCGGATCTTGTCTAGTTCTGAAGATGCCTCACATAATCCCCCTGCTGACCATGACGAAGACTACCCGTCTATCAATAACATTGACATGATGATTCGTCGCATGTGGGAAAGCCGAGAGGTAGCCACCTCGGGTTAATGATTGAACAGTTCTACATAACCATTTTTTACGTTGATGAGCTTTAAGTCCTTGCAATTTTTGGCGCCGGCGGCTTGTAATTCCCCCCTTATTTTTCCCTCCCTTCAGATGGAAGGGCATTCCTGAATTCTGGCTTCATTAGGCAGATGCCAATGTGCCAAGCTCCAGTGTTGTACCTTTTTCCCATTTCATTAGATGAAATACTAATGATCTTATTGGTCTCGGGTGCATAGCCTTCCGGGGGATCTACTGTGGCCTGATACCACATTCCCCGTTCCCGAGATCCTGCCCTAATGATTATTAATGCTTATTCCTAAGCTCCTGATTTGATCTTTTGTATCTACTATTTAAGCTATATCGGTTTTCTACATTGAAATCAAAGTTGAGCATCATGGAACTCATTGTGCAGCTGGTCGCTAGCCAGATCTTCCGCATCGTCTGCTACGCGGTTTCTATCACATTCATATCGGTATTTTTCAACATAGTTCATCAGCAGTTTTTTTATCACCGCACTGAACCCCCAGTTGTATTCCATTGGTTTCCCATCATTGGAAGTACCGTGAGCTATGGAATGGATCCTTATCAGTTCTTCTTTGAGTGTCGGGAGCAGGTAAGTGTACTTTCTGACGGATCAAAGTCCTATCTCAAACATTGACAAGAACGCTAGTATGGCGATATCTTCACGTTCATTCTGCTGGGAAAGAAAATCACCGTCTATCTAGGGGTAGAAGGAAACGAATTCATTCTGAATGGGAAACTCAAGGACGTTAATGCAGAAGAAGTATATGGCAAGTTGACCACGCCAGTCTTCGGATCAGATGTGGTATATGACTGTCCAAACTCGAAATTGATGGAGCAGAAGAAGGTCAGACTACGCCGATTCCGTTCAATCATAGCCTTCATGTTCCAATGATCATAATTCTGACCATCATCCTGTACCCTATAGTTCATCAAGTTCGGTCTCAGCCAAGAAGCCCTGGAGGCATACGTACCCCTAATCGAGCAAGAAGTCGAACAATACATCAAAGTGTCAAAGAGGTTTAAAGGTCCATCGGGAATCATTGATCTTGGCGCTGCAATGGCTGAGATAACCATCTTCACGGCTGGTCGTACGCTACAAGGCGACGAAGTCCGCGCAAAGCTGACTTCGGAATTCGCTGACCTCTACCACGATCTGGATCTCGGCTTCTCCCCCATAAATTTCATGCTTCCATGGGCACCACTTCCTCACAACCGCAAACGAGATGTAGCGCATGCCCGCATGCGCGAAATCTACTTCGATATCATCAACAAACGTCGACAGCAAGCCGCGACCGGGACCGACCAAGGAGCCCATGCTAAAGATATGATCTGGCACCTCATGGGCTGTGTTTATCGAGATGGAACCCCGGTCCCAGATAAAGAGATCGCTCATATGATGATCACACTGTTGATGGCGGGTCAACACTCTTCTTCCGCGATCAGCTGCTGGATTCTGCTCCGTTTGGCATCGAAGCCCGAGATGGCAGAGAAGCTTTACAGTGAGCAGATGAATGCGCTGGGTTCTAGCTCTGGTTTGCTGCCCCCGTTGACATACCGCGATCTTGAGAAATTGCCTCTTCTTGCATACACAATCAAGGAGACACTTCGTATCCACTCTTCTATCCATACCCTCATGCGAAAAGTCAAGAACCCTCTCCCTGTGCCGGGTACGAATTATGTTGTGCCCACTTCGCACACGCTTCTCTCTTCTCCTGGTGTCACTGCGCGCGACGAACGCTACTTTCCGAATGCCATGACCTGGGACCCGCATCGGTGGGAATCACGTGTTGAGGACCAGGTTGACGAGAATGATACAGTGGACTACGGGTATGGTGCTGTGTCCAAAGGAACACGGAGCCCGTACTTGCCATTCGGAGCCGGTAGGCACCGATGCATTGGGGAGAAGTTTGCCTACATGAATCTGGCTGTTATTATTGCGACACTTGTGAGGGAATTCAGATTCTACAACCCTGAGGATCGAGTTGGGGTTCCGGAGACGGATTATTCGGTATGTTTTCTGCACTCCTGCCTTCGTGGATTATTGAGAGCTCACAGATGACTTTTCTTATTGCAGTCTCTCTTTTCGAGGCCTGTGCAGCCTGCAACTGTGCGCTGGGAACGTCGGCATGTTTAAGCTGCCCCGGGGCAGTTATAATCATGGAGAATGGATATCAGTAACATTCTTTTTGTACCGTCGCCAGATATATCAATGAAAGTTGTGTCTATGCACAACATTTAGCTGGTAGCTATTTCCTGCTACATACTTTTAAATTGATACCTCAACCCAAAGATAATAGCTTATGGACGGCAAGTCTTTCAAAGAAAAGAAAACAGAGGATTCATACCCTCGAGGTCGTCGATGTGTCCAGCCGAAATTCTAACCGCTAAATAGACCACAAGAAATTGCCACAGTGTGCGACTTGAAAGATATATAGGGGTATGGTAGCCCACAAGATCTGGGGAGGGGAGAAATGATAATATAGGTATCGAGGACGAAAATAGAAGATATTGAGAAAAATCAGCAACTCTGAGGATAAGATTCCTATCCACGATCCCGTCCTTTACTCCGGTTTGCGTGGCCTCCACGGCGAGCATTTTTGCCCTGTCCGCCAGTAGCAACGTGATGTCCAGTTCCATTTGACTGAGGTGCTGGCGAGGCAGGGCCATTTAGATTATTTTTAGGTGCAGCCTGACCCGAAGCAGGAGAAGTAGGTTGCTGCTTCTGACTCCGAGAGTCGGTAGCATCAGGATTTTTGCCCTTTCCACGACGCTTCCGTGAGCTTCCAGATGCACCGGAAATTCTACCGCCACGACCAGCTTTGCCGCCCTGCTGGGGTTCGGGCTCAAGAAGACCTTGCACACGCTTGCTTTCTTGATCCCACCACTGCTGGAACTGTTGCTCAGCCTGGATATCTTGTATGTTGTGCTTAGCTGTAGCTGCTTCCCGAATCTCGTCTTTTTCGGCCTGCTGTTGCTCCAGGATAGCTGCTATAGAGAATGACCCGTAAGATGGGGAGCGATGATTGACATCCGCGCGTGGGATGTGGCGGATGGATTGGATGCTAGGTTGAGGTGATGGTTTGTGCATGGCTTGATGTGATGGAGTGGAAGGACCGGAGGGTGAAGAATTTGAGAAAGGGGATTGTGGGATATTGGCTGACAATTTACGACTCTGTGTCTGGGTCGGAGTAGCCATTGGCTGGGACCGAGGTGGTGTACCAGCAACAGTTTGCCGGAGAGTCATGGAGGGCTTTTGGGGCGTCTTGACAAGCCCAGGCGCCGATGTACTGGCCTGGCCTGGCAGGGGGTCAGACTTGCTTGGTATGCTCGAAGAAATTGGTGTCGGCAACTGCCATGGATTCGATGGAGCATCCTTGGCCTTTTGCTGAGCCGCCAGTTTTTCCTGCATTTGTTGCTGCTGCATCTTCTTCCGTTCCTTCTGAGATATCTTCGGCGTGAAGTTTCCGCTGCTTTCTCTCCTATCTGTCATGCCAAGTGTGAGATTCGACACCCGAGACTGTGATGCCTCGCCCATAATGTCTTGGAGATCTCTTTTGCTATCTGAAATAACAGGAGAGCTCCACGGTGCTGTAGAGGCGTTAGGCGGCGATGCCAATGCTCGCTTTTGGTGCATGGCAATTGCTCGAGATTCAGTTGGGGAGTCGGCAAGCGATGGACCACGCGAAGAAGACATTTGTTGATCCAAGAAGCTTCGGTCTCCCAGCGACTCATCTTCCGGAGCGCTTGCCCCCAATGCCGGGGAATTGGGGTAAGACCGGCCCCCTTCGTCACTGAATCTCATTCCACGCATGGCTGCTTTGCCCTTACCAGCGGATGGGGACAAAGCAGCCTCATCATCCATCTGGAACATTAGGTCTCCCGTTGACTGTTGCGGCTTCAGCATTGGGCTAGTGATAGGACTTGTGACCTCTCTAGAAGCCCTTGATTTGCGAGTAGACAGCGGTGCATTGGATTTTTCATTGCCTCGAGATCGAACATCATAAGACTCGACTTGGCTAAGGCGGGATTGCAACGCCATCGCGTCAATTCGTCGCTGCTGGTCCAATTTGATCGAGCTGACAATCTCTGGGTATTTCTCGAACACATATGCTTCTGTGTTGCGTCCACGAGAGATGGGATAGCAAGCTAGCTGGTTCTCTTGACAGATTTTGTCGAGTTCAGTGAGGAGATCATCATCAAGGCCATCGAGATATCTAAGGTTTGAGTCAGTAACTGAGTAGTAGGACCTTTGAACGCACCATGTGATAGTACCTATTCGTAAGCATGGTCTCAAGGTCAAGACAGACATGTTCAAGAGCTGCCTTTTTGAACTCCCTCTTATAGATAGGAGCTACTGAGTTGAGAAGATACGTGATGTTGCGTGTGTTGACTATAGAATGTTAGACAAGGAAAACAGCAGACTCGTCCGATTCAAACTCACCAAATTGACCAAGCATCTTTTGACAAATTTGCGATAGTCTGTCAATCATCAACTCATTCGCCACGTAGGTCACATCGAGAAGTAAGTCGATAAGATCATCGAGAGTCTTGGTTCGCACTTCATGGAACAACTGCTCCTCAGTATCTGCATACATGTACCGTAGAACAAATAGAAAGGTCGACCGGTCAATATGTTTGAGGTCAACATGAACGGGCCCCGAGCGGTCCGCCTTCCGCGAAGCAATCCATCGGCCACCAGAATGGCCATGAAATAGTGCATCAAAGAATGGACACCTCTGACACATCACCTGACTATGGACCTTAACAGTGTCGCCGTTATTAAGCTGAACCACTACATCGGCATCATCAAAGAATGAACTCTCGTTGATGGCAAGAGCCATATCCTGCCGCAAGCTTGGCTCGGGGTCTAGCATTATTCTTGCGGCACGTTCAAGTGTAGGAAGGCCAAGCTGAAGAGCAATCCGCATTACCTCTGAGCGTACTTGACGATAGCGGATGGCAGCTTCAGGTGAAACCTTCGCTTTATGCCAAACATCGAGGACGTTGTCTGTGTAAAGAAAGAAAGCAAGATTCAAAACAGAGAGAAAATCAACTCCATGGAGTTGAATTTGCATGTGGCCGTCTTTTCCGTACTCGACATCCAGGACATCAGGAACGGAGGAGTAATATGACGCCCGAAATTCCTGGAGCGCCTTCCTCAGGATCGGGCTGCGACCCTTCAGCAAGAACTCATGCACTGGAATCCGTGCATCGGACAGCGAGCTAGTGATCCAAACTGTCCCCTCGGTGCGCATGGAGAGATATTGGGACTCCATATCCGCAGATGATAAGATGGCCCTTTTGATAGCTACTGCACAAGACAACTCCCCCGTCTCAACCCAGTCGGCTACATCGAACATTGTCTCTACATCGTCTGGAGCAGGAAGCCCAAATGGCGAGAGGGGTAAGAGGTCATCCACAAAGGTGCTTTTAGCGATGTGGACCTGTTCTTTGGTCACGTTGTAATCGCGTTGCGCAACAGCATAAGCCCCAAAGGCATTGCTGCGCACAGCCACTGCCCTTGACAAACCCGGTATGCGGGCGAATTTGTAGTCTTTAAAGGCCCCTTCCTTCTTCTTGGTCCGTTTCTCTTTTCTCCAGGCAGATCCCGATGTAGTGCAAATAATTATGGATCCGTCTTGACCCACATCCACATCGCTAGCAGCCATATGTGACTGTTTGGCAGACCAAGCTCTTACGGGTGGGGCCAAAGAGTTGCGAATTTTGACGGGATTTGTTGTCGAAGTCGGTATTGATGGATTCTCAGGCTTGTTAACTTGAACAGTAAAGACATCACCGGAGCTAGAAAGCGCGCAGATAGTGTTTCCACCACTTGTAAGCTTGATTATGTGATTCACCGAGGCGTCGTATCTCGTCGCCATAAAGCTGTCACGGATAAACCTCGAAGTAGCCTCCAGTGGGAACGATAACTTCGAGTACCCATATTGCGAAAACACCCAAACATCGTGATTTTGCAAAAGTACGGCAGTGGCCTGATCAATGGCAGATACCATCTGAATCGGGGAATTGAAAAGCGACGCACCAACTCGCCGAGGGGTCGTTTGAATTTCAAGAGATCGCGCATCCGAATCCACTAATCCGAGTTGGCCCTCGTTTTTGCCAAACGTATAGAGTCCGGAGTTGCTGAAGACCACCGAGTGAATCGAAGATGCGGCTGCGCCAATGATTGTTTCCTTCTTGAACGGGTTGAAAATCTGGCGAGGCGTCGTTTGGATCGGAACATCGTTCTTGTTGTTGGTTCTGGGTAGGCCGTATCCTAGCTGACTAAACTTGTTACTTCCCCAGCTAAAGATCTCGCCGTACTCGGTGATAGCCAGAGTATGGTCTTGGCCGAGAGCAACCGACATGACCTTCTTTCCTGCCAGCCCACCAGTCTCGATGCACGAAAATGTGAATCTTGTTGTTTCATCACCAGTCCCCAAGCGACCGCCCGGCCCGAATCCACAAATGAACAGATTGGCTTCGGGGTCGTCTGTGATGATTGCAGTATGTAGCTTGGACATGACGGTGTTCTGAATTTTCATCGGCTTGTTTCTGATAAGCGTTGGCAAGTCATTTGAGAAAACAGGGTCCGCATTGCCTTCAAGGCCAATCCCCATCTCCTCCTGATATTCCCGGTAGAATCGGTCCAAAAGATGTTCGGGGCGTTTCAGTGTGACTCGCTCAGGAAACTGACGGTCGTCCTGATCCCCAAGCCCAAGATTTAAGTTTTTGTTGCTGCCGAGTGTAAAGACTTCATCGGCAGAGAAATCCGTCGTGGACTTCAATGAAATTCGAGAAACGTAGGCATCATCTTCGCCATTATCGTCATCATTGGACCCCAAGCTGGAATTACTATCGTCGTCTCCGGCGTGATCAGATGCAGACTCGTTTTTCCATGGACTCGAGGTCATTCGTTTGATATCGCGAGATGTAATGGTCGCCCCATATACATCGAACGGGCTGTAACCTTCCCGATCCTTTATTTTGATCAAGCTTCCAATCTGTCCTGATTTTTCCACTTTGCTAAAATCATTTGCATCACGCTGATCCCGTTCCATCAGCGCCAAGGCAATTGTAGCATTGCCCGCATAAAGAGCGCGATGAAGTGCCGTCCATCCATTCTCCCAGTCCTGCGCGTAGATATCAAGAAATGGAATTTCAAGCAGCGCACGAGCGAACTTGGCGGAGGTGGACTTTGGCGATGAAGCTATGTGATGTAACAGAGTCCTGCCATAGTGGTCACGAGCGTTGACATCCGCGCGCGACAAAACCGTGTTTCCTCGCTGAAAGCCCGGCCGCTCGGGTGTCGATGTTCCGGTTGAAGGGCCAGCGTTCTTCTTTTGCTTTGGAGGATTAGGGGACGAGGGAATTATCGACCCGGGGCTTCCAGCTTTATATGACAGATTGGCTGGTGTTGCAACTATGGAAGCGCCTCCGGATCCTGTAGCTCGCGGCCCCGCGAACGTTGCGTTTGCGAGGAACCGCTGAAAGCTCTCCACATCATCTTGAATGAAAAACTCCCAAATTTTGCTACTCATATGTGCCCGAAGTGGTAGTATCACCGAATCTCTTATCAAGCCCAAGCCAAAGCGTCGCCGTCAACGCACCGGGGTTGACTGCGACGGAGCTGGGTGATAAGAGGACTCCGGTTCGAAGGGAAAGGGGGAGGAGTCGATTCGCGATGGACCGACGCGTCTGCAGGCAATGGGTTATCACCAGGAATATAGCAACGCGTGGTGATTTAAAATCGATTGTGGGATTCGGGGAGGGGTCGCGGCGCGGTGGCGATGACCGAGGTGTAAATGAGGCTGAGAGGTATTGGCTAGGACATTGAACGTCGCGGAATAATTCGGATGCACATAGAAGACCAACTGAGATACAATGTCAAGGAAGAAGCACAAGAGGGAACATGAAATCGTGTTTCGCTATTCATTATCGCGGCTCCGTCATCCACGGATCGTGGAACCGTAGCCGACCAATGACGGGAAGCACGTCCCTCCATGTCCCCAGACGAGAGGTGCGGGTCATCTCGGTCAAATGACAGTGGTGGGAAACCCCGTGGAGGAGCGATAGGACAAGGTTTCTTTATACTACATTCTCAACTTGATCTACAGGAGGATCTTCTCCCCTTCCCCGCTCGCATTCCACCCCGCGCCCAACACTTTTCTCTTCGGTTAGGTTTGCCATGCACGTAGAGGCAATTCTCATTGACAGGACATGAGCATTTACGCCTATCATGTTATCCCGCTCAAAATGCACTGTAAATTTAACATTAAAGCCAACATAGTTGCTATAGTTCTCTGGAGTGAGCCATTATGATTTCACTACTAAAATGAGCAGGAAAGGTAGAACTCTCGAGTATAGGAGTATATATACGGTTAAGTACTCTGGCGGGAGTTCAAACCGTGCAGTCCTCAATCCTTCAAGACAGATTTAGGATCCAGTCCTTGATCCACAATTGTTTCGATATCCTCATTGCTGTCTGATGCCATCATAGTGGCTTTCTTCCTTTGATCCCTGGATTATGAATTAGCATGAGTGTCCAGGTGATGGCCATTGTATATCGAATTTAGTGCTTACCGTCTATGGATGATCAAGGCAGCAATAAATCCCGCCCACAACAAGAAATAGAATACAAATGCCACGGGCCATCCCTTTTTCCATCGTGGAGCTCCGTATTTTCCAGCGGTTGGGAACGCAAGAAGTGGAACCCAGATCTGGAATGAGTAGCCGAATGTCATCATTGATCCCAGGATTAGAGCTCGTTCTTCTGAATCATCCTTGACAATGGTGTTGACCGTGGAATATAGAATAGGGCTTAGGCAGCCCGAGAGACCGAAAATATACCATGCGGTAAACCTATAGTAGTAAATCTGGTCAGTATCCTTTTCCAAGACAGCTGCCTATTACCATTCAATCCAGGTATATCCGGACTTGGAAGTGCTCACTTCAATCCTGTGGGAATATTCCAAATAATCATGCATAGTGACGAAAAGAGACACCCGAACGAGGCAATCGAATAGATGATCCAAGAAGGATAGATTGCAGCAATTGTCGTGCCAAGCCAAGACGCGACAATTTGAATGGCATAAATACCCGTCGGCAGCTTATTGACCTGAGTAACGGAGTATCCCTCAGCTTTGAGCCATAGGTTCATGTAGGACGCGGGATAGGATGAAAGGATCATACACCTGTATTATTCCGTTAGTATACAACATACACACCTTGATCTGCCTTCAATATTTCCCCTTTCTCCAGACATGTCAAGTATAGATTGAAGACTCACGCGTAACATGTGACGAAAACCCAGATGTGCCACCGCTTTATAGATCGCTTGAAGACATCAAGCCCTAATTTACCTGGTCGCCGAATCTTGGCCCTGCCTATCCTCTCCTTGGCCAATGCAATATCACTTTCGGTCAGGTAAAATGGACGTGGCGAGTCTGGAATCCCCGGAAATATCAAAAATCCAAGCAAAGCCACAGGAATCGTAAAGATGCCATCGATAATAAATAGCCACCTCCATCCAGGCATACCCCCAACTCCTGAGAGATTAGTATAGGCAGCAGATTGCAGATATCCGCTGACCATGCTCCCCAATGGGTTGCATATAAACCAAGTACCAGCACGCTTGAAAAGTTCTGGGCCAGAATACCAGGAGCCTTGCAGGGCCTCTGTTAGCGCAGAGCTTTCTTTTTCAGAGGGGCTTCAAGATGTTCCTACCAAGAATAAAATGAGTTCCAGCAAAGACAGGGGCTTCCAGCATTCCAACAAGAAATCGAAGGGCATAAAGCTGATTGACATTGGTGACACGACTTTGGGCAAATGTACAAATACCCCACAGAACTTCAAGTCCGGGAAGCAGCCAGCGAGCCCTTGTATTTAAGTCAGAACCCTTGAACGTCTTGTCATAGTATCTGAACTTACAGCTTTGGGCGAGACATCAAAAGCAGACCTGGAACCTGGAACACGACATATGCCGTATAGTAACAGACATTAAAGTAATTGAGCTGGTTGCCATATAGATCGAAGTCCTCTTTGAGCCCACTCACGTAGGCATTGCTGATATTTGTTTGGTCTCCAATGTTCTCGTAAGCTCTTGAATAGAAGAAGATGTCCACGAGTAACAAATAGCTTACCCAAGTATTTCACGAAGACTGTTAATATTAGCATGCCTTGTTCATTGGCCGAGAAGCATCTCACTCACAGCATAAGCAAGCAAAAACCAAGATTGACACATCCAGCTTGAGGAGCAATCTAATTAGACAGTCAGTTCATGAAAACCACTCTAGACCTGCCATTGTACATACTTCCGCTCTTCAGAAGGATAAGAAGACGGATACCAATTGAAAACCTCCTTGAAGAAACCCCAAAGGGTCGGCTTTGCAGGCTTCGAAATTTGGATGTCTGACATGATGGTCAAAACATTCCCAAGGTGAATGCACGCTCCAGCAGATAAGATGATTATGCTGTGTTGTAGCCGATTTTTCGGTTGTTATATGTTGAAAACACTGGAATCATCACACCTGCAAGGTCTAGATGAATGGCTAATTTCGGTGCAATTTCTCCACATCCTGTCGCGATCACTTTCTTCGGGGGATTTCCGAAACATAATTCCCCACCCCATTCCAACCGGACTATTTAGACAAAGTTTGATAGCAGTCACTCATCATGTTTCGTGATAGGTGCTTACACCCTTGTCGGTTGATGTCTAAAAACCGCGACATGGTGCGGCACGATGGCGTGCCCGTGGCTGTGGCCATCTAATACCCACGATCAACCGTTATCAAGTCAAGTCGCATTTTATACATGAATGACGTGCTTTGATTATCAACTTTAGATCTAAGAGGTCGAGAAGTGCGGGGTTAAAATCTGCCGAAGTTGAAATTCTGGCTCTATATCGTGCTATATAACCCGCGTTCTTCGTCTAGAATTGCATTTGTTCACACAATTCGAGCTTCTATATCAGAAACAGTTAAAATCCACAGTACTTGAGTTCGGAAAAATGCCAGGAAAAATTATTGATCAATACGACCATGTTCCAGTGACCAAGGCGGACTGTCAGTTTATTGATTTTTACCTCCACCCCATCACCTACTAATGTTATCTAGTGGACTGGGCTGAACTTGTCACCCTTGACTTGGGCATTTTCGACAAGCCCGGTGGCAAAGAGCAACTTGCTAAACAGTTAGAACATGCTGTGCAGCATGTTGGTAAGAATGCAGGACTGATATAATGAATGATTCGTTGCTAACCTGTGCCTTGGATTTCAGGATTTTTTTATGTTAAAGGCTTCAACATCAGCCAAGAAGAAGTCGATCGCCAATTTGCTTTAGGTCGCGAATTTTATGCCTTACCACTCGAGGAGAAACTGAAATATCACAATGCCGATGATCTCGTCAAAGGCGAATACAATGGATATAGACCCGCCGGGCACCGCATGTAGGATTTGGAACTACATACCAGCTGATAGAAACTCACTGACCTTCATTAGCTTGGGGAATGGTATCAGAGATAATGTTCAGGTCTACAACATTCCCAAGTTCGACGGCTTTCATCAGCGACAACAGCCTCCCGTCATCTCCGATCATATTGATGAAATTGAAGCTTTCAGCCGAGTACGTCCATCCGTCATTCCAATGTATTCCATCCCGAGCTCACAAAACATAGAAATGTCACACCGAGGTAGTGGAGAAGCTACTACGTGTCTTTGCCATCCTTCTCGAACTTCCAAGCGAGGACCAGCTGGTCCGCGATCACCAGTATGAAGTGAAAGGCGAGGACCATCTGCGTTATATGCACTACGCAGCACGCAGCGCCGAGGAAAACAAGAAAGTTGGTGACTTGTACAGTCCCGGACATACAGACCTGGGATCCATTACCCTGCTTTTCCGCCAGCCTGTAGCCGCCTTGCAGATTCTTAACTCCGCAGGAGAGTGGAAGTGGGTAAAGCCCCAAGATGGAACAATCACAATCAATACGTGTGATGCACTTACAGCCCTGACTGGTGGATACGTGAAGTCAAGTGTTCACCGAGTCCACGCACCTCCCGCTGATCAGGCCCATGTGGATCGGCTGGGCGTGCTATACTTTGCTCGGTAAGTAAAAGGTCTAAGCTCGCTTAAGGAGAACATTCTCAGCAAGACTAACAAGTGAGATAGACCAAACAATCATGTTGTTCTGGACCCTATTGAGAACAGTCCCGTGCTGAATCGTCTAGGTCTCACACAGAACGCCTTCACTAATCTTGGTCAGCATCTCACGACTGAACAGTGGGTCAAGGTACGACAGACGCAACAGCAACGTCGTAACAAAGATATAAAAGTCTCTGAGGAGGGAAAATACACCTACGCAAAGGGGGATCTTGATATCATCCCAGGACTGGAAGCTAAAATTTATAACTAGATGGGCCAACTATTGACCATATGGTCTATATCCACCTGTTTGTCCATGTCTACATAAGAGAAACGGGCATATGTCGCATTATTTCACTTTTGCTAAATATACATCCAATTTGCTTCATATTGTTGTTCCATGAATTGGCTGCATTTATAGCCTGGTATCGCAAATATTTGAGTTCAATTTTCAGAGAAGCCTTCAAGTTTGTCAAGCCCCTCAAGATCTTAGCGGGAAAGGCTTCTTGATTCCAATTGTGAATGTCATAGTAAGATTTCATTGCTGCGTTTTACGCATAATTATTAGGAACAAATCTAGTTAGAGCTACGTTCGACATTGACAGGGAGACACCTTGCTTTAGGTAATTTCAAAAGGAAGACTATGCCAATCAGCTATCCAGCAGCTCGTCTCCTGCTGCTGAGGCCAAATGCGCCGGAAAGGACCTTCAAGCCAGACCGGAAGCGAGTCGCCTGCTTTCCCGTAAGCTTCAGTCTTTAAAGCGGGCCGCAATTCATCCACCTCCAGTTTACCCATTGAGAGAAGAGTGATACGCCATGGTCGCCCTAGGGACGAAAGAACTTCTTGGTCTGGAAAATGCCACACTGAGCCCGTATAATGTTTCTTCAGACCAACTATCCCAACACACGAAAGATTCAAAGATTGAAGGGTTTCAGTTCCGGGCTCTCTTCCACTTTGAATGGTGTTGAAGACAGCTTTCGCCAGGGATTTATCCACAGCGTGGTTAATCAATATTTCGCGAATGTCGCCATTGCGGTAAAAAAGAAGCTGATTGGGGGTTGAGCCTGGTCGGTTCACACATGGTTTCAGATCGAACTCATCAAATGAAGCGTCAGGGGCAGTTATGGTGCATTTATGACCAGAGAGTGCATCAGTACCACCATGATCTGAGTTACATAGCTTAACGCTTGTAACGCTTGTAACGTCTAGCTTGATTATCAGGCTCTGAAGCTGCAGAAGGCCGCCGATATTGCGGTAGCATTCTACTTCGGTGGCATCTCCTTGGGAGCGACGTAAAGTGATTTCGAGTTCCTCAAGGTGTGGGCAGTATTCGCTGATTTTCTTGAGATCGGATGGCGAGAGATGCGAATTCTTGCCTGTTGAAATGACAAGCTTGGTTAACTGACTGCCGTGCTGAGGCAGAAAACATTCAAGGGGATATTTTCCGGTCCACTCGTGAAGTATTAAGGTAGATAGAGGTGAGAGACTGCATAGAAAGCGAGTTTCGGGGGTATCGAATTGACCGAGGCGCCATGCGAGGCGAGTAGCAAATAATGATAGGTTCAACTCTAGCGAATGAAGAGACTCAAATTTGCAGTCATTGGCCAAGAATTCCAAGGCCTGATAGCGGAGAGGATTTGTGATTCGAAGAGTTTGAAGAGCGGAGAAATCGGTGTAGTCGTTCCACATGCTCATGGTCTCCTTGTTAATGCTCTTGTTTTTGCCGCCACGGACACTGAGGTAGTGTAGAGAGCATCGTGTAACTTGACTATCGGATCGATGTTCTTGCTCTCTTGATTCTTCCGTGGGGAAGTAGTCATGATCGTCACGATAACGCGCATGAACCTCCTTCAGGTGCGGAGACAAACTCGCTACAGTGCGGCAGAGAGTCTCCTCATCATATGTATTCTTTTCTTCAAGAAATTGATCTTCCAACCCATTGTCTTCGTAGGCGAAACCGTTGAGTTTGATGCTATAAAGGCGGGGGGATGAGAGCAAGGCGACTTCGTGCGGATTGATTTGCTCTGCCCCAAGGCTGTGCAGCTTGAATCTGTTTAACCATAGTCGACAACTCGAAGAGTTCTCATGGATAGCCTCGAGGAGACACGGAGCAAATTGATGCAAGCCGCTATATAGCAAGTCATTCAGTGAGGGTAGTTGCCTGAGGAGGTTTGCAATCGGTAACCACATATCATCTGTTTCTTGTGTTGTACCAATGCGTCGGGCAGTCGCTTGGTGAGGTACTGAGGGGGTCTCTAGCACATATTGTCTCAGTGCTTCGATGTCATGCGTGCTTGGTGTCGGCGGAAGAGAGCTTTTCTTTCTATCATGTCGTGGGGGCTCGATAATCAGACATCGCACTTGGGGAAAGGCATTCACCCATTCCAGCTGTCGATATATTTGATTGGTCTGCGTCAAAATTGTCTCTCGGTCTTCCCTATCCAGTTGAATCTTGACAATGTGGTAAATAAAAGGCGAAGACACCAATAAAAAATCCTTGTTTGTGTAGGCTAGCGCCCGTAAGCTGAGTGGAGACGTGTCATCGAGGTAACTCATTATAGTATGGACAATCTCCGTGGGGCAGCGGGCGAAAGGACAGTCTTCCATAGTGAAGAGGTTGGATGGTATATGAGAAAAAAAATGAAGTTCCAAATGTGCCTTCAGTCAAGCTATATACCCATATTGATTTCAAGGACCGTATTTCACTCGCCATTTTTTGTACACTAGTAGGCTGAGCCCCAGTTTTTGTGCGGACTGACCGACGATTTTTCACTGATTGGCAGGATTTCGGGTGCCTATATTGCAATACTAGTGATCAAGACCCCTAGAAATGGACTGCAATATGGGTGATACACGTCTGTAAGGTTAGGGTGAGTGGATTTTGACCCGACTGGACCAATCAGACATGACAGAACTATGCCTCCCGTATTCCGTATTCCGTATATCGTATTTTGTAGTTCATACCTGGCAACTAAATCTTAGACTCGCAGTCATAGCCTCATCGAGCTACTAGACGCTAGAAGCTGGGCTCGGATACGTAAACGCCACGAAAATGATGGCGGAGTCTTCTGATTATGCCGAGTAAGGCGCATTTGGTGACATCCCACTAATACTATGGTGTCCCCTCTATGCAATTAGTGGAAATAATCCAGACCCCCATAGAGACCAGAGCCTATGAAGATGAATCTATTGAAGCTGGAGGCGACTATTGAAGATTTTTCCCAACCGATATTACAGCATTGTGATTTGATGTTGGGGACGATGGTAAGCTGTAGTTGAATTTCTACGATATTTAAACCGAGTGCTGGGACCTTCAAAGACCTTTGCACGTATGTACCTGTCAAACTGTCAAAGAGAGAGGTTCCTGTGGTGCAGATCTATGTGCGGCAAGTAAAGTACTACATAGAGTACACTGTGTACACTTGTATCTTCACGCAGATCTCGGATCGGGCAACATGTGAAGTTGCTGGAATCTTCCAAGATTATACATATCCATTTCACTCCAAATATCAACAAAGGATGTTGAAAATGGTTTCATCAATGGACGGCGCTTTCTCTCAAGTGAAATGTTCAATGTTGAGAGCTTCAGACCTCATCAACTCAGGTGCTCCCTACATGTATCGCGATCATTGAGCCGAGGCACCTGTTTCTCGGTTGACATCGGGATTGAACATTTGAAGTCGCTTATATTCGTATAGTAATTCTTTTACATTACGAAAGAGTTTCTTAAATTATTTTGTCATGAATATTCGACACCTTGAGGTTTTTCACATGGCGTTTTACAGGAATGTTCGTTGTTTGGTCTCGTGACGTCCACGGGTCTTTTATCTTCCAAGGTTCTTCCGACCTCACCTTTTAGATCTAAATCTGTACCTCGGGAGCATTGAAGCTTGAACAAGCTGGACGATCTAGCCGGTACAAATGGGTTCGCAAACAATTATGTCCTGCAAAGTTGAAGGGCTCAATTCCAAGTGGGTTTGGCTGCTGGAATGTCTTCAAAATCCGAATCATCTAAGAGACGAAACGAAGCCAGATTCGTGCAATCACAACGTTCATTGAAGTTCTCTTCTTCGTCTTCACTGTCCCGCTTCTCCTGCTGGTACCGTGCAAGAATAAATGAACGGACGGAGTCGCTTACACGACCGAGCCCACTATCATGCCCGGCAAGGTCCGGGTTAACATATGATAGCGACATCATATATGCATCTTGTCAGGTAGCATCCCCCTCTTCGATACAATATCTGACGCCAAAAATAATCCTCCTAACCATATCAGTCAAGAAAACGGCCTTATTTCATGCCGATCACAGCCCTAGGGGGAACTCCGGAGTGCGGGGTTGAGCAGGTCCCTCCACTCGTTTACCCCAGGGGTTTCCAGGGGTTTTTGCGATCATCTGGGGTACAGATTTCGTCAGGATTTCGCTGGCTCAGGAACAGAGAATCCGTTGGTTATGGAATCTCTTCTTTGGTGTGTTGCGGCGAAATGTCCCGATCCACTTGATGGATCCAGCTGAAAAGCGGGTACAATGGCTTTCTCCTTTTTCAAGGAACTGCTCGGATGGCCTGGGGCATTGTGATCACCGTTCCCTAAGCTGTGCTGCCTCGGCAAGACAGATGATCACATTCACTGTTTCTTTTGAGAGCATTTATTTATCTCAATTCCCGCCAGTTTGGCATCGTGCAGGGCCCCCACTGAAGCCTTGTCCATCAGTATCAAGCCATGGTTTCCTCCAATTCTTCAGTGCGCTTGGTTATGGCCTTTGTGGCCTTGCTGGCTCTTGTATCTGCCCGCCCAGCAGCCGTATCGGTGCCCCGTGTATCTCGTGGGCTTCCTGAGACTCCCAGTGATGATCCGTTCTATCAGCCTCCGGCCGGCTTTGAGTCTGAGAACCCTGGAACAATTTTACGTCAGCGCACTGTTTCTGTCGCTTTCTTAGGCCTCATCCCAGACCCTGTGGAAGCCTATCAGCTATTGTACCGCACTACTGCCATCAATGGGTCGGCTATTGCAACCGTGACCACGATCTTCAAGCCTACCAATCCTAAGACAGATCGATTTGTCTCATTCCACACAGCCTACGATAGCTCCGACACGATCTGTGACCCCAGCTACAACTATCGACTCGGTGCGGCACAGACCGATATTATTTCCTCTGCAGAACAATTGATCCTTCAGGCGTATCTACTTCTGGGCTACATTGTTGCATCGCCCGACTATGAAGGTCCTGACGCAGCATTCGGACCCGGTCGCCTGGCAGGAATGGGGGTTCTGGATAACATGCGAGCTGTCAGTAACTTCGATGCATTGGGTCTCTCCACTTCTACGCCCATGATTGTCGGCACTGGTTATTCGGGCGGTGCAATTGCCACAGGTTGGGCGGCTTCTCTGCAGCCTACCTACGCCCCTGAGTTGGACATTAAGGGCTGGGCCCAAGGCGGTACTCCAGCTAACCTTACAGGTACTCTGATGTTCATTGACGATACTCTATTCAGCGGCTTTCTTCCTCCAGCTGTAGCCGGCCTATCTGCACCTAGTGCATATGGTGCTGAACTGGTTCCGGTTCTTGATGAGATTCTTACCTCGGAGGGTCGATCCGTTGTCGAAAAGGCCCAGAACACCTGTGCGGTTGGAGATCTGCTCAACTTCGCCGACATGTCGCTGCTTTCCACCAGCGTTCAAAGCCTCGGTGATAGACTGCTCTATGAATCTACTATCCAGGCCATCATGAAACAATGCAGTATGGGAGTCGCAAGGGATGAAACCCCAACTGCGCCGGTGTTTGTCTACCATGCATCGCAGGATGAGATCATTCCCTACGCGAACGCCTCGACGATGGTCGATTCGTGGTGCAACTATGGGGCGGATGTCAAATTTACCACGTTTGGAAATGGCGGGCATGCCACGACTGAGGTCATCGGTCTTCCCGATACGATTAACTTTGTTGAGTCCGCCTTTGCGGGCACCACCCAGAGTGGCTGCTCGAGTAACACGGAGTTGACTAGTATTCTCAACCCCATTGCACTCGGCGTAGAGCTGGAACCGGTTCTGGTGAAGTTGCTTGAAGTTCTTGCTACCCTTGGCACCAGCGACTCGAACCTCAAGCAGGACCTTGATGTTTTGAATGATGTGGTTAAATGGTAGATCAACCTTTAAGATAAATGGAGATTTGATCCGATAGATCTACAGTGGAGACTGTACGGGAGAGACCGGGAATTTATCCGTTGAAGATAATGTTTGATAATCCACTAGGATTAAGTTAGTGATCCTAGTTATTAATTTATTTTAATATTTAAATGACCAATCTCATTGCCACATTAGCTTTTGATCATTCCCTTTGCGTGATTGCTTGCGTCATTTTTCCGCGGCTCTGCTGCCGAATCGACCCTTCAGGCCCCAAATTCCCTCGCGCGACCGTGATAACTTTGGCTGTGAAAGATATGGATTAGTTTATACTCATTTCTATGTTGGAATGTTTCATTTAAGAAATTACTACATATGTCGCACGGAGTACCTAGTGTATTCGCTCCAAGTGCTCCCTATCTTTCTGTTAAATTCGTACGAATGTCAGTGGTTTAACGCCATGTCGATCACCTGAGGCCGTAATCAGCTGGGGCCTTATCTCTCATATAGCGGTCTATAGAAACTACATAGAATATAGATAGGAAAACATGGAAATATGCAGCATACTTGCTTTTTCTCGTAAAATATGGAACATGTAAAATAAAGTATATCAACGTCCATGATCTGGAGTGGCGTTCCAGGCTGACTTGGGCACTCGAGACCTGTCGAGTCACAGGGTGTGCGTCACAGACAATCTCCGCCTTCCCCTTCCGCAACTCAACCCCCCCCCCCCCCCATTCACCTCATTCACTCCATTCAACTTAAATCTACAATCCCCCAACCGTTAGCATGGCCATTCCCGTTCTCCCATAGGTTTCACGGTATCTACGTGGAAGTTCCCTTTGATTCCTGATAATTTCATGCGGGGAAGCTTCTAGGCTCCGAAGGTCCCAGGTCTCCAGGTTCCCGGCAACGATGTACTCAGTTCTTCCCATTGTTTGATCTGATTTGCCATCCCCTTTCCAGTGAAATTCCATTAGATGGTCAATCTCTTTTTCTTTGGCGTACCTGTTAGCATGGCCGTCTCCACCAGCTGCATCTCACTCGTTCTGCACTCCTGATAACAGTATCCGCTGATAGCAAACTGGCCCCGGCTCTCTGTTCGTCGGGGTAAGCTACTCTTGACTTGTTAAATCCAACCGATCATCCTGTCTCACTGATTGTGTTCAGAGACATCCACCATGCACCAGAACCCTCGGTCACCGGCAGTGCCTCCTGGGGCGCCGGGGCCCTCCAAGCTCCCCTCCAAACTCCCGCCTCGGAATGACCTCAAAGACCCGGAATCCACACCAGCATCTCCAACGACTGATATGCGGGCAAATCAGAACAGGGGCTTAGGGATAGAGGCTGGTGGTAGCTCTTCTGAACAGGCTAGGGCGGCAAATTCAGGGAACGAAGCTCTGGCCAAACTAAATCAGATCATATCGGTATGGTATAAATGGCTCTTGAGCACCCTGATCTCCATGCTGACTCTGTTTTTGTTACCTTCAGAATTATCACACCAAAGCAGCTTTGATCATTCTTCACTCCCGGGTTGAGCTACCGCAATCTTTCATAAAAGGCTCCAATACCCCGCGAGTAAATCGATGGGTATGTTGTAATCAGCACCAGCCCTCTCATACAAGAAAAGACCAGAGATCTAATTTTTTGGATGATAGTTTAATGTTGAATTGGACGAAACCGATATCCTGCGAGAATCGCTGCAAACCTGGCGAAACTGCGACGCCACCGATAATCGACCACCCCCACTCATCATCGAAACCTTCATCGACACGAGAGGCCTCACGAATAATGAGAGTCTGGTGATTCTGGATGATCACGGAAAACGTTGGGATGTACAGGAATCTCTTGCCGCATCACCAATCCTTGGCTCGAAGCAATCGGGGTCCGAAGAGGTCATTTTGGAACGATGGAAAATCGAGTTGGGGGGCTCTGCAAGCAGACCTCCAGCCGATTTGGCCACCATTCTGCCAACAGTGTATAAGAAGAGCATTGTCCTCTTCCGATCTTTATTCACATACTCCAAGTTCCTACCAGCTTGGAAGTTCTCCCGCGGCAATGCAAAGGCACGTCGAAGCCCCGCACTGCAGATTAGGTATCGTGTGGTAGATGGAAGCTCTCGCCTGGAAGCGTCCCTGGATAACTTGACAGCTCCGTTGTTTCAGGGGAATGGAAAAGTGGTAGAAACATACAGTTTCGGGGTCACGGAATCTCCAGCAGGACCCTTCTCGGTGGAGGTCACATATCGGACGAACTGTGATTTCCGAATTGACGATTCCGAAGCCCTGCTGAGCTCCCGCTTCATGGGTGCCGACGATGATATCTTCCGACCTTCATTACCCAAGGAGGATACGATTCGGCCCGAAGTTGGGTCGATGCCAGTGGGAAGAAGAGCGATGGAGAACCCGGATCGTTCGCGGGCGTATGGGAGTCTATCAACATTTCATCAAGTCGGTCCGGCCGCCGGTTCAAGCCCTATTTCAGCATTGCGTGCTGCTCGGGATGCTGGCGACGGTTCTCCTTCGCCGACAGAATCATATTCCAAGAAGCTACTGCCCGCTGCGAAAATTGGGGCGACTGGACGAGCGGCCAAGCTTGCAAATGAGAGTGGTAGCTCGAAGTTTGCTCGGCGCCCCTCTGTTTCTTTCCCGCATTTCAAAGCAGGCTCTCTATCTGACTCACCTGCCTTCGATCATCCTTTGGGCGTGTCTCCTCGTACCACTACTTCTGCAAGAGGTTCCGCAGCAACATCTGTTGATTCACGGATAATGCCACCTCCTTCTTCGGCAGCGTCAGCACGACGACCTGCCTCTTTAGTAACCGATCATGCGATACCTTCACCTACCTCGGCATCTCCAAAGCCTGCACCGCTATCCAGGTTCAGTAGTTCGTTCAGTCAACGACGAGCTCGCCCATCTTCAGGAGGCGGCCACAAGTTGGAAGATGAAACCTCCAGTGGGAAAGCAAGTGCGACATCATCCAACATGCAGCCGGGCTCTGGTCTACTTGCAGAGGTGACTGGAACAAGTGCGGAATCAATCCATGCGGACGATGAAAACATTTCTGATTTCCTCAAGTTTCTTGACCTAAAGAAAGATCTCATGAGTCGCCCGCCTAGCTCTGCCTCCCAGATTTCCGGTCCTCGGAAACCCACTGCCACTTCTGCTTCCCTTGCTCGCTTCCAACAAATGCGCGACTCGAATGCTGCACTATCGGATTCAATGTCAGCTTCCGTGCAAATTCATCGCTCGTCTATCTCCTCTAGCAAACAGCTCTCTGGAGTTCCACCAATGGTAGCTGGTACTTCTATTTCTACCGCTTCATCTCCTGGAAAGCCAATTTCGCCACATACCCCACATACCCCTGCCATTCGATCCCGTCTTAGCTCCAACAGTGTGGTTGATGATATCAGCACCGAGCACAATCGACCCATTCCGCGCATTGGGCAAGACGGAGGTGGATCTCCACTTGATGAGAACTCTAGCATGGAAACAACGCAGCGAGCCCCGTCTACAGCAGCTGCGATTGATATTCCTACCTCTCCACGACCTTTCGCACCGGCATTTCGTCGCTCAAGCTCTGCTGCTCAGCGCCGGCGACCGTCTGCCGAGGAAGATGATATCTTTTCATTCGGCATGCGAAGCGTCAGCCTTGGGATCGAAGAGCGCTCCCATCTCCGGCGGCAGGCAGACCAGGAAACCACGGATGCTCATACTTTATTAGAACCTGGCTCACTGAATCTGTCCTTGGAAGATCCTAGCGCACGTGCTCCCCCTGCAGCTGTCATTACACGGAGCCGGGATGCTGCAGCACTTCGAAGTCAGACCGTCTCTGTTCCCGCCGCGACATCCACATCGTCCAATGCCAACCTTTATCAACCTCGTTTTGGTACTCGTGGTCGAGGCTCTTCTGGCGGTCCTCATTCCCTCAGCTCAGCATCTAGCAGTCTTGCACGTGGAGGCACGATCCCACATTATCTAACGGAGCGAGAGGAGCGTGATGGAAACGCTAGTGGTAGCAATAGTGGCAATTCTACTATGGAAATCAGACGTAGCTCTTTCCAACGCCGTCCACCGCCATCTCAATTTGAGGATGATGAGCCCTTGCTGTTCGCCATGAGTGATTTCGGTGCCTCCCGTCGCAGCTTAGAAGAGAATCGGCATGGCAATCATGGAGGTGCTGACTCCGGCGCCGGTTCTCGACGTGGCAGTGGCAGACGTGGAGCTGGACCTCCTAGCTGGAACTAGGTGTCGCCTCAACTGAATTCCTTGGTTACTCTGATCTCCTCGCCTCATACTCTCTAATCTTCCTTCCTTTTTTTCCAGTTTCTCGTCCAGCCCGTCATCTATCTCGAAATACCCATTTTCAGCTCATGCGTTCCGTTGGCTGGTTTCCTTCTGAAAACACTTATTTTTCTCGCAGGTCGGCTGCTTCATAGACTGAACACTCTAATCAGGCGTTGATCATTTCGTCCATAGAAATTGTGTCATTCTTCTTTCTTCTCTCTCAAGCTTCTCCCCTTCGCGCTGCTTGTTTGGCCGAGGTTGATATGCCTTTGGTAATACTTTACTTCCCGCAAGAGCATGATTGAGATGAATTTATGTTTCTGGGAACCCGGCGCCTTGCTTATCGTTTACGTATTCAGCTCTGGGTGAATTTTCATTTCTTCTCATGATAACATGATCTCTTTCATCTTGATCTTTGGTGACTTCAAATGTTGGTTGTATCTTAGGCAGCTTGAATGTCAAATGGGCCTGTCCCTACTAACAAATTGAACCGGCTCATCTGAAATGGGAACCAACATTGGAATTATTAGTAGTTGTGCTATGTATCAGCTCTGGATCTCTTTTGATATGACTTCGGAATTAAATTTGCACTTCGGTTGAAACTTGAAAGACTTTTATTTCTCCAAACTCGAGTAAAAGGTATCTAACGAATTAGGCTCTAGATGCAAAAAACAATGACCCGATCATTCAACGTATGCATAATAAACAGTACAGATCCAGCTAGCTGACATGCTAGAAGATAAGGGGAATCCGGCTCTCCTCCAATCAGTCTGGGCTAGGAGGTGTCTCCCAAATTCAAGGCTCTAGCATTTTTAATTGGCACTGAGCCTACTCAGGCTGGTCGACAAGCATCTCTTAGATATAAAGTTGACTGAGAGACTCCCACGGTAGGGGCTGGGGCGAGGTGATGTGATGTAGGATCTCAATGACAGGCACCTGTGGTACCAGCATCGGATTACCAAAATTACATACCCCGGAAAGCGTTGTTCGACGCACTGCGGCGCTCCTTTGAGCGGAAAGAGGAAGATGGAGTCTTGTCGTATTGAACCTCTGGTTTCTGGTTCTTGGACTTGGAGGCAGGCATGAAGCTGACTTCTCTTTCGCCAACAGGGCCACCCTGTCGGACGTGTCTCGGTTTTGACTTCATGTTCTGAGCACGCGAGCCAAATGAGCGATCGCGTGTGGAATTGGTCCGTGCCGAAGAAGAAACCTGCATGCGAGGAGGAGGACGCTTTGTACGCTTGTAGTCGGCGGAGGAGATTTTGTTGGAGGCCTTCTCCTTGACAGGTCTCTCGCGCTCGCTGTCGGAGTCGGAGTCATCATCGCTAGATCCAGGGACGTCGTCGATAGCTTCTTGCTCCACTGCTGTAAGACCACGCTCCTTTCTTGTGGCTTGGTCGGGCACGGTGCTGGGGTTGATAAGTTGGAATTCACGGGATGTCTCATCGACGGCGAAGTCCTCATCCTCGAACAGCTTGGTGAAACGGCTATCGCGAAGGACGCCCTTATCCTTGGTCTCAGATGTAGCGGGGGTAGCGTCGGGCATATCTTCATCACCGCCGCGCGCAAGGACACGCTGAGCCTTCTTGCGCTCAGCCTTCTCCTCGGCGTTCATCAATCTCTCGGCTAGCCTCTTGTTCACCTTGACGGCAGCCTTCTTCTTGCCACGAATGCGGCTCTCCCGCTCCTTGTCGATCTTCTCCTTGACTCGCTTGGCACGCTCCTCTTCCCAGACGTACGGGTTGGCGATCAAACGCGCCTCCTCGTACAGCCTCTGAGCCACGAAGTAACCGTGCATGTATGGCCGCAATAGGTTAGTACGTCCAATAAGGTGCTCCAAATTGAGGGTGCGGAGCTGGGGAACAGTCAAGAACTTGAAGTTGTCGTAAACAGCACCAGCCTGGGAACTGCTGAAGGCATTCGGGTCGTTGGGGTCCTCCGCCATTTCTTCCACCAAGTTGTCCAGGAAAGAGCACCATTTTGGCGCTGGTCCAAGTTGAGGGATAAAGAACGAGTGTTGCTGTCTACCTTCGTTGGCTGTGAGGAGCATTCCGCTGTCCTTGCACCAGGCCACCGAGTTGATATCCACCGCGGGTTCAACAGAGGTCCAGGGAGTACCATCGCGAGGATCCCAGATCTTGATGATGCGCTTATCTGCTGACATGATTTTGGGGTCCAATGTTGCTTCACGGGTTTCAGTTGAGGGCTGCAAGAATTTGAGAGTGTGAATGGGGAAGCCGTATCCTTGGTCCTTCTTCAGAAGAGGGACTGGAGATCGCAAGTCGTAAAGGTGGATCAGACCATTTGAAGAACCGGTTCCAAGTGTCAAACCCGAGCGTTGAAATTCCAACGCAGTAATCTCAGACCTTCCTTCGTTGAACTGTTGGGTAGGCGGTAAAAGCACACCCGCGCGGCCCTTGGCTCTAGGATCCCACAATTCCACAGTTCCAGTGGATGTACCAAAGGCGAGTAGGTTGTGGCTCTCCTCCGCAATCGCACCGGTATTGACAGATCCAGTATTAATACCACCTTGGAGGGTGCCGCCTCCGGTGGAAGTGAAATCGTCTCCACCAACATCCACCTCAAAGCTGCGCATATACCTGCCCAGCTCCAGATTCAATCGGAAAACTTCACCCATACCATCCTGATTTACACCAACGGACGGAATGAATGCTTCGGTCGATTGTCGGTCATATACGAGATCACGTCCATACCGAGGAAGGCGGGTTGTGTAGTGACATCCTTGCGGTGTGTGGAATTCTAGAGAACGGTCGGACTGGAGGTGAAGGGATTTTGTGTAGTCGGAGGATAGAAGGATGAAGGTTGTGTTCAGGGCGACTGTATGCCGGGCCCAGGACAGAGACAGTTGGGGGAGATAGTGAGTGTGGATTTGCGGCTTGTAAGTTCCTGTCAGAGGCGTTGTTAGCTATGCGCTGCGACCGCGGCAGCGAGTGATAAGCCATACCTGTACTCATTACCCAATCACCATCATCACTAACTCGAACACACTGGCTAGCTTCCTCAAACTCAAAGTCTTGGAGCAACTCCACCCGGTTCGCATACTCGGGATCGTCTTTCAAGCTGCGCTTTCTGCGTCTAGCGAGCCATTCTGGGAGTGGTCGAGCAGTGTTAGAGCCCGAAATGGTGTACACAGGCACCTCAGACTGGTTAGACAACTTCATGGCGGCGAAGTTCCCAGCAAGGTTGACACTAGCGCGATCAAAAAAAGTCGAAGATAAAAAAAAAGAGATAAAACCCGATAGCGACCACGTGATGTACTGCAGCGGATCTCGGTGATTGGCCCGAGCGTCCCCGTTCAACTTCCCCCGGAATTGCGCAGCATCTCGGTGTTTTGCATTTGCGACAATCTAGATGGGCGCGTCGCTGGTCAATACAACAACGATTCGACCTACCTGATGGGTTTCTGCTCACTATTACCGGCTGTACACGCGTACGGTTCCCAACAGAGTATGTTCCAGCTCTGGAAATGACTCTCCGATTCCACCGCGACCACCTCCTCTCGTTTTATGAAGGCTCCTGGGGCTGTCCGCGACCATTAAATCATGGACTTTCCCGGAAGTGCCAGTACCAATGTTCACCTTATTGTTAGTTTACCTCGGTTTTTTTTACGTTCTATCTAACCCGAAATTAGGATGGCTTCTCGACGATCTATTGGAGGATATACACGGAAGAGTCAGGCATTGCGAACAATCAACCCGAAGGTCAACCCAACGGTTACATTATTTTGAAGCATCTCAGTCGCCTCAAAGACCTAGAGGCTAAGTTACGAATTCTCAACTGTTTGGCATCGTGTCCGAGGCGTCTCGGGCTCTGGGTTTTCTCCCCCACCCCGGACTTTGAAAGTTTAGACTCTTTATATGTGAGAGATGGAAATGAAGCGTCCAAAAGAATACTAGTCGATGCGACTACTCTCAAGGGTAAGAGATTGAACTAGTGAGCTTTCAACGATGAAATACCCATTTACTAAACTCCGAGATAGTCTCCGCATCGGGCAGCATCGCATCCCAAGATTTGGTCCGAAGCCTCTCATCGGATACGCAAAATCAGGCTGGATCTCAAGCGGGGCAGCAAAGACCCCAGCAGGCTCAAGCTACCCCCAGACGACCCGAGAGTCATAGTAGTTCCGCCGCCATCTATGCCTCCTTTATTTCCGCTGTTACCGGTGCAATTAGCCTATATATGATTCGCTCTCACGGTGCCTTTCCACTCGGTTCCCGCACTCTGTTTACGGCAGTGGAAAGCGTGGGCTACGAGAGCCCGCGGGTTAACAACGACAGCCCGTTTTCGAAGTCTTGCCTAACGTCGCTGAATGTCCAACTGAACGCCCCAGGGACATTGATGATTTCCTCCCAAACAATCTCTCAGGTTGGAATTTCGCGCCTCTGCGGCCCCCGAGATGATATTTCAGATGTTCTCCGAGTACAGCCAGGTACTGATATTTGGCTCTGTCCAAATGGAACCGTTGCGCGGCTTGTGACGGCTAACACTGAGCCTCCAACGGTCCCGTCGCCTGGCATTCCAGTTTCTGGAAATCTCGCGGCAAAGAAAAGACAATGGAAATTGGATGTGGTCCAATGGCTGGTGAATTTTGGGTTACATATTGACTCAGTGGATGATGAAGTATGGGTTGAGGTAGAGGTATGGGAACCCTTTTTCGCTAGGCTGGCCGGCGAGGCATGGCGGCAGAGTGATGAGCCCCAATCTGCACTTCCCTTAAAACGCATGTTGTGGCCAGCAAGATTCTGCTTCAAAAGAACCCCTCCCCAGACCCAAGCTCAGAACAATGGGACCTCTTGGCCCCTGGGTCTTCCAGAAGATCCACTAGACTTTGCAGAGCGATGGCCATCAGAAACCGACTCTCTCTTGGCAAATAACCATATAACTCCGCTCCCTGTGATCCATGAACCTCCCAAAAATGAAGATATTTCATCACCCAAAGCTGATAATTTGGACGGCTTCGAGAGTCTTTCTCGAATGGCCCAGTATCCTGATCTACCACCCACCAACTTGGTTTATCCGACCCCTCCAGAAGGAGCTGCTACGATTGGATTGCAAAATGCGAACCCGAGTGATGGTTTTCCGGACTATGTGGACTTTCAAATGACCCCGGGCGCACCGCAAGACCCAGCAAATGATCACAATTCTAGGCTTTCTCCCGATGTCGCAATCGGAAGTGGCCGATATGATGCTAGTGATGATGAAGATCTTTTTGGGGAGATGAATGAGAGGGACTTTGGGTCGAAGGGAATTACCGATGCTGATTTCAGCTTTTTCGACGACCCAGATTTTGAGATGAATGACGATTCTCCTAATGTACCTTACCAGGTACCTCCACACCCAGTATTGGAGGAGAGCAAACCCGAGGAGAGTGTTGCGGTAACCAGCGATTTACCCGTCAGCGCCCCACCTGATGCTTCAGGTCTCACCCAGGATGTGGCACCAGAGGAACCAACTCCCAATGAGACGAAAGATGAAAATTCAGCGCCAGTGGATGAAAGTATGTGTCTGGAGTCATCCCAAGATGCCTCACCGGATCCGGAAAGTCCACCCATTATTAGCCCTCCTTTAAGCCCCGTGGAAGTCAAAAAGATCCTTTTCTCGGGAGGGAAAAAAGAGGACCCCGAACGACCACAAGAAACCCGCACTCAACAGGGGCACTATCATCCTGTGGCCTTCGAAAAGAGACTTGGAAACTGGAGTGAAAAGTACGGAGCTGCGGGTAAATTTTGGTTCGCTTCCGGGGGCACCCTTGATGCCTCAGATCTCACTCCAAATTCAATTCCCACTATTGGACTGCCCCATCGTGGTCGATCCGGAGCGAACAATTCTCATGCAAAGTTTACGAGTAAGAACGTACCGGCTATCACTTTGGATAATGATGAGGGACCTGCGGACTCAGATAGCGAAACGAGTGATGAAAGTGATGAGACATCCTCTGAACATGCCCCCACTCCGATGGCGGTCCCATCCTTAAAGAGAAAGCGGGTACCTTCTGAGTCTGATATTCAATCCGTCGCATCCCCAGCCAAGTCCACCGGTGTACCTGATGTGAATTCAGGACTGAAAGTTGAGAACTGTACTTTCCTTGGGAACTTCCTGGCTAATTTCTCGGATTGGTCGTTCATCGGTTATTTCTCTGCCTTGCAGGCTCAACAACTTCCCGTTCTAGTGCGGAGAGAAGACCAGATTCCTATCGCTCAGCTGCTTGTTGACCAAATCACGCAGTCCTCTCTGGACCACCAGCTTGGTGGCCATATCGGCCTTTTTGGACTTGAGAACGAGAGCTTGACATGGCGAACTTATCTCGAAGAGACCAACTTTCTGGGTCAGGTTGCGAAGCTTGATCTCAAGACATATGCGTCATTACAAGAAGAGGTGACTATAGCTCCGGTGCAGCAGCCCCCGAAGGATGTGCCCAGAGGATCGATCTTAAGGCTAGCTGCTCCGCATGTACGTATGCGTCGGGGTCAGGAATACCTGGAGGTTCTCCCTCCTGCTGTTTCGTTCTGGGAAACATTCGGCCTGGAGCCTGCCCACGGTTCAAAAGATATCTCGGCCTACTGTATTCATCCCTACGCCGCGTCCAACGCTGCCGACACTTTTCTAAATCGGTTCGGGCTTCATTACGATAGTTGCCATCTAGGGAGTCATACCAGAGGCGACAAATCGATAAGTTTCGAAAATGGTCTTCGATCATGGGACTCCGAGTCGTCCAGCTATGTTTCCATGATGCAATCTTTGAAAAGCATATGTGAAGAACTTGGTATGTTATGTCTTTCGAAGAAGTATTGCTGGATTTTGGCTTACCCCGTCGACTAGGCACCGATCTGTCTCAGTACTCACCCAGCACAGAAAACTGTGTTGTTTATATCATTAATCCGTTCCCTCATGCCGCAGCACTTGCTGACATCTGCGCCGCTTTTTGGACTCTCTTCCAGCAAATCGCCGCCGACGCTGATCGTCAGCAGGGTCAGCCAGTCAATGAAGTTGCCCTGCAAATTATCCCGATGGACTTCATCATGTCTGAGGATTCTATGGTTGTACCTACTCAGACGGAGTATCTGAACCTAGCTCTGGAAGTTTATAGCCGTTGTCGCCCAAATAATTTGGACTTAAGCTCTCTGCTTGGTGCTCCGGCAATTCTTTTGGCAGATCCTTTGCCCAAGGCTATCAATTTCCGACTTGCGCCAGACAAAGGCTCCCCTCTGCAAGATGGGCGCAGCCTCCATATCGCTTACTCAAAAAGCTCAGATCAGCGATGGCTGTCTGTAGCTTGGTCCGATAGCAGCGGCAGCCTTCAAACTAGCATGTCATACTGTCTACGTTATCGCACTCGCGGTACAGCTAGGCCGATCGCAGAGGTGCGCAATGAAATATGGGCCACCACGCGGCACATCTTAGAAAAATTTCAAGCCCAGTGGAAAGTCATTCTTGTTAATTCTGAACCTATCGATTCAGAAGAAGTGGAAGGTAAATTCTCACGAATATTGTTTCCCCTCATTCAAGCTTTCTTGCTAATCCTTCCTAGCGTGGACCAATATGGCTGAACAACAGAATAAGCTGCGACCAGCATCTATGGAGCTGATTATTATGACTGTTAACACTGTCCCCGACCTGGTCCTCGAGCCAAATATCTCCCATATGACCCCTAGCATTCTCAACACACATTTCTCCTCTACTCCCGTCTCGACTCCGAACCCAAGTGTCAGTATTGCCTCGCCCGAGCAGACTGGCAACGCCCCGACACCCAGTGCCCCCTACAACGCTCTCACCCCAACTGAACTCTCCCTGGAACCTGACTCGGATGTCGTTCTGACCGATATTTTGGACGAGTCCTGGGCAGTTACGTTATCCCACCGCCTCAACACTTCTCCACACGTTACCGAATTCCGCCCTGCGCTGGCTAGCGGGTATCTCCTTCGTCGCAAGGGCACCACTGACGGCGACGGTGTATTCACAATGACCGCCAATCTTATTCACTCCCAGCGGCCTGCTTCATCACACGAACCTCTGCTTAAGGATATATTGGGGATGTATCGCGATCTCGCATCCCTGGCCCGGGCAAGAGGCATGCGCAGCGTTCATGGTAACACATTGCCATGGCATATCGCAACTGCCTTGCGTGCGCAGGAGCTCCTGAGCTATGTTTTCTAAGGGACATCATTATGATCATATCCGGGTTGGGCGGCGTTTTGGATTTTTTTTATTACTATCTTATTCTATCTTCTTGTTTCCAGTATGTAGATGGTGGTTTCACGGGTGCATTGCATGCATATCTTTCTTAAGGGAGACTGGATATACCATCGGCGTCATGATTTTTGTTTTTGTGAATGCGAATGACACCTGAGTGTACTCCTTCCATTTCCGCTTCCTTTTTCACATACATACATATTTTACATATATTCTTATCATAGGACTTTCAAGATCTTATGTATGCATATCTACCGGATAAGGTCTAACATTGGCCTTAATTTCATTTCAAGGTCTGACCCCTTTTATTAAGTAATATTTGAATTGAAGACGCCCACGAGGAACCTGACTAGCTTCACTGCTTGTGGCATATGGTAGCAACTGGACTCTTGGAAACTGAAACAAGGCTCGCTATTTACATAAAACACTTGATGCACAATTTTTTCGCTCAGAAGAGAATCTCCCTTCCAGCGGCCTTGAACCTTGAAACCATAAAGCCCGGGGTGCAATTCGCTTCCCAGTCCTCATCGAACCCCGAGTTCGGATTGTGTGGGTTGAATGTTTGCTTCTTCGAGGAGAAAATGGGGAAACTGCTGGTCTGGTCCTCTAGACCCGGTGACTCAACATCGCTGCTTTCCGAGTCGCTGCATGGGCAGGTCGAGGTCGTCCTGTCCCCAGGTGTGGTACAAGGACAAAGGCCCAAGGAGCGATTGCAAGGGACGCATTTGTAGTACGCCCGACTGGTAACACCGGAGCTACCTGGGCGGGTGGATAACCGGATACCTGGAAGTCCGCATTGTTGGCATTTCCAGCCCTGTGACGCGCTCTGTAGCAATTGGATGGTCATGATGGTAGAAGGTTGAATTTCGAGCATTGACTAAGGTACATGAGTGACTGATATGTGCAGATGAAAATGGGTATTACTCACACTGAATTGGAGTAGCTTGATGTAGCAGACTATAGAAGACTTGTCTGGCACTCCAAAGTCCGGGGAACATCCTATCTTTTAAACATTTTGCGGGGGACGTAGATCTCTATGACGCTATTTGGATCAACAAAGGTATAGGATTGCTAGTCTTGGAATATCGTCATGGGATTCTTGAAAAATCACGCAAAAGTAAGGGGTTCTAGACTCAATTGTGATCGTAAACGTAAAGCATAGCTGGATCGGGTTAAGTCAGGCCCCGTGGCAAACCGAAGTTTTAGGTAATATCACGCAAATGCGTCAAATGACCCTGAACACGTGTAAGTATTTTGCGTCTCTCTCCCATTAAATTTTACAATTTTACGTTATTGTTATCAAATAAGTTGCTATTTTCAGAGAAATACAGTGAATGACTCGGGCCGGCGGTGGTGCAGTGATCTTATTTGCTGTGAGGGCCGAGCCTTCCCCGCATTCTGGGGATCCAAATTCAATATAATATCTTTTATGTATACCTATAGCCACACACCGCTCAGGCCAATGCCCAACGTGACCCTAAGAGTAATGTTGAAAAATCCTGACTAATCTCACGTCACGCTTGATTGAAGTGAGCATTTACCCAACATATCGAACACTTCGATCCTACATTTAATCCAATGCCTAGGTCCACGGGTGTTCGCATCTTTCTCAAAGGCCCGTCGGGCAATTGCATGCATTGGTCATCGCAAGAGTCATATATCATAATTGTGAAACCAGAACATGTCCATCAAAGCTGAGTCAAAATACAACGAAAAGAAAGAAAGGAGAAAGGAGGAAGGAGAAATGGAGAAAAGAAACCCCCCCCAAAGCAGTCCAAACTAAGATCAAGCAGAATTAAACAAAATCAACTCCAAACGCTCAAAGTCCCACGAATGCATGCATATATATATATGTCCCAACAGACTCAGCATTGTGTACATGAACAAGGTTGCGCCAAAAACTCCAGGTTCGTATCGGGGGCTCGTCATCGTGGCAAATATAAAGGACGGAATGTGAAGAAGGGGTATATCGCTTTGTTTTCAGAGGTAAGTGATGGGCGACATCTAGGATCACCCTCCCTCCGCTTCCTCTTCGTCTCCATCTCTCTTCTTTGCGAAGAACGACACGTGATTCTGGACGGCATAAATGGCGAATCCTGCAATGGCAAGGAGTAGGAAAAGGACAATGATGATGATTGCGATTGTGATGTTTCGTTGGACCATCTTGTCAAGCAATGACCCCCGTGGGGTGCGCAAGGCTAGAGATGGTGTTTTTGAGAGCCCCGATTATATCACAGCTTGAGCGAGGAAATGCAGCACTTCGTGGTGGGTATAGAGAACTTGAAAACTGGCCTGACCAGTTCAATGATGTAGCGAGTCGGGGTGAACGTCTGCGGTGCGTTGGCAGCAGTGAGGGGTTGATATGGTGTATACTTCTGATACAAGATAAGGTGTAGAGCGGGGATCCCTGGTCGGAATGTGGAATAGTAAGAGCCAGATGAGAGACTAAGATGGAATGTACAATGGAAAGAAGAGAAAATCGAATAAGCGGCTGGAATTTCAGCGGCGGTTCTTAAAAAGAAAAGATGATTTCTTCCCAGCCATGTGCTTTTTGCTGACGGGGGGCTGGGGTTAGAGATCTCGGCCGCGTGGGTCACGGATATCATTTACAGTTTAGCGCCCGAGGTTAAGTACCAGGTACCAAATAACTTCCAACCTCTTCGTTAACATAAGTCGTAACGAACCCGAATTAGATAAATTATACTATTGAAAAAAGGTAGGTAAACACTGAAGTTATTGAAAATACTATAGACTTGAAACATAGGAATGGCAGTGGCCATTTTATGAATGCATGTTTCAGTGGTAGGTATGATATAAGCTTAACATGGGGATGAGACTATATCCGGTGCCCGGATGGTCTAGTGGTATGATTCCTGCTTTGGGTTAACATCCTAACTGCAGGAGGCCCCGCGTTCGAATCGCGGTTCGGGCCCTCCTTTATTTTTTTGTTTTTCTCCCTGAATGCAACCAACATGCATGATTGTTTCTTATCAACTTGGAACTCAAGCGTTCGTTATATTGTAAATTAATGATGGTACAATATTAGGTAATTGATGTGCAGCATATATCAATAACCTTGGTAGAAATAGCGCTTCAAATGTATGCACAGCAGCCTACAGCGCTTTTTAAGCATAATAAATACAGGTCGTATACGCGTTTTTATGCTCTAATTGAGCATCCATAAAGTCCAATTTCTCCGAATTCGCCTTCATTTTCTTGGCATGGCCAGGTGGTTTAACACCAGTTACTTTGAAATGCTACCTGTCTAATTCCTCCAGTCGGGTCAAGCGTGCTTCAGTCCGATTCAAATCATCACATGGAACTGCCAAAACGTGTGCAATCATTTTTGTACTTTTTTGAAGTGCATAAATAACCTCAAAAGCGATCAGACCCAGTATCAGTAGTATCAATCTGATTAATAAATGTACTTTTATAATTCGAAACCCATCTTTCAACAGTTGAAATATAGATTGCTAATTTCGTTCGATATCAGGAGCTCTACGGCGTCTGTGGTGATATTGGGATGTCGATGGAGAAAAATAATAACACATTTTCGCCAATTGTAGGTGGTGGTATATAAAAGTCTGTATGCGCAAGAGCAAGGATGGAATTAGCCGGTTCAGCGATTTGTGCATGTTTCGAGTGGTCACCGTAAATTTGATCGATACAATTGCAAAGAGATTTCTCTTGTTCTATATCAAGCTTTCGATTGGATAGAGATCGTTCCCATAGCGATTTTCTAACCTTGTAACGATGGAGAAGGGTTGAGTACGACACAGCGAATTAACGCGGAATCTGAAAAATATTGATCTTTCATGTTTGTCATTGGTTTCTATGCACGTCTAGGGCCCTCTCCATACCATCCTCACATTTACGTATAAGCTTCGGCATATTGGATGGTGGTAGGTAAAAAGGTGTGGTAAATGGGGTGTCCTTCTCAGGTGGATGGCTGACCCAAGCGAAACGAGGTCTGTAAAATTGGTAAGATTTGTAAGGGCCAGTTTGTCTGTACTGTATTCCGACCGAAATTGAAGATTGAATCTTAAGCTAAATGCCATAATCAAAGAAATTTTTCAAACAATGGATTCTGCTTAGGTAAAGAAAGACATTAAATCCTAGTGCAACATAAATCAGCGTAAAAGCTGAGGCTAAAGGCAGTTGAAATGCACATCAATCACCTGTATACCCTGAAAGTAACATGCATATAATAATGCTTGTTTCTGCTTATGTAAATATCCGGTGCCCGGATGGTCTAGTGGTATGATTCCTGCTTTGGGTTAACATCCTAACTGCAGGAGGCCCCGCGTTCGAATCGCGGTTCGGGCCCTCCTTTCTTTTTTCCTTTTTCAATTTTTGTAGAGTGATTGATGAGCTTTCCTAAGTTACCCTTTTCTTTTTTAGGTTACGGAAGTCCCACATGCAAGTGGCTGGAGGAAGCCATGTCATCTATATCTGCTCGGATCCCTGTCATAACAACAAAATAGCACATATTGAATGAAGTTCATGAAGGCAGTGACTACTACTATGTACACCCAAAGAAATACTTCCAGAGTTGTATATCTCCGCAGATGTGTGACATCTCAAGATTACCGGATTATTTACGCTGGCCTTTCTTTTCCGCTCAATCAACCTTTGGGCCTCCATTAAAGCGGCAATTCGACCAGCAATAGTGAGACTTGTGTCAAAGTAAATGTCGGGTCTGCGCGGGTAATCAGTAATATCAAACCCTGGCTCACAAAATTTTTTCTACAGCACGCTGAGGCTCCCTGCGTGGATGGTTGGGTAACTAGCGGGTACCCAATCTGTTCTTTTGAGGTACTTGGCGCATTTGTGTACAGCTATCACAAACCTCGGCGTTTCATGAGCGGACCATTGTGATTTTACTAATTGTCTCCTGGCAGTCTTCACCCTGGCACATGACTTGTAGCTTGCTCGGAAGTGCTCCATATTCCCCTGGGCAGAGTAGAAACCACTTGTCAAATCGGTCCACGGGTTTCGCCTTTAGGGCATTTTGCGTGGAACGCGAGTACCTTATCTGACTATCAAGAGGTAAAAGGTCGACACCCTTTGTTGTGCACTCTGGCCGGCCACAATTGGATCTAAAATAATACCAAAGGACGTAACAATCGGTGTCAAGCTTTGACCAGTAAGCAAAGGGATCGTCCAAGTGTTCCTTGTTGCATCCGGAGCACTTGCGGGCGATAACATCATGAGGAGGCTCGCGCAGGATGAGCATATCATCAACAAGATGCTTTCTTGGACGAGCAATCATCCAGCCGTAAGCACCCAGCACCGCAAAGGCCAGTGTGAGTATGTCCAGAATTTTAAGATTGCCTTCGCATCTCTGCAGAAGATGGTAGGCATTCTCAAGATCAGCACGACACATGATTTTGCGTTTGTTGAATTTGAGCCCGTCTTGTGCTTGTATGAACTCGACTAATGGAATAGGAAGGTCCTCCCAATCCCAGCAATCGGACTCTTCGAACTCCGCTGGAAGATCACCCGAAAAGCAGTTGATTGCTTGTAGATCATTTGCTCGCAAAGAATGGGCCTTTGCGCCGAGAATAGATATAAAGGCGCATGATAGTTTCTCTAGGCCATGCCAGTACTCTGCTATCATTTGAAGTCCTGGATTCCTCTTTTTGGGGGTTAGTATATATAGAAAAGTGGGTTAGATCTCACCATACCCGAATCTTATCATTTGTAGCAGGTAGTGTGTTAAGGGTTTCGGCAATCTGACTAGGCTCGAGTTTAATCACGAGTCCAAATACCCTTTGAAATGTTGCCTGATCTTCATTCGTGACGCGAATGCGATGCGATTGTTCTGTTGAAAGAATGGCCTCAGGAAAGACTTCCTTCAATTGGGCCGCCGCTTGGCCTTTCCAGGCGTTCCTTATAGCGCTTGTTTGTCGTGATACGCAGAGATTTTGAGGCAATCAGAGATCTAACTCGTAGAAGTTTGGCGAAATCTGTATGCCACTTAATTGAGCTGCGAGGCTCAACGCTCGATCTTGCGATACACCGAAACGGCGACGCCAGCTTCGAGCCTTTTCTCCATCACTCTTCAAGTACATAAAACGCTAAGGGTGGGCAACGAAAATTATGAAGCGCTTATAGCGCTTTTTGCATGGCGTCAGCTCCAGATACAAAGTCAAGCCTGCGAAATCACCCCAGAGGCGAAGGGGTTCTAGGTCAAGTTTCTTGAACATCCGTTGACGAAAATTTGCGCCCCAGCAAATCTCAACCTTTGCCTTCATTGCCGCCCGGAGCGCAAAAGTGAATTTTTCATGGATATCAAAGAGATCTTCTGGGTACATTTCTTTGCAATGCCTGCTAATATCCCTCCGCGCAAGATGATCGAAGCGGAGACAATTGTTTTTTGTGGAAAACCCAGCTTTATTTAGCTGCAGGATGGAAGGGCTAGACATATCTTCAATCTCCCCGCAACGAGGGTCATCAATACTAAATGTGGGATTGTACAAGTGGCAAGCGACAGCGGCATCCATGTGGCCACTTGGTCGAACCAAATATTTTCCAGGGCGGGTAGCGCCTTGTGATTTCCACCACGCGACTTCTTCTTCCCGAAAACTCCCAAAGGCTTCATCAATATTTCATCCAGGAAGACATTGCGAGCCTGCTTTGTAATCAGCTTGGGCCAAGCCGTATCCGGCCAGCTAAGAATCTTGCCTTCAGTTGTGTTCCCCCCCTGCGACTGCGGCTCTTCAAGAGCCTGAATGAGATCAAGTAATTTTCCCACATGTATCATCTCCTGTCTCGGTAGTTCAGAATCGGGGTGCGGTAGCCATAGATTACCAAAGATGTGAATTTTGCTTTTTTTGGCCATATCGAGGACCCCGTAAGGTAAATTTAGGTAAATGACACAGGCTTATTAGCACAAAGTCTCACACAAGGAGAAAAAGAAAAGGCATAGAAGGGGAATATGGGCGATAAAGGCAAGAAAAGAAAATAGAGAATGCTAGGGGAGATGGATATAAAAGGATAGGCGGGCCAAGATAAACACAGATTGTATTCGGAACCTTCCGTTAGACCTTTCAAGAGAAGATGGTGAGGTTGATGTCGCATGCATGTGAATGTGGGAGTACGCACGCCCAAGTCCACTTAACACCACATTTGTACCCTGAAAGATGGGATTTGCAACGTTTGAAACCTAAATTTGAAATGTGGCATTGATCGCCCGGAACGCCTCCGCTCCACTTCGAAACTGACATGCAGAACTGAACCCCTGAGCCTTTATGGGCAGTCAATGAATGTATTGGATTACAGGAACGGCCGGGTAAAGTATAGTTGCGAATGAAACTGGTTGTTTAGGGAGAACTACTTTTACCCGAGGTGCCCATATCGGACCCCGCGACGACGCTCATAGATACCTAAGATTCGACTCTTGAGAAACTTCATGAGTTCATTGGCAATAGGAAATTCCAGGGCGTTAGACATAATCTAAAGACCGAGAAAAAGCCGCGTGAACTTTTGATTTCCCCCAAATTCCTGTTGATCACAAGCCCTCAGCACTACGGAGTAGCCCTAAACATTGATGACACAATGCCGAGCACATCCGAAACAACGCCGGGGTCAATAGTATGAAATCATTATTGTATCCATAAGAAAACTCCAAACCGTTAGACCGAAATCAATGGCCACGAGGACCATCACGATCCATCCTGGATCAATGCGAGACATTTTAGGTGTATTCTACAGGGATCGACATACAAGACTGGCTGATTCTCCGCATCAATACATAGATCGTCCTTCTCCTATTTATCTTCCACAACTATCCCTAGCCACATGTTGAACAGCGGGGCACATCCCGTGAAGATCGTCACTAACTGAATATTCCGGTTAAGCCGAACACCTGAAGTGGACGCAAAATACAAAGTTTAGCTAGTTTCGATTACATATTTGAAATCAGGATGCTCATAAAAAGTGCCCAACTGGTTCCACTGGTAACGAAGAGCGAACCGTGCGCGGCTGAGGTGAACTCGGGAACGGAGAACAGAATATTCGAATTCCCTGACAATCGGATATCCCGACTCTTCTTTGGCCCGACACTTGAATTCCTGACAGAGACGCTACAAGAGTCGGTGGACGAACCGCGTTCTATCCAATATCCAAACGAAAGGGATGTTATTTCTTTGTTCCTGGTTACCGAAATCCACGCTATTGGCGCTATCGCAAGCCACGATTTCTGGCGCGGATGACAGGCGACGCTAGCCCCGATCCCGGTAAAAATGGTCAGGGGAATGGATCCCCGAGGACCTTGGATTTTTCTCACTGTCTTTGTTCCACGATCCTCGATCCCACTTAGAATTCAGTGGCGTCCAATTGATATTTCAAAGATACATCACAAATTTCTGGCATATTTTTGTACTTCGTGACTCCTTTAAGTTGAGACATTTAGATCCACACAGAAATTGGCAATAAAGAAAACATTTCTATTTATGCTTTTTTGACGGGAGAATGAACCGTGGAAACCTAAGGTTGTCCACGTTATAAGCCGAAGGAAACTGTCCGTTTCCACCTTCATTGACGATATTGAGCTCTGACTGGTCAAGTTAGTGCACAGTTGTGTCAGTGCATCAGGTACATTCATGGTTCCTTGCTCTGGGCTCCACTCATGCATGACCCTAATCAACTGAACAAAGAACCCTACTCGACTCGTCTCCGCTCTACGCCCCATCGATAGTCAACCGTCAAAACTCTGACCGATTGCTGATCATCTGTGTAATACTTTGCGTGCATAGAACCTGCTCCCGTAGGGTACACAGACCATGCTATTGCCCGTGTCTGTTTAATAGTAAACAATATCTCTTAAATCCCAATACTTTCTAACTTTATCCTTTTCTGGTCTCCACGGTGGCTTGCTAGGTTTTTCAACTACTTCCTAAATCAGGCTCAGTGCGCCTCCAATCCTTGAATCTGTTCTTTTGTTCTTTCCTCTTTGGGTTAATTGACCCCACGATCACTATTTATCCACGAGGTGCACAAGGTGGAATTCCGTATTAAAGAAAGTGGCTCTGGCATTGATCACCGTGGGACTTCATTCTTTCTTTTCTGTCCAGACCCGTCGGATCTACGCTGTGGATTCTCTCATTCGTTTCACTATACACTCCTTCATGCAACAATGACTACTCTATCCACAGTTCGAGGCCATGAGGCCCTTGCAGTCAGCACGGTCTTCACCAGCCTGGCGACGATCCTAGTGGCTATTCGCATTTACACCCGAATGTTCATGGTGAAGCAGATGGGAGCAGATGACTATGCTATCCTAGTTGCCCTGGTAAGATTATATTCCATTAGCATGTAATGTAAAGATTCCAACTGACTCGTTCCCTAGGCTTTTTCTTGGGGTTTCTACGGATTATTCGTGGGCGGTAAGATCTAGCTCTAATAAACCCTCTCGTCCAACCACTAACACCAAGCTAGAGGTTTATCATGGCATGGGCGCCGACTACGATATTATCCCCCACAAGACATACATTACTCAGATGCTTTGTTTCTGGGCCTCCATTCCCATCTACCAGACTAGTCTGATTACCACCAAACTGTCCATTCTCCTACAGTACCGACGAGTCTTCTCCACCACACGACGGATGCGATTGGCTTGTAATATGCTCATCGGGTTCCTGATCATTTACGGGACCTGGACAGTTATCAGCGCCTGGGTAAACTGTGTACCTGTCGCCAAGTTCTGGGATCCGACCATCGCAGGCTTCTGTTTCAACAAAGAAGCACTGTGGTTCTCAAACTCGGCGATCCACATCCTGACCGATCTCTTGATTCTTATATACCCCATGCCCGTCATTCGCTCTCTCCAATTGCCGAGCAGACAGAAATTTGCTTTAATGGGCGTCTTCGCTCTTGGTGGATTGTATGTTCTCCCTTTCATCTTTCCATCCTCCTATCCACTAACACAAATCCCCCAATCCAGCGTCGTAATCACCAGTATCCTCCGCTTAAAGAGTCTCCTCGTCATCTCCCACTCTAATGACCCAACCCGTGAGTAAAACAAGATCCTCTAGCAACCGTGAAAACACTCCCTCCTAACACCTTCCAGACGACAACGTCGGCGCGGCTGAATGGTCCGCAATCGAATGCAACGTCGCAATTATCTGCGCCGCCCTTCCAAGCATCAGAGCCTTCCTCTCCAAATTCCTTCCCCACATTTTCTCCACTGGCAGCAATGGATACCGCAGCCGGACACGACCTTCTCGCACAGGTCGGAGCGCCCTTACAGGCACACATACCAATGTCCAAGCATCCGTCATCGGAGGCCGCGATCTCCACGACGCAGAGTACGATCTGGAGAATATGTCTCCGTCTGGTTCATCCCATGATAGCCTCTCAAAGGGGCAGGATACCAAAGTGGAGTTTTCTGGGATCAAGGTTACGACGTACGTTATGCAGGAGTCGACTTCTACTCCGGCTAATGATGATACGGCGAGTACGAAGGACTTGGTTCTTACTCACCGGGAGAGTTTCTGATCCTTTTTATTCTCCCTTCTTCTTCTTCTTCTCTTTCATGATTCTTTTCTTCTTTTCCCTTTTTCTTCTTTTCTGGATTATGAAGTGACTTCATCCCGATTCCTTTTCATCTTTGATTTATCACCTTTTCCTCGACGACACTTTTCCTTTTCTTTCATTTCATTTCATGTGAATGTCTAACTACGACTATATTTGTATATTTGGAGGAACCTTTTCTTTGTTCGGTTCCTGGGGGGGTGACTTTATTACGTTGGGATTGGTTGGTTTGGTTTGGTTTGGTTACAGATACTTTTATATATACCCCGTCGGAGAAGCCGACTCGACCCATATCAAGAAAAATAACTTGAATAAACATGTGATATTCATCAAGGTCGCCGATCTATGTAACGAATCCAAAACAAAGAGCCAGACTGGATAGGTTCGGCCATTCCAAGGGGTAAGGTCATGATGCATTACATACTATCCAGGCAGGGAGCCGCAAGAATTAAGACCATTGAACAAGTATACACGCCAAAACAAATGTAAGGATGAGACCAGCCCATTTGCATCCGGGATATGCCCGCAATCCAATGCGAAAGAAGGTCTTGGTGGAGAACATGAAGAGGCTCAATAGGGTAGGTAAAGGGCGGAGTAAAATGGAAATCGGTGGTCTCGAATCATCAAGGCGTAAGTCTTGACCGACGTGAACGCCGTATGTGCAAACCCAATGCGCAGAGTACTACCATTAATGCAGAGAAGAATAGTGCGGATTGCAATCAGTATTTCAATTTTATGGAAATGCAATACCCTTTTACTCCCATACGTTGGAGAAAAGGTCGTCCGATCCACCAAACCCGCCTCCTGGTTTGGTTGAGTTGTTCGACGTAGCAGTAGGTCCAGAGGAGACTGGAGCAGCGCTAGTCCAGCCGCCAAAGTCTTCATCAGCGGCCACGGTGGGGGTCGGCTTGGAAGCCGCACTGGAACCCCAGCCACCTCCGATATCATTGGCAGTTAGTGTGGCAGGAACCTGCATAATGGATGCACCTGAGAAAGCAGGTTTAGAAGCAACTGGGGCCGGGGCAGGCTCGGGTGTATTCCATTCATTACTACCCCATGGATCCATGATTCCAGCAGCGGCAATTGTAGCGGCTGGGGCTTGGGGCTTAGGAGGCGCTGGAGGCTGGAATGAAGGGCTGGAAAGGTTGAATGCAGAGCTCATTTCCTGTCGGGGGGAGACAACAGTAGGCTTAGGTGGCGCTGCCGGAGCAAGAGGCGGGGAAGAGAGGCCGAAGAGGTCGTTGGAAAGAGATGACGACGGGGGGTTGGGCTTAGAGGGCTTGGGGAGAGGAGGAGAGGCGAATCCGCCAAAGCCAAAGTCCTGCGAGTTCGAGGAAATCGAGGTTGTCCGTGACTGAGGCTTAGGTGCAGACATAGTGGGAGAAGCCAGACTAAACAAGTCATTGCTGGCCGACCCGGATGGTGAGGTAACTTTAGGAGCGGCGGGAGTAGACTTGGTGTTTGAGAAACTGGTAAGATTGGCGAAAGGCGACGGCTTCTCGGCTGGCTTGACCGGGGGAGGCGATGTAGTGGAAGGGAAGCTCAGTCCACTGAAGGCGTCTGTCAAGCCGCTCATGTTGGAAGATGCGGATTGGGCCGCAGGGTAGGCCATATCGCCAAAGGAGTTGTTCCGCTCATGCTGGAGAGGAGCCGGCTGGGGCTTCGCATACAAAGATAAGATTGATTGCTTTAGATCCGGCCGCGACATGCCACTTGGTGCAGCAGGTGTAGATGCAGTGCTCGTTGGGCGGTTGGTCGCAGCGGGCTGGGTGCTGCCGAAGAAGTCGAGACCAAGCAACGAATCACCTGGTTTCTGATTCTTTGGCTGCGGCACAGGCTGAGAAGATTTCGGCTGCGGACGAGGGGCGGGTTCGGTAGTGCTCGGCCGCACTGGGGGGATATATCATCACCGAACAGATCGATAGACGGTTGTGGACGGCGTTGCACGGGGGGCAAGCTGGGTGCGGCTCGTTGGGATGCGGACCGTTCGATCTTGGCTTTTTCCTGTACAACCGCAAGAGGCTGTTCAGTCAGTGTGCTATTTAGAAAGCAGACCCAGAAACCGTCTTAAGAACACTCACCACGTCATCATCATCGCCTTCAAGGGTTGAAGGATCAGGCATCGGTCCGTCCATTACCCATCGCTTGGCTTCATACTTGGTGCGAATGAAGTTTTCAATCTTACTATTGATATGCGCCGTCAGTAATCACAGTCATCGGGTCGATCAACATGATTGACTCACGCATCGGATGGAACGTGACCAGGTGCTAATTTATTTTCCCAGTACCTATGCGCCGTTAGCAACATATCGCAGACACAGTCAATTGCTTGAAACGAACTTATTCGCTCTGCCATTGCCCCATTTCAGTACACCCTGGACCTGTTCATCGGTCCAGGCATCGAGATCCACGGACTTAACCCGACTGATGTGTGTACCCATTCCACGGTGGATACCCGAGCACCGGATACAAACAAAGATACCTAAATTCCATGACGCCCATCGCGGGTCTAAATTGAGCAAAGAATATTAGTATTTGTGTATTGCCGGACCCAAATAGGCTCATATACGAGCACTAAGCGGGCAATCAGGAAGGTGTTGACACTCACGCTTGTTGCGCTTGCAGTCGGCACAGATCTTGTTTGACTCAAGTTTCAGCAAATTCTTGATTGTCTGCTGGTTCTGGGCAGCCTGGCCCGGAGTCGCGCGTCGAGACATGATCCGTAGCGTTCTCGTGAGGGATTTGACAAAGAAAGGAGGAAGCGCAAGTGGCGGGAAATGGGGAACTGGAGTGAGCGATGCGGCCTAACCTTGGCTTGCAGGGGCAAATACGGTAAGTCAGGGCTGCCACACCCGCAGTTTGAAGAAGTTTGAAGAAAATTGGATGGCAAACTAACTTATCTTCATCTTTTGAATGAAGCTGAATTTTAAAGTGAGGCTACAGGATCTTATTCCATACATATATGTACTTACCTTTTGTGTTCCTTGTTTATGGTTGATGTGAACCGTAGCCCCCAGGGTCCTTCAATGCCGCGCATATAAAGTACCTCGTGGAAACCTTACTTTCTTTCTAGAACACCTTATATTATTGTTTATTTAACTACATACAACTACTTGGATTCCTCGGTAGTCCCTTCATCCTCGGTAAATCGCAGACTAACACTATTCACACAGTGACGCTCATCGGTCGGGGTCGGATATCCTTCGCCCTCGAAGACATGGCCGAGATGACCTCCGCAGTTGCTGCAAGTAATTTCCGTGCGCTTCATACCGAATGTGTTATCCACATGTCTCTTCACAGCGCCAGGAATTGAGTCGAAGTAAGCAGGCCAGCCACAGCCAGATTTGAATTTGTGGTCGGCCTTGTACAGCGGCGCGTTGCAACCGGCGCAGTTATACACACCCTTCGACGGGGAGTGGGAGTCATATTCACCGGTGCCAGGGCGCTCAGTGCCTTTCTCACGAAGGATCCGGAACTGTTCTATATACCCAACCAAGGTTAGCAGGAGATGGATTATCGGAGGACCACTTGTGGAGTACAATAACGCACCGGGACTCAGAACCGCCCTCCACTCGGCTTCACTACGCTGATCAGGATACGACATGCTTTCTGTTGATTCGCTTGGTTTGTTTGAGCTGAAGAAGGCGCCCAAGAATGGGATCGTCGGAGCTGCTCGGAGTACTTTCGAACCTGGTGTCGGACGGGCGGAAGTAGAGTGAGGTCGGGGTAGGGCGGAAGGTTGAACGAGGGCACGGTGCCTAAGAGTAGTCCTGAAGATACGTACAGCTTGGGATCGCATGGAGGAAGAATCGGTAAATTTGTTTGAGCAGCTGATGAAGTCGAAGTGGACTCGAGTCTTAATTAAGGTCCAGACTTGTTACGTCATCACTGCGGGGAACGAACATGTCTGCAAGTACAGACAAGAGTACGTACGACCCCCGTCTTATTTTCAGGTAATGAATAAAGCATAGGATAAGAATTTATATAGACACGTAAATTTTATCTCATTTCATCGGGAAGGATTCTTAAATCTCCAACGTATAGCTTACATAGCTCTTAAATTAAATATCTCGGTCAGATACTGATGTCTAGTTGGGACATGAGGTAAATTCAAGACACAAGTGAAAGAAGAACACTCCATCGCTGATTAATTTGAGAGCACATGTGATAGATTTCCAAGGTTGTCTGATTGACTTCCATCAGAATTGATCCAAACGACGCCGATGCCATGTTGCGGGTATCCTATATTGAATGATAAAGAGACAAGCATGCGATGAATATACACAACCCACGAAAATAAAACCCCCCTTGTTAATTTGATAAAGAAAGCTCTCATTTTCGAGCCTTCCCTATAACAATCAAAAAGCCCCGGTTGACTTCCAGACGCCACCCCTCCTTCGTCAGCATTTTGCTGACAGCAGGACCCAGGCGAGATGTGCCATCATGGCTGTGGTTGCCTACGCCAGTGATGATCTTATAGCCCCCGTGGACGTGCTTTCCGCCTCCGCGAACATGCCTGGTGTCCCCCAGGTCGTTCCACCAGGCATTGACCCGTTCGCGAGTAATGCGGAGGGCATTGACCACGGTGATTCCATGGAGATCAAGGTCACAGCTGCTCGACTGCCGATCCACAAGCCTGTCCGAGGCAGCCGCCAGTTGATCCATGGCAAGCTCAATGCGCTCTTGTCCACGCTCGCGATACACTGCAGTGGCACCCGCATACAGGGGGTTGGATTTTGCGCGACGGGCGGCCTGGCTTGCCTGCTGGTATGCAGAGGAGCCTGCCGCGAAATTAGCTTGAGCGGCGACCCGAGCCTGCTCGTAATCGAGCGTGCTACTGGGGGCCCCTCGACGCCGGATCGGATTGTCAACAACCTCGTCGTCTTTCGGGAGATCCAGTGGGGTGGAAGTGAGCTTTATGAGATTATTGGCTGAGAGTTGAGGCTGCTGAACTAGCACTTTAGTTAGTTCATTTGTTGCAGAAATGATATTGCGAGTGAGCCTAAGAAGTCCAATCAAAGTGGTCTTCGGAATGGTTGAATAATCTTGTGAGAGTTCGTTCACTTGTGACAGCATGACTAGGTCATCATCAAGCTCACTGGCGTCTTTGGGGGCCTCGGCTAGGGCCATTGCTCGGATAGTCGCTGGTAAGGACATCCCATTAGCATGATAGGCAGATTTGACTTTTTCCCTAGGGAGGTCTGGGGCTCGGGCGCAGATGAAATCGACGTCAGCCATGCCAGCCTCCCACTTGTTGGCAATTGTGGATTCTGAAAATGGCGCCTCCTCCAGAATATTGGATCTCTGCTTCTTGTTGCGCTTCTTCTTTCGCGCAGATTGACGGCCGCCATCGCCACTACTGTTCACATTAAACCCATCGATGCCCTTTGGTATCAAAATCTGGCCATCGTCTTCGGTTGATTGCGTATTATCGAAAAAATTCAAATTCAAGAGAACATCCATCGCTTTGTCAACATCTTCGTTGCTCTTCTTCAATGTTTGGTCCACATTCAAGCGAGTCATGGTGGGGAACATCTCCATCAGAGCATTTATCTTGTCCTCGTGTGTCGCTCCGATTAGCTCGAGGGATCCGTCGGCCGCGATTGTGTATGCAGCGCGTGAAATCCCCTTACTTCGTCCATCTTCGGAGATGCTTGTGATATCAGTTGCCGCACACAAGGACTCATAGCCATGGACGGACGTTCCGTCCTCTGACCGAAACCCGCTCAGATTGGGGGTATCAGGACCATGATCATTTGCAGTACCTGACGGATCAAATGGGAGGTCCTCTTGTTCAATGGCAAGTCCCTTGATGGCGTCCAAACGTTCTCTCAGCTCATTGACCTGATCGGGAACGGTCAAGTCACATTCGAGCGCAAGCGCAGCAAACAATGCGGAGTCTAGAGGTGGGCAATAGCTTTTCTCAAGTTCCTTGAACATGTCAATTTCAAAATATTCGCCATGGTTTGGTGACACGTCACTCACTGCCCAAATTTCCGCATTGGTATCCCCCATCGCTCGATGTGAAAGGCGGTCAAGGAGGGGAACTTAGTGGGGTACAGCGAGATGCATTCCCAAAATGATTTCTTAGCTTTGGTGGGATAAGTAAAACTCCCGGAGTCTGCAGCTATTTCTTTACACACAGGAGAAGTCTAAATCTAGACAAGAAAAGCAAGGAATGTAGAATTGGTAGGCGTGAACATTTGGCGGGTATGTGGGAAAGTATTGTGAAAGAACGATTGTTATTTTTTCTGCCACATTTAACTTGACCGCTTTTCCCCCACATAGACACCTTGTATTTCAGGTCATCAACACACCTACTAAGTCGGTCGATTACTATTAATTTGTTAACTAACTACTAGTAGTATGTATATGATGCCACTGGTGTGCCAGTACGATACGTAATAGTATAGAGGGGCCTTACTTACATAAAAAATGATCTCAAGTTCCAATCAAGCAAATGCATTACTTTACTTACCAAACAAACTTCAATATACATACTGTACCCCCAATCAATGCCAATTTCCCGGTTCAAGGTAATGAAACTTGGTCTATTGAAGCTCCGTGGTAAGTCCGATTCAATTAGACTCTCATCCATACGTATTTTGATGTGAAGTAAGAACTATCTCAACTTAGCTCAAATACTCAATAGAGAGACTGGGAACCTTACCCCAGGAGATAGATGGTATCTAAGGCCTCAAATGCTGGCATATTCCACATATGTAGTAATTGTACTTTATATATGTATGGGGAGTTCTCGAGATGCAAGGTTCTTTTCTATGAATCCAGGATTCTATCTTTGGGAGTAATTTGGAACAAGACAGAGTCTTCCAAGGCTGCTAGTCTCATCTGAAGCCCCTTATCTAAGCAGATACAGTTTATAAAAATGGCAACAACTTTGGAAGTTCTTGAACATTGGTCCGACCATGATGGAGGCGTCGGAGAACACGAATACGCGTCGAACCTAAATGGAACATTTGCCAGAAACAATAATAACAAGAATCTGAAGTGCAACCTCAAACCGACGATTGACCATTTGAAGTATTTTGTTTCTACTGGCTATCATCCAATCATGTTGATTCCGACTTTGTGCTTATGCTGTACGAGTACAGGAGGTCACGGTAGGAAACTAGCCTCGAGGCAACCGTGTTTGAGTCCTCCAAAATGCCTAGAGTGTAGCGGTCTGAACATGACAGCCTTGAATATATGCGAGATTCGGCAGAGTTGGCGAACTCACGATGGATGATAATTCCGTGTTGCGCGAGGAGAGACGTCAGGTTGAAAACATAAATGGACTCAGCCCTTGCCATTGTGCTACAAAGATCCATGGTCACTTTCCGAGACGAAGTGCAAGTAATCCAGCTTCTCCGATGTGCTAAGGCCGTCGGATTTACTTCTTGGCAGTTTGTGCACTATCAACGGTGATAAAAAAAACTAGGTTTTCTACTCCTGTTTTCCAATGACGTAAAGTCTATTAGATCTTCAGCAATAAGCCACCCGGCCACTTCGACAATAATAGTCTAATAGGTATAGTGGGTCTAGTATATGTACTAGTAGGTTCAAAGTTTCATCTCTATCTAAACCTATTTATTTACAAGTTAGGCCCTGTGGTCAGTACTAGTTGGGACTGCAGCGGTGACCCTAGGGCCTACTTACCCTAGCCAATTGCCTTGGTTGTGGAACATGTTACTTTCAATACAGACAGGTACTGCGCAGAAATTATGACGCGCGGCCGGTTCACTTAATGAGCTTGTGTGCCGTGGATTCGCCGCTTCGAGATTCCAATTTGGGCCAAGATCAATCTTTTACCAAGCTATAGCGTCCAGAATCTTCGTTTCATTACCATAAACTATACATTCAGACTGAGAATTTGAAGATACAGCCCCTGCCTTTTGCTTCTTGTACTCCTTTAAAGCTGAAAGTATGAGACATGATGCATGGGAACATAACTAGTACCCTGGTCCAAAAATAAAGATTGGCATGGTATGAGGAGGACCCTAGAAGTCCAATTGTTGCCATGTATCTAGAAATCTTATAAGATATGGTGTTCTCGGTCATGTTCTTAGATTTGTTTCTTCTTTTTCCAACCTTCTGACCTATCGTTCCACTCGAGGATCAAATCAACCATATTTGCTTATTTTCTGAGGAATAATTCGTCATTGGTACAAGTCACCACAATGCGCCTTGCCTTCTCTTCCTTCCTGGTGGCTTTCGCTACTACTGCTGCAGGTACGACTTGACAGTCTTTTGAGAACCGACAAATTTAATGAATACCTCAGGTCTCCGCATCCTCAGTCCAGCCATCGATCAAAAAGCGCCCCAAGATGGCAGTATCACAGTCAGATGGGAGTCTGTGTCGTGAGTGAAGATGTCTTTGATAACATCATGAGCCAAGAGAGTATTAAATAGGATTTAGGACCGATCCTCCGAAGATGGATATCTACCTGGTTAATCAGAATACGTATCCAAACACTCAAGAGGTAATCGCTACAGGTGTAGATACCAGCCTCGGAAAATACACGATCAAAGCTAAGGACGTCGGTGATGTTGATACTGGGTAAGTGAAATCCAAACAAATTCAAGTAATGATTACCAACATTGAGTTCCTCTCAGTGGCGGTTACCAGGTCAACTTTGTATCCACGACCGGTGGTGGCATCCTGGCTCAGTCGCAGCAGTTCAAAGTGACTCCACCCAAGGCTGAAGCCTCTAGCTCTGGTAAGGAAACCAGTACTGCTAGTGAAAATTTATCTTCTATCTCTGCAACTGCGACTTCAATGCTTTCTACTTCCTCAGAGTATTCGACTATGACCATGAGCTCTTCAACTTTTGCTTCTCATACTTCTTCTCCGACAGCTTCTTCTACTGATTCATCGAGCGCTACTCACACCTCAACCAGTGCGTCTACCTCTGCCACTTCTTATTCATCTACTGCTTCACCTACTTCTACTTCTGCCCATACCTCATCTTCTATGACCAGTTCTACCAGTGCGTCCTCCCCTATTACATCTAGTAATTCCTCAATTTCAAGTTCTTGGACTATCCCCTCAAGCACCGTTTCAGCAAGTCCTTCGTCATACTTCTCCAAGACTTACTCTACATCAGCCCCTTCATCCTCCATGTCGTCTTCATGTTTGTCTTCCACGAGGACCCCATCTTCTACTATGTCCTCATCTTCTGTCTCTCGCACTCCTTCGTCCCGCACCGTTAGCTCCACTATGAGTGGTGAGTGAATGGTGCCATGCTTTGGTTTCCAGGTTTTATTAGCGGTTTTGACCACATATCACTTGTCTTTTCCCGGATGCTAATTTGGCCTTTTTAGCGAGCTCCTCCACGGATTCCATGAAAACTTCAACCACTTCCAAGCACAAGGAGGCGGCAACTTCTACCGAAAGCGCATCGGCTACCAGCACCTCGAACGCAGCTGGCTACCTTATGCCTCCAAACCAGGCCGGCAGCTTGCTTCTGGGGCTCTTTGCCCTGGCCCTTTGAATTCAGCTCTAGATTTTTACGGGTGTGCGGAGAGCGCCAAGTCCCTCTTTCAAGCTACAAAATACACGGAACAATGTGATGTCTATTATGAGCCCTAACATAGTAGTGTTGTCGGGATATTGAGGAAAATATTGTTTAATTTGCGCGTTATTTGCGCTGCGATTGGAGAGATTGAGTTTTAGTTTCATGACTCCAAGCCTATGCTGATGTTCGTCATTTTAATATGAATTGCAATAATGTTATGTGCATCTTCTTCAATACGAAATCAGCCAATCAAGTTTATCAATCTGAACCTCGGCTCAGATGCCGATCATTTAGCTCCCCCGCAATGCGTTTATAATTGATTCTTCTTGTTCAACCACTTCTATTCCAATGACTAAATCAGGTCCATAGAATTGTCACGGATATACTACTGTCACCTCCAAGATGCCTATACTCACTCTTCATCTTCTGAAGCTGAACAAAGTGACCGATGCCCAATCATTCATCCACCAACTCAAGCAGTCCACCAAAATCGTCGTCTCCTCACGCCCTCGACACATCGTAATCCACCCATCCCTTCTAGACAATAACCCACTAGCCACAACAAATTGGGATCTCCTACTTCTCCTCCAGAACTCAGCACCAACAGAAGATCCAATTCCATCCACACTCCGCCAATCAATTCAGGAAGAATACAAGCTTACAACCGGAATTCCATCAAAGCTCCTCGGTACTTATTCCGACCGGGATGCTGACCTAAAAGCCAAAGCGTGCTCAATCCCACTTACCGGATCTCTAGATGAGATCCTCAAGGGCGAGACAAAAACCACCTCTCAAAATCTAGAAGTTTCTCCCGAACTACTGGATTTCATGCGCGATGTCTCGAAGACACATCCGGGACCGGTGACGATGTTGAACTTGTTACATTTCCACCATCCAGATGGCAAGCAAAATTACTTTCAGTATGGACAGGCGTTTGTGCCTGTCGCTGGGAAACGAGGTGGAAGTGCGAAGTTGGTCGGGAATGTGGTGCCTCCTCAGGGGTGGGATTCCCCGGGGATTGAGTAACCGGCCCGCGAGTGACTGGTGGAATGAGATTTCGATTGTGCATTACCCTTCTATTCGTCATTTTTGTGATATGTTGGCTGGGCAGGATTATCAGGCGATTAATGAAAAGTATCGGTTGTCGGTGAGTTTCTTAAATATGCAGGCCCACGATGTATGTTGGTGCTGACTAGTCACTAGGCTCTTCGTGACACGTTTTTGTTGTGTACGACCGAGTTTGATGTGGAGGAAGTCGGAGGTGTAAAGCTGTGATCTGCTGATGGCATATGAAATTCCTTGTTCCAAGGTTTGCTGATAATAGGAGTACTAGGCAGTTTACTGTTCATATATATATTTCACAAATTGCACGTATATGTGTAACCGTGTTGGATGAGGGTATCTGGAAAATATGCTAATGAGACATCCTACCCCTGAACGCCGAAAAGAGGAATTCCGAAGCAAATCAGCAAGCACTTAACCGCTGAGACTGCTTGATCGTGCCGTGCCTAGAGACGCTGGTCATGACTTGACCGCACTGTCAGTAGGGCGATTCCAGGTGCGAATATGACCTTGGTCGAGAATTAGTATGCTTGAGGAGAAAAAGGTACGGAATGGATCAATACCTTCAAGTGAGGATGTCATAATGCAATCTTTCTGAAATCCAAGCCAGGAAATTGGATCTTCGCCGATGATTTTGGACTATCTCAAGTCAGTTTAAATTTGATCTGCGATTTGCAAGGAACATAACATACCATGATGGGAGGCAACAGGGCAGTTCGCGATCGGGGTTCAACGGGATGGCTGGTCATTGGCTCGAATTCATCGTAGGTATTTTCTGTTTGATCCGAATCAGATCGCATACGATAACCTCCACTGTCGGCACGGTGGCGGGTAGACTGTGAGCTCGGTGCGACAGTACTAATACGTTGTCTGACTGAGTTTTGATGATGCTGTTAAAGAATGTTAGATAAAACTTGTTCTAGAATCAGACAGAAAACTAACCGCGCGAGGCCGATGGAGCATTCCAACGCTGAAATCCCAAAGAAGAAGTCTGCAGTCATCACCGACACTGCCAAATCGATAGGTCTTTTGGTCACAGCGCCAAGGATCGAAAGCCACTGACGACACCCAGGAGTTGTGGCCTTGACATCTGGCCACAATTTTGCGTTCGGGGAATGACCAGATCGTCACCAAGTCATCCTGACCACCCGTAACGATATATTTGCCATCGGGTGACCAGCAAGAACAAATCAATCCACCATAGTAGCTACGGAAAATATCCAGAACCCTATTTCTGTGTTAGCGAAGGCAACCAGATAAGGATGCTGGTCACTCACTCTTCTTTCAAGTAATCCATGAGACGAAGAGAACCATCCTCCATTACAATTGCTAAGTGTCGCTGATCCGGCGAGAACGAAAAGTGGGAGATTTTCTGGCTGGCCAATTTCCATGATGAGACTGGGTTGGTCTTCTGATTGCGCGAGTTGACCGATTTCAGAATCTCGAAGGGATACTGGCTGGGGTCCCTCTCCGGGATACCCGTGGTCTCTGCTGTGAACAAGGCATCCTCTTTCTCCTTGTCATAGACTACCAAAACACCATTTGCATGCGAGGCCATGAAAAGGTTCTCCGATCCAGGAAGCCATTTGATATGCGTTACGGGGGAGTTGTTGATCACACCGTTTTTGTTGATGCGAGCATACTTTTGCGACAAAGGCTCATACCAAATAATGTCGCCAGCGGAAGATCCCATGACAATGTCCAAGTGAGAGGATGTCTTTGTCAATTCGTTGATATCATGGCACAGCATGTGGGCCTTGGTGAATAAAACCTTTGTGAGATGCTCTTCCTTAGACGCGGAGGTGATATCGAGCCATTGAAATGCGCGATTGATGTTGGCAAATGCAAATGTCCCATTTGGGTCACGGTCACTCAGTCGCTTAGCCGATGTCTCGTGGGTTATCACCCTCGAGACAAATGAAGAACTACTCTTGATGATGTTGTTCTTGGGCTTTCGTCGCTTCGTCGCATCCTTCGACGGTGGCGCCGCTGGTGGTGCCAGCGCAGGGTTTCCATCTCCAAATTGAGGAGCGAAGACAGCCTTGAGAAACGTTGGCGGTTTCTTGCGAGGATCGAGGCTGACCAAAGACAACTTGACGCCAGATGTTGGGGGGCTAGGAGCCGTCGCGAGAGGGTTAGGGTTGATGATCGGGGCCTCAGAAGGGTGGGGAGGGGGGGTTGCGAGGAGGAGGTCTTCTTTGAGTGTGTAGGTTCCTATAGCGATGCCCGGCAATTAGCAATATGATCATTTCGGTAAGTAGAATATATGTGTTCAGACAGCCTCCACTATCACAGTGAAATGCATTCAAACGTACCTTCTCCGACCTGAAGTGGACATTCGGGGTGGCTAATGGTATTGTTGGTTTCGACAACTGGGACCGCCATACCATTTGCCGCCCCCGCCGCGTAAGCGACAGGGATAGTATAGCGGGGAGGAGGTGGTGGTAGAACACTGTTGAGTCAGTCAGACGGTGAATAAAATAAATAGGAGATAAAAAGACAACAGCGAAAAAGCTATGCCGCATAGATATCAATATCAAAGTCGATACATGACGTGCGTCGCAAATCAGTGACTTGGGGCGCAATGATATGACGTCTTGAAGATAGTGATAGCTCGCCAGTGATAGCTATGCAGCACCGGGAAAAGACGGGACAACTAAGAACAAGGGGGCTTGTCTTACAACATGGCGATTGGATTGTCGAACTAAGTGTCCCAATTCTGACCAGATAAACCTGTACAACCAACCCGCTTCCAGTTCGGACTTTCAAAGATGGGAGTGGTTTGTGATTCGAGGAAACCCTCTGCTTTTTACTGCAGCTAGTGCAGGGAGGTATGTAACCCGATTAAGTTTCTTTTGCTCCGAGCCAAACAGATGAGAATCGTACAGCTTTAGCTCAAAAAGGTCATGCGCTGTCGGTTCGGTCGGATAGGTTCCAGTCTTGAGCAGTCGATAAGAGATTGATGTTGCACGAACACTGTACGAAGGGAAAAGGTGCAGTGACAAATATTGCTCTCAATGAATTGGGGGAGGGAGGGGCGCAACAACGGGAACAGAGGGTTAGGAGGAGAGGAACGTAGAGATCAGCGAGACGGTCCGGGGTAAAAGCGAGAGCGGAGAAGTCTCGTGCCTGGCAGGGCGGGGACTTATCCGGGTTCACTCCGGACAACCAAGAAGAACTATTTTACGTATGAATCTAGTCTTCGGAATAAGAGATAGAATTTGAAGCGAGAGAATCGTATTCACGGGGTATTATTATGAAAAAGTTGTACATGAAGTTCAAGGATCAATTCCCACTACCACTGACTCGGCGCCATATCATCACGGCAGCCGCTCCGGCACAGACCACCGCCCCAAGCGCAATACCCCACGACATCCACTTGCCCTCAACATCCTCCTCACTACGGGGGAATGCAGTACTGGGCTCCATTGCAGCTTCGGCAATATGAACGAAAACTTCTTGGATGGAATTCCAAGTGACACTGACATGCAGTGGTGGACTGGGCATGTTCAGCATGGCTGTGTAGTCGTGGGGTTGGTACTCTGCCCGTTGGGTGGTACGGTCCAGGTCGGCTTTCAGGGCGATAAAGACACTAGGGAGCTCTTCTAAATAAGGATACTTGGCCCGTAGTGCAGGAATGTACGCAAACGAGTCCGGGTCTGACGAGTCGTATGTGTAGGCGATCACATCGCACTGGTCAAGGAGTTTCGTCTGGTTGTCAAGGATGGCGGGCTCCAACTCGCCCATCTCGTCCATGATGAGATAACATTGTTTGCCACCAGGCAGCTCAACTGTATTGACTGCAGTGCGAGGCTGAATCGTAGGGTGGTAGGTAGTACTGAATCCACGCGAAAGGAGTGCGTCAAGTAGAGCGGATTTCCCCGACCCGGGGGCTCCAAGGACGTGGCACTGCACCACATTTCGCCCGACTCGACCAGGGCGCCTGCGCCGTTTGCGTGGTCTCGTCATCTTCAATGCGGCTGTGATTGATGGGTTGCTTCGGTCAGAAGACTCAAAGCCGAGGTAAGCCAGATATTCTAATGTGGTCTTTGGGGACATGAAAGTTGTCATGCTCCATTGTGCCAACCAGCCCTGAAGTGTCACATGTCCAGCTTCATTGCGGACGGTTGAAGAGGGGAATGAGCCGTCGGCCCAAGATGCGGGTAGGCCAGGCGTCGGTGCAAACAGAGATGACAGCTCAGCATCGTTCAGGCCACCATCGTTATCCTTGTCTGAAAGAAGAAATAGGTTGACAAAAAACCGGTAACCCTCGGGAGAGAGTTCTGCAGATGCGAATGGTGGGACTTCGAAACGAGGATGAAGGAAGCTCTCCTGGAGTGAGAGGTTATCCGTGTATTGAAAGGCTCGCAGAATAATCCAAACAGTCTCGTGGCGCCCTTTCTCTGCGTACAGCTTGTTCAGATGAATAAACCCTTGACGGTCGATACCGGACTCGGTCACGGATTCAGGATAGCTCTTTTGAATGGTTTCCTTGATGTGGGCTAGATCCTCTTCACTCAAGGGCTTCCCAAAACATCTAGTCTGGAAATCACCGATTTCCTTATCCGACAAGTATCCATCACGATCCTGGTCACTCAAGTAAAATATACGTTGTAGCGCAGCCACTGCAGCCGGTTTCAATTCAGCCTCCTTTGAATCGAACAATGGCGCGATGGGGTGGGTCACGGCTTTTTGACAGACGAAGAAAGCTTCATTGACGTTGCGATGTTCGCGAGCGCTGGTGCGGATACAGGAATCAATTTCCTTGAACTCGGACATTAAAGGCAACATCTCCTCTTCTATCACCTGTGTCTCGTTGTGGCCCACTGCCAGGTCTGATTTATTGGCGCATAGAATGACAGGCACATTGACTCCGAGCGACCGAAAATATGGCAGCCAGAATAATGCGACACGCTCATAACTATAATGGTCGGAGTACACTAACAGAATGACGTTTGATTTGCGGATCTCGCGCGCCAAGTTGGTTCGCTCCTGCGGCAGGGCCGAAGTGTCGACGACGGTGGTTGTTGTCACATTCTCAGGTGTTCCGATCGTAGGAGGGATAGTGATAAGAGGAAGAACAGCCTGGATCTTGTTTGTAACGAAGACACCTTTAACCAGCGAGGTGATTAGGCTGGACTTGCCGGTGCCTTCGTCGCCGCAGACACAAATCCGGACTAGAGAATGATCAGTCAGTAACGCGTCACAGGGGCATATTTTTCTAGGTCAACCATACCTGTGGCCATCTGCAAGGCGACAGAGTTGGTTACTGCCTAAGCATAACCAGGTAACGGGCGATAATCCGGGGTTCCAAAGATGTTTAGGATGACGACCTCGGGAGCTGCATCGGGGTCGCGGCAATAACCACTCCACCGCTTTAGCTTGAACTTCAACCTTCAATTGTTGAAAGCGCACTTGACTTGCGAAATGGTTTCGACTTGCTCTTCCAAGTTTAGAGTCGTTGGATTCGAGCAGATAGTTATTCAAATCTTAAGATGCAGTGGAAATCAAAATCTCTATTGATTGCGTCTCGGGGGCTTATGGCAGATGCAGCACGATATACTATGGTATGGTTGTATTTATGGATGGACTCCGTACACACTATATCCACCCTTTACTACGACTGATATTGGCACCGTACATGTGTACTCGTTCGTGCTTTTGTGTGGCCAATTCTTGGAAGGTGGTTCGTCCCTTTAGTTGAGTGTATACTGAAGTAACTAGTACCGCCGGGGTAGATGCATCTGTACTTAAAGGCTGAAACGCCTAGCATGTTATAGTACTACTCATAGATACTATAACTTTAATCAAGAGTATCTGAAAATCCCCGCAAATAAGCTCGCGCGCATACGAGAGAATAAAATATCTGAGACTGTACTCGGAATCTGATTGAGCCTTTCGGGGTTCAAATAGATATTACGAGACCCAATGGCCGCATCTGTTATGTTCACATACCTTGGTATTGCCTACTAATCCAAACAAATGGAATCTTGGGGAGCATATCAGGATTCAAACCTTCAGGCTCGTATATGCCAAATTTCCATACTGGTATACAATTCATGAAGTGACGTCTACTGAAACTTGGGGCGACTTACTAGGAAGTATGATCTGTGAGCTTGTGTGCCTCAACGTCAGAATATAAGGAAAAAGAAAGTTGAACAGCATCTCGATTCCGAACCATGTATTTCTCAAATAATGACTTAGTGGTTGGTCGTCCGAGTGGCTTAAAAGCGAGGCTATGTCTGATGACTGCTGCGCCACTATCGGTACGAGAAAGAGAGGAAGAGGGAATTAGGTTACCATTTTATCTGTAACTTATCTTGGGGGAATATAATTCAATGATATCTCATTAGATTTAGAAAGATCAAAAGATCCATACGGATTACTCCAGTGCTCCATATACTCCATAGATTCAGGGTTTTTACAGGTACAAAGCACCAACCACGAACGGCTATCCCGCGTCCGTCATTGGGCCCACATTCAGCCCCATCTTACTAACCTGCCCGACCTTGGGAAGTTCAACCAACTGTCTTCTCATCTTGTCAGTCTTTTCTTCTCTCAGTCTTCACTTATCTTTGACGCCTTCAGGATGCCTCTCGGGATCCACAATCCGCTTCCGTCGTCTTTGAGCAGTATGTATTTTCCGTCTGCACGCTTCCCCGCAATCGTTCGCGGCATGCCCGGCTAACCAACCTTCTCGATTGCCAGGTGAATGCAAGAAGGCGGCGAAGATCCTGACATCCTTCGTGGACCCCAAGCAGGCCTTCGGTCCAGAAAAGGTCATTCCACCAGAGATCCTGGCGAATGCGAAGGTGAGTGAAACCCCTCCAACGCGGGGTTGCGGGTGACTCGCTGACATACAACGTGTTCCAGGGCTTGGCGATTCTCACGGTTTTGAAAGCTGGTTTCATTGGCTCTGGTCGATTCGGATCGGGTCTCGTGGTCGCTCGTCTTGCTGATGGCTCCTGGTCGGCTCCCTCGGCCATTGTCACTGCCGGCGCAGGTGTTGGTGGCCAGATCGGATTCGAACTGACCGATTTTGTCTTCATTCTGAATGACGCATCAGCCGTCCGCGCATTCTCTCAATTTGGCACACTTACACTGGGTGGTAACGTCTCCCTCGCCGCCGGACCGGTCGGTCGGAATGCAGAAGCTGCTGGTGCGGCCAGCACAAAGGGCGTCGCGGCCGTTTTCTCCTACTCCAAGACCAAAGGTCTCTTCGCTGGTGTCAGTTTGGAGGGCAGTGTGTTAGTGGAGCGCAAGGATGCCAATGAGAAGATGTATCAAAGCCGAGTGTCCGCCAGCCAGCTCCTCACTGGTACCGTTCGACCGCCGCCATCTACCGATGCCTTGATGCGTGTCCTCACATCGCGTATCTTCCAAGGAAACGTCCGCGCACAGGGAGATGCGATGTACAACGACATCCCGATCTACGCAGATAGCCAGGACGATGTGGTCTGGGAAGGTCGCAAAGGCTCGGCCTATGGCCAAGGTGCGCGACGGGAACGATCGAACACCGAGGACAACTATGAATACCGCGATAGCCCACGCCGCGCAAACACATGGGCAGACGACACATATGATCGACCGACAGGAAACATCGGTCGCTCGGCGACTACGCGCGCTCCCCCTGTTGATACCTATGACAACTATGGACGCAGCCGGAGCAACACGTATGAGAATGATGACTATGCCTACTCAGATCGTCGGCCGACCCGGCCTACCGCGCCCAAGCCGGTCTTTGGGCAAAAGACGGGTGCAGGGCCAGGACTGCGGCAGGACCAGGTGGTCGCACTTTTCACATTTGATGCGGACCAGGAAGGTGATTTAGGATTCAAAAAGGGCGATATCATCACAATCATCAAGCGAACAGAGAAGGCTGAAGATTGGTGGACTGGACGTATCGGTGACCGCGTCGGTATATTCCCCAGGTAAGCGTTGACTTCCCCCAGGTCAATTTTGACGTGGAAAGCCTAAGACTAACTCCATTTTCAGCAATTACGTTGATTCCTCCTAAGTTTTCAGTGCAAACACGATCGTCTACTCATTACGAATCGTGGGCATACGCAGACATGATCGGATAGGGATGAATATTTAGTTGGGCGTATGTGGATTCGAGTCTTTTCTCCCCATTCATTTTCAAATTCCCATTTGCGTTTTATCATTCTGTCTCTTCTTTCATGACACAAGCGTTGAAATTCTCATTCTGGTTCCTCTCTGCTCCGGCATACAGCGTTAGGATTACGTTATTTGCGTTTCGCGGTGGATCCTCCCGTCAGCCTGCACGTTCTTAGAGTCCTCGTTCCGCCTATCCTTTATCTATCATTTGCAAATAACCTTGAATCCCCGCTTTAGTCCTAGTCTAAATAGACCCATGAACTCCGGTATAAGTATCGTGTTCATGTTCATGACAGTTTCCAATGTTTTCCCCCCCTCTTTCCCTGACGCCCGTGTAGAGTGATACGGCTTATTCCCTGCACCTATGATGATTGGGGGACATGGAAACTCTAAAACCGGCCCCTAGGACCTTGTTCCTTTGCTGTACTAGAAGTGAGTCTGTGCTACTGAACGGACTCTGTTCTTAGAAGAGAGACAAAGATAGAACCTAGAAAACAAAGGATTGAAAAGAATGGAATTAAACATGCATATACAGAATGTTTGATAATTTGATACAGGAACACCACCTATAAAGGGTATGGTAGATCAAGAAAGACATCAAGTCATCTATGACTCTGGAATGGTCGTACTTGGTTCACGTCCGACAAGGTCAGAATGCGAACCAACGTGAACCACGAATCGCCGTCTGAAGCCGGTCCACCTGGCTATGACTCGTGTTGCATTAGATTAGGATGAGACTTGTATAGAATCCTGTTATGAAGATTATGGTCAAAGAGCCAGGTAAAGCATCAGCAAACCTGCATATTAGGCTACTCTTTGTAGATGTCGATCAACCAACACCAGGTCAGTAAGTGATCGTCCCTTGGCTAGACTCTATGGGCCGGTTCTGTTCGTTTCCTACGAAAAGTGGAGACCCTGAAGGGATGGAGAAAAGATGATTGCGCGAAACTAAAGAATAGAAGAAAGAGAAAAAAAGATACTCAAGTGAAAATAGAGGAAGTAGAAGGAGAGACAGAAAAATAAATGTCAGGTGCTGTGACCACTAAACTCCGCCCGCGAAATTATCACAACTTCATTCCCCAACTTCTGCATTCTTTCTTCCCATTTTTACTTTGGACCTTCCAACTTCTACCTCTAATGACGGTTGGTCTAGTGCCCACCCTCTCTTTCCGTTCCGTTTCCCCCGCTTCGATGATCGTTCTGCTTCGACTGGTACATTGAGCGTTCGTTCTGCCCCCCTCCTTGAGAAGGCACAGTCTTCAGGGTTATTTGGGCTCTTTTGGTTCCTGTGGAGTTGGTTCCCATGCAGGTGCGTACTGAGAAGTCTATATTGTTTTCTTACCTAGCTCTTTCTACCTCTTGAATGACCCCGGATGCGCCTTGACGATTGCCTATTTGCCCCCCCTCGTCACGCACACCGGAGACCCCTCCAACCGCCATCCCACCCGTGTTTCACGATTGTGTCCCATTGAATCGAAATCATAACCTCGAAAGGAAGCATCGTTGCCTATGCTGACTACTTTTTTTCACCGCCGATCAGGCTTCCACGAGTACCCCTGAGGCTGGCGGAGGATACGCGAGGAGAGGCCATGCAACCCATCTGTCGATTAGCGACCCTAGCCACCATGTGACGGAGGCGATCGGCCACATGTACGACGACGACTACGACCGCAATGATCCTAGGCGTTTGAGCTATATATCATCTCCCCATGCCGAGTCAATCACCACTATCCCGCGAGGAGCCGCGGATTCCGAGCTTTCGCACGCATCCCAGCAAAACTCACCGATTGAGAGTCAAAAGCAGACAAATGGACATCTTCGCCCACCACTTGCCTCCCATCGGTCCTTTGATCGGAACAGCGATCCCGGTTCGCCTGAGCTAACTCGATCACCTTCGGAAACCGCGACGGCTTCTTTCCCTTTAAATGATGTTGACTACGAATCCGATCCCGCCGCAGTCGTCCAGGAACTGAACAACCTTGCTGCCATTAGACGCATGTCAATGGATGTCGCGGCTGCTGGCGATCCCGACCTTCCATCTTTTGGCAGCAATCTTTCCATTCCAACCACCCCGCCCTCCCCCTCCACCGATGAAAACGATACGTCTCGGTTATTTTGGGTTCCGGCGAGTCTACATCCGGAGTTGGCACCGAAGGAGTTCAAGTCATTTCTTGAAAGCAAGGCCGATTTAATTAAAAGGAAATCGGGCGACTACTCCTCTCTCGGACCTGAGCGCCCTGGGTCACAGAGTAGTCTTCGTCGGAAGCGGTCGATGTTGTCGAAGCAGATCGACAATTCTGCTGGTTATACAGATGGCGCAGAGCGACTGGAGCGCCAACGTTCGCAAGCAAGTAGGCGAGATGGGATGCTGGGCCCGAATTTGCAGGAGCTGGAAACCCTGGTTGATGACTCTCCACAAAAAGATAAATTGGTCCGGGATCTGCAAAATGCAAGCCTTACTGCCAGCGAGGATAAGCCCATTTTACCGCCAGCGCCCCCAGGACATAGCTTGCGAAGGTCAACTCGGACACAATACCGCAAAGGGAGCTTGAAAAAGGGCGAGAAACCCCTTTACTCCAAACGAATAGGCCGGGGTCTCTCAGAATCTGCCGACTCGGCTCCAGCGATTGCCCTCCCGCCCGATGGTAAAAACACCGCTCAAACGACCAGGGCGCAACCTTCCACGTCCCAAACCCCGGGCTCTACGACCAGTTCAACATTCAACTCGATTATTCACAGCCCAGAGACCGAAAACGCAGCCTTATCATCTGGCGCGCAATCGGATGTAGCTTTCAATCAATCAGACGCCGAGGCGCAGGCGAACGCTGCTACTTATGCCCGGCAATGGCAGTCACGCACTCATTCGAACGGCCAATCCGCGAACATACCACCCAACGAACCAATCGCTCCCCCCACTGTCGAATCATCAGTCATCGAACCCAGTCGCTCATCACCTACCCCACCTTCGCAATCCAGTCGTTCGTCAGACCGTGATGTAACATCCCCATACTCATCAAAATCTACAAATTCATCCGTGGATTCGACCCCAAGCAAAAGATCATTAATGGGACCGAGTCGACAGGGCCGAGAGACGACCCCGACCCTCAACGATGTTGCCAATAACCCCCAGATGATACCTGGAAACAGCACTCGTACAGATAGCCTGTCATTCATCCCGACTATTCCCGAAGAGCGCAGATCTGAAGATCGTAAGACTGAAGGCAAAAAGTCCAGGAGGGATGATGGCAGCCGCAAGTCAAGCTGGCATTGGCTCTTGGGGAGTGAGGAGAAAGAAAAGAAAAAGGATAAAGACAGTGACTCGAGAAAGACCAAGTCGAAGATTGCAGAGAAGGTTCACAGCAGCAATGCGCGCTCTGAAACAACATCCCAGTCCTCTTCCTTGGACAGTACCCCCAAAGGCCGAGAGAGTCTCATTATCGACCGCCTTGACCCTAAGTTGGAGGAAGAGCGACGGAAGGACAGCGCTCGAAGAGCCTCGGGGGATAAGAAGGAAAAGGACGGGATATTCTCCTCGATATTTGGTGGTGGGAGAAAGAAGCATGGTGGGGATGGTTCCCATCACAGAAAAAACTCATCTCGAAACCTGTCTCCTGATCCCCCGATGCGCGAGTTTCGGCCAGATATCGACTACCCCTGGACTCGTTTTTCTATTCTGGAAGAACGAGCAATCTACCGCATGGCCCACATCAAGCTGGCAAATCCTCGCCGAGCTCTTCACTCTCAAGTGTTGCTGAGTAACTTCATGTACTCGTATCTGGAGAAGGTGCAGCAGATGCATCCGCAGATGGGGGCCTCCTCTGGCTCATCCAGGTCATCCAGATCTCGGGAACGAGAAAGAGAGCAACAGCCAGACGAGTACCTTCAATACCAGCGATACCAAGAAGTAAGTAGAGACCCATCTTTCAAGGTGGAGACGAATAACTGACTCGAGAACCCCTTTTCCAACAGGCGCAAGAGCAACAACACTACGGGGACTCTGCATACGATGAAGCATCCATGTATGATTACGACGATGATCCTCGCGATCGCTACCAGACCCACGAGCACAGTAAGCACGGCTATGAGAACGGTCATGCTTACGGCTCGGACCATTACCAGTATGGACACTCGTCCTTTGGCGACGATGTTCAACTGGATGACGATGATGACGATGATATGTGGTGAACCAAGCGCCGGCGTCCCCACTCATTTTTTCTTTCTTCTTTTGTCAGCCATTCAGCTTTCTTTTCTGCAGTCCACAGAAATACCCACCCATCCGTTTGTCAGCTTTGGTTGTTCCTAGAAGCCTGTATACAAGCCCTCTCTCCCACCTTCCCTCCAACATTTTCGAGCCTTTTCACAGCATTCATAGCTTTACTGGCACACCAAGCCAGTCATGGTATCGTATTCTTACGCACATGCCAGGCCTGCAAAGACTTGAGGGATACATTTGGGTGTTATCTTCAACGCTCTTCTGTTTCTGATTTGACTTTGCTTGGCCCTTTAAGCTGGTCTAATGTGGCCCTGGCCCTGTGCACTGCCATATTGTCTTTTCACACACATGGTCTGATTTCTCTCTTCGCATAGCGCCTGGGGTTTGCCTTTTTGTCCTCGTGCTTTTTCCCGCCTTGAGCCTACTTCTTGTGTTCATACACTTCGGACTATTTTTGTATCCTCTTTTCTTGTCCGAAATTATTACTTCCCCCACCCTCCCAAGTTTCTCCTATGAGTTGCCGGGCAAATTTGCCGTGCTTGAATCCAGAGCATTATACTTGAAGCTTCAGTACACCTCGTCTGGTGTTGAAAATATGAATAATAGCCAGTAAATACCCAATGAATACGTCAAGCGGTCAGGTGAATTTATGGTTTCATTTCGTGTATTCATAATTTCATCAAGTCTATACAAGCCTCCATAAATTCGATTAGTGTCTTTCCCCATTAACGCCAAATGGAACCCCAAGTCTCAAATGCTCAGCGGTCCACTCAAGTTCATGTGTTAGATGAGTCGGATCCCTTATCCTGAAATCTGCTTGATAATCATTCAACGCAACCAGAAGCTTCGCCTTCAACACGGTATCACTAGTAGCCGCCCACGCAGCCGAAAGACAAATAAGAAGATATCCCGCGCCAACAGGCCGATATATTACTGACCGCTCCGCAAGGGCAAGAACCTCTTCCGCGAGCTCAGTCGCATCAAAAAAGACACCATCATTGCCAGTCCCTAGTGCGCCAAGCATGCAGTTAAAAAATAGCGTCACGACCAGCCCGATACCATACGTGCGCTGGTAATGTGCGTAAAAGAATTCCTGGACAAATTTCTCAGCACCCTTGGAGACTTGCGCCATATCGACAGTTGATATATCATTATTGATCGCTCTTTTTTTGAGATCGAGAAGATTTTCTTTGCATTTTTGGTACAATGGCCAGATTTCAGCGCGTATGGATACGGGGTCAATGCCTGCTTGTAGAATGTATCGGCCCCGACACATCACATTGGGGCCACGGGCGAGACATTGTAGAATCCGGCCTTCGGGTGTATGTTCGTCAAACTCATTGGTAACGAGCTCGTCCCATTCTTTCTGCGTGAGGTTTATTCGGTCGTTGAAGAGCCCTTCGAAGAGCTGTGACGTTATTAGCATTTCGAAGGAATCAAGGTATGCCGGGAAAAGAAACCCACTACACTGCCGCGTAACGAGAGGAACAACTTCTTCTCGAACAGATCACGCGGGCTGCATTGTTTTCGCGCTTTAAGGATCTGCGCTGCGCCTTCCGCATGCCCAGACCGGTATTGTGTAGTCGGGCCCAGAAACAGCTGACACACTAGCAGGACCATCACTGCGCAAAGCGTGTTGGATGATTGCGCATGGACCCTATTATCGAGATATACTCGTAGCATTCTCAGCGCCTGTGAATACTTTGTCAATGCCTCGGCTGTTGCTCCTTGACGGTTAACACCGCAAAACCCAGCATGCGCGGCTGTCAGTGTCTCGATCGCGCGATCGAGTGCTTCATTTTCACCTAGTCTTCGCGGGACATCTTCCAAGTAAGCGCCGAATGTCCACCATAGGTTATACCGAAGATCGGTGGATCGGTCAATAGTTTTGATAAACCGATTCGCTAGCGACGAAGAAACGCTAGTCATCGTCGCAGTTGGTGGACTGGGCGGGAGACGAATATGGATGTGTTCAGGCTTTGTGGGCATAGCTACTAAAAACACACAATCCGAAGCATTGCTGATCGTCTCTGGGGAATAAGATTGTCGTTTCCAGACTGTTGGGGCAGAGACCGTGAAGCGTTTTTCCTGCAGGAACTTGAAGCGCTGTTGGCCTGATCCCACGCATTTTAGTTTGAGACGGATGCAGCGTGAGCAGGTGGGTTGTTTTTCGTCGCACTAGAGTGATTATGAGTTTTATATTCTGTGGGTGTTGGCTCGAACTTACCTTTTTCTTTTGCTTGCGACATCCGTCGCATGCACGTCCTGTAGGAACTCCTGGCATGGAGGTAATAGTGGGCCCGAGACCCTGAACGATGTGGGGAACGTGGATCGTCCACAAAGCACTACCTATTCAAAGTAGGGAATACTATTAGTGTGAATGTCGCTGGATGACACCGCTCTAAGTCACACTATATCCTATATCCTCAAAGCTAAAATTTCACCAAAAGGTTATTTAAAGAGTTGGGGCTGATGGGTCGACATTGTGCAGACTAAACCTGATCGGGTTCTATGTGCCGCCGTTCATGCTGACTGTATTCATGATTGGCCATGACTGTAGGGACAGTTGTACCAAAAGCAGAGGCTGTTTGGATCCCATGAAGCTCACAAATCCTCTTGAGTTTAATTAGGCTGATTTGGATGTAATGACTGCTCAGCCTCGAGATAAATGGTAATCATTGCCATTCTTGGGGTTATGTTGCGCTCATATCATTGACGAACGAATACTTAAACTACAAATTTCCACCTTTGCTGTGAAGTAATGCTTCTTCGGGTCTTTTTTTGCATCATGAATTCTCGTACAGATCCGGTCAGTTACTATTATACAAGCCCAGCCATAGTGGGCGTTTCGATGCTGTTGCACGTCTTCCAAAATTTTTAAGACCTTCCTTCCTCAAGGTGTATACTATACATTTACGGCCTTGTGAACAATCGCTACAGATTCTAAAAAGTAACATTCTTCATCTCCTGGGGAGGAGACATCTTTACAACAGCATGGATCCTCCGCTGTATCTCCAGCTACCACCCTGGCAACATGAACCTGTATATCGCCCAATCCGTCTTTATTTACTTGGCACCACCCGTCTACTCAGCCGCCGCATACAATATTGTCGGTCGACTCATGAACTACGCCCCCATGCACGCCGTTCTCAATCTCAATCGCGTCCTGATTCTCTTCGTCTACGTTGGCGCCGCTGTTGAAAGCATCACCGTGGCAGGTGCAGCGAAGAATGCCGCTGCTGGCACAGATATAGACTGATATAAATCCGGCGGGATCCTCATCGCCGCGGGACTCGTTCTCCAGGGCGTGGTGGAATGTCTAGTCGTCGCGATTGTCGCAACGTTCCACATGCGTGCATCGCGAGCTGGAAGAATCCCACACAATATCCAACCTCTCTGTGTTACTTTATACGGCACCTCGACCTTCGCTTTGCTGCGCTGTATTCTCCGTGCTGTCGAGGCATTTGAGATGTCTGGGAATCTGGGCTGTCACGAGAATTGTGGACCCATTCATAGTAACGAATGTTACCTCTATGCGTTTGAACTTGGGCCAATGTTGATCTTTACATATTGGCTGAACATCTTGCATCCTGGGCGGTTTTTGCCGAGGGAGAAGAGGCGGTATCTGGACACCGATCAGATTAGTGAGCGCTATGGGCCTGGTTGGATTGATTGTCGGTCTAGGTGGGAAACATTTGTCGATCTGCTTGAGTTCCAGAGTATGATCAAGGGTCGGCCTTCTCATGATTTGTATTGGATGAGGAGGGAGGAATGGCCGGTTTGCAATGGAAGTCTTGCAGAAGGGACTGCTTCAAATGTCAAGCCAAGCTTGGACAAAAAGAAGACTTGGAGAGTTTTTGGCGTCCTCTAGTCGACTAAAGATGAATTGAAATCCTTCATATGGCCTAAAGTAATTAGACTGTAGCACCATTATTTAGCTTCTATTTTTGAATAAAATCTTAAACTATCCTGCTCATGTGTATATTATAAGTATAAGAAAGGTACCCAGGTACTTGAGTTGATAATGACGTTATTGAGAAGCCTGACTGAACAGACTGTGAAGGTCGTAGAGATGCGTAAGGAAAGTAGCCTGGCTGAAGGATACCAAAGGTATGAGATAGTCCAGTGCCCTGGACAAGAAGTTCATGACTGATCATATGATCAGGTGCGAGTCACCAAAGGTAGCAAATGAAGTGAATGGGTGATCCATCCCAATCGGGTAATATACTATAAAAGCTTTCTCCCCCTCCTCTTCTGTTCTGTTCTCTTCTTCGTTCCCATTTAATCTCTGCACTTTTGAATTTCCTGCCCCATTTGGTCCCAAGGGTCGATCAATTATGGCATATTGGAGGGATTTTAGTATGGACTCAAAGACTGGTTGTTTCCAAATGATAACTTGTGTGCGAGACCTTTCACTTGCAGATGTAGCTCTTACGGACTAGAATTTGGAGCTCTGGCTTTGAAATCCCTTAAATTGCTTGAGGAGAGTATCTGATAATCTGAAATGAATTATCGCAAGGTATGACTTGATGGCTTTCTTCTTCTGGGCCTCGCTTATGTGCATTCTGGATTTGAGAACAGTTTATGGTTGCACCTATCTCAAAGTCTGAATGAATTCCTCTCCCCAAACAATTTTTGTCTTATCTGCCCTTTCTTTGTAGATGACCCTGGTTATCAGAAGAACTCAGATGGATGACCTTGATTGTATATTAATTCAAGTTAGTAGACTAGCTCTATACTATACGTAGGGTATCCTCTCCACCCCACCCAAAGCTTGGCCCACTTACCGTTGCAATTTGCCAGTCACGTAGGTAAATTAGAGCCCCCTTTCACAATACGCAAGGTAATTGACAGTGCTACAGTCAAGTATTGGAGTATTCGATGTTCAGTGGGGCCGGCAACGATGTATGCATTCGCGTGGAGCCGAACTGGATACTTGACCCCCAGTGCAGACAGTATCAGTTTAACCCCAAGATTGCGACAGAGCTAAGCAAGCCCCGAGGGATTTCATTTTTCGCACGTAATTGAGGGGTTGCAAAGAAGTTCCAGGTCTTTTGGAAGTCGAGCTTCTCCATGGTTGTTACAAGTTTATAGGGGCTACTCGATGCTTTGAGGTACTCCATTCATAACCTCATTAGAAACTACCTCATTAGAATATATAGAGATACCCAGGAAAGCGCTCTTGGAATTAAAGATTTTGCGAAACTTTGTCTCTCTGTTTTATAAATGGAACTGTGACGATGGGAAATCCCCGGATTCTTTTGCGGGGAAAGGGGGGTAGACAGAGTGGCTTGCTTGAACTAATCAAAATCAAGTAAATGTCCAGAATTGCAAGGGTGTATGCTCGATAGTGTGTAAAACGTAAATTAATGTGGAGCCGATTTGCACTCATGGATGTCTATGCGAATCCTACCACTATATCTCCCAGCATCTCAATTGGAACCTTGCCTTCACAGCCACTCGGTGGCCACATTGCCGATAAAGAAAAGAGGTGGTCGGGATATGCCCAGCTCATTACGACTCTGTGGACATATCATGCTCACATATATAAATACTTCCCGTGGTTTTGGATGTCAAACCAGATCCAGCAAATTGTCCTTTATTGACGGCAACCTTAGGATCGGACTGTTCATAATATTTTGAAATGAATTCATTTATAAGTCGTCGTTTGGGTGCTCTGATGATTGCAAGTGTCCCTGGAGTCCTGGGAATCACGTCTGCTACTTCTACCTCTGCGTCCACCGTGGTAGCATCAACCTCAACAACAGCATTACCCACCACAGCTGCCTATTTTGTCGATGGAACTACCACCACCTTTGCACATATTACACTCACGGCAACTGGCACAGATGAAGGTGTGATAATAGTGAAGGAAACAGGAGTGGCACACGTTCTTGATTCCACATTGATCAAAACCGGAAATACCACAATCGACGGAGAAAGCTCCTTCACAGACCTCAATGCTGCAGTTGGAATAGAGACCAATGGCACGATATTCATCTCTAACGGCAAGATAATCACCAACGGGCTGAGTGCCAATGGACTTCACACGTATGAGGATGGATCAACGGCTTATCTTTCCAACGTCAATATCCATGCTGAAGGGGATGGCTCTCACGGAATATACACAGGTGGAGGCTCTATCTACGGAAATGACTTGACAATTAATACCTACGGCGGCCATGGGAGTGCTATTGCCACCGACCAAGGCGGAGGCTTGATTGAAGTCAGCGACAGCGTTGCCAATACATACGGGGCTCTGTCCGCTCTTGTGTACTCGACTGGCAACATCACCACATCCCATCTATCCGGTATTTCTGCAATCGCGCCTGTTGCCTGCATTGATGGATCCAATTCATTCACCCTGAACGATCCCTCTGTCACGTCCGGTACCCAGAACAACGGGGTGTTTCAGATTGTGAGTACGGTCGCGAGCAACGGCACTGTGGACACAGCCTATGCATATGTTTCCGGTGGATCTGTTGCGGAGACCAATGGGACTTATGGTGTGCTGTTTGTCGCAAATGTACAAGCGTATGTTTATTTCACGGCGGTGGATATCACAGCAAAATCGGGTATCTTGGCGAATATCACGGCAGACGACCAATTTGGCACATCTGGTATCAACGGAGGGACTGTTAACTTATTCTTGACTGATTTGCATGTCTCTGGTGATATATATGTTGATGCTATAAGCGAGGCCAATATTTATTTGGTTCGATCTCACTGGAGTGGTGCTATCAATACGTTGAACACTACAGGTACCGTTTCAGTCCATGTTGATGCGGAAAGTACGTGGACTCTGACTGGTGACTCCAACGTGGGGACGATTGGCATGGAAGGGAGGGGTTCAAATGTGCATCGGGGACAGTATGATTTGAGTTACGACCGTAAGGCGAAGAGCTAAATTGAGGCTTGAGTATTTAAGCACATAAGACCCATCTTTATGCTTTCTTTGGCAATTTTCTTACCATCTTTGCCATTGTGTTATGTTTTTAATCACCAATCATTTACATCTTACAGAATTGAAATTACAACTTTGCCTTCTCAAATTCGGTAAGCTTGCGCAGAGGAGGCCCAGCGCGACTTCCATCACCCTTCATATCATAGGCAGCAGAGTTCGCGGGTGACGGGGCCAATCGCCACTTCTCGCGCAGCTCCTTGGGCGCCTTGTTCTCAAAGCAGTCCGCAATATATTTTCCCAGAATCGGCAAGAATTTGAATCCACTAGTTCACATTAGCAGAGGGTTTCTTTTTTACAGTAGATAACAAATATGGAAGTTATGTAGAAGGGGGGAAGCTTACTGTCCAGCTCCACCGGTGGCCACAAAGAGACCTTGAAGCTCTGGGTGTTGATCAATTATAAAGTCACCTTTCGGGGTGTCGGTGTACCAGCAAAGTCGACGATTCATCCATGGCCGGTCGCCAAACTTGGGGAAGAACTGGCGGAGGCCTTGGCGCAGGCCGTCATCTGCATCGTTAGGAAGATATCCCGTCTGCGCGTTGCTGCTTTCAAGCTTAGGCGAGGAGACCGTCCGAGTGACTCCATGGGCTGAAACCGTGACTTCGTTTGCGTAACCATACCCATGACGTGCGAGCTTGAGAATGTTGGAGCCCGGAGTAGGCGGGAAGCAAAATACTCCCGTGCTCATGTTGATCATCACAGGAGTCGATTCCAAAGATCGGGCTTCTTCCGGTGTCAGTTGGATAAATCCAACGGGCTGTCCCGATGAGGATGCAGCGTGTGCAATATCGAAAAGACGGTTAGTCCATGCACCGGCGCTCACAATAATCTGGGATGCAAGCAAGAATCCTCCATTAAGAAGATTGACGCCTACAACTCGGGATCCTTCTCGGCGCAAGGAAGCCACGGTCCCGCGAGGTCCGGAAATGATGGATACACCCTCCACACTGCAGCGCGAAGCCAACTTCTGTATGCTACCGGCAGCATCAGCCCAGCCACCTTTCCGGTTCAGATAACCATTCATGCCGGACAGCTTCGCCTGGATGTTCGGGTATGACTTCAGCAATTGCGTGGCATCTTTGAGGTCCTCCACTTTTCCACCAGTTGCCAGGACTGTTGCTCTGGATTTCTCAATCCAATCGTTCCGGGGAGTCTCGGATAGCAATGCAAATCCGGATTCGAAGTACTCCTCCTTGTAATCTGTCGTCCATTTCTCGTAGGCCTCACGAGCCATCTGACAGTAGACCGGATCGGCATAGTCGACGCGAATAATGCGCGACAGGTCGACACTGCTTCCGTCTACTACCGGAGGAGCATACCGATCTAAAACAGTGATATCGGTGTATCCGCGCTGTTTTAGTTCCAACGCAGTTGACAGACCGAAGACGCCAGCGCCCACGATGATGATCGAATCGCCCTTCGAAATCGCCATTATGTCCAGTTATTCGGAGGCAGGCGGGGAAGCGTAATCTCAAGGATAATCCGAGAGTCTAAAAGTCATAAATGAAAAACGGTTCAGTACCGGGTTCTTGGCGTCCGGGAAACACGGAAGCGGGCCGTGTCCCGGATAAGGACTACTATACAAGGAACTCGGGATACATTCATGTGGTATTCAGACTCAGCCAATCTTCGAACGCCTTGTCATAATCCTGCAACTGCAAGAGAAGTGTTTCTCCACCAGCAAAGTCCAAATTTTGGGATCTTGCCAATTCAGGCAAGCCCAACGCGGTCGGCTCCGGACCGGGTTCTTGATGCTCAGCCTGCTCGGGAGGGTAAGTGACGCATTCGGTCGCGACAGTTTTGTGTCCTGAAATTCCAGCTGATCCAATTAGTGTGAAGTCATGTTCAGTAATCACATCAGCTGATGATAATCCTAGGTTGCTGGGGTTTTCCTTGGCCAGAAAAGGGCCAAACATGTCGCCTGTCGGATCTGGAGCTCTGCTTGCATGGGGATAGACTAATATTTTCCACATTAATTGCAAGTTTACAGTCCACTTTGGATCGGACGGTGCTGGTAAGCGAGTATCCGTTGTGTGACTCCCAGGCGAAATGCTGCCACGAAGTTGCTCGAGTTGCCGGGCCTAGTCAAGACTTAGTACAATCACGACGAATAAACTCGAGAGACTTCACCTGTCGATCGATGTGTGGCCAACGACGCCCCATCACTTGCAAAAATCGAATGCATTTTTTAAAGCCTGTTTGTGCCTTTTTGCGGAAGCTTTGATCGTCGGCGAAGCTGTGTTGAAGATAGATTGTCGCAACAATGGCGACAGAGTGACCCAATGTTGGATCTGATACCTCAAAGTTTTTCGTTTCGAGTAGTTCTAGAAAATGAATTATCCAGCCCGAATGGAACGTGAGCTGCTCGAACGAGTTGCGGAGAAATGATTGGGGCATCGTTCTCCTAAAATTTCTCAGTCGCATGGAAAGAAGAAAAGGGTGGTTCAATAGACAAGGAATTGCATGCCAGACAATCTGATAGAATAGCCAAGGGCCCCAGTATTCACGATGTGCCTGTAAATCGGCTGGAGAATGGTCTGGAAATCGACTGGCATGAAGCCGGAATTTCAATGGCATGCAAGTCTCGTGCTCGGTGTGCCAATATGTGATCATCGCATAGTCTGATTGTGGGTACCAGGGGGGATGCGTGTCATCCCCAGCATTGTTGATGGCGTACTTGCAGGCCAATGCCCATAAATCAGTCGTATACATGACGCTTGCATTGATACCAATGTCCGACTTAGAATCACTATCACCTCTAGAATACCTTTTCGGTATCAGAGTCTCGAAAGCAGAGGCAGCAAGCCCTCCAAAGAAAGTTTTATCAGAGGTTGCTTGAATTGAGCATTGCTGTGGGGGCCCCTGGAGATTCTTGAGCATTGTCACACTGGCATAGCATAGCTTTCGCTCGTCTTGCTCCGTTTCGATGTATTTGAGGAACTCGAATTTCGTCGGTCTGATGTTGCACATGAAATATTCTGCCATTTGTGTATAGAATCCTGCTCGAATCAGGTTTCCATCTTTGTGGGATAGTATCAGTATGTTGCGAATCGTGAGTTTTGGCTGGGCCCATACCAGTAAATTCCAACATGCTCAGAAGACACATGGTTTGAATTGTTGAAAGCTCCACATTCCCATCACCGATGCGTCTCATGACCATCTGGCAGGACTTTTCTGTCTTTGTCGTGATATCTTGACGAACTTGGCTGTCCTTGACACCATCTCCCCGAAACCGAAGGCCCAAGGCCTCAATTGAAAGCAAAAGCTCTGGATCTCGGTTACCCAGGGATATTGGAGAGATACTCTGGGGAAACAACGGCAGAGGTTGTGAATTGCAGAAAGTCAGATATAATTGAGTTGCTGGTAGGTCCTGTGAGTGGTCTCTGTCACAAGTTAGTATAATGGCCAGTTAGACCAAGGGTTTCCTACTTACAAAAACGAATGGTCGGTAGACAGTGAAGGGATATTTTCTGGTGAATATGTCGGAATGGTTCTGGTATCCGGGGCTCCGGCCTCGGCTTGAGGTTGCCGGCTGCCACTTGAAAGGTCAGATCGCAGCCAAAAACGATGCCTGCACAACATACGTAATATAATCCATGAGCTGCTCAAGCTTGCTCTCAATGCGAGAAACACGATCCTCCTGTAATATGTAAGCTTTGAGAGCAAAATAGACATTGTAACTTTTACCATATTTTTTGCAAAATCCGACCCTTCCTCTATTGGCTCGCCGGCATACACGCATTTTTGGCCCAAGCGCTCGCAATGGGAACAAATCGGCTTTTCTCCAGGGCAACGCGATTTCTTGCGGCTATTTTGCGGTCAGCTTAGGGAGCATGCGATCAACTGAATTGATTCTGCCTTTCTTACCGGCAAGGCTCACAGGCCTGGCGAGCGCGTTTCGACGGCCGCTCATCTATAGGCGCCATCACGTGTAGACCCGGATCATTCAGGATAAGCAGGTTAGTAAGCCCGGTGGAAATAATCAACAATTATTTGGAATGGCCTTGCGAATTATCGTTTCTCATCACAAAGGCGCATCGAGAGGAAGGTTGTATAACCTGGGGGAAAAAAGAGCGTGGAGCCAAGTGGGTCAGAGCCGGGAAGGACAAATCGCATATCTTAAGCCCCTCCAATACCCATAGAATTTGCCAAATCTGTCAGCGAGAATCTCAGAATATTACTTGATATTAAAAAACGTGTTGATGGTAGTCTACTGATTATCCCGCTCACATTCACTTGACAAAGTGCTTATAAGTTTGTTGCGGCCTCCATCTTGCCAATCCATGGTCAACCACCAGCCTAACAATGTATTTAAATTCTGAATTTGGCCACGATCCAACAATCATCTCATCTTGAGCAAATGGACCGACTTGCTGGATTTTTAAGCTACCTTTTTGATAAGCAATTGAAGGCCCCAGCGTAGGCAGCAGTAGTGTCTAAATTAAGAATAAAGCAGACTGGGGTCGGCCCCAACCTGCTCCCTCCCTGCCCCTTATATAATGTGGTCTATTTGCTCATTCCATCCAAATTCGCCTTTGAGAACCCCATATTGAATCTCAAGTGTCTTTACCATGACTAGTATCTAACTCTTTTGTTTTGCCGAGGAGGCTAAAGCAGTAAGTGCAATTCAAGGGATCAAGGATATCGGGCTGGGTCGAACTCCCAGCAATTTAGATACATTGAAAGACAAGAAATGTGAACCTTGGACTTGCAGGTTATACCGAACGTTATGCGCGAATTCAGTTGCAATGATGACGACCTTCCCTTCTTATTGCTTGTTGGATCAAACGTCTGCCCTAGAGAACGAGAGTGGTTCAAAGACAAGTGAGGAACCTTTTGAATCTGGTTTTCTCAACGCCTCAAAGGAGCAGTTCCAGAAATGAGCTCTGGGAAACTGGCACGGGGTCAAATTCATCGGGCAAAGTGACATTGCTATCGCAGACGCGCGAAGTGCTCGAGATGGGACTTTAGTTATGAGTGTGTGGAACCGTACCAATGTCCCCCTTGAGGACTGGGGACCCCTACATCCAAGAGCCAAAGCCTGGTATGATTTTACAATTCATCATTTTGCGTTCAATGCATTCAATGCCACTCTCCACTGTTTTGTACTTTGGGATGCCCTACGGATCTACTATCAACAGCCAGAGACGTATACTGATGAGGCTGGGGCATTTGATGCTTTCAAAGTGGATTCATGGATGAAAGGAGAATTCGACAATGACGATTTTATTTTGGAAGCTCCAATGAGATTCGCTCCGTCTGGCGGAAATTAAATTCGAGCCGATGCTACAGTTAAGAGCTCAAGCTGGTCTGTTGGACAAGATAGGGACCCGATGAATGACAAACCAGCCTGTACATATCCTGAATTTGACATACAATAAGAGGCTATGAAAATAACACGAATTCGTCATTTTATCATCAAAATCAACAATATGTACTGCGCTGTCACTTGGTTATAGATCGGGGCGGGGTCACATGACCTGTCATCTACCACCTCAGCTTTCCCCGGACGAGCCACTCGTCATCCCAGTCATTCTTGTTTCCTCCCCACCAGCCATATCCACATTCTCCAGATTCCCCCAACGCTCCATATCCACAATCTTCGGACACATCGAACACCTGAAAAGATGAGCGACGCCTACGAACGTGAGCAGTATGTCACCCCTTTCCCTCTGAGCTGCTGAGGTTGTCCGTGGCAGCTACCGAGCCATGACCACCTAGTTTTCATTTTCACCGTGTCGCTGACTCCTTTTCTTCAGGCAAAACAATGCACTCCTCAACTCCCTCTCGTCCAAGGTCTCCGCCCTCCGACACGTAACGATTGACATCCATGACAATGCCCGAGATCAAGACACGATCGATAGCTCGGTATGTGTCGCCAGAGGAATAATGATACAAAAGGGCCTAGATGAAGTATACAGCTGACACATTCTTCACTACTTCCAGAACGATGTTTTCTCTTCCCTCTCAACAAACTTGAAGGGCAGCGCCTCCCGGCTGACAAGGATGGCGAAACAAGGCGATACGGTGGCGGTGCTTAAGATCGCTGGCATGGTGATTGGGGCCGGCATCCTTCTCTACATAATCTTGGGCTGGATCTTTTAAATGATCTTCAAGTCACTCTTAATTCACTGTGGTGTGACCCATCGACAACACCATTCTCTACATCCGCTATTATACCCTACGCCGTGGTCGAGGAAGCTCTTGCTGGCTCGAGATGCGCCCCCGTCCATTTTTTCGACGTTTCAGACAGCATCATTCCACACAACGTCGGGCGCCGAATACCATACCTCACTTTCTTGGTCTCCAACCGTTCTGTCACCTGCGACTGACCTGATCCTTAATCTTTCATTGAGTTCAGAGGCCCCAAGGGATTCACTGGTTGGATTGTATTTGACTTTCTCAATCTCGAAAGTCTCAAATCTCTAGACTGATGCTTCAATGACCTGTATACAAGCACGCGGTGTTTGTTTTTCCGGTGCGACAGCTGCGCCTCCATCTTGTTTCTGGTTCTTCTGTCTTCTATCCCAGTTCTGTGTTACTAGTTCCGCTATTATTATTGAACATAATTCTTGCCCATCTTTTTTGTTGTCAGGATTTCCATTCCAATCCACATTTAATGCGTTAGCAAGTTCATTGTTCGGAGAACACGACTCATGAACGAGTTGCATGTCACTGTTCAAGTGTTGACGATCTGCAAGAAGAGGCTTTCCCGTCGCGGTACTTACATGTGCAACACTATACCGACGACCGGAAAATCCGTATCATGTTGCCGGAGGAATTAGCTTCTCGGCAGTCTGTATGTACCTAAATAGCTGCCGCGATATATGCCGGACTCGTGGAAGTCGACCAGTGGCAAGTTGTGCCACGTACTCATGCAATGTTAGATCCTGGCACGTACATCGGCAGCCCATTCTCAGATTGATCAGTCCATAAGGAATGACTAACACAATTGTTGGCTGATAGCTGCATCAGCTTCCAATCACTGTAAGAACAAACGTATGGAGGTCGGTATCTCCGCTGAAGTTAGTACATTGAATTCTTCTTTAACGTTAAAATGCAAGCCCACAAATATTGCAAATTGATACCATTTTCCCCATCGAGCAAGCAACACACGACTCACCATGGAACATGTGGCGCAACCACATGGCACGATTGGCGGCCCGACAGCGCAAGATTATTTAGCCGCTCATGTCTTGGCAGCAGAGATCGACCCGAGCTGTGTCTACCACTTAGTTCCCGTCTAACTAACTCGGCTGGGAGCTCCAAATATTGAAAAAAAACCGCGTCGATCATTAAGGGCCGAAAAACAAAAGTACATGGCGAAAAGGAAAACCGAACTACCGTTGCTCGGCATAACAATCTACCGAAGACCACACAATACAACCTATGCCCTGACTATCGTCGCACGGGCTCATTGCACTGCTGCCGGAGTAGACGGAGTACTCCGTGTCTATTGACTACACTACTGCCGTGCTCGCTTTGAAGCTGCCGATTCTCGCCGTCAACCCTGTGGCGCCTGAAAGCTCCGTTGTGGGTCGTAGCTATGGGTCATAGCTACCCGTACGGAGTATACCCTGGACTTGCTCATTCTTTGTTCTATTTGGCGCGTGGGCTATCTTTGACTGACAATTGGTGATTGGTCTTGATTGTCTCCACATCTTGCCGTCGCTGCATTTGCTATCTCTTGAAGCAAGCAGCTCAGGCTGATAAGGCTGTGAGACCTAGCTGGGCGCCAAGAAAAAATTTCATCTCCTATCCTTTGAGCTCAAAGCGTTTCTCCGGTTCTGTTGTCCGGGTCTTTGCTTTTGCAAGAGTGGTAAGGTATCTACAGGGCTATGTCACTTAGGGTCTAGACCCAGAGATGGGCATTAAGCTTGAAGCTCATCTATATTCCGTAGATCAACATGATCGAAGGCAAGAGTTTGGATATCTCCGCTTTGTAATGGAGCTATAGCTTGTACTATACTTGCATGTGTTGAGTTGTATTCAATTCTTATTTCCCTCCATACTCATTTTTGGCGAACTAAATAGTGGATGACGTGTAGAATGAGAACGTATAGGAATCTCTCAGGCAATAACATTCCCATTTGGAAATGATAAGGACAAGGCAGCATCCATAGATTGGTCCAGATGATGTGACAGTACCCGCTCACCTCAAAATGAAACAGGATCTGGTTCTGGACCAGTTTCACCGGACTGCTGAATCCAGCGAATACTCAATAAATGGCCAGGAGAAACTCCGATCTCTACAAAAAAAGCTCACCGTCAATGATCTACTGGTGGGTCCCGAACCAAGAAAAATTCAATTGATAAAAGAAAAAAATATCATAAAAAAACCCTGAGGACCTTGGAATGCCCAACATTGAAATCAAAAAATTCAGCATTACCCTTTTTCGTAAATCCACTCCAATTGATCCGAGTCTATGTTGTCATTTCCAAAGATGTATCATCTATGGAAGGTCATATTATTTCAAAAATAGTAACAAGGGAATACAAAATCGCTATCACTCAAAGCCAAAGATCTGAAACCGCACAATTTTCAGTTCTAGATCGTCAGGAGTATGTCCGATGGCGACACGGACGCGCAATCGGGCAGAGAAATCGGGAGACAGTCGGGATTCCGATGCAAGCGGGAACACCCGAGCCTCCCATGTGAAGGGATCCCGACAGTGCCCGTGGTCGGTAGAGCAGGCCGAGACCAGGCCTTATTTGGCTTTTGTTTTAAGGCAACCTCTAGATGGCTTACAAGCACTCTTATCGAGAGTGTAAAGAACCATTAGCCTATAGATGACCTACTGCAGGGGGCATGCAGACGCCACCATAGAATCTCCGACAAAGGGTTCAAACGGGGCGCAATGCCTTATCTTCTTCCTAGAGACCACAGAAAATGAGTCTATCGGTGGTCTATACTCCGTAGTCTGTAGTCAAAGAATCAAGGAAAACCACCCACGTCAGATTCCAGCCATCTCGTCATTTCTATCCAAGGGACTAGAATGGTTTGGTGTAGCCGGTGAGCAGTTTGACACCTCCATAGTGGAGCCCATCGGCGGGATATCTACCATTCGTCAGAGTAGCTCCCGTTCGAACCGTGGCAAGGAACTTCAAGAATAGGTACTCGGAGAAAAGGAAAAGATAATTAAAGAAAGTCTCTGTAGGTGGGGGAGCTTGGATGATAGCACAGGCCAATTGTGAAATTAACCCAACCATCCACTTGGTTCACAAGCCAGTCACAGATCAGCTGTGTGCATGCCATGTCCACATGGATTTCCTCAGGTGTGATTGGGATAGCTGACCCCTACCATTATTTATATCTCATGGATCTTATAGGCTACACCTCTCAGTGTGACTGTGTAGCTGGAGAAGACATACATATTATAGGCACCGGCTAAGATCAATCCGATTGCCTGATGATCAACAGTGTCTCGGCCATGCAGTAGGCCTCAAAGGACAGTGCACAGACAACAAAGTAGTTAGGATGTGATGTGCTGTGTTTCACCATGGCGGAGTCACTGTTTTTCTGCAGAAATTGCATTTGAGTGGAGTGGACTGCAGACAGAATATACTGTAACGTAGTGTAACATGCATGTTATGCATCTCAGGCACGATCGTTCCAAAAGAGGATCGATCGCGGGAAGGGACGATCCCGAGGTTATGTACTCCGAATGGCGTGATGGATTCTGGGTAAACGAAGGCCCCCCGGCTAGAAAAGGTGAATAGCTTATCAGTTGAAGAGTGGATAAAATTATGAGAAAATTCGAATAAATAAATAAAAAAAGGTTAAATGTCAAAATCATTGTATCAATACTATTAATGTGATCTTTCATATGATCGCAGAGCTGACGTAAAAGACACGGGGCTTATGTTTTTACCTTTCCCACTTGAGGAGAGATTGAGCTGAATTTCTTTACTCATTTTTCTATTTCTTTTGAGAGTGTTTTTCTCCTAAAATTCCCCCTTGTTCTCCCGAACTGTTCCCCTATTTCAATATTCATGGTTTATCGGCTAGCTTAGTCACATCATCTCCGTCCTTTATCGCCACCCAACTTTACAACCGGAAACGGCACATCTCCACAGTATAGTGGGACCCGTTTGGTCGGACCGGCCTGGCGATTCTGGACATTGTCCGGTAGATCATAGAGCGGTTTCGCCTGGGAAAAAACCTGTCATAACTTTGTTATTTTTCTTCCCTTCTGCCATTTTACCCACGATATCCTCCTTGACGTTCAAATCATTCGTTTTGCCATCGTGCACATTTTGCTTTCCTAACTACAGCGACTGCCCCGATAGCCCTGGCGGCCATTTTCCGAAATGGCTCTCAGCTTCTTTAGTGGCGGCGGGAGCGCAAGCAATGCCAAGTATTTCGACATCCGGTATGTGGAGTTGAATCGCCAGTGTCTGGGCAGGATATCGTTTTCTAACAGGATTTCAGTTTGGACGAGGACTATATCGTTTTTCGTGGCGGCGAACATGAGGCTGCCAGCGCTCACTTGAAGGGGACCTTGGTGCTATGCCTGTCGGAGCCCCTCGCGATCAAGCACATTCGACTGGAACTAACCGGCATGTCCCGCGTCTGGTATGTTGGGGAACTAGAAGGACGGGAATCGGAAATTCAAGCTAATAGAGTCCTAGTTGGCACCTACCATCCAGCTCGACCGCCGGCGGCCGCAAGTCCTGGAGAGAACGAGTGTTCTACGATAAGACATGGAGATTCCGGGACCCCGGCAAAGGAAAGACTGAAATTCTGGCGGCGGGCAACTACGAATACCCCTTCGATGTCGTCCTCGAGGGTTCCATGCCAGAGAGTGTGGAGGGCTTGTCAGAGACTTGGGTCATGTACCGCTTCAAGGCCGAGATCGGACGAAAGTATGCCAAAGACATTGTGGCACGCAAGCCCCTGCGCATCATTCGAACACTTGATCCGAGCGCACTTGAACTTTCCCACGCTATGGTAAGTCGAGCCTAACTTTTTTCTCTCTTTATGGTGGGGTTGAGCGGGGTACTGACAATGACGTTCCTAGTCGGTGGATAATATTTGGCCGAACAAGATCGAATACTCCATCAGTACACCAACCAAGGCGGTCATGTTCGGGACATCGATTCGAGTGGATTTCAAGTTGATACCCTTGTTGAAGGGCCTGCGGATCGGACAAACTACGTCACAGTTGATCGAAAGTCATGACCTCACCCTGAACCCAGAAGACCCCGACTCTGTTCGCAATACCTACAAGATTACTCGCACTATTCTGACAGATGAGTACGATGTGGATGAAGACCGCATCGAGGTCATCGACGAGGCCGCAGAGGGATATCAATTTACCCGCTATCTGGATATGCCGTCAACGTTGACCCGGTGTCTGCAAGACACAGACACGAAGGGCATCAAGATTCGCCACAAACTGAAATTCCGCATTCAACTCCACAACCCTGATGGGCACATTAGCGAAGTAAGTCAACAAGTAAGTCGCATGACAAAATCACAGCTAACGTTCGCATCAGTTACGTGCTACGCTCCCGGTCTCGATCTTTATCTCCCCGAACGTCGCCCTGGATGACAACAACAATATTCGTGACTCATCCGCTCAAACCGCCCACTCCGCTAACCAACGACGAGCCGCAGATGAGTTCTCTGCTAACCAGGCACCTCCTCTATATGGCGAACACCAGTTCGATCAGCTATACAGCGAGGTGGATCCCAACGGTTACCGTACTCCTGGCCCCGGCAGTGGACCCAACACCCCATTCGGTCCTCTCAGTCGCAATGTTTCAATCGATAATCTGGCCTCCATGAATGCTTTGACGAACACCGATATCTCGGCCTCCGCCTTGCACAGCCGTCTTTCGAGCCTGAACAATGCCGCCCGCATGGGTCACCTGTCACCCAACGAGTTATCACTCGATTCCACCGCGGAGAGCCACCCCAACGCACGACAGCTGAATGTTCACTTTAATGACTACTTTGGACCATCGTCTGGTTCAAACTCGCACAGCCCGAGCAGCCCCGAGCTCTCTCGCCGAACTTCTGACGAGGTTGACCATGAAAACATCCCATCGGGTATGGCGACCCCCTTCCACCCTCAGTATGCCGAGGTGGAGACTCTGAGCCGAGTTCCCAGCTACTCAACTGCGGTGCGTGCCACCGTGGGTTCGTTCGATTCATGCCTCCCCGACTACAACGCCGTCATCGCGAGCAGCCTGCCGACGCTCCAATCTCCACAACAGGCATACCTTCGAAGTGGTCGAAACAGTGGCCGAGCCAGTGGGATCTCTACACCAATCGAGGTGAATCGTCCCGGCTACTTCAACCCAAACGCCAATGCTGATGATGCCGAACGCAGACTCCGTTTAGTTCAAGCCCGCGCTAGATAGTGTGAGAGGCCACCATCGTCCCGACATTTTCCTTCTACCTCTCTCCGCCTTCTCACTTAAAAAAGTCATCTCTCCAGTGCTGGACATTGGAGCTCCTCATCTACCTTGCTCTTCTCTCTCTCGGAAACCATGTTCCACATGAGACTTTGATTATTTCCAGCATTCGACAGACATGTCTTCATCTCTATTTCTCGGCGTTCGGGCAACATTAGACAGGATCGGGATTTCTCATAGACGGTTTCATGACACTTGCTATTTTACGAGCCAGCTTTGTGCGGGACCTAAACCGCAGCACGAGTTACGCATCAATGCCGATTATCAACTATCCATCTTCCTGTACTTTAATTTTTGTCATCTTCAAACCTACGGGTGTTTTTTAGATCTGGATTATCATATGAATTATGTTTGCTTTGTGTATGATCCTATTACCTCATTATCCCGTTCTAGTAAAGGCCACTGTAGATCATTAGAACTGTGCCCGCCCAAGTTTAATAATGTGATTGTTGGAATGCAACCTCGTGCCCGCATTCGAGCCAACAACACCGGGTCTGTGAAGAAAGCTTGGAAATGGATCCACCTGTGGCGTTTAGTCCCAAGAACCTGGTTTCAGGTCCGGTATAAACAATACAATTGAAAAAGTAACGAGCTTAAGTCACAGGGTTGATCAGTTTAAACTTTTACTTTCAAATTCAATCCAATCAAGTATATCGTTGGGCATAATATGCGCCACAAAATGCGGGCGATGACTTCATCGGTGAGATGCGAACTCAGTTAAAAATGCGGTCATCCTTCTCTGTCAACTACTTCTATCGTGCAATCCTACTTGACCCCACCAAAGATTTTGATCTTGCGCGGCTACATTCCACAACTAGTTCGGTTATAGACTAGCGTTACTACTCCCGGTTTTCCTCAGCCACAGGAGCCACAACGCATACAACTCCCGCATCCCGCATATTCCATCTTCCCAGGTCTTTAACAAAAAGTTTTAAGGAGTCCCATCTCCAGTCACTTGGTTATTGGTGGTTGATTCTCCAGCTCGGTTTCCTCCACCTCCCCGCCTCTTATCCGTTGTCCGCCGCCTTCCGACATGTCGAGCCCCGTAGAGCACAAGCTCCCCCAACGATCTGGGACTGTCAGCAGTGGCTTTACTCGCCGTACCTCTTTCAGTGATGATGAGGCTATTCCGGATACTGATAGCAGCGAGGTATGTCCAGGTGCTTCACTGGAGATCCCCGCCGTTGGGGTTACGAGGGATGACCCCGCGATGGTGTTTGAGGGGCTAACATCTCGCTTCTTTATTCTAGACTAGCAACCTTCTGATTGAGCGTCTTCGTGCATGGAAGCACATGTGTGGAAACCTCGAGGAATATGTCTCGACTACCGCAAAGTTGTCCAAGTCTCAGTCAAAGGACCATGAGAAGATTCTCAAGGTTGGTGTTGGGTGTTCCCCCAGTTCAAATCCTTAAGACTGACGAGCAACTATGGCGGAATAGACTGTCAGTCAGCCATTGAAAGAGGCTCATCACTTCAGCCAGTCTGAGGGCGGCATGGCTGGCCTTTTCAATAATATGCGCAACAACTCCCAGGTACGGATTCAGCCACCAAAGACAGATTGAGTCAATTGCCTGGGCCCTAACCAATGCCTCTATAGGGAATGGTCAACATGTACCTCGAAACCGAAAAGAACCTGACTGCTACCGTCCTCCCAACCCTCGAGCGTCTCCACAAGGAAATCAAGAATAAGTCGAAGGAGCTTAAGACAGGAGCAGCCAAGGGAGCCAAGGCCGTTGACAAGGCTCGCCAAGTGACCCAGAAGCACATTGAGCTTCTGGGCCAGCATGCTGCCTCACACGACTCTGCCATGAGCACCAAGATCGAGCAAGCGCACGACCCCTACCTCCTCAGGCGCCAGATCAGACACCGCCTCAACAAGCAGGTGACTGAGGAGAACAACCACCGCCAGGACATCCTCACAGTGCAGAATTCCTTCCAGCAGTTTGAGGCCCATGTCCTACAGACTGTCCAGGCCGCCCTGGAACAATTCCACCAGATCATGGGTGGACAACTCGACCGTCAGCGCGCCATGTACGCCGACGTCCTCGGAGCCGCCCAGCGCATTCCACCAGACTTTGAATGGATCAACTTCTGCGTCAGCAACGACGCCAAGCTCGTGAACCCCGACTCCCCACCCCGCGATTTTGCCAACATCACCTTCCCCAACCAAGACCATCGCTCCACCAAAGCTCTCCTTGAGGGATCTCTCGAGCGTCGCTCTCGAGCCGTCATTAAGGGATACAGCTCAGGCTACTATGTCCTGACACCGGCAGGCTACCTGCATGAGTTCAAGGATGACGATGACTTCCGCCGTGATCCAAGCCCAGAGATGTCGCTGTACCTCCCTGACTGCATCGTCGGCGCCATCGATGGTGTCAAGTTCACAGTCAAGGGCAAGGATATTTCCAGCAACGTGGTTGGCAATGCCTTCCACACTAATACCGAGTTTAACTTCAAGGCATCCACCCCTATGAATGCCGAGAAGTGGTGGTCTGTTATCAAGGACTCTACACGCGCTGCTCCTGCTGCTGCTGCTGCTGCCGCCGTTCCTGCTGCTTCAACCCACACCTCCCCCGTTACATCTAACGGCTCACCAGAGACTTCTGCACCTACCGAGAAGGCGGTCGAGGCGGCGAAAGATGCCCAGTCACCTGGTGCGGACGTGAAGACTCCCGGTGCCACGAAGCCTCTTAGCCGCGTTACCAGCTCGGGAAGCTACTTCACAGGACCCACCGGTTCAGCTACAGAGAAATCCGAGAAGTCCTAAATGATCTACCGAGAATGGTATCTGGGTCATTGATTTGGTCTATGCATTCCCCCAGTGCATTGCCAGCTCTCATTTCATTTCATTTTTCACTTCTTGTTTTGTTTTTGGAATCATTTAAATTGCTTATTAGACCTGAGCGCGCCCTGAGTCAATTCAGCTGGTTCTTAGTTACTAGTGGGTGTACATTTTGGAGATATATATTGACCTAATAGTCCGCAAATACTATGATTTTGACGATTCCCTATAACCTGATCTCCAATTACAGCCCTTGGATTTCCCGTTTTATTTAAGTGCATATCCCTTGTCGCTTTTTGCTCATTGTCCAGAGTACCTAGATACGCATTGAAGGTATCCACAGTGGGGTGCTGTAGATGCCAAAGTAATGATAGTATCCCCTCTTCACAATCAATCTAGTAAACTTTATTTCTGCAGAGTTGTCAAGAAACCATGCTGGGACCGAACAGTAATGTTGATCGGCAAAAGTAGCCTACGTGAACCTCATCGGTCTGTTTGCTCTTTACGGAGAACGAGACCCGCCAATTTCAGAGTTCGAAGCAATTCTATTCATGCGATCTCCGCTGCTTACCCCGCTTGTCGGATCAGAGCATGCGTTGGCTGTCGATTGCCTAGGCGTGGCGTTTTCAGCCAATGTACCTGACATATGGGCCCGATAACCGACGAGTAGAGTATACACTCGTGACAAATTGAACAGCATACATTTGGAACTTGCCTGAGCGTAGTGTAAATATTTCTTGCCATGGCTTAATTTTTGTAACTGATGGGACCGTTTCAAGTTTTGCTATACTCTTAAATTCGAATCACAGGGAGGCTTCCTTACTTTGGAGCTACCTCGATGCCAATGTGATATGGCTGATCGTAATGAGCTGAAATGCACGACAAGGCTTACAATTACCTTGAACTTGAGCTTGGCCGAGAAAGGCTAATATTTCGGTAGATTTAGCCGATAGTCATATCAAGAGCTCGGTAGATGGATAAAGTATCCTATATAAATAATTACCTATTTCCTCGCACCTACCTATTGTCATATTTTATATTTGAAGCATTCAAGTCATCCGAGTGTTGCTAGTTCCGCCAGTTTTGATTACCCCCATTTCCCACTATTTCTATTTCAACTCAACTCAACAACATGACGACTCCTTCTCAATATGCTGGTCTAGCTGCTACCTGGACTTTAGAAACAGGAAAAGCGCCCCCAACTGAGAATATGCTTTTGCTCGATAGTGGATTTGCCGAAGCCGTCTATGCGCCTGATCATCGAAGCATTGTTGATCGCGTGGATATTATGGACGGCGGCAAGTATCGCTGTGAGTAATAAAGAATCTATCAAGGCCACTCATCATATTGAAAGCTAACGATATGCTGTTAGCGATTGTCAAGTTGCAAATGTCTTACGAGGGAATACCCGCCGAAGAGAAAAGGGCATCAATGGGTACAGGTTGGCTGATCCGCCCAGATCTCCTCGTGACTGCTGGACACTGTGTTTATGACCATTCCGGAAATGATGGACAGGGATTTGGTCGAGTAAATGCCATGCTCTGCCATATTGGCTATAACGGTCGTGATTCTTTGAAATCCCCCTATGTGCAATCTCGATTTGCGAAGAAGATCGTGACCACTGGCGAGTGGATCGACAGTCAGGACAACCGTCATCGAGATGTTGCCTTTGTGCAGCTTGATAAACCTTTCACGGGTCATCTTGGGTTATTTTCATTCGCACCAACTCCTATGAAGGACCATGATGTGATCGGTATTGTTGGATACCCGGGTGATAATTACCTTAAGGATAGCGATGGCATTCAAGAAATGGGTGCTCAGATGTATGAGGAGTTCCAGAACATCAAATATAACCGAGAAGAGAACGCATTGAAGATGCTGCAATATCGTTTGTCGACCTTTGGGGGTAAGTAAACGGCTTTTAATGTTATACCAACTTCGGAGAAAACAGTTAACTGACCATATTTACGTAAATATAGGGCAGTGTGGATCTCCGGTCCTCCGCAAGACGACTCCCAAGATGTCCATTGGAGCTCACTGCTACGGTGAAAACGATAAGAACTCTGCCAGCCCTATTGGAGAACAGGAGGGAGTTGACTATAATGTCTACATCTCGACCTTTGTTACCTCCTACCCAACGGTCAAAGATGTTTCTGGTGTCACCTTCGTCGATCCCCGCCCTCTGCCTGTAACGGTGCCTAGATTTCCATCTCCAGGTTCCATACCTGAAACCCAGGAGGATTTCTTCGATGCTCTCAAATCCATCGTTGGTATCACTCCTCGGGCTGGGAAAGCCGCTTCATCAATGGCTTCTCCGCTGCTTGGGCCTCTCGGTGGGCCTGTGTCTGCTATCGCCGGTGCTGCCCTTCTTGCTGCTGCCAACGCTGCTGCTGCCGAGTTGGGTCCTGGGAATATCCCACAAACAGCCCAGGGAAAATCCGAACGTGCTATTCTCGCGGAGGCATCACTTCAGGCTGTCCTCGGAATTTACGACCCGGACCTGGCTGACAAAATCTTTAAAGAAATGACAGCTCATTACTCCGAGTTGGCATCCGATATCACCAACATTGCACCCCAGATGACTCCTTTGCTAAAGGATTCTGCACTGAGACTTGCTGTCAGCGGCGATTATCTGAGGAAGGTCGATAATATGAAGCTTGGCAATCGCAGACCTATTAGTCAAGATGAAACAGAATCTGTCTCTGATATCGACGCGCCTAATTCTCCGTTTTTGGAGGCTCTACTACAGCCAACCAGACCTGTCGACGGCGAGGAAGGTTTCTTTGATGGACTGGGCTCTATACTCCGTGCCGGCGCTAGGGAGGTCTCGCCGTTTGTGGGAACGCAGGCCAGGATTGGATTGCAACTGCTAAATGACGCTTTCGCACAGCATGAGGAAGACAGGGTATCCCAAGTCCCGAACGATGAAAGGGTTGATGATATGGCTACCACCTTGCTCAACAAGCGGGCTATTTTGGCGGAGGCAGCCCTTCGTGCGCTGATGAAATTTGACAAGCTTGACATTGCCCGAATCTCTGAGACTGAGACGGAGTTAAATTTTGGCCCCGAACGGTTCTTTGATGGCGTCAAGTCCATGGTCCAGCTTATGGGTAGTGCGGTATCCAACGTTTCTCCAAAAGTGATAGACGCTCTTTTGCCAATCGCGGCAGATGCCTTGAGTAGGGACTCTACAAAGAGCAATGCCCTTTCGCCGCCACCCCAACGCAAAAAGCAACCATCCTTTATTGATCTACTCAAGCCTGTTGTTCTTGTTTAGAGTGTGAGTGTCATTGAGAATCTTGCCCCCGCCAAGGATTTTTCTATCGCATCCCTGGGCAATTTCAATTCGGAGGAATATAAAGCGACTAATTTGGATGGCCTCATCACAACCCGCGATCCTGACTTCTTCAAGAAGCTTCAAGAATAGGGCTCTGATCATGTTGCTTCTTTTACTGTAACGGCCTTCCCGAGATCTGTCATCCCCGATTTTTATCAAAATCGATTGGTTACCATCCATAGTCATCATTTGATTCGTTATTTTATCATACGAATCATATCCTTTACATTTTATATAACATTTGAAAGCTATTCCATCGTTTCTAACTACGAATTCATATATTGATGAATGAAATTTCGAATCTCCCATTTGCAATACCTAGATATGATTGTTAGCATCCACTCAATAGTCTTGACTCCCACCCATCATTTAAATCACCGCGTTACCATCTACTGTTGATTAGGTGGTTATTGATCATGGTAGTATACTTCAAGAGTTATTGGATAAATGATGCAACAAATAGTTGATCAAATTGCTTGAGACACCTTCCGCTTGCTAAGACTGCTAAGGGACACACAAATTCGTAAGGTCATGTATTTAATACACTGGTGAAAATATTTGAAGGGATCGCCATACTCTGCAGATCGAGTGTACCCTGCAAGCTCCAAGATCGAGTCTGTTATGATGTGCAATGTGGTATTAATCAAAAATCCTCCGGACTCTCCAAATCATGCAACTTCTGCCCAAGGAATCGACCCAGCGCAGCACATTTCGATTCTAACGCCAGTAGCACGGAAGGAGACGCGGATAGGTTGAGACTGGCGAGACGTGCAAGATCGGCACTGCGGTCGATCTCATGTTGGGCATCAATGGTGCCGTTGCGTGGTGGATTCGGGGACGGTGCGTCACCTTGATTTGCATCTGACGTGACGCCAATCCCGGGGGATGAGTCTGCCAAGGCCCCACTGTCGGGCAGATGTTCAGGATCGGCACCGTTTGGTATAGTCTGATCGATTTTGTTTGGGCCAATAGCGGCCAGTAGAACCTTGTCGGCGAGGCGAGTCACAACCGCCACGGAGTCATCGAGCTCGAAGACAATGGAGCCCACGTCGCCTAGTGACATCGACTGAGCTGTGACGTAGGATGATGGATGGCTGGCAGGGTTCACACCGGTGAGGTTTCCACTGGACGCAGTCTTGGCGTAACATGTGTATGCGGCACCGTAGGTTGCGCTGAGATTGCGGAGTTGACGGGATGGAAGGGTGGAAGCATGGGCGAATACTGCGCCGTTAGTTGAGAAGACACTATATACACCACGGTGAGCTATGGACAGGGTCACGGTATGAGAGCGGAAACCGTACAGCATTGTAGTGATCTCTGGCGGGGAGAGATTATCCTCCAAGAGGTCGCCCAGCGCCTCGGAGTCTAGCATCTTGATATCAGGTAATTCGGGGAGCATGGTGTCGGTGGCAGTTTGAGCAGCCGGGGTATCTATTTCGAATTGGTCCTTTGTGTCCTTCAAGGATTGCCGTTGGGTCTCCACAGCCCAATCCTTAGGTGGGGAACAGGAGGAGTCCTCCGGAAAGAAGAAGCAGTTGTCCTGAAAGTCTTCGTCGTCGTGATCGTACTCGATGGGTTCGTCGGACGAGGGGAGGAGGTTCTGCGCACACTGCACGTGAGAGCGAGCCCAATATGGAAGATACGAGTCGTGGGGCGCAAGGTCTGATTTAACGGCAAAGTACTCGGAGACTGGAAGCGGTTCGAATTCAGCCATCTTCAGACCCATGGCCAGGCAGATACGCGCACGCGCGGGGACCGGAGACGTTGCCTCCAACGAGATTCGAGTAGGATAGGGCAGGACAATATGGTCATAGCTGGGACTAAAAAGGGGAATGTGGGCAGGATGGGAAGACTAAACGCCTTTGGCTCTTGTTTACTTTTGTTCTCCCTGACTCAGAGCTCGTGGTCCAGATGACAAGTCACGATAATTCCCGCCGCACCCGGTGGCACAAAGCCAAGCTCGGGGGATGGACGGGGACTTTTATATGTGCCAGGATAGGTTTGGAGTCATGCGACACCGCGAGGCTCCGCGAACGCGCCCCGGCTGGGGCGCCACGATCATCGAGTAGAGAGCATGGGGGATGGAGGAACGTGGGCATAATTGAGACGATGATTGGATGATGGGAAGGCGAACAGGAAGGAATTAGGCAACAGATGCAGGTGTGCTAAGCGCGGGAAAAGGCAGAAATTCGAAAAAGAAAAGAGAGCAAGGGCCTTAGAGCGTTTCATGGAGGCATTCAACACGAGGCATGGGGTGACAGGCCAATGGTAGGCAACGGACGATCCATTCAGGGCGGGGGTGGGCTTGGGGATGATGCGGAGTGCAGAGAAGGAAATGTTAAAAGCACGAACCTGGCCTGTGCGATATGTTGCCCAAGTGGATATCCTTGGTTGAGAGGAGAAGTTGAGGAGGAGGGTTGATGATCCGCAGATGTTGCTTTACCCGCGGGGGAGATGTCAAGCTCCACATACAATTTTGGATCTAGACTCAAAGCGGTAATTATCCTCAATATTAGACGATAGCATCATGTAATGATGTACTTTGTAAACATTGTCATATTTTACGATAAGGCTACGTAAATTAGATGAGTCCCTAATTATCCCTAATAATTTCTCAGGTTTTTCATACGGACGTACATAGCCACCGATCGGTTGTCTTTTAGTGTATCTCAGACGTGGCGCAGTTTATTGACCAGAAGCTCAATAGGATAGGCCACTATAACAGTCGCATCGTGTACTCCCACGTCATGCGGGGGGTATTAGGGACAGGCAGCGCCGATCCACCAAAAAAATGCCTTGAACGCTCCAGAATGTGGATACAGTTCTGTGGCGACTTATGTATGTTTCATATTTTGGCAACAATTTGCCTCTGAGTCCAATATGAAGCATATGAGTTACTACATCGCCAATCACTTTCAACAACACTACGGAGTATCTTGATCACAAATATTGCATTTTCGCAGAGCGTTGGCTAACTAGATGATCAACTCAGTAACTACTTATTTAGTAATCACGTGCGCTTACAAATCTAAAATTACTAAGTGTTAAAACGGCGTCCCAGTTAGCCTTTTTTGGGTAATTTTGGAGTCATTTTGGCGTCAGGGAATCTTGATTTGACCCCACTTTCGGCTTCCCCTCCCGACTGCTAAGTGATGTGGTTTCCCATATCAAATCTGTCTCGAAAGGTGCTCACATCTCGTTTTGCTCAAGTTGGTAAGATAGCGATTTCCCCTGATTTGGTGCAGCCAATCATACTAACGCATGTAGCTACACGATCTTACACTATGGCTACCGATCCCTCCACCTATAAGTTGAACCGTTCGTGATCCCTCCCCCTCCACAGCTTCGCCCTTCAGCATTAACACAATGGCTCTATAGACTCCATGATCCGGGTCAAGGACCCAAAGCGATCTGTTGAGTTCTACAAGTTCCTTGGCTTGAGTTTGATCAAGAAGATGGACTTCCCTGAATGGGGTTTCTGTAACTACTTCATGTCCTACGATGGTCCCAAATCGCTGCAGGGAGAAACCCACTTCACCGACCGCAACGCCAACATTGAACTCTGCCATAACTACGGCACCGAGAACGACCCCAACTACAGCGTCGTCAATGGTAACACCGAGCCCTACCGGGGCTTCGGCCACCTTTGCATCTCGGTCGACAACATCGCGGCCGCCTGCAAGCGCATCGAGGATGCCGGTTACCCCTTCCAGAAGAAATTAACCGAGGGTCGCATGCGTCACATTGCTTTCGCCAAGGATCCTGATGGCTACTGGGTGGAGATTATTCGCCGCGGCGACGAGGATGTCGGCACAACCACCGACCCAGCCACCTACCGTCTCAACCACACCATGATTCGTGTGAAGGATGCCGAAGCAAGTCTGAAATATTACACAGAATCCCTGGGCATGACACTCCTCCGCACTAGTGAGAACCCGGAGAACAAGTTCAACCTTTACTTCCTGGGATACCCTAAGTCCAACCCCGAGATCAAGGAGGGTGCCCGTAACCCCGTTGCTGAGTGGGAGGGTCTGCTAGAGTTGACCTGGAACTACGGCACTGAGAAGGAGGAGGGTCCTGTCTACCACAACGGTAACACAGAGCCCCAGGGATTCGGTCATATCTGTAAGTCCCGCCGTGCGACCCTTCTGTAATATTCCGGCCCAATCTAATTTTCTTTTCCCTTAGGTATCACTGTTGATGACCTCAATGCTGCTTGTGAGCGATTCGAGTCACTTGGTCTCTCCTTCAAGAAGCGCCTGACCGACGGTCGGATGCACAACGTCGCATTCCTTTACGATCCCGATCAGTACTGGGTCGAGGTGATTCAGAACGAGCGGATCAAACCCTCCGCTAACTGGTAGAAATAAGATATAGATTTGAAAATATCTCCGGTCATACATGAAGACATAAAGAAATCTTTGGTGTACATAATTTTTGATATGTTTCAAAATCAAAATCAATGTCCAGACCCGAAACGCCTAATAAGCCCAAATTCCGTGGGGCTGTAGCTTATCATCTAGCGTGTCATAGGCGGATGCAGGTGGACCCTTCCCCCGCCCCCACGAACAGAACATTTTGCTGGTCCAAACCTTCTTGTCAATTCAAATCAAACTTATATAAAACTGATCGATATGCTTTGCATGAAGAATTAGCTGATGCGCTACACCGGTTGAAGTCTTTGATAACGGACAGGGCTGACAGCACTGCTACGTCAACCGCCACCCCCACACTTCAGAAGGTAGAATCGGCAAGGTCCCGAAACCTGGAGGGAAACCCCCGAGAAAATCCTCAACATGTCGCCCGATTCTAACAAGCCGAAAAAGGCACCGAGGAAACACGTCACGACAGCCTGTGTACCTTGTCGTGAGAGTAAGATTCGGGTATGTATATTTCCTCCTGTCGCGCAGGGATCGGCGATATCTAATTGTCCTTGCAGTGTGACGGATCCACGCCATATTGCCAGAATTGCCAGCGCAAAGGCAAAGATTGCAAATACCAACATGGCGAGGATAAACGGAAGTAAGTAAGGATCTGATTTCGACTTTCCATGCATGCTACGGAGCCTACTGTGATGATTGTGCCTAGTGTTACGGGGGCAGATATTCGATTACGCAATCTTAAAAAATAAGAGACCGTGATTGGCTAATCATTTCATCAGGGTGTCTCTCCGAGCTGCTACTGAGCTGTTTTCGGCTAGAATAGATCAACTATGCCAGTTCATATATGACCAAGGGCTGGAGCCCCCGTCCATGGACCCCGAGGATGAGGCCGGTATGGACAGGGTACTAGACACTCTTCAAATCCCCCGTGGGGTTATGAAAAATAAAGTTGTCGCAAAGAGGGATGGACAGTTCGAGATTGAGACCAAACTGCCAATCGTCTCAAGCAAATCTCCAGTGCAAAGTCCACCAGTTACAACTCCGAACGGACAGGTGCGACCAACTGATGATTCAACGACCCCAGAATCAAATTCCTCTCAGGGAATTGTCCCAATCCAACAGCTACCATCAGTAGTGGAGCCCTGGAACCCGTTCGAGATGGTGCGGGGTGCTCCTGATAACCAAAACTTTGTTCACTGGGGCTTTACGCTCCCGACGGCTGAAAGTCTCGATACCATATACGCAAATATCAACACTGGACTTGGGACGCACATGAACACTGGTCTAAGCACGGACAATCTACAGCTTGACATGGATATGGCTCAGCAGCCCGGAGTCTTGCTAGGCCAGCTACCCATGGAGCAGCACCAAGACTCTGAGAGTGACGAGGAGAACGAGGCCGAAAATGACGTTATTGAACAATTGTCCAATCGGATAGGAACATTGAAGATCGCAGGAGATGGCCATTTACGGTTTTACGGTGCGACTTCGAATCTCAACTTGGTGGATGTTTCTGCCACACAGCAAAGACAGAGACCAGATGCACGTACTGTGCGTCACGATGGCCAGGATATCCTCAACCATCTTCGAGTTGGGCAACCGGTTGATCAGGCCCTAGAAGATCATCTTGTCGAGCTCTATTTTACTTGGCAGAATCCTAGCATCTATGTGGTTGATAAGGAGATGTACATGACTGCGCGATCAAAGTGGCGCAATGAATTTGATGACACACCTTTCTATTCAGAGGTTCTCACCAATGCCATGTCAGTCATACTTTTTGTTTGCTTGACCTGTCTATATACTGACTTGCCTCAGGTGTTCCATTGGGAGTGCGTTTGAGGCTCGTTATCACCCTACTTTCATCACATTCCCGAAGTCACTGGCCGAGTTTTTCGCAGACCGAGCCAAGGCCTTACTAGAAATCGAACTAGATTCCCCCTGCGTCGCGACTGTCCAGGCCCTTGTGCTCATGAGCTGTCATGAGGGGGCATCGAATCGCGATGCGCGGGGCTGGCTGTATAGTGGTAAGCGTTTCCATATTGGACCTACTCAGTAACGTGGTCACTAAACTTCATCTAGGCATGTCCATGAGATTGGCCTTCGATCTTGGCTTACATATTGATATGAGACCATACGTCAAGCAAGGAGATATAGGCCCCCGTGAGGCTGATGTGCGACGTGCTGCGTTTTGGGGAAGCTATGTCGCAGACCAGTAAGTTCCATCAATAATTCCAAGCTTTGCAAATTTTGACGTTTGTAGCTTTTGGGGATTTTACCTTGGTCGTCCATTCCGCATGAACGCAGGAGATGTCAGTGTACCGAAGCCTGCATCGGGTCTTGGACCCGAGAAGGAGACCGTTTGGAAGCCATACGGGCTTCAAGAAAGACATATAGATAATAGCTTGAAGGACCCCACGGAGCTCATCTATAGACAGTTTGTCATTCTATGGGAGATGGTTTCTCCTGTGGGTCACATCTTGTGTGTTTCCTTCCCAGAGTACTCTCAGGTCGTGCTTTTTTTTAACATTCCTTAGATACGGATGCTCTGACATCTCTCGTCATGACCTGCAAAGACTATGTTTCCAGGTGACGGAAGATTTATTTGCCTGGAAATCCAATCTGCCTTCAAATCTTGAGATCAATTTGGATGACAACACCACTCCGATACTCCCTCACCTGCTTGTCCTCCAGTGAGTTGTTTTCCTGACATGAACATCATCATGAGTCTAATAAATTTGCAGCATGCAATATCACCAAATTATCATTTTCTTCCACCGCCCCTGGGTCTCAAAGAGCTACATTCAACCTCGCAGCCCTCGCCAGGGACCTGGCTACCACCATGCACGGCGCATGTGCACTGAGTCTGCTACAGCTGTCGCGCGCCTTCTACAAATATACGAGACGCACTACAGTTTCCGAAGAATGACGAACCAGGTGGTGGCAATCATTTTCAGTGCAGCTCTAATGCTGCTCTTTGTAACTGTCTCCAGCTCTTCCCCAATGCCCACCAAAGCTGGAGAGATCAATCAACCTCACCCCCGCAATGCCGAGATGGTCGCATATCTCAACCTTTGCTTCCGCGCACTTGACGAACTAGGCCAATCATTCGAGAATGCCAAGCGAACCCGTGATTATCTTGTGACCCTCCAACGCCGCTGGCAAGCTCACATGCGTCGATCTGGTCCTCGCGCCAAACGGCAGATCAGCAGTGCGAACCTATTATCGGGCACTGCGCCGCAAAATCCATATTCTGCTCACTCGACAAAAGTCACACAAGAGCCAGAGTCATCACGCAAGAAGTCTAGAGTCACAAACAGAGATTTGCACTCTCATTCAACTCAAAATCCTATCGCAAATGCCAATACTGCTTCATATGCCGAGTCTTCATATCAACCCTCTCAGCCACCCACATCTCAACAGAATCATCATCAGAAATCCTATGCTCAGCAGCCATTTGCGGAACAGCAAACTGGAGATTTTGATTGGATTCGTACATCTGATTTGAATGTATTGGCTGAAAGTAATGATTTCGGTGCCGATCAGAATTCTTTAGGCAATATACCCACGCCACACTTTCCCGGTGATCCGAGCATGCTTCCGGATCTAGGGGACGTGGAGGGATGGTGGGGATCGCCTAATGGGAGTGCAGGTTTAAGGGAACCGAGTGTATAATGAAAGTGTGCCTAGGGGGTCTCATTAAGCTTTCATCCATATTTATACCTAGCATTCGATCATGTAGTAATGAATAAGACCCGTGGACTAAGGTTTATTATTGTATTTTTTCACAGTTGATCCCAGAATGACCCTAGTCATCGTCACTGATCTTTCTATCAAACACATCCCGGAAATACTTTTCTAACTCCTGCCCTGGAAACTCATCAACTTTTGAGAGAGTCACCCTCCGCTCTCCAAATCCTTTCTCACGACCCCAGAAACACGCCTTTTGCATAGCAGACACCATCTCCTCACCCTGCTGTGCAAGGACGGTAGGCTTTGGAGCCGTCTCTTTACGGTTCGCAGCCATTCGTGAAACAGCCGATCCACCCAAGAACACTCGCACCCACGGTAAAGTAACTTGCAGCCTATCAATCCCATGAGTCGGTCCGGTCCAGGTTTCATTATTGAGCCCATAATCTAATCCATACGGGGGCCAGCGAGACAGCGCCTTCCGCCGACGAACAGGCCGATCAAAATCCCCATCTGTGTCCGAGTCAGGGTATGTATCCCTATCCCATGAGGAGCCCAGTTGCTCGTCGGATATGTTTTTGCCCCTATTTTTCAAGACCGGAACGGGATACTCCGGCCCTGTAAGGTAACGAGGGAAACTTTCCGGAATATCCCGCCCTGCAGAGCGAAGAAACAATATTGGCGAGGCAAATGAATCAAAGCACCGCTCAAAGGATGTGAATAGTTGTCCACGTGCTTCGAGGAGAGGAACTAGATCCGGGGGCGCGGATTTTCGCCTGGTTGATCGTTTTTGTTTCGTTATTACTTCATTCGTACTATCTTCATGAGTACAATGCTCATCAAGACCGGGCCAGTCGCAGATGGGCTCGTGTGCAGCAACAGAGTGTACGGATCGCGCTTCTGTGAGTGCTAGCATTAATGCTAAGGACCCGCCGACGTGGGAGCCGAAGACTCCGAGATGGGTGGGTTGAAGGTTGTTTTGGATCCAGTCGAACCCTGCGAGTGTGTCATGTATCGGGGTCGGATACTTGTAAATTTCTGATGTTAAATCTGTTCGTGGCTCTGAATGTGGCTCCGACCCAATATCTCTAATTGAAGGTGGCCCCTTTGCTGGGCCGAGACGATAATTCACCGTCACAACTGTTGCCAAAGTAGCAGATGACAGCGCGTGTTGTGGGGAGATTTCAACAGATCCTGCAAGCGCAACTTCCGAATCTCCATAATACTTCAGCCGAGTATCAGAATCGGATTGGCTCCGAACTACTTTCTCACCCCGCTCCGATCCCTGGAATATGGGACCCGGTGGGAGGTAGAGGATCACTTTCGACCCGGAAGAGACCTCATGAGTTGTCGCTGGTCGCGTAACTCTATAGGGGTCAATTTAAATCAAGTTTCTTGTAAAAATTGGACTTGTAGATGTCTTACCTCAGTGACACAAATCCATTTCCGATTGGAACAGAGAAATTCTCATCGCGACGGGTACTGGATACATAGCGGACACGCAAGCATGCGAAATCTTTATGCCCAGTCTGTTTGGTTAAACGCGTCAGGCGTGTGTAAGTCAAAGCGCGCATAATTGTAGTTGTTGGTCAGTCGCGAACCGTCAAAATACGTGTAAGCCTTCCACGTGATGTCACTCGACTTATAGGCCGATTTCACCTCAAACCATTTTGCATTTGATTTTGCATTTGATCTTTCAAGTAGACCAGTTTTTAGAAGATGTAACAATATTCAAAGTGGTATCATGGTGGAAATCAAGTACATGAATCAATATATCAACATTCGAGTACATATTGGTTAGATGCAGCCTTGGAAAGCTATATAACATTGAAAATCAGATGCGCCACCATTAATACAATTATCTTATAAGTAACATCCTATATATGCATGTGCGTTGAAGTGCTTCCAAATATCTGAAAAGACTTCTCAATAGTTGCAGATGCAGCTGGATCATCTATGTCCAGAGGAGCTTCCGTATCATCATCCGGGACTGGCTGCATGACCTCGAGGCTGAGCTTCGGATCCTTGGAGTAAACACGCAGTCCAACCACACAAACGGCATTCCAAGGATCGGCAGCAGGACTCTCAATCTCAGACTTCCGATGAGCAGATTTGTGGTCGACATCATCAGGTGGCATGTCGAGATCACTGTCAAATTCAAACCCTTCCAACAGTTCCACATCACTCAGATCCAGATTATCCGTAGCCAATCGTGTATTGAGGCTCGGTCGGGGCGAATCTGTCCGCCTTGTACGGGGAGCACTGGACGCGTGTCCGGCGTGAAGTCCGTTGAATTGGATGGTTGGGACCGAGCCGGTTGGAGTCGGTCGCCGATCACTGCTATCACTGGAGATACTCTCCGTAGGCGATGCAGTGGGCTTTCCGCCCAAGATCTGCACGATGTGGGAAGGACCCGGGCCATTCATCGCGCCATTGGCCATGGGGCCGTTATGGCGAGCCGCCATACGCTGCTCTCTTGCGGCCATCTTACGATCGCGAATCCATTCCTTTTGCAATCTCCTTTTGGTTTCGTCACGTAGCTTTTTGCGCTCATGGGCTTTACGTCTCTCTTGTTCGTAGCGTTCTTGTTCTGTCTCACGAACAAGACCCTTGGCGTGGGCGAGATCGTACGAGAGGCCAACCTGCACGAGCTTTTCTCTTCTGGTTGAGGCAAGGCGTCGGACAATCTCGTCGGTCGGTTCAATGTCTTCATCTCGGAATGCGGTGATCTTCATCAGAACATGGTAGCGACCTGGGTCAAGATTGATCTCGGCGTTGACGGATCGGCCCATCAAGTGGCTACTGTGGCTGCGCACCATGTAATCCTCGTCGCCTTCTTTTTGGACACGGAACTTGAGGACAAAGCTATACTCGCCGGCAAGTCCCTTGAAGTATCGGGTATCAAGCTATTATTACTATCAGTAGTGACATAGGATGAAGATGGGATGCTACATACCTGGGAGAGAACGATGACGACTGGGCCGCCTTGGGTGACGTTCATAATGAACTTGGTGCTGTGGTAATCGGCGGACCAAGGGACATTCAGTGTCGTCCACTGTTGGGTTATAGTCCAGTCAGATCCAAAGAGGCGAGTACGGTCGAAGTGCTGATATTTTCGAAGAAGGTCTTTATAGGAGATCCAGAAGAACTGGTCTTAAGTCAGTATACCACATCCCAAATGATCAAACGCACATACCCCATCGTTGCCAAACTTATGGCCTAGAAGCTGCAACCACTCTGCGGTCCACTGCTCAGAACCATCACCCCAGGCACCATGCCATTCCTTCTTGCCCCAGGGGTTTCTAACTCGGTCAGACAAAGATTTCTTTAAAGCTGATCGAGGACCGTACCCACCGTAAACGAAGTAGACGATGTCCTTTAATCTCGCGGGCTTCCATGATCGAGTAAGAATGGTTCTCCGAGATTCCCTTCCTATCTCGTGGGGGTCCTTTATATTTCGGATCTAACCAGTTGGAGAAAAGACCTGTTCCACAGCCAAACAAGAACTCCTCATTGACCTTCATGAGTTCTTCATTCCAGAAGCGATCCTTGTCCAGAATGTCATTAGACAGAATCTCTGAAGTGACACCACCAGTCAAGTCTTCGATGGCTTCTCCGACGAAACCACCCTCGATGGCCGAGTAGTCTCCGTGAGCTTTAGCGAACGCCTTTTCCAGCAAAGGTAGCCAAGTCTCATTCGGATCAACACAGTGTGCAAAGTATAGTGCCCGGGAACCAGTCTGCCAGACTTTGCGGTACTCCTCTTCGGCATCTGTGCCAATACTGTCATCCCAAAGTGGACGCTCATCAATCGATTCATCATAGTCAGCCGCACGAAGATAAAGTTTGTCATCCACAATGCACTGTTGCCATTCTCCATCTGCTCATAGTCAGACTACTTCTCCAAATGCTCACTAGAACTCTGACATAGCACTTACCACGGTAGAACACAAATCCATAGATTCCGATAGTCTGGTTCCGCGCAACACAGATCTTTTCAATCAGCTCCTCCTTGTTACCCATGGTGCACAGCGCAGCCATCAACCAGCAATCCCCGTCACAGCCCTGACGAACATCTGACGCCGTCGGTCCATTGACATAGAACTGAGGATTCACGAAGATTTCCTAAAATTCAATTAGCTTCATCCTACCATCTGGAGTAGAGATACACACCGTCACCCTCTTCACTCCACGAGGCCTCATTTCCTCATTTGTCGTGTCCAACCCATACAAATAGTTCTTGCGCCCGGATTTCAAATCCAGCTCGATATCGAAATGGGGATCCGTGTACTTCTGATTCACCCGCTCACATTCCTTCACGATACGATCAACGGACTTCTGACACTCCCGCTTCGCCTGCTCATACGATTTAACAGCCTCATGGCCCTGGACCACCCCGTTCGGAACCCGTTTCGCGCGTGTGCGAGCATAGGGGTTATCTGGCAGCACTGTATACACTTTACCAGGGTACTTGGTGTTGAACTGTTCCCAGAATTGCTTCACGGACTCCTGCGGGGGTTGGCACCGTGCCCGGTGTGGAGGACGGCTGTTCGACCGCGAGGAAGCACCGCCACCAAAGTTCATTTCGTCTTCGAATTCCATGATGCGCTGAGACGAATAGATTACAAGCTTTCTGCTACCCCCCTAAAGTTGAAAAAGTAAGAGGAGTAGGGGAGGTAGAGAGATATGTTATGGAGGTCTTCTTAGCGCGTGTATCGCACCAATGTGTAGCTTTAGTGACAGTCACATCAACATGGAATGAAATGCAGTGATGCACACTTAATACTATGTGGAGGGAGGGGGAGAAGATACCGTGTCTTGCTCTTCAGAATAATTCATTAAATACTAGCATGGTGAATCTGCACGGCCTCCACGGCGTCGCCGGTGCCGAGACTAACGCGCCCATCAGCACGGGATTCGACCATTCAGATCCTCAGGCTTTTGTCGTAAGGCTGCAGGTGCGTGCGTTGGATTCGCGGTGGGCCGGCGAATGAACGTGTAGGCTAAGCCTGGCGCTGATGGCCCCCAACTCAGCCTCCCCACGGTTCAGCTCTTTCTTTTTCAAATCCCAGTTTCAAGCTGCATGGTAGCATTGGAATTAATCGGCCCCCAAAACTTTGCCCGGCATCGATCTAGGCTGAAGAAGAGGATTGGAGATGTTCTGGATGCAAAGGTTGTTTCCAGGAATAAACATTTCGTATTCGGTGGGGGCATCGGCTCTAACACGGCACGATTTGTATGACATCGCAACATCCTTACTGGGGGAAATAGATGATGATTTCATGAAATTAAAGCTGGGGCTGAGCACATGAACATGCAGTAGTTTAACCCATCCGAAAGGGGTATGTACGCCTTGCATTGACTAAAACTGGTGATAAAGTAACACTCGCCTGCCTGGTCATTCCCCGATGAACGCCAAAATACAGAAAACAAAACACAATGAAACACATGTCCGTCGTGAATAAGGTTACACGAGAAAAAGAGAAAATCCGAAGCAAAATGGCTTAGTTGCCATTCTGACTGCGGCCCGAGTAGTGCGCGCTCCCTAGGCGGAAGTAAGGGTGCATGCAGGCCTGCTTCGCCGAAAGTCGATGCGCCGGATCATATTCGAGTAGAGCTTCAAGAAGCTGGAGGCCAGCCTCCTCCAGACCGGGAACAAGGGGGGTATTGGGGCGCTTCCACTTGGGGAAGGTGGCCTTGTAGTCGGGGAAAGAGGTGACACCGGGCCATGCCTCTTCATCGGGGGTACCGAGGATGCTATAGAAGTGTCAGTGAATCGAATCAATATGATTATTAAAGAAATACCGACCGAAAGATTTTGAAAATCTCGTCAATTTCCGAGTCACCCGGGAAAAGTGGCTTGCGAGTACACATCTCGGCGAAGATAGCACCGACAGACCACATGTCGACACCGGTGGAGTACTGACGACCACCAAGCAGAATTTCGGGCGAACGGTACCACAATGTGACAACCTAGAAGTCAATTAGAGATTTGTTACAGGTCTCTTGTAGATCAATGGCGGAGAATACTAACCTCGTGGGTGTAGGTTCGCAGGGGGACACCGAAAGCCCGGGCGAGACCGAAATCGGCCAATTTGAGGTTGCCCTCAACGTTGATCAATAAATTCTGCGGCTTCAGATCTCGGTGCAGGATACGGTGGCTATGACAATAGCGAATACCCTCCACTAACTGAGCCATGAATCTCTTAACCATAGCGTCACCGAGACCAAGGTTGGCATTTCCTTCTGGAAGAGCCTTTCCACGGCCGCCCTCGCTCACGGGGAGAGCCTCCATGTATTTCTTCAGGTCGCAATCAAGGTATTCGAAGACGAGGTAGAGCTTGTGGCCGTCGGCGTGGACGATGTTCAGCAATTGGACAATGTTGGGGTCCTGCATTTCCTTGAGAAGGGAGATCTCGCGGATGGCGGTACTGGGGACACCTTCATCTTCGGCTTCGAGACGAATCTTCTTCAAAGCGACAATACGATTGGGATGATTGAGCTCGCGGGCCTTGTAGACAACACCGTAGGTACCTATGGAGACGAGTCGACGCGTCAGTTGGGCACAAATAAACCAAAAATTCACGGATCAGCCGGGCCACACAACCCCGTCAGTCGAACGTACCCTCGCCAATTTTCTCAATTTTTTGGTAGTTCTCCATGATGAGGGCTTTTTATCCTGCTCTGCTTTCAATTCCGTTAGTGAAATGCCATGGGTTGAGGAAGGGAAGTGACGGAGTTTGGAGCAATGGTGGAAGGAGGAAGCAAGGGACAGGGATATGGAAATGAATTTTACATGTTAGATTGTCAAATCAGATTGACGACTTCAGGTCCCCGCACCAAGTTGTGTCTGGAAGTGCTAGCGAAATTGGATTTTGGTTTGTTTAAGGTGGGGAGAAAAACAAACACTGACCCCCGCGTCGTGGAAGGCGGTCAGTGTATGGTTATCGACTCTTTCCTGTTCAGCCAAGTTTTGATATATGGCTGATTCGTTCTACCTTTAAAATTATATTAGGTAAAGAGGATATGGATAGATTGAATACGCCTTCATTATTTTTCGATGTTCAATTAAAGTGGGTATGAGTCTAGGCAAATAAGAGGACAGTGTCCCGCATATGTACCCATACCTCCAAAGTGCTAGTACATACAAGGCTTACGTTGATTAATGAGTGAGATACAGCACTTGAGAGACAAAAAGAAGTACACACGTCAGGTGTGAAATAGATTTGGCTAGACTATAACAGAATTACCTAACCGACATCGGGGAAACTTATCCTTAATCCGAGCTTACGCACCTTTGTTCCCGTCTCCAAATGACCCCAACACCCCCGCTCAGACTGATAAGAACAATACCTGCAAAATGAATTCGCCATCCTTTGTAAATGCCCTGCTTCTCTTGAAAGGATCATAATATCATCATGGCATCAGATTCCACCTGGCGTTCCCAAGGCGCAGCCAAGCGTCAAGCTATTCTTGATGCGATCCCCGAGAAATGGCGACTTCAAGACCCCATCCCCGCTGCAACCAAAGTCCCCGATGTCACGGGTGCTTATATACAGCAATATCTCAGCGAGCGGGAGATTGAGATAACAGAATCTGATGCGGTAGATATTGTTGAACAAACCACCTCTGGACGTTGGTCGGCTGTTGAAGTCACAGAGGCATTTTGTCACCGTGCTGCATTGGCCCATCAGCTAGTAAGTCACCATCTAGAGAGGTGGAATGCGAGTCGAAACTAATTCCAACAAAAGGTCAGTTGTCTTCATGAGATATTTTTCGACGCAGCCATAGAAGATGCGAAGAAACTCGATGCATACTTCGCGGAACATAACACTCCCATAGGTCCATTGCACGGCCTCCCCGTCAGTCTAAAAGACCAGTTCCACGTCAAAGGCGTCGAAACAACAATGGGTTACGTAGGCTGGATCAACACATTCCAAGGCCACGTTAACGACCCCCGTCGCGCGACAGAAGAAAGCGAACTGACCAGAGAACTACGAGCCCTCGGTGCCGTCCTGTACTGCAAGACGAGTGTCCCCGCAACCCTCATGGCCGGTGAAACAGTCAACAACATCATCGGTTATACCTGGAACCCGAAGAACAGACTCCTCTCCTGTGGAGGCAGTTCTGGTGGCGAAGGGGCACTGATTGCATTGCGAGGATCACCCGCTGGCTTCGGTACTGATATCGGAGGAAGTGTTCGCATCCCCGCAGGTTTCAACTCCCTGTACGGTCTGCGTCCATCCTCTGGGAGGATGCCGTATCAGGGTGCTGCCAATTCTATGGATGGGCAGAATTCCATCCTATCTGTTATTGGGCCATTGGCGGCTACGGCGCGGTCTTTGACATTGCTTTTCAAAGCGGTTTTGAGTCAACAGCCGTGGTACCATGATCCTCTCGCTTTGGAGCTACCGTGGCGTGATGAGATCGTGCAAGAGACACGCTCTTGGATTGAGCGGGCAGGGACTGGGGTTCCGAGTCTTGCGTTTGGAATTATGCGCTATAATGGAGTGGGTCGTATTCATCCTCCAATTGCACGAGGCATGAAGCTGGTTGAACAGACCTTGAGACGGCTGGGTCACCAGGTGATCGCCTGGGATCCGCCGTCTCATGCCACGGCACATGGGATAGCTGTATGTTTCTCCTGATTCAGAAATGAGAAGGTCTATCTCTGTCTCCTGGATTCTAACATATCGTGACAGGGCAAAATCTTCAATCTGGACGGCGGCGTGGACATGAGGCATCATTTTGGTCTGTCTGGAGAGGCAAAGGCACCACAGGTCCTTGTTTCTGAAGAAGGCACTGAACTGAAGGCATCGGAAATAAGTGCTATTAATATCGCAAAGCGAGAATACCAGAAACAGTACATGGACTACTGGAATAGCACTGTCGAACTGACTGGTACAGGACGTCCCGTTGATGGATTTTTTTGTCCACTGGCGTCACATGCCGCAGTGATCCCTGGCCAATATGGTGATGTTGGCTATACCAGCTTCGTGAATGTTCTGGACTACACCAGTATAGCTATCCCGGTGACCTTCGCGGATAGGACCGTGGATGTTTCTCCAGCGGGAACCCCTGCCTCAGAGTTGGATGACGAGATTGAATGGGATTGTAAGTGTTTTTATTTCGCATTGGCTTTGAAGTGCTTCGGTTAACGGCCATGCAGATGATGCCAAGACATATGACGGTGCTCCAGTGGGGGTTCAATTAGTAGGGAGGCGATTGCAAGAAGAGAAAATACTGACAATTGTTGAGCATATCGGGAAAGAGATTGGCCAAGATTCGAAATGAAGGTAGTCAGACCTCGAGACTACTGGGATGGCTCACCGAAAGTTGAGATTCAGGATAGCGGGAATGATATTCCGGGTCAGCCGAACCTTACGCAAGCGGTTTTTGGAATAAGATCAATTTAGGGCTAGGTTAAATATACAAAGGGTATATGCGGTCAAGTCATCCAAAGTCATCCAGACATGTCCATTCGTTGATGACAGGCTAGTTTTCCTCAACGAAGAAAAAATATCTTCGGCGAAACACTTGGGTCAATCATCACCTGGCAGACGAAGGGGGCGTTTGCCCTGATGGCGCTGCCAAATTAGAGAGGATAGGAGTAGATGAAGAAGGCCAAGGACCCGATGGCCTGGCTGATGAAGGGGCAGAATCGGAAGACGGCGCGGCTGGGCCCTCAGACCCATTCATCAAGCGAGGACGCTTGGCTTGTGGGGCTCCGGCGTTGGTAGCAGGTGGGCTGCGGGGATCGCCATGCGAATATGGGGAAGCGTAGTTTGCTGAGGAGGTAGGCGTGGAGGCGGCACCAGCATCTGGACTCATGGCGATGGCGGACTGCAAAGGTCGCAGGCGGTTTGGATGAGACGAAGTATCCTCGCCTGGTCGGGGTGGTCGCACGTTAGGACTTTGTTGGCTATTATCTAGATCGCTAGCGGCATAGCCCACTCCAATTCGACCCATGCCCTTATCGTGCATTACAACACGCTTCCATTTGCTGACAACGTGGTCGTAGTCCCAGCGCATGGAATCCGGACTGATCTGGCTCTGTTTCGCATCCAACTCTCGGGCAACATCCCGCGAGAGTGGGAGGGTGTCCGGAGGAAAGAGGGCGAACTCACGCGGCCACTGGCATGACCCAAGACGCTCCACCTGTGCTCGCAGCTGGTTCGCTTCTTGTTGGACCCGAGCCAACTGCTCATCCACAGACTTGCGCTGCTCGGCTTCCCGGGCAAACGCGCGAGTAATCTCCAGCTGCCAGGCCTCGCGACGCGTCTCATGGGGGAGAGAGTTCCAATGATTGAAAGCTAGCTCTAGATGCCTCAATCCTATCTCCTCATGCTGTTGTGCGGTCCGGTAGATCATGTTATGGTCAGGGCTCGAACCCAGGTGTTTCGTGTGGACGCTGGGGTCTCCCGCGATCTGATCGGACTTCCACTGGGCAACCTTGGAACGAAGAGCTTGTCGGATAATTTCAAGATGCTCTACTCCAGGTGCTTGGAGTGGAAACGAGTTTGGGGAGGAGAAGGGGTGGGAGGCGAACAAGCTCGGCGGAGGAGGGAGAAATTGGAGGCATAGGGAGGGGAAGGTCTGGGTTTGGATATCAAATTCAAAGGGCGACAGTCGAGGCCGAAAACGCGAACTAAAAAGAATATGGTGAGATTGTGATCAAAGCAAGTGATAAAATCACTTACGTCGCAGCTTTAATGTTGTCCAGCACCTCGTGTAACGCCAGCTCGAGCGCCTTCATCGTGTCCGGATTGTTGGCATTTGCCCCTCGGCTCGCATAATCGGGAAGCTGTAATGAGCCCGCCCGCGACTGATTTGGCATGATTCGAGGTCCATCTAGCACGCGACTTGGGTTGGGAATATCATTGATGACGCCGGTCGCATGCCACGTCGGGGTATTGAACATCATGCGCGGGGGAGGTTCGCGTGCCTTTGAAGCTGATTCTCCCGTAGCTGTGTAAGAGTCGGATGGGCCCTTTTTGTGAACGCGATCCGGGCTATCTTCGTGCTTGCCTGAATTCGTGCGGGCCTGTCGACGAGTAATCCCACTGCGGATGCGACGAATCTCCTCCACATCGTGAATCCCATCAGGCTTCTTCTTAAACAGAAATTGGTCAAGATGGCGGCCCAATGACGAGGAAGTGAATGGTTGACCGCAATACTGGCAATTCCGGTCCTTGGAAGCTAAATTGACGCCGGATTTCGAGTTCGACTGGTCGTCGGCCCGCGAATCGTCAGGCGATTCCCTGGGGGTTTCTTCCTTCATGACGAGACGTGTCAGGGGTGATGCTATACGTGAGGTATGATCGTGTAAAAGAATGGTCGACGATATTTATAGCTATCACAGCATAGCAAGTAATCTTGCTTTTTTGTCCAGCGATCGGCGCTGAGGAAAAGGGATTTGGATTGGAAAATTGGGGGCGGAGGAAGAGGAGGCGCCAAGCTTTTTCAATCGCGGAGCTGCCCCGTTCCATCTATACAAATCTCCTCGCTTTTTATGTCGATTTCAATGATTCTATCACAGAGTGGAATTGGTTTCTAACTAAAAACTCAAGGGCAACCTATAATTTACCTAGGTATGTACTTTTTAAACAGCCGATACTTTCCTTGTCTTGCGTGCACTAAACCACCGTTTCATATCCCGAACTCCGTGGAGATACAACCAGGAGAATAGGAAGACCACCGCAAAATTGAAGATCACATAGGCCCAGAATATCCCCTGAAACAATTAGACTTTGATTAGACGAGGTGATACAAGGTGACTCACATAATTCCGCCACTTGTGTGAATAGAAGACATTGAAGCCAGCGGCCTAGAACCATAATTAGTAACAGCTCCGAATAACCTCACAAAGACCGATCTTCGCTTACAAATTGGTCTCCTGTAGCGTATTGACAGTAAGCACACATTCCATTTCCAGCGTCAGTGACATAACCTCCAGCTGTCTGGGCATAACTCCCTGCGTATTCCTGGCAGGTCAGTCCAGACGGTGGACTGAAGTGGGCTTCTTCTCGCTCAACACAATGAACAGGAACATTGTGAACTACCACACCGAGGAATCCTTCCAGAAGGTAATGGAATGGGGTAAGCCAGTACATCCAGGATTGCCAGAAGTGGGGTAGCGCGACATATGGGACAATGACGCCGCAAAATGAGACGACGAAAGTAAAGAATGTGGGCACTAGCAATGAGGCAAATAGCTCATTCGGTGCAAAGGCTGCGATGAACTGCCCAAAGCCAACATAGAAGCATTCAAACAGCATGAGCATCATCCAAGTATAACCAGAGGTGAAAGAGTCACGCGGGAACCACACTCCCCAATACCTATAGCCGGTCAATTAGCAAATTATATCCTGTTCCGAAGTCTTGATTTCTTACCAGCAATTGAAATAGACGGATCCTGCCACAATTGAATATGGCAGCTCGGGTAGAATTGTGCTCACAACAAAAGCAGTCCAGGAGTAAATCTTCGAGTTTGACTCGCGAGACTCATAAAGACCGCGAGCATGAAGGTAGCGTGGCTGAAGCTGCTGAATTAGTGGTGGTGAGATTGTGAGTGTCATGAAGACAGAGAAGAGTCTCGATTGCATGTCGATGTAGCTATTGCCTAGGTGCCAGAACGTGAAGGTGTTAAAAAGACCAGTGAAGATGTGAAGCAAGAATTTGCCCTTTAAAAAGAGATCAGTACAACCTTGGAATGCGAGATTCAAATCACTGAGAAACTTACCAGGATATAGTCCGGGAGTCTCCAGTAGGCTACGAAAGCTCTCCTGGTCACAGCCAGGATCTGGGTATGCAAGGGCATGGCATATTCGCGGTCATCCTTGGTGCTCTCGCTTTCCGTTCCGCGACGAGCGCGAATAATATCCTCCAGCTCTGTGGAGAGACTTTTGCTCTCTGGTGAGGAAGCCCATGTATCACCCCAATCTTGACCTTTGTACTCCGGGTTTCCCGCTCCAATGACTTCGAGCATGTACTAATGAAAGATGTGAGTTTGATTCTTCAAGAACGTGATTCAAGAAGCTGACCTCTGCTGGATTTGCATGTGGCGAGCATTTACTTGCACCATTTCGTTCAAAATAGTCAATCAAGGTCCTCGAGTCTGACCCCAGGGCACCATTGTAGACGACCCGCCCGCCACTCTGGAGCAGAAGCAATTCATCAAACTCCTCAAAAAGGACAGCCGAGGGTTGGTGAATCGTGCAAAGAATAGCTTGACCGGCATCTGCCAGCTTTCGAAGAAAACGAACAATATTGAATGCTGCCAATGAATCAAGCCCTGATGTAGGTTCATCGAGAAACAGTAGCAGCTCAGGTTTACTGGCCAGCTCCACCCCAATGGTAAGTCTCTTGCGCTGCTCTTGAGTCAAACCTGAGCCGGGAGATCCGACTGTGGCACCAGCCATAGATCGCATCTCTAGTAAATCAATCACTTTTTCGCAGTATTCATATTTTTCTTTGAGTGGAACCTCTTTGGGCTGTCGTAAAAGAGCGGAGAACCTTAGTGATTCGCGTACTGTGGCTGTCGGTTCGTGTATGTCCATTTGCTCAGCGAAGCCAGTCGCGCGTTGGAAGCTTCTCGGAAGGGGACTAGATATTGTTAGATTTGGGAGATGAACCTGGGCAGAAGCAGTGAGAATGAATAACAATCAATTGAAGACTTACTTCCCATCAACCAAAAAACTGCCGGTCACCACGCCAAAATTGATGCGCTGGGCGAGTGCATTGAGAAGGGTGGTTTTTCTGAAGCCAGAAATGTTAGCACTACTCGCTCAAGATTGTTTGAAATTGTTGAATAAACTGACCCTGCACCCGATGCGCCCATCAATGCTGTGAGTCGACCAGGCTTGACATAACCGCTCACATTCTGCAATAACTTGCGTTGTCCACGTTTGTAAGGTATTGTATAGTTCACATCCTGCCATGTGAAGATCGATGTATTTTTGGCGATATGTTGCACTTTTTCATCATCATCCTCATTAGTCAGATTTGCTGGTACCTCCTTTTCAGCGGACTCCACATCCGATGCTCGGCCTGAATTCTCGATAGCATCTTCAACTGCTTTGGGAGCCTGGCCTCTTTTGAAAATCGTTACCGAGCTTCCACCTTTATTGGGCTTCTGAATTTCCATTCCAAGCATAGTTAAAAAGACAAAGAGAAGAAACCAAGCAACAATAATGCCAAAATTCCTCCACAGATGGGCTCGGGAGTATGTGTAGGCTGCCTCGATGTAGTCGGATCCCTGGACCGTTAATTGGTTGGGAGAACTACCTTGAATTGTACAGCCTTGATGTCCAGTGCTCGCCGTTGGTCCAGAAGGAACAATATAGGGAGCTTCGCATATGATGTCAAAATTATAGAACTCGTTCGCCATCATGGCTTCAAAGGCGTATTGGACTGGGTTAATCCAAATAAGCCATTTGAGCCACGGATGCATCTTCCATGGCGGAATCAAATAGCCTAGCCTGATTAGCTTCTGTATGGCAGTGATTTGATCAGATAGCCTAGTAGGTAGCGATTGGTGACGTGCTTACCTGTATACACGATCAATGCTTGAATGGCGACGCCAGTAATTCGAGTAGCTAAGGATGGTTAGCAACGTAAACTTCATGTATCATGTGCTCGTATTTGCCTCACCAATATCCAATGAACCACAGAGCGCCCCTAGGGCACGGAAGAAAGAATACATTGTCATGGTAAGTATGAAAATGAACAGCAGATTGATGAAAAACTGAGAGGGTGTTCGAGCAAGATTCGCCATGCTAAATTTCGTTCAGTTACTTCTGGAAATACCTGTATCATCATCGGGAGTACTAACAAGTATACTACTACGTCGAAGATGACAACCTGGATAAACACCAGTGGAACATCCACAACGACTTGCGCCAGGGCGTATGCTGCTGGGCGGTAAAAGGAACTGTCCATTGTAAGTATTTCGTTCAAAATTGCCAACATGTGGATGCTCACAAGCTTTTATGCTTCATTAAAATTGGTCTGCTGTGAAAAGCAGCCGTAAGTTCTGCAAGTGCTAGCAGAGCGTTGAACAGGAGGATGAAGAACATAACGCCTCCTCGGGTAAAAACCCCAGAGCTATATATCGTTAATTTCATATCACCCCATACTGAGAGTCGTGATCAAACAAACCTTGTATTAGGCAGATTAAAAAACAAACTGCCCACAATTAGGGCCTGGAAAGTGATAACTCCCCATTTGCCAGCCAGAGCTGCTCGATCTCCAAACATCACGAGGAATTGACGGTGGGTGAGGATCATCACCTGTTTCCAAAACGAAACTGTATAGTTTTTTGTCTTCACATTCTGTCTCGAAATTTCCTTTTCGTGTTCGTTGGCTTTCAATTCGCTCTCAAAATCGTGAATGTCCGCGACTGTGGCCTTGGCGATGTTACTTTGTCGGTATATAGCCTGAAACTCTTCTGCCGTTCGAGGAATCCGATTTTCCCATCCAGGTCTGACACGTCTTGCATTTGGATCGCTCACTGATGTTAGAAAGTCCGGTGTTGTCCACCGTGGCGGGCATTCAAATCCCAGTTGCTCGAAGTAGGACTTTGCATCATCTGAGCGGCCAAAGAAGGCGCATTTTCCATCTTCGATAAGCACAACTTTGTCGAAAAGGTTAAACAAATTTTCAGAAGCCTGATAAAGGGCGACTAAGGTAGCAACGTTGGCGGTGTTGGTTAAGCTTCGTAAACTTTGCACATATTCCAATGCAGTACTCGCATCGAGTCCTCTCGTGGAGTTATCCCAGCATTGGGTACTGGCCTTGGTAACCATAGCCTCCCCGATTGAGACACGCTTCTTCTCTCTTTTTCGTGTAACAGTGATGTTAGTAAGTATTCCCTTACTGGTTACTTCGGTTTACATACCCTCCTGAAATTCCTCGAATGAGTTCATTTCCAACTCTGGTTCCCATGGCATGTTCAATCCAGAACAATTTGGCAATTGCGGACAAAAAGGTTTGCTGATAATCTTTTCGGCTTTCGCCAGGAATCCGAGACTCTTTATCTGGAGTGCGAGTTTTGAGTGCAAATAGCAGAGTTTCTCGCACAGTTAATGTAGCATAGTGGAGATCATCCTCCGGATTATAGGAAACTATCTTGTTAGCCTAGTGACTGGAGACACCTGGAAGTTCGATAGAGTTGCATACCTTCGGAACGATAATTTTTCCCCATAGTATCTGAGTCTGTGCCCCCGTATAGGACATCACCATCAATGCTTTCATATCCATATCGTTGGTTACCAATGACTTTCAAGAAGGTAGAACATCCCGAGCCAGGCCGACCAAGAACAAGGAGCATTTCTCCAGGACGAACACAGCCCTTGATATTGAATGTCAGAATTTGGTTTTAAATCAGGAAGACAAGTCATACTGTGAAGTCATCCAAGATAGTTCGAATTCCAGCTTTCCCTAACCCAGCACCCTTCCTGCCACGGGTGAACAGCTTCTTGATAAGCCGCGGTATGGCAAGAAAGATATCACCATTGGTCGGCTGGAGGGCAGCTCCAAGACCCAATCCTTTCACTGTCAAGTTTTTCCAGACTACCCCTGCGTGTCGTGTCTTTTCTTCTTCAGAACTGGCCTTCCGTTCATGGCCGAACATTCGTGAAATCAACTTTTCTATCTGTGACCATTCTTCGCCGTAACCCGATGCATGACTTTTCCTTTGGGTGAGCGTACGACTAAGTACTGTATCACTGAGCTGGGTGTCATTTCGATCATTTTCAGATTCATTTGAAGCACTGTGATTCGCAGCGGAATCATCCTTTCTGTCTGGTTGAGAAGAAGCGCTGGTACCTGCGGAATTGGATTCTGATCGAGGTTTCACCTCCTCCTGAGCAGCAAGTGTTTTGTCGCTGCTAGTTGAAGTATTCCGATCCATACCTTGTGTGATGGGAAAAGTTGTGGGATTTTTTTGGTGTCAGTAGAACTGATTGCTATAACAACTTTGATACTTCAGTTAAAGATTCTGCAAGAAACAGCATGACCCGAACGAACACAATTTCGCTCACATCCAGGATACATATATACAGCACAGTAATAAAAAAGGCGGCTGAATGCTGCGTATTACGTCAAATATCAGGTCCCTTAATGACATGACAGGTTTCTCGTGTTCGGCCTCGGAGCGTCACTCTGCCGACTAGCTTTTCTTAAACCCGCTAGTTTCCGAGAGCTGTGAACCAGCAATTAATAACTTGCCAGAATGACGAGGTAACCTTGGTGACTCCGATTATGTGATGTGCAGAACCCGATCTGGGCCGTGCAACATGTCGATAACCTTCGTTCCACGGTTTGATAGCGAGCGGAGTTTGCAACCCCGATCATGAAGTCATCGATAAATTGATATTCTCGAGTTGGTTAGTTCCCCCGCAAACAATATTTCTGGCATGGAGAATAATCCTATCCTATCCGTTATTTCTTCTTATCTTGACAGTTTTTCCATCCAGTTCATCCCTTGCTTAAAACGAAGTCTTGGATTCCAAATCGGACAATTGAGTCTGCTATTTCCTAAGCTATTCATGTCTTGAAGAATATCATTATAGATTTTGCTGGATGGTCGCCCCCTGTTCAAAATCTTGTCACAGGCAGTGACCACCATATCTAGTGTCTGTTCGAGGGCCTCCTGGCTCCTGGGTGATGCTGTTGGTCTGCGCACGGATGTACAACGCTGACCTGGGGAACGGTCACTCAGAAATGGCCTCTCCTGCGGTTGCTGACGGCAGAGGTGCAGCATTTGATCAAGTGCGAGACATTAATACGTGCTGAGAGCTTGGGGCTACGCATTCTTCGACGCATCTCAATAGCCTCAACCCAGAACAGCTGGGCATATTGCTTGAGTGCTGAGGCCCGCAAACGCGAAGCTGGGCGCCAAGTAATGCAGAAAAGGCAGCGCATGTTGAGATTCAGGATCCGTCTGTTGGAGATATTCAGTCAGCTTCCTTGCTCTTGGACTTATGGAAGAGTAGCATCTCCTCTAGAATATGCTTTGGGTGACGATCTGGTGCCGGATCAGTCGAGGCAGGGATACTAGAAGGAGGTCGCTGTATTTTTGACGATCGCAGAGCTGCTCAGCTAGCTGGTGAGTGAGGATAGCCTATTCCATAACATTGTTACTGTAGTGATGTCTATGCGTGATAAAAGCCTTGGATAAAATTGGCCGTGTAGACCGCCACAACTAGACTATTATCCGGGTGGGCATCTGGCTTTTCTCCATATGCCATCGGAGGCTCAACCCAGAGATCCAGATCGTCCAACGCAGAATTGCAGAAGCTGGCCTTCGTAATGCCCTTGAAAGAAGGGTATTTGCCGCTATCGTCCCCAGAGTCTAGCCATTGGGCGACGAAACGACCAGTGCTGTTTTTCTTTTTGAAGAACCAATGGCCGCCTACGGATTCCTTCTCGATTATGCTGCAGATATGACGAATCTGACTGAGGGGTTGCTCAAGAGCAGCCTTCAGCAAACCAGCCACTTGGCTTCGTCGACATTTCAAGTCGGAAGAATAGCGCGTAATAGTTGTAGGTCGACTCAAGGGTCGAGAGTTTGCTCCTCCAGGTAATTTTCTCAACCAAGGGGGTGACTTTCAAAAATTCCTCCCTGGCCATGGCGATTATTTGATTAAAAAATAGACCCTGCGAAATAATTCCAGAGAACGTGGCAAGTTCAGTTCGCAATCTGCAGCTCTCGGCTTTACGGAGGCGGTAACCTCATCAGGGAATCTCAAGATTGCTAAACAAGAGAAAGACGAACTTCAATTTAAATTAGATGTTCTGTTACGGCTTGGTCAGCACTTTCAACTGCGCTCTGGAAGATCATCCGCGTCTGTTCGGATCTTCCCGCTCGGGGCCTCCCGGAAGCCAGTTAACGTCCGTGCGCTACAGGCCCGGGCAGGCTCTTGCCGACGCTATGGAAATGGAAGCATTGAAGTTACGGAATGCCTCATAAGGAAGTTGATTCATCGATTATACATCTGTTTAGGTTGTATATATATTACTTAATTCTCAATTTCAAAAGCATTGGTGCTTGCCTATGTAAGTTCTAAATAGAGGCTTTCCGCTTGTGTTGGCGCCTGTGATGAAGATTGTTTGGCCTTGAAGGCTGAGAGTTGCGAGGAGCTGGGAGGTTGAGACAAATTGTCGGAAAATACAGCCGAGGAGAGTCATTCTGGGAAGAATAAACGAGAGTAGACGTAGAAAATTGAAATACTTCTCTCTATCTCTGGCAGCAACCTCCCACAGCAACGCGTGAGCATGACTGGTTCACCACTAAATCCGCCTTTCACTTACCCATCCCAATCAATCGAGGGTGGGGATTTATTTATTGAGAGAATTTCAAACACATCTATGGGCTTGCTTTCGGAGAATTTGACACCAGATTTTTCGGATGCTGTGTTGTCATTCGCAGTCGCATCACTCATGTCAGAATACTTCGAGTGGGATCTGGCCAGCTTGTGGAATATGGGACAGGACGAGAGACATGGACTTTAACGTTATCATTATACTTAAATAATTCTCAGGTCTGGTAGATGAACACATGATGTAATTGGTAAGAAGGAAGTGACGAATACTTATCATTATTTTATGTACGGGTGGCAACGACTTTACTCAAGGCCCATGTATAGTTAGTTATGTGGTTAGTAATGGATTTTCCGGGGTATTGTGACCCACTGTAGCTACCAGCGTGAGCGTGTCATTAGTGGATGTAATTTTCCAGGAGTAAAAGCGCATTATTCGCACATTTCTAGTGTAAGCAAAGTTACATTCCTCTCTTGGGAGATCGAGTATTCGTACTTTTATAGGGTTGCAATGGCTCAACCCTGTCACCGCCGGACCACTTCGGACCCCGGATTCGGCCCCCGAATAGATGAAGGGCTGACCGATTTCCACCCCAACGCACCCCTAGCTGTCTTTTTCACCCTCTTGCAATCAATTTTCTTCTTTCTTCTACCTCCGAACCCAGACCCATTCGGTACCCCTACGATGTCAAACGAACGAGCGATAGTCAAAACGTCAGGCTCGATGCTTGATGTGCACGGCTCTGCAAATACCACCGCAGAGCCTCATCTACAGTCACGGTTGGTAATGACTTCTCAAGTTGAAGAAAAGAACGGCAATGCTGATAACGGGGCTCTTCTTTCTTTCGCCAAAATAGAACAGGACACAAGTCTTGATTCTAAGTTGGAAGATCGTGTGTCTCTCCAATCTACTCACAGTATTACTGCCTCGGACGACCGTCGCGTAGCCACCGAAGATGAAGTGCGCGATCTTCTCCACGTCGTCGATAATGTTCCCGGTCGCGTTTGGGTAGCCTGTATTGCGGGCATACTGGAACGCTTTGTCTGGTATGGGGCAACTGCTCCACTGCGTACGTCCTCCCTCTACCGCCCCTGCTAGGTAACGTTTCCTTGCTGACGAGCTTGCCCGAGAATTACCTGCAAAATGCGCCTGGCGGAGAGGTTCCCGGAGCTCTCGGACTCGGCCAGGCTACAGCTTCAAACATTGTCAATGTCTTGTTTATTGCATCATACATTGCCCCTGTACCTGCCGCCGTTGTTGCCGATAGCTGGCTGGGCCGCCACAAGACCATGATCTACGCTGCTATGTATAACGACCTTTGATCCCTGTGATCTGCCCCTTCCATCTCCAAATGCTAACGTTGTCATAGTATTGAGGCCGTTGGTGCCACTATTCTATTCGGAACGTCACTGCCTGTCGCCATCCGTGAAGGGGCCGCCTTGGGTGGTGTAATCGCTGCTTGCGTCCTCATGTCTATTGGATCTGGTGCATTCAATGCCACTGTGGTGCCTTTCATCGGTGAGTTGCTTCGGTAGTGCCACAAGTCGTGACCATGTGCTGATTCTAAGCAGCCGACCAATACGATGAGGAGGAATTTTGCATTAGGACTAAGAAGGGAAGGAAATTTGTCGCTGACCGGGAATTGACTATTACCTACATTTACAATGTTTATTACTGGTGCGTGCTTTCTCTTCGCGGTCTCTGCTGGGACCTATGCTAAATTGTAACTCAGGACAATCAATATCATTGGTTTCCTGGCCGATTCCACACCGTTACTGGAGCGATATGTCGGCTACTGGGTCGCATACTTGGTTCCATGTTGTGCTATGTGGCTTGCCTTGCTCCCGGTCCTTTTCGGACGCAAATACTTCAGTGAGTAGGCAAAAGCTCCTATATGATAATTGCTCGCTAATCCGTGGATACTCTAGTTCGAGTTGTGCCTACCACCAACATCATGCCGCAGGTATGCACAGCGCTCCGTCTTGGAATTACGGGCGGCTTCAAAATGGAAGCCGCAAAGCCAGACGCTCAGCTTCAGAAACATGGTCGCCACGTTCCCTGGACAGATTCGTTCATCGAGGACATTAAATTGAGTCTACTCACCAGCCGAGTTTTGTAAGTCATTAATTCTTCTAGTCTATATCCACTGCTAATGAGACCCAAGGCTTCTCTTCCCCATCCACTGGCTCTGCTATAACCAGACCTTCAACAATTTGATCTCACAGGCTGGGCAGATGGAAACCTACGGTATCCCGAACGACATGATGAAGGTTGCAGGGGCTATTTCCGGAATCATCGTTGCGCCCATAATTCAGAAGGGGCTCTATCCTTTTCTTACGAAGTGGAGAGTTTCATTTGGACCGATCGCACGCATGACAGTTGGATTCCTCGTTCTTGCATTTGCCATGGCTTACACCACTGGAATTCAGAAACTTATCTACCAGGCCGGCCCATGCTACGATCATCCCCTTGCATGTGCCGGGGCGAAGGACCGGACGATCCCAAATCAGGTTTCGGTCTTTCTCCAGATCCCCATCTACTTTGGTGGATCGTTGGCAGAGGTCTTCTGCTTTACCACGGGGACTGAGTATGCCTATAACAAGGCCCCCAAGAGCATGAAGACATTGGTTCAGGCTATCTGGCTCGGTATGGGTGGAATTGGAGCCTGTCTTGCTCTGGCCTTTACTCCACTCTCCGAAGACCCCCACTTAGTTACTATGTATGCTATTTTGACCGGGATCCTGGGCGATGCGGGGGTCTCACTATGGATAATTTTCCGCCACCTTGATATGGTGAAAGTGAATGAAGATGCCGAGTAAAACAGACTTCCTGCTTTGAGATGAGAAAGTTTGATTGTCAGTCTGCAAGAAATCTTTTGGGAAAATCAATCAAAAAGTCACTGTATGCAAAGCGAAAAGGATGGGTTTCAGTTTGACCATGGTAATTTGATTTAGATTGCAATATTACATTTTATCACCCCCCACATTTCTACCCCATCCCATTTATAGCGCATTCTTGAGCACCTGAGGCTGGGCCGTCGATAAAACTTTACCTTCAACACTCTTGTCTGGTATTTAGTTGTTGTTGAAAGTGAGCAAGGTCTGTGGCATATTTATCGAGGTGGTTGTTTTTGTGGATTTTATGGAAAAAAGCCCGATTTACATAGCACTTGAGATCAATTGATGCCATTGTTGAATTGAATTTGGTCTTCAAAGTTTGCATATTTCCCACATGGAGTCAAGGAAACGATACCATCCGAAGATTCAAGCATTTCATTGTTGGGCCTTGCCTTGCCCGATGGATAAATCGTATTGATCAGATCTACAAACTTTTTCGCGGTATCAAAATCCGGTTGAACGGATGACCTCCCCATGGGCTCCCTGAAAAAGGCCTTCAAAAAAGGATGATATCTGGCTTGTCTGCTCCATCCGACAAACAAGACGTGCATAACCGTTGGGACGCATGAGAACTACAAATCTATCATTCTGAATCATTCTGATCAATACCAAAGCGGTTATGGGCCTGTCCATGTCCATCGTGATAGCTGCCGACATCGGCATAGACTCTGAAGTAGTCCCAACCATTAGCATCGTTCTGCAGGTAGAAAATTGCAGGTAAGCCCATTAATTCAGATCAGCCCGCTTGCTGTAATGAACCGTGATTGCTTCAATGCCTGGGTTCACACGCAGGAAGCCTGTCGACTACTCTCCGAGTCCCAACAATTTATTGTACACGGGCTGTGTGGAGATGTATCCTGCAAAGATCAGAAGACGGAATCGGCCATTCATCGTGAGCCGATGATAGAAAGTTGTTGGTACACCGTCTGCTTGGTTGACCATCTGGAAGTCTGGTAGTCGCATCCCGGGTGCGAGAGTCTTTGCTAGATTGAAAGTCTTCTCTTCTAGGGGAGGTGACTGACAATCAGAGACGGTTCATAATTAATCCCAATGCCGGTGGTGGATCTCATCGCGGTTTGGTATGCAATCAAGAAATCATCAAATTGGAGGCTCGGGCTGGCAAATAATTCGAGATATTCTCGGTCAAAGTCAATTAACTGCTGGGCTATGGGCTTTTTTTACCTGTTCGTACGTCGCAAGGAGAGATTCCGAGCACTTTTGGTCGAGATGGAATCGTAGTTTCCAACCAATATTACAAGCTTGAGGGATGGGTTGGCATGTTAAATAGTAGACTGTAGAGAAGACCGACCATCTTGAATGCTAGTGTTCATCCCCTGGCCCGCTTTGGGAGAATGTGTGTCTAGTAAGTAAGGAGCAAGGCTCATTAGTGGGGGTTACTGAAGTAGCTCAATTATTTACAAGACTTACGGACTGCATCATGTAGCCGTTTCCTCCCCTGGCCGATAGATCAGCTGTCGACAAATGATACATAGCTTTTTCGAACCTTTGCAATTTAGCGGATAAATCAAAACAATTAATAGCAGATTGATTCGTGTACATTTCTTATCGTCGTACTATGATTGGTTTGCGCTGTAGATCCCTGTAGTGTAGTAGGAGTCCGAACGGAGGTCCGATAGCCTACACCCATATTCCACACGCTCTAATGCAATCAGTCAACATCATGGAGTACTATGCATTACGTATCAACGCAAAGAACCTTTTCTTTATTGCTAGTCGGTCATTTATGTGATCTATGCACTCCTTTGAATAAGGGTACGAGTGATCACCCCCGCTTCTCTCCCCTTTCCACCTTTGAACGAGGCCATGCTCCTCCTCTCCGTACGCACTCTGGGATACAAGAAATCCTTGCAACAGATGGAGAATATTCATACCTGTGGGGACAATACCTTAGGTCCCCGGGTGAGTCATTGTCGAGGAGGCTTTGACTTCACGCTGTTATTCGAAGAGTACTTCTTCTCAATTGTGCCTTCCATCCTTCTGTTACTAGCACTCCCTTTTCGTTACAACCAACTACGCCAGTCACGGATCCGCAAAGTGTCACAAAGCTGGCTCTACTGGGCAAAACTGGTATATTTATTTTCACTATACTATGCCTGGGCCATTTGATTCTAACAGGTACACTTTAATTAGATATTTGGCCAAGCTGTTGGGGTAACTCAACTCTCCTTATTAGTCGTATGGTTCCTCCCCCATGCACCGCGAACAAACGCCTCATTAGCAGCAGCCGCCTTGGCTTTCTTTTCGTCAGTCGGACTTCACTTACTGTCGCATCGGGAACACGTCTTTTCGATATGCCCATCTAACATCCTCAACATTGCGTTGTCCGTGTCACTTCTTTTTGATGTTGTACGCGTCAGAAGTCTGTGGTTCGCATCTAGCACAGTCATTGCTGGAATATATACAGCAGGCATGATATTGAAAATTATCTGGTTCTACCTGGAGGCACAATCGAAGCATAAATCCTTTCTTAATCGGAGAGAACGGCATGGAGACGAGGAGGTCCATGGCCTATATAGCCGCGCTTTCTTTTGGTGGATCAACTCTTTTCTCTATCTTGGGTTCAAGAACATATTGTCTGTGGATAATTTACCGCATATGGACCGAAATATGTCAGCAGACGCACTGCATCGTCAACTCGCCATGCGATGGAACCAAGGTGAGTAATATCCAAACTAGATGTGTTTTATAATAATTGTTCTGAAAGTCACGAAAGCCCCCAAAACCTCCAAACCCTCTCGCATTGGTTTAGCCTACTCCGTCATGTGGACATTCAAATCTTCGGTTATATGGGCATTCATGGCTAGGCTAGCAGTCATCCCGCTCACGTATGCTCAGCCGTTCCTCATTACAGCCTTGACCAACTATGTTCAGGGAAGTCAACCAAACAAGAACGATGGTTACGGTTTGATAGGAGCATTTGCTCTGGTATTTTTACTTAAAGGGGTGAGTATCGCCTATCTCGTTAATTTGTGCGTAATCTCTGATGATAGCTATTCGCAGGTCTTCAGCTGTCTCCATCAACATCATAACTTCCGGCTGATAACAAAGATTAGAGGTGCCATTGTATCCCTGATTTTTGAGAAAACCCTTACCTTGAAACTCGGTGAATATAGCGACACAGCAGCTCTGACTCTGATGAGTAATGACATCGATAATATCGCATTTGGAGTTCAAAATATGCACGAAGTTTGGGCAAGCCCCATCGAGACTGGTATTGCGTTATTCTTGTTGCAGCGCCAAGTTGCTTGGGCAGCGGCCATTCCTGCGCTTGCTTCTGTACTAGCTTTTGTCTCTACACATTTTCTTTCAAAGTCAACACCCAGTCGACAAAAATCATGGATGCAGGCTGTACGGCAGAGAGTGGCATTTGCAACCAGCTATCTCAATGGTAGCTCAACCATCAAAATGCTCGGTCTCAAGGACAGCCTTTCCTTGATATTGCAGCGATTCCGAATCAACGAGCTCAGTCAACAGAAACGATTTCGACACATGATGGTCAAAATGAACCTACTTGGTTAGCTAATTTCATCATATATTTTTTATTTGGAGCACAGTACTTACAAATGCATTTAGCGGGTACTATTACGAACCTGACTCCAGTGCTTACCCTGAGCATCTATACCGGTATCGCGCTCCACACAGGCCGCAGTCCCTTGACAGTATCCGCGGCTTTTACCACGCTCTCCATTGTCTCTCTATTGAGCAGTCCATTATCGAACCTCATTTATTCAGGCCCAAAGGTAACTGGGGCTTTGGAGTGCCTTGACAGGATTCAAGCATACCTTTCAGCTGACTCTAAACTTGACGATCGCCTTATTCCTCCCTCGCTGCAGCCGATGGCTTCTAGCCAGGTTGAGGAATCCCAAGTTGGAATTTCCCTGGAAGTTCAGCCAAACAACGCTTCAACACCAAATGCTCAGACTAACGATCTCGTTCAAATTCATCAGGCTGACTTTGGTTGGCAACGCAAATCAGCAGCCACAATATCAAACATGAACATCAATATATCTCCTGCCTCATTGAATGTGCTTGTGGGCCCTGTTGGGTCGGGGAAAAGCACCTTGCTGAAAGCAATATTGGGTGAGGTGCCTTGTTTAAAGGGCTTCATTCACGTCAACGCGGCCGAAATTGCATTCTGCGATACAAAGACATGGGTTCGTAACCGATCTATTCGTGATAACATTTGTCACCCACTTCCTTATGACGAGGAATGGTATCGAACTGTCGTATTTTCGACTGCGCTGGATCACGATATTGAGTCTCTTCCTCAAAAGGAGCACACGGTAATTGGCAGCAACGGCCTTTCAATGAGTGGTGGACAACGGCAGCGTATTGCTATTGCACGTGCGGTTTATGCTAGAACAAAGCTAGCCCTCTTTGATGATTCTCTCAGCGCCCTTGATGCCTCCACTTCTGCTCAGGTCTTTGCCCGTGTCTTTGGATCTCAGGGTATCCTGCGTCAGAACGGAACGGCTGTTATCTTAGCGACACATGACTGGAGCTACGTTCCTGAAGCCAATAACGCCATTATATTTGATGATGGAAAGATTAGGGAGCAGGGCCCCCCTCGAGAGCTTAAGACATTCAAAGCTCGCTTGCTCGAGGGTGGAGCAGAATGTTCAGCTCCCCCTCACAGGCATCCAGTGGAGGCAACATTTGCAACACCTCTCGCAAATATAGCAGGAACTGACGAGAATCCTTCAAGAAAGAGAGGGGACTTGAGCGACTATGCTTACTATTTCCGAGCATCTGGCCGATTTTCTATCATTATCTATGCTGGGGCTCTCATTATTGGCGTATTTTGCTCCCAGTTTACTAGTGAGTGCATAGGAACTCCTTCTACCGTGTCATAACACTAAGATGAAAATCAGATATATGGGTTCAGTGGTGGGCAGAGGAGAATTTGCGAGTGCCATTTGGTCATTTATCGCGGTATATCAGTGTCTATGCAATTTTGGCCACAGCCGGGGCTGGTATCTGGGCTTTCAGCATGTGGCTAGTCTTTTGCCGTATCGTTCCCACATCATCATGCAACATCCATGAATTTCTAGTCAACAAGGTTAAAAAGGCACCGCTTCATTGGCTCACGTCAACCGATTCAGGGATCATCCTCAATCGCTTCAGCCAAGACATGACTTTGATTGATCGATCACTTCCAGGAGAGTTTCTGAAAACTTCCAATAACTTCATTCAGTGTGTGATGAGTGCGGCATTCATCTGTGTTGGTGCAAAGTTTATGGCTCCTCTCATTCTACTTTCGGTTTTTGCAATCTACTGGATCCAGAAATTCTACCTTCGCACATCGAGGCAACTCCGCCATCTGGATCTAGAATCAAAGTCACCCTTATACACGCAGTTTACCGAGACACTCAATGGTATCATCACGATTCGTGCTTTTGGCTGGCAACACAGCTTCCAAGAGGAGTACAGAAAACTACTTCAGGAATCCCAGAAACCTTACTATTTCCTGTTTGTTGTTCAACGCTGGCTGACCCTAGTATTGGATCTAGTTGTCGCGGGTGTTGCAGTCATGCTGGCCGTTTTATCCGTTTTCGTACCTAACATTGGGCCAGTCGGAGTCTCCCTTATCTCCTTGATCACCTTTAATCAGCAGCTCGCTGAGCTCATCAACTTCTGGACATTGATGGAGACAAGTATAGGTGCTATCACTCGAGTTCGGAGCTTTGAGAAAGTTCCCACTGAAGATCTTCCTCTGGAGAATCAGGATCCACCTTCTACGTGGCCATCAGAGGGTTCCATAATCTTTCAAGGTGCCGACATGGCGTACAAACCAGGTGCATCTCCCATTCTTCGACAAATATCATTGTACATCCCTCCTGGATCCAAGCTCGGGATTTGTGGACGCACAGGAAGTGGCAAAAGCTCACTCATTCTCGCTCTTCTTCGCATGGTGGAAGTACAGAGCGGAGACATCAGCATTGATGGCATTAGTCTACAGTCTTGCCCTCGCGACACGATTCGCAGCAGAATGACCGTCATACCTCAGGAGCCTATTCTATTTCCAGGTACTATCAGAGAGAATATTGCGTCATTCAAAGCAATTGATGATGACAAAGTCCTTGGGGCTCTAGAAAAGGTGGAGTTGAGGGACTATGTAATGGCACATGGAGGTCTAGATGCGAGGATATATGATCTGCCATTGTCTGCGGGCCAACGCCAGCTCATCTGCCTAGCAAGGGCTATCACCATGAAACAGAAAATCTTACTCCTGGACGAAGCTACAAGCCTTGTGGATGATGAGACGGATCGACTGATGCAACAGGTAATTCGAAAGGAGTTTTCGGGGTGTACCATTATTGTAGTTGCACATAGAGCTCATACTCTCTTGGACTTTGATCGAATCGCTGTCATTGACGAAGGCAGAGTTGCTGAGTATGACACTCCGGATGTGCTACTTGGAAACCGTGCATCCATCTTCGGACGTCTTTGTGACCAGACAAAATCATCTTTACTTTGAGATGATTGACAGCTGACATTACGAACAAGAAATTTCAAGTTAATTTGAAGCATGTATTGTAGTATGACAATATTTCAGATTAAAAGCAACTTCTACAGACCTAGCTAGCACCTAAGTTTATAGACTAGAGGCTTTTCGCCGCTCGAATGACTCCTAAGCTTCATGAACGCATATCCAGTTATTCTTAATCTGGCATAATGTTGAGAATATTCATTCAATTCAAATTACATAACTCTCTATGGTTCCTCGAACATTATAATTCTGGCCGAACTCAATTTTCTATCTCCTTAGGTTGCGGTGTGAATCAAGTCAAAAACTTGGGAAACGATGGATGGGGTGGGAGTAACAGCGGAATGAGAACAAGGAAAAGGGAATGCGGAAAAGCCAAGAAGATAGGAAAATAGTTCTCGTGCACGCACCCCCTGATAACTTTACCCGAGAGCGGTCGTTGATATTATTGTCAGAATGAATTACTCTCGTGGAATATTGGATTTTGATAAAATTTCGATGATTCGAAGGCTAAGACCCGCGTCTATTTCTGCCGAGACTCTTCTAGACTGATTCCATTTTAGTGGACCGAGAAAGTTGGGAAAGATGGGGTTCCAAGATATCCATAAATCTTCGTCCAAACAAAAAGTCGGAAGTGGTTGATACTAAGGTGTTTTAGTAGTTCAAGAATGGAAGTGCAGTTCCACTCGGAGTTCAAAGCTTATTACTGGACAGGCCGAAGGTCCCCTGACTTTTTTTACTCCCCCTTTTCTATTTCTTCCATTACCCTCTCCAATTCTACCTTCCAAAAATTTTTACTTGCAAGAAACCCCCTCATCCATTTCTCCCCGTCAAATGCCTTCCCACGTTTTTCTCAGATCTCTCTATGAGCAAGTCAGAGACTTGAATCCCGACTTTCCTTCCTCCGATGAAATTCAAAGACTAGGGATTCAAGCAAGAGAAGTGTCTTTAAACGATACGGACAACAAAACCCTTGATTTCCAATCGTGCTACTTCAAAGCAGACCCAATAAATTTCCTTGAATTGTGTCTTTTGTAACCGTTTGTTGCGTTCTCTGGGTATGGATCAGGCTTGAGCCAACTGATGTAGACAGAAACTTCAAATCAGGGATCTGTAACAACTTCAAATCACGCAATCCATGTGTTTCCTTTCCTAGCAACTTCTTTAGGGGAATGTTTAATTGATCTTCAGATGAATGGTCGTCACCTTCAAGCAGGAGCCTAACAACCAGAGGCTCGAACGATCTGTAGAGCTGAGCAAGCGTCGGGTAGCGATTGGCAACATAAATGGCCAGCGTGTCCACCAGTTTATTCTTAAATGAAGCTCTCCTGCCTCTATATTGAAGTCAGCATATGAATCAATTCATCATTTCATTATACTTCTCAAACCCAAACATTTGATTTGCAGAGTCTTGACTAGTGAGTACAGTAGAATCACACCAAGTCACATACAAGCCGTAATTTTCAGCCAGCGCTGACCTCAGCGGCATTGGTCGCTTAGAAAATCACGATCTGCATTTTGTGGCGAAGATTGCTTTCCCACGAAAAGCCTGTAAGATATAATCTCTGGCCACCGTTGGAATTGCCCAATGTTGTCGACTTACCGGAACACCCTTTTTCTCACCTTCCTTTGGATTATTGACATAATTTTCAAATTGAATATGGATCCAAATTTGGGCAAAGCGGCGAAGCACATCGCCTAACGGTGAGATTGGACGGTTGGCTGAATCAAGGTATTTCAAATACAGGGGATTTCGAAAACAGATTACCCCCCAGACACACACAGTCTTTCCCAGCGCCCCACTTACGGCGACGCTAATCCTCAAAAGACGAGTGATTGGTCTCTATAACAGGTATTTATTGGTATGATTGGCCATGGGGTGCGGCGATCTTAAGGTGATCTGGGCCTAGCCCGCTTGTGGGTCTTTGGGAAAGAAAGCCAGTGTGTCTTAGGGGTAATCTGTTTTCGAAATCCCCTGTATGCCACACATGCGGACACAGACCAGTCACAGTCACTTGTGCCATCATCGAGTAGACGAGGCAGACGATAACTGGCTTTAATGGATATTGATTTCCATACAGCAATGGAGGATCGGATCGCAAGTCTGCAACTAAACTGTCATCGCAATTCTTGACCGCTTGAGCTTGTTTTTTTGGCATAGTAAAGTAAGTAGCGGTGTGTCATGAAGGGTGGATCGTAGTATATTCGTGCCCTCCATCTGGCGCACACACCTTTTTCCGGAGCCCACTAGGGAGAGCCAAGTCCAGATCGCCGAGTTTCAGAGACTCACTAAGATATTTACACTGCTACACACCATCCTAAAGGGACGTTGTTTACCTGGATTCAGCTAAGCATAATCGTAGTGGCTCGCTTGGAAACAAACGCGGAGTAGGTGGTTCTACCTAACAGCCACTGTCGACGATAAATGTCCCTGCACTGCTTTCTTAGCTAGCGTTATAGTAAAGGTGTAGAGTAGCCTCCAGCCTTCCTATTCATGACTGATATCCGTGCCCTCCGGCCTACTGGATTGTGGATCGGCGCTTCTACTGGGATGAACTGCATCCCACTTACCCTTATGGGATAGAGGTGATTTACTATGATGGCGGTTCGGTTAAGTATTCAGTTAGCTTAGGATTCATGGAGTCATTATTGTAGGAAATGATTGACGAATACTAGGATATTATAATCTGCGAAACTAATCTATCTAATAGGCGTAGACTAAGATCTGCATGTCTTGTGGCGCATGTCGGCAGTATGGCCCTCGAAGACTTTCATCTTTTAGCTGGAGGTCGCAAGCCATGTACGTCCGCATGACGTAATTCACACCTGGCCGATTATCTTGCAGATCGACACTAGCCAATTAGATCCTGGTATCTTGATCTGACGATGCCCGGAGATCTGTTTATCGAGAACTCTCGATCGAGGATAATTTATCTGCCAAGCAATTGTTGTTTCGGAAACATCCCCCACTTCTTACCTTCCTAGCTGCCGTCACAAACAGCGACAATGTACTTACTTCCACTCGTACGCTAATACTCTGGCATCTGCACAAGTCCATAAGTAAAAACCATAACGACGAACATAAATCGCATCCTTTTCCCGATCTAAATCACTAACCACCTCTTACATCACCGATGTAGTGGGCTTTCGAGACTATACCATCATCCCGAATCTCATCGTCAATGGACTGGATGAAAGCCGTCCGCGAGATCCACATTATATGCTTTAACTTAAAGCCCGATGTCGGATACCCCTCCCGCTTTCTGAAGAAAAGATCTCGGGCGTGAAACAATGGGGATGTGGAGCATCACGGTAGGTATCGACCAATGATAGATCATAGGCGCGGATTAAACTTCTGCAATGAGATTGGTCAGTTGGCTGAATCAAGGTATCGAATACAGATTAGTTTGGTGGGTATGACGAATAATTCATTCATGCTGGATACTATTTGTTAAATGAGGGCTTTTCCCGGTGGGGTAGTTATGAAGGACTACGTGGCTGAGCTTGGTTCAGCTGAGTATATGGGGACTATGTGGAGTAGGGTTGCATTTGAGAGAAGTGGATAATGATAAAGCAGCTTCTCAAGAGATATATAAACCCGACGTTATCCTAGCATTATCAATATCCAGTAACCTTGCAAAATTCCTACTTGTTCCACTTCGACCTCTTTATTGAACGCCTGACGATACATCGCTCCTTCCGTTCATATTTAACAAGATGAACCCTAACTGTCCTAATTGCACTCAAGGCCAAGGCCCTTGTGTATGTCTTGTTTTCCCTTGATCCCTATTTCATTGGCTAAATTGATTCAGATCTGCGAATAGTGGAACGGCCATAGAAGCAGGGATGATGCTGCCAGCATAATTAGGGATGGAAGAAGCGAAGACATGAGGGTATGTACTAATGTGCCTAATTCAATTCTTCATACTACCTGTGATGATCGAAGACTGATGTTGTGGAAGCGAGAGTTTGGTGGTTTACTGAGCGGGTTTGCCTGTTGACCGGAAGATTCCCTTTCGGTGGTAAACAGAAGTTCTTTCTGCGTGGTAGATAAAACTTCTCCTTTTCTTCTCTCTAGCTTTAGTTGCTTTGTTGAATGCACTAGTTTGAGCCTCTTCTTTCTACCTGGCTGTAATAATCTCCATGTTGAGATTATCCCTTTCATTTTTCTAAGATCATGGTGTGTGGATAGGGTGTAGGGGCGTCTTATGTCATGCGAATTATCGATTTGGATACTATATATGCTGTAAGACTAGTGACGTTAGGTATTGCGCGCGATATACTGTGAACAATCAAAGAGGCGTAAACGTAAACATTTGACGACTACATATCACGTGTACTGCTAGGTACTAGTGACGCGCGCTCCGTAAGCTTCTCACGCTAATGCCCTGAAACGAAGTTAAGAAAGAGGAGAATGCTGTGGAAATGTTAGTATAGAATATGAAAGTGAAATAAGACTAATAGGGTGAGAGGGGATATGAATGTTTGTAGTCATATGATTTATTTTGACATGTAGTCTGACAGGTTCACCAAAAAAAATCGTCCGCCGACCATTTTTTGTCAACTTTCCTTTGAAAAGATCGCGCTTTCGAACCCGGCCAGCAGCTTTTTTTCTTTACTTTTTTCAATTCTTTACATCACGATTGCCAATGTCAACTTGATTCGCTACCTCACTAGGTTACGGTACAGCGGTGTTTTATAAGTAGACTTCGGCATGGGCCTGTCCATGGACAAAACCCCTGTCCATTGTCCACCCATGGACAGGGCCTTTGTTCCTTGTCCATGATGGGCATGCCTATGGGCCTAAAAAAGCCTATTCGTGCCTGATTCTGCCTGATATTCCTTGCATAACCTGATGACTCTAGATCCCGAACATTCAACAGCCTTGCTGAATATACATCCCCCGCGAAGTATACAGGATTTAATGAACGCAGATCCTTATCATGGTGGAGCGAAGATCGCTCCTTCATACGAGAATCTCACAATCCGGGACCAATGTACCTATAACATTGACCAAAGTACCCTTGATCAAGCCAGGAGTGTACAGGACGGAATCGATCGCCATTTCTGGAAACGCAGGCCAATACTTGGGATCACTCCAAAAGATGAGCTTCTTGATGAGCTTCTTGATGAGTCTTGAAGCCAAGGAGATTCAGCATATTTGGCCCCTTAGACTTTCTCATTGAGACAGATTACGGACCAGGAGCGATGGATGGTTGTAAGAGAGCAGATTTCAGGGTGAATACACAGCATAAACCTTGGAAGTTAACCTATTTATAGCATAGAAGAACGAATGCGCAAAATTGACCCTGTTTATAGGGAGGAGTTCCATGTTTCGAAAACATGACAAATCGAACATCATTATATTCATACCAGGCTCCCTCCAGATGTCATTAAATCCTGGCATGTTTTGTTCATATCAAACCCACCGAGACGCAAAAAGGCCTCACAACGCATGAGTTTCGGGCAATCGTGAACTCAATGGTGCTTCGAGTCAATCATGAACCATTTCACAGATGCGGGTGTCCTATCCACCCAGTAGGTGTCCACATTCCACGTGACCTTGCACAGTTCAAGCGTAACGTTACCTAACTTCTACATAGATTTTGATTCTATCTTATCTTGGTGATTTCAAAGGAAGGATCATTCACGCTTCGTATGATGGCAACGGTCTGATTCTGCAATACTCACGACTGTGGAACCTTTTAGATTCGAGCACCCCAAGGTTCCCGGTGGAGTTGTTTGTTCGATACAGACTGAGTCGGCCCACATGGCCATTGTCCCTCCACGACTAAACCTCGATTCTTGTCCATGGAATAGCTGTGATTTACTCGTTTTGTGTTCATTCAGACCACCGAGTTTTCGAGCCCTGAGATATCAATGTTTCAATAAATGTTACATTCTGCTCGGACATGAAAGTATATAAACATCATCTCTCATACCTAGGAATTTGCCCCAATTGATTCTAAGCCTTTGTATCTCTTGTGACTTGTAACATTTGAACTTGCCCAGCTGAAATTGCGAGGTCATATTTGGGCCCAGTACAGCGGACCACCAATTAGTAATAGCGATATGCCACATTGTTTTCAATAACAATGAGCCCTCAGATGGGTCCATGGAGGCCTTGGTTTCAGTCGCATCGACAGAAAATGAGACTGAGCAGATATTGAAGACGGTACGATCCGTCTGGTAGAGAGTCATCGGACAGAGTGACGAGATGGATACAACATTCTTCAGTCACTGGGAAGCTCTCATAGCAGCGACCCATTTCGTAGTGGCATATCAGCAATCTGGTTTTGATTTCACTATGGAAGATATTCTCAAAACACCGGCTATTGGAGCACAAGTTAAATTATGTGCAAATAAAAGAGCGGATGTGCCTGAGGGGGTCTTTCCTAGTATAACAAGTTGAATGCGCATCTAAAGAAGCGGCATGTGCCGTCTAATATGATATTTGCTCTTAATGCTTATTAAATAGATCACAGCACTCTGCGACTGGGGAGCATTGATTGGAGGCTATCCGTCGCGAACTTTGCGTGGCGACTAGACGGCGAAAACAATTAATATTTGTACTATACCTGAGGTTTTGAACGCTTGCCCAAATTTTCTGTGATGTACCAAGTAGTGGACAGGTAGACTTCAGGCTTGAAGGGATGATATAATATATTGGTAAGCGTAGTCACACGTACGGAGGCGAGTAGCGGCCATGAGGCCAGAACCTGTAATATCACATAAAAAATGACAGAAAATCATAAATACTACTAAGCTAATCTACCCCTTTATCACTTGGATACATCGTAGACTTTTTGGGTGTACGTTCGAAACCTCCACCAGACCTTCTCCTACCACTTCACTTTTTTCTGTTTCGTTTCTATTCTACTATATACAAAACCTTAGAGCCCTTCGAGCATTTATCTAGACTGGTACAAAAGAAGGTGGAATAGTAGATAGGAGATATAGTAGGAGATATAGTAGGAGATATAACATAATTCCTAAATACTAAGCGCTACGCTAAAAGGTATCGTCCTCATGGCCGCTACTCGCCCCCGTACACACGCCAGCTTTGAAAAGAAAATGGCCCTCCCCAATGCCAGCAGAACATCTCTTCGAAATCTCGACATTTGACTCTGTAGGTAAGCAGGACTTAATACCAGAGTTCAAAGATGTCAAACCATCAGATAAATAAGTTTCTGACGCGTGTTAGGACGGGCTGTCAACGTTTGGGGCAATGATCTACATCACTTCCAAGGTTACAGGGTTCCCCTCCACAATTCAAAATCCGCCTGCGCTTAATGGTGGAATTGAAGATCTTATTAAATTAAGGAATATATACAAAGCATAAATATGCCGAAACCCCACTTTTTACGTTCTTGTGTTGCACAATGCAACCTTTGATTTCACATCCTGGAAGTTTATCCCCATCTTTTCTACATATCTTGCAAATTGTGCAGTTTATGCACTCTCTCTTTCTCCACCATTCCGGAGTATTAATATGTCAATAATCTTCATTTAACCTCTGACCCCCTGATATTCAGAATCACACAGATACTGCTATAATCATGGTGTTTGTGATCCATCTGTCCACGGCGTGGCAAATTTTAGCTATAGCGACACTTTTTGTGAGCAACCGTACCAAATCTCACTTATCTTTGTTCTCTCAAATGACTTGTGTCTTGATTATCTAGGCTTTATTTTGTGTCACAGGCTTTGGAATCTACAATCTCTTCTTTCATCCCCTGCGCAAATATCCTGGCCCCAGGCTCTGGGCAGCATCACTTTTTCCTTCCCTCTGGTACTTCACTCATGGTGAGCTGATTTACAAATTGCGAGAATTGCATGAGCAGTACGGCGATGTGGTTCGGATCGCCCCTGACGAGGTGGTCTATATCGGCCAGGAAGCCCAGAAAGATATTTATGCCTTCGGGGGTGGCTCTGGTCCTTTCGTCAAATCCCCCGACTTCTATTTTTCTCTGGGTGGCTCACACTCCATTGTGACAACACCAAAGAACGCGGAACATGCGAAGATTCGCAAACTTCTCGGCTCTTCTTTCTCGGAGAAGGCGATCCGAGAGCAGGAGCCGGCCGTGATGAATTTCATCAATCTATTCATCAAGCGATTACACGAGAGGGCACACCAGGGCCCGCAAGATCTCAGCAAGTGGTTCAACCTCATCACATTTGATGTCATTGGCGACTTAGCCTTTGGTGAACCATTCGGAAGTGTTGACAGCGGCGACTACCATCCTTGGGTGCGTACCATGACGCAGAACAATCTGTGGAGTGTTCTGGTCGGCTCTGCACAGCGCCTTCCGCTCATCCAACCCCTTCTGCAGTACCTCATTCCGGCAACCTTGAAAGAGGAAAGGGCGCAAATGATCGCTTACACCAAGGATAAAGTTGCTCGCCGTATCCCTCAAGGTTCGACGCGGACTGACTTTATGAGTCCTCTGCTTCGCGCAGATTCATTCAGCATCCAGGAGTTAGAGCTCAATGCGATGACCTTTGTAGTAGCAGGAAGTGACACCACGGCATCGTTACTGTCCGGTCTCACTTATCATCTGTGCCTTAACCCACATGTATTGGATAGACTCACAGCCGAAGTGAGATCGGCGTTCCGGAGTGACGATGAGATTAACATGACCAGCGTCAATTCCCTCAAATACGAAATGGCGGTCCTCAAGGAAGGATTGAGAATTTTTCCTCCCGCCTCCGCTGGATTGCCCAGAAGAGTACCGGAAGGTGGTGCTACAGTCGCAGGAGAATGGGTTCCCGAGGGGGTAAGTTGAATCCATCAACTACCCTACTATGCTACTCCTACCGAAATATTGATATGTATTAGACCCGCGTTCATGTCAGCCCTTGGGCATCATATCAATCATCCTCTCGATTTTATCTCCCGCAGTCTTTCATCCCAGAAAGATGGTTAGGCGACCCTCGGTTTGCAAATGATGATCTCAAGATTATCACCCCCTTCAGCATTGGTCCCCGGAACTGCATTGGAATGAAGTGAGCTATCAACCTTTACATGATAGTGAGAAATATCCCTGCTAATCTTATTTTGTATCAGTCTCGCGTATGCTGAAATGAGGACTATTGTTGCAAAACTGGTGTGGAACTTTGATCTCACTTTGGCCTCTAGATCATACGAATGGTTATCCACAGCCAAGAAGTATCAGTCATGGCACCGGGATCCATTATGGGTGCATTTGAGGTCAAGAGAAACCCAGAACGCGTGTTGATCAAGAGAGCTACGACAATGTGCTTCCAAACATCCATATCATCAGTTCCTATGAAAATTCTGATTTCGTATTTGTCCCTGACTTACAGAGAATGGAATTGAATTCAGAAACGAAAATTTTCGTAATATAACGGTAACATATGCAATATTGAAGTTTGCAATATCGGAAGTACAGTAGTAGGGAGGCTTTAGGTTTCATGCATGCCTTATTCCTCCCAAGCGAATAGGATCTGCGTGCGACTAAAGCTCTTTTAAAATGTCAAAGGTAGCAAATCGGCTCTTTAGAACAATCTCTGGCCATTTTTCAGGGAATTCTTTCCAAATTGAGTGACCTGAGGTGTCAGTCAATATAAAATCATAACAACCCCCACCAAACGTATGTTGACTACCCATCCCTCTTGCAGCCCAACCCTTCAAGCTTGCTTCCATCCTCAGCCTTATTTGACGCTCTGAATTCACGGTAGGCATGTCCCATGATTCATTCTTTCATGAGCGCAAGATACTGACATTTCACATTGTGTACAGCAATATGTTGAGCACTAGGAGAGGGAAGGAAATCATCCAACAAGCCCTTCCTGCTCTCTTCATCAGCCCTTTTTGTGCCGCGGATGGCGAAAGCGCGGAGAAGTCAACCCTACCCAATCTCAAGTTTGAGGGACCTTTGATCCGTTGGTCTGGCTTTTCGGAAGCAGTTCAGGCAAACACCAAGGATGAACTTTTCAGCCTACAAGGGCTTCCATGGCATGAGTTCTTCGAACCCGATCCCATCAACGATTTGGAAAGCTTTAAGGTCAGATTCCACAGCAGAATTGGGAAGGAACTTGAAGAGGTTCTGATACTGCAGGAAACCAACATTAAGTTCGCCGGTTACCCGTGCCTCATTCCCTACGTCGGCACGGGCCGCACTGTGATGATGAGTACAGCACCCACCACGATAAGAGCTGTTGGAGAACTGATTGTGCCGTGGATCAGTGTGCACTCCATGCAGGCCGTGTACGATTTGGAGGATGAACTTCGAGTCATGCTTGCTCAACCGATTCGCTACATGCAGGATCTTGGTTGTGTGTACGGGTTCCTCAGCAGCTACAATGAGACGATCTTTTTGCGCCAGCGACTCATTGGAGGCATTTGGGAGGTGAACTACTCCCCAGTTATCAGTGGCGGGTTTCCTTCTCAGTATAGTGACACCGAGCCCAGGGTTTCAACTCGAGAATCTTTTTTCTACCTCGCTGGCCTGGCAGCTAAAACAGACCCAGTTTCCACCGTTAGACCTAACTGGTCTTTTGTGGATCCGTGATGTTCATAAGCCTTGACCACTAGACCAAGGGTCTTTTCTAGGAATGATGCTGCAATTTCCGCTCATATGCCACACCTGACCCGAATTTCGTGTGTTTTTTCCCTTGGCGCCTACGTGTGCTGCTGTGTTGAGCGCTGATGGCCGGACCGGAATCCGAATTCTGGTTTGTCTTCACGGGGCCCTTGTTAGCACAGACAGATGCGATGTTTTCTCGGTCGACAGTAAAATAAAAGCTTTCACCGCTCAAAACAGAATTCTTGTAAACGTAAAGTCATACAGAATACCAAGGTCTCATTATTGTTTCAGTTTGTGAATTGATGTTTTGAATGTTTTTACCCAAACCTTGATGACTCATCACAATCCGCGATTAAAAATCTTCATTATTTTGGGTTGAAGACTTTTGATAGGACTATTGATTATTAATGTCTCCCATGGCTTTCAATCGTCCCCTGCCCATCTCCGAGGAGTGGGAGGACCCCGATACCTACATCGAGGCTCTTCTCTCCTTCTCTACTACATCGGTGCTCTTTATGAATCTGTGTGGCGGCGTGCATATGGTTGATTTTCTGACCCGGGAGCCCGATCTTTATACAACAATACTGCCGGAAGAATGGAGAGACTTCGTCAGTCATCATGATGTTCAGAATTTTATCCATCTACTTCTACGGGAAGACATTGATCAATTGCGTGCCAACAAGCCTGCTGTAGATCAAAATGAAAGCAGCCGAACTTGGAATGGAGGACCATTCCCTCCCCAGAGTCTCTTAGAATACATTTCTAATGTTCGCCGACTGACATTGAATCGTGAATTTCCCATCCCATCTTCAAGAACTGAATTACCAAAGCAAGTTGCTATGCGTATGAATCGAAAGAAAGTACATGAGGTCGAGCACTTTTCTCAATATGTTGCATCGCTGTCAGATATTGTTCACAAGCGCCGAGGTGAACCAGTCTCTCATATTGTGGACTTTGGTTCCGGACAGAATTATCTTGGCCGGACACTGGCCACCTCGCCTTATCATAAGCATATCATTGCAATCGAGCGCAAACATCAGTACATCAGCGGAGCCAAGGGCATGGATGTTCGAGCCAAGTTGGCAAAGAACCCGAAGGCTCAACATGTTACTAAGGACAAAGATTCATGTGATGACTGCAACGGAAGTGCGGAAGTGACTGTTTCTGAAACGACAGATAGCTCCCAGCCAATGACAGAAGATTCGAAAGTCTCGGAGGATTACCCTCTATTCAACATGCTGGGTGAGATCAGCCTCGAACCAGATGAGCTGCTCGGGTCCCTCACCAAAAAGCCGCCACGAGAAAGGCAGCTCAAGCCAGAGATTGATACTCGCGGAACTCTCAGCTATATCGAGCATGAAATCGAAGATGGCTACTTAGAGCCCATTATCGACCACGTTATTAACCCATCCCCTGCTGAATCTCCAGATGGGCAAGAAAAGAAAGAGAGCGATGCCAGACTAATGGTCGTTTCCCTCCACTCCTGCGGAAACCTTGTTCATCATGGTCTACGATCCTTGATTCTGAATCCTTCGATTGTGGCCGTCGCTATGATCGGCTGTTGCTATAATTTGTTGACCGAGCGCCTCGGTCCAACCACACATGACCTCCCTATTCTTCAATCTCTCCATCCTCGTCTCAAGGAAACCGAAGCATTGTACGATCCGCATGGATTTCCCATGTCCAAATACTACGAGAATTACCAAAGTCCCGGAGCAACGACAGGTATGAAGCTGAATATCACAGCTCGGGCGCTTGCCGTGCAAGCTCCATACAACTGGGGCCATAATGACAGTGAATTGTCTTTTACCCGTCACTTCTTCCGTGCTCTTCTTCAGCGCATTCTCGTTGATCGAAGTGTTCTTCCTAGGCCCTCTGTGCCGGAAGGCACCTCGGACGAGACTCACTCAAAAGCCAAGGCTAGCTCTATTATCATCGGATCATTGCCCAAATCTGCTTTCAAATCTTTTAATGCTTATATTCGTGCTGCTACGACCAGGATGAGTGCAGATCCGATATATGGATCCAAGGTTCAGGAGCATATTGCGACCCTAAGCGATGAGGACATACTCTACTACGAGAATCAGTACTCCCACGCGAAGAAAAATATCAGTGTGCTGTGGAGCTTGATGGCATTCAGTTCTCAGCTTGTTGAGGCTATCATTGTCGTGGATCGGTGGCAATTTCTCCGTGAGCAGGACTCTGTGAAAGACTGCTGGGTTCAGCCAGTGTTTGACTATGGAGAGAGTCCTCGTAACTTGGCGGTCATTGGACTGAAAGAGTGATGGTTATCAGGACTAACGAAGTTTGTTTTGCGTAAATACCCACTAACTTGTGTGTGAGTTGCCAAGTGTGGGCAGAAGCCTGCCTTATGCTTTTTCCATCTTTCTCTTAGATCATTGAAGCCCAATTTCCACGCTGAAGCATCTCCTTTTTTTTAAGCAGCTCAACGAACGAGTGTAATCTACAATGAGTCGGGCTATTCCGGATCAGTATTTTTCTGCTAGGCTGGAAATTGCATGAATTTCATGAACTTCAAAGAATGGTCCAAACCAAATGTCTAGTGATGATGCAGTTGGACTTTTTTATGCAATATTACGGATGGTAACTGCTAGGAATGACTTCTCTGGAAGACATGATTGATTGTTTAATTGAAACTAAGAAGATATTGCAAAAAGAAACTCCGATAGGGGGAATCGAACCCCCGGCTGTCGTGTGAGAGACGACGATGTTAGCCACTACACCATATCGGATTCAGATATAAAAATGGCCCAGTTTACGCCATAAGTTAGTTGATCTAATCACTCAAAAATATCACCTCCATACTTCCTAATTGAGAAAATAAAACTCTGTAGTCTACGGAATCCTCTGTGTGTATATAGTATATATGGTGTATTTTGAGGGGGAACCTAAAAATGAAGCAGTCATCATAGCTAAATCTAGTGATATCCTAACGAAAAGTACTGGTCAGAATTTTTAATAATTATATACTCCGTACTCCGTACTAGAGAGGATCTAGAAAAAATATACTGTAAGTCCCAAGGCGGTGTAGGTTGGAAGTACCTTTCCAAATACAGAGGGGCGGGGGAGTGGATTGAGCAAGTCCCTTTCCAAACTCTTAGTCTTATTCCAAATTTGCCTGTCTTTTTGGCCCCTCGACTGATATTAGGCGATCCCCTTTACCTGTATTACACCAGTTTACTCACCTGTAAACATCCCTCCTCAAATTGAAATATCACTGAGAAAAGGTACCTACCCTACCTATACCAATGCAACATAGTACTAATCGAGATAGAATAAAATGCCCTCCTTCCTCATTCTAGCACCGATGCTAGTAGCATTAATATTCTACTTCGTGACAAATCACTACGCACTTGCCGTGCGATTTGTTTTATATCAACAGTTTTTCGGAAGTCGGATTATCGATCGGATTGCAATGAATTGTAGTCATGGTGATAATGATAGTGGAAGCAGTATTCAATGTACCGCTGATATCTTCAACTATCTCATTGGGATTTTGATGGTGAGAATGATAACAATTGAATTTATTTCACGGTATCAGTATCAGAATCCAGTTCCATAAATCTACAACTATGGGATCTGTGGGTATATTTTCGCTTTAACAAGACGGAGTTAATGAGGTATCAATTAGTATCTACATTACTACTTATGATGCCAAATCAGGAAATATGCTTGAAATGGCTAGATTTATCAATTTATCCCCGCCGGATACTGAAATGAATATAGAGATTAAGGGTATTAGCAGTATTGAATGGCGATGTGAACGATACGAGAAGCCAAGCTTGAAAACATTCTATACATTCGAAAAGTTACTTGATCAAGTTATATATTTGAAGGCTTTAGTAAACAGTAAACAAATGGCTTTCAAGTTAATAGTGGCTTGAAACATCGCTTGGGTTTAGGAAAAACCCATATATCTTCTGTTGGAGTATTTGAAGTGAGTACCTAGATATCTGTCATTATTTCTAAGTCACTAAAATAAGGACTAGGGAGTTTCTGAGTCGTCGTGAGAGAGGCGACCTGAATCCCGGTGTTATGAAGAATGTGTCACATAACAGATGAAGATCGTTTATCTTGCGGCACGTACAGCCCAGAGCAGCTTCATGGACATCTTTTGGCGATCGATATTGACTGGTCTCCATCAAGACCTGACGAAGATGGTTACAATGGCCAACTCAAAATTCATATAGCGGCAATATTCTACCGACTCTACGAATTCATGTCCATGGGGTATTCACTGAAGGACATTTGGCGGGACTTCCATTTTGTGTCCATTTTGTGAATACTAACAAGCTACACCCAGCCTCCTGGGAGGAGCCACAAGCTTGGTGCGTTACACACCTTGATCAGCCTGTATTGCCTTATAGTTGAGATCTTTAAAATAGATCACGAGATTTTTAGTCCTGTGATTTCTCACCTTGTCCTCTTTCTGTCACCAGAGATCATCCCTGGCTACATTCATCCTGACGGACTGCTTGTCCTGAAAATTGAACATTGCTCTGAGTCGCTACTTATACCGTTGACACGCGGCGGTACTTCTAGATGTAGATACAACGCAAAAATATTGCGAGAAATACTTTGACATTGTTGAACGCAGGTTCTTGTGTCTTCTTTTCGAAGTTTTGTACGCCACCCTATTTCACTGCGAGAAATCTTTATGACTTTGCCGCCGCACTTTTCACCCCCGATCACCCCGCTCTCCTTTACTGCCTTGTGGCAAGGATTGGTGAGCCATGCTCCATCTACAGTAGCGATATCAGAGGGCTGGATGGTAGGATCTAAGTAGTTGAACGTGCGGATATGAAGAGATAGTATTCATTAGAACTAGGATCTGAATGCTCACGCTTGTTGCTAGCGAAACGAGACACTATGAGGGGAGAAATACTGCCTGCATGAAGGCGGTAGGCGGTATTGGTAGACTGCACCTGTTACATCTTCGCACGAATTCGGTTCAGTGGCGGGTAATTACAATCATCAAAGTTAGACTACCCTGGAAGATTGATGTGAGCTCTTACATTTATTTTGACCGCCCCCAGCACCGCTCTGTATTTTGCCGGACCTAATGCTCAAAGATTATGTCGGCTAACATAAAAATGACATCATTTGGGTCCCGGGAGGCAATCGTCTCGGCTACGCTAACCCAAATTGCATATACTGAGTCGAGAACAAGGCAGGGCTTGGGCAGTTCCTTATGGGCCGTGAAATTCTTAATCGACTCTTCAGCTCTCATTTCTTCACTGGTCTTGCTCTGCTATCTTCACTCCCAATGCTAGTGATCCTGGCTGCCAAAAAACCTCCCCAGAAAAACCAGCATGATGAATGCGCAGCAGGTTTGTGATGGCGGCGATCTGCGCGCCCGGGAGATGTTCCATTATTTTCAGCCGGACAATCCAGCCCTGATGCCGACCGGGCAGCACCCGACTCGATCATGCGAATCTCCCACTACTCAAAAATCAAGTCCAAATTTGGTGTTGACGGCTCTAGCGCAGTTGGCTGCCATAAAACTGGGGGTTCAGCGCACGGTCATCAGGTACGAACAATTGAAGGATATCCACCAAACGCACACCTATCTTAAAACGACTCGATCGACTTGCCCTAAGATCGCCCCCCTTCCCCCCGCGAATGAAATAGCTATATCTTTTTCATGACGCAAAGGTTGGAAATCATCGTCCAAGATTGTTACTTACCTTGTGATAATTCGTCCAGTCTAATCGATCGGGAAACCCTTTATGTGGTAGCAGAAGCGTCACGATCCCTGAATCTGGCAAACAATGACCAATATGACAGTGTTGGTGATGGTCTCTGGGTGGGTTGTTCGCGTGGGCCCGTTGCGGGAACTTTGTGCGAGGTATAAACCTTCAATTCAGATGAAAAAACTCCTTAGGATGATTATGGCTCACATTCCTTGATTGGATGCAGGAAACCATTTCGTTAAATCCCTTGGAAGGGAAGCACGCGTTCTTCATCGTAGAGGATCTGAAGCAGCATCCGACTTATTGCAATTTGCCCTGCGTCGCCAAAGATCCGCATTTCCGGTATTACGCCGGCACGCCACTGAAAACCGGAAACGGTATCAATATTGGGAGTTTGTACGTGATTGATCCTCGACCGGATCACAATTTAAGTGATCTTCACAAAGAAATACTTGGAAATATCGCGGATGCGGTGATGGAATATCTGGAGACTTCCCGTCAGTCGTTAGAGGCAAATCGCTTGACGAAGCTATTGGCTGGATTGAATACCTTTGTGCAAGGTTCGGCTGGATCCGAAACATCGTGCGACTCAACAATGCACAGAATCAGCCCACCCAACTCTCTCAAATCATATAATTCACCGCTACCTTCGTCAACTCGACCGGATGATGAAAATGTTGCTGATGGCGGGACTACTACAACACACAATTCTTTACCACGATCGAAGACAGGAATGCGCTCAGATAACAGCGATAACAGGGCACAGCGGTCATTTCAGCGTGCTGCCAACGTGATGCGAGAAAGTCTGAATCTGGGCTCAAACGGTGGTGTGGTTATCGTCGGCACCGGGGAAGACATCGACCAAGAATCTTCCGATGTTTCAGACGGGGAAAAGGAGAAGAAAGTGGCCAAATTATGGGCGGTGTCGGACACCAATCATCAGCCCATCAAAACCCGGAAAGAATTTGATTCGTACCCAGCATCAGAAATGGAATCAAGTTTTCTACGCCGAATGATACGACATCACCCGCGAGGTGGGCTATGGTACCTGCATTACGATGGGGTAGCGTTTTCATCAGATGAAGATGGATCAGGTTCGGGGAGCATGAAAGATATTCAGACTGACTGTCAACCACCATTATCAGTGCATCCTGAGTCGCTCAGATCGTTGCGTGAGAAGGATCTGCAGTCGATGAAGAGGAATTTTCCCAGCGCGACGCGAGTTATTTTCTCTCCCCTCTGGGACTCTCTCAATTCACGATGGTTCGGTGGTGTTTTTTGTTGGAGTCGAGCTGAAACTCGAGTTTTCAGTCCACATGTCGATCTGGGCGGACTCTTTGGGTTTGGCTCATCTCTAATGGTCGAGCATAGTCGTATTCGGAGCGAAGAGTCGGCCAAGCAAAAGGGTGATTTCATTAGTACTATATCGTGAGTACTGCCGGGCCTCTTATCTCTCTACTTTGCTTTGGACATTTCTGATCACAGAGCTATTAAAGACATGAATTACGAAGCCCACTGCACGGAATCTTGGCATCCACCGAGTTACTCTTTGAGCATGCACATTCCGAATTTGCTAAACGGCTTCTTGACACCATCCGTGCCTGTGGTCAAACCCTCCTCGAAACATTTGACCAGATCTTGGATTTTACCAAAATTAATACATTTGAGAGGGAGCCAACGAAATCCAGCTCGCCCCATCGACGCCACCCACGTGAAAGATCCCATTCATTAAATCTCGTTAAGCTGGTTGATGTCCTTGCAGTCATTGAAGAAGCCGTTGAAAGCGTCTGCTCTGGACAGGCCCTATCGAGTATTATGAATGGAGGCAGTGCCTCGAATCAACTTTGGCAATTGGATCCCAAAGATTATGCCTCGAAAGAATCGAAAACCACAGATGACGAACAAGTGGATGTGTTTCTCGATGCTGCGCCCCAGAATTGGCTCTATGTATTGGAGCCAGGTGCTCTGAGGCGTGTGGTCATGAATGTGTTTGGAAACTCGTTGAAGTACACGGAGTCCGGGTCTGTTTCCCTTCATATTCAGACTCAGATGTCAAAGAACGACCGCCCAGTCCTTCTGATGACATTTTCCGACACGGGCCGGGGCATTTCAAATGACTACCTTCGTTCCAACGTTTTTACCCCGTTTTCACAAGAGAACCCAATGTCACCAGGTGCAGGGCTTGGTCTCTCACTAGTTCGAGGCATACTTCATTCGCTGGGTGGAAAGATTGATATCAAAAGTCAACTGGGCGTGGGTACTGTGGTGAAGATAATATTCCCTCTTACAGACCCTCAACAGCACCGGCTTCGTGAAGCCCCATCTTCTGTTCAGGGCTTGTCATCACCTTCTTTGACAACTATCGACCATGTTGCCACAAAGCTAGAAGGGAGCAGGGCTTTCTTCTATCCCACCGAAAATTTCCATTCCAGCAAGTCCTCATCTTATATGATCAAAAAATATCTAATCAACTGGTTCCGCATGGAAAGTGGAGAACAAGGCGTTCCTAATACAGGCGATTTGGTGGTTCTCGAGGAGCGTCATTTGGATCAACTCCCGAGTGCATATCGTCAATGCCGACTTTTGATCCTGTACCATAGAAATCCTAACCTATTGTCAACGGTGAACTCGATGAAAGAACAACCGAAAAACTCAACATGGTTGATTCTTCCGTGTGGGCCTCACCAACTAGCCAGGACATTGTTAGGCTCCCTTCAGAACTTACAGTCAAGCAGTACCCATATATCCGATAGCACAGTGCAGCATGACCAGAGTGACAAAAATTTGGGCTCAAACCCAACTGATCCACGGGGTACAGCAGCTCTCCTTTCACAGCATGAAGCACGGCTTCAATCAATCAGCCCCTCTCCATTGGTCACGTCTATCCCAAATAATGAAATCACGGCGCCCGCTATTATGGAAGTTGGATTGCCAATCCACACAAGGAGAGATATCCAGGAAACGCATGATCCCTCGCTGACTGAAGCAAATGATGCTCCTCGAGTCCTCTTGGTAGAGGACAACGCTATAAATCTCGCGCTCCTCAAAAGATTTGTTTCCAAAACACGGACGCAAGTACTGCACAGTGCTGTGAATGGTGCAGAAGCCGTTGAACTGGTTCAGAAAATGCCTCTAGGGTATGATTATATCTTCATGGGTGAGTTGTCTCTTATCTGATCCCCAGCTTCTCGAGTATTTCCCTACAAGTCCTGACAAGCCTACGCGCCACAGATATGTCAATGCCTGTTATGGATGGGTTTGAGGCAAGCAAAGAGATTCGGTCAATAGAATCAAAACGACAGACTGTATCTCCTGCACGTATAATTGCCCTCACTGGCCTAGGATCAGATGAACATATCTCGAAAGCTTATGCGGCGGGTGTCAATGTCTTTCTCCGAAAGCCGGCTTCTCTCAAAGATATAATGACCCTGCTAGGAAAGTGAGACAAATCTGAAGACCATTTGACTTGGGCAGCATCACCGGGTCATTCACTGAGACCGCTGCGCCCAGTTCCGGGTGCTAAAAGGGTAAAGGCCATTGACAATTCCTAGCTCTGGGGATCGGAATGAATAGCGCAATCAAAATTAGAAAAACAAGAATCCCAATAATATACTTCATATACTAATCAATTTCCGCTATACGCTATCAATTTTCCAGGGCAATTTGATGATCGTATGTAGTTGCGCATATTTCCTTCAAATGTTGGTCTTAGTAATAAAAATAGCATCATTCGGCCCAAATATATTGAAGACTCCCAAAATGTTCGAGTTTCGAACAGCTATTACGGACGCTATAAACCGTTTATTTAAAATAAAGAGAAGTACAGGACTTTAAAAGTTGGGCTATCAATTGGTATCACATCTTGAATTTTTGTCAAAAAGTTTGTTGTTGAAGGGTCAGCTCAAGGACACCATTCATTTGATAGAGAAGCTCCTAGCTCGCGCAACAATACTAGCTAGGGAAGATCTAGTGATCGAACTCAATTACATTAGCTAAGAAATTGAAGTACCACTGAAAGCCAGAGATGGGAGGAGTTCCGAATGGCAGAAATGCTCATCTTCAGATGATCTAGAGGCACTGCATTGCCTCGAGTGCTTGATGATGGGTCCGAGGATAATATTGCTTAAGTACTATTGAGTACTTTATCTCGGAGGAAGTCCATTTATGAATGCAGCTCGGATTATGCACTTCACGTCCGCGTTTTTCCGATTAGATATTTATACTTTGCTGCCATGTTGTCGCCAGTGTTGATTTTTAACTGCAGAGCTCGAAGATCCTTCAGACTATCACTGGCAATATCTGAGTATTCCTTTTTTTCACAAGTTTTCCACATAACAAAAGTACCTGATTTCACTTTTTTCCTTTGATGCTCTTTATATTTATCTGTCCTTTTCCCTTTCTATCTTCATAAGTTTTAGTTTTTCTTATTATCCTGCCGTTAAAAATTGTAAAGAGTTAGAAAGTGACGCTTGAATAAGCCCTCTTTGTGAGATCTGGAGTTTTAAGGAAGAACATACTTTTTCACAGGACCGCCCTTTATTCCTCCGGTGCCAGCTTCACCTGACGTTCCTTTTTTAATCTTCTCAGTGATGTCCCATATCATTAACGATATCAAACGAACCTGGCAAGGTGTTACACATTTCCATCCCGGTATGATGAATTGGGTGCATTGACGTTCCATCGGGTACGTCGACTTTCTGACCATGGATCTCTAATCCAAGGAAATTCTTGGAAGTCGAACCATCACCAATCTTGGTAGATTTGGTGTCCTTGTTTGCTGCTTTCATTTTGATATCTTTCTTCCAGACTGCTCGGGCAACGAATAAGGGGCCATACTCTGTAGCGATGTCTTCCTCCGTAGCGATGTTGCTCTCTGCACGATTTTGGCTTGTAATTACTGCAGCCTTGCCATGTTTTATTGCCCACAGTAGAATCAAGATATCACAGGCAGCCTGGAGACGCTTTTGGGGGACAGATAGGTCATATTCTGCTGATACCTTATAAAGGATCGCGAAATTCTCTGGGGCAACGTCATCATCATTGCTGCCTTCGGGTTTGGTTTTGATCCAATCGAGATAGCTTTTTGGGAAACGAGCAGTGTGGATTGTCAAAGTATGATGGATCACATGGATTACAAAGGCCTAGAGGTATTCCATAATTACGAGTCAGATTCAAAAACATGGGGGAACATAGACTGGGAAGGTAACTCACATCATGATATTTTGCAGTCGTCTCTGATACCGATGGTTTATCAAGTGCCGCGGTCAGCCAATTTCCTTGGAGTGTGTCCACATCCTCCAAATACGCCATGTTCATCTCAGCAGCTGTCAATAACTGAGAGAAAATTTGACTGAAGACATTGAGGTCTCTACTCTTGGCAGTGTTGAGACGTTTTGTCTTGGATAATCTGTTAGCAATGGAGAGAAATCAATGCAGAAAGAAAGCAATTTACCTCGTATCGAATAATAGGGACAGTGCCAAATCGACTCCTATCAGAGGAAACATGTGACCTTTCCTCATCAAGAGGCACTTCCATGTAAATGGCATCGTCCTTTTTTTCTGTTGGCTTCTCAAAAGGAATCTCTTCTTCACCACCAGCCGCCGATTGCACTTCCGTCTTACTTTCTTTCGGACCTCTCTTCACCCATTTAACGTAGGGCGCGCGTCCTTCCCTATTATCATCGGCAGGTCCATGTCCGGAGGTACCTGCCCGGCTGATATAAACATAGCCGTCATCTTCTATGTCACACAACAGTCCACCCACGTACATGTTTCTTTTCACCTTACCAGGGGTACTGTCAGAGAGTTAACTTAGAGGATCAACTCGCCAGTGTTTCTTCATGATTTACCTTCTATATTCATCTCTGCTATCGCAGATGATTGAGAAAAGGAGAAGAATCACTTCCATAAAGCGATGGAGTAGTTGCTCGGATGTTGTCTCTTCTTGCTCTTCTTCGTTGACGGTTGTTTCATCTAATCGTGATAGTCCATGTTCCGCCATTGTGTCTCTGTCTTCTTGCGAGGTTTCTTCCCTGCCTTCCTTTTTGTGATCATAATTCAACTCAGCCTGGCCCCTTGAGAGAAGGTCTCGCAGTGCTGTGAAGAAAAGACACCATGGATTTAGTAGAAACCAGGACATATGTGTTGAAGAGAATTGAGAGAGCTCCTCAAATGTAGCCACGGTGAGTTCATCTAATATCCGCCTCACAACTATTCCATGATCAGCCAAGTTAACGAATAATAACCTTCATGAAGTACATACTATACCGTTCCTTGATCCTTTCAATCACTTCCTTTTCCAATTCCTCGAATCTGTAGGGGATAATAGCCGCCAGATCGACACCAAATAGTGGAACACAAGAGAGATCTATTAGATTCTCAAAAATCCATTGCGAGGCTGAGCGGCCTGACTTTGCCTCCTTTTCCTTCTTCTTCCGCGTCTTTTCCAACTCCATCTCCCTCGCTTTCTGCTCTGGCCCTTGAGGTTTGGAGATACTATTGCGAATCGTATCTCGTTTCATTCTACGTTTCAAGTATAACGCGCACAGAGCTTCGGGTGTTGTGGGTGGTTTTGGAGTATATTCGAATACATTACCAGTGAACTTGGCATCCTGGGAAAATTCCCCTTCTGGGTTTGTGATTTTTCGAGTTCGATAAAGAAGAGCCTCTGACAGCTGAAGTGGCTTTTTAGCGCTTCTCTCAATAGGCTTAGTCCAGGCATCCGATACACTTTTGTTCTTGCGTGCTAAATTGTAGCTGGCAACAAAAACATCGTTCCAGCCTTGTCTGTCCTTGAGCTCCTGTAGATTGCTGTCATTACTGACAGTTTGGCTAGGCGTGCGCAGATTTGGTAGATCATCATCAATGATCTTTTTCCTGACGACTTGTTAGATAACTACAAGGAAGGTAGGTTGACGATGGTTGACGAGGGAGGGGCATGAATACCTCGCTTGATTTTTCAATTGGAAATAATGTGCGTCTGAAAGAAAGTTCGTATTGCGATTTGGCCGAAAGGGCAAAGTGGCGTTGACCTTTTGAGGTTGCTTGTATTCCCAATTCGAGCTATTCCCCCAGCCATCATCTGGTGGTGTCTCGATATTCATGGTGTTGGTTGACACCGGTCACAGTGTAGTGTGGTTTTACCAGAATATTGAGTTCGTAAGGGAAGGATCGGAGTAAGAACCCGTAAAGAGTATCGTCCATGGAATAATCGCTGATAAATAGGGCGCACATCACCTCAAGTCCATCCGGAATCCATTCACTCTCCGACGACCACATAATACTAGCCTCCTACTCTTTTCAGCTTCGGGGCATGCTATCGCGACTCTGAATCGTGCCAATCTCCACAATGAGCAAGACTAAGCGGCTGGCTTCTCTGACAGCCGACACATTGGATCCAGAGACCTTCGATCCACTCATCCCCCGCGTGGCGCAGCAGGCTATCACACGAACACCAATATGGCTACCTTGGCAGGCTCGTATTCTGCCATTGGGCATGTTTTTCCGGTCGGGGGCTACAACTGAGCCCGACGGAAGTGAATATCCATTCGCCTCAGAAACTGCATTTGATGTGAATTCGCTCAGTTCTGCGTCGGTTCGGTTCACCACTGACGACGACAGTGGTCGTTTCCGGTCTTCCGAGGCTATGAGCTCCTCGGCATCAGCGGACCATCTTAGCGTTGGCGTCGGGGCGGGGGCGGATCTAGGCTTTTTGGAGGCTAGCGTCTCCGTCAATTATGACCGAGAAGTGTTGCAAAATAGAGACTCTAACAAAGCGTCAGTGACAACCAGCTACCGAGCTGGCACTGTAGCGTTCTCCCGTCCACCTGAGCTATCCGAGGACGCATTTCGGGTCTTGCAAAAGGAGGGCATGGAAGCGTTCAAGGCAGAATTTGGCGACTATTATGTGGGGGGCTACCGAATCGGAGGTGATGCCTCGGTTCTTTTCACCACAGATGCAAGCAGGCGATCCGAGACGGAGGCAAAAAAAGTCAGCATTAGTGTTAAATCTTTGTTTGGCGACTATCATGAAGAGGACGCCACCAATATGTCAAGCTCGGAGGAGAATTTTGAGGTCCACATTAGCGCTTATTCGACCCTCGAACAACTGCTCATTGTGGAGACCGTGCAGACGGGAACCCCGAGGTTCCAGGCCGTGTTAGAACAGGGGCGTGGGATCCACCGGCGATCTCAAGACCTGAGAAATTGCGTGGCTTTGGTTCTGCAGGAACTTGGCGTGAGGAGTGGGAAACGGGTCACGCCACAACAGTGCAGTCGACTATGCGAACACGCACTTGTAGTGGAGCTAGTTTTGATGCCCGTGGAAACGCTTCGACAAGTTCGAGCATGGTCTATTCTCCAGGATTGTGAGGAATAATTAGTTGTTTGACTGTGGTACAGTATAGGTAAATTTGGGTATTGAATATCACCCTTGAGACAATTGGCCCCTATTCAATGGTCGGTAAAATAATATCATTCCATGTCTAGGCTGATTACTACGGCTGAATTCTAAAGCCTCAAGATGCGCCATTGAAACAAGATAGCAATGTTGTCGGGTGGACCCGTCATAGTGCAGAGTAACTCCATGTTAGAATCGTTATGAAATTTTAGGCCTGCCTCCTGGTGCCAGGTGGTATCACCTGATGAGCTTGCAGAAAACCTAAATAGTTGAATTGAATCCCTTGCTCTCAATGAAGTTCAGCTCGAAAAATCAAATTTCATACCAATTTTGGAGCTGCCTTCTGATACCTGATATATCATTATGGCCTTGCTTCTCGCGCCATACAACAATGGCATGCGCCTTGGTGTGTCTTTCTCTGCATGCTCCAATGTTGGCTAAACTAACTGAAGTGCTGTAGGTCAAGGGTAAGTGACACAAGGTCTCCATGAAACATCAACTGATAGTATAGATTCAATTCATATACCCAGCAGATCTGCATTGACGATGCGGTTGTGATCGATCCGGATCGTGTTGACAACTCAGTCACTAACGATGGCTTCACCATGCGTGAGCTGCGCTACGCGATTGGTGCTCGGCGTGACGAGAACGCAGACAGTGAGAGTGAAGATGATGAAGGATACTTGCCTCTACCAGCGCCGGCGAAGTCGACGGCTTCTCCCGTTGATGATGCTTCCAATGCTTCATCAACTGCAATCATAGTTGAAAACAAGCCTAAAATGGGACCAGCACCCCCAACGATACTGGATAGCATGACAATTCAGCTGAATCAAGATATTCAGACAGTCAGAACTCTTGTCACAGATATTGCTACGCTGGAGGCTGCTATTGAAGAGGCAACTGATACCGATAGCGATTTGATCAAAAGGAAATCCCTACTTCTTGAAAAGAAGCGAATGCGTCTGGCTCGTCTGAAGACCACCGGGAATGGTCTAAGATCAGCAGATCCCCGTAAAGCCAGACGGCAGCTAGCCCAGCGAGGACCCAGCCAAATTGTTTCCTACAATTCCCGGTTTGTGAACAAGATAAGGTCAGTGCCTGGAAGATTAATAGACATCACAGTCTGATATGGGATATTAATATAGATAAACAGTGAGGTAACCGACGACATGAACATCTCGGGTTCTCTTTCAATCAAGTATGGAACTATTGGTGGTTCTGGCAAGGGATCTTTCGTCGACTCGGACAAGTTCAAGGAGAGCGACCTGAACTTTTTCATTAGTGTCAAGGTCGTCAATCAGAGCATCAATATCAAGGATGCCCTGGTTTTTCAGGGACTGCCCTCTGTAGACGACATGAACTTTCGCTCTGTGTTTGGAGATACTTTCATCTCGGGATTCATGGAGGGTGGTGAGTTTAATGCCCTGGTGAGCATGAAAGTTCTCAACAAAGAAAAGCGAATGGCTATCGAAGCTGAGTAAGTCCTTCTCGATCCATTTATCTGCCTCCGTACTAACAATAGAAGGGCGAAAATTGCTCTTACTGTTGGTCCTACACAGATCGATGCAGAAGCCAAGGTGGGAATCTCCAAGGCCAATATTTCATCTCAAACAGAGACGACAATCCAGGTTGGCTGGTCTGGAGGAGGTCACATCAAGCCTGGTACTTAGACATTTTCCACCCTCGCTTAAAATAGTATTAATTAGTTGCAGCGGATCAGCCATGGACAATTCAAACTCTGATGGAAACTGCTGCTAGGTTTCCTGACCTGGTCGCCCGGACGCCACAGCGCACCTAGTGAGATTTCGACTCGATATAAGTGGCTACTGAAGATGTATGCTAACTCAAACAGTGCTATAGTCACGAAATACGAATCACTTCGGAGTTTTATGGCCCTCAAGCCCCCCGCGCTCAGTCCGATGTATTATGAGAACGCAGCAATCTACACAAACTCCTTGTTGGATGCGTACATGGATTATAAGAATGTGAATCCTTCTACTTTTCTCCTCTTGGCTGGCTCAAAAAGTCTGACGAAACTAGATTTACCGTACCCTCGGAACCCAACTTGAGAACATCCAAGCTGATACCAAGAAATTTGAGCCTTGGGCCGTTCCCCCAGTGCTTGCCACCAGCGACACTTTGGCCAAAATAGATGATGAATCCAAGTTTGCGGCGGACATCAAAGGACTCGATCTCGCTCGTCGGGCTTGTCGCTTTCAAATGATCAAAATTGTTCAGGAAGTCTCTGAAATCGAGAAAAAGCCAGACTGCGCAGCAGACGAGAAGCGAGGAGAGAAGTTCCAAAGCCCCATTGCCTTCCGCGAGCGTCTTCCTAATGTTAAAGATAAAGAAAAGATGCCACATCTCAAGATCTTTGGCCCTGAAACCGAGTACCCGCCTTTACTACCACGCACCGACAATGATGGAGTTACCGAGGCTGAGTCGCTCAAGGCAGAAAGCTATAAAGCCGAACAGCCAGACGTCAGCGAGTTCCAGAGACTGGCACCCATGGTCGGCTCTCCTCAGGGTACACTTTTTTGCAATCTGGATTTCATAAAGCCGGACTTCAGCCTGCGCACAATCAGTGTTGATGTTCACGGTGGAGTAGTCTCTGGAATCTCCTTGCGGTATGCCAATGGTCTACTAGCTGCCATGGGTACAGCTGGAAAGGGTCCCAAGGTGTCTCTGGTGTTGCATCCTGAGGATGGCGAGAAAATTATTGCATGCTCAATTGAGACCGGCTCTGTCAAGGGTGAATCCAAGGCATTAACACGAGTGACTGCCGTTCGACTCTATACAAACCGGGGTCCTGACTTGCTGGGAAATGCAGAGGACTGGAAGCCTCCTGTTAAAGGAGAGGGTCTTCGTGGGGGTATTCAATTCGAAAATCTTACCCTGACCCATTTTGACCCCCTTCTTGTCAATGCCCATCTGAAGGGCTTCTGGGGTTACGGCTTGACGACATCACACATCCAACCTCAAAGTGGTATATATCGGCTGGCGCCTATTTGGGGTAGCAAAGAGGTGAGTCCCATCGTCTTTATCGAGTTGAATGTTCTATACATACTGACAGATTGCATTTATATAGACCATTACTGCCACCATTGGCGATCCAGTGGACGATAACGTTGATTCGTCCACGATCATTACCGAGGCCGAAGAGCTCGTGTTCAAGGCACAGGAGAGATTTGGCTGGAAAGATGGGGCCCCTGGCCGTAAAGCTTTGTTTGAGCACACCTTTGAAAAGCCAATGCCTATTGTTCCAACGGTAATCTACGGGTTCCGCAGGATTGACGTCGGTGGAAAGGATTCGCCCCGCGTTTCTCTTGCCCTGCAATCCGTGTCAGAAACAGGTTTGACTTTGTCAGCCAAGTCGTTTCTTCATAACACATGGGACCTCCAGGCCAACGTCATGATACTGCCAAATGGCAAGATCCCCTTTCAACACGGAGAAGTCGATGCTAGTGATAATCCGGGTGGACGTACCACGATTCAAAACGCTACGATTCCGGTCGTCTTTTCCGCGCCCTTTAAATCCCCACCAAAAGTCGCGGTTTGGTTTACAGAGATCACACAGCCGCGGGGCGTACGCTCCCTCAAAACCTACATAAGCGATATCACAGAAACTGGGATGGTCGTGCATATTGATACCTGGGCTAGCCGAGAATTTGACTCTGCTCGCGCCGCCTGGCTTGCCTGGCCATCTGAGTTTGACGGTAAGACCATTCGCTCCGATAGCAACGTTTTCCAGACGAATCAAGAAGCATACGAGGCTGCTTGGTATAATGGAAGCTTCAGCAAAGAACCAAAGGTTTTTACCGCAATAGATCATATTGATTTCCCGGAGCATCCAACTGCCACCTTGCGAATGAATGCACAGCATGCATGGGCAACCAAGGATAAACTGAGATGGCACGCAGGAACATGGGATGATACGCCAATGCTCTCAATCGGAATGCGCTGGATTGCTATTGAGTAATGGCAGGCTTGCTAATGCTTCCAAATGATTGACACATTATAATTCATCACTAAATTTGATATCGTTTCTGTTCTAGTAATTATCCATAATAGAGTTTTCTACTTATGAATTTCTCGCACAGTATACAGCCGAGAAGATTGCCTTCCCAATGATATCAAGAACCGCTTCCTGTCAGTATAGACGGATCTAAGTTTCAGAAAGCAAAAAAATGAAAGAATGGGGCGAGCCGGGATTGAACCGGCGACCTCACGATTGACTAATGTCAGACTGTTAGTGAACTTCAGTCGTGCGCTCTCCCAACTGAGCTATCACCCCTTGATTATGTAAACAAGGTGATCGTTTCTAGATTTAATTCACTTCGAACTCGGAACACAATCTTTTCAATCTTGCAAAAAGACTATATAGAATAACCTGAATTAGTTTGGTAGTTAGCATTTTTAGAATGAGTGCGTCTCTGCTCTATGTTGAAATATTTGATAGTAATGAAATTAAAAAATATTTTGAACATATGGGGCGAGCCGGGATTGAACCGGCGACCTCACGATTGACTTATGTCAGACTGCAGTGTACTTCAGTCGTGCGCTCTCCCAACTGAGCTATCACCCCCGTGATTTTATTTTAGCAAAGACTCTGCCATCAAGATCTGCAACAATTATATTTGCATTGTTCATTCATGAATCGGGCAAATTACGAACATTTCAATAATACCTAGTCTATCCTGACTCAGAATGATATCTTGCATCCTATGGACATAATGACAGTGCTTTATTATATATGTACCACTATGAGCACGCCCAGGCGTAGAATGTTCAAATTTTTGAAGTACAGTATGTTTGTTGTCAAAATATGTATATTCGGGTTCGTCCTATTCATACCGACAGAAGCCAAGTAAAGAAGTTGTTGCGAATCCTTGGTCAACTGATGCAAAGATTGGAACTCCCACCGTACCCACTCCATAAATCGCAATGATGGCCTGTCCCCTATCAGACTTCAGATATTCGGTAAACCTGACGATTTCTCTATTTGCGCCGGAACTCCCCACTGGTGTATGAAGATAATAAACAAGACTTCATGAGTGGATGAAACGAATTTGTGGGCAAAAAAAAGAGAGCCCAATTGTTCATGGTATGTCGATTGACTTACTTTAGGAGAGTTGAGCGGTCCATGAGGAGGTATGCACCAGAGGAAGTTGCAAAAGGAAACCGCATCTGCTGGGTTATACGTTGTTTTGATGCACCATTTCGAAGAGATGGAATTTCCCTCCCACAAACGACGATGGCATTGGCGCCAGATTTCTCGTTCTCTGCGCATTGTTGCTCATCCTCCATGTTTGTTATAAAACAGGGACTGACTCGAGGCGATTCGATCAAAAAAATATCGATAGATTTTGCCTGTCTGACGTTGGCTGGATCATGCTCCGAGCCTACTAGTGTATCTGAGGAAAGCCACCTGGGTGTTTCGAGAATGGTTGCAGATCTACTCGATTGAGCCTGGGGATCCTTTCCATCGACAGGTAGTCTCTGGCCAAAGCCCCCGATAGTCCCGTCCCACCTGAAAAAAAATGAGAGTCCTGTTTGATAAATTACTGTTTGCCTTATCGATCGTACCTGCGCCTCCATTTGTGTTGCAATCTAGCGGTTAGTTGAAGTCATATTGTGCGGGGAAGTTTCCTTGACTTACCCAATCCTCAGAACTATCTTGCCTTCTCCAACCATGCCTCTGATGGCATGGAAGAAACATCTCCATATTGTCGAATGGTGTCTCCACAGCGGTAATTTCGAAAGTAGAGGGTGCGTGTATGAAGAAAGGTGGGTTTCTATGGAAATCGGAGGTGCTCCCTGTTGCAATGATTCTACGTTCCTTTGCGGGGTCAGGAATGATGCGCTTGCCCCCAGTACTTAATAACAGTAACTACCTGTGGCCTGGTGCTACAAATACTGGAATGAAATTTCTCGCCCGAATAAAGTCAAGCATAGTCAAGTACTAGATTGGCAATGAAGGTGGTGATTATATGCACAAACTATTGTACTTTGCAGATCTAACCACACGCACCCAATTTGCTTACAGGGAAAGCCTGTGAGGTACACAGCCCTGAATTATTATATAGGATGCATACTATAAACCAGCTGTGAAATCTTAGAATGGAAACCTGAGTATAGCCTGTAGCCTCACAGGTAGGAATTATTCTATAGTGAGCCGCATATCCGATCTAAGGAAGAATTAGGAAAATATGTTAGAAAAGTTCTTTATTGGCACAGCCCGTATTTTCCCTTTGATCCCGGATAGGGCATTTCGCAGGAATGCAACCCTGGTTTATTCCTCAAGCACCCGAATCACAATCGCGCGTGTCAAAGCAAGAAAAAGTTAGTAACTTCGGTGGCGACCGGGTCAATCATCACGTGATATCACGTGTACCCCGGGCCGCAAAGTCGAAGAAAAAGTCGTCGACCCGCAGCCCCGACCTTATCTCGTCCACTTGTTGTCGATTCAGCCTACCTTCCATTACCTGGCCCGCATTGCCATCCACTCGTCGATTTCCCGACCTTTCAATATCCATTAACGGCTTCATATATTTCTATCACACTTGAGACGCTATCTGCCACTCCCGGGTGATCGCGTCACTTTCCCGACCTTCCGACTCGTCATCCCCTTCAACGACCCTCCTCACTTCTACACATAATGGATCACACTCGGGATCCCTGCCCCTGGGTCGCCTTGAGCGATTTCGGTGGTGCTTTCTGCATGGGTGTATGTCACGACCGATGCGTTGTGTCAATCGTGTTGAGTTCGCATAACTGACCGATGTTTACAGGCTATTGGTGGTGCTGTCTGGCACGGTGTTAAGGGTTTCCGCAACAGCCCCTACGGTGAGCGCCGGATAGGTGCACTTACTGCCATTAAGGCCCGCGCGCCCGTACTCGGTGGAAACTTCGGTGTTTGGGTATGGATTACTTTTGACAAGGACCCGGGAATTCAAGCTTGTACTAACAGTCTAATAGGGTGGCTTGTTCTCAACATTTGATTGCGCAATTAAGGGTATCCGAAAGAAGGTACGTCTACTGCTGGAGCTTACCAAGGAGCATATTATTGACGTGAACGGAACTTTTAGGAGGATCCCTGGAACGCTATCACTGCTGGTTTCTTCACCGGTGGTGCCCTCGCCGTCCGTGGCGGTGTCAAGGCCGCCCGTAACTCTGCCATCATGTGTGCCGTTTTCCTCGCGGTTATCGAGGGTGTTGGAATTGGTTTCCAGCGAATGATGGCCGACAACACAAAGCTTGAGGTATGTTAGGCACCTTGAACGCATCGTGACTAACATTAGAATTTGAACTGTTCACTAACTTGGGATCTGACTTTAGCTCCCTCCCCCTCCTCCCTCTGAGCAGAAGGCTCTCGCTTAAACCCCCACTGTCACCAATACGATCGATTCATACTCCCCAGTGGCCTATGGCCCTTCTTTCTCTTCAATATCTGTCTTCATAACATCCCCACATTGAGTCTCTCTTCTCAGGTGTTCGGTTCTGCTTATCATTATTAAACGACATGGCATAGAGTGCTTGTTTTCGTTGTTCTTTACGCTCTTCATACCGCCTTCTCCGGTTCGTGTTTTGGAGCAATGTGTTTTCGTGGACGGCGGGTTTATCCACATGGCTGGTTCAGAAGACCGGCGTATGTGTTCTTTTTATGGCCGGGTGGCCTACTCAAAAGAATTTCTCTGCTCATCTGATGAAAAAAGCGGTTCGGAGACGTGACCGTGGTGGATTCTTGTACATTAACGCATCGCTAACAGGCATAATACACAATTTCTTCGCACATATTGACTCCAGATTCGATTTTTCTATTTGCAATTAACTGCTAACAAAAGATAAGAGCTCGAGCGCTCAAAGAGGTTAGGATATGCTTATCTTTCTAGGCGCAGGTTAGCGGACTTATGGCCGTTTTCCCGCTTTATCCGCACTCTTTCCCCTCACGAATTCCTTGACACTTCGAAACCACTTTCACCTCCAGCCACAGCAATGCCAGAAACCCCTGCGACTTTCAAACCCGCATTGATCCTCCACGGAGGTGCGGGTAATCTCAAACGTGCCACTCTTCCGCCGGAACTTTACGCCGCCTATCACGCCTCACTACAGTCTTATCTCCGCTCTACCAATACGCTCCTCGCCCAGGGCGCCTCGGCCCTCGACGCCGCAGTACATGCTGTATCCCTCATGGAAGATGACGAGCTCTTTAATTGCGGACGGGGCAGCGTTTTCACGACAGATGGTACAATCGAGATGGAGGCCTCTGTGATGGTGACATCGGTACAAGACTCCACGGCCGGCCTGGAAGGCACAATTAAGCGCGGTGCAGGCGTGATGGGCGTGAAGAATGTCCGTCACCCTATTCGTCTTGCGCGCGAGTCTCTGCTACGCACTGGATATCATGTCGATGGCAAGCGGAGCAATGACGGCGGTTGTCTGCATTCTCAACTGCATGGTCCCCACGTGGAGGCATTGGCTCACGAATGGGGACTGGAGTCGAAGCCTGATGAATGGTTCTGGACAAAGCGTCGCTGGAACGAACATCAGCGGGGTTTAAAGGGGGAGGCGGAACCTCTTTCATTGAGTCAAGGGACTGTCGGTTGTGTCTGTCTCGATCAATGGGGTAATCTGGCTGTTGCCACCAGTACTGGTGGAATGACGAATAAACTTCCCGGTCGAATTGGGGACACCCCGACTCTTGGTGCAGGCTTTTGGGCTGAATCGTGGGATGAGGTTGTCTCAAGCGTCAATCTGGCAACGCCGGCGCCTTCTTCTCCATCGCTTGGAGATTGCTTCCAGGAAGCAAAAGGCTGGTTGGCGGACTGTTTACCTCCGTTCCTTAGGGAAGCCCGTTCTCCTGACTACACGTCCCTTTTGAGTGGCTCGCAGATAGATCAGACAGGCTTTTCCTCGGAGAAGCAGGCCTTATGTTATGAGAAAGCGCATTCTAAACATTTCACGAAGCGCGCAATGGCAATATCAGGCACCGGAAACGGTGACTCGTTTCTTCGTGTTGCAGCTGCTCATACAGCAGCTGCAATGCTACGTTTCTCGGCACCCGGTCTTACTCTCGCCGATGCTGTCACTGCAGTAGCTGGTCCTGGCGGTGAGCTGCAACGCTCTGCTGGGCAGCGATGGAACATTACTGGCGAGGGCGAGGGTGGAATTATCGGCATCGAAGCCGATTCCGCACCTCCTGCCCGTGGGCAACTGCGCCGAGGAAAGGTCGTCGCCGATTTCAATTCTGGTGGGATGTGGCGTGCATGGGTTGAGGAGGACAGCACTGGAAGAGATATTGAGAGGATTATGGTTTTTCGAGAGGAGTACCGGTAGACTGCAGGCTGTTCTTAAAGGATAAAGGAGGTTCGATTTGAGTTTGACCCCAGCAAGATACCTAGTTAGAATAACCTTTGATGACCACAATTTCTTTACCCAACACTCTATTCGAATGTTGAAATTATTTCATATTTTATACACAACACATGCACCGAGCAATATATTCCACTGTAGGAGTAACGAGCCTGGAATTCAGGAACCTGCCCAGAGTTCAATCAGTTGGTTCACAAGCCAGTTATCCTCTGCAAGCTAAGTTGGTATAATGACATCAACGATAATCCTGTTTCTGCACTGTGCGTGTCATTCCAGTTCGATCGGTGTAGTTGTGTCCATTTATTCTCCGCCTTCATTTTATATCCCCCAATAGAATGTTGGGTGATACTAGTGGGGCTGGTAAAATGGCAAATCAAGACACTTATGAAGCAATATATGCACCCCTTGCATTCGACCATTGTTTCGGTGTAACCTCGATCATCAGCGACCAGCCATGTTATTTTTGGAGGATTTTATTTAATACTCTCCTAGACTCTACCTCGAGGTCTTCCCATTCTTCCCTTGCTGGATACTCATCAATTGTTACTGTTACCGCGTCCTCTTTGAGCCCTACCTCCTATCAACAAATCTACATTTGAAAAATGATGTTCTACAAATTCCTAGCCTTTACTCTGCTCTCCTGCACTGCCAATGCTGCGGGAGCGGCCAAGGAAAGCATTCGCTCTTAATATTGCATCTGACAGGTAGAGGACTAATCCACACCATATTATAGCCTCCAGCCACTCTATACTCTAAAGAGCCATGCGCAGGGAAGGAGATAAAAATCAAGGCAGATAACACCTGCGTTCTGCTTCCCCTCGATCTGTAAGCACAGCGACGAAACGCCGGATCTTGGAGAACGCTAATGTTCTGCAGGAGAAAAAACATAAACGGCGCTAAGGTCCCGGAAGATGTTGTTTGCGACTATTACACGTGAGTGGCATTTGGCTATTTAATGGAACTTACCAACCATACTGATGCTTCTGTGTAGTGATGAGAAATGCCAGGAGCCACTTTGGATTGGTATGGAGGATGGAGATTATTGCAACTTCAGTGGACCTGAGCTGGAGATCCAGAATAAGACAGTGAGCGTTCACTGCTATGATGGCACAGACTATGAAGAACTGTGAACTGTCACCTGAAGCATGTTTGTGCTTGCCTTCAGAGTTGCTGGCCTATGTGGGGATTGATGAACAACCTTCGTTCTCAATCAAGTCACAGAATGCAATAAATACAGACACATACCAAAATAGAGTACTTTGGAAGCATGACACTCGACTGTTAGTCAAAGCCCTTGACCAAAACTGATCAATGGTAGGGTTGGACGTGTCGATATGAGACTGTATTTCTGTCTCTGAATGACGCTGCTACTTTCACCCGAGAGGCAACTAACAACTCTTTTGTCAGAGTAATTCTTCATAAGGTTTAACCTCGACAAGGCTAAGACTAGAGATGAGTGATTATTGGATATAATCATAAAAAGATGACCTGCAAAAATAAACTCCGATAGGGGGAATCGAACCCCCGGCTGTCGTGTGAGAGACGACGATGTTAGCCACTACACCATATCGGATTTTCCATGGAAAACATAAATATTTATAGTCACATAATCCTAGTGCTAAATCTTTGATTCAGACCCATACACTATAGCTCCCGTGCGTTATTGTACTTAGTATTTAGTCCCCTGTTCCGCCCCCAAATATCTTATGCTTTCTTTGTTTTCTTCCATTGATTGTTGCATATGAGGCAGTTTCCTTATTGACCAGGATCACCGAGCTCCTGAGCTACGCAACCTCCCTTTCTGTATGTGACTGACTTATCATCTCATCTTCGTTACTTTCCCCTCCGTTCTCGGGCTCACCTAGAAATCATAGAAATAAGTTCCGAAGAAGAGGAATTCTACTTAGATCTCTCTATATTAAGGAAGGGAAAGAATATATCTTTCCTTCCTTAAGAATTAGTCTTATAGTTTGATATATTTATGACTTGAAGTTCTGAATATAATCCAACTCCGTTCTAGTACCGTTTTATATTCAACTCACATCCTCTTCACTATCTTCTTACTTGGCCCTTTTACCTCATTATAAAAGGTTAGTGTGGTCATAAAGTAACTAGGGAAAATGCTCTAGAATCCGGGTAGTGTGTTAGGACCGGGGTCCTGTTAGGGTTGGATTGGATGTGAGTGATAAGCACGAACAGGGTGACAAGTACGCCTGTAGTATATTTGCTAGTATAATCACTGGAGACCTCTCAGGGGTCTTTCTACTTAGTTATTGTGTGACTTATCTAATCATTTACCCGAACACATAACTTAAAGTTAACTAAGGCCAACCTTTCTCCATCCCGCTCCACTGTCGGGTAGGCCTCATATATAGCCTATATCTTATCTTTCTTTAATACATGAGATATTTCTGCCTTAGAAATTTGGTAGGCATCTTTTATCTCTCAACACTTATATTAGGGAGTTAAGAAACAGCGAGGGTTATTGGCAAGTTCTTACATCCTCTATCATTATATATCTCGCGACACTACATTTTACTCTTTAGAAAGGAGGAACTTAATCTTCTGATAGACCTCGAATGCATGATTTATTAATAAAATTAAAGGTTCAACTAGACAAATATGGCAGAAATATGAAAAGAAGGAAAGCAATGAAATATGCAGTATTTGTAAGTAAATGTGGTAAACAACCACTGTTCAAGTTCGATTCCAGCCATTAGGCACGATCATCCATCATTTATAAGCCCGAGGCCACCAAAGCCAAAACAGTGCAGTTAGATGCAACACCTCCAACGATGGTGTAGAGGAGATCATCGCTCTCTAGAACGCTCGCACCAGTGTCAACATCTGCCACAAGGAAGACCTTGTTCAGCTGATCCTGGATTCCGCAAACGAAGGGGAAGTAGTAATTTCCAAGCGTATCAATCGCGACCAGAATTTCTTCACTTCCAGTAGACATCGGAACAAGGTTGATGAGATTGGCAGTCTTGGGAATCTCACCCCAAGCTCCAAGAAGCAGACGCGAGGCTCCAACTGCACTCATTGTATCGGGGAAGTAGTAGAGCAGACGGGATGCGGAATCACCAAGGATGAGCCCTTCGGTGGTATCAGCTGCAAACTGGTATCCGCCGGTCAAGCTGGTAAGATTCGCGGTGTCGCTAACAAGGGAGACGAACAAAGTACCGTTGATCGAGGGGTTCAGGTAGAGGGCACCGGTAGTGTCGGTGACGGTCACAGTTCCAGTGCTATCATCGGAACTGGTGGAATTTGATGATGTAGTGCTGTTGTCGGACCGGCCAAAGAGGAAGTTACGACCGTAGGGAACGGACTTCTTGGACAGCGCATGCTTCTTGTCGGCAGGAACACTAACAGGGCTCGTCTCAGGCTCGGATTCGGGCTCGGACTCAGGCTCGGACTCAGGCTCGGTCTCAGGCTCGGTCTCAGGCTCGGTCTCAGGCTGGGGCTGCTTCGAGGCAACGACACTGACCTCTCTCTTGGTCATGGCAGAGGTAGGGAAAGAGACAGTGCTGCTCTCATCACCAATGAGGTGTTGCAGGTTTCCTGAAGCGTCCCGGTAGAAGATGACACCAACCTTATGGTAGTCCACCCAGGTATCCGTGCCGAAGAATGTGTTTGACAACGAAAAGGAGGTTCCGGCTGCGGCATAGCTATAAAGTGTATTATATACACTCTCAGTGGCGATAACACCGATACCCCAGACAACGGAGACGATTGTGATCTTAGCACTCGAGGGCTTGGTATATGAAACAACCTCAGAAGTGTATGAAGACAGACTGACGGCACCTGGATAGATAGTCCATGAGGAAGCAGCATATTCCGAAGACACAAACACGCGAAGGTCACCGTTATACTCAAAGAGCATAGTAATACTCTTTGTATAAGACGACTTTGATGTTCCAGCCCAGGAGTTGGTGAAGTCTGCCAAAAGCTCGGCAAGACTGATCTTGATGTCAGAGCCGCTCATGAACAAGGACTTTGCAAGGGTGGTCTGGTCAGAGTCCCCCCAGATGAAATAGTCCATGGAAAGTCCGGTTGAGATGGCAGTGGCCGCGGTTGAGGTTGCGGTAGATGTCGATGTTGCTGCAGCGGAGGAAGTCACAGATGTTCCGATACAACCATTAGCCAGGTCTGCTAAGGTATACGTATCCAATGTGTAAGTGCCAGCATCAAAGTCTGAAAGATCGAGAACGACAGTGTTGTCCAAAGCCAAGTCCCAAGTAATACCGTAGCATCCGTTGGCAGGAGTGACGTCTGCCTCTCCGTTTGTATAAGAGAGATCATCATCGTACTCAACTAATTTTTGTTAGTAATTAATATGATATTAGGCATGGAGAGAAAGACTCACTAGTACCAACGATTCCAGGGGTATCAATCAATTTCGCATCTTTCTTATAGGTTCCGCTCAAAATGTTAAGACCAAACTCCAGGGTGACCGGCATGCCTAAAGTAGATGTAATAGTGACATCTCCATCGAAGCTTGCGGAGTAGTTATGGGTGGGAGTCCATCCTGAGTGAGTTGACGAAGCGTGATCAATAAGGTCCAGAACTGAACTAATGTCGGACCAGATCAATCCGGCACCAATGAAGTATTGACCTTCGGCTTGGATATCAAGATCAGCAGAGACACCAAGCGACAGACTAGGACCCAGGGTAACAATGTCAGGAATTGAGAATCCAGGCAGGCTGACTGTGAAAAGATCGTGCTCAGTTGTCAAATCGTACTCAGCAAAGGCATCAAGTCCGATGAACAAGCCAGCATACATATTGCCGGTCAAAGAGAGCTGAGCCTTTGAGATTCCCTTAGAAACGCTGATTGAGAATGCGCCCGTGATTTTGAATTCACCGGTGACGCCACAGTCAACACACCAGAGCTCGATGCCGGGCTCGGGGTCAGCTTCTCCAATCAGCTCCGACTCGATCTTCTCCAAGACTGTATCATCCAGTGAGAAGTGAGAATCCTCCTTATCAAGGGTCAATGTATAGAACTTGAATCCTTCTCCCCAGGGAGATGTAGTCAAAAGAGACGAGGACGGGGTGATGCTCAGCGAGATATCGAACGTTTGACTGTAGTTACCAGTCACAACAAGAGTAACAAGGGCCACAACTGTCTTAGCAATAGTCGCGACCGTACTTGCGACAGTGCTAACCACGGTCTTCACGGCTGAAACAGCTGTGCTGACAACAGTCTTCGCGACAGTAGCCACCTTGGTCGCCACCGTCTTAGCAACTGACTTAACTACACTTGCGACCTTCTTGACAGCAGCCTTGAGCTTGCTCCAAAAGCTACGGCGCATCACTCGGGAATTGGTAGTAGTTGATGATCCAGGAGCAAGAGTCAGCAAGGTAGCCTAACATCTTATTAGCATTCTGAAACGGCACTCCATTTGAAAATAGAGAAGATTGGAAACCAACATCGGCATCAGACTCAGTCGCAACAGAGTAATATCCAAGAGCATCATTTAATTTCTCATCGAAATCTGTTCCGCAGGAGATAGCGGGAAGGCCATCGATTGTAGACGAAGTCGGAGAGGTACAGCCCAAATCTGAGGAGCTCGAGCTCGAACTGCTATCATCCGTGTTGTATGTAAGAGCACCAAAGTCCATTCCGACGTTGTCGAGAACGTCGGCAATTGCTTCGATGGTTCCTGTTGCCACGAAGGAGTCGCTGGAGTCAGTGAAGACGATCGAAGTAGATAAGAAGTAGATGTTCTGTCCATCGGAACTGCAGCTTGACGCAGCTGTGATCAGGATGACACTGCTATCAGTCGGCCAAGAGCTCTCTGCATAACTGTATGCGGCCGAATTGTTGAAATATCCAGATAGAGTGGAGGAGGTGCAGACGATATCCTTAATGTAGATTGACTGATCCAGGGCAACTGAATCTTCCGTAAATGTCATGTTCAAACGGACGTAAGGGTATGCGGAGTTTGAGTCGGAGGTGCTGTCATCCGAGCTATACCATACTTGGGCGATGCCAGTGGGAGTCAAAACACCGGTACCACCCATGTTGACACCGGGGGGGTCAATCGGGGTCATGGTAGCTGTTGCAGCAGAGCTGAGTGTAATTGGGCCAGCAAACGACGAGACCGTAGCAGCACCATAATTTGAGTTGGAAGTTGTCGTAACCACAAATGCGGCAGATGTAGTTGTGCTAACCGAGGTTGAAGATGACACCACATTGGCGGCCTTGGATGAAGCGACGATTGTAGAGGTAGATGAAGGGGCCACATATCTTGAAGATGACTCGGTCACGGTGACTTCCGCCAAAGTCGTAGATGAAAAAAAAACGGAGTCTGTGGCGATCACAGTCACAGTGTCTGTCACCTCGGTAGTAATATCTGTCGTGATCTCAACGGTAGATTCCTCCGTGACAGTGTCGGTGAAATAGCTGGTTTGCACGACGGTGACTACAGTGGTCGAATCTAAAGTTGCAGTGTCCGTAACTTCCACCGTGGCATGGTGAGTTGACAGAATGGTATCGGTAACAGTAGCTGTCCGGTGAACTGTCTGGGTCGAGGTAATCTGAGCCCAAGTTAGCTTTAATCCTCATTTCTATTGTTAATCTACAAAATTAGAACTCACAGTAGGCTTGACGGCAGTCTTGATCACTGAACGAGTGACTGTTGGGGTCTGCAGGTGTAGACAAGAGCAAATCTCTGACATGACCTTGCTCTGTAGCCCTTGGAGAGGCTTGGGAACATTACCTTGCCGGTATGGCTCTCCCCGGAAATCGCGTCCATAAACTTGTTCGTAGGTGGCGGTAGAGGTTGCAGTGACCACATTGGTGTCGGTCTCGGTCACGAGGTTTGTAATTGTAGCGGTGGACAGGGCAGTGATGGTGGCTGTGTCTGTCTGATACACGATGTCGGTGGTTACCACTGTCAGCGTCGAATCAATGAAATCGGTGGTTGAGAGGGTGAGGTGATCCGTGACAGTGTTAGTAAAGTGTTCAGTAATTGTCTGCGAGATAATGTGGGTGGTCAAAGCAGTGTGAGTGCTAGTTCTGAAGACAGTGTGAGTGACGAGTTTGGGCGGCGGAGTCCATGTATTCGTCACGGTAGTCGTGTGAGTTGGGATATGAAGCACACTGCTGCTGCAGTATGCCCGAGCTTCTCGGTCATTTTGAATTTCATCAATGACGTGCCGTTCGGATTGGCAGACATTCTGATTCGAGGGAAGAGCAAACGCGGTGACCCCGAAGGCCAACAACAGTTGCGTCCAATGCATCCCTGACCGCTGAGACGGAAAAGGAGCGTGATTTGTAAGAGAAAGAGGATTTGAAAAGAATGTTCGTCAAAAGAGTGACCCGTCCGAGACAATAGCAATGCCCACAACTTGAGCCTGACCAGTACGTCTTCTTCGTCTAGGAATTTCTTCCTTATATACTTGAAGAACTGAGTGGGGCATTTTCAGATAGTACCAAGGCGAAATATAAGGTTAAAGCAAGCGACAGGTTGAAGCTAATATCATGGATATCGATTCGGAGTGAACGCCACCTGGTGGCTTGCCACAGAAAGAGTAGAGCGGTCTTGGGATTTTTTGGTGCGAGTTTGAAAGCGTGCACGGAGGAAGACCCAAATGCACGAGGAAATATTAGAAAAGTTAACTTGCGGTTTTTTTGTCATGACACGTCAATCCATTAAATCTTTAGAAAGATTCTTCAATTGCTAATTATCTCCCTCGTCATGCCTCACTTCATTAAAGATGAATATAGCATCGATTCGCCCATCAACCGATTATGTACAACCTTTGACCATTTTCAATTTATTTTCCAGGGTGGAAAGAGTTGATCTACTAGTCTGTGCCTATCCCGCAGCTTAAGCTTATCCAGGGGGGGGGGGCTGAATCTACCGCCAACCCGCTCCACTAATCTCAGGCACCGGCCATTTCCAGGGTGGTATAATAGCCGAGTGTAGCCCGCAACAACGAGCCTAGACAGCCCCAGGTTCAAAATTCTCGGGTCAGCCGTAGTCAGTAGACTTTCTACAGCCCAAAAGAGAAGATAGCCCTAATCTAGATGGCTCTACATACATAATTATGTAGTTCTTCCTCTTCATATTTCTGGATGTCTTCTCAAAGCTTTTGCGAGACCTCTATTTGTAAGATATTATTTTGATTGAATTGAATAGGGTTGACGCGATAATTCACATCCATCTACTTCGAGCCACTCACATGCTCTTTTTGGCCGGGCTGCAAGTCGCAGCACTGATATGGACCCGGTCGGTAATTCCGATCTCCGCCTCCGCTGACTGATCGCCCGTCACGCTAGCTAGATATGTTAACCGAGCCGCACCCGGAATCGGCCTTGATCTCATGGTCTATTATGGATAGCGCGATAACAAAGAAAATTGAATTCGTGGAAGCAACCGTTGAGAGAGAACTAGACCCAGAGGAAGTAACATGGATGGTGTCATGCGAGGTGTCGCGTTTCAGTAGACAACACAATCAATTAATTTGGGTGGCCCCAAAACAGCCGATTTAGGTTTAAGGTTTGGGCCAAGCTACGATTGCCACTTGTTCTTATTATTTAGCTCTGCACATTTCATCTGCCGTTGGTCTCGGCAAATATTGTGAAGAATCTTACATGACAGGTGCTTTAAGCAGACTACCCGAGCTTGTTTAACGAAACACAATAGATTTAGCCATTACCATAGACTATGGGTCGCGATTTTCAGCTCCCGTCAAGCTGCCTTAGATCAATTTGGTCCTCAAGCCGGGTTGAAAGAACTAGCATTCCCCTGAAGAGCTTCGGCTCTAATGACTTCTTATTGCTATCGAAATAAGGCTGATTCTAGCATCGTTTATTTCTCCCTCTTTGGGACAGTATTGACATCCACCACCCCCATTTGGCAAGTACTCCCGTTCCAAATGGCATTTAACGGTTCACGCGATGGTGCCATCGTTAAAAATTATGATGTGATATCATCGGTGCAGCAAGCCTTTTATAATTGCACTATCCACAGACCTGAAGAACAGATCAGCTTGGGGGTGGCAAAGGTTTTTTTTCTTTAGTAGCAACGGAATTCACAATGATAACCACGATTAATAGAAACTTTGATGCTGTTGGGGGGCACAATGGACAGAAAATAATCAAATACTTTACACCATTTGCTGCGAAGAGCAAAATAAGCATATCAGGCAATCAAGTAATTTCCCGAAGAATGTTTGTCTCCTATCCAGGGGCCATGAATTGGCAGACTCTAGCGGAGCTACAATGAAACCATATTTATTGGAGTATGGGGTCAGCTGACCCCCTCCGTTTGCCAGCGCGTGCATGTCTTAGCTAGATCTCTCTCTCTCCTCTATCCCTCTCGGATACAGATCTTGTCCCTTTCCTCTGTTTCCACGCTACCATGTAGCCCTTTCTTCCCCTTAACGGCAAACCAACTGCCAACGATATTCAATTCAAATGTTAATGAACTGGAATCCTTAAGTCTGGAACATCGAAATACTTATGACAAGTACCCTGGAAGTCGCTTCCGTAAAAAAAGTTGATCATGCTATCTGACTATATCGGGGCAACCTCATCAGTTCGGTCGGGCACCCTGGCTATTTGTTTCTCGCCTCCAGATGAATCAAACTCTCAGAGTCTCCAGGTAGCCATGAGAGAGAATTTCACTAATTCGACAAGCTCCGGACTTCCCGAGACTCGCTGAGATCTTGTGATTTGCCGGATCATCAGCTTTTAAATGTTCAAAGTCGGCCTTGGGATGTCAATATCTTCAGGGGTCATTGATAATTATCTGGGCTGCTGGAGCTAGCTTGAATTTGTTCCGTTAATATTGATTGTTTGAGCTCTCTAATGCATAGGTGCTGTGGGAATATCGGGTTTTTATGTAAAGCCCGCAGACATATATCTCTAGAGTCACACAGCCCGCGCAAATTCTCTAGGCTAATGCAGCACTATAGTTCCTGGAGCACAGTAGAACTTATTTCAGACACATTTGACTCATGAGAATCCCGGGGCCTCAGACCGGGAGATTTCCAGCTAATATTAGACCGATACAAGATTGAATACGCCAGTCTCGATATATTTAGGCTATTTTGATTTACCCATTTCACTGTACGCAAGGTCGGGATAATCCAACGCTAAAACTAAGTAGATATAGCACAAGTCCTAATTATAAATATCAAACCGACTAGTTAGATATACGGAAACACCATGATTATCACTTACAGCACCACGCACAACCGTGGTCTTTCCGCTGTCCCCCTGGATTACACGATATGAATTTGATAAAAGGTTCGCGAGATTTATGCTATATCAAATATGAGTTAGTGTCATGTCCTTATGTCTCACATGCTGTTTATTTATCTTTGACATCAGCATCATGTGTTCAAGATAATAGAAAAGAAAATAAAGGAATTTTACATAATCAAGGGGTGATAGCTCAGTTGGGAGAGCGCACGACTGAAGTATACTGCAGTCTGACAATAGTCAATCGTGAGGTCGCCGGTTCAATCCCGGCTCGCCCCATTAAGCTTTTGCTTTTTAAGTATCAGAAATCTTTTTGTCTTTGCGATCATAAACTTCAACCAAAGCAGTTTAATATGAACAATACGCGGTCTATGTATGGGCGACTGGAAATCCTGATACTTGAGACTCTTGTACTCAAGAGGGCTAGAACATTTTTAGGTTATTGTAGCAAATTAGAGCCCACTTCACACAAGTAAGGGGTGATAGCTCAGTTGGGAGAGCGCACGACTGAAGTTCACTGCAGTCTGACATTAGTCAATCGTGAGGTCGCCGGTTCAATCCCGGCTCGCCCCATTTTATTTTTGTTTTTCTTGACTTCCTTTTTTTTCCGTTCTTTGAGAGGGTACAGAAATAGAACAAGGGAATCGAGTGCACTTAGGAATGTAGATGAATGTAAAAGGTAGGAAGTGGGGACAACCCCCATACAGCGAAGGGAGGGAGATCTTCCACCAACCCCTTCCTTCTATCTACTCAAACTCGTCTTTTTCTTCTCTGTATGCCTTTCTCCAACATATCCTAATTGCTTCGCGATGCTTGTGCTCATCATAATGAACTCCCTCAAAAGTGTCAACAAGGTGATTAATTTGTTTCACATTTCCATCAGCTCATGCATGAAGCTGCAGTCTCCACTCTGGTAGAAGATCTAGACTTTTCGGCCCGATAACCAGACGACTCGCGGGATCAGTCGATAGGACATCACTAGCGTATATCTGGAGTGGCCGACTCACAATGAAAGACAATATCGACACGTTCGCCTAACTTGAGGGGTAATCTTTTTCGATCGACTGATAATCTCACCCCATTTCGAAGAATCTCCTGATACCCTAGGATCAATGTCTCTTAATTAATTGTCCTGGCACTGTTGGAGGCTGCGGCCTGCTACTGGAAATAGTTTTGCCGTATGCTGATCTCGCTCGAGTTGCGAAATTGATGATAAGAAGCTCTGATCTCTTCGGTCCATCGACAAAAGGTTGGGTTACCCGAGAATAAGAGCTCGTGAATGATTCTCAGGAGAATTCCGGCTTTTGATTCTGGCTTTCGTGCTGGAATCTTTGCCACAGAGGAGAGGCAATGTTGAGGCGTCTCCCCGCCCATGTTTAACATGGATCAGTAGGCGAAATTTAGGAGAATCTTTCCCGGCAGAGCAAAGTTTGGAAGGCACAGCAAAGCCACTTCTCTATTAATTTAAAGATAAGCCAAGGACTGATCCCCAAATCCTTGCTTGGGGTCCCCCTGCTAATCGGCGCGGTGAAATGTGGCAAGCTCAACAAAGATCAAATTTGTATTCTCGGTTGCGTCCCGTATCTGATGATATCGTGAAGGGTGTTTCCTTCGATTGTACTCACATAGAACCGGTGCTTAACCGATTTATAGCCAGAACTCTTGAGCTGTCCATAAAATGTGAAGGTAGACACTAGTATTTTCTAGACTCTTGGAATCATCACCTATTGCTATCAGATCGTTCATGTGAGAAAATCTATCTGGAAAGTTTGGAAAACCAGCTGGGTTCAATGCAGCCAAAAATTTGTCTTTCGCTTTCTGCCCGATCTATGACTAATATATCTTTCCATAACGAGCACTGTGATCATTCATAATGACTTTCATGATATGATCAAGAACAGACAGATAGTCGACCGTTTCAAGCACAGGTGGCTTGGGTGAATCCTTATCATGTGCCTCGAAAGACGGTTGATGTTCATGGATCTGGAAGCTAATTATTGGACAACACTTGGAAATATCGTTCTGCGTGACCAGTGATTCAATGTACTTGTTTAATCTTCTTGGTCGACCCTTGGATAGAACAGGAAGCCCCTCTCTCTCTTTTCGAAGCGTCGTCACTCAGGGCTGGATTTTCCAGCTCCGGAAGAACTCCATGACCATCTGAAATTTGATGCTCATGTTTTACAAGTGGAGCTTCAGGCAAGTCGTCGACACTGAGTATAGTGACATAGATATTCCTTATCTTCCGCAAGAAAAGAGCTGACGAAGTCTGGGACTGGGGAATGTTCCTTCTTCAACTCAAGCTGTGGCCCAATGATCTCTTCTCCCGATCCCTAATCAAAGATCTGTCATGACTGTTTAATTAAGATTGCGTCATCTGTATCGTCAAGTAGGCTCAGACCCAACAAGGCCTAAAGGTGTTAAGGGATCCTTGGTTGTGATCTTTGCAAAAAGGTAAGATCATTCAATTGATATCGAAATCAGGCTGATGGTCGAGTGTTGTATCCACCATTCTCTTTCACTCGCCAGGCACATATTGCTCTAGACATCTTCTTCTGATTCGGCGCTCCTTTGTTTCGCGAACTTTGGCTGCACCCGGTGAATGAAAATACCAGTACAGCATTGTTGTTCCGAGCTTGACCATTCTGAGCTCATCAATGTAATTTCTCCAGAAATTTCTCGCGCAGTTGTACCTAGAATTAATGCCGTTGACAAGCCATGATACAATTTGTATTGGTAGTCGGGCGACTTCTTCCGTTTCGTAAAGATTGTGAATGGGCAAAGAGTTCGAATTGACATTGAAGTCAAAGACCCTGATAAAATAATGAAAATGAGAATGGAAGTTGCATTTTGGAATATCAGTGCGATATGCGTCAATCACTCTCGTCGCTTCTATAATCGGTACTTCGGACCCTATCGCTTTCTCCTCTCAAGACTGCATCTTGGGAAAGCTCGTTAGGGTAATCAGCCGTGGCAGATGAACAGGGCGGAGAGGGATAGCGAGTTCGGCTGATGCTCACTGGGAGACCATATTTAACTCACCTTGAGGATAGTTTAAAAGGTTATGGTCAGCTTGAACATGTATGAGAACTTTCCGGGATGAAACCTGGGATTAGCATATTTTGGCTTCATATAGCTAAGCCTTGGGTGATAATTTATGTTCCAGGGGTGATAGCTCAGTTGGGAGAGCGCACGACTGAAGTTTACTACAGTCTGACATAAGTCAATCGTGAGGTCGCCGGTTCAATCCCGGCTCGCCCCACTCATGATTTTTTCTCCAACCTGAATCATCAACCCAATTTGAGCATTAACCATGTTCCCCGATTCTTATTTAGTCATTCGTGTTTTTTTAGTGTCGATATCCTGTTGTTCCCGCCCTTGCTTTACTTATCCATGTTTATCAAGCCACTATGTATAATAAGGGGTTGGTCGAAAGACGTCGGTTCACTCTTTGTTGAATCTATAAAGTATGTAAGGAGCCTTGAGTGGAATGCCATGTTGCAGCTGTATTGCATAGTATGATACCACCTTTACGAACTCGAATACTCACCCGATATTGTTAGAGCTTTCTTCATTACTTTTATACCCGCAGGATACCTATACTAGAAGATGCAGACTGGTAATTGGATTATGAAAATCAAGGCTGTTATTATCGAATTGGCTGGTTTTCAGTTATGAGAACTCCGCGAGCAGGGTCAAGATTCGAAATCGAGACTATCAGCACCTACGGGAAAGCTTCAAATGCGACTATACGCAGAATTTCACGTATTGAAAAAATACTTCTTTAGAGGGGGAAAAGGCTGAGGCACCAGTCACGGTAGATTATAATATCCTATTGATGCAGCAATTATAGGCCATACCTATATCAAGGTTGTGTGGCTATTTTGATGTATAGATATAATTTGGGCAAAAATCTGTGTTGTCTTCATATTCGCTGGAGTATATAAGAACCACATAGCAGTAAAATTTGGTCCAACCAGTAGCTCTAGCCATGAGATGCTCATAAACTCCATCTTGTACTAAGTTTGGTGAGAACTTTCAGCAGTGATCCACCAAGAATACAACAAGCATTCTTGGATATATGCAGCACTTGAGACACCGAGAAGAAAAAAGTACTATTTATTACACATAGTCAGATTCTACTTGCGATGTCCATCATTGATAACGGGTGTGTACTAGTTACCACCGCGGTTACAATTCAGCATTATCTTTACAACTTGATGTCAACCTGAAAGCTCGGCCTTCTGTTCCTCCGTTTTGTGACCCAACAACCACTATTCTTCGACAAGTTTTGGAACATTGACAAGTTTTGAAACAATTAATCAAATCAGAAAATATTAGTTGAAGATCGCAAAACGAAGACACAATCAAAGTAGTAAGCTTCAAATGTTTGTGGAAAACATGCTGATTCAGGGCGGTAGTGAAGGCGGTAAGAATAGCTACGGCGAAAAACAGCATGCAGGATTTCTGTACCAACTATTCATAAAGGCAAATTAAGTGATATAACTTTATGCACCGGGGTGATAGCTCAGTTGGGAGAGCGCACGACTGAAGTTCACTGCAGTCTTGACAATAGTCAATCGTGAGGTCGCCGGTTCAATCCCGGCTCGCCCCATTCATGATTTTTGCCGTTAGTCCCGAATTCTTCTTTTTTTTGAACACAAGAACCGAACAAAAACAGTTTGAACGTGGCCTGGCTGGCTTTGATATAATATATAAACAAGTACGATAGCCCCCGTGGCTACTTATGAAAACTAGCCTGAGAACCCTGCATTATTCATTGATATATGCGCAAAACAGGATTGAGTTCCACATCTGCTGCTATGTAGCGGCAAGCGGTATGCTGTACTTCATAGGTTAGGGTCACTTAGCTGGGAGATTAAGACAATAATATGATGACACTATCACTTCCATTTCATACAACCCAGGGGTGATAGCTCAGTTGGGAGAGCGCACGACTGAAGTTCACTGCAGTCTTGACAATAGTCAATCGTGAGGTCGCCGGTTCAATCCCGGCTCGCCCCACTCATGATTTTTTGCTCAGAAAGCACTTCAGATTGTTGTTGCTATATTGAAGCTTCATCGTGATGCACTGACATAGTTGAACATAGACTAGTGGACTAGATAGGCAGCGATTTTCATACCGGATTTAGTCGCCCTGTTTGATCGTTAGACAAAAGGTTCAAGGTGATCAAAAACGGCCATAATTGACCACTACAGCAGCCGTTGTACCTAAGCAACGTTGACTCAGTTATATAATGGTCTTATTTATAGCAAAGAATGCTGACTTCGCCATTGGCCAAGGTCTAAGGTGTATATAGATCTCAATATTTTTTAACGCTGACCGACGGCTTACATCTCGAGCGAATCCAACATTTGAAATCTTGCGGATGCTTCATATCCTATAATCACTGGCCCAAACGACGTCGGATCCAATACGACCTAATCTGCCGATACCTGCAGGCGTCAAGGCATGGATATCAAATTCCGAGCAGAGCTCCCCGACGAGATGGAGCGAGAGAAATCCGCCACAATCGCGTCTCATTCAAAGCCAAAATCTTCCCGGGTTTCTCGAAGCAGAAATTGGCAACGCCACCGGGAATAAGCATCTTGCCCAGAAGCACACCACCCGGCGACCAGACATGAATCCCATCACCACAGCCACTGTACACATTGCCCTCAAGATCGCATTTGATGCCATCCGGAATACCATTATCTGCCATGGCAAAGACACGGCGATTCGTCAGAAATGGCTGTCCATGATAGTGTACAACATCAAATGCATAACTGTCAACGTATTAGCTTAACCAGAACGCAAGATCGCACGAAAGGAAAGAAAAAAATCCTCACATAGTAGCTGCGCGACTCAATTCTATGTTTCCATCTCCCTGAACAGCATCCGTATCGGTTACATAAACAACCTTCTCATCAGGCGAGAAGGAAATCCCATTCGGTCTCCCAAACCCGTCCGCCACAACACGCACAGCCTTCGTAACTGGGTCATACCGATAAACCTGCACCGGCAACTCGGGTTTCGGACGAAACCCCTGCTTGAATCCATAAATAGGATCGGTGAACCAAATTGACCCATCGCTATGGATAACCACGTCGTTGATTGAATTGAACTGCCGACCGTAGAAACTGTCGAGAATGGTTGTGCACTTGTATGGGACTTCGATTTCCATGTATATTAGACTAGAGGGTCGGTCGAGTGTTCCCTGGCTGCAGAATAGCACGCCATCTTGATAGTTAACGCCGCCATTTCCCATGGGGATGTCTGGGTGAATCTCTTCTTGGGTACATTTGGTGTCATTTAACTGGATTTTTGAGATTTGAATTCGTTGGTGGTTGTTTTTTGTGATGAGGTTGCTGGTGATGAAGAGTTGGTCTTTGGAGGGGATATACACGCCAGCTTCGTGGGCGAAAGGGTACTCGTTTTCAAGGTGGGGTTTGATTTCTGGGTTTTGTCCTGTGATCTCCTTGAAGGCAGGATGGAAATGTTGAAAGCTCATGGTGGGTTGATGTGTTAGGATGCTTGATGTGCTTGATAACGCGCAGAAGGATTGTGAAAATGTTTGGCTGCGTGAATCTAGCCAGGATCTTCAATCTCGGAGGTGCTCCGGTTATGGTGGGGTTTCTGCTAAGGTGGGACGGCTATCACAGCTCGGAGAGAATACCGAGCATGAAAGATCAGTTGAAGTATTTTGGATTATCCAATATCTATGCGATGATATGATACAATTCTACTTCTTCTTCGAGCTCGATCCACCAGGAACAGTACTTCCCTGACGTTTGTATTTCCGGGGGTCTACTTCTTCATCAGCACTGAATAAGAGCGATACCAGAGGTGAGAAACATACCTTTCCGGCTCATCAAAGCTCGATTTCTAGTACCCTTACCCCCTTCCCAGAATCCGCTGCCAGCTTTACCGACAAGGACCGCTTTACATGTCCCGCAGTTCTCTGGCCTGAAGTGTTGCTCTCGAGAACAAAATCCACTGGTTTGTGTTAGCCCTGAAACGTAAAATTGAAATTAGGAGCATGCATACCAGATCATGCGATTTGCGTGTTCATTTGGATGATCCATCTCCGCATCATGGCATCTAGGTCAATTAGTATCTCATCAGGCTAACATAACAACATCAGACATACTTATCGCATGGAAACACCTTCGCACAACAACTGAATCTACTCGACGTTAGAATCCACGGTTATAATCCGAAATTTTAGCACCTTACCGGAACCAACGGAAACTCTTCGCGTAATGTTGGCAGCGGCCACGACGGGGAAGTTCTTGGCCAGCAACGATTCCGAGGACCTCTTTCGGCTGTGAAGCATTTAGTTCAATCCCAGAACCAATAATTGGGCACTCTTACCTTTCTCTTCAAAGAAAGACCCGATCGAGAAGACACTAGGAAAGGTGAGTAAGTTCATCACATAAAATGTAGATCAGGCAAACCTACCTGCAGCCGTTCCCACGATCAAGAATTTGACTTCAGGCATCTTGAAGACTGTAGATTGTCAGATTTGAAGAGGACTTTTTTGAGCAAGACATAAGAACATACCCATTTTTTTATGACAATGACGGCACATAGCCATGGAGCTCTCTCCACGAACTGCAGATACGCCAGGTGCATGGTATGGAGTTGAGCATTCCGAGCAAGTCGGGATGAAGTTACTACCATTAAAGTCAGATACTGCTTAACGTAGTAGGAGTATATTATATACCCTACAAAGGCAAGTACTTACCTGGGAAGAAGATCCACGATGGTGCAACCATCCAAATCCAGATACCCAGCGCGATTTGCATGAGAATGCATCAGCTGCTTGCGGAAACCTAACAAAACACATCAGCTTGAGGAATCCAGCGACGATGCTTGATCTCAACTCACCGATACTCATAGAATTGGCGCACTTCCTGCATGACTCAACTTTCGGCGAATTCTTCGGGTCGGTAAGATTGGGGACGTTTTTTATATCCATTGACTCCTTGCATCTCTCACATTTGATTGTGATAGCAAGATACATAAGTTCCAATAGCTCGATTCCGTAAAGTTCGAGAAAAGGGAATGACAGAGCGACACCACGCCCAGGTGTATCAATAGCCACAGGAACAGGTGCGCCTCCATCACTTGAATCCTCTTCGTCCTCTTCAGAATCTTCTTCAAAGCTTGAGTCATCGGTTTCATCTCCTTCATTGTTGTGATCGGGTACAGACCACTCCATTGGACGTGGAATAACGTGCAGATGTGGTCGGTCCGGGTCTTCCCCCCCCTCAACAGGGTTCGAAGGTTCCTTTTCAGGAGATACATCTTGTTCATCAGATACAGTATCAATGGTTGGTTGAGGATACTCATGTTGAGAGTACTCGGCAACTTCAGGCAGAGGTGTCTTGGCAAAGTTGTGCATGTTACTCGCCAAGTAGTTGATCTGAGAGACCAGATTCAACTGGGAGTTCTTTGAGACCCATTCTGCAAATCCATTCTCTACGGACCTTGCTTCTGGTTTGTCAATACCCTGAATCTCGATTGTAGAGTTCTCAAGTGGATAGAGTTGAGGAACTAGAAGCTTTACCGTTTTCAAAGCTTGAAGTTGTCCAGGGAGGCGGTCTTTCTTGTTCGGTTGAATTGGAATCACGAAAGAATTATCCGATCGTTTTTGGAACAACGGAAGTCTCCCAAGCCGGGCTTCGAGCTGTTTCGCTTCCGTCGATCTTCGTTTCTCGGCCTGGAATTTTTGCGCGGCCGTGTATGTTATTCTTGTAACAGGTGCCTTCAATGGGGTTACAGGTTTGGCAGCATTCACGGGCACAGCCTTTGGCAACACAGGCAATTCCACCTGACGTTGAGGTCCAGGGTTTGTCTGGGCTGGCCCTTTGCTGGCTGTACCATCGCCAAGATTGGCCACAAATGTGAGCTTTGGACCTCTTTCAAGAGTAGTAAGAAGCTTCTCCAGTTGCTTATCAAGACTATTAAGCCAATTAAGGAGCACTCCTCGGCCATTTGTGCGCAATGTAAAGTCAACAATATCGTTGAAGCCTCTCGCAACGTTCGCTTGGTATGCGGCTTCCATTTCAGGATTAGTTACTTTGAGTGTAGGTCGCCCTTTATCGGGATATGACTTTGGGACATGCAGAACGCATTGCAGTTTGTCCAACTCAAAGGGGAAATCAGGATCCGAGGGAGCCAATCCGAATTCCAAGATGGATCCATTGCTGTCAGTCGTTTCCTTTGGCTGAAATCGTCGTCTCAATTGGTTTAGCTGAAACTCTCTCGGGTCTTTTTGCTCTGCCTTCGAGACTGGCCTTTGAGGCTGAGCGGCATGTGAAATTGTCGTGACTTGTCTTGACGGCCCACTAGAGATAGCCGTCTGACTGGCCCCGGTGCTGATATTGCGGTCTAGATTTTGATTGTTGTTGACAGGAGCAGGCGATTCTGACTGCTGATCAGCCGAGGTCACACTCTGGTCGTTGGTAGGACTAGCGTGAATATACGGGCAATCCGCCCCAGCCCGGCAGCCTAGATTGAGATCAGCATCGAGACAAACCACCAAAATGCGTTTGACAAAATTCCCGGCCACGCGAAAATGAAGACAAGGAAATGAAAAGAACCCCAAATAGTAACAACAACCCTGTTACTCAAACATTGAGCCATGGGCTATCAGAATGTCTCAGTTGGCCAAAGTCCAAATGTAAGGCGATAATTGCATACAGTTTGGAGGAACAGTATCCAAAACACGATATTACATAATATAGTAAAGGAACAAAATGACCAGACCCAATATGCAGAAGAAGAAAACAGTTGAGAGTACGTACCCTTCTTGGACGCAAAATAACGACATTTGCCTCGCTTTTTCGTCAATGATTGGCGAATAGTCCTCGACTCCCGCGTGGATGTAACGCCATGCGACGAAGTTGGGACTGACAACTCATCACTTGTCAAGGGTGGCTGTTCCGTCCCTGTTTAGAAGTAGCATGAGCGTGTGATCAGAGAGGTTGCGGGCCGGCCTTAAGGCAACACCCGTGAAAGCGAAGGCAACAGGGCCATGCATGGACGGTCTTGGTGGCTCAACGTGGAGGTGAGTCTGCATGGACCTGCTGTGCCACACAGGGGAAGGGCTTGCAGAAAGACAACAACACGAAAGCAGGTTGGGGCCGCGGAGTTCTCGCATGGGTTGGGGGGGGGGGGGGGGGGGGGAAGTAGTTGGAGACAAGCCACTAACGACACCATGTGTATCGGGGCCAATAGAAATAGGACGGAACTTACGATAGACCTGGGGCTCCGGCCCCGCCGTGTTGTCAGTTGATCCGTTCTCCATGCCGCTGGGTCTAGGTGCGGGAGATAATGGTGGCGAAGCTCTGGAGGTCCTAAACAGTTCGAGGCGAGGTGACGTTTGAAATGCCAACGCAGAGATCGGGTGACTTTGCTCGGGATCGACAGGACCAGATCTGCAGTGCACAACAGGTGAGCCGCGATGTGCGAGCAAGAAATGCCAGGGCGCAATAGAATTTGTAGCTTACGGATGGATTTGTGGGGCGTGCTCTAAAAAAAGCTAGGATTGATGCTGATAGAGTGAAGATATAGTATTGACTGAAGCTGTTGTTGCCAAGACTTTTTGTCGAGTTTGTTTTCAACGTGGGGTAAAATCAATTTTATCCACTATGATTCAATCTGACTCAGAATGGAATACTCATGAATACACTAGAATGACTCAAATAAAATGAAATGCATACAACTCCTATAACGAAGCTCGGTACATACAAGTTATCAAATCTTAAATATGGAAAGTCAACCTTATCAATTACTCAATTAATCAAGTTGTAAGTCTGCATAAACCTTGAAATCAGGAAATCACAGCCTGAGGCAGCAAATTATGTACACAAACAACTTTTTTCGCTTTCCAATGCTCTCCATAGTTCTAGCTACTTCGGTTTCCATTCACATTCTGCTCGGATTACCTGATCCAGAAAAATTACTTGCATCTCAAATCCCCGCTCTGGCGGTCAGGTCGCGCGATACGCGGAGAAATATGAGGGGTTCGGCTTCCAGAACTCCGCGGCACTGCTTAGTGGCAAACGCCAAAGGGTTATGTGTTTAGCCCCGCCTTACACCAAAGTACCTAGACACCGACAGGCTGGTCCCCCGTCGGTAAAAGCAAGGGGCTAACGGGGATCAGATGAGGTGAAGATTTTTCTTGAATGCCAAAAGAACCAAGTATTCAGCTCATGCAGGGACAACGTTGCCAAGGCAAATTCATGTGTCAGATGAAATGAAATTATAAATTTGAAGCAATTTCGAGTCGGTTAGAAAATCCCCGGACTCCAGGGGATAATTTGCCACAAAATATCAGATGACAGATGAGTTAATTAAAATAAATGGATCTCACTATCAGTAGTGAATCGGAATGCGATCTGGTTTTCCCGCAGATCAATTTCCAGATACAAAGTTTGGGCTGCATTGCCGCGCTTAGGGTTCTGAACGAAGCCGGCGACCAGGGGGTGTTCTCTGAACTGCTTGCAGGTAAAGTCTTTTTGCGGCACTTCAACCCAAGAGAAAAATTGAAATGGTCACACCCCCTCTGCCCCCGGTTGATCCCTGTCTGGTGGCTTTGATAGACTCCGCTAGCTGCATTGGAGTTCCCCGTAGTTGAGGTAGGCTCGGGACATTCTAACGGTCGGAAAGAATATTACCGTCGTATTGGTAGCCCAAATGAACAGGAGACATAGGAATAGCTTCAAGTTTCCATCAAGGCTAACATTGCATATTCTTAGATGATAGAGGCTTCATTATCATGTACCCCAGGGTGCACAATCTACAGGGCCTGAATGCAAGCAGTACAGGTTTACATACAGCCCCACAGTGTAATACCAAGAATCCGCTAATCCATGGTAATTCAATACAGTATTGTAAATTTCCTAAAGAAGACGTCCCTTACAAAAGCAGCCTAGCGCCATCTGGGCAATGAAACGCACCAACCGGAACATCCTTCCAGAACCTTTCCAGAACGAGCCCTCGGTGCAACTCTGAAAAACCATGGGATTGTTCATACAACGCTCACAAGGACATCCGGATTCGGACCCGGCAATCGAAACCGGTAATTGCAAATCAACTGTAGGATCAAGACGTTTCTTTCTACAATATGGAGTTTCCTGTGCATGAGTGTGGCTTGCATGATTCCGCGTAAAGGATGATTTGTCGGAGGACAGAGCTCCATTATCCGGTTCACGTGAGGCTCGACCCACGCGGATGAGCACCAATCATGCCGCACATAATTGTCGTTTTTTCCTCTGGGTGGAGGTGCTCCGGACACCTTGTTCGACCTGTTTATTTCCATGATCTTTGCCATGCTAATTGATACAGGGGCTTCGGGCTTGGGCCGCAGATCCCGGCGCCCAACCTATCGGCATCCCGAAATCAAGGTAGCGACGGGGATAGGGTTTCAACTAAAGTTAGTCGCCTTCCTTTTTGACGTCCTGGCCGCTTGCTTTGTTATTCATGGGGCTCGGAGAAACCCAGGAGGAAATAAGGGATGTCACCGGCGAAATTGGGGATGAGAATGACACGCATAGACTCGCGTAGTTGAAGGCGTCTCACCGAGAGTTGTATAAACCGGTTTACTCTGGGGAATTTTCTTCATCTGGTCTACTCAGAATGCAGTCCCCACATTAAAACGCCCCTTTGTTCGAGGTGGTGATTGATTTTGTTGAACACGATGAACAACAACTATACACGTAAATCATATTGATTACAAGAATTTGAAAATTTGCATACCATCGATATGGACTTGTATGTTTCACCCGATATAGCGATTAGCGCGAATATGCCATGCATAAAAATTTGAATACCTCGGTAGCCTTGATTTGATATCGGACTGGATACCATAAAAATCATATGTGCATCATCGGCATGCCGAATCCTATGTATGACGCGCATCAATTTAAACTAGCCAACAAGAGACACGAGCATTGAATGCAATTCTGAAAGTAGAGCCCACTTTTCTATGATGCCTGTGGGTTAGCCTGAGCCTCATCGTTATACTCATTTGGCTGAACAAACACCAATTCCCAAAGGAGCAATGCCGTGCAGATGTAACAGATGCTAGACAATACATATAGCCTCCAAACATAATAATACAAGTGGGACGTCCCAGAAATAAAAAAATGCGGACATTGTGCGAATCACGCCTGGTACCAAGGTTTGGGATGACCCACTATGAATCCACTTCTTGGCTGGGCGAGCTGAGATTGAGGCACAAAACCGTTCACTATGCATTGTGTGGGGGTATTGGGGAAATTTGCAGCTTGAATAGGTTAAGACGTGTATCAAGGCCTCAAGGTGGCTGGAATCTTCCCGCGCCATTACCTAGAGGGTTAGAAGTGACCGGTAGCTGCGGGAATACCGCAGCCGTGTTGATCAGATTGCGCAAGCTGATGCAGAAGTCAAACAAGAAGACATAACACTCAAGCTCTTCAGAATTTTATTATATGATGTTTCGCATTTCTATTTTTTTCGGTCTCGTTCAGGGAGGAGACCATGTTTCCTGTCAGTTGTGCCCTGGATCCAAATTCCGAATCTAAGCATTTGAAGATAAAATTTTCATCAAGACCCACGAATGTCGGGCATGGCCGGAGATGTGTCCAGTCACAGCTCGCGCGGTCCGGGGAAAGAGGATCCCGCAAGAATCGAGTCGGGCGATTTAGGAGATAAAAGTGTGGGGAGTTTGGATGGTTCCACTTGGGAGCTCGATGCGACACGGTATGCTCGAAGAGGTAAGCACCGTATGGCTACGTCATTAAGTAGTTTGGCACCGGGGAGGACGCAATAAAGTATAGTTTCGTAGCACTATAGATTTCCGGACGTTCAACCGCGGATCAAATGAAGTCAACAGAAGATATGTGTCTAAGAAAAGAAAAGTGAAAAGTGAAAACTCCCCCAGAGTCACGAGGATGCCCGTGATATCCACTTGAGGCCACATGACTGAGGGAAAAAATATGACATCAACTCCGTTCATGCGGGAAACGCAGTACAGAGTACTGTACATGTATCGAAAACTATAGTGTCCGCTATTCCTGCCTTTTTGAGCTCGCTAGCGCTTCTGAATTAGGGGTTGCCTTGCGCAAATCTATGAGTATCCGATGAACCTGACCAGCTCCCCGCATCATAATGAAAACATGCAGTGTCATGATGAGGCTACACCGGGACCTCTTTGCGCAAAAGTATTTCATGTTTTACATTCGCCGAGTCTAGACCTTTACTCCTCATCACGGCATCTCCGAACATCTCAGAATCCAAGACTCAAATTGTCCAGGCTTATCAAGAAATTCCAAGGACTGAGTGCTTATCACAAGTCATTTACCAACGATCTCCTCACTGCCTTCCTTCCCTGAGAGCTCTGGCCATTTCATGGACCAGCATGTGAAGCGATCAGTGCGGTGACAATTCTCTGACAATTAAGAAAAGACTCCGGGCTAGATCTATCGAATAGACTACTAGTTGACTTTTTTCCTGGCTTATTCCCAAGTTCCCCGAAACTTCGTACTTTTGCAAGTCATTCAATTCGGCGCTGTGAATCCTTTTTTCCGTCCACCTGACACCCCCCTTTTCTTTGCTTTTTCTAACTTTACGCGGCTTGAAGATCTTCGATTTCTGTCCTTTATGTCGGGTCTCCCCGATCTCGCTCGATATAGGTAATAAATTATGGCGAAATTTAAACAGTTGAGCGATCTTTCATTCTTAAGTTATCCAAATTGAAGCCATCCTCCGCACAGAGTAGAGAGCGTCCTATTAATACATAGTCTTGTCTGGTTAAGCAACACTAGATTTTGGATACTATAGCATATACTATCCAGGTACTCCTTACTTATAATATCCATTGATGTCATATGGAATATGAAGCCATTCAACTCCTTTTACAAATTTAGTTCCGAATCCTTCCAAGCTATGTAGCAAAAGGAGCCCTATGATGAGTTGATCCTTCATCGCGTGTAACCGTGAATTCATAATAACTAGGGTGGTAATCAGTTCCCACCCTCCTTTACTGTCTTTGACGTGTCAACGCCACCAAGCCTCGAAATGCCCGGACCCCCGCATGATTGTTATCTGGCGTCGATATCGCAAGGATTATGCCTTCGGGGAACTTTCTATTATCATATTTCTGCAGAGCTGCAAGCCTTGTGTTCGAGCAATAGATGTTTGCTAGGACATGGACATGGACCTCGTCCAGACCGCCAATTCAATTGTGGTTGATGCGATGCATGGCGCCAGCCCTGTTCCAAGATTTGAGTTGTTTTTTCCCTGGTCTTTACAGCCTACTAGTAATTACTTTTATTTTTATAGATACGAGATGCATGTGGAAGTTTATTAGATAATTTCACTGGTTTCGTTCATTCCAGGTTTTTAGTTTGCTCAGTTCATGAGTAGCGTACAGAGAAGTGGTCCAGGCGTGCAGCACTGGACCCAGTGAACAGAAGCATGGTATCTGGTATCGAGTAAAAAAGAGAACCGTTCTCCAGGTGAAGAAAGCTAGCATGTTTGCCGCAGCCATAAGAAAATAAGAAAGAAATGCAGTGAGAGATAACGCTAAGAATAAACCCGATTTTTTTTGTTTTCAAACTTGGACATGAGGAAACGATGGGGGAATCTCTTGGTAGATGAAGGATAAGACAGTATTCATTAACCACCCGAAGGCCCGTGAGTAAGGACGAGAGATTGAGCTGTACATGAATATTAAAGTCGTGATGGGTAATCGTTCCTAGGAGGTGATCCAGAAAGATCCAGACAGGGCGCGTCCAGTGAATGCTTGTATTGTAAAACACACCACAACCCCGGAAGCGATGAGACCCAGATCGGGTAAAACAAATCCATAGATGCGCCTATATGCAATGCATGATCATGATTGTACGTGTCGGTGAGGAGAAAAATAGTAAGAGTGGCTCGCGAACGAGACGGGTATCGAGAGGTATCAAGAATCGGTGGCGTGTCGGTGGGAGCGAGAATTCACAGAAAGTATCTTTTACCAGCCTTTGACATGGTATTCCCATGGACCGTAGTCAGTGGCATAGTTGGTCCATGAGCCGTTCTTCGAGAACTCCTTATCCCGAGTCTGGCTAGCGTCGCCCGGAGCGGATGGACCTGCGCCTGGGGTCCGGTGAGGTCCCTTAGGCCCGGGGTACTCTTGAAGGTTTTTGACATCATGGGAGGTGTGTCGTCGCTTAAGGAAGGCATTGGCAGTTGCACACTTCTGCTGGCGCTCCCACAAGAGATGTTTGCGAAGGGACTCAGTCAACTCGGTCGCAAGCATATTTCGACGAGTAGTGCGAGGCGAATGGGCGACCGATTGCGGGTGCGGGGGCTTCATAATGATGGGCTTCGATCGGGGAACGTCGGGACCACGCATGGTCAAGCTTTCGTCATCCTTTGCGGGGGGCGAAGCGGGGATAGACGGGCCATTGGGTGATGTCAAGCGAGACCGTTGCAGGGCAGGACTGGATCGGAATGCATTCGTTTGCCTCATGTTAGTCGGCTGGTGCATCATCATGGTAAGAAGCGATCGCCGAGAGACCAGGTTAGGTCGAGAATCCACTCGTTGGAAAAGTTCCGGTCGCTCGTCCACGCTAGATCTGCCGCTCTCTGTGACCGAGTCCTCCCAATCCGAATCTTCATCGTCCTCGATTGCGCTTTCTGAAATTTCGTCGTCAGTCTCGATGGCATCCTCGTCGAGTTGGATCGGGCTCTTCGGTCGGAAAGCGACTTCATCGCTAAATGATGCAACCTTCTTCGAAGGACTAGGGTTGCTGGTCGCAGGTCGTAGTAATCCACCGGTCGCGTTCTCCTGGGTTGGCTTCGCCACCATTCGTTCCTCAAAGGAGCTCTCATCATCGTCACCGGACGATCCCCCCAATGTAAACATGCCTCCCTTCTTCTTGAGTGCTGATGGTTTAAGCTGAGTGGTAGCACGGGATGGACTGGGGTCGGCGGCTAGCTTAGCTTGCGACCGATAGGAAGAAGAGACAATTGACGGCGAGAAGCCCCGAATAATGCTGGATGACTTGATCAATTCTGGGTGGCTCGGAAGGACGCCCGAAGATGAGACGCTAGTATCGGAAGCTGTATTTTGAGCCCCATCGCTTTCATTGCCTTCGGGTGCAGTAGTCGAACAAGACTCGGTAGACTCATGAGCTTGGGGAAACGGATGGGTGAACACGGGGACCTGTCTAGCAGTAGAGACAGTAGAGACGGAAGGAGGAGTAGGAGTAGGAGTCGACGGGCGAGGGGTGATATCGACAACAGGGGCAGCGGGCTCGACAGTGGTGATAGGTTCGAGGTTCTTCTTCTCCTTGATGTTGAGAACCATGCGCTCCAGATCCAGTGAGGTGATGTGCTTTTCCTTGCCTCGACCTAAGCTGGCGAGCGAGTCTTCACGGACTACGGCCGGGCGGTAGTCGGAGAACTTGGGGCGTTTGATGTGAGCCTCGATACGTTCGGCCTGGTCAGACGCAGCCGACTCAACACTAGCAGAGAGCTCCGGGAGATCACCGGCCTCGGAACGGAATCTGGACAGGGCGGATGTACGCTTCGAGTTTTCGGCCTCAACGCAAAAGGTCTCACGGGTCCACAGGCGCCAACTTAAGTTCTCGAGCCGACGGCCCTGGTCCATGTAGTCGGCACATTTCGAAAATACTAGAAGGTACCTGTTAGCCAAACAAAAGACAAAACCCCCATTGAACACGAGAACCAATCCCAAGACTCACCCATCCACATGCCATGAAGGCTCTGAGCGTTTGCAGTGTCCACCTTGTGAATATTATCCGCGTCCACCGTCAAGACGGGGGTGGTGAGAGGCATTGTAACGGCACCCAAGATACGATGGGAGCGATGTTACTGGAATTTGTGATAGAAATTGGTGTTCCGGGGTTGCCGTCTTCCCCGAGAGTGGTCGTACGGCGGTTGGAAACTGGTGGTGAGGGTTCTCGAGTGTTGTGCGGGTAAGGGAATCGGCCTTGAAATTCGAGTCTGGGCCCAGCAAAGCGTTGCAGGCAGTCAATGAATCGAAAAATCGGCACCGCAGGTGTAATCGAATACTTCAGAAGAGAATCAAGCTGGTTGCGAGACAGGCGGAGAGGATGTGATTTTAAAGCTCGGGTTGGGTGGCCGAGTGGTCGTCAAATTCCGGTCAGTGCGCCACCGACGTTCGGATGCGGAGAATCCTGGGCGGGTAAGGAAGTTGGCGTTGGACGCGTTAAAAGAGAGATTGACGCGGTTGGGAGGAGAAGTTGGAGGATTGAGATATTGGGTGAAGAGAGGAAGGGAGGAGAAAAGGGCTGTCGGAACGATAATAAGAATGACGGGGGGCGGCAGTGGAGTGGAGTGGAAGAGGGGGAATTAATTATGGTAAAAAATTCAAAAATTCAAAAAAAGAAAACGAAAATTGTTTAAAATCGAAAAATAAAATAATTAAAAAATAATTAATAAAATGGATTTTTTTTTACGGAAATAAATGGATAGGGACAAATATTTCATTTGGTAATATTACCATTAATACCACGGGGGGAAATCTAAACCCTTGACCCGGAGTCGGTGAAGGTGAAGAAAAATTCAGTTGCATCACGGGGCCCCCGAAATACCGGTACTGCCCTGGTACTTGAACTGCGCGCGGCGTTGTCGGTTGAACCCCGGTACTTCTTCCGTACTCTCAACAAACCCAAATATTCCCAATTTCCTGTCCCGGGTAACTGACACCATACGGAGTACAACAAATACAATACCGGTCTGTTTCCGGACCTTTCCTCTCCACTCTACATTGATGGAAACCCAAGTAATGCGAATTCTACAGAAGTAGAGAAATCAGTATATGGTCAGCTTGACTATGAAAGAAGAAAACAAGATTAAAAATAAAACTCTGTCAGAGCCTGTGACCTGTTGGGCAGTAGAATCCCAGGATGATGCTGATTTTTGTCATAAACCACAGGTCAAAGGAAGATACATAAGATACATGGTACTTGAGTACTACTGGTCTGGGCCACCTTTTACGCCACTGGTCGTTTGAACAAGCCCTTCGCCACTGGCAATTTACTGATATACATGACCTACTGACTGATGAATTGTCGCACCACCAACCATTGGTCGCCTAAGGGCATCAAGGTCCGGCTGACTCGCCAACTGATAGGTGTCGCGGTTAAGCTATTCTCGTCACGGACGCTCCCCTTCGCTGGGTGCACCGCATACCGGGGCGCCAGCGAGCCCAGATCTTCTGTTTGGTTTCGGTCTTGGATGTTCCCTACAGTTCTCCAGCCACGTTGATGGTCAACCGACCAAAATGCTGGGGTCTGACTTTGCAGCATTTGGGGGATGAAATCTTCAGCCCCAGATTATATGGTCTCGTTTTAGATTTCTTAAGTATTTTTTCTTTATAGTTCTATTGGGACTTTGGGGTTGCATGAATTTCCGGAGAAGCATACCGGGCCAAAATACCATCTACACCTTACCCGCAGTAAGTATCCGGTAGAAAGGGATGGGGTAGACTGATTCCCAGGCCCTGGAGGCTACATACCGGGGAACCAGTGCGATTTTTCCGTAGATCACATTTCCATTTTGCCCTTGGGTTTCATATCGAAACAAAAACATCAACAAGCGCCTATCCTATTCAATTTGATGGTCTACGCCAGGGATCTATCATTAAATCTCTTGGCTTCCACGCGGGTTCGGTATTAGCGTTTACACTTCCGTTTCCATTTACGTTTACATTTACGTTATTTCTTTTTTTGCGAACGGAGATCAGGTGGGATAGACTTTGTCAGCGCCAAAGGGGAAAAGAAGAGAGAGGGGAGGTTTAGTTTACCGCCCCTTTGAGTTCTTATCTTCCGAGATGCCACATCCTTGGTCGATGAACCCCCAACAGAACACGGCAGTCCTAGTGTCACAGTCCAGAGTCACGAGTCTGCCAGCTGGCATCGAAGGCGAAGTAGTCGAGGGGGGAAGGGATCGGCATACGGTCAAGATCAGGCTACGGAGGCGGACCTGCATAGAGAGAGGAAGCACCTTCATCTTTGGGCAAGCCGACTGTCCACGGGGTCCAGATAATCATCTAGCGCCATTGCCTTCAGTGGTCCAGTGGTCCGGACTGGCGGATATTCGAACATCCCTCTGTCCCCACTGATAGAAAATCCCATTCAACCCGGCAGATTGGGAAATGCAGACATGCAGACCGATCGACTTAGGACACGTCCGGGCTCAGTTGCACAAGATGCACGTTTCATCCATCATGTGATATTCCATTCATACGAGAAGCAGCGGAATCGTTGCCTTGTTGGAAATGTGCAGCATCATCTGCGAGCCTCGTGTATTTTTCCCATCTTCTTTGTTTCTGTTCCGTAGTATTTTCTTTCCATGGATTCGATCTGGGGTGGACCAGGGTGGAGTAAAGTCAATGAAATTGCGGGGATGCATCAAACAGTCGGTCAGCTTAGGAGGCAAAGTAAAAAGCGATCCACTTGACCCCGGAACACTCTCTCAGTCGGTTGATATCGGCAGTCACCCTTGTTCTTTTGTTTTTGGTGACTTGATATACAAGAAAACAAAACAAAAGCAACGATATTAATGAAATTATCTAGGTATTCAACATTTCAAAGTTCATCTGATTCACCGAAACAGTTCACTCGTAACAGGACTATTCCCTGCAGGTGTACGACCACGCCAATATCACCTACAGCCTGCAAATCATTCTTCCCAGGCCCGCTTGTGCAGCCTAAACTTTTGGGTTTGGCTCGCTGCTGACCCGCTCTTGACTACACTCATATCACCTTTCGAGGTCATCTTGAAGGATTTCCTTATAGCCATTGATGACCTCAGAATATGTTCGCTTCAGTATTCGGTCTCAGTTTCACCACCCTTCATTTTCTTTCTGTCGGGTCGTACCAAGGGTGGCAATCTGAAAAATGGAATTACTCGAGACACATCGAGATGGCCCGACGGGATCCACCAATGATCTAAATATCTCAGTAAAGATGAGATGGCACGCCTAGATATTACATCAAAATCTATGTGCATTACTTCGTATACCCCATAGTCATGGCAAATAAAGACTCCTGTTTTCCCGTTAGGGAACATTAATTTAACCGAGGCTCAAAATGCCGAGGCGACGTGTTCTATCTTCATTTTCTTTTTTCCACAGGTCATACGTACAAAATTTATTCCGTACGTACTAAGTTAATCTGGGGAAGAGCCGCCACAAATTCCCGGTGTTTTGCCAGCGATGCATGGCAGCCGAGGCGTGGATCAGATGTGCCGCTTAACAGAACAGCTGACCGGGCCAAGTTCGGGAAGCTTGGTCGGGAATCGCCGTACTGCCCATAAAGTACGGAGTATGCGGTACTGACAATACTTGCAGTAAAGCGCGGAATAGGCAAGTCACTAATCACTAGTGGCAAAGGTCACGAGAGCATCACATCACATGATGTTCAGGAACGCCCTCGGCAGGGGGCTTGTGATGGTGACGTACATTCATACCGGAGCTTAATCTCGGCTTTAAACAGGGGTTTCATTCGGCGTCGCTAGTTCGTTTCTGGGGCTTGTGTGAGGCAGGGCGGCTGTGATGACAGATGTCGGTCGGACCCAATGTGGATCAGGGGTTTCCATGTCAGGTGCAGCCCTGGAGGGATTTTGGCGTCCGGGAGATATGCCTAGATCATTACATACCGAAGAACTATCTTTTACAAGGGCTGTTAGCCTGGGCATTTTTAATAGCATGACTAACCTCATGCAAGTCATGCATGGAATTTCTTTCACTTTCTCATGTTCTACGTCGATTATCGGGTTTCATTTTTGGGTAATATGGCTGGAAAGGGCAAAGAAAAGCAAAGAATATTTGTTTCATGCCTTGGCTTCACCAGCATACGTCTGTCATTGACATCTGCAACTAAACAACTTGATCGACAATGTCAGTACAGACCGAAAAACGGGAAAGGAAAAAGAAAAGAAAGGAAAAAGCGAAGATCGTCGTGTTACGATAACCACTAACTACTGGTCGTTCCTATTTGGGGGATCGACCTATGAACCGAAAACCAAGCCGTGATGTACTTACTGTACACAGAAAGGAACGACGGGTCCCGAAGCTATCTCTTTGTATCACGCAAAGGCGACGAATCACAATCCAACTCATAACCGCTCTATCACCGGTCCGCCTCCCCCGCCCTATGCTGTGATCCACCGAATTGTCGAAAGACAGAAAAGGGAGGATGGTATAGGGATAACACAGGTCCAACAGTGGTATGTATTTTCTGTAGCTTCTGAATACTTTAAAATGTTATAGAAATGTCCGAGTCGTTGATTCGTTCAAGCAAGGGATGTTGGTGGCGGGGAACGCGGGAGTGGAACCCAGTATTTTCTGAACGGGGTCAGGTGAGAGGTTTCTGATCGGGAACAAAGTCAATCTGGATGATTTTCATTCCCAATAATGAAAACATCCTAAAGCGATCTGAAGATCTGTTTCGTCATGAGCTTCGGATCGAGACATTCAAATATTTTGAGGCTGTTGGTCAAAAATGGTACTGGCTGTCGACTCTACTGCTTTAGGCTCATTTTCCTGTAATGATCGACTCAAGGATCATATATGCGTGTGACTTTCTTTCCAAGGGAATGGAAGTCTAGAACGGTGGAATCTATTCAAACAGTAATGTTCAAGCTTGAATGATGACTGATTCCCATGGGACTCCTGTATAGTCCAGCCGGATGTCGGACCTGCATATCCGCGGTCAATGTAACATCTCACTTTCGCCAGGAGTCTGTAAATCTTTGGATTGGAATTGGGAAGACTGGTTACCGGGTTTGACTTTGTAGATTGTCTAGGTAAAATTGACCCCCTTTCGCTGGTGATAGATCACACGTCACACTGTAAAATACCCATATGAGCCTTGGAAGTATATGATAAGCCCTGGATTCGATTGTCATGGATAAACTACTGATCTTTGGATGTATACCCAGATAAAGGGAGCTCTATCTAAACTCAATAATCGAATTGAACGTTCACATAACCAAGAACCGAACTATTGATTGAAGCTGGCCACAGAATACCGGGAAAAGACCAGGTGAGTCTCCCCTTGGATGCATGTGTGCACTTCGGATATGTGAGCTAATCTGTTCTCCCCTTCTTTGTAGATCGGTAGCCGGGTATTTGAAAACCCTCGCATGCCTCGACCATTCTCTATGTACCCACAATCAAGGATAGACTACAGCAAAGTCTCTGTTCAAAGAATTCTTTCTGTATGTTCATGCATATGCAGCCACCTCATCATTATCGACCATGCAATCGCGAGGAAAAAGTCTCAATATTGATGCGTTACAGGTAAATTTCAATTACAGGTTCTACTGATTTCAATAGAAACTTGGTAAGCTACACATGGAATCTCCCATTCTAAACTGGCCCCTTCCACTGACTCAACATGGAACTCAACGGGGAACCAAACTGCCCCAAAATTTGAAACAAACATCTTCCCCCCCTTGATTTGTCGCCCCTAAGTGACATCAAAAGAAACAAAATTATTAAGATGACATACTTAGCCTAAGGGTTCCATTTGACCTCAAGGGGAACGAACCCCAGTAATCAACTCCCCCTTCCTAGCTTCAAGTATAAGCACAAATATAGTAGATCGCCCTGCACATCAGCCCAGTAAGCACCAATAACACTCCCAGAAAACGTACATGGGGTCCAGCTAGGCCATGTGCATCACCACCTAAGCCGTGGGGCGGTTATGTTATCTTCTGACAGGTCGCATTGTTTGATGTTTTAATTTTCCATCCCTCGCATTGGACAGCCTGCGGCGGCTCACCCCCCAAATCCCGCACGATCTGGGGGTTCTTGGTGTGATCGTGGCTGATCTGGCTTACGGCATGCCGCTCATGGCGCTTTGTTTGCTGATCGCTGAAAGACTCTTCATGGTCATGAGGGCGGGACTAACAATCTAGACCCCATTTCCCCTGGTCGAATGATTTAGGGCGGTTCCAGTCCTGATCAAGGCGTCAATGCCGCCCGGAGGTGTCTGTGCCCAGTTTCTTTTGCTTTGATGGGGGGGGCTGTCTGCTAATTGGCCCGTCTTTTGGCTTCTAGGCGCTGGTTCATATTGGGAGTCGGCCATTCAGGTTCTGGGTAGAGGGTAAAAGTTTATGCTTGATTCCTTTGACAGGCTGGTAACCGTGTTTGTCAAATGTGGACATAGCTATATTTCCACCAACCACCTTCGAATTATAGCGACCTTTGGGATCGTGGTTATACCTTTGTTGTTTGGTTTTGCAGTTGGGAATGTCAAACCTGGACTATGTAGGTCCGCCGTGTGATGATAGATTACAA